ATACGAGCGAGCGAACAAATGGATGACGCCTGTTTATGTCATGGCTGCGGCAATTACGTCTGAAATCTCCGTTCGTGCGGAACGCCCCGGATCACTAGCCTACATTTCGTAATGATTCCTTGTATCAGGCTGAATTTTTCAAAACGAAGTAGTGCTCGCATAACGAAAAGTTACTCGGCTTATGCGTTCCATGAACATTATCTGTCTGAAAAATGAGTTCTTCTGCTAAGGCACCTCGATAGCATCGCCATAACGAGGAGTCTGCTAGAACTTCTCAATTAAGAATAATAGGATAAATCTAACATGTGCAGCTGGTACTAGTTGATTAGTCTGGTGACGAAGTCGAGGTTTCCATCTTTTGATATGACGCAACTAAATTTTATAGCTAAGAGGCAGTCCATTGACGATCGATCTCCGCCTCTAATCTACTCCTCCACAGCTCTTGTGTTAAAGAAGCGCGATGGGAAGTGTCTTACCATTTTTCACTACAGGAGAATTCACGCCTACTCTACAAAACTACTAAGGGGTACGATGTCTAGATCTTCGTCGTTAGTTTCTCGTCGTACAGCTCTAGGATCTGACAACAAGTGGAGGGAGGCTAGATATCGAGAGCTACTGTGGTCTGGTTTTGGCTATGATCACCCTTTTTGCCGAGATATAAAGGCAATAGTCTTGCGAAAGAGAAGTAGAGGCCTAAGGGGCGCGATCATTATTAAGTGTCTACCACTGGTGGCGAATAGAGTATAACTCGGAGGAATTAAGTGAAAGGAAATTTGAATGTTGGCATTCGTCATTCTGTGGAGGAGCTGCTAGCAGACTCAACCAGACTTTGTTCGGTTTGCATTGCCCAAGTCGTTCAACGACGGTCAGTATGTGGCGTTTTCAATAAGAACGAAGAGGTCTGAAGCCATGATCACACAAAATTGTTGTGGACAAGGTTATTGAACGAATAGGTTCGTAATAGTCAGTACATCGCTATACCCCGAAATATGAACGGAAAAGAGGAATATGATTAAGTGACTGTGGTTGCGGCGGAGTATGCAATAAGGGCGATTGTGGAGCTAGATAAGTTCGATGCTGTTGACGCCATGCGCTCATGAGTGAACGAGTAAAGGTGATTCTTAGGAAGGAAGATGCGGGAGTGAACGACATGACGCGGTTTTAGATACGGAGGGTGTTGTAGAAGCCGTAAGCTCTGATACATCCCTTAACCTCATTTATGGATATACCTTTTTCTCCCCCTGAAAGGTCACTTCTGATCTGTACATCTCAATGTAGCAGATAAATCCGTAAAGATTCATTTGAAATGAAGGCTGATCCAACCTGGAGGGCTCCTCCGGGCTCCGGGGGATTCCGTATTTAAGTGGTTTGATTGGTAGGGGTAAGTGCATAATCCAATGGTAGCCAAGCCTAAAGGTGTTGCTCAAGCACTTTCCTTTTGGCCAGTAATGCGTGATTATTTAAATATGCAAGATTTGGAATCATTTCCAATCCATTTAAATTTATGATCTCTGTCCTCTTATAGAATGCTTCTTCGTAATTGCTCGTTGAGTTGTAGAGTAGAGTAAGGCTATTTTGTGTGGGGACACGTGTGTACTATTTTGGGATCGATTTCTGTGAATGAATTCTAGATCATGCACGACAAGTGGCAAGGCGTCAAAAGTGAGGCGCTCAGTTCAGCACTATCAATACTACAGTTTCATATAGGAAAAAATGACCATACATGAAGATAGCCTACTTTCGTAGGTCTATTACGGGCTCCTAAAAAGCTTTCAGTCTTGAAACCGAAGAGAGGAGCCACTCCCAACGTTTCCAACGCTGTACAATCCCACTCTCGCCCAAATATATCACAAAAGCCCATATTCCCGCGCCGTTGACTGTGAGAATGTGGCATCAAAAAGTGGATCTTGGATGTCGGGAACGTAGAAACGAGTTGTTCTTATTGTCGGCAATTTCTTGCTGTCTGGTTGTTCAAATGACCAATCCAAATCCCCCTTCCCTATTATATTGACGATCTTTCCGGATATCGTGACGGTCGCATGGTGAGGCTCTGCCTTGAGGCCCAACTCGTCCATAATGTTTAGGGCCACGAGGTTGATGTTTTCTGGGTTGCGTAATACTGATAGCCGCTGTATGATTGATATTCGGTACTCCGGTTCTGGTTCAGACTGAAATCTGATTTGGTACACTTGAGGCTGCCGGGAGCTTCGAGGGCGTAGAGACCGCCGTTTGTGCTACGAAAGTTAGTTTGTCCATGATAAAACCTACATGCGAAAACGCTCACTGAGGCTTTCGGGTAGGGACAACATACGATGCTTTGTCCTTGGAAGAACATACCTTTATTGATCTTGTGCTTAGCAAAGACAACCATGAACCCATCTCAGTGGAAAGACAAGAGCCTCTTGAAAACTCAAGTCAGGCTGGTAGCTCGTAGCAGTGATGAGGTGACCCGTAGTGTGGTCGATTGCATACTTTTCAGCCTCGTCAGATATCTTGCCCCTTTGCTCAGCAGCTTCCATGAATTTGCAAGACTGGGTGTGGCGAATCATACCCTCGGCAGGAAACACCGGGATGTAGTATCCCGGTATGGCTAATAAGCTGTGGGACCGCCACAGTGATGCCTCTGCAGGTCAAACATTGAAGGTAAGGGACCCGTGGCAGGTGCCCCTCAGCTCAGGGGGAGCAAATCATTATGTAGAACACTCACTTTCCTTGAACCCTCAGGGAGGTACTGTTTTAAAACCCACTGCCGCCTGGTCGATGAGTCGAAGAATAAAGAGCAGCCAGGCTGAGTGCCAACGAAACTGGATAACATCGGGATGTTGGGACTGTCAGCTGAGTTGTAGGATTGATTGTGGTTGGGTCGCGTATTCCTTGGCTGCAGTTCCAGGCCATGTGCACCACCAGAATTGGTTTTCGTGTTGCGTTGCGACGCCCCCTTCATCCTGGACGCCTCTAAGCGGATACTTGAGACCGACAACGTGGCATCCTATCTATGCCCATTGTTGGAAATGATTCTCTTCGAAATGTGCAGAGAAAATGCGTTGCAAGCCCCTTACTGAGAATGAATTTGTTGCAAGCACAAGAAAACCAGCGTTCATCAGAGCTCTTAGGGTGTGACAGTGCGCAAAACCCTCCGCGTCATTGTCACACCAAGAGTCAAATGTGGCGTGCATAATGATCCAATTACGTTTTGCCGGGCCGGAGTATGCCGGGATGCTTAGGAGGGCTCCGTTGTCGAAATGGAATGTCGAGCCTGGGTGTGTGAGCTGAAAAGTATGACCTGCCTTGTTTAGTGCTCTGTGTGCCACAGTCAATTTCGGGCTTGCCTCGGAAAAAGATTTGACCTTTCCTAAGGTATTCGGATCCAGTGTTGCTTTGTGGCTCTTCCGTGAGAAGAACACGAAAATTGTTCACACCTAAGCGAAGCAGTTGTTGATTTTCATATTTTCTAAACTCGTATCGCCAAGTTGCCGCTGACTTCCGTTTGGTGAATATCCAGCATGGTTCCGTCATGATATACCCGATCTTGTCTCTCACTGCATATGCGCCATGTGATAGCACGTTAAACGATCGTCGCTAAATCTTGCCGGTTAAACTTCTAGTCTCCGTGAAGCCAGGAGAAACAGGTTAAAGCTACACGTTACGCTACAGATTCCAGCCGATAATACTTGAAACATAGTAGAGAAAATTTATTATATTCATTTGAAAGCAAAATATCGACCGACGTCAAAACTCGATCCATCTGCAACACCGTACCGATGCGAGCCGGGGAGTTTGCAGGAAATCAATAAAACCGCGCAGTACGCCGGATCCCCAAAAGGCAGCCGTGCTGTTCAGCCAGCCATTCCAGGCCTATCTGGTGCGAATTCCCCGCGAGAGCCCAACATATGCCTGTAGAGCTGTGGCACCTCCCTCATTGATTTATACCTGTTCTGCAATAACGCTCGGCAAAATGCAGCCATCAAAAAGAAGTACTGTGAGACCTTTTGCTTGAGGCTAAATTACGCCATTCTCGCTTTCGTTCAGGTGCTGCTGAGATTTCTCAAAGGCTCCGGATCAGACCTCTGCGTCGATGCTGGTCTATGATGACGACTGAGTACATGTATGGGATCAGCATATGGAGAGCCGATATCCAACCAGCTCACAAAGCCAGCCTCCACCTCCGCGAGGCATCCATCTGCCTGATAAGCAGCCTCAAAGAACACCCATGGAGAGTCAACGCAGTGGAGACAGTAATCTCTCTGCCTCATGCACTTTCTGCGTACAACATCTTCGATCCCAGGAAGAGTCGCTTCCGCATGCGTACTGCAAAAGGCTGGAATCACAACATGGACGCCTTGTGGCCTGTCGTTATACGCCACGAGTTCAGAAAAGAGCAGTTGCAGCACCCAGGCGTGCATGCAGAACGCAAGTAAGGTTGGCCTTCTTCACACAAGGCGGAGGAGAAGAGGGATAAGGCTGAAGTTTACCTGTATATGTTCCTAGTTGAGTCCCTTGCTGCCGTCCCAACCCAAAGCGTTGATTATTTTGCTGCATACCCCTTCATATGATAAAGCTACTACTCTAGCATAGTCCTTACTTGCGATCACCGAGACTTTGGCCCTATGTCAGGTAACCGGCAGAGCCTCCTTCCGCTACATTATACCCCAGCTGGTTCGCAGGGAGCCCTACCACTCGGGCCCCAGGAGGCAAAAACACCGTCAGCTACCCAGTCAACCGTTCCTTCCGCCCCTTCATCAGCAGCGTCGTCAGCAGATCCATCAATAAGCGTTACACCAGAGGCAGTGCGGGCATCTCATTCTTCTCCTCCTCCTCCATCTCCAGCCGTGCCCACGTCGAACTCTCCCTCCCAAACTGCTCCAGCGGCAACTTCCCCTTCGACAGCCTTCTCTACACCATCTCGCACAGAAGGTGAATCATCTTCACAAACCTCAACAAGTAGCAATGACGATGATCCTCCGGCGGCCCCCGCTGGGTATCCCAAGCTTGCGTTCAAGATGGGCGACATGCCTGAGACAGCCATATTCCGACGGTTCGGGTTTTTGAATGCCCAGATACTCCTCTACATGCAAGCAGAGCTGGTGAGCCTGGAAGACAGACTCCGCAGGATCCAAGCCCGGGACAACGAAGCTCCTGGGTCAAGGTCGTTGTATGCGAAAAACTGGTTTTTCCTCGGTAACTCAAAATATCAGGACGACGGCGACGAGCGGCAGTGGGAACTCGTCAAGGAGATCCGCGAGAAGCTGAAAGAATACAGTAAGCTTTCAAAGATTTCAGATATCTCTCTCTCTCTCTCTCGCTTACATGCCCAGCCGGCTCACCCCCCAACCAGGATGCGACGATACGAAAGCAACTGACTTGGCGTAGACGAGATGCTCATCCAGCAGCTGAAAATCGTGTCCGTCAACCCGCCCGGCTCCTACGACCTGCGCTACATCCAGCGCTACCTCTTCTCCGAAGACATGGACAACGGCGTTCTCACCGGCAAGGACGCGGACCTCTGGGGCTCGCTGGACAACCCCAAGGGCCACGCGCCGGATCTGCTGGCGCTGCTGGGGCGGCATAATGAGGACTTCTTCTCCAGCTGGGTGACTGAAAGCTTTGTGGACAAGCTGATTGAACTGCAGCAAAAACGGAAGACGTCGTCGTCGTTGACGACAACACCACCACCACCACCACCGAAACTCGACGATTTCACTGACAAGAAGCTGCTGCGCTGGACGTTCATGGTTGCGAGCGTGCTGGCGTCGGCTCTCCCCATTGTATCCATCGTCATTCTCTACTGGGTCCGGTCCATCAAGGTTCGGCTCGGTCTCATTGCCGTCTTCAACATCGTCCTGTCTTTTGTTCTCGCGTGGTTCACGTCGGCAAAGCGCGCCGAAGTCTTCGCCGTCAGTGCGGCCTTCTCTGCTGTTTGCGTCGTCTTTGTACAAGTTGGGGCGGATGATTCGCATGATGCAAGTAGCTGAGCTGTCCGGTGGCCCAACAAGACGGCGTTACAAGGTATGTATGAAATGCATGCTGCTGTGCGAGCCCTATATAACCTTTTGATGAAGCGCTAATAACCGTGATCCCCGAATTAGTGTCTTACGCCGTGAATCGTACCGTGTCGTCATCCGTGAACTGGACATTATCGAGAATTTTGTCGCCAAAGCCGAACGCTCACTCTAGTGCCGACCGTAGTCTCTTCCCAACGCTTTTCAGCCCCGAAAGAACCCAAGTTTATCCAAAATCGCCGCCGGTAACTATACAAACAAGGAAACACATGAATGGGCGGAAAAGGGAAGCTCGCCAGAAGGGGCAAACACCGGGAATGCAGGGCGAGGGAGCCTAGACGAGTGATGAGGAGCGAACAGAAAAGCAAAGCGATGAGCGGTGGAATGGCTGGCAGATGACAGCCCCGCCACCTCGGAGCTGAGATGCAAGCCGCACTCTACTGCTCCCTCGTCTTCTTGTCATTTTCTATTAGCTTCTCTATCTTCCTCTGATCGCGGGACTGGGTCCTTTTCTGAGCATTCAAGATTGGTCTCTTGTTGTTTACCTCAACTACGGCACCCCGGTTAGAATCATATCTGGGGATCAGCAATTCAAGGTATACTTACCAGAATTAACGGGAGACTCTACGTGACGCTTACCGCCCTGGCCTTGGCCCTGGCTAGCAAGTGAAGCAATTGCTGGCGAAGGCACGTTCAGCTTGAGTTCTTTGATGGTGCCAAGGCCAATGAGGACGTCATAGGGGCTTGCCTCGGGAAGAACCACACACCGAGACGGGTGAAAACGAGCCGGGTTGAGGAAGATCTGCTGGCCAGCGTATTCATTGATCGGCCCCTTGGCGCCCCATTTCGCGCGGAGCTCTCCGAGAAGCTTCATCTTGGTACCGTCAGGGTTTGTCAGGACGACCGGAGGGTTCTCCGGATCGTCGTACGCTTCATACAAGCCGTCAAGTCCCAAATCACGAAGAAGAGCGTGATTGACGAGAATGAATGGAGGCGCTCCGGGCCGCTCTATGTCTTCGAAGTTGAAGTCGAAGGAGGCAATCGCATATTGTATGACGTTGTCCTCTCTGATTCTGGTGACCTTGTTCTCCGTGACTTCGACGCGCTCGTTGGTGATGACAAGCTGGATAAGCCTTCGGCGGTCTTCTTCTGGAAGTCCGTCTTGGTTGCTCTCAGCGACATAGGCAACCGGCGGCGGACATTCCTTCCTGCGGATCTGATGGAGACGCCTGTCGCGCCACCAGTTGCGGATGACGCAGAGCGGCAGCTCGATCCTCTGGAGAAGCTTGCCGCTCTTCGGCTTCGAAGCCACCGTGCCTGAGGCCTCGGTGCCGGAGCTCGTCTCGTCGGCAGCTGCGGCCGCGGCGGCAGCAGCGGCGAGCATTGCTGCAGAATTCGGAGGTTCGCGGTGGTGCGGGGCGGTCGTGAGCGGAGGCTGCAGCGATGCAGAGAGACAGTCCTCCTCGGGGATAGGGGGCTCAGCTTCTGGCTCAGGCGAAGCGGAGGAGAGGCGGATATGTTGCGCGGCTTGGCGTGGATGAGACATCGGCTGTGTGCTCAGGGTGGTTTCGCTAGTTGCTACACCATGTCATCATTAGCATTCAAAGGCCGTCCAGGGCAGAGTGCTGTGTGCGGCGGGGAATCTTCAGTGTGCAGCATCTCCGCTGGAGAGGCTCACCTCGTGATGGAGCTGCTAGCAACGAGCGCGGCGGGGGGCGGCAGGTGCAGCTGTGTTGAGGTATGGCCAGACACTGCTTGGGCGGCGGAGTGACAGGGATGGCGATGCGCGGTTGCAGCTGTGTAGGTGTTAAGGTAGGCGATGGCGCGCACTGGTGGGAAAGGTGAGAGGGTAAGCCGTAGCTCGAGGGGCGAAACGGACCAGTGGGCTTGTGAGGAGGGGGAGCCTGGACTGGGAAGAAGTAGTTTGAGAGCGGCGGCCCATGCCGCGGATGGACACGGCGGTTGGCGCTAGGACCAGGTGCCGTGTATGCGTGGCCGCAGAATTTCGTTGACCGCAGCCAAGTTCCAGGCGCCGCTCAATTCTGGCGCTGCCGCAACAAACGGCAGTACTCACGAGGGCAAGCGTACTTGCCTGATGGTGGCCTGCAAGAAAGAAGTGACGAGACCTGGACCCCGGTGGTGTGGTGTGGTTGGCCGATTGCCGGTTCCTGCGTGAGCTGCCGTGTGGCGAGTTGCGACGCAGTGCTGCCCCAGACAGTCTGCCTGGCTGCGCTGCAGGTATAGACGCGAGGCACCATGCTCCAACGCATGGAAAGATTCAGCAAGACAGACATCGCAGACTTCATTGAACGATGTGGCAAATCCCGCATGTCAGCCGTCTCCCGCTCGGCGTCTCAAGCGCCGCATTCATGGTATGTGCCAGTGTCCATGTCTCTCGCCCTTTAACCGCGAGAAGCGGCTACGATGAAATTTGCGCGCGGCAATGACTCTGGTCTGAAAGTCGTTGCTCGCCCATGACGCAACCCCCGCTGATCATGCGATGCGCCACGGCGGGAGGGAGGGTCCTGGTGCGACGTGGGTATGCAGCGAAAATTTCATTAGAAGCGCAGAGCAACTTGCAGCACCCTTGCGCGTGCATCTTCGAGTCTTCAGAGACCGGCGATAGAGCTGCAGGGAAACCCGGTTTACTGCATCGCGCCGTCGGTTCGACTGGCAATGGCTCGGCAGCACTCACGCACTCCTAGAAGCTACGGTAAAGGCCGCGATTCTCAAGATGTACAGTGGGTCAAAGTGCGTGCATTGCGGGGCTAAGCCACGCCGGAAGAAGAGGGCACAAGGTAGCGTACGACGGCCAAGAGATGGTGCTCGACGGCAGACAGGTGGCGCACAACGGCCAACAGGTTCATGTGCTGACATTCATGTTTCGCTGCAGCATCCTAGACGACTGCCTCGGGTTGCCATAGTCGCCAGCTGGTGATCTTCTTCGCAATAATGGCATTTTCATTTTTGTTGATGAGCCTCAATGAAGTCGAGCTTGAGGGCGCGTCCGCGGGTTCCCGAAAGATCAGCCCCACAAGAAGAACCCGCAGCCTTGATCAAACTCCGCAGTGTGGCGTATAAACGGAATAGGGCTCATCTATGTTTCCCCCAGCGCTGATAACCACGTGTCTCGAGGAAAATGAAGGTCGGAGTCCAAGCGTCCATAGGCTACACAGGCGGCAGAGAGTTGTTTCATTGCGGGGAAAGGCCATGCATGTGCTAGCCTTTAGAACGCGGCTGACGGTCCGCGGGCTTGTCGCGAAGGCGAAGCAAGGCGGAATCAAGGCAGTCATGTGTCATACCACACAATCATGCTTTCCGGAGCCATAGGCGCGAAAGTCTGGCGCTCACCGCCGGGGGAGTCGACGAGCCTGGGAAACAAGGCTGAACAAGGCTGACGGCGCCTCGGCTGGGATGTGCTGCGCCTAGCGTCAACATGTTTACAGAGCCTCTTCTGCTGACGAAGTTCCCATTCGGTTGGCGGGTGCATGCGTCTTCGCAGCATTGGCGGCTCATGCCAGACTGCGGGCGTTGGCGCCCGCCTCCACTACCGGCGCATGTGGTGGGGTGGCGCCGATCTCTGATTACGGTCGCATGCTGCATGACAACACTGGATGCAGTGCTCGTACCCTCCAGCCGGAGCCGATGTGCTTGGGGACGGGATAAATGAACCTGCCGAGCCCGCTGTCTGTTGTATGTTCTCTTCTGCCAGCTGACCTTAATGTCGAACTCCAATCGCAAACCTGTATGGGCTATACAGAGAAAGAGTGACTCTCAACGAAGATCTGTGAATAACAAGGCGTAAGGCTGAAAAACACTGCTGACTGATCCCTTTGCCGAGAAACCATTACGATCGGAAAAGGCGCACACTGTAGTCCACTGGCATCCGGTTCTTTTCGTCGGGTCCTTGGGAAAGACACCAAAAGGAAAATCCGTGGCCTTTGGAACATCTCTTCTCCATAGGGTGGTTCGTTGGTTCCCCAGATAAATCGTCCCGGAAAAGGTGGTTAGGCTATCCAAGGCGCCCTCCACGCAAAATTGACTGGCCAGAAACCTCCCAACATACGGATACGGACAATAGGAAAAAGAAAAGAAATGAGATCCTGTTGTGCTTCCAGAATCGTTCCACGCTCTTTCGGACTTTCATTGAATCGGGGTCAAGACGGAAAAGGGTTGATAGAAGAGCAGGACTGCGAAAATTCTCGCAAAGAAAACATTGAGATATGAACCGTGCAGGACACTGAAGGGGAGCTCAACTGCCACGGAACTGCACACCAATACGGTCTTAACAAGATCTCTGGGATCGTCCTCCAAACGGTCCAACTTTTACAGCCGCAGCTTCGTCATGCATCTGAGGCGAAGAGCTACCAGAAGAACACCCCGTCATCCTGTGCTAGGAAGCCACCACCGTACCAAGGGGTATCGATGCGTTGATGCCACGTCCAGCGGAACGCCTGTTGTTCCAGCCCCCCAATGGCCAAATCCGCCCTCCATCGCATTGTAGTCCGGCTATTTCATCCTAACGCGTCCATTGAGCGGCTGCGCACAGCCAGGGCTGAAGGTCGTAAGAGGAAACAGGCCATGATCCGGTTTCGCGAGAAGGGATCGCGGCGCATGAGGCTCAGGGAAGCATTACTGATGCGCGGAGGGAGGATGGATTACGGCCGACTGCGAACGGACGGGTATGCTTTGGAGACGACATGGAATGATCCATTGAAGGTGGAGCTTGCTGCGACGGGATGCAGCGCTGATCTGACTGGCATGAATTGATGGGGCTGGCAGCGGAAGGGAGCTGTCGATGAAAAGAAAGAAGGGCGGTAGGGGAGAAGTCTTGGCATTTTGAACACCAATTCTTTGGACGGGCGCAAGGTGTGTAGTCCGTGCTATAGGGGACCAAAGATGTGGGTAGCAGTTGTAGCTTTAGAACGTATATTAGTAGTGATCATTGAGAATCATCATGAGAGTCTACGTTTGAGGCTGCGTAGTGCATGACCAATATTCGTGCTTTCTGCTGACCGTATCAATACGCCGGTTACAGTATTCAGTACAGACTCAATAAGCAGTATATGTGGTCCGTGCTCAATCACGTCGGACTCAACACCATCAGCAATGATCATAGGAAAGGTGCACCCAGGAAAAGTAAAGACCATCAATCAATCCTCTGTCGACAGGACGAGTCTGTAAATTGAAGTTTTTATTGCTGTTTCCCAGATTATAATGGAAAGGTAAGCTTTTTAACTACAAATCGCAGCCACCGAACACAATCTTCAACTGCAAGTGTAATTGGTACCATGATATATTCCTTAAGAAATGGTTGGCAACATCAGATTCTTTTTGCAATCCACTGGGCCGCCCTGCTTCCCAATACATTGCGCCATTTACGTGTCCGAATCCCAGCATTTATTGCTCCAATCAAATAACCAGGCCTGATATTTCCCAACCTCCATCATCCCAGCGTATTCCCCCCAAACACCCCCCGTCCCCTCTAAGAAGCACCCCTCTTTTCCTTCTCATTCTCCATGCTCAGCAGCTCTCCGTGTATATGCGTGGCGGACAGGTAACAACAACAACGTCATCCTCATCATGCCTCCGTCATCGAGTGCACCTTTCTGTACAACACTCGCCGCTTCTGTACAACATCACCAGACCCGAGGGGGAAGAGAAAAAAAGAAAAGGGCAGAACGCATGACCCCAAAAAACAAAAAGGTTCAAACAAAGCACTCCTTTCACAGACAAGAAGGAGAATCGTAGACTCGTTCCGAACCACGCAATGCATGCAAACGACAAAGACAAAGGAAAGAAAAAGAAGAGAGAAGAAGAAGAAAGATATTGACATACCTTCCAGTTATGTAACTAACAATGGACAACCAGCTCTATCAGTCAATGACGTAAAACAACAAGTACTAACCAACCGCACCAGCGCCGGCGGGTGGGGGGAATCCGAACTGAACTGAGCTCAACAATACGGCGACGAAGTAGACTAGCACAGAACAGTAGAAATATCAAAACCAACCTCAACAAAACCTCTCAATACCACCCATGCCCCATATCAAACCGATGCTGCAGCGCCTTCGGGATCCTGCTCTCCTTGGGCGGGAGGTGATTGTGCTTCTTCAACACCACCGCCTGGCGCGCAGCCTTGCATCCCTTCTTGCTGCTCGCATCGACGACGGCCGGGGCGGCGAGCTCGTCGCAGTAGTTCTCAGGCGTGCAGCACTCGACGGCGCGCATAGTCGCAGTCTCGAGGACCTCGCGCATGGTGATGCGGCGCTCGGGGTACGGGCAGAGCATGCGGATCATGAGGCGCTTGACGGACGGGTTATCCAAGCCTTGGAAAGCCGGCGACGTCTTGGGGGCCGTGTCCTTTGCGTCGGGGGCGGCGTCATCGCGTGAGAGGTCGCCGTCCGGGTGGCGGGCGAGCCAGTCGTTCCAGTTGTGCAGGTATGCAGCGTACTTGACGTCATTGTCGGGGTCGGCGGCGCCCCATGGGACCTGGCTGGAGAGGTAGAAGAGGGCGATGGCGCAGGACCAGACGTCCATGGGACGCGGGTCGTAGGGCCCCTTCTTCGCAAGCACCTCGGGCGCGATGTACGGCCGGCTGCCGCAGATGCCCGGCTTGCAGAGGCGTACCTCGCCCATGTCGACGCCGCACTCGCCCTGGGCGGCGCGCATGCCCGGGTGCTCGCCCGAGAAGACCTCGGAGACGCCAAAGTCGGTGATCTTGAGGTGGCCGGCGCGGTCGAGGAGCAGGTTCTCCAGCTTGATGTCGCGGTGGGCGATGCCGTGGTCGTGCAGGTAGCACACGCCGCGGCACAGCTGCTTGAAGAGACACAGGCGGTCGGCGGCCTTGTAGTGGCCGCCGGCCTGGGCGGGCACGAACAGGCCCTTCTTGACGAGGTCGTACAGCTCGCCGTACGAGCAGAACTCCATGATGTGGTTCCAACGGCCGTTGTGGGTGCACAGCCGCACTGTCTCGACGATGTTGGGGTGGTGCAGGCTCTTGGCGATGCTGTACTCGGACTTGATCTTCTTGACGTAGTCGTCCTCGGACTCGTCCTTGTCGCGGCCCCGGAATTCCTTGACGGCGTACAGCTCGTCGCTTGGCCCGCCCTTCCGCGACATAACGCGCACCTCGGCCGTGGCACCGTCGCCGAGCTTGCGGCCGCGGCGGAAGGGGATTGCGCTCGTGCTCTTGAACTCATTGTCCAGCTCGCAGTGGTCGACGAAGAACTCGTCTGGCAGGCAGGTGCTGAGGCGGCGGGCCTTCATGCCAGTGCCCTCGGCGGCCCTCCCGGCGGGTTGCGACATTGGGAGCGTGGCGTCTTTTGACTTGGGGAGCGATTCGACGCTCGCGGATCTTTTTCTGCGGCCGGCCCGGCTCGCCTTGGAGGCCGGGCCGAATTTTTCGGTCTTCGACATGAAGGAGTCGAAGGTGTTGCCTGGCCTCGGCCGAGGGAATCCGCTAGCGTCCGACGTCTGTCCTCCCTTGTTCTGTTCCTGGAAGGTAATGGTAGGTGAGCTAGGAGAGGGAGGGCTGTTGGAGTGGGAGGATTTAGGCGAGTTGCGGGCGGAGCGGGACCAGGAGCTGATGCGCCGGGTGCGGATGACAGGAGGTTTTTGAGGAGGCTCATTCTCGTCGGGGAAGGAGGCGCTCTCGGGGCTGACGTCGACGACGGAGTTCCGTTTCGAGTCAGCACGCTTGATGGTTTTGCGCACGATTGTGCTGATTTTCTTCAGGCCGCCGCGCTGGGCAGGGGTATCGCGGGGAATTGCGGCATGCGGTGGTGGCAGTGTTGCGACTGTCATATCGTCGGGTTTGATTGGGGTAGAGTCAAAGCCGGGTTGGGGAAAGGGGATGGATTGAGCGTCGCTGGTGGGAGTGATGGGCTCGAGGTGCTCGCTCCCGCTCTCGTTGTTGCTGCCATCCGTGTTATAGTCAGGGACTGCTGCAGCGGGCAGGACTTGAGTGTCGGCGGGCGAAGGAGACATGGCGGTCTTGGTCGCTTGGCGTTTTGAGACGGTTGCGGACGGGGAATTGTGCGGTGGTACAGCGCAAGGTTCCAGCAGAGCTAAATCGAGGATCCACGCGTCGTGCAGCAGGGCGGAGTGATGTGTGCGTGGAAGCGTGGCAGTGACTTCGCCATGCGACAGGTACCGAATTGGGAGTGGAGAGGAGGGTGACTATTTGTCGCAGCGGGCAACGGGGTTCGCGCGTCCTTTTGTCCCGGGCGTCGCAGGCTCGGACGAGCAGGCTGGATTGATTGCGGCGGCAGAGGCGGGCGCGGGATCCTTAGTCCGCGTTCAAGGGCTTGCCAAGCGCTTCCCCACGATCGCCACCATCGGTGGACCCCGGCTGCGCACTGAGCAACGCAAGCTTCAACGACACCTCACCTCGTCCTCTCGTCGTCCCGCCCTGCGCATGATCGGTGCTGCGACTAGGGGCCGCTGCCCTGCCGAGCCTGTCGGCCCTCGCCTTCGCCCGGCGCGAAGCACAATAATCACGCAGAAAGCACCAATGGAGCCAAGGCGGCGGAGTCAGCCCTGTCATGAGGGTCTCTTGGACGCAGCCAATAGGCCCGTGTGGCCCGTAATCTAGTTGCGCGCCCCTCAAAATAGCATGCCGGCAGAATGACGCCAGCCAGCCTGATCCCTAACTGCCCCAGAGATCGCCGCCCGTTGCCGTGGAAAAGAAGGGGGTGAAAGCCTCACCGACTGCCTCAGGCCCACCCGTCTTGTGACCGCCTGCAGACGGCGGCCGAGGTCAACGGAACCAGCAGGAAAAGAGGCGTCCGATCTTCGGGAGCGCCTTGGCTTTCGCAACGAAAAAGGCTTGTTCGCAACCCGTGCTTGGCAGCGCACAGCGCCGTGGGGGTAGGCACGTAGGGTAAGCCGGGTGACGCAGGTGCGCTTCGGCCGCTGAATCCCGGAAGTGTTGAGTTCGGCCACTGACGAAGACTGCTCAGCCATCTCCACTGCCATCACCGCTTCCCCAGGATCCGCGCGTCCGCACAGCGATCGTCCAGCCAGCCAGCTCATTCCCCGCCCTGTGCACTGGTACGACGCGTTCCGTCCTGTCGCGCCGCGATGTGACGCCGTCCAAGCACCGCCTTCTGGAAGCCCGCCCGTCGCCTCCGCCAAGGCACCACAACTCAACGGCCAAGCAAATACTGGGCGGATCAGCAGCAACCCTCTGGCGGTACCGTTGCGCCTGCTGCCCGGTCTGGGCCGTGCATCCCTGTCGGCGACTCCTAATCTGCATTTACCCCACGGTTGTGCCTCACCCCGTTCATGCATGGAATGCTTGGCAAGCGCAAGAGGCTGCTCCTGTCCTCCGCCCCGGCTGCACGACGTTGACGACGATATTGCAAATGCCTTGCACCACTCTCGATACCACCCGATGTCAACATGCGATCGATCGTGAGCGTGCCGTGTGTGCTGCTGGCGGCTTCGCCGCATTGATGGGGGTCACCCGGACACACATGTCGTGTGGAGGGAGAGCAAGGCAAACAATACGCAGAGAGCCCCGGCTTCTATGCACGCAACTTTTCGGTTCGTCGCATCACCCGCATCTCCGAGCGGGGCCAAGGCTCACACGACAGCAGCAACCAGCAGCAATGACAGCCATCCACACCACACCACGCCTGAACCCCACATGAGATCTCCCCCGCTCATCTTCCCTCTCATTTCTTTTCCCGACCATCGGCGGGAAAAGGGAGAGAAAGTGCTGACGCCCATGCGGCTGAATCGTAAGCATCGAAGCCGTTTCCCCGCGATTCTACCTGTCACTACCGCTGCTACTACTGCTGTCCCGCTCGCTCGTACGAGTTCTCACGCTGCTCTCTCACGTTGGCTTTTAGCGGCGTCGAATCATTCTAAGCAAATCCGAGTGCAGTGGCTTTTTTGTTTTCGCAGCCCACACCAGCCCTTTGTGAAAGGGCAAGTAACCCGAGAATCGCGGTTGCAACTGATCTTTTCCCCGATCCTGGCGGTCGGAACCCTGCACGCAGCAACTGCTACAGAGGGCTATTTCAGCCGACGGCTAACGTGAATTATTTTTCGCTCGTGCCAGGGGTAGTTGAAGCCATCATCCGGATGTAAATGTGGAATTAGTAAGTATACATTCACGTCCGGACGATAGCTTCAACAGCCCATATTTGTTCATAAAAAAACGGACAGAAGCATACTTAACGCGATGTTGTAGGGATCCGGCCGTCCAGACATCCTCTCAATCCTCCGGTTCCTCGCAACCCGATCCTATCCCATCTGGCCTGTTGTGAAGCATCGGCTGGCCGCCTGGCCCACGCCGGCCGGCAGCCGGTGGAGCGCTGGAGGCACGCCTGGATGCCCGCCTCTCCATCCTTCGGCCTGTCTTCCGGAGCAAACCAAAAAAATGTCGGAAAGTCAACTCGTTCATCTTCTTCCGCTCGGGGACCAGATCGTCGTCGGCGGCCTAAGCTCGGCGGTCGGCTTCGGGTCCCGCTGGGCCCAGCAAAGAGTCGTGGCTGGTCATGGGCCAGATCGTCGTCTGCGGTGGCAGTTGAGGTCTGTAAAAAGACCTACCAAAGCAAAGTGCCCAGCAATGGGCCCAGCAAAGAGTGATCTTGGCTCGTAGCGGGCCAGATCATTGTCGGCGGTCTGGGATCGGCGGTGGCCTTTGAGGTCTGTAAAAAGACCTACCAAAGTGCCCGCCAATGGGCCCAGCAAAGGGTGGCGCTCTGGCGTCGGGCGGGCGGCGAGCCCGACCTCGAGAGGGGTCCTCCGGACCCCTTATAAGCGAGAGAACTCTCCGGGTTTTTTTTTTTTTTGTGATCCGGGAGACAAGTTAGAAGATGGAGAGAATCGGGGTTGAACAACGATGGACACCGCAAGGGACCCCTCCTTTTTTTTTTTTTTTTGCTCCGGAGACAGGCAGGATTGGTTTGCAACGAGGGACATTCCCAATGAAAGAACTATCCATTTTTTTTTAACTCTCCGTTGTGTCAGGTCAGGTCAGCTAAGGAGATGGTGAGAGAGAGGGGGTTGATATTATATGTACAGTCTCCTCTTGTAGCCGATGGCTAGCGTGGATTTGTTTTTTGCTTATGAGTAGCTGAAGCTATCGGCCGGACGAGAGTGTAGATTTAAAAATTCTACATATACGTCCGGACGATACCTTCAACTACCCACATATGTTATTCTTCAAAAGTAGAGCTGGGGCTAGTTACGCTACGTTCTAAAACCCGGCTATTCTTCGCGTTAGCCATCGGCTGCGATACCCCCTGTAAGTGATAATTGGGGTTCGGGGTTGTTATAGGCTGCGTGAGCCGCGGCGTTGGCTGAATGGCTGAATGACAGGTCAGATTGGCTGCTTGGGTTGGCTGGGCTGGCTGGCTGGGTTGGCTGATCTTCGCTTGAGCTGATATCACCCACATCACTCACACCACGGCGGAGGAGCAAAGCAGGGATGGGCGCCCAGGATTGTTCCAGGTTCTTCTTTTTTTGCTGGGGTGCATGCTTCGGGATGCCTATTCCAGCAGCAGCCGGCAGCCGGCGTCTGGCGACTCCTGCGGCGAAGCTGCGTCGAAACAGAAAAACAGCAGACGATTCTTCGACAGTTCAGGAATAGCAAGAAAATTTTTTTTCTCCTTCCCTCCCCCCATCCCACCTGAAGATAAGGAGCAGTGATGACGCTCCCGTGAGCATCTTGGCACGCGCCCTCCTCTCCCTTTCCTCCCTGTGTGACGGCTTGGCGGAGGGCCTGGGCCGCACAGGTGTGCCCTGGACAGAGGTACTGCAGTACATTTGCAATTCCTTTGCATACCAAGGAAACCTCGCACCGCCCCGCTCTCCCTCCCCACTTCTGCCAAGACCGTGCGCATACATGCGCACACACATATCCCTTGACGCTTGTCCCGCCGAGCCAAGACATTCCCAGCGAGCGGAGACGCTTGGGAGGAGAGAATGAGCAAGGCACAGGATGTGTTGGTCATCGGGTGTTGCACGGATTGGGGCTGGGGTTGCTGTGCAGCTTTCCTTGTTTTTGCTGTACTCTGGTGTATGATGTGCTCTGATGTATGATGCACTCTTGACAGGTACATACATCTTGGTGAATAGCTGTGGTGGACTACTGTGCAGATGATTGATGCTGTGATGGGAATGAATTCCAGGGCGCTGCGGCCTGAATTTCTCAGTCCAGCCCAATCCGTTTTGTCTCCAAGTGTAAGGGAACACCAGACCTCATCCCATTGGGCAAGTCGGAACCATAGTGAGAATGCGGATGACGCTCACAATCTGAGCCCATGGTTTCGGTCTTTGCTGCACGAGTAGGTTTCCGAAACATATACATACTGCACGTTAGAAAATCGCCCGCATGGAATAGAGTGAGTGGAATTGACAGCATAGAGGCAAATGCAGGGACCATAAACCCAATCATCCGATCCACTGCAAAGTAATACAAGCAGCCCATCCACAGGTTTCCTCGACACGCCTCTACGTCAGCGGACACCCGCCACAGCAGACGTCCTCCGCGCAATGATCACCAAATTCCCCAAGGTGAAAACCGCGAAGGCAACAAAAGCAGCGTTATTATTCCTGTCGTTCCAGTCAGCCAGAACACCCCACCCCCACCCACACAGCGCGCCAAACGCATCATCCCACATCTCACACGTGCACATCTCTCCATCCTCCCTCTCGGGGCAATTAGTGTTCAACTCACCTCTTCCGCTCCTCCTCCTCCTTCTCCCTCACCCCCTTCTCCTCCTCCTTCTCCCTCCCCACCACCCGCTCCAACTCCTCCACCTCCACCAACTTCACCCTCCGCACCGCCGCCCTCTCTAGCCCCTCCCCCTCCAACCTCGCCTCTTCCTCCTCCGTCGCCGGTGCGGGTGGTCGCCATTTCCACGGCCATGACGGCAAGGCAGCGGCGGCGGCGGCGTGCAGCTGGCGCGCCCGCGCGTGCTCGGCGTCCAGAGCGTCGAGGTGAGCGAGCTGTGCGCGGAGGAGGCAGAGGCGGGTGTGGGGGTTGCTGGAGGGAGATGGGGTTGGGGGAGGGGGATCGGAGGGGGGAGATGAGGAAGAGGGGGCAGAAGGGCGGCTGAGGTCGTAGTCGCGCTTGGAGGAGGTGGAGGAGAGGGTTTGCCAGGCGAGTGATATCTGGAATAGTGCGGACGGGTTAGTTGATGTGTGGTGGCGGTGGTGGTGGTAGTTGATGGCGCGTTTCGAGTGTGGGGGGACATGGCGCACTTGTTGGAATCTTTCTGTGGCGACGGCGGTTTGGTCGCGGTTCCGGTCTGGGTGGTGGAGCAGGGCTTGCGCGTGGTAGGCTCGTCGGATGTTGGGGAGGGAGGCGGTTGGAGGGATTCCCAGGGTTGCGTAGTGGTCCGGGGGTTCCGATGGGTTGGCCATTTAAATGTCGGAAGATGTGCGCGAGAGGCGTTCTTGGCGTTCATTGGTAGATCTGGTCACCTAGGTCGCTTGCTTCATTATTTATGTTTCTGCCTGAGCCTCGATTTAAGGGGGACGAATGGTGCCGAGAGACTTGGCACGTTTCGTTTCTTGTGTGACGAGAAACAGTGAAGAAGAAGAGGCTGGACCGATCGGGCATGCACATGGTACTGAACGGGGATTTCTGGAAATTAGTAAAGATCCGCCAAGGTGAGCGGGTGACAAGGCGTAAACTGCTCTTAAACGTCTTTGAGTAGTGTTTTCAATCCTCGTACTGCGCCGTGTTGATATGTGTAGAACGAAACCGAAAAAGGGTTACCGGAGAGCGATATCCATTGCCGGTTCATCAACTTCCCCAGCGGCCCAAACCAGCAACAGGCAGCGAACTAGTAGAGCCGGGTAGAGCTCAAATGCAATACAACATGCAAGGGTCTCATCAAGAGCGACAGAGCAACCCAAGGAAGACCTCATAGCTTGGACGCCTTCATTTGGGTTACGAGCTGGTGTGTTCGTTGCCCGGAAGTTGAGCGTCATCCCTCCCGGATCCGTCCCGCATCCCTCTGCTCCACTCTGACGAGCAACTCATATATTCCAGCGCTCTCGCGACGGCGATCCTCCGCCAGCGATTCAACCGGGGGTTGCCGGGCTTGGCGGCGCCGGAGCCACGCATCATAACATAGGCGCAGAAATTTCGAGAGGATCAAGAAGATGAAGTAGCCGATTAAATTACCGGCCAAGATTGCAGCGTAAAACCCCAAGAGGAAGAAGCGTCGAGCATGATGTCTATTGACCGTTAGCTCGCGCTCGACAAACTGTATTGGTGAGACGATGATGAATCGAGGTATTGCCATTCAACCCGTCGCAATGGAATTTCTTGTAGAAGTAGGCAAGGGGACAGCCAAAGTGCGAGGCTGCAGTAGGACGCGACGAGTGCGAAAGGAGAGTATAGAACTTACTGTCAAGATGTTGCTGTTGAAGCCACGTAAAATTCTGTTTTAATATTAGCATGGTTTCACTGCAAGTAAAACAACAGGGAGTCGGGGGAGACCTACGAGTTGGTTTGGAAGTTGAAGATCCGATACTGCTGAAGAAGAAGGAGAAGGAGAAGAATCCTTAAGTACCACGGCTCTCGCCCATTGGACTTTTGTCCCTTTTTGCTCAAGGTCCATAGCATGTCATTGCGTCCATAATGCTGCGGCGGAAAACACGGCCCATGTTAGTTCTCTCAGAAATTCCCCAGAACGTCTGACCGATAACTCCGATGAAGACACCGTGTGATGAAAACGAAGGGGTAATGCTTGATAAAGTAATCTCTCATTAAGTGGTGTGCTTGTGTTGATCGGTAACTAGCGCCTGAGGAGCAGATGAGCCAGGCCAGGGAAACTTCGGCCCAACACTAACTGCCCCGACTGAAGTTCAATAACCAGTTCAACATGCTTCACTTCCGGATACCTGTAGGCCTTGATGGCACCTTCCTTCATCGCTGCCGTCACGAAATCCTTACGCATCGTCTTGCCAGTCAGTCTGCCCATGACTGCTGCGAAGTTGGACGTGATCAGTTGGTGCGCTCTGTGGTGTTTCTTGACACTTTCTCGGATCGTGTGGCTCTCTGACTCCAGGCAGGTATCAATTTCCGAGAGTGTTCGGCGCATTTGCCTCCTTTCCGTCTTGCTCTCGAGCTCATCGATGATGTTGGCTAGGTTTCTGATGGCGTCCGTCGGCGATGAACTGTTTCGTCATCCTTTCTACTCAGGTTTGCCATCTTGAAGTGGCGCCGTCGTGCTCTTCGCGGCGCACAGGTGCGCCTTGCCGGCCGTCAAGGTATCGGCGTGGAAGACGATGCCTTGCAGCAGCTCTGGTAGGCGACATAACGCCTCTGGAGTGAGATCTCGCACGACGCGGTCGACGCCGAGGGACAGCTCCGACATTTTTCGTTTGCTCCGGGAGATAGGTCAGAAGATGATCGTGTTGTAGCGAGGGAAGACTGCTGAGGATGATCTGGCCTACGACCAGCCACGACCACTCTTTGCTGGGCCCATTGGTGGGTACTTTGGTACTTCTTTTTCAAGACCTCAAAGGCAACCGCCGAGCCCAGACCACTCTGTAAAACAGTTAGCAAGATGCATGTGAGACAGATGGAGGAGGGTCAGACTTACAGCCCCCAGGCGGAAGAAGTTCAGAGAGAGTCATTCCGCACTTTTCTGTTTCCAGATCGAGTTTGCATGTGAGGACTCGAAGTGGTAGGTCTCTTTCGAGACCTCAACGATCACCGAGCTCAGACCGCCAACGACGATCTGGCTCACGGCCAGCCACGACCACTCTGTTCGAGGGACATTCCTAATGAAAGCACTTTTCCATATCGTTTTAATCCGAGAGACGGGCAGGATCGGGTTGCAACGGGGGACATCCCCAATGAAAGACTGCTCCATCTTTGTTTTTCGGTTGATGCCGTGATGGTCGCCTCCTCTGGGCGTTGAGGAATCTTGAATGGTGGATGCTCTGTCGGAGGCTGCGACCGAGTTGCGGAGGGGTCGATCGCTGCTGCCGAAGGTGGACGTTTTGGACGAGTCGCCGAAGGTGGGCATTTTGGACGAATCACCGAAGGAGAAATTGAAGGTGTTGCCGGTGGATCCCGGCTGTTTGGGGGTATTGGTGCCCCGAGTGAACAATGGGATAATCGCGTAATAGGGTATCGGGTTTGATCACTGGAAAGACGCGTCGCCGTGACCGGAATAGGACGTGTAAGAAATTTCTGCACGACCTTCTCACCCGCAATTGAGGCTTTACCGGCGTCTTTCGACGAGACAAAGACGAGGAAAACGAGAGATAACTGGAGTGAGCTCTCGCACGACGCGGTCGACGCCGCGGTGGCCGCCTCCTTTGGGCGTCGAGGCTTCTTGAATGGTGGATGCTCTGCACCGGCGTGGAAGAAGATGCTCTGCAGCGGCTCCGGCAGGCCGGCAGGCATAGCGTCGACATGCATGACTTGCCCGACCCCTACGACCCGCATAGGAACGCTGACCACGGGGAGTTCGTGTTCAGGAAGATGGGCTCCACGCCGTCCGGGTCGTGCGCCGAGGCGCGGTTGGCGACCGTGGCGACCGTGCTGCGCTCTTGTCGAGCAGGGCGAATTGGTCGAAGTGAGCCGAGGATTGCGTGTGGCAGTGGGTGATTATCGTGAAAAGCGTGTAGGTTGGCATTGCGAGCGAGAGGGAGGAAGCCTTAGCGTTGGGTGTTGAGCCTGTCTTGCCGTGCCGTGCATTGCGTGCCTTCCTGTTGCGCGAAAGAGCTGTGAGTCGCTCGTTTCCTGCACCGTGAGGGTGGCCGACCAAGTATCGAATAAAGCTATGATGTCATCCTTCAGATGTCATCCTTCACTCTGGGCCCCACTTTCCCCAAACAGCCTGAGTCCACCGGCAGCATCTTCAATTTCTCCTTCGGCGAGCTCGATCTCCTCAGGCCGACCAAGTACCCAATTAAACCATCATGCCATCCTTCACTCGGAGCACCAATCCCCCCAAACAGAGTTGCGGAGGGGTAGATCGTTGCTGCCGAAGCTGGACATTCTGGACGAGTCGCCGAAGGCGAAATTGAAGACGTCGCCGGTGGACGCTCCGGCTCGCCACGACCGAGTCGCGGAGGGGTTTATTCCCACTCTTCCAGACATTGAGCCTCCAACACCGGATCAAGTACAGCATGGACCGAATAAAACTGGAGAGTTCACTCACTCACGAGAGGTTCGGAGGTTTCCCTCGTTGTTATAACACGATTCTAACCATCTTCCAGCCCGTCTCCCGGAGCAAGCCAAAAAAAAAAAAATGTCGGACAGTTCACTCGTTGGAGATGTCCCACGGCGTCGGCAGCGTCGTGCAAGAGCCCACCCGCTACCTCGATCTCCTCAAGCCGGGCAAGTTCTCACAGAAGGACGGCGACGACACGTCGGTATGCGGCCTGCACATCGAAGAGCTTCTCACAACGTCGCTCTTCTCGTGGTCCGTCAAGCTCGCGCTGGCCGACGACCGCAAGCGCGGCCACACGCTCCCTCGATCTCTCCTCAGGAATGGTCAACACCATGGCGCAGATTGGGCGAGAGCGTCGGCCAGGCCACGGCGGTCGCGGCGGTCGCAATGCGCGCGTGGCGCTCGAGGTACGAGACGGTCGTGGCCGGCGAGGAGTCGCAGGCAGGGAGAGGCGATTTTGTAGGGATACAAGGCCGGGTGGTGGTACTGCTTCACATTACGCGCGGTTGTTATGGTAGTCAGTGCCTGTGCGGGGGCCCGGAAAGGTGGGGGTGAAGCAAGAAGAAAGTCGTCAATTCACAGGGCGGCCCGCGATTATGGATACCCTTGTGTAGGGCGTGTATACGTGGGTCAAACTCCATGAAGAACAGAACCTTCGATTAAACTGCTTTTTGCAACGGCAAGCGAAAGTCGTTCTGGACGCGAAGGATACGTGAGCAATGTCGAGCAGTGAAATCATGAGTAGTAGCGAAACCAGGAGAAGTACTTTATTTCCTCGCCTAGTTATACGAATATCCTAGCTACGGAGCTTCGCTAGAGATAAATTTTGATGAACCCGACCGATCAACTATTGATCACCGAACGGATTTACCGGCAGCGTAATACTTGTGGTTTGACCAGGAGGCGGGAGCTTGTACGCCTGATACGTAAGCTTCCCTTCCTTTATAGATTTACACCAGTCTTTCATATCCATTCTATATTAATTGTTAGCACTCTACCAGACGATTCGCTTAATTTTATATACCTTGGAAAAATTTGTGTTTTTCCGGTTCGATTGAGAGTAACCGTCCGAAATTGCCTGTTTTCTGCCAGCCCTAGCTCTAGCATTGCACAATAGGCATGGACATAGTCTCTATATTATATTAGTACTCTATTAGGCTAGTCACTTTGTTTTATTTACCTTGACATGAGAGTAGGTGCCGAAGTCGGAGGAGGCCCAGGTATGACGGTGCCAGACGCAGGAACGATGTTCACCTCGGTAGCGGTCGGAGTAGACGCAGGAAGGGCAACCGAGAGGGCAGCTAGGAAACCAACAGCCATGAGAAAACTGCTGACTTTCATGGTTGTCGACAGTTGTCGGTGATGTCGGTAGTTGCTGGCGGTGGTGCTGATGGAGGTGGTGCTGATGGCGAGTGTTTGACGATATATATATATCAGCGGCAGATGAGCTAGAAAGTTCTTTCAGCGCAAGACTACTAGCTACCGTAGAAATTAGCAGATACACCCTTGACTACAAGTCCGGTTTGCCTGCAGAAACGTGGTAAGGGTCTGACCTTAACCGCCGATTTCTACGGTAGAGTTTAGTTCAGGGCTCCCAACCGCCACCACCCCATACTGAACCTTAACCCCTCGTCCGCTCCCTTTCGCCCCACGCCATCTATCCACACCGCCCCGGCGGGAAGCATGTCCACGCCGGCTAGCAGGCTCTCCATGGCAGCGATGTTGCATGGATTCTTAGGTAGCACGCGTTTGATGTTGAGCGTTGAATAAGCCCGCAGTGCGCACAGTGCCAGCATCGCGAGGAAGGCTTCGAAGATGGTGTTCTGCTGGAGACGGGGGCGGTTGGGTACTGTCAGCGTCGCGCTGAATGTTGACACCAGAGTTGGGGAAGTGGCGGGCATTGTGTTGAGCATACGCGCGAAGGTGCGGCCGGAGAGCTGGTGGTGGCGGGGGAGATAGGGTGGGTGCTGTGAAACATGGTGGCGAAGAACTTGTTGACCAAGGTATCGTCGATCAATCTGGCGGGGCTGTTGGGAGGGGTTTAGACCAGTCGCTATAGAGCACTTCATTGAGACCTACCATCAAAGTATAGTTACGGACGTCGAGTAGCAAGGGTTGAGACAAGCGGTAAGCGATAGTGAGATGGTCAGCTAACGTTATGAGACCAGTTGAGCGGTACCGAAAGAGCAACTATCGAATCCACATTGAATAATACATAGCGTCGTTAAACGGAAATTGATGAAAAGCAGCCAGTGGTGAGCAAATGCTAAAGCGTAACGGAAGATGAGCAGCCGATGATGCACCGCCAAATTCAAGTCGAAAGCGTTGACTGATCAGTGCGGAATGTCGGAAAACAAATAGCTTGTGTCAGGAAGCCGAAAAGCACACACTTCCAGCGACAGGCGATCTGCAGTGAAGTAGCCGCAACGAGAGACCGGCGACTATGAGCCTTTAGGATGTAGCAAATGATGCGCTGGGCTTGCTGCTTGACAGTTTGGTGGAGATGATCCAGGGAAGAAAAGAAAGAGAGGTAACCTTTGCCGAGAGGTCTCAGCTGGACACGGGACACAGGCCGGTGGTAGAAGAACCCAAGGAAACTCTCAGAGCTTGTATACTTTCATTGGGATTCTTCAGTGGTGTCTTTCTCATGAGGTTGGGCATCGCCAGTTCCAGCTGAATTCGCTTCCTGATTCAGGCCCGCCTGCTCTCGCTCCGCTCGGACGGGTTGCTCAAGTTGCCGAGCCTTCTCAAGGAGAGTGCGGAAATCACGAATAGCCTCCTTGGATTGCTGGGGTTGGCGGCGTTGGATCCACCGCATAAAAATCAAGTAGCCGAGGCAGTACGTAGCAACTTGTACGAAGAAATAGCCGACGGTAACCATCTATATCAGGATTGGCTTTTGTTCGATAAACTGGCTTGGTATGACGAATCGGATTGTATTCAAGTGCAGAGACGGCAGCGGTAGGATTCCTGTGACCACAAAAACATGCTATCCAGCCACTCCTAATGCAATCTCGGTGACTTGGCAAAAGATACACATGTGTGATTGTGCTGGGCAGAAAGGGGACAGCGAGAATGTAAGGTGAGTGCATAAAGAAAATGTGGGAACCGACATTTGAAATGCACATGAAATTCTACTGGAATGTTAGCAAGTTGAAGTGAGGGAGCTGGGGGTGCCCTACATGATGATCACATAGGCCGAAGAAGAAAAGAGGATAAGAAGTGCCAGACGAACGAAGGCAAATCCTTGCGGCTCTCGGCCGTTGCTCAGGACTTTGGGTACAGGGTCTGCAGCGCACGTCATTGCGCCAGCAAAGTTGCAGCGACGAACAGTGCCTCGTTCAACACCTTCAATAATTCCACATGAGCCCCGCAATGGCTCGCCGAGCATCGGATAAGCAGCATGGAAATGCAGTGCAATAGAGGTCGGCGAATCAGTCTGGTGGGCAGCCTGCGTTGAAGAGGAAGAGCGTGCCAAGCTTGATCTGTGCGTTGTGGTTGTGAATGGCCGATGGTTGAACCGCTTTAGGAGAACAGCAAGTCAAAGTGAACCAGTGGCAAGGCAGGATTGATCAGGTTAGCAGTCAAGACTCGGGCACGTGAGTGCGGATGGCAGGTCTGGCGATTTGCGTCGCTGGAGGGTGGGCGCGATCTTCGCGTAAGGGGTGGCAGGCGTTTTGAGGACGGCGTCGCGTTCTGCATGGTGCTGTGGGGACACGTATGTGTATGATGGAGTCGAGTATTCGTCGTGAGGTTGGGACATTGTGGTCGTGTAGAAATCGAGGGTTGTAGGCGCCGAAGGCGGCTACGTATTCTTTTTTGCGTGGAGTGCGGCCAGCTTGTCCTTACAGAGGGGTGCTGCAGCCGATGGCAAGCACGATCAATTAGCAAGGTTCCAGAAAATTGAGAAAGATGGATGATCGGACTTACGGGCAGGAGAGGACAGGACAACCAGCGATATCTCGGATTTCATCGGCTAGGGATTATCAGGGCCTGGGGATCATTTCGGGCCCGTGATCGACCGTGCTCACCAAGTTCTCACTTCATCCAAGGTGCTGGGAGAGACCACCGCGGAATCCCGCCAGTCGACGTCCGATCCCGACTTGCAGCCCTGCTGAGCCTGAGAATAGGCAGCAGCCCGCATCAGTAGATTCCCTGGAACTTCAGAAGTGGTTAGGGTGCCAAGGGAATAGCAGTAGCGGGCGGTGAAGTGCTTCTCATCGTCATTGCTGGTGCCATACTCCAGCTTGCAAGTCGATGGAATGCGTTCGATGATATGAGACAAGAGGTCGGTCCAACCCTCGAGGCTTTCAAGCTCCTCAGGCTCATCCACCGCGGCGATGCGCAAGCGGCGCAGGCGGACCATGGCTTGGAAGGGGCGGAAGTCGATGTAATCGTCGTCGGCGAGCTGAGGCGGGTCGCTGACGTCGAGCACGATGAAGAGGTGACGGAGGTTGGCTAGTGCTGGAGGCGGTAGTTGGCTGGAGCCGATGATGGGATAACCGATACGGTTGGCCTACAGCATTGACGATGTTGGCTTTGAGCTTCTCCCGGCTTGGACGAAGACTTACATTGGCATGGACAAAGACGGTGTTCTCGTACAGAACCTCTAGAGCTTCGGCGTGGACCTGCTGGCAGGTGCGCAGCAGTGGCAAGACAAGGCCTGGCTTGACGCGGTCTTTCTGGTACGAGTAGTATATCCGGATGGCCTTGTCAGGTGCGGTCAATGCGTGCTCGTAGATGCGGAGGCGGAGTTCGGCGGGGAGGTCGAGAAGGCGGGAGGACTTGGAAGCGCCAGACAGGAATTCATTCATGGCGTTGTGGTATCATGGCGTGCTTGCGGAGAAGAGTATTCTTGAGAGAAGGTTGTTGTGCCTTCCTCGTTGGTGTTGGTGCCTGGGAGAAGCGCGGGGTAGCCGACGCCAGTCGTGGCGGGGCAGGCTCGCGCGTCATCGCCGTCATCGTCAACGCCGAGCACTTCGATAACATCTCCGCCACGCTGGATTGGCATGCTGCGTCACCCATCAATGATGACGATGACAACACACACCCGCCCTCCTCCCACGACAACACAGCCACCTACTTCTGGCACCACATCCACGCCCTCTCGCTCGCCCTCAACCTCCCCAGCGCCGTTGTCGCCCTCTGCACCCGCCGCTTCGCCCAGCACAAGCCCCCCACTCATACCGGCTGGGATATTTGGAGATAGGTGGAAGGCGGAGAGGGTGGAAGGCGCCTGAAGAGCCGTTGCATCGTGTGAGTCTATGCGAGAAAACGAAGCGCTGCTTGGGCAGGGTGACCAAACAGCGGCGGCCATTCCATCGGAAAGGTAGTCCCCAGCGGCACTCTAGAGTTTTTTTGTACCTGTCCAATCCTTACTCCCAAGCCCCGAACTTCTACGCCAGGCGAAGATGACGTGACCGTCCACACCTCTGCCAAGACCGTGCACATGCGTACGCACATACCCCTTGATGGTGGAATGAAGCTCGTCCCGCCGAGTCAAGGCATTCTCAGCGAGTGGAGGCACTTGGGAGATGAGCAAGGCATGGGATGTTGTCACTGTGTTGCACGGGTTGGTCTTGAGTTGCTGTGCAGCTTTGTATTTGTTGTGCTCTGATGTGTGATGCGCACTTGGAGGTACATACATACATCTCGGTGAAGAGCTGAGCGGAACTATTCTACAGGTGATTGATGCTATAGTACAGTACATTTGGGAAGAGACAAGAGTACAAGACGAAATCAGAATGGAAAAGCAGAGTACAAGACGTAGTCAGAATGAAATAAACAATTCCCAGCAATGCAACCGTGAGCCACAATGACAGACATCTGTCAGTCGAGAAGGGAGCGTAGTGAAGAACAATGGTGATGTTCAGATGTCCTGAGACCGTTCAAGGCCATCGAGGAGCGACGTGTGCCTTCAAGTCGAAGAAGAAGCGTAACAGAGGGCGACAGTGGTGTTGAGAAACCTCAGAGACCGCTTCGTGCGACAGAGAAGTGAGGGGACCGCTGTGGTCGAGGAGCGCGAAGTGAAGCCGCGTAGTAGAGCTGCCAGTGGAATGCAAACCGGTCCGAGGCGAGAGGGGCCAGGGCCTGGGTCAGGAAACAGTCGGCGATGGTGAGCCAGAGTGAACCGGCAGGTCCGTTCAATGGTCCTTCTTTGATACCACGTTGTGTAGAGAGAGAGCTTGTCCTTTGTTGCAGAAGAGCAGAAGTCAAGTCAAGCTGGCAGGCCGTTGATCGTGCATGTCCTTGATGGGGAGCAGCCATTGAAGAGTAGCCGATGATGGACAGCCGATGATGGACAGCCGATGATGGACAGCCGATGATGGATAGCCGACACTGAGAAGCCACCGAAGAGCAACGGACGATGAGCAGCCGATGATGTGCAACCAGAGTCAAGCGGCCAGTGGTGAGCAATGAGTAGTGAGTGACCAGTGTTGAAGGACCAAGTGCCAACGGCTGGTGTCAAGATTCCACGGTCGGCGATGGGAGCCTGCAGTGACAAGCAAGCGGCAATGAGCCAGTGATGTGCCAGTATGAGGTAGCCGACGATGGGCTCCGGGCATCAAGTAAGCGGCATGGAGTTGCAGTGCAGTTGCGGTCAGTGAATGAGTCCGGCGAGCAACCTTCGTTGAAGGGGAAGGGTTTGACATGTCCGCTTGGCGTGGAAGTCTCGAGAACGGGCCATCCGTTGGATGCTGTCCAGTTGCCTCTGGCCATGATGGAAGGTCCCAGCTTGATTCGTTGAGATGGCATGCAGCCTGGAGTCCCCGGTGCCGTCTGGAATGGGTAGAGCTTGACCAGCCAGCCGATGATGTTCACAGAGTGCGAGCCAGCGAGTGAGGGCATGGTTCATTGCCGGTGACATGGCCTTGACGAAGGGTATCTTCATGGAAGTGGCATGGCCTTGGAAGAGGGTATCTTCATGCTGCGTGATGCTGCGTGGTGGAATGGCCTTGGCGAAGGATGCCTTCATCGAAGTGATGCTGCCTGATGACATGGTGGCATGGCCTTGGCGAAGGGTATCTTCATGGAAGTGATGCTGCGTGGTGGCAGGGCCTTGGCGAAGGGTACCTCCTCGTGCTGGCATCTTGTTGCGCGAGTTGCCTTCCTTGGCGTACCATCAACCGTTGTGTCCACTGGAGCCGTGCTGATCGACAGCCTTGAAGTGAGGTGCGTTCCATGCTTCTGTACAGGAGGTTGGTACGGTGGACAATGAGGTTCATCGGCGGTTGGGAAGAGGCGATGAGGTAGGTGCTCTGCAGGCTTGATGTGTCGCAGTGGTCGTCGAGTTGTGGATGGGATGACCGGAGGACCAATCGGGTTGTGTTGAGCCACTTCGTGAAGTCTCTCGCTCCTATGGGAAGCAGTTGTCAGCGGATAGGTAGACCCTCTCGGAAGTTGAAGAAGGACTTACCCAAGGTTTCTTCGAATGGCACTTCAATGCGTCCCAGCAGACAGAGAAACAGGAACAGAACGCCCAAATCGCCAAGAACGGATGAGAAAAGGGTATACAGCGAGTACAAACGAACAACAACCAAACAAAGGAAAACAGGAGGTTCAAGACACCCCCTGATACCGACCGTGCTTGTTGAGACCTCAAAATTCCCTCTAATACTGAATGATACAGTATCGGAGGAAATTTGGAAGTCCCGCCAAGAACGATCAGTACCAGAGGGTGTTTTGAGGTGCAAAACGAAGGAAAACAGGAAGGAATTGCGAACAAAACAGAAAACAAAAACACACCAGTCAGTATTAGAGGGAATTTTGAGGTTTTTTTTTTTTCAAATTTTTTTTTGCTTTTTTTTTTGGGGCGGGGGGGGAGCGGGACTGACCGTGTGGGTCACTCAGACCGTCATGGCGCTTGCCAGTGGAGGTACTTGACATCAGCTCACCCCTTGGACGGGGATCCTCGCATCAGTCGTTCCCTCAAGTCATCAGCTCACCGCCTTGGACGGGGGATCCTTGCATCAGACTCGGCGTTGACGGCGGTGCCCTACCGTGGAGAGCTCCGAACAGTGAGGCTTGACTTGACTGACGGACTCTCCGCGCCGGTAGGGTCCTACGCGTCACGCTCGACGTCAGTTTCCCGACGCCGAAGCGCCGCCCACTTCTGCTGGGCCCAGCGGGCCCCTCCGCGGCACGCCCAACGAAGGGCGTCTGCCGCCACCGCCGAGCCCAGACCGCCGATGACGATCTGGCCCACGGCCAGCCAAGACCACTCTGTAAAACAGTTAGCAAGATGCAAGTGAGCGAGATGGAAGGTCAGACTTACCCCCCCCGGGGAGGAACGAGTTGACGTTGGGAACCTCCATTTCTGTTACCATATCGAGTTAGCGCAGTTCCCGAATCGGAAGGACATGTGACGGCGGAGCGGTGGGCTGGGACGTGGGTGACGGCGGAGTGACGGTGGACTGGGAACGGGTGACGGCGGAGCGGTGGGATGGGACGTGGGTGACGGCGGAGCGGTGGTGGACGGGGACATGAGTGCAGGCTGAGCGGATCGAAGGACGAGGGCGGGATTCGTGAAGAGGATGCTGGTTGCGGACGAGGGACAAGGTGGATGCGTGGGCAGTAGGCGTACGTACTTTGTAAAAATGGTGTGAAGAAGAAAAGAAGAGAACTGGGAGACGAGGGCGACAGATATACCCGCGCGGCGCCAGGGTGCGGCTTCCCTCTACGAACGCTGCGCACGTCATCCCCCCCAGAGTAGAAGCCGCAACACCGCCCGCTCGCCGCGCTGCGCCCGGTCAGCTCATCGAGAGTAGGAGCCATAGCACCGCGGGGAAGCCACAGCACCGCGAGGAAGCTGCATCCCCGCGAGCGCGCCGCAACTCCGCGGGCACGCCGCGGTAGGTGCGGCCAGTCGGGCATATACGCCATCTCCAAGTCGGGATCCTGCATGCCATTGGCTTGGGCAGTCACAGGACATGCACCGGATTTCTGTGGTGGATGGCGGACGAAGTGTCTTTATGTATCGAAGAATATCAGGGGCTTGGGACTCCGCCGCAACACCATGAGCACGCCGCGATAGGTGTGCCCAATTGGGTATATACACCATCTCTAAGTTGAGATCCTTCATGTCGTTGGCTTGGATGCTCAAACTACATGCACTGGATTTCTGAGGTTGACGACGGACGAAGTGTCTTTATGTACAGAAGAACACCAGAGACTTGGAACAGAGATAGTTTTCACAATGTTCGCGGGCACTTATTTGACTTGTGTGGGGAGTTGGAGCTATCGTCCGGACGGTTTTGTATAATTATTAATTCGACATTTGCGTCCGGACATTCGCTTCAAGTGCCCATGGGGTGAGCAAAAAAATCAACCAAGGTTGCGCGCTATTCTACTCCAACCCCTTTCCCTCCGCCACCAACTTGACCCCCTCCTCCTTCAACTTGAACTTCTGAATCTTCCCGCTCGCCGTCTTGGGGAGGCCATCCGTCCAAAACACGTACTTGGGGACGAGGTGATGGCTGAGCAGCTGCCTGACCCAGTCCCGGATCCCGTCCGCGTCCACGCTCCCCTCCATGCCTTCGTGTACGATGACGAAAGCGGCAACGACCTCGCCGTAGCGCTCGTCCGGCAGGCCGACGACAGAGACCTCGAAGACGGCCGGGTGGGCGAGCAGGCAGTTTTCGACTTCGAGCGGGTGGATGTTCTCGCCGCCCTTGATGATGAGGTCTTTGATGCGGCCGGTGATAGAGACGTAGCCGTCGGCATCAATGCTGGCTTCGTCGCCCGTCTGTTCTCGCGGCGCTCGGTCGTCAGCATGATGAGAAACCAAGGGCAGGGTAGGAAGGGGGACGGAAGACTCACGTGCATCCACATATTCCCCACCTCATCCGGCACCAACACCTCCGCCGTCTTCTCCGCGTCGCCCCAATACCCCTTCATCGTCAAGTACCCGCTCACAACCAACTCGCCTCTCTCGCCCACACCCAGCACCTTCGTCCGATCCGTCGGGCACACGACCTTGGCTGTGACGTGCGGCAGCAAGCGGCCGACCGTCTCAATGCGCTTCTGCAGCGGGTCGTCGGTCGTCGTCATCGCGCTGACAGGGCTGGTTTCTGTCATGCCGTAGCAGATGGTGAGCTCGGTCAGATTGAGCACGCGGTGCAGCTTCCGCATCAGTTCCGCCGGGATGGAGCTTCCGGCCGCGATGCCCGTGCGGAGCTGCGAGAGACCTGTTGCTGGCACGGCGCCCGAAGCGAGCAGCTCAAGCTCGGCGAGGAACATGGTAGGCACGCCGTAGAGCGCGGTGGCGCCATATTGCTGCACTGCGCGCAGCGCGGCTTCCGCGTTGAAGGACTCGGTGGGGAAGACGATGGTTGAGCCGTGGGTGGCAGTTGCCATGTAGCCGAGAATGCAGCCGAAGCAGCTGCAGCCAGTGTTAGAGAACGGGGCGCTGAGGGAAGAGAGGGGTGGTGGCGGTGGTGGCTCACTGGAAGAGGGGAGGTGGACAGCAAACAATGTCTTCTGGCGTTAAAAGCATCCTGTCTCCTATGCTGTTGCCGTTGTTCAGAATCGACCGGTGTGTCAAACATGCTGCTTTTGGCATAGAGGTCGTGCCTGAGGTGAATTGAATATTTATGATGTCATTGGGATGGAGCATTTGATCGGGAAGAGGTAGCTGGGCTTCAATTCCTCGGGGTGCAACATCTTCAAATTTGGTCAAACAGGGGAATTCATCAGGATCAACTCGACCGTCGGAGTTGTCCACAATTACAACTCCCTTCAAAGAGGGGACGAGCTCTGACTCGATCCCTGAGTTGCCCCGAAGGTTGGGCAGCAGGTGAGTTAAAAGCGGAACATTGGATCGTGGCTCCTTGCGGGGAAGATTCGTCTCGGTGCCGATGATCAAGTGCGATGCCTCGAGATGGGAGAGCGCGGATACGACCTGGGCAGCATTGAAGGCTGGATTTAGAGGGACGAGGATACCGCCGAGCTTGAAGAGTGCATAGGTCACCTGAATTTCTGGTCAGTCAATGCCAGATTAACAGTGAGGGAGAAGATGTACAGTTGCATATTCAATGTTGTTGCCCAAAGACACGGCGATACGGTCACCTTTCTTCACCCCAAGATTTTGCAACCCTCGGGCAAGGGCATTGCTTGCTCGATCCAATTCATCGTACGTGAGGTCGGTTTGCTGATGGTGGGAGATGACCCTAAGGCAACCAGCTCAGCAACTGCGTTTCCAAGAATGACGGGTGGAAACCCCTTACGCTTTTCGATCACCATGCTCCGCTACGATCGACGAAAAATGCTCGCCCACCGTTTGTTCCAGCAGTGGCGGCTACACACGCGGCCTTGGCATTAGCTACAATTTGCTTGAATAATGGGCAAGGAAAGTACAGCTTCAGTACCTCAGTAGGGCCTATTGCAAAAGCTTGGGTCAAGAGACCGCGGCGACCGATGGGTAGCAGCGGCGATGACGTCGAGGCCAAGCAGCTTGGTTTCCCGCGTCGAGGCGGGCGGATACCGGTGGCGGCTGCAAGGGGTGAAGAGAGACAGGCTGACGTTCCGAGAGATCTTGTCGCGATGACAGCGCTAGGGGACCAGCGGCGCACCAATGCGGACCGACGCAGCAGCATATTCGCGGGGGAGGAGCTCGAGCGGGAGGCGGCATGGGTGGTCGACGGGCGCTGGGCCCTGAGAAACAGCGGTGCGGCGGCGGCGGCGCGGGAGGGGGTGCGGCGAGCTGCGGCCTCGGGTAACACGAGCAGAAGCAGGGCGCATTGGTGCGGAGCGGATATCAGCGGCGGGCGTCTCAGGAGAAAGTGTGGATCGAATTGGGCGCAAAAGGCGGGCTGGTGGTCAGGATGCGGGGTTCCGGCGATGGGGGCGCGGGGTTGGCTCGCTTGCTTCTGCGTGCCTGCTAACCACTTGCCTGATTCGGCACTCCGCTCAGCCCTCCAGGCTTATACCACGACGAGCAGCACCGAAGCTTGCTGATCTAATCCCAGAAGTCCCCATTTGTTGAGGCCCTAGGATCGATCTCGCATGCCAGATCTGTACACCATCCAGAGTTGCACTGCCGCGGTTCCCCGGCCAATTCAACCGCGCTAGTGTAGCATCTGCGACGTGTGATGGGACGGCAGAAGAGGAAAATAAAGAAAGCAACGCGACCATGCAGTACAATGCCTGCGGAGGGCTAAAGTACGTCCGAAAAGAACCATATCGGATACAGCGCGACCAATAAAATATTTTTCCCGCCATTTGCAGCCGAGTTACGATGCTCGGGGTGTTCAGCGATGGCGAAAATCAAATGAGAGACGTCTTTCTCCCGCTGGATTGATACCAAGTAGTAACCCCTGTTCATCCTCATCGCCGAAATACCCATGGGCATCGGCGTTAGCGGGGATTTATGCTCGGCGGCTTCTGTGTTGTAATTGTGGACTTTGTCTCAAAAGTCCGTTCATATGACCATGCACGTAAGACCCACGGCGGAATATCGGCAAGGAAGTAGGTACCAGGGTTCTGCACCGGTGAGGATGTGCAGTGATTTACGTGTCCATGTCACAACGCAGAATTCAAGACGCGTGAAACGAGAGCATCCGGGCGAGACGTTCGACTACCTCGACCATCAGACGAGCGAACATCCATCCGGGTCCCGTCGTGACTGCTTCCGTTTGGAGGCTACTCAGCTTCAACGCTGGTTCAAGCGGTCAGCCATGCAGAAATAAGCCAGAACGCCGCGCATTCATTCATCGTATCTGATCCTCATCCTTGCTCTCACATCTACCAACTGCAATACTAACCCGAGCAAAGGAGGGTACTACGGCCTAAGAGTAGTTTAAGTACACTGTACAGCGTCTGCCGTAAACAAACAAGGAAACAAAAAAAAAAACAGAGTATTTAATGCTGTACCCAATGTACGTGATGATTCCAAAAGGTATCAAGCCGCCCAAACCCTCCCATAAAACACCATTGAGTACAGAGATCGCTCGTAAGTCGTCGTAGGCATTGCGATGCTGCCTCTGTTCTTAAAAACGGATTTGAATTTGGTCCGCGCAGTCTGCTGCTTGGTCATTTTCTTTTTTGTTTTCTCTTCATTTTGATTCATGCGTCATTCAACTCCTCAGAAATCTTTGAACATCTCGTCGTACTTCTTGGCCATGTCTTCCGTGTACGGTGCACGGCCTTCGGGCTCCGGGTCATACTCATCAAAGTTCCGCGTATCGGCAGGCCCGCGCAGATGTGGTACAATCGGTCCCTGCACCTTGCGGTGGTACAATGCATCCCAGTCAATATGCCGGAACCAGGGGTGTGCTTTCACTGCTGCAGCACCGCCCTTGAGGTTACCAAGTCGTTTGGACGTATCGACGGTGCATAGCTTGCTGATCAGGTCTCGTGCGTCGGGAGACATGGCTGATGGGAAGCGGACTCTGCCCTCAACAATTCTGCGAGGCGAAAAGTCAGCGCGACATAAACTTGAGGCGACGCGGAACTCTGAGAATCATACTGCTCATAAATCTTCATCGGGTTTTGGTCCCAGAAAGGAGGCTGGCCAACGAGGAATTCGTAGACCAAAATTCCAAAAGCCCACCAGTCAACGGCGCAGCCATGGCCTAGTCTTCAATCAGCCACCCGTCAAAAAGAGCATCGACAACAAGACTTTACCCGTATTTCTGATCACTTCGGGTGCCAGGTATTCAGGCGTACCACATAATGTGTACGTTTCCCCTTCAGCCCGGTTAGCACGACTCACAGAGGAAGCGGCAATGGTGACTGACTGTTGTCGACTTTCTTTGCGAAGCCGAAGTCAACCAGCTTGAGGTGGCCCTCTGCGTCTATGAGAATGTTCTCAGGCTTCAGGTCTCGGTAAGCAACTCCTTCCTTTTCGTGGAGGAACTCGAGAATTAGCACAATTTCGGCAGCGTAAAATTGCGAAGTCGGCTCGTTGAAGCGACGTGCTCGGCGCAAGTAGCTGAAGACCTCACCGCCGGGGCAGTAATCGAGCTGGGAGGAAAGCACGGTCAGCAGGAGCGGGCATGCGGACGGGCATCGGCGCACTGACAAGCATGTAGAGAGAATCGTGGTCCTGGAAGCTCGCAACCATGGTGGTGATGAAGGGATGGCCGGCAACGGCGGCCAAGACGTTGCGCTCGTTGCGCACATGCTCGACTTGCTTGAGGCGGATCACTAGCGCATGGTGTCAGGCGCAACGGCATCGGGGAGCGGGGCGCAGCAGGAAGGCATACCGTCGACCTTGCGGAGGATCTTCAGCGCAAAGACCTTGTCCGCGTCGCCTTGCCGAGAATTGGACAGGCGCGCAAGCCAGACTCTCGCAAACGTCCCTAACAAGGCACAGGCTTAGCAGGCGTGTACGCCGCGCGGAGAGCAGGCTTTGCGCATACCGGTGCCCAGAGTCTTTATGAGCTCAAAGTCTTCGCAGCGCAGGTGGCGCGAAGAGTGGCCGACGCGCTTCTTGGCCGGGTCCTGGGCGACGACATCGGGCTCGAGCGTCTGCTTTTCGGCCTCCCAGGCGGCGAGGTGGTTCTTTTCCTGCTCGCGCTGCGCCATCTGCTGCGAGTAGTGGTGGTGTGGGTCGTCGTTGTGCGAGCTGCGCATGCTGTGCGGGACGAGGTGGTGCATCGCGGCTGCGGCCATGGCCGATGCGCTTGGGGCGACGAAGGCTCTGCGGGCGGAGACGGGCGCTGATGGATCTCGTGGTGCGAGGGAGGCTCAGCACATCGCGCGTGCTAGGCCGGCGCAGTGGAGCGGCGGGGCGAGGTAAAGGTGCCTGGGGCAGCTGAATAGGTGATGCAAAGCGGCGGTCGCGATTGTGTTTTGATAGAGGGGCCTGAGCCGGCGCGAATCTCACAGCAATGACGCTTCACGCTTCATCTGACAGCCGCTGACAAGGCCCCGGTCCCGCCCACCGCCCCATCCACTCCGACGCCGCCCAATGCGCCCCAATTCCACCGGCTTCCAGGCAGAGAGCCTCCAGCACGCTCGCCGGCTCTGGGACCGCAGGCACGCACGCTCAAGCCGCACCAGCCGCTCGACCCTGCCGGCGCCTGCAGCGTGGGGGCCCAGCGGAAACGCCGTGCAGGAATGACGCACGTGCGGGCCGCCTTGGAGACGCCGTGCCGGCCGCGGCCGTGCTCAGGGCGAACAGACGCCTGCACCTGAACACACCGGGCGACGAGCTCCACCGCGCCCTCGAGCTGAGGTTGCCGCGAGTCGGCTTGTTCCAGAGCTTAATCCGTCGGCGCCGCAGGACCCGACCGTCACCCGCTGCCGAGTCGCCGAAAGCCATGTGCCTTCGAAATCTCTCCATTTGCACGACTTGGCTACGGGCACTGACCCCATGACGAATTTCGGCTGCCTCTGCCGTCGCACTGCTGTCTTATCTGTCGTGTGAACCAAGAACTCCCTTTATTTCCCTTCATACAATACATTCGCCATGGCGTGACACAAGCATATACATATACACACCGATGCCATGGGTAGTTGAAGCTATCGTCCGGACGTGAATGTATAATTATTAATTCCACATTTGCATCCGGATGATAGCTTCAATGACCCATGTTTGTTCATTTTCCTCTTTAAGACAAGCAAAAACCACAGACCAGTATCAGAGGCGGTATTGTTAGTGTTTTTTTGAGCCATCCATATCCCATCAGAACAGCCACTTAACCCCTGCTGTGAGTGTTGAGGATCAGGCCGACGATAAGGCTGCCAACCGTTAGTTAGCTAGCTGTTGCCCGTTGGTCTCGAAGCTCGGTGCATACATACCCATAGAGACCCAGGACTTCGCCGAAAATGAGAATCAACACCATGCCAACGAAGATCCTCGACTGTTGCATGTACGAGCGGACGCCCTGATGAAGTCAGCACCGCACGCCCCAAGTGTTCTGTGACTGCCTCCAAACGCACCATGTCTCCCACTTTGCCAATCGCGTATCCGGCGGCAGTGCCCGTCAGGCCGACTGATAGGCCACATGCAAGGTGCATGAAGCCGCTGAACAAGCTGTAGTTCTGCCCCGGCGGTGGGCCCATGTCGCCGGCGATGAGCACGGCAATGACGAGTGCGTAGACGGCGATGATACCCGACATGACGACCGGGATGAGCGACTGCCATCGGTTAGCTCGCCTGTGTCCGCGGCAGCGCTGGTGCAGTGCTTGCCTTCATGATCAGGTCCGGCCTGAAGGTGCCCACACCGGAAATGCCGATGCCAGACTTGGCCGTGCCGTATGCAGCTCCGACGCCTGTGCGGTTGTCAGTAGGTGTTGCGGTGCGCTTGTAGTGGCAGTGGTGGCTGCATCGAGCCTGCGGGCGACGTACATCCGAAGATCATCTTGACGGCGGGTCAGTGAGAGGTTAGCAGGCCGGTGCGATGGAAATGGAGCTTACCGCGAAGGCAATCCCGCCCTGGACAGTGTTAGCTTGGGCTCTGTGCTGCTGCGACATGTGTAAGAGAGACGTACCATGCCGAAGAAGGGCGCGAACTTGGGCGTCAGGTCGGACTCCATGGCGGTGCAGGCGGCGGTGCAGCGGGCTGGACGATGAAGAGGGTGGCGGCGTGAATGCGGTGGTGGTGGTGTTGATGGGCGAGGGCTGGGGTGTGAGCTGCGCTCGTCGGCGGCGGAACCTAAGGTTGACCTTGACGCTTTGGCGGCACTCACGCGGCCTTAGCCCTGGAGCGTTCTTCGCGCGACAACCCCAGGCCCTCTACCTCTAGTCCCTCAACCCAGCCCAAGGCCGACGGATCTAGCGACTTTCCCTCTGCCTCTACTCGCCCCGCTCATTGCTATCCGCCGCGCCCGCCAGCTCCTCGGCCTCGCCCCTGCGCACCTCGACCCCCCTCGGCCGTTAGACGACAGATATCGTGCCCCAGCCGCGACCACGCCCGCTCTCCCGGCCGCCTCCCCAGGAGCACCAGCACCGTCCCAGCAGACAAGTCCGACCTCTCCCCACCCCACCCAGAGTGCTGCTGCCGAACGCTCGCTGAACCTCTGCCCCCATCCACAGAGCCCCGAGCGCGTCCTGTCGATCGCTGCAGGGTCATCCAAGCCAACGCCGCCCCGTCCACTCCTGCCTCTCGCATCCCTCACTCCCACCCAGGGCCACGCAACCACACCCACACGCTGAGGAGCGGGCTGCCGCGCTGCTCCTCGCACATCGCCGTGCTGGCTAGCTCTACATGGCAGACTACAGCGCTCAGCAGGGGAGGGACTACGGCCGTCCTGCCGGTTACGGCCACGGAGGTCGCGATGCCGCCTTCAACGACATCTTCGGCGCCCGCCCGCAGGACGGTCGCTCGCAGACAATGACATCGCAATCCTTCCAGCGCCCGCCCGACCGCGCCGCCACCATGTCGGGTCAAGTTTCGGACATGATGCAGCGCATGCCGCCCATGCGGCCCGGGGCTAACGGCTACGGCCAACCCCAGCCCAACGGCTACATGCCGCCGCCAAGAGGCCCTCCGAACGGCCCAGCTCCTCCACGAGGCCAGCCTCAAGGCCAATACCTGCCGCAGCCGATCCGTCCCGACCGCCGCCCGTACGACATGCCCCAGCGCATGGACCCGCGCGGCATGCCGCCACCCCAAGGCTACGGCAACAAGCCCCTCCCTCAAAGATTCCCTGGCGGTGCTCCCGGCCCCGCGCTGAATTCCGACGCCTATCGCTCGCAATCGCTTGCCTCCGCACCGCGCCCGCAAATGTACCCCCCTGGCTACAACATGAACCCCGCCCATACCTTCCGCCAGGCTCCCTACGCGAACCAGGCCAGGATGACCGCTTCCGGACGCGTGGTTCCCGAGCGCTCTGACGAGAGAACCATGTCCCTTTCGTCCTTCAACCGTGACCACGAATACACCCAGACCATGAGCGGGCGCGTCATACCGAACCGTCCGAAGCAGGAGCCCAACGGTGTGCCCATGGACCGCCCCGCGGCCGGTGGCCCCCCAGTACAGCCTTTTGTCCCCCAGCCGGGCACCAAGACGAGAAGTCCGAGTCAAGGGAGCTTCAGCACGCAAAGGACCATGTCCATGGCCTCGACCATCTGCCCACCGTCTGAAGCTGGTGAAAACGCGCTGAAGCCAACCAAGTCGGGCTCGGGCCGCCAGGGACAGCCGGGAGCCCCGCGAGAGCGGCCATTGGTCTACCCGGCACTGTTGTCCAGGGTCGCTGAGGTTTTCCGGGAAAGGGTGGTGCTGGGCGAGAAGGATAAGGATGGTCTGGTCTACCAAAGCGCTTTCACCGGTGCTGAAGCGGTCGAGCTCATAGCATACATCATCAGAACATCGGACAGAAATCTTGCGCTTCTTTTGGGCCGGTCTCTGGATGCGCAAAAGTTCTTTCACGAAGTCACGTATGCTCACAGATTACGCGATTCGCAAGCTGAGGTCTACCAATTCCGCGAAACCCTGATGGAGGACTCGACCGAGGTCAACGGCGTTTTCACCCTGCTTACCGAATGTTACTCTCCGACTTGCACACGTGATAAGCTGTGCTACTCTATTGCTTGCCCCAGGAGGCTGGAACAGCAGGCACGGTTGAACTTGAAGCCTCAGCCGGGTCTCAAGAAGCAGGAATCGAAGGCCAGTCTTCACGATGACGATGACGGCGAAGAGAAGAAGCTCTGGATCATGACCGTGTCCAAGGAAATTGCCGACAGTATCACCGACAAGGAGAAGAAGCGCCAGGAGGTCCTTTCCGAACTGATGTACACCGAGCGAGATTTCGTGAAGGATCTAGAGTATCTTCGCGACTTCTGGATGAAGCCATTGCGGAACCCCCAAACGTCCCCGATTCCGGAACACCGACGCGAAAAGTTCATCCGCACCGTCTTCTCCAACTGCCAGGAGGTTTACAAGGTTAATGCTCGACTTGCGGAAGCTCTGACGCGCCGACAGCAAGTGGAACCCGTCGTTCACAATGTTGGAGATATTTTCCTGGAGTACGTGCCGCATTTCGGGCCGTTTATCAAGTACGGTGCCAATCAGCTTTTCGGCAAGTATGAGTTCGAGCACGAGAAAAAGACGAACCCGGCATTCGCAAGATTCGTAGAAGAGGTTGAGAGGATGAAGGAATCCAGGAAGCTGGAGTTGAACGGTTACCTCACCAAGCCGACGACGAGATTGGCGCGTTATCCGCTTTTGCTTGAGAACGTGTTGAAGTACACGGCAGACGACAACCCAGACAAGACCGACATCCCCAAGGCCATTGCAATCATCAAGGACACCCTCTCGAAGGTCAACGTCGAATCAGGAAAGGCGGAGAACCACTTCAACTTGGTGCAGCTGAACAGGGACTTGAAATTCCGTCCCGGTGAATATGTGGATTTGAAGCTGACCGAGGAAAACCGCCAACTGATCTTCAAGGGCTCATTGAAGAAGACACCGACTGATAACACCAGCGACATCCAGGCTTACCTCTTCGATCACGCGGTTCTGCTTGTCAGGATAAAGACGGTCAACAAGAAGGAGGAGATGAAGGTGTACAAGAAACCTATTCCACTGGAGCTTCTGGTAATTACGCAAATGGAGGAGGTTCTGCCCAAGCAAGGTATGGCAAGACGGTCCTCATCTAGCTTAAGCCTTGGCGCCAACAAAAACAACTTGAATGCAGGCGCGAAAGCGGACAACAAGCAACAGGGTTACCCGATCACCTTCAAGCACCTGGGCAAGGGCGGTTACGAGCAGACGCTGTACGCATCGACGCAGATTTCGCAGGAGAAGTGGATGAAGCACATCCAGACGCAACAGAAGAACCTCAGGGACCGCAGCAATATTTTCACCAAGGAGATCGTGTGCGAAGGCTTCTTCAACCAGGCCATCAAGGTCAACTGCTGCGTGCCTCTCGGTCAGTATTTTCATTTTCATCTTCGCGGTTGGTCGCTAATACATACGCAGATGGAGGCCGGAAGCTGGCCTATGGTACTGACTTTGGTGTTTACGTTGCTGACCGCAGACCGAGAGACGCCTCCATCAAGCCCAAGCGGGTCTTGGAATGCAAGACGGTCACCCAAATCGATGTCCTGGAGCAGCACCAGATTCTCCTGGTTCTCTCTGACAAGACCATGTACTCGTATCCTCTGGAAGCGCTGGATCCCGACGAGAACCAAGGCTCGGTGTCCAAGAGGGGTCGCAAGATTTGCCATGCCAACTTTTTCAAGGCCGGTGTATGCGTTGGTCAGCACCTCGTGTGTTGCGTCAAGACCTCGGCTCTCTCGACGACGATCAAGGTGTACGAGCCCATGGAGAACATGGCCAAGAAGACGAGGAAGACCGGTATCTCCAGGATGCTGGCTGGTGGCCAGGACGTGCTCAAGCCGTACAAGGTAGGATATCATAGGGCCGCACCGGCTCGCATCGGCTTTGCAACTGACGTCGCTACAGGAATTCTACATTCCCACCGAATCGACATCGATCCATTTCTTGCGCTCCAAGCTCTGCGTTGGTTGTGCCAAGGGCTTCGAGGTTGTGTCCCTCGAGACTCTCGAGACGCAGTCTCTGCTGGACCAAGCCGACACTTCTCTGGACTTCGTCGCAAGGCGCGAGAACATCAAGCCTATCCACATCGAGCGCCTCTCGTCCGAGTTCTTGCTCTGCTACACGGACTTCTCGTTCTTCGTCAACCGCAATGGTTGGCGGGCGCGTCCGGACTGGAAGATCACGTGGGAGGGCACGCCGCAGGCGTTTGCCATCTTCAACCCGTACATCCTTGCCTTCGAGCCCAGCTTCATCGAAATAAGACACATGGAGACTGGTATGCTGGTTCATATCTTGACTGCGAAGAACATCAGGATGCTGCACTCTTCTACGAGAGAGGTAAGGAATCATTCAGCGGTAAGTGGATGCGTGCTGACTCGGTGCCTCACAAGATCCTGTATGCCTACGAAGACGAGATGGGCGAGGATACGATCGCATCGCTGGATTTCTGGTCGCGCCCCCAGAGCCCACCGCAACAGAAGCAGCCGTCGGTGCCGCCGCAGATCCCCGCGCAGAGCTTCTCGCCGTAAAAGGCTTCCCGGCACGCGCATGCGCGCTTCGAAGCGCGCTGCTCTTGTACGCCTACCGTGTTCTCGTTTGGTTCCGTCGGGCTTGTGGCGCTGTTGTGCTCCCGGCGTTTTGTCGTTGGTTCCCTTTTATCTCCGGCGCTTCCGATACCACCTCTGCAGCAGCGGCATCATGCATCGTGTTGAACAGCTCGTTTTTGACGCTTCATCATCATCAAAGAACTCTGGCCTATTGTTTTATCTCTTTTTCCTTTCACTGCCTGTTGATGCAGGCGTTAATTCATCAAATACATGGGTCTCTACCTTTTTTTGTTTTGGCACGCATGCGTCTTATATTATTGCCGCAGTGTTCAGATTTTTGGGCTTGATTTACCTTGGGGCACGGATGGTTCGGAGTTTCCGTGTCTGTGTGGGTGGGTGGGGGAGAGTAGGTTGGTCCTTGCACGGCAGGAATCTCCACATCCATTTCCCCCTTCTTTTTTGAACCTCTCCACGACGCGCACGCATGTCTCTCTCGTCTTGTCTGGCGCTGATCATCCTTCGTTAACATCTTTTTATCTCGGACGAAACCCCCCAATGCCCCCACCCCTTTTCCCCCTCTCCTCCTACTTGCTCCTCCTTCTCCCTCTTCTCCCTTCCCCCCTACAAATCAACGCAGCATGTCTCGAAATTTTTCCAAAAAAGCGCGTAATGCGATGTTGTACAAAGAATTGAATCCTGGTTTGTTGTGTTTAGCTTCGGATCTACGTTTTTCCCTTTTCCCCCCTCTCTCTCTCCAACCCCCGGTTCCCCTCCCTTCCTCCCTCGTCCTCTCCTGCAAATTGTGCCCCGGAAGTGGTTCTCTCTCCCCCACGTTTGTGAGGTGGGCCCCTCTAACGCTTTTTCTCTGCCTATTTCCACCACCTCTTTCCTCTTTTCTCATGCTTCTATTCTGTTACTACTGCATCTTTAGCCTTGCGTGTGTCTTTTCGCCTGTCTTTGGGTATCACGTAGTCTTGACGGAAGATTTTTGTTTATTCCTGTTGTGTGATTGATTGGTTCTTATCACCTTGAGACATTTGCGTGTTCCAGTGATTCTTTTGCCCCCATTCTGCCACCTGAGAGCAACAGCACTCAACGTTGAAGGCCACCGATAGTGTGAATTGGGTTTTTTTTCCCGCTCATGTCACAGGTAGTTGAAGCGATTGTCCGGATGGCAAATGTTCGAATCCAAAATTATACATCCCACGTTTTTTTTTTTTTTCGAGTCGAGCGGCATCGGCCCCCCGTATACCTCAACAGCAGCAGCTCGGCCACATTTATCTCGATCGGCCCTCCCTGGAAATCCGTCCAGCCCAAAGTGCCTGCTGGAGCGGCGTGCTAAGGCCGCATTTCCGGAGAACTACTAATCCTCTGCCGAGCAAATGCCAGGGTCGTCACGTTCCAACAACAGCGTTTTTGGACTACCTCGGTTTGAGCCAGCCGGTCGAGATGGGGGCCCCCGATCTCCGTGCATTAATTCGTCCAGCTGGGTTGCGGGGAATCGGAGAAGCGCCGGAGAAGGGTACTGCAGTGTCTCGGCCTAGGCGCCCTTGCTCTTGATGCGGAGCGCGGAGGAGGTTTTGTCGCCCAGGCTGTGGTGGATGAGGCAGATGTCTTCGGCAATGAGCCTGGTTTGGAGCCCGAGGGCGTCTTGAATGACTTCGTCACCAGAGCGGCTGTTGTGGTTGTTCGAGGGCGCCGGTGACTCTGCTGACGCGGGACCGAAGAGTCATTACATCGATATGGTTCTAAAGAATGCGAAAGGATTTCGATTGGTAAATGCGACGAGTGGTAGTGACGTACCACTGCCACACGAGCTAAGCTAAACCCAATCGGGAAAGACCAATGCCATGGTGACAACAAAGGAGCAAACCAGGCAAACAAGCAAACAATCGGTAAGCCGCTCGTCTCAAAGCAAACCATACCCAGCAGGCTGCTTGTCTGTTTTATCTGTTGGTAGGGGGAAAGGAGGACGCAGAGTTGTGGGGTATAGAGTTCCGGACCTGTGGTAGATCTTTGATTTATCTATTGCTATTACTTTCCCAGCTGTCTTAGCGTGATGCCAAAGCATATTAGCGCCCGTAGTGCATTGGAATGATTAGAAGCATGAGGTGTGGGGGTATGATGTGGCATAGTTCGTTCTCTCCGCGGAAACGCGATTGGTGCGGCGGTGCGAAGCCTTACCTCAAGCACTTTGGACCGGCAGTTATTCCTTATTTCTATTCTTCCGCCCACCCCCATGCCCTCATCGCGTTTGCAAGCTCCCCTCGCATGTCCTTCTTTCGGGGCGAAATGAACTAAAAAGGAACAGCTGTTTTGGGTGTCTGTTCGGCGGGGCCGGGTTTTGTGGATGGAGTATATGGACTGTTGTGGGACGTACTTGATATCGACTTGAGTTGCACGAAGCAATAATACGGACGAGTTCGTATTTTCTACAATACCAGTTTGGAGAATATGGAACACTATGAATCAATCCGGTTGCACACTACTGCTCTCCGGAATTAAGAGGCTGGATTTTCTACTTATATACACGAATGATAAATGAACAATGTGATATGAAAAGAGGTATATTAAATGCCAGTGGTTTTATAATACCAGAATGTACTGGAATTAGTCCTTGGTGTTGAGAAAAGGTAATGAAAAAAGGCAAATAAATCTACCTCAACTTGTTTCATGACTTTCACGTCCGGATAGGCGCCTCAGCTACCCAGGTTTGTCGGGTTTTCGATTGAACAGACCTTATAAAAAGTTTCTGGTCTGTCAAGAACTGTATATTTGAACCTTCATGGCGCGGCTACGTAAATTCTGAAAAAGATGATCCTCCGCAAATATTTTCGACTTACGTAGGCAGCTAAAGCTACCATCCGGACGTAAATGTATATTTAAGAATTCCACATCTCCATCCCGACAGTAGCTTCGAATACCTATAAAATGAGCGAAAAAAGAAAAATGTTCAGCCCATCTCCGGCTGCCAATACACAATACAGCAAGCCTGACGACTAAAAGTAGATCAGTACCCAAGTTGCAATTGACTCACCACACCACATATTCGCACCTTGATGGCGCAACCATCAACAACGGAAAGAACAATGGCACCTGACCGAAGAGGAATAGAGAGACCCTGACTCGGGCGTGCATATAAGACGGTCTCCTCTCCTTTCTCTCTCTACCTCCTCCACCACTCTTCCACCTTCGCTCCACCACACCATACCATCCAACCTTCCCACCCTCCTCGCACAACCACCTCACACACCATCGTCCCACATGCCTCCTACCGCCGCCGACCCTGACATCGCCGACACCTCTTCCTCCCCACACGTCTCGCAGACGCCGCCACCACCTTCTGCTCACCTCGAACGCGAACGCGGCGACGAACCTACCTCACCACACGACAACATCACCGCCACCTCAAACATCGCCATGGGCACGCCAGTCAGCAGGGTTGAAGCGTCACCAGACACGCGCGTTGCGGGCGCTGAGGCGGCAGCGCAAGTGAGGAGCGACAGCGTAGCGGTGAGCCGAAAGGGGAAGGAGCGGGTGGGTGAGGGGAGTATGGAGAGCAGGGTGGAAGAGAGCAAGGAGTCGACGCCAACAATGGAGGAGGAGATGGCGGCTAGGAGCAAGATGCGATTGGGGAGCGGACTGGAGGGAGGCGGGCAGACGGCTGGTGGTGGGGCGGAGAAAAAGCAGGGGAAGGCTACCGCAGTCATGGGGATGAGGGCTGCTGGTGGGGCGAGGGGCGAGAGGGTGAATGTGAGGAGGAAGAACGAGTGGACTATCGAGTCGAGGAGTGGTTTGGGCTGGAAGACCGGGCGGCCGACAGCTGGTCCTGGAGATGGGAGCGGGCCGTCTGGAAAAAGGTATTTGGACTCGACAGCGCAGTCATCTCCTGGACCCGTCGAGAAGCGGCAGAAGGTGGATTTGGCAGAGGCCAGCGCCCAGCAGCAAGTCAAGCTGCCGCCGTGGAAGAGTCTTGTGCCGCGAGTCGAGAGGCTGCTTCTGGAAGCTCAGGCGCACGACAAGGACCTTGAGACGTACAGGGCTCGGATCAGGGAGTTGGAGAATATGGCCAGAGAGCAGCAGACGCTTCTTGATGCGTACAGAGCCGAGGAAACCGACCTATCTGACTCTGACGTTAACTACGGCAAGGTTGCCAGCCATCTGGAGCGCAAGAAAGTCCAGTTGGAGCAGAAGGGAGAGCAGCTCTACAAGATGTCCAAGGAGAAGGTCGAGCTGAAGAAGAAAATCACCGAATTGAAGAACGAGAACGCGGCACTTCTCAAGAAGAACGAGCAATGGGAGGACAGTGACGATATTCTAAGGGAAAGGCTCGAAAAACAAGCAAATGAGTATAAGAAGCTTTCCGCGGAAAAGAAAGAAGTCAGCAAGGAGCTCACAGCGAAGAGGAACGAGGCCGAATCCCTCAAGAAGAAGCTCCAGACGGCCGAAAAGAAACTGGACAAGGATGAGGAAAAAATAGCCGATTTGACGGAAAACCGTGATGAGTGGAAAGAAAGGTATTCAAAGGCCTTCCGAGCAGGCAAGACAGAGATAGAAAAGCACAGGAAAGAGACCAACGAGTTGACCAAGGAAATCCAAAAGCTGAACAAGGACCAAGATGCCATGGAGAACACCATCGAGAAACTTAAAGAAAACCTTGAGAAAACGGGGGAAAGGCTCAACAAGGCAAAGGACAAGAGAAGCCCTTGCGAACTGTGCACTAACAAGATGTGGGCTGCTGCACTGCACTTGACTCTACAGGCTTGCGAGGATCAGGAGAACGGCCAGGATGTCTCACTGGAGGTGATCCACCGTATGCTCAAACAACTAGTCGAAAAGCTCCCCGAGATTGAGAAAATCCGCGACGCGGGCCGCGCATTCATCCCCAAGGTGCCGCATTACTTCGAACAGAAGTCTTCGGAGAGCGCCGGCAGCTCCGCTTCTGGACAGAAAGCTTTAGCAGGCGGACTCTGTGCCATGTGCACCAATGACGAAATATTACGGGCTCTTTACTGGGTGGTCGAAGCATGCGAAGTCCCCCAGGAAACAGATTATTGGCATACCAAGCTCGTGAGCCAGATGTATGCCTGGCAAGACGCCTATCCAGATCTTATCCAAAGGTGCCTGGATGGATGGAATGCCGAGCGTCCCATTGATGTCCCGTCGGATGACTCTGATGATGATGAAGAGGCCGAACAGCAAGATGCCGGAGATTCCGAAGAGCACGACGTTCCACGGGAAAAGACCATGGAGGAGAAAATCCAGGAGAAGCATGGCGAGTTCTACATTCTTCTCGTCAGGGTGCAGCAGACCATCCAAGCCTTCCACGAAGCTGGTATGCCTCTTGCTGAACTGGGTGGAGCGTTCAAGGATTTGAAGGCGGAGCTGGACAAGCGAAAGGAAAATGGCAGAAGCTCGTGCGACATGCAGGACCGATTGGATATGGGCCAGAAGTACCTCGAGGAGCAGGTGAGGTTCTGGGCTGAGAGGGCTGACCGTGAAGGTGTGGAGAACGGGGAGGCGGCTGATTGCACGCCGCTGTCCGTGGAAATCCCCAAAAAGATTGTCGAGCTGAGGGAAGAGCTGGAGAAGTCCGAGAAGATGAAGAAGGATCTGGCTGGAATTCTGATCAGAGCCTCGAATGCTCAAGTCCATGGCAGTTCCCAAGCTCAGGTCGAGAGAGAGATGTCAGCGTTTGCAGGCTCGCTGAAGGAGCGGTACGGAACCCCCGAAGTCCGGCCTGGTGTTCCGCTCCAACGTCCAGAGTGGACTCCATCTGCAGCAAAGGCTCAGTCATCTCTCCGCAGCATGGAGCTACAGGGAGATATGCCGGTTGAGCTTTCTACAAGCGTCACCGAGCGTCAAGACCCGGTCAGCGAGCCTTCCCGTGAGAGATCACTTGGAAGCTGTTCGATGGAGGGACTAAACAGTCCTGAGTATTCTCCCGAGCCGATCGCTCGGGATATGCCGGCTGAAGGAAGAATGGATGAGGTCGATCCCAGCTAGGATGAGGCTCATCCTACGGACTTACCTAAACAAAACGTAGTCAGCGGCAGCTCCACTTCGACGGAAGAGGCTCTCTTTGATCTAAGCCAGATGGCGATTGAATCTCTGCTGGAGCTGGGAGGATTTCGCCGCTAGACGAGTGCATCATACTACCCCGAGACTTACACATGCTATTTGCTTATCGAGATTGGATTTAGCTTTGCAGATTTGGGGGTTTGAGACGGTTCTGGCTCTCTGCATCTAGGCAATTTAGCAGCCAGAGGACAAAAGTGATTTCATTAAATGCAAGACATTTACTCATGCTGTGTGTGTTCTGCTCCACGCACGTGTCCCGCACTCGTGATTCGAAGCTCCTGCGACAGAGAGGGTGCTTGTTGAAACGTTCGCGAACATCGAGAAGAAGGTTGTCGGGGCATGGAGATGACGTGTGTAATTGAAAGTCAAAGTGGGGCGGGGCGGCGTATCGATAATCACCGAGCCAACGCATCCCTGAAAGCGGGAAAGCCGCGCGCAAGCTCTCGCCAATCTCCAACACCACCTCGACCTGCGCTGCTCACACTCGCTCCACACCCACAATGGCCCGCATAAAGACGACATATGGCAAGCGGCCTAAGGCCAATACCACCTTCGCTGCCTCGACCGATTTCTGGTCCAGCCCCGACAAAGCCCCGTCCAACGCCAATCCCGCGCCCGCAGACGCCGTTGACGAGATCACGAATACCCTTGACAACCTGGACATAAGGGAGAAGGAGAAGCAGGAGAGGAAGGAACGGAGAAAAAAGGAGAAGCGCGATAGAGCCCTGCAGGCGATAGACGCCAATGCCGCCTCACCAGCCGGCGCGCGCGAGAAGGCCACCATCAAACACACGCACGACGATGGCGAGCTCCAGAAGCCCGCAAAGATCGATATTTCGGAAGCATCAGTCGTTCCCAAGACGCCCCAGAGACTCAAGAAGCTACTCCCGCCGAAGAAGAAGCTCGAAGAACCCAAGAATGCCGAGCAAACGCCTCAAAGTGAGCGCAGGCGGCGGCGCGGGAAGCGCGACATCCCCACCATCATTCTAGGCAGCGAAGACGACGACGACGCTGTCATGGACCAGCAGCAACAGAAGTGCAGATCGCGCGCGCTATCCAGCCCCGAGCCCGCGCACCACCTCTCCGCCAAGACCCCAGCTCGATCCACCGTCCACCGCCGCAGCAAATCCCCCTCCATCGCCGCCACCACACGCAAACCCTCCTCCACACTCCCCGACCCGCTCATCGCCTACACCAAACCACTCCTCCGCCTCTGTGCCGACCGTGCCGGCCGCAAAGCCCCTACACCCTTCGCCCTCTGGGCCGCCGCACTCTCGCCCTACTTCTCCGTCGTCAAGATCGCAGAAGCGTCCTACGGCGAAGTCTACCGCCTCGCACTTAAGCGCGCACATCCCGACCTGAGCGCGTCAGACGAGTCGGTCCTCAAGATCATCGCGCTCAAGCCGCCGGTGGAAGCGCGGCCCAAGGCCGCGAAGGGCAAGAAGCTGACGAAGGCTCAGAAGGCGCTGTCGGAGAAGATCGACGGGATGAGCAGCGTGGAGAGCGTCGCAGGCGAGATAAAGTTGCTCAGACGCATGGCGCATGTGCCGGGTTTTACGAACTTTCGGGATGTGAGGGTGCTGAGGGGACGACCGGACGAGATGTTTGCGAGAGCATGGGCGGAGTGGAATGAGGGGAGGGAGGAAGAGAAGAGGAGTATCTTCCCGGATCCGGCGAAGAAGGGGAGTTATGATGAGGATCAATTGTGGGCCGTCATCGAGATGCAGGATGCGGGTACGGATTTGGAGAATTTGAAGATGGAGGATGTGGGCGGCGTATTTGGGGTTTGGGATATCTTTTGGAGCGTCACGCTGGCGCTCGGGAAGGGCGAGGAGGAGGCAAGGTTCGAGGTGAGTCGTCCCGTCCCGTTCTTACATCACCTTCTTTCATTCAGGATGGACCTTTCTGACGAGCAGCTGGTACTGTAGCATCGCGACCTCCACATGGGCAACATTTGCATCCGCCCGGCCAACGCCAACCGCCCCATCGCCGCCCCGTCGTCAACTTCGTCCACCGTCACCGACATCGCCCGCAACCTCAACTTCACCGGCCTCGAAAGCACCATCATCGACTACACGCTGTCGCGCGCGCAGATGACGCTGCCTTCTGCTTCGCCGGATCCCGAAGAGGCTGAAATCGCCTTCCTTGACCTTGAGGCCGACCCGGCGCTGTTCGACGGCGACGCTGAGGAAGAATACCAGTACGAGATGTACCGCTACATGCGCGCCGCCATGTTCCTAGACGACCCGCTGGCAGATGTCGAGGAGAGGTGGGACGAGGCTCTGGATAGTGGAAGGACATGGGTTGGGTTTCACCCGCAGACGAATCTGGTGTGGTTGCATTTTATTTTGCATGAGATGATGAAACAGATCGTGGCTGCTGCGCCGTCGGACAAGGGAAAGAGCACGAAGAACAAAAAGACGAAGGCGAAGAAGAAAGATGGCAGACCCACGCGAAAGAAGCTCGTCGTCGTCGACTCGGAAGACGAGAACGAAGACTTCGTCGTCGCCCGGCGGGCGCAAGACGCAGCTGACGAAGCGGAACGCGTGGCGCTCGAACAGCTCGTCGCTGACAAGCGCAAGAAGCTGGAGAAGATCCTGAGGAAGGTTCAGAAGCTGCTCGATCCGGCGCGCTGGGCGAAGAGCGAACTGCATTCCGTAAAAGACCTCGTCGCGCTGGCGTTGGAGGAGGCATGGTTGGATGAGGAGGACGTCATTGCCGTACCGCAGTTGGGCGATGAGGGGGAAGGGAGTCTGTTGGAGTTGGTGAGGGGAATGGAGGTTTGATGAGGTGGTTTATGACCGCGAGCGTTTTGCTTGTTTAGGAATAAGACTACAGCATTGGTGGCGTTTTTTTTTGGTGGGCTGGGTAGGTACAATTGGTTGGCACGCTGGCGCAAAGGCGGTTCGTTGTGGTATTGTAATATGAGACGATGCAAGTGGAGCTTCTGTTGAGACTTTTCGTCAGGGTTTTCATCGTGATCCGCGCTTACTTTTGCAGAACTACTAGGTGAGAAGAGAACTTGACCGGAAGCGGTTTCCAAGCATACCAATGCAGTTTATAAGCCAGTAAGCGAAGTCATTCCGGTATGTTAGCTGCGCTCGAAGAGGTGGTGCTTGGTTAAATGAGAGCCTGAAGGTTTACGTAGGGTACCCCAAGTTGCCGCCCGTCCTCTGTGGGTCAAAAAGAGGTCGAAGGTTCGAAGACAAGCTAGGGAAGACAAAAAAGACGGTCCCAAAGAGTCTTTCTGAGCGTTAACCCGCATGTAGCGGGGTTCAGTTTTGCCATTTTCGTTGACAACACTTCTCTTTTTTTTTTTTTTGGCCAACACCATTAGGGCGGTGCTGCCAGAAGCAGCCAAGAATGGCAGGAAATCTTGAAACCGTCATACTTCAGTGCTAAGATGTGTGATGCCGCGCACGTAAACTGAGGTATAAACGCTACGAATAGCTCGATCTCAGACGAGGGACAAACCGTCCCGCAAATACCATCGAGAATGCCCCGTTGGGACCACAGAGCATTCGGTACTATCAAGTGCCGGGCGACGCCAGCGCCGCGCTCAGCATTTTCGCGTTTGTCGGCTCCCGCATCGGCTGCGCCGTTGGGGCGGAGGAGGAGGAGGGTGGAGGTGTTGGGCTGGAACGGACATAAATACGCCGGTGAGAATTTTCTACCGCTAGTATATATATATCGTCGAAAGCCCGCCTCTTCATTGCTTTCACCACCACCGTTGGCAACTCCCAGCAGCTATGAAGCTTCATAGTCTTCTTGTAGCCGCTGGCTTCCTTTTTACCCTCTGTGCCGCCGTTCCCGCCTCTACTCCGACCTTTACTACATCTGGGACTATGAACACCGTTATATCTGAGCCTGCTCCGACTGCGGCTCCTCCTCTTATACCAAGGTAAATATAATAAATCAGCGACTAGCCAAATAGAGTACTAATATATTGTAATATAGAGATAAGGTCCAAGACTATTGTGCAATGCTAGAGCTAGGGTTGGAAGAAGTTAAGACATTTCGAACGGTTACACTCAATCGAACCGGAAAAACACGAATTTTTCCAAGGTATATTAATATAAAATTAAGCGAATCTTCTAGTAGAGTACTAATAATTAATCTAGAATGGACACTAGAGAGTGGTGCAAATCCATAAAGGAAGGGAAGCTTACGTATCGGATACACCATCTCCATCCTGGTCGTAACACGATTACGCGGGCGGTAAATCCGTTCGCTGATCCATAGTTGGGATTCATCAATACGGTGATCCATAGTTGGGATTCATCAAATTGTATCTCTAGCGTAGCTAGGATTTTCGTATAACTATCTTCGCGTCCGGAACGCTTCTCGCTTGCTGTTTCAAAAAGCAGTTTGAGGGCCGCTCTGAAATGACGACTTACTCTTGCTTCACTCCCACCTTTCCGACCCTCCTCAGCCCCCAGGCACTAACCACCACAGCACCTGTGCTCAACGTGAAGCAGTACCACCAGCCAGCCTTATATCCCTGCAAAAGCGCCTCCTCGTTGCCACGACCGTCCTGTACTTCGGCCGTCACGCGCATTGCGACCGCCGCTGTTGTGGCCAGGCCGACGCTCTTACCAATCTGCGCCATCGTGTTGAACACTCCACCCGCCAGCGCCTGCGTCTTCTCCGGGAACGCTGCCGTGATAACTAGGTTCGCAATCGTGTATATGACGTCCGGCGCGACGACGTTGAGCGCCATGGCCTCGAACACAGCGTGCCAGTACCCGGGCCCATCCACTCGGCACAACAGGGCCAGAATCAACGGCGCGATAGCCGTGACGGCGCAGGCCGCAGGCACAGCGACGGCAGGCTGCATCAGCGGCAGCAGCGCGCCGACAGCGACATTAACGAGAGTGCCAGCGATGGGCGCGGGCAGGAAGTACAGCGACGACTGCAGCGGTGCAACTCCGCGGACGTACTCGAGGTAGAACGCCATGAACTGTTCCACACCATTGAACGCGCCCCAGACAAGGAAAACCGTCGCACAGACCGTCGTGAACGCGCCGTTGGCCCACAGCGCGTTGGGAATCAGCGCCGGCCGTCTCAGTCGCGCCTGCCGCCGCATCCACAACCAAAACGCCGGCAGCAGCGCCAGCGCGGTGCACAGCATCGCCACGTTCGCCGGCTCGCGCATCGACCGCGCCGCACCCGTGATGGCCGCGAAGACGTACGATAGCAGCGCCAGCGCCGTGCTAATGACCAGTGCCCCGACCCAATCGACGTCCTTGCCCAACCGCCGCCACGTTGCCGCGTCGAACAACGACGGCTCCCTCTCCTTCGCCCTCGGCAGCGCCCACGCCGCGACCACCCCAACAACCGCACCCAACACCGCCGCGAGGTGGAACACCCACCGCCACCCCACCGAGCCCGCCAGCGCGCCCCCCAACGTCAATCCGCCCGCGAAGCCGACCGCCTGCGCGCCGCCCATGGCCGCGAACGCAGCGTTGCGCCGCCGAGTACCTTCCGCGAAGCTGCGTGCTACCAGAGCCACTGCTGACGGTAGACAAAGTGCCGCCGCGACACCCGTCAATCCGCGGAATGCGATCAGCACTTCACCACTACGCGCGAGACCAGAACCGAGAGCGAAGACGGATTGCAGAGCCGTGCCGGAGAGGTAGGCGCGGCGAGGGCCGAGCGCGTCAGCGAGGGTGCCGGATAAGAGGAGCGTGCAACCGCAGGTGAGGGAGAAGATGGATACAGGCCTGCCAGCGTCGGTGTCAGTGAGTGTTGTTCTCCGCTGTCTCGGTGTGTGTGTGTGAAGGGGAATTGGTCGACCTCCATTGGGCCTACGAGAGCCGCATGCTCTCTGCGATTTTGTATATTGTTCTCCGCTCCTGCAACCTCGGGTGGTAAGTCTGAACATCCATCCATCTCTCTCGGATTTCTTTTTTTGCTCATGCCATGGGTAACTGAAGCTATCTTCCGGACGAGAATGTCGAATTAAAAATTCTACATACACGACCGGACGATAGCTTCAACTACCCGCGTATGTTATTTTTCTAACGCAGAGCTAGGGGACAGTTACGCTCGCTCTCTAAAGCCCTGCTACTCGCGCCAGCCATCGGTCGTGAGAGGGGGCTGTATGGCCCGATCCGCGGAGCAGCCCACCAACGGGAGGCCGAACTCCGCCGTGGGGGCCTACCAGAGCCGCACGCTCTGTACGATTTTTCAAGAATGCTGTCGCTTCCTCCAAGCTCGGGTGGCAAGTCTGAATATCCACCTCTCTCGAATTTCTTGGACATTGCTAACCTTTTTTTACAGGGTGGGATTGGGTGACGGTCGCACAGATAATCATGGGATGCGTGGGCGCATCCGTGGTGACGGCCGTCATTGCGGAGCTGCCCAGCAATGGGTGGCTAAGCTCCGGCGTCGAGCCGGGCGGGATTGGGCGGCGGTCGCACAGATCGTCGTGGGGGCGTGGGCGCCTCCGTGGTGATGGCTGTCATTGCGGAGCCGCCGGGCGGGAAGGGGAGGAAGACGGGCCTGTTGGGGTGCTGTGTGGTGGGAATGGGGGAGAGGCCTACCAGAGTCGCACGCTCTCTGCAATGGAAAGCTCCTCTGATATGACCGGAATACAGACTGTCAGAGCTCCGGCGAGCAAGTTGCCGATTCCGGTGATGCATGTGATGGAGGCAATGATGGCTACTGTTCTGCTCGTCGAGACGTTGGACCCGTCTTCTTCGACCAACATGGGCTCGAGCACGTGTGCTGAACCATGGCTCGTTCGTGGCGCCGGGAGCGTGGGCGAGGCTCTGGGAATTGACGTCACTTCAAGAGTTGTACCGGTGGTCGGCACCTCGGTAACTGTCTGGGACATTTTCCCTGCCTTTTGAGAGGGCTGAAACGATGCACGAATTTAACTTGGGGATTTTTGATTCTGAGAAGACAGGAAAGTTAAAGAGCAGTCGCTGAAACTGGCATTGGGAAGAAGAGACGTGGCTAAAGTGCCGTACACCCGTTCAGTACGTAATCGGCGCCTTTCCCCAAGCAGACAAAGTGATGCCGATCACGACAACCTTGAATCAACATACACGCCTGAACGACAGCTTCAACCATGTACCTTATAAACTCTTTCCGTTACTGCGCAATGGACCAAATTTGTGGGATTCTCGCCCGAAATCTGAAGCTCCTTGTGAATTCGTTTGTTTCAGGACTCTCAGCACCGCCAGGTAGTTAGCCTGATTAGGAAATATAGTAAGAGCAATCCATTGAGTTCAAACATCGTTTACGTTGTTGAATCCGCCGCTGTGGATGGTGTTGAGGAGGAGGAAGGAGGAGATGTTGGGGGTGGTTGTTGGGCTGCAGGGACTATAAATACGTGGGTGTGAGTTTTCCAGCTTATCTCCCGCTAGCATATATATCGTCGAAAAACTTACTTCTTAATTGCTTTCACCAACACCGCCACCACCACATTACCAATACTACCAACAACTACCGAGAACCGCCGGCAGCTATGAAGCTTGTCAGTTTTCTTGTAGCCGCCGGCTTTCTATTTGCCCTCTCGGTCGTCGCTATTCCTACGCCTACTCCGGCCTTTACTACGTCTAGCACCATGACTACCGCCGTCGAGGCCGCCATGCCTCCTCCGACTTCGGCTCCTACTCTCATGCCAAGGTAAATACAACAAAGCGACTAGCCTGATAGAGTACTAATATAATATAGAGGCTGGATCGAAGACCAATGTCACCTGCTAGAGCTAGGGCTTATCGAAAACCTGACAGCTCGGACAACAGTTAAACTTAATCGAACTGGAGTAACAAGAGTTCGACTTCCGCCTCATCGACGTGATCTGAGAGGCATATGCAAATCCCTAAAGGAAGGAACGCTTACGTATGGCGTACATAAGATCCATCCTGGTCATAACAAGATTACGCTGGTGTCTAATCCGTGGGGTGATCCATAGTAGATGGGTCGGGATTCATCGAAGTGTATCTCTAGCGTAGCTAGGATTTTCGTCTAATGAGCGAGAGGCGCTTTATCGCCTCTCCAAGTTTCGCTGCTACTCGTTTCCGTGTCAGAGATGCCTGAGCAATCTTCGGTCACACTTCCAAGCAAACGACCAGCTGGCCGACATTGCAACCAGGAAAGCTCGAGATTGAAGTGCAGGAACAACTTGGGGAAGTTGGCGAGGACTATCGTCGAGAGTTAATTCGGGATTGCTCCACTGCTTTTCCGCCACCTGCACCGCCGCATGGTTTAGGTTCTTTAGAGACCCTACCTTGCTCCCGGGACACACTTCGTCCAGCCAGTGCTCCTGGGCTTCTTTGCTATTGTCAAAAGCAAACAGCCCCGATTCCAAGCTTTTCGCAAGTCTGGCTTGCGGTGATTTTGAGCAGCCAATTCTATTCTGAACAGCCCACCCTTTCGACATGCAATGCGAAGAGACAATCTGCTGCTGCATTCATGTACGTCTGCTCGTTGGAGCTGAGGTCGTGAGGGTAAGCTGGTGTTACGTCTCAAGGACCTTCAGCGTTGAAATCCCGCGGCTGAGCTGTTGTGCGCAGTACAGGCGGCAGCCAGCGACGAAGCGTCGGCTGAATCTTCCGCCGGCATTTGGGTGCGCCCGATCGTCGCGCCGCGCCCCGCCAAACCAACACCACCCCACCAATCACCCGCGTTGCCGTCGCGGATCGCTACAATACAATCGAATTTCGCCGGGTGTTTCCTGATTCCGCGATCCCAGTCGCGCAGATTCTCTCCTCGATATTCAACCAAGGGTAACTTGTCCCGAGCGATCGGAGCGGATACTGTGGCTCTTCTTCTCGAAACTCCGCCAAACGCAATGGCCTGGGAATTTTTTTCGAGGTGAAATGCTTTTCCTTGCTTTAAAGAAATCAAAATGTAATGACATGAACTAATTACATGCACAGGCAGGCTCAACCAGTCCCTCCGAACACCTTCACGCTTGCTATCGAACTTTGAACATGAATAAAAGCCCCGGTAGGCTTATGACATCATTTAGATCCCCCTGCGAAAGGCAGCTCGAGCTGGACCGTCGGGCGGTTGCTAGCGAGGTGGGTCAGCTACACAGTGTATCCGGCTATTCACAACATAATCCTTTCTCCACCATTCAAGCTGCGGCGCTGCAGCACATGGAGGTCTGATCTGCACCGACAAATGTACTTGCGCCCAGGTTCTGGTGAGGCTGTGCTAATACCATGATTGTCACTGCAGCATCAGAACGCCAATGGCAACCAATCCACATATGACCGCCCCATTTCTTCGCATCCAATATCGCCCAAAGTCCCTCAGACACAGCTTCGTTTTCGCACACGGTTGTAATCTTATCAGATCAGAAGAATGAGAGACCGGGCCTCTTTCTGAATTTTCGGCCCCCCTTGATTCCTACAAAGGAGCCTTTGGCTGGAAATTGCAGACACGATTGCTTGGAACGCTTGTCAAAGAGCTATGGCCGTCTATAGCGGAGGTTCAGCACTCCCATGGCCAAGATCGAGACCAAGAGAAAAGCCCAGGCCCGGATAACACCCAGATCATACGCGCCATCGCCGACTGGTACCACATGAAGAGCCTTGCCTCCATTGAAGTCTTTGATGATGTCATGAGCGAAGAACAGCCGAACTCATATCGTCTGCTTCTTGACTTCTGGACGACCGCATTTCAGCATCATCAATTCCTGCCACGTACTTGCGCTCCGCTATCATCATAGACTCCTCCACCCTGGCGCTCTAGAGGGACGCCAAAAGTGTAGGGAGCAAGACGAGAGACTGTGAGTGCATGGAGTCAGTTGATACCGAGACAGACGAAACAAGAGGACAATGCACCCGTAGTGGATTTTAAGCCATTATTATTTTTTGATTGTTCTTTTTTTCGCTTGCACTCAGTGTGTTGTACCAGCGCTTTATGCTGATTTACTGAGCCGATCACTGGTGACCCTGAAATCCTCTTCCTCAACAGGGTGGGTAGTGGTCAGTGGGGCTGGGAGAGTCGTGGTCGTGGGACCCTTTACCATAGAAGAAATTTCTACTTAGCGTATCGACAGCAAGTACAATAGGTATATATATATCGTTGAAGCTCGCCTCTTGACTGATATCAGCACCACCGCCAGCAACTACTGACAACCATGAAGCTTAGCAATCTTCTCGTGACCGTTGGCTTCTTGACCCTCTCGGTCGCCCTTCCTGCGCCTACTCCGACCTTCACCGGGGTGAATGTCGTTCCTACGTCTCCCACCATAACCACCGTCATACCGACACCGGCTCCTACTCTCATGCCAAGGTAAATCCAACAAAGCGACTAGCGTAATAGAGTACTAATATATTGTAATATAGAGACTATGTCCAAGCCTATTGTGCAATGATCGAGCTAGGACTAGCAGAAAACCACACGTTTCGAACCGTCACACTCAATCGAACCGGAAAAACATAAATTTTTCCAAGGTATACAAAATTAAGCAAATGGTCTAGTATAGTGCTAATAATTAAATAGAATAGACACGAAAGACTGGTGTAAATCTATAAGGGAAGGGAAGCTTACGTATATGATAAACGAGCTTCCGCCTCCTGGTCAAACCACAAATATTACGCTGCCGGTAAATCCGTTCGGTGATGCATAGTTGATTGGTCGGGTTCAATTTCTAGCGTAGCTCGAGAGGCGATAAAGCGCCTCTTTGTTTCGATACTACTCGTTTCCGTTTCAAGAGGTTCCTGAGCAATCTTCGGCCTGGTTTAGGTTCTTCAGAGAGCACACCTTGCTCACTGCCCGTACTCAACAATGGTATCAAGTAGGATCTTCAGCTCGATGTTGCTGAGCGAGTGAAGCCAAACGAACGCCTCCCTTGGCGCCTTTAAAAAATTCCAGTTTGTCTTCCAACCTCATGCATCTTAATGTCGTTGTTTTCTTGATAGATGCGCGCCAGCTCATTCTCGATTCCGCGAAGCTCAACGGGATCTTACCGAACGCGCCAGCTGCAACAGATCCAGCGCAAGTAACTAAACAAAGCCGCTGGATAAGCTCACTACCAGAGTTCCGGAACACATCGCACGGCGGGGATGCTGCTGACACGCCTTTCCGGATGGCTGCGGGTAATTCTCGCTGCCACAAATGAGTTGCGGTATTGCATGCATTTGAATGCTTGTGACTATCGAAGCATTGAATCGCACATCTTAATCTAAGCTTCCTGTCCGATGCGTTTCGCGGCGGTAACTGTTTCAGGTTTGCAGGTGGCGGATGGATTCGGCATATGGGACACGCCCGCGGCTTACCGGGCGAAAAGAAGCAACACCTTCCGGCATTTGCTCACTGATTGCTTTTAATCCAAGTTTCGGGGCCAAACACAGTGAAATAAATGATTCCAGCAAGCTCTCCATTGCTGGCCAGGTTTGTTGCCAGTCAGGTTTCAAATCTGGTGCTCGGTGTTCTTCGCCGCGTGGTCGGATTTGGAGTGGGCAAAGGCGCACAGGCGGGGGCTAAGCTTCGACCCCGGAAGGCTTTCGTCGACGTAAGCGGCGGAGCGTGCGGGTGCTGTCGTGTCTGGAGATCAGCGTGTCTTGAAGACAAAGCGAAATTTGGATGTTGGGGCGAGGGATGACGTGCTTGTATCCGAATCTGGAACGGGTTTCAGTTTCCCCGCTGTGCTTCGGAAGTTGCAACACCATGCCAAGAATCGCGATGATCGATGTATGAATGGGTCGATGTGGAGGCGTGTCCATCACGAGTAAGCGGGCGGCCTTGTTGATAAGAGAGAGGCTGTGCTTGTCTGGCCTGATATTTTTCTGTTGGGTAGGTGGATAATTTTCTCGTGAGGCAAATACAACTCAACGCACTTATGCACTTAAGGCGAGGTCAAGGAAAATGTTGAATACACTTCGCAAAAACATAAAAATGTGATGATGAATCCACAGATCCCCGTTGATTTTGCGGGAGTTGCGGAGAAGTGATGATAAGGCCCAGTGCTAAAATAGAGCCACGATCTTGGCTGAAGCTTGCGAAAAGCTTAAACTTCGCCGTGAATACCTCATCTGGGTTGTAGGCCCACTTAAGTAACTCGGTTCTTGATCTTCTGCCAATCATATCTTAGTTCGATACGATATTTGGTTATTGTGATGCAAGTTCGGCAGGGCGCGTTTCCGAATCCAGGGGAAGACGGAGATCCGGCGCTTGAAGTAGCAAGGCCCGATTTTTGGCTTATGAGCCCGGGGCTTAATCTGGGTGTTATTGCACCATTTCAACTGCTGAGGAAAAAGAAAGCTGTCTTGCTTATTATCCAAATAGACACAAATTTTCTCGCCCGTCGATTATTTTTTTCGCGTAGAGTCTCTTCCACTTCCTTAACTCTAGTTTATCGCTCGCTTCCTTCCACCTCTCCTTGATTTTCGTGCTCTCATTTTCTCGCTGGGCGAGCTTTCAGCTTTTATTCACTATTGTTCAACTGATTTCCGTCATTGCGTCTTGGTACCATGCCTGAACTCGAGCTTACCGGGGTGAACATCGTTCTTTCAACTGTCGGAGCTTTCTTCATTCTCTTTGGTGTAATATCATCCAAGCTTAAGAACACCTGGTACATTGGCGAAGCCCTTCCAGCTATGCTCATGGGCATACTACTGGGCCCAGTGGCAGCCAAGTTCATTGATTCGTCAAAGTGGGCATCTGCGGAGCCGGGACAACAGAAGGAAATTACCCACGTAAGTACCAGTTCACGCCCGGCTTGAAGAACCATCGGAGCTTATCAAAACTCAGAATGGCTGCAGAGTCGTCATCGGAATCCACCTGGTGATGGCGGGATTTCAGCTTCCGGCAAGGTTCCAGCTTCTCCGATGGAAGAGGTTGATTGGAATGCTGCCAGTGATGACCATCATGTGGCTTCTTACATCACTCTGCGTATTCATGATCATTCCAGACCTTACATGGGTAAGTGTATCCAAACAAAGATGCTCTCAGACGTCCTGTTGACCATTGCACACAGCTCAGTAGTCTCGTCATCGGCTCCTGCCTCGCGTGCACCGACCCCGTCCTATCTCAGGTTATTGCCAGGGGAGCTTTCGCTGAAAAATACATACCGCTTCACCTCCGGGAAGATCTTTCCTCTGAGGCGGGCGCAAACGACAGCTTTGCTTTTCCCTCCCTCATGCTGGCCACATTCCTGATCCGCCACGCAGCCGTGCCCGGGAGCGGCAAGGCAAACAGTGACGGAGAGGTGATAGAGAATGTAGAAAGGGTTGGTAGAATAGGCGGTGGCGTGGGTGTGGCGCTCAAAATGTGGTTTCTTGAGACGTGGCTATACACTGTGCTGTTGAGTATCGTTTATGGCGCCCTCGTTGGATATGCCAGTTGTCTGGTCCTCAGGCTGGCATTGAGAAGGTATGGCACAACTTTCTGGTAAGAGATGCAAGCATTAATAACAGCAGGGGTTGGATTGACACTGGAAATTTCTTCCTTTTCCCGACAGTAATAGGCGTAAGTGATCATCTTGTACTCCAGCACTCGTAGCTCTCCCTGACTGAGGCATACCAGCTCTTCGTCCTCGGCAGCGCTGAGGCTATTGGCACGGAGGATCTCCTTGCCTGCTTTGCGGCCGGAAACGCACTCAACTGGAACGGCCTTTACCAAGAAGAGTGCAGCAACAGGTGTGACGCTGTTAACCCAGCCATATCCTCTTTCCTCAACCTCGGCGCGTTTCTTTACCTCGGATCCGTCATGCCGTGGGATACTTTCAGTTCTCCGAACATCACATACCCACGTCTATTTGCACTAGGGTTTGCACTTTTGCTCTTCCGGAGAATCCCGGCTACTATGATTTCTTATACAGTGTTTCCGAAGCTGTATGCCAACGCTAGAGAAGCATTGGTTTTAGGACACTTGGGGCCACTCGGTAAGCCAACAACATATTGTCGTTATGCTTCACTGCTGATATCAAGCTTTCTGTAGGTGTTGGCGCAATATTTTTTGCGGAACACACGCGCGAACTCTTTCCCGAACTTGGCGAAGGTGACGAAGAAGAAACCAACCTCATTGCCGCTTTGACACCCAGTAAGCACAATTTTCAACCACATCCGTCATGTAAATTGCTGACAGAGTATTAGCCGTATACTGGATGGTGTTCTTCTCCATCGTTGTTCATGGGATCTCCGTTCCCATCATACACCTTGTATACAAATATCTCAGCGTGCCCACAATCCAAGAGGGCACTTCAGAGACCCTGCCATTCTCTCGGAGAGCATCACTTTCCGATAAGAACGTAGTTGAGCGCCGAGAGTCAGTGGAGGTTTTCAGTGATGAAAAGAAAATCAAAAACTTCTCATGGGCCAGGCAGTCGGATTTCAAAGAGACCATTGATCACGGTACACAAAGTCTAGACCTATCGGACCTCAAGGATGAAGCCTGGAAAGGGCATGAGAGCGTAATAGGCCCGTTTAGGTGGAGTGTTGAGCAAGAGTACTGCAGAGTCACCAGTGATCGGTGCAATACATTGGCATAAGGCGTTGGTGCAACACCCGGGAAGGCATAGAAAAAGAACGTGAAAATTAATAATAATGGCTTAATAGCCCCAAATGTGCCTTGTAGTCTTTTCCAGGTTGCACGGTTGGCCTCGCCTCAGTTTCAACTCACTGCTTCAAGAGATGACTCATGGTTTTGTCCCCAGTCCCCACACACGCTTGTGGTTCTACTTGAGAGCACCGCCATCAATCCATTTGTAGTGTACCTCGCGACAGGGCTACCCTCGCGATGCTGAGGCTACGTCCCTCGTACGCACGCTGCTGTGTCAAAGTGGCTGTGATCATCTCATCTCGGTCGGGGTAGGCGCGGGAACGGCGGTCGAGAGGGTCAGGAACCCAACGGCCATGAGAAAGCCGCTAAGCTTCATGGTTGGCGGTGGTGCTGATAGCAACCAAGAGCCGAGTTCTCAACGATATATATATACCTCTGCACTCGCGACCAATACGCCAGAACCGTCCTCTGCGGCCAGGGTCCTCCGACCCACAGCCCTCCCCAACACCCACCTACCGCTCCCTCCTCCTCAACACCACCCACAACGGCCTATTCGTCAACGTAAACGAATCCACACACCCCTCATCAAACGCCCTCATCCCTTCCTCGCCCCCCACCACCTCCACCACATCAAACCGCCCCACCACCGCCGCCACCACCGCCCGCATCTCCACGTACGCCAGCGCCTTCCCGGGGCACGTACACGCGCCCCGCGTAAACGGTATGAACGGCGCCGTCTCCGCCAGCAAGTCTCCCATGTCCTCGAAGCGCTCCGGCCGGAACGACCCCGCGTCGGACCCCCAGAACCGTGTGTCCCGGTGCAGCGCCCACGTCGGGACCGCGACGATGGTGTTGGCGGGGATGAAGACCGGTGTTCCTCCTCCTGCACTGCTGCTCTTGTCCCCGCCGGGTGGGGGTGGCACGGTTATCCCGCCCGCCGGCGTCTCGCGCGTCAGCCCCTCGCACGCCGGCGGCTTCAGGCGGAGCGTCTCGTTGAGCACGCAGTCGAGGTAGCGGACGGAGGCGAGCGAGCGCGGGGACGGCGCGTCGGCATCAGGCAGGGCGTCGAGCTGGGCGCGCAGCTTGCGCAGGCGGACGGGGTCGCGGAAGAGGTAGAAGAGGGCGTTGGTCATGGCGGACGCCGCCGTGTCGCTGCCGGCGAGGATGAGGAGGCTGGAGGTGTTTTTGAGGGCGAGTGGCGTTTGCGGGTGTTTGGTGGCGTCGGTCTGCGCGGCGAGGATGTGACTGGCGATGTCGGTGGGGGTGTCGTGGGTGGGGTTGAAGGTCTGTGGCTGGCGTTAGTCTTGGTGGTGGGGTGTCGCGTGGTGGGATGGCGGGTGGAGGCAGGTGGGGATGCGTGGTGGTGGGTTACCCGTTGCTTCATTTCCATGGCCGAGTTGCACCATTCGAAAAAAGTTTTGATTTCTCCGCCGCCGCCGGTCTGGCTAATCATCCGGAATAGCCAGGGGACGGCGCCGATGATGCCGAAGACTTTCATCGCGTCGTGAAGGACTTTGAGGGAGGTGGATCGGCCCTCCATTTTGACGGTGCCCTCGCCGCGTTGGAGCATGCCGAAGTCGACGTTGTAGGCTATGCGGCCCATGGCGTCGAATGAGAAGAAATTGACCCAGGAAGTCATGTCGATGGGCGTGCCGACACGTTCATCAAGAGCCTTGACGAAGTCATCAACGGTGCTCTGGACCCGGGATTCGTAGTCGGCGAGAGCTAACGAAAGTTAGAATAAATGCTTCCTTGAGGCGGTAGACGCGAAGGTACCTTTGCTGCTCAAGCCTCTGTCCAAAACTCTTCTCCTCTGGCTGTGGAGAGCAGGATCCCTTATGTTGAGTACATGTTTATCTTCTTCATTTCCCCGGATATGATCATACCACGGGCCACGTCTGCATTTTGTCTTGGGCCCGTACAGCAGAGGAATGGCCGAGGGATTCAAGATGGATATCTCTCGAGGTCCGACGCGGACGTAGTCGCCGTACTGTTCGTGCAGCTTCTCGACTTCGGTGAACAGCCGGATATTGCTCCTGAGCGCAATATATACGCGGTAGAAGGACGAAAGTGCACCCAGACGTGGTCCTGGGAAGTTCCGAATCGGTGAGAATACCAGACGGTAAATGCCCATACTCCCGAAGAAGCCAGCAAGAAAGCTCACTGCGAATGTGAGCACCCGCTGTGCTGCAATCCCGAAGCCATAACTCGGCGTGAGAGCGAGCAAAAGAAGAAGCAAAATTGAATTCCAAACGGCTAAAACGAACCAGCCATGATTGTCGAGTCGCAGGCCGAGACTGGATACATGCACGGCAGACCCAACTACTAGCGACGTTAGAGGTAATATGTATGCAGAATTTGTGTCAAATAAGGCGCTCATGGTTGCCAATCCAGAGTGTCGATTGGACAGAACGACGAATCGATGTAGTACATGTACAACTGGCTACTTATGCGGAGAATGAGGTGATGCAAAGTTTCTGCCTGGCATTGGCGAGAATAAGCGCTAATCCTCGTTTATTTTGTGGGGGCCATTTAGTGACAGGGATTTTGCTCCTTTATCAATGACATCCGGCTCGGCCGAGTCACACCCGTCCAACTCCGAGAAGCCAAGTCTATAAATCCAGCATTATTCCTTCTTACGCGTCAAAAGTCATATCTGGGAAAGGGAAGACAGTAAGGATGGAGTCACACAGGTATGTGAGTATTCAAGCGCCTCAATTCCAACAGAGTTCGTGGACCTTGGTTCGGATAGCTGATCAGTTCGGAAAAGCGCATGCTGAAAAACGTCTCTCTTTAGTAGTATTTTCAAGTCTACCGATATTCAATGCAAAAGGTTGACTTCAGATAAGAGCTCTATAGCTGATCGCCCTCCAAGATGATATCGGCATGAAACGAAAAGGTTCTAGCCCGCATTCAGTTTTACGCCGAGGTTGTTGGTACTTCTGCCCTTTCCGGAACTTTGTCATGCATCACCTAAATGTGTAGGAACGATTTGCGTTGAAATGATGGATGATTGAAAATCTCCGGGCAATTGCGGCGTGCGGAGGTTCTGATTAGCTGGCAGCCGCTGCAATCTTCAGTGACGTTCGCGCTTTGTGACAAATGCGTAAGTTGAGGTCTACCAGCCGAAAGACATGTTATGATGGCATTAGGTAGCGACACTAAAGAAAATGTTAGCCGTGCTGTCAGCATGCACGGCTGACATCGTGGCGCCGCTGTGCAATCAGCCAGCCTTGCGCGGCTGCCTACCCCACCTTCGTTTTCGCTCCTTCGCTCCTTATCGGGGTCCATTCGTGTTTTTAATGAGCTCGCCATGTCATTGGCCTCTATCTCAGTCATCGTAGCTCTGCATGCATACGAGCCGGGGTTGTTCACAGCCTTGGAGCACATTATATATTACTTCTGAAGGACAGCTGAAAACATGAATGTAGCTGCCACCGAGGTCTTAGCGGCTAAACTTCAATCTCTCTCCATCGTGTTTGCACTCCGCCTCCTACATCGCAGCACCAACAACGATTGCCCTCAATCGACCTATTATTCACGAAAAGGCATGAAAGGGTACACTAAGATCGCAGCCCTGATGGGAAATTATTCCGAGTCCCTTATGATACGCCAGTTCAATGAGCTGAATGTGCAAAACATACTATATCTCCAAGCGGAACTCGTGGGTTTGGAGCAGGATTACCGGGAGTTGGAGAAAGAAAATGACACATCAACTGATGCAGAAAAGGCGCGATTTTCACTTGATTGGTACACTTTGTCAACATCCAAAGAAGATGGCGAGGACAATGAGCAGTGGAGAACGGCTATGAAGATCCGCGAAAAACTTCAAGAATACAGTAGGCAAGCACTTCCGCAAAGCTTCTCCATCACACAACTAAATTGCTTCCAGATGATGCAGTCATTCGATATGCTCAAATATCAAACTTTCCTTCTCCCCGGCCACAAGAGCTTGGGAATTTGCAGGAATGGTTTACGAGGTCCAGAGTCGGCGCAGTTTATCTTTTGGGTAGGGACCGCAAGGTGTGGTCAGATGGGCAAGATCTTATGGCATTGAGCATTCCAGCACGGAACAATCCCATTGCCAGCTGGATAATCAATGCGTTGCCCACTTGGCATTCGTTGGTTGGTAAATGGTGGAAGGTAAGTCCGAATTGATTCATCGTTTCCGAAGGATACTCAAAGTGACGAACCAGGACTGTGAAGAAGCAACAACAACCGACTATGCACCCAACACTGTCTGCTACTCTGATAAGAAAGCGACTCGAGTGGCCGAACTTGTTGGTGCTATCATAGCTTCTCTCCTTCCTGTTCTCGCGATCGTCATTTTATATCTCGTGAAGTCAATGGCCAAAAGACTTGGCCTGGTTGTCCTCTTCACCTCCCTTTTCTCGGTATCTCTGTGGTTCATGACTGACGGAAGACTTCTCGAAGTATTTGCTGCCACATCCACGTAAGCTAATTCGACCTCTAACCCCCTTTCTGACAAAAACTGCTGACTTTTTTTCCTTGTCAATTTTAGTTTCTCCGCGGTGCAAGTTGTTTTCATCAGTACGAATACTACCTGAAGACCTTCTTCAATTTTATTTGATGACAGGTCCTGGGAGTAGGGTGATGTTATTGAAAGGGTTTAGGAGACTCAGTTCTACGTTGAAAGTTACTCTGAAAATGTTGTTCACTTGTTGTTTCTGCGAAAGGAATGTCATTGCTGAAATGGAAAATAAGCTTTCCTGCCCAAATGCGGCCCTTGTTGCCCAGTATGACAAAGGAAATAGATGCTCGAGACAACCAACTAAAGGCCAGCATGTAAAGAAAGATAAAAGCCCACGCCGAGTACGGGTACCCCAATAAAACCGTTATTGAGATCTACAAGGATCTGAGCCTCCTTCTTGTTCATATTGCTGATTGTCAATGGAACAAGGCACACTTGTTTCGCCGGCCGCATACCCGAAGAGTCGATCGTATGGCCAGGGATTAGTGTCTACGAGGCGATCTGCTTGTGTTTATGCCAGCACTCGCACGCACGACGTTACTTCCTGTATCACATTGCCCTTAAGGAAACCCGAGAAAGAAAGACGACAGCTACAAAGACGAAGCATTCGTCTCATGTATGCTGGCCTGCTTTCTCTTCTCACGCTCTTCAGCTTGCCTGGCCTGGCGGGCCTTCTCCAGGATATCTGCTTCTGATTCCTGCTTGGCTCTCAAAGCCTCTGCCTCCCTTTTCTCTTCTACAATGCCTACAGTCAGCAGTTGTCTGGGAATGTATGAACACTCGCTTACCTGGAGTCTCTTTCCTCTTCGTAAACCAACCAGCAAAGATATTCTTCGCGCCCCGGAACATCTTCTGGAAAAGTAGCCTGAAGTTTTGCTTGATGAAGCTGGCTCCGAAAACGAAATCGTACAGACTGTCCAGCTGGTCGCAGACCCAAACATCCCGCCGAAAGGTAAGCCCTTTGAGAGTGAAGACCATGTTGCGCACCACGCCCTGGAACGATACTTCATGCCCAGTGATGCTAGTCGTTCCGGGACACTTGACATCTCTGGTCACTGCGCTTTCTTGGTTCATCTCCCGGATCCATCGGAAAGAGCAGATTAGCGGGACCGCACACAAGCTGTCCTGTCTGCCAATTGCGGGAATCTGTGGTCCTCCACTTCTGTCGCGAACAAACATCTCCGTTGAAAAGAACTCCTGCTTAATGTCAAAAACGGACGTCGCAAGTATATAACGGCTATGCGTATACCCACCTCAACGGAATCCTCGCACGTATGTCTTTTTCCACGACGGCGGCCTCGTCGATGCCGTGGGAAGGCGTCCGGTTGGAAGTGCGCATAGTCGTGTGGACTCAGACTATAGGATCTGTTCCACTCTCTGTCTTCACAAAAGTAGTTGATGAACAAAGACTCATGGTGCGGGAACGAAGACGACCGGTGGGATGCCTCGGTCATTATTTCGTCTGGAGGAAGCTTGTGAGTTGAGAGCCATACTCGCCGTAAAGATTTGTGCTACAAACCGTACTCCTCAAGTTTCTTCCGTAAATCGTCAAGAATACGGCATCTGGCTCTTTGACCTAAGTCGTTCCTGCTTTGTCCTCCTATGTGTATGCCCTCATCGTGTTCATGTCCCAGCTCTTCCTCAAGCTCCCAGATTTCTCGCAGTAGTTTCAAGGGTACGCGGTAGTTTAGATGCCTGAAGCGACGGTAAATCGAGAAAAAAGGATCGCCAGGCGGAATCATGTCTAAGCGTGGATAGCCCTCCGAATGGTCCGCTGCGGGTCAGTTAGTGGAGCTGGATGTGTGTTCTCTCTCGGTAGTAGCATTGCTGAAGATAGATTGCTGGCCTTTTCCACTGGACGGCGACGCGTGGAGTACTGTACCTAGCAAGTTGGCCGGATAGGCGGAGACATCTGCGTCGTCCCACATCACAAGATTTCACCTCTGATAAAAGTGAAAGAACAAAGTACAGATTGAATCACGTGGCCGGACAGAAGACGCAGGGCCAGATGGAAACTGCGGTGTGGAGCGCTTATTATCTGCTGCGGTATTGATGAAATTTGTCTGACACGAAATATCGACGCGCAGTGGCCGGGCTATTGATTACCGCATGAGCAACAAGCAGGGCTTCTCGCCGAATGTAGACGAAAAGAGGTGGGCTTACGTTACATAACACGGTAGTGGAACGCCACTTGCTGACAGGCAAGGCTTTTTCGGTAATATAAACCAATCGGATGAAACCATTGATCATCCAAAACGCCCGAGTCCGATTTGCCTTGTCTGCCTTGCGGATATAGAGCACGTAGCTGCCTTCAGATTGGCTTGAAGCATAATCAAGCAGCCGTATTGCTTACTAGCGAATACCATATCGTGGAATATCCTACGTGTGTGACGCCCAGGTGGTGCACTCGTTACTCCTGTCTGGCACCGCGGTGTATCAGATGAGACCGGCTGGAAATAACGCAGTGCAATTTCAAATGAGCAGGCCCATTATATACACAACGAAGTAAGTATTGCACTTCCGGAGATGCTCAGATGAGGGCCATGCTCAACCTCCCATCTGCCCAACGTGTGTGTGAGGATGCTGTATGCTGACTCCTTCCCGCGGCCGCATAGGTTTCCGTTCTGGCGCTCAAGAGAGGTCATGTTAAGGATATGGAATAGCCCGAGGCCATAGCTTGTCAACGGAACCCCATCGAAGAAAATGGCCAGTGTCGAAATCGCCTTGCATTGCGGAGAAAAATTCTCACAGCACCAGCTGGAATGATACAGAACGGCGTGCTTTTAGAGCGATGAACGAAGCGTTGCAATTTTAATGCGAGCGGGTCAGATTGGTAGGCGCCAATGACGAGTCAAAGCCTCGGTGCCTCGTACTTACCCCGCCGAATGAACGTCGCACAACAGCAACAGAGAACGCCGATTAAGAACGAGCTTCTGGCTGACGTATCACGACGCGCAAAACTACTAGACAAGGGGGACACGTGCGGGCCCCTGTTCCCGCGTCAGATTTGCGCCTTGCGGGCTTGGAGCCTCAAGCTGCCGTAATGCGGAACAGACATCCGGCAACTCAAATTTATTGCTCACTGACACATCCAAACAACGCCTTCTCTCACACATCTGCCACCCAGTACGCATGCCCGTTGCGGTTTTCCAGCAACAAGGTGCACTAATGGAAACAGCGGCAACCAACGAAATACGATACACAACAAACATAGCGAAGATGAATTTCTTAGAGGGGCCGCTCCTCCGTATCGATCCCACTATCGATTCTCGGCGTACTATGGCAACCTCCGAATCACGGTGGGGAAATTGAACCCCAGGCCAGATTCGGATACAAGCACGTCATCTATCACACCAGCGTCCGGTAAATCTTGCTGCCCGTCATGATTCGTGTCGATCCTGAGACGCGACCCCTCTTGCAGATCACCTGCGGTCCGTGCTGTGCAGGCGGGGAAAAATATCGGCCCACCATTGCGAAGACTGCTGTGCAAGACAAACAGTAGAGTCGCGAAAAGACTCAGGAAAATGGGACCCCTGTCAGCTCTTTACTTCTATGGCCGCACACTTTTTTCCGCGCACGTTCCCACACCAGCGAGACATGAGTATCATGATGTAACCCGAACGGGATAGTGGTGGCCCGCGTTGCATGAACACGTCAATCAATGGGGATGCCCCACCACCCAACTGACAACAACGCAGGGCCCAAGCCCGAGTTAAGAAAAACTTCGCGGATGGGCACCTGGACCGTCCATCGACATAGTCCATCAAACCCCCCGGTCAGAAATTTCCGAAGTGCTGCACACACCTCGCAGAGAGCTCCCATCATGGCACCATTTGTTAGCTCGCCAGCAGGACTTCACGGATCTTATTACACGGGAACTCAAAACGGCCAGCGTCGTGTTCTACTACCCCCTCTAGAAGAAGCCGATTTTCGGAAATCGAAGGTTTCCGAGGATGAATCCGAGTCAGACCAAACAGACAGTTCTCGTTCGGGTCTTAATGAAGGTAGACAATCGGTAGATGAGAGCCTGGTGGCAGCCTTTGCGATGGATCTATACCGAGACATGGAACTTCACGGGAGCCTTGAAGGAGACCGTGAACGCGTGCTTAACCGTCTACACATTCTGTTGAAAGGCTTCTCGGTTCGCCTGCAAAACGCTCGGCTCTCTCCAGAACAGCAGAGCGCGGCGAAGTTTGTCAGACAACAGCAGGAGTAAGTAAAATAGGGCAGTGATGAAGAACAAAGGGATTTTCGGATGAAGCTGATCTCTAAATTTCCTCATTGTAGGGCTATCGCCCAGCAGGTGCGGAAGACCTACGCAAGCACTGCAATTCCAAGGGGGGATGCGCCAACAGATCGATCACATGATGGCATGAAGGTACTGGAGAAACCATCAATTTTGCCCGTGGGCGAGCCTTCAACACCACTCGAAAACGGACAGAATCCAATCGAGCCTGCCCCACATCCACCTCCGAGGTACCAACAGGTCCGCAATTCTCTGCGCGAAAGTCCCGCATATACTTGGCTCCTCGACCAGGCACGAGTGTGCGCATCGTTGACCAAAACCGCGGGCACTTCCCTGGAGACTATCAACACGAAAATGGATGATCTATTTCAGGCCATGGAGGACAGGTCGCTGAGAGGACCTGTCTTCGACGCACGGTTTGAAGTAGAGTGGGATCTCTTGGGCTTTCTTAGGCGCCAAAAGTATGACGCGCCGCTGGAGATTGCAGTTGAGCGAGCTATCACACTTACAGGGTCAGCCAAGAATGCTCAGGCAATGACGTGTTTGGACTACATGTCCCAGACCTGGCCGGTGATTGGGGAAGAGATTGTCAAGGTCCTTCAAAAAGCACTGAAGGCAACCAACCTGTCTTGCAAAAGTAAGTAACTTTGCCGCATATGCGCCGCCTATCTGATTGCTGGCAGCACGCCTTTCGGACGGGACAGAACTCGAGGTATCTCTTCAGTCTGCGAAAGCGAAGATACTGGCGAGGGGAAGCCGTGCAGCTCTAACAGAACTGTGTGAGCAATTTTCCTGGCTGGGCGCTGCCCTCGGCCCCAGCCCCGAGGACACTTCGCAGCCGTCCACAGTATGGCTGGCTACCCCGGTCGTCTCTGCCTTCAATTCTGGCGAACTTCATACGAACCCTCCATCCATCACTGTACGAATACGCTTCTCCACCCGCTCGATCCCAAATGGCTCTCTGGCACATGGAGCGTGCTGGCACGCCTTGTTCCACCACCCAGTCGTCGTCAACGGCTTTCCAATTCGGGCCCGCCGGAACGGCGAACGGGGACTGGAAGCGTCTACAGCCTTGATGGGTGCGCTGGCAGAGGCTCGTTATGTATCGCAGTATGCCGAAACGCTGGTTCTGAAGGGATTCTGCTCGATGCTCGTTCCGACAGCGCATACCGAAACGTCGATTACGTGGCACTACGTCTACAACAAGGATCTGTCTTGGCTTCCGTATAGTGGGTTCCGCAGGGAGTGCCCGGAGGTGGTTGCCAACGACGTGCTGGATTCGGACATGTTGAATGCCGGTAACAAGCGCAACTTCGTGGGGTGGGCATCGAGCATTAGCAGGAATCTCGGTATTGATTCCCAACTCTCGTGCCAGCTGCTCATTTGAACTGACCACAAAACAGGCACGGAAACAGCTCTCTACCAAGAGATACGGCCGGCGGGGGCACCGGAGAGCTCTACGAGAGTGGCATCTGAGAAAAAGCTTACAATATCCGTCAGTAAGCTGTTCGGGACGTCTGACTCTTTCCTCAGGGGCCAGCGCGATAAGTCGATTATCTCCAGCAGTGCCTCATACACAGGCCAAGTGTATGCCGCACGTCGGATCCCGGTACTTCTCTACGACGTGGCAACAAAGCGTGGTTGGCTGGTTGATGGTGCAAGCGCCCTACTGCACATTGCCAGAAGTCAAGTTGAACATCCACCGTTGAGGGACGTCTCACACTTCAACGATAGAGCTGTGAATAAGCGCATTTCATTCAAGCATCCGGATGCTAGAGGTGGCCCAGAAGCGGCGAGCCATGCGCTAACGGATGAAGACAACCAGCGGCACATCATTATCCGCGAGTTCGACCGCTACGAGGAAGACACCAAGGGCAAGCCGAAAGAAAAGATGTCATACCGCTGCTTCAAGGACATCGTCTCGGCCACTTGGGACACGTTTGACAAAATATACTCGGCACAGGACGAGTTGAAGAAGAGCGCGAAGCAGCAACTCAAGAATCCCTTCCAGAAAGGCATCGAGGGCTATGAGTTCATGGGCATAGTTTCGCCGCACGGGCCCCTTACCAGACGGAAAGTCAACCTCCACACCAACGGCGCCGAGTGGTCGGAATTCGTAGCACGCATCAACGCCATCACGCTCTTCGGACGGAACTTTGGCGAAATCTACGAGCCAACCGCCGAGGCAAATCTCTGCAGCCCCTGGCGCACCGTCCCTGTGGACCAGGAATATCTTACCGTTCCGGTATCGCTTCTGAAAGAGCTGAAGGAGTACACCTGGGAAGACGGCAAGATTGAAGAAGACTCGCCGGAGCTCGTCAAGCACGTGTTGTGGACCCCGTCCGAGGGTGCATTCGAAAAGTGCGGTGCGAGGACAGACGAGTGCACCCGCGAGCCTGATGATCACGTTCAGCAGCTCACGAAAGTGTCCAGAACGGCGTCTGGGTTCTTCGAGATTGCAAGACAGAAGGGCACCACCACTCACGAAGAAGACTACCTGCCGATGAAGAACGGCGCTGTCATATTCGGCAAGAGCAGCCGTCTGATACACTCCCGCCCCACCAACAGCGGGTACGACTCCAGCCAAGCAGGCTCTCTCCACACCGAGGCAGCGGAGCGCAATGGCAGCAGCTCCATGATGGCTTTCACCCACGCTGGGATTCGGTCGACCTCGACGTTCCAAGAACGAGACGATGACGAGACTTCCGGTATGAGCAGTCCTCGTGCAATGAGCCCACTGAGCGGTGGAGAGCGGCCTTTCACAGGCCTCGAGTCGAGTAGAATTGGAAGTCCTCCCGCGTCGTCCGAGGCCACCGCCTCTGAATCGACGCTTGCCTCCCAGACGGCCCAACAGAGTCCTGCCCCTGCAGCAACAAGAAGGCGCGGACATCGTAAAGCTTTGAAGCTGAGAGAGGCGCTTTTGAAGTTCCGAACTTGGAAGCAGAAGATCCGACCGAGGGCTACTGTGAAATGAGCAGCACGTAGAAGCTTCTGGAGAAGCGAGAGAATTTCTTTGTTGTACAATGTGGGCGGGGGATCGGGTTAAACAAGTAAGCACACCCGTTTCAACTTTCAGATAATAAGATGTACTGACGATAGACACAGAGGCAGTTAATATAGTAATACTTGAGGAGTAATAAATCAAACTACGAAAATGAAGGAAATTTCTTGCAACATGTCCCATGACATCCGCCACACAGTTACTGCATTTCGGCAACTCTTTGCCGACCTTCCATCTCCACAGGCCCAGTGTTCCCTTTCTCCTGCGGCTGCCTAGTACCTATCTCGAACGGCCCATTGTGATAAGCTCCGTCGGCTTGCTGATTCGGCCTATTTGCCCGCAGCGTTCTTCTTTGTTGAACAGCAAACATCCCCAATGCTAGCAGAGCCAAGCTGAGAACACCCACTGAGACCCCAAGACCTATTCGAAGCTCCTTGGTAGAACAGGTAGAGCTTGTGGCTTTGTTAGTGCTTGTAGAGCCAGCGCCCGTCTGGTTGGAACCTGCCGCGGTTGTCGTTTGCTTGGGGTTCGGAAGAACGACTGTCCCATTGCGGTTCAAGTAGATGCCGGTTCCCGAATCGCAGCAAGTTCGATTTGCACCTTCGCAACAGAAGCTGCCATCTTCACATTGGGTAACCTGAAAGTATGCTTTTGTGTTCAGATGTCCTGAAACTCTAGTGTTAGACAATTGGGGTGGCCCTACATAGCAATACTTGAAAGCACTTACCGCAGAGGTCATACAAAGGCGAGCAGCCAGAGCCCCACAGCGGATCAGTGCATGAGTCCACATAGTACGTATCGGAGGCGGTGGTATTAGAAGCGCAGAGACCTTGCGGGGTGCATGTGTCGTTCTTGTATGTGTCACCAACAGGGCGATTTAGCCAACAACACATTGAAGTGCTGAGAAACCCCGGGCAACTCCTGACTTCAGCGCTGGTGTTCTCGGTTCCATCTCGATAGTAGCAAGTGGAGCTCATGATGGCAAACTTCCACGACTTTTTCCGTGAGTCAGTGCAAGATATCAATTAGCCTGCTTTCGAGCGGAGAGTCAGGCTGAAGGAGCTACTTAAATCCATTCGCTGCGGGCTACCACCAATCCCTATCGGTGAGTACCCCGATGGATTGACTGACGCGGCTTCTGCGTGCTGATGGCTCAGCTGTGCGCCGCGGGGATGATTTCTGCATCCGTGCAAGCCTCAGTGCTGGTCGCGAAGCCGAGCCCATGCTTGATTGGTTGCACCGTTGTATACCAGCCCTTTTACCGAAGGCTGAACAGCAGCTGAGCTACCAAAGGCTACATGATGCAGCTCACGGGCGTCAAAACGGGACGAGCGTTTGGCGCCGCCTCGTATCCCTCAAACCTTAGTAGACGAGGTACCTATAAGCGTAGATTATTGGCAGCGTAAATGTTGGTTGGGGGCCCGCTAAGCCTCATTTCAGTGCGCGCACGGTGGGTTTTGCTTTTTTCTGGCTTGTTTCAGCCTTGCTTATCGGAGCTGCTCGGGAGGATGATCACCCCAACTTTGCCGATTAGAGCTCATATGAGATTTAGAGTTATTTACCGCGGGAAAACAGCTTTTCCAAGCAGCAGTCTGAATGCCCTGCATTGTTCGATTACTTCTGTTTCTTGATTTCTATAATAGACCCATCTGATACATCGGGTGACTGTCTGATGACGCAGTGGTGTGCTGGGAGACTCTGAGAGAGGTTATATCTATAGTGATGTGCGATCAGAGTGCAACGGACAGTTAGAGTATGTACATCAATGAACAATGATGATTTACATCTCTTGAGATTGAACAATGATTGCTACTGTAGTGGAGAAAATCAGCAACACTAAACAGTAACTCTTGTTCTTTGATTGGTCTATAGGATACCGTAACACGATATCTCTTCAGAATCGGGCATAGTCCAACCTAGTGCATGATCCATACTCTGTGATCATCAGCCCAACATAGTACATTCCGCCGATTGCCGGAGTGAAGACTGGAATGGTCTGTAGTAACCAGGTAAGGAGCCATCTGTAGAAGTGTTTCTCCTTCCACGAGCTATTGTGCTGCGAAGTAGATCCGGACATGCGCCAAGTTACCCAGCGAAGCCACCAGGGTGATATGGCGCTAGAGATCTGCCACAGGGAAATGAAGACTACCTGATCAAGTCCCACTCCCGGAACGTATAAGTGAGGATGAGACAGAGCTACTGTAATGCCCAGTGGTGCGAGGAAAAGGAACATAAGTAGTGCCTCGTAAAGCTTCCTCCGATATACGCCATTGTCCAGGAAATCCAGCCGCACTTTCATATCGCGGTGTTCAGGGTTTATCTCCGCTATGAAGGTAGCGAACTCGTGCTCGTCCTGGCTTTGGACATTTTGCATATCCGGGGTCTTGATGAGGAACATGCATGGGAATTAAGTGGTGACGAGAGCGGCGATAATATTGATAAAGGCGATGAAGACGTAGGGAAAAATAGTGAGACCGAAAGCTGTAAATCCATAAGTCTCCATTTGGTCTCCTCTAGCTTTGTAGGGTGTATAGACACCACTACCCGCTTTGCAGGAGGCTTGCAGCGAGTGTGAAAAGGTTCCACTTATTCCCGAGCATGAAGTCTTGGAGGTCGACCGTCGCGGGATGACGTTGGGCAGGCGACATGGGATTCGTTACGGACTCCGAGCTGGGACTGGATTCGAGATCCCGGGATAAATTACTCATCCTCCCACGCATGAAGACGAGACTGATGAACCGTTTCAACCCGGCCAATAGTGGTAGTGGTGGAAATTCAGAGAGCTCTTCTTGCAACCCTTGCAAAGGAGTGCCGGGGGGAACTTCAGCTAGAAAAAAGTCCTGCTCCATACCATCACTGTTGGGCAGATTCGTAATGCCGTGCACAGAGCGGTTGGTAGGAACCAGTTGCGGACTATCGCCGTTGAAGAAAAAATTGTTGAACCAGCGAGCCCGCTTCCCAGAACCGATGTTTTCCTTTCTTAAGACCATGCATTGAGCTCCTGCCTGCGCGGCAGGTTTGAGACCGGAATGCCTTCAAGCGTGGCAAATGATCGATCGAAGTGCACGTATGATGCCTGATCCAGGGATAAACATCACATAAAGTGCGTTGATGAGCCGTTCCCGAAAGGTTGCCCTGGAGGATGGATGGCAGTGAAGACGCGGGCAAGGTAGTTGACGCAGAAGAAAACAATAAGACCATAACCTCGAGGAGGAACACAGATCAGGTTTTCAACACCATGGTCGAGAGTACCATCGGGTACTAAAATTATGTGCGAAAATTAATGCCCGGAAACATTTCTTAAGCAGGGAAATGTTTCCCGAGTAGGGAAACGTTTCTTCAGCAGGGAAACGTTTCTTGCTGCCTAAAAACTTTTCAATGCCTAGTGAGATCTTTAATTGACATGGAGGTGCACAAACTATAACTGATGTAGTCAGTGTTTAAGTAGATGTAGAGAACAAACTTGTGTCAATTTAGGCAATTTATAAGAAAAATATGATCTTGACTCTGCCCTGCAATCTTCGGTCGAATTGTACATCACGACTATATTCTACCATTAGACGGCCAGTCTATCGAAGAGACTCTTTTACAAGAAGTTCGGCATATGCCCCATAAATGATTTTGCCGAGTCGAGAAACCGTTTTAGAGGACTTGGCTGACAATAGTGCCAAGAATAGGGGAACCCGCCAGGGTGGCAAAGCATCCCGTGCGCATATGCTAAACCCGGTAAGGCTGATGAATGCCGTACTTTCGGTCAGACTCACTTCCGTGTCTCTTACGTTTCCTGGCTATTCACGCCGCCGGGTAGTCTACTCGTGGGCGGAAGGAATGACACAAGATCCAGTCATATTGGAGCATGCATGTTCAGTCACGATTGCCCAATGAATGTTTTGACTCACGATTTCCACGCCATTTATCAGCCGCAGGCTACGAACCTTGGGTGGAAGAGAGCTGTAGGACCGGCCCGCTAGCCCAATTACAGTAAAGCGGCTCAATGAGCTAGCCCCACGGCGTAAAGTCACAATCCTTAGCGGCTGCTGCCTACGGGAGATCTACACGACGGCGTTGACGTTAAATTCGAGGACAACGCCGCCGCGACAGCCCCAACTCCAACACCACGCTCATGCGTAAATACACCACTGCTCTCCTTTCCTCTTTCACCCGCATTCCCTTCATTCCCCGATCTTTCCACCCCACCAAACCGCCGCTCCGCCCCCACCCCTTCTCCACAATGTCACAGGCAGGCCCCCAAAACGGCCCCAAACTCGACATGTCCGCCGCGCTAGAGCCGCAACTCGAACACGCACCCCGCGACGCGCCAGCGCTCACGCTCGAGCAAGAAACGCCCACAAACGAGCACTGGGCGCTGCTGGCCACGCACTTCTCGTCCGTCACGGACCTGCACATGGACAGCGGCTGGAACGAGGAGCTGAACGACCGCGACATCCCGCTGCACTGGCCGCTCCAGCGCCTCACGCTCAGCAGCGCCTGCGGCGAGGTCTGCCGCTCGCCCTGGATCGTCGAGGGGCGCGTCCCGCACCTGGTGTTGAACTACACGGCCGGCCTGCGCTTCGAGGGACCGACGACGAAGGAGCTGTGCAAGGCGAATGATGAAGCGATTAAGGAGGGCGTTAAGGAGGGGCCGGAGGAGAAGGGTGGGATTAAGATTACTTTTGTGCCGGATTTGGTGGCGGAGTGGATGGAGAAGAAGTACAGCAAGAAGGACGACAGCGGCGCTGATGCCGAGGGAGAGAAGGAGGAGAGGCAGCCGGAGTCGCGGCTACGGAAGCTGGAGATCGTGTACAATGACGTTCGCGACATGCTGTACCGCTACGTGCTGGCGCACCCGAGCCTGATCGATCCGGTGCAGGAGCTGAGTCTCATCGCGAAGAGCAAGTACGACATGAGCGCGTGCGACGAGCAGATCCTCGAGAAGGTGCTACCCCAGCTGGAGCAGCTGCGGACTCTCGTCCTCGTGCTGGGAGATCACTACAGAGACCGCGAGCAACTGCCGAATTTCTTCAAGTTCTTTCCGCCCAATTTGGAGACGCTGCGCTTCCAGAGTTCTGTCTCGCTGGCGAGGGATGAGGTCATTTCGAAGTGGGCTGAGGCATTTCAGGATCCGAAATTCTTGCCGAAGTTGAAGAAATTGAGTTTTGTGCTGGATCTCGAGGACGGCGAGCAGGAGAGGTGGGAGACTGAGGAGTGGGAGAGGAAGCACGCGAACGACGCTGATGAGACTGGGAAAGAGACGGAAACAGCAGAGGATGATACAGCATCGTCTTCGTCGGAGGAAAGCGCTGATGATACCCCAGAGGATGAGGAACAGAAAGGGCCGACAGCGGGAGCCGAGCATGATGCGGTAGAGGCACAAGAAATGACTACTGAAGCTGCCCCCAAAAAGCCACCTCCTAAGGTCTCAGACGAGGCTTTAGCAATGGCAAAGCGTGCTTGTCAACGCGTAGAGCGGGCAGCGGAAAGTCGTGGTGTGATCATTGAGCCATTCATGGGCGAGTGGAGGCAAGAGTTTACCAGAGTTACGAAGCTGGATGAACGATGGGACGAGTTGTAGATAGTAAGTAGTCGAGAGGGATACGGCGATTTGAACAGGAATGGGTAATCTCTGCTCAACTCCACTCTGTAAAAGTCAAATGATACCCCTTGATCTCTAGCCACTTAGTTTCTCTATGGGTGATTTCCATCAAAGCTCAGGCTGTCCGGAGATTTCGCATCAAGCTCCCACATCTCTCGCAGCAAGCCAGGCGAGGATTACCGCGCAAATACTGACCCACCAGCTAGCAATTCCAAAAGCTCCTTGCACATCCTTCTGAAAGATCGACCACAAAACACCAAAAAGGAAACTTCCCAGAATGATGATGGTAAGAACAGCAGCCCAAATCCTCGTCCAATGCAGACCCTCTTGGAAGTAAATGCCCCACCCGATCACTTCCTCATCAAGACTCGCCTTGAGCTCACCTTGGAGCTTTTTCGGGAACTGCTTGAGCATCCATACTTGCCCCTCATCTATGCAGCAAGGACTATTCATGAGATGGAGCAGCGTGTTTGGTCCAATAGGAGGCCAACGTTTTGGTGGGACCGGGTCGTATTCGTACTCAGCGTTTGAGACCTTTTCTTTTGGCGGCAGGCAAGAGCAACTGGACTGGCAATGTTTTTCATGCCCGTGGATGTCGACATACCGAGTGGAAAGGAGAGAGAACTATCAGCAAGGTTTGAGATAAATTAAGTACAGTACAATGATACGTGGCTACAAAAATACATACCTCGTTGAAATGAATACCGGTAGGCCTACGCATGGCGAAGATGGAGGGCAACTTTCCGCGGTGTTCTTCGTACATGGCTTTCAAGAGGATAAATAGATCTCTGTCGAATCCCAAGTTTGAAATTTGTTTCTGATGCAGTCTCGTCCCAAGGCTTCGCTCCAGGATACAAGTCAAAAGGTGAATAGGTTGGTTTTGCGAGGAGATGGATGGTTGAGATTCTCCTCGGACAGTTGTATCCCGGCGTGATGGAAGCCCAGGCCCAGCCCTTCGCCTGCGAAGATCTCTGATCAAACCCTGTATCGTTTGCCTGATTGCATGGTAGAGTGATTTGAAGACATTTCCGACAGATGACCCTTTCTGTGGTGAGGATCTCGTTATAACCGAGATCCCGCGGAGCCATTTTGTTCCAATCATCTCTTCAAATCCACTCAACGCCTGCCAAATTGAGTACTTCATGACCGCGTTGCGCAAAACCTCTTGTTGTCTCATCGTGATCTCTGAAGAGAGATCAGGTATCGCATAGTCGTCAAAAAGCTCGACTCCACATCTACACTGCCAACGGAGTCTACAACAGCCTGGAGATAGCGGCGTCTCACACAGCCCCAAGTGAGAGAGAGCTGTTCTGGTTTTCGCATCAAAAGAATGATCTGCTGGAATTTGTGACGGCCAGATTTCAAGAACAGCGAGGCCCAGCTCCAGGGAATGCCGTGTTGCGGACGAGTAAACGCCTTTGTCCAGTTCCCCAGGAAAGAACAAACAATTTGCCGTATTCCGAAGGAAGGCTCTGAGCAATTCTTCCTTCTCCTCCGCCCACTGAATCTTCTCCTCCTCCATTATCTGCAACCTGGCCTTCGTTTCTGTGAATGTCATATCATACTGCTTCGTCATTTTTGGTTCTCGCCATGTTGATGCTAGGTTTGGTGTGGTACGTTCTCCCCTGCTGACCGCAGATCGGGCCGCACGAGGTGGTGCGGGAGGCGGCGAAGGAATTTCTGGTGCCGGACGTCTGGCTGTTGAGATACCACCGGCGGAGGCACTGATGGGGCTCTTACTGGGCCGCGGAGGTTCTGAGTGGGCACCAGGAACAAGCGTAGACAGAGAAACTTGGTCTAGCTCACGCTGAGGTCTACTATGATGGCCTTGGTCATATGGATCATGATACGGCTTGGAGTGCCGGTCGTCCAGGCTCGGAGACTTGCTCTTGCCAGAGATTCTTTCAAATAACAAACGTTCCTTCTCTATAAAATCAGGTTCGGTATCAGCCAAGGGTCCGTCATACTGGCGCTCGTGGTGGTAGGCGTCGTCCTCCTTCAAGCGGTGAGCAGCATCCAGATTGCTTCTACTTTTGCTCCGCGGAGGAGAAGCATGGGCAGGCGAGTCATGTTCGCCGTAGTCCTGACGGTCTGTAGAGCGGACGCAGCGTGGAGGGTCGTAATCCTCCCACGCCTTGCTCATGTAGTCCTGAGAGTGTTGTAGAAAGGCGTCGGGTGGGATGTTCTTCACGCTATCTTGGCGCGTAGGGAGGTCTATGCGATCAACTTCTAGACTTCCACGGAAGCTTCCGGATTCTTGGCTAGTATCGTGCGAATGTTTCGGTGTTGAACCCTTGATCGGTTTTCTCTGGTCCCATATACAGTTGCGCCGAGCCCTTCTGCACTGACGGCAAATCGGGTGTTGACCGTTGCATTCTAACCCGTGGCGGCGGCACGCGTAACATCTTCTGGTCGTAGGAGCACCCGTTTTCCCATCTTTAAAGCTGATAGGGGCCTTGTTGGCTTTCGGAGCCTTTCGATGAAACAGTTCTCGGTCAGGCTGTCTCAATTCAGAAGTTGGAGAGGTCCATCGAGGCTCCAAACGATCGTTTTCGCTTAATGCTCCATCGTTTTCTTTCTCCTGGAGCGGATCTACAGAGATTTCAAAATGGTCACTACACGCGTAATCAACATGAATGGTCTTTTCTTCCACAATATGCCCCGGATTTCCCTGTTGCGGACACGGACTCACTGCGTGCTTGTGATGTAGACATCCGCAGCTAGTGTAGCGTTCAACGACTTGATAACACATCTCGATGTAAAAGATCGGAGCTCCTTGCGTAGTCTTTGAATGATGTGTGCTCACTGATGGATGAATGTCGCTTGGTTTGAATGGGGTGATTGAGTGATTGTCAAAGCGCTCGAGACAAGGCCGAGGCTGAGGTGAACGTCTTGGCTCTCACATCAGCATGCATGCACTTGCCTCAGGCCGATGCATAACACTTAGCCTATTGCAGACTGTGAGGCTTAAATGGATCAGCGAATCATATTCAAAACAGCAAGTATACGGGTTCTGCTTCCTATGGTATTCTTGTATGCTAATTGCGTGTACATACACGGAACGCATGAGGACAACTTCTCCTTTACAATTTTCCAGTAGCAGAAGATTATCCACATCCTTATCCCTGTGAACACCTAAGTATGGCTATCATTGGCAGAGGTAAAAAGGTCTCAGCTCATGGATTCCAAACCTGCTTCCCCATCTCCCAAATAAAATAATCAAATTCCTCAAAACGGTCCGCCGTATATCTGACACAGTACAGACAGAAAGCAATCACAGAAATGAAAGTAGCCAACCCACTCAGTACCACGAGAATAACTGTCTCGACGTCGCCCAAGCTCTGTGATGACGTGTCCATCGACCCTTTAGAGCCCTCTCCACCATCAATTTTCTCTTCTCGAGATGTCCTTGGTTCTTCTGCGGCCTTTTCCGTCAAGGGATTTCGATGATGATCATTCTTTTGTGGTACAAGTGACCGGATCCAAATGTATGACCTCCAGAGTAATTTGAAGAAGTAGTAATACACCACGCCGAGTGCGATAATGAGCAGGATGAGATACCGGAGACGGAAGACGACGTCGCCGTAGTCAGGTTCTCCACCTTGTGAGTCGGGAGATCCGGGGGTCTCCCGCTGACCAGATGAATTCAAGATGTTCTTGGGTTTCTTCAACTTTTTCGGGGTGACGTCCTGGATCGTAGAAGTTTGAGTGCGTGCTAAGACCTTCTCATCTTGCACCTTCGCCTCATACTTCTTCTTCTCAGATTCCCTCTTGTCAGACTTGTCCATCTCGGATTCCGTCTTCCGATTCTCAGATCCATCCATCCCGGATTTTTTCATCTCGCATTCTTTCGTCTCCAGGTTCTTATGCTCCCGCTCCCTTTTCTTACGCGCCTGCTCCACGAACTTGGGTATCTCTGGTAGGAGATATTGGTACTGCCACCGCGGCGGAGGCGTGAACTGGTTGCCCGTGTAAGCACTTCCTGGTGATTGCACATCGCCACGGAATGCCGCATCTCTTTCCGCTGCACGCCGCCTAAGCTCTTCAAGAATCTCCTGTTCAAGAAGAAATTTTCTGCCAGAGTCATCTGTATGGACGTTGTACATCAACCGAACATCTGATCCCAAGAGCCGAGCAGCCTGTTCCAGCTTCTGCAGCTGGAGTAGAGTCGGATCGTACGGATCAGAAACAATCTTGAGCGGATACGCGCCGGCAACTTTGCAAGGGTCCGTGAGATAGTACTCCAGCGCCTTCCGAGCTGCGACGGGAGAAACGAACGCGATGGAAGAGCTGTTGTAGGATTCATTCAAGATGACGGCGTTGATCCTCTGAACGTTCGTGGAGTTGAGAGGGAAAAACCGGAAATCGAACCGATGATCAGCTCGCGGAGTTCCGTCTTCGCCATCGATCAGAACGGGCATTCCGCCGACGATTTTGGTGTATGAATTGCGCGCCTTCGTCACAGGGAGCGTTTCGAGAAAGGAGCCGGTCATATCGTATTCTGAATGCAGCCTCCGGTGCATCTCTCGTTGCAGTCTCCTCTTCTCGCGCATACCCGGGAGGGCGTCTTCCTCCGCGTTGGGCAAGAGCGTGCTGCGGAGGACCATCATGATCTTCGGAGAGATGACGGCAAAGTTGTGGTATTCCGTGCACGCCGTTGTGATCTTCTCGCCAGTTATAGGGTTGAGTTGGAAGCTTACTGGCCCTTCGTAAATGTCGAAAGCATTCTCTGTGAGAAGGAACTCTTCGTCGTGCTCGGAGGGCGTGCAGAATGACAGGTACATGAGCTGCAAGTTGACAAACGCCCATTCCGCATCCCCGGGGTACATCCTGTCCAGGATTTCGGAGAACCACTCCCCATCCTTGTCGATCTTGACTTCGGCCATTGTCTTGATGTTGTCCAACCAGACCTCGATCGGCTCCTTGAATCCCTTCTTGCGCATGTATTGAACCATGCGATGTCTGTCGGGGGCGTTGTATGTTTCGATGTCTCTGTGATAGAAACGCTTGTGCTGGTTTGATCCCCTGTATCTCATGACGAATAGGAATCGACGTAGCTCATCTCGCTCGGTGCGTAGTAGTTGCACTGTCGGAAGTCCATTCTCCTGCGCTTCCCGGATCTTGCGAATGATTGGTGCTACGGCACACTCAAGCTTACCAAGCTGTTCCTCAACATGATGTTGGTTGGTAGATCGTTGAAGGTCTCGGTACATGTCGTCTTGACCGAAAACGCGACCCAGTTCAACCTCAGTCTTCTTGATTTCGGGCTCAAGCTGCAAGACATATAGCATATCTGGCTTGCTCCATTTTTTCTTTTTCCCCCTTTTCCCCTCGATTTTCTGGTTTCGCTTTTGTTCCTCAAACTTTTTATTACGTAGAATAGCAGCCTCTGAATGGTGCGCAAAGTTTCTCAAAAGGAATCGAGGGATGTAATGACCATATTTCTTGGGCTCTTGTGACTTTTGACCAGTTGGTGGTTCTTCCGTGAACCCATCTTGTGGCTTATTGGCAGATTTCTTCATGGCGTATTCGTGACAAATGAAAGATGAAGCTGTGGAGTTTCAGGCAGATGCGAGGGGGAATATGTACTTATCGAATCTTGTTGCAGCGTATAAGCGCTGGGGTGTGCGGCGTAGTCGGAAAAAGCGGGGAAACACCAATCACGTAGCCCCGCCCACCAAAAACAAATGATTATGCGACACGTCTCTCTTGATAAGATTCGTGCAAGTGGGTATCGGAGCTGACAAATAATGCGATGAATAGCAAAAATTCCGAGCAGGGACAATTGTGTAACTGCCAGGGTAGACCAGAGAACGATCCTACGATTTTCATTGTATTTTTTCTTGTTTTTCGAGGGAGAAAATACTCGAACTACAGGATATATAAGCTGTTATGTGTCTAATACTATCAAGGCCATCTCTTATTCGTTCCGTCTTCGAATAAAGGCTGTGTCTTTTTTTGCGATACAACAGAGTCTTCCTGAAACGCAGATTTACAAATAATCAACTATTGTACAAATCATCCCATTAAGACATTGATTTCCACTTCCCATTATTGAAAGGCCATAGTGTATTTTAACAATGCATCTTGCGACACGCCTGACCTTTTGGACACTGATACTACCCAAACGCTACATGCTCTTGAACCAAATTTTTCTGAATGCTGTTTGGAAATGGGGCTGCAGTCATCGACTGCCATACACAGAACCCCAACCTTTTACAGCTCCCTGAAAGTGCTGAACTAGGACGAAAGATGAGGAGGCCGACGTGAAAGTACCGCTTTCTAGCGTTATGCGGAAGGTCGGTTGTGTGTTCAGGTTTAGCATTGTAGTACCCCAGGAGCAGAACACATAGTTCCGCTTCAGGATAGGTGGCTCTGTGCTTCTCGAAGAGCCTATTGACATCCTCTTTTGTTGCTGAATTCTCCCGATCATGGCTATCGAGGAGGGGCGCAGATATTGGGCGAAATGGAGACGCATCTAACCAAGTTTGAAGAGGAAGTTGTGATTCCACTTCAGTCTCCCAGCCACTTCCAAACACTCCGTCCAAATCTTTGTAACGAGCCATCTTCCCTTTGAATAAGCAAGGTGACTCTGCATCCCCACGAAGTGTAAGCGAGCAACAAGGCTCGTACTGCAAATCCCAAGACCCCCCACCGCCTATGACTCGAGGCACCCAGGATGTCTGATTGAATCGCCAGGCTTGACCACGTGCTGGTGGTTCTGTGAATATATGCATTTGACTGAGGACTGTATGTCGCACAAGGAGAGCTACACCAAGCTTCCATTCAAGCTCGCTTGCAGGTGGGACTTTGGTATCGCTTGGTGGCAGTAGATCGCAGAATGGCGTATCATCTTCTAAACGAAATAAGCTTCGTACGGCGTGGATGTAACTCCGCTCACAATCCGCGGCGCGGAAGCGGGTTGCGGAATACGCGTTGATTGGATTTCTGGTTGCGAGCGCGGCAAGGCCTGATATTTCCAGGAGCATGATGATGTTGCGTAGAAGATGTAACCTGCGGTCGGATGTGCCACAGTTTTCAAGTCTAAAAGCTCTCCGGCATTCCGTGTCGATTGTTGCACATGAGTCAAGGAGTTCCTGAAGAGTGGCCAGAGAAGTACCATGCTTCACGTGCTTTCCATCTTTATCCAGGACCTTAGCATCCGGACGAACGGAGACCTCCTGTAGTGTCCACAATGAAGTGAACCATGGATCCTGGAATAGTTCTACTAGTGCGGTATATGCGTCGGATAGCCACAAGTCCATTGATGTGCCTTGGTGTTTTTGTTCTCTCAGGGAAATGCGGTTTTTGAGTGTGGAGGCAGCTTTCTTCAGGGCTCCCCAACTCTTCTGGAGATTTTGCTGGTCCTTTCTTGTGATCCAAACGTACACTTCTTGGGCTTTCTTGAATATCGCCGCCTGTCGACGTATTTCAGCATCCTGTGCCGTACCAGGGCGCTGATCGATGCAAGCTTGGTCGATCCACAAGAATTGGACGTCATCAGACCTTCCCCCTTCGCTTTTGATACTTTTAGCATGGAAAATAGCGTTCCTGATACTTTTCTGCCGAAAATGACTGGGAGAAATAGAGGCTAACTTCCATGGTAGACCGTTGATGAACCTCATTCTTGCTTTGCGTCTCTTTTTCTTTCGGGGCTTTTGATATCTTCCCCACGTATAGCTCAATGCGTTAAAGCGAGGCTCCTTCCATTGACCGTAGAAATTTCCAGGTTGCCATTCCAATGAAGTCCAACTTGGAACATGAAGAAGTCTCTGAGGCCAGTCTCCAATTCCTTCCGGTAATACGTCATCGCAGCCGCTGGATAGACCTGTTCCAATGGCGATTGCCGCAGTTGCATAGTCGGAAGCAGAAGCTTGGTATGGCTCAAAGGATGGTTGGTAGACTACATGAGGTAATGTAGGCACAGGTGGTACGTAGGCCAAAATATCGACGACATCTGCAAAAGGCCAAGGATCAGCAAGTTCCTTCATAATTCGAATGCTCTGATGCCAAATTCGTACAGGTCATGGGCGATCCTGCTGAGAAAAAAAAGAGGGGACAAATCGGGTTTTCAAGAAAATCGCTGTTGCATTGTGCTTTTGTTGGCATGACCAGCTGGTGAGATTGGCACATATTGAGACAAAAGAAAAACCACGTTGCGATCTGCAACTCGGAATGAGGAGATTGCCGGTATGCACTGTTGAGACAACACGGAGCTGTGCTTGGTATCATTTCTTTGTTCCCAGATTAGACTCGGTGTTTGCTTGCATTGGATGACGTGTACACAGCTCACGCTAACTCAAACTCAAACACCAATAAATCATTATTCGCTACCGAACCAGCCGGTTCCACGTATTTGAGTGAACATGATAGTCGAATGCCCATGGTGCAATGTTGTAGCCTTGGCATTGGCTTAATACGTGGCTGAGACTTATAAAGGGGTAACCCCAGCTGAAGGCTAGCGTGAATTTGTTTTTTGCTCGTGCCATGGATAGGTAAAGCTATTTCCCGGACGTACATGTAGGAATTTCAATTCCACATTCTCATGCGGACGATAGTTTCAGCCTCCTGTGGGCCATATCATCAGCAAAAAACAAATTCATGCTAGTAGCCTTCGCCTACGACACCCCTCTATATACTTAAAACTGCTAGGTGGGGATGGGGGCAGGGTTCTCAAAAGCGTAAGCGGCTTAAGAAATGTTAATAAGCGGCTTATGAGCGGCGAAAACGACCCGCTTGATTAAGATTCCCAGATGAAACGTTTTCTCGAAAAATATAGAAAACCAGCCGCTTATTTTGCAAGCGTAAAGCAACCGAATCAATTGTACTTTTTACTAGAAAAAACTTAAGTATTACCAAATTTATACATCTTAGCGGGCTAGGATGCATGCGCTCAGAAAATTAACAGGAGAGTATGTATACGAAGGGGCGATAACTGCCTATTACAGTAAGATCGAGGCTCCGACTAACCTAAAAAAAATGTTTACTAAGCGTATGTTAAGCGTTTCATCAATCCAGCGCAGGTGTGCATGATTAATTAGTAATAATCTAGACTGCTTGATGCCTAAGGCGGCCCGTCAGAAGCGCTCGGACTGGTGAGGCGCGCTTGTTGAGAGCCCTGGATACGAGTTGGCTGGGTCTTGGGTTTCACTCACGAGCAGGGATCGGCACATCCCCAGGAATGGAGAAAACGCGAGAATGCACGATAAATGGAAATCCCGTTCTGTCAGACCTCATCATTGCTCATGTTCATTGCCGCTTGTATTTGCCGTGCTTTATGCTTTTTCTCAACACCAAGGATTACAGCTTGTTTTATCTCACCACAATAACGTCACTCATTCATCAAACTTCATGACATCACTCCAAGCAATTGGTAGATATAAACAGGTAGTAATACTGCTGTATCATGAGAATTAGCAGTGTTAAATTCAATTCATTTGCACTGTTCAACACATTCACGAGAGATAGCTGTCAAGCGAGGGTGATTTCAATCAAATTTTATCCGAAAATCGTTCAAAACAAGCATCCCCATTCTCGAATCACGACAACAACTCATGCTTCCCTATCCGAGGACACTGAGCCTGGTTCTCCCTCTGCATGTTCATTTTCACTTCTCAATGTGGTGCTTGAATTCGAGTACTGCCTGCTACCCATTTTACTCGCCCTAAGACGCTCCGATGCTTTCTGCTTGGCTTCCTTGAGATTCTTGCAGTAGGTGGTGTTGATCGTCGCAACAACCTCAGTGCCGTCTTGACCGCGGAGAATAACCTGTGAAAGTGGTAAGTCTTTTCGACTACATTCGTTGAATCCCGCAATGATAGCCTCCTCAGTGGTCCCCCACAGATGGCCATTAGCATAGCGGTACACATGCATCGCGAGCGTGGCATAGAGCTGATAGCCGAGCCAGAGATACTGCATCGGCACAGGCATCCACATGATGGAAATGACGAGGCCGACCGGGAAGACAAAACCAAGGCAAATGATGATGATGAACTGGAGTATCTCCCGGCCACGGTCACGGATTGGATGTCCGTAATGGCGGAAGAACTGGAGCACGACAGACTCTTTCCCTTGGATCACCAACACTCCATTACGGTGATAGATCTCGAAGCACTTGTCGGTTTCCCCCTCTGTGTTGTCGGCTGGACGAGTGAGGTCCTCGCGAGCTACTGCGGCGAAAGTGCTGGTGAGCTTCAACAGAAGTGGGATGAACCAAAGCGTAGCAAGCCCAGATTTCCATATACATGCTGCAATTGTCCCTACAGCAATGCCGGTCAACTCCGAGAGGACGACTCCAACATAGACTTGTGGAGAAATTGTTCCAGTGTCGTTGCGTATGACCGGTGGATTCGTCGCCTTCTTGATGTTGTACGCTAGAACTAGATGACTGTATGATGTCGTAGATCGCACTGGCGGTTCCTCAACCGTCCCCGCTTCCAAGCATTCCACCTCCTCAGTCTTCACTATCCCTGCCTTCGTCGTCTCGGCCTCCTCAGTCTTCTGCTTCAAATTCTTCAAAGCCGGCATTCTCAACTCCGAGATGGCACGAATCCACAACCCATTTCTGGTATGTTCCTTCTCAATCGGTTCGCCATCAATCCACACGGTGTACTCCAGCTTGTAATCTTGAAAGAATGCGGTGTCGAGCATATGTCCCATATGCCCCCCTTTGAACAAGCCGTGCTCAAAGAAGCTGTCCAAGGTCTGCAGCGCCGCCTTGTGCAACGGGCCGCCCATGGGCATGAAGAAGATTGCGAGAAAGGCATTGCGGGGGGAAAGGCGATTCCAGAATCTCTGTGGCCACAGGATGCGTTCGAACAGGTGAATGGTTGCTGCTTCAGCTCCCAGATAGCCAATGAGGGTTCCCAGAATATTGAGGTTCTGGGCGGCGCTGTCGGGGCCGCTGCTGATGTCCGAGGCCATGGCGAGTGTTAGGGAGTGATTGACTTCCAAAAAGTGCAGAACGACATACGCCGCCTTATATAAGCAATATTATTTTTATGTTGTACACCCTGATCAGGCAGAATTTGGAGGTGTTCGCAGCAGTTACCAGTAGAAAGATGGGGCGTTCTGTTGATTGGGTGCCCTAAATTTGTGGTTTTTTTGTGCGAGGTTTAAGCCTCATTGCTTGGCATTCTGAATGGTGTACAGTTACGGAACGTGCCTTCGTGCAGGAGGAATGTGACCTCACATGACGTGATAATAAGGCAAAATGTGCCTTGATGTAACTGTGGAGTCTGTAAGGTAAGCAAAGACTATAGAAAAGACTCCACGTTGTCGAAGCAAGATATAGCGCAGCGAGCGCAGGTGACCTTGCAGCCAAACACACGAAGCAACTGACGATATCCTGCAAGCACTCAGCCACTTCTCGGGACAAAGTTTCCTTCTCTTACACCGGCCGATTGTTCAGCCTTGCAACACTGCAGACGGATAGCCGATTGTCCATGGAAACGATTGCATGACGTGCCGGAAACGGAAGCATCCGGGGGCATAGCAGTGATGAGCGAGACGATCGAGCGCGGAGATCCGATTAATTCGCTGTTTGTGTCGGGCTCATCTTCCCCGTGTCGATCTTGGAGGGTAAGCAGTCATGTGGTGTATCTGGTGAAACAGCTCAACAAACCAACCAGAGGTGTCAATTGATTACAGAATCCAGCGTGGTGTAAATGGGCAATATTTGAAACCTTAGTAGTACAAAGTCAGCTGGCGATGCCCGTTCGCTGTGGTTAGTAACGAAGCTGTGGTTGTTGAAGCTATTGTCCTGATGTCCTTGTCTAGACGGTTGTCTAACTTACATGTGCCAAGAACCAATGGAAGTTGATCGCGGCAAATGCTTTTCATTCGCGCTTCTGAAACAAGAGCTAATACAGAGGGGTGCTGCAGCCGATGGCTAGCGCGAGGAATAGTAGGGTTTTAGAACATAGCGTAACTATGCACCAGCTACTCCTTAGAAAAAGAGCATATGTGGGTAGTTGAAGCTATCGTCCGGACGGGTATGTAGAATTTTTAATTCGACATTCTCGTCCAGACGATAGCTTCAACTACCCATGGCATGAGTAAAAAACAAATTCACGCTAGACATCGGCTGCGAGAGGGGACTGTAGGTAGATTCTTTCTCTCCCGCAGGCGCCCTCCGTTACTACCTCCACTCCACCTCCTATAGGCTACCGCTTTCCTGGTTTAGAAATCTGACAGGCGTCGTCATTCACTAAGACCTAACCAATAATGGTGTTGATTTTTTTGGCCAATAAATAAGCTTCGATAAGAACCAAAGGAGATGGGCGTGGAGGTCACAGTGGAGGACGCCAGCGGAAGAGATAACTCTTGTATCCTTTCAGAACAGTAAAAATACATACCTGCCTCCATGTGAACGCCGAATCCAGACACCACCAGAAGGAAATCTCGCCGCAGGCCCAAGATAAAATGTCGGAACCATAATCGGCACAGGGTATATGTCAAACCCACCATACTTTTTTCCTCCGTCATCCCGCGATTATCTCTTCTTCTTCCCGACGTCCAAGTCCCCACTCGCAATCAACTCCCTCCTCCTCGCCTCAACCTTCTCCTTCCGCTTCGTCAACTCCTCGATCTGCTTATCCACGTCCACCTCAGCCTGCTTGAATAACCGGATGAATGTCTCTTCCATCTGCTTGCTGTACGGATTCCTCTCCATTCCGCGCTCGGGCAGCTCAACGCTCCGTTCCTCCTGTCCTGCCAACTTCCTCTGAGCCGCAGCCTGGGCAGCGGCCGCTGCGGCGCCCTTGCCCTTTCCCCTGCCTGTTCCTTCCGGCGGCCACTGGCGCTCCTCGTCCGTTAGAGCGGCGTATAGCACCTCTGTGGGCTCGTTGAACTCGATGAAATCCAGAATCTCGGCTTTGACGAGGTTGGCGGCGCGCTGGCGCTCGGCGCTCTCGGGCGGACCGTAGGGCTCGAGGTAGAGGTAGTGGGAGCGGACGGCGTGCTTCTCGCCGACGTAGGGCTGGAAGTATAGGCGGATCTCAACCGTGAAGCCACCCCAGCCGGTCTCGCGGACCTCGAAGGGCGGGTTGGCGATCACTGTGAGAAGTCAGTCATGGTCAGTTCCAACTCTTCAAAATTTTCTTGTCTTCGGCGCAAGGAAGGGAAACCATTGGCACATACTCCTCTTGTTGTTCGGATACGTCTCGTGCAAGCTAAACTGCACCTTGTTCAACCACGTGCTCATATCCGGGCCGCCGTCGACGTTCTCGACGTACACGCGCCATCCGGTTGTGTGGTCTTCGGGGATGCCGGGCGGGCGGTTCTTGTCGTCCAGCTTCCAGGCCTCGGAGCCGATGCGGAAGGCGCGCGTGATCTTCACGCCCTTGACGCGCTTCTTGTCCGACAGGCCGACCATGGCGGAGTAGGGCGTGGAGGGGGTCGAGTTGAGCGTCGCGGTGCGGCGGTGGCGGATGGACGTGTCGATGTGCGGCAGCGATTGGGCGTGCTGGTGGCGCGCGCCGGCGGGGGTGTGGGCGTGCTGCGCGAGGCTGCTGCTGAGGCTGTGGCTATGGCTGTGGTGGTGGTGGTTCTGCTGGGCGGTCGTCTTCTTGCGCGCGCTGGCGCTGTGGTGGTCGTCGACGCCGCCGCTGCTGGCGCGGTGCGGGAGGGTGGTGGTGTTTTCCGGAGCGCTGCGCTTGCGGCCGGTGCCACTGTTGCTGCCGGCCTGCGAGAGCGGGTGCGAGCTCTTGCGGCGGTTGCGGGCGCCGTCTTCTTCGTCGGACGACTTGGGCTCGGCGAGCGAGACGTTGCGGCTGTGGGTGCGGCGCTTCTGGTTCGCGGGCTCCCACACGCCGGGCGCAAAGTCGCCGCGCAGCTCGGCGGGAATGAGCTCGATGGGGATGCTGCTCTGGCTGGTGGGGGTGCGCGACGGGGTCGGGCGGGCGGACGAGCTGCTGCGCTTGTGCTTGTTGGAGTCTGATTTTTCGGGGTGTTGGGCCGAGAGCGAGGTGGGCGTGTTTGCCTGGGGCGTGGGCGAGGCTTGCTGGGGCGTCCCGTGGGCCGGAAGGGGTCTCGCAGGGTCCTGTTGATTGCCTGCTTGGGGAGGCTGGGCGGCGCTGGAGGGTGCGATCGAAGTTGCGGGCGGCGGGCGCGGGCTGTCGGCTACGCCATTATTGCCTGCACTAGAGGGCTGCTGCGCAGGACCAGCGGCCGCGGCGGGGGCGTCGGTTGAGGCGAGGGCAGCGGGCGTGCCCTTGTTGTGCGAGGGAGAGGACGCGTCCTGCTGGACCGGCTGTGAGTCGCCGTGGTGGTGCAGCGAGGGCTGTGGTGTTTCCGGCGGCATGCTTGGCGCTCCAATGAGGTCAGGATGCGGCGCTGCGATCTGGGAGCTCTCTAGAAAAGGCGCGGCGAGCTCTCAGGCCACCGCGGAACAACACCAACACAATGGCGTCGTCGACTGCGAGGAAGATAGTGGTGTGCGGAGGCAATGGCTTTCTTGGTACGTGCTTGCTTTAAACCACGCGCAGCCAGCCATGCCAGAGCTGCTCCACCGCCGAGACTCAGAGCCACGACTGACGGCCCGCTCCCACAGGTTCACGCATCTGCAAGGCCGCCGTACACCGCGGCTGGACCGTGACCTCCATCAGGTCCGTCACCCACCCCCCGCTCTCTCCCGCTTCATCCTACACACCTCGCCCGCCATCACACTCTCACCCCCAGCATCCCCCTCCGCCATTGCCCCTCACCGACGCGTCTCCCGACCCCTCGACTCCGTGCCGCCCTTTCCCCCGCTTAGGCATGACGTGCCGCCGCCGTCAAGCGCCGCGTCCGGCCTCCTGACCGCCTCAACCCGCCGCAATCTACACAAACTGACACGTATCCGTCTCCGTTTCATACAGCCGCTCCGGCGAGCCCACATGGTCTGCAGTCACCTCCTCCGATGAGCGCCCTCCGTGGGCCGCCAACGTGCAGTGGCGCCGGGCCAACGTGCTGAACCCGGACGAATACGCCCAGGATCTGGATGGTGCCGACGCCGTCGTGCACAGCATGGGCATCCTGCTCGAGGCCGACTACAAGGGTGTGCTGCAGGGCAAGGAGTCGCCGTTCAGCGGCCTCTCGCGGGCTTTCTCTTCGACCAAGCAGGGCAGCCAGAATCCTCTCGAACGCAAGCCCGGCGAGGAACTTCGGTCACAGGAGAAGGACGGCCAGCTGACGTACGAGCTGATGAACCGGGACTCTGGTATGCTAGTCCTACAACCGTCCTCCCTTCTTTCACACACTCTCTCTATACTCCCTTATCACCTACTACTAAATTCTCCTACCTTCCATCCCCCACCCCACCCATCCTCACACCATCACCCATCCAATTGGCGTGCCATTGACTGACCCACGCCCCCCACCACAACAGCAATCCTCCTCGCCAAAGAAGCCGCTGCCCACCGCGTCCCGACCTTCATCTACATCTCCGCCGCAGCCGGCGCCCCTGTCCTCCCCTCCCGCTACATCACGACCAAACGCGAGGCCGAATCGACCATCTCGTCGCAGTTCCCGACGATGCGCAGCGTCTTCGTGCGGGCGCCGTTCATGTGGGACAGCTCGCGCGCTTTTACGGTGCCGCTGGCCGCCGCCACGGGCGTCGCGTCGCTGTTCAACAGCGCCGTCGGCGGCCGCCTGACGTGGCTGATGGGCGCGGGCGGCACGAAGCCGCTCAAGGCGGACCTGGTCGGCGAGGCGGTGGTCGAGGCGGTCGAGGGCGGTGAGGCGAGCGGCCCCGTCGAAGTGCCCGAGATCGAGGCGTTAGCGACGAAGCATTGGCGCAGGAACATGTTGTAGGCGAAGAAGGACGGAAAAGAAAGGGTTTGTTCGACCACCCCGCGGTCTGTGTATCTTTTGCTGTAAGACTCTATGTAGCTTCGCTGTAGAATTAGCATGGCATGATTGACGGGGGTGGCTCTGGACAGCTGGACATCTCCACTCAGTTCTCAGGTACAGTAGGTGCGCCGTGATCGGAGACTGTCACACCACACTCCCTGCTTATCGGGATGCGGCATACGTATTCTATGAATCAAAAGAATCGAATGATATTTCAAACAGCTAAGAACCGTCTGTCCGATGCAGCCGTTCCCGGATCAATGGCCCCACAGCTACATGGGTGCCGATGGGAGAGACTGCTTCTGCGGCATCTCAGGTGACGTGGACAGCCGAGCTTTCCAGGATCTCAACACCATCAAATCAGCATCACGATGGCAAGCAAGAGGCACAGTCAAGGAAGCAAGGCGAAGGAAGCACAGTCAAAAAAGTCAAAGTGAAAGAGTCAAGTCAGTTCTCCATTGAGAAGTCAAAAAACTATCTAAGCTCGATCTGCCCTCAGAAAATTTCGGTGGTATCATTGGCAACTCGCCCAGCGGAGTTCTAGGGCCGTGAGATGTGCCGGCTGCCAAGTGTCGAATTTAATCTCTGTTGGTCATCATTGTGCATCACCTCGAGCTGAAAGAAAAAAAGCAGAAGAAAAACAAAAAGCAAGAAACCGAGCAGCTTCTTGACGCTGGAGACAGAAAAGCAAAAAAAGTCAAAAAGAAAAGCGAAGCTGGAGACAAGCTCGAAGCTTCCAAATGCTGGTCTGCGAAGAGGTTAACAACAACGAGAGAAGGGGGGAAGGGAGACATACCTGAGTTAGAGAAAAGAGGAAGAAAAAAAGTTGAGGAAACAGGACGAAGTGAAGTGAAATGCAGGTGCTGAAGGTGCTTGAGGAAGAGGGAGGAAGCCACTTACGAAGACAGTCAAGAAGACAAACAGTATGGAAAGCTGATCCAAGAGGGAGGATGAACCAAGAGAAGGTGGTATCCAGGATCGCTAAGTTTTTTTCATTTTTTTCAGTCCAGCTGTAAATGGTGAGGAGATGGATGGTCAACTGTTGACCAAAGACAGGATCCAAAGGAGGATGGGTATCCAACTGGACCGAGAGGAGGACACGGTGAGATTTGTACACTCGACGTTAGTCAGTGTAGCAAATGTTGCAGAGGGAAGGGAAGGGAAGTGAAAAACTCACGTGACCGTGAGGAGGCGTCAAGTAGCCAGGCGCTGGAAGAGGTGGAAGGAGGTTTTGCCATTTTTGAGGGAATGGTGAACCGATCCCATCAGCCAATGCTGTGGGATATGCTAGTGGTCGGGTGATGATGAAGACCAAAAGGTCGAGGACTGTGTGCGGTAGATCAGTGGGCACACAGTGAATGAATGAGCGAGATGGCAAAAGCAACTGTGGTGGAGGTGGAGAGGGATGGGTTCAATCTAAGCCAAAAGGCAAAGAGAGCTGAAGAAGGGAAAAGGTCGTGATGGTGCTCCAAAGATCGGTATATGTATGCTGCGATGTGGTCTGTGCGCCAGCATCACCACCCGATCACTTGCGCCCGTTGCCACGAGAACGAGCCAGAAAGGAAGGAGCGAGCGGGCGGAAGAGCGGTTGGCCGACATAGAATCACATGGAATGACAGGAACTAGGCGCTCATACGCCGCAGCGTGAAGTCGAGATCTCGAAGCAACGGCACGCATGCATTGAACCACTACCAAGCTATTTTCACCGCCATGGCAAACTCACCGTCAATCCGTCACAAGTCAATCCGACCTACGAGCCTCCTCCCCTCCGTCAATAGCATGCCTTTCCCTCTCGGGTTCGCCGTGTCACCCACACCACGCAAAGAAGTCAGCAAACCACCCGCTCTTCCATTCCTCCACTGCTTTCGCCGGACGCAGTACCACGCACCTTTTCACCCCGAAAACTCGGTGTTCCACTGGCCGCCCTCCATGATACAGGCGCAGTACGTGGTGGAGATGAAGTCCCCCGCGATGCTCTCGAGGACGAGCCGCTCCACGCCGGGCGATCGGAGAGGCCGCCGTAGATATTACCCTTCTGCAAGGATATCAATATTCCAGAATCCACTCCAACTGTCCCGACAGGGAGAGCAAACGCGTTTTTCTTAAGTTGCACCATGGATATAAAGTCTGAGGGCATGCGGACCACAACTTCTTACATCAACGCGTCGGACCACCTCTTCGGATCCTCGCCACAGCCAACCGCACAGCGGTACGAGAATGCCTACCGCTTGACTGGGGTGGAAGGTAAGTCTGACCATCCATCTCTTTCAACTTTTATAAACCTTACTAATTGTCTGACCTCATCATTAATGCTTATTGCCGATTGCATTTGCCGTGTTTTATGCTTTTCCTCAACAACAAGGATTATATATTGTTTATCTCACCACCATATCGTCACTCATTCATGATACTTTCTGACATCATTCCAAGAAATTGATGTATATACACAGGTAGTTTTAATGGTGTATCAGCAATGTTTAATTCAATTCATTTGCACTGTTTGACACTAACTTTTTTACAGGATCGTCCTGGCCCGCGGTCTCGCAGATCGTTGTGAGCGGCCTCGGCCATTCGTTGACAATGGTGGTGACACTCGAAGCTCCAGCACCAGCGCGGCGGCATTCTCGATATCGGTGAGCAGATGAAGACTCCGGAGCTGGCCATTTCATTCGCCCGTGATGTCGAAGCGCTGACATATTGCGCATCGCGGGTGCCTGCCAAGAGCGCGGAGATGGGCGCGGACACTGAGCGCCATGGCTAGCGCGAAGAATAGCCCAGCTCTACCTTAGAAAAATTAACATATGCGGGTAGGTGAAGCTATCATCCGGACGTGTATGCATAATTTTTAATTCGACATTCTCGTCCGGACGATAGCTTCACCTACCCATGACATGAAAAAAAAAGAGTCTATTTTTATCAAACCCTTGAACAAACGCTTTTCAGGACAGACGTCATTATATATCAAAGAAGCAAATAGGAGAGAGACCGCCTGATCAGGCAATCGGCGTATCAAAAACCAGCGCAACGCCATCATCACCCGCAGTCACGACCCTCTCGCCAGCACCCTGCACGAAGCCCATGACACCACCACCCTCACCGCCGCCGCGGTGGCCCCTCCACTCGCCGACCAGGCCGCGATTAGCCGCGGCGGTGCCGCCACGGGCGTCCCACCGCCTGACGACGCCGTCGTTGCCGCAGCTGGTCAGCAGCCAGCTGCCAGGCGCTGCCTGAGCTCCCGTTCCTTGTTGTTGCGGCTTGACGAACTCGACCTTGATGACGGCCTGCTCGGTTTCCGCGTCCTCGTCGAAGTGCGCCTGCTGGATGTGCCGGCGGACGGCGAAGCGGTGCGCCGTGTCGATGAGTACGATGGAGCCGTCGACGCTGCCGGCGGCCATGAGCGAGAGCGGTGGTTGGGAGAAGGCGATCGTCTCGACGCTGTCTTGCTGCGTCTGCAGGCTGGCTAGGATGGCGCCGGCCTGGCCGGTCGCTGCGCCAGCTCCGCCCTTGGGACCGCCTGCCTGCTTGCTACCAGCCGCCTTGCCGCGTGCGCCAGCACCGCGCGCGCCGCTGGTGACGGACGGATCTGCGCCGATGCGCGGCAAGCCGACGATGCGGATGTGGCCCTCGGCGCCGCCGACGGCAGCGAAGGCGCCGTTGGGCGCGATGGCGACGCTGTAGAGGCCGCCGTCAACGCGGAAGCGCTCGTCTTCGCCGGTGAGGCCGACAACGGCCTGGCCGGCGGAGGGGTTGGTGATGCCGGCCGCGGCGGCCTCGCCGAAGACGTCCCAGACGTAGAAGGACGCGTCCTCGGAGACGGTGGCTAGGAGCTTGCCGTCAGGAGTCCAGGCGCCGGCGGTGCTGGGGCCGGTGTGCAGGTAGAAGGCCTGGACGATGGTGAGCGGCGACGCCGTGTCGGCCGCGTTGATGGTGTAGACCCAGACGGAGCCGTCGGATGCGCCGAGCGCGATGGTGTTGGGGTAGTCGGGATGCGGGCAGGGCGATATCCATGCGATCTCCTCGACTTCCTGCGCCTCGCCGGTGAATTTCCATGCCATGCATGCGCCGATCGAGGTGTCCTGCCATGCGCGAAGCTTGCCATCCATACCGCCCGACACGATGTATTCGCCGGCAGGCTGTGTGAAGGCGATGGCGGCGATCGAGTCTGTGTGGCCGTCCAGCTTGAACAACTGCTGCAGGCCTTCGCGCTCCTGCCGCGCCTGCGTCGCGGCGCCGCTGCCCGGCTCGCCCGACCAGCTGGCGGGCAGCGGCGGGCGCTCCTTCTCCTTGACGAGCACCTCGAATATGTATCCCACGTCGTCGCCGCCGCCGGTTGCGATGATGTTGCGGTGCTTGGGGTGCTGGGCAATGCTGAATATGCTGTCCTTGTGCGTGTCGAAGTGCGCGATGCTGTCGTTCTCGAGCTGGATCTCTTGTAGAGCCGCGCCGTCGTCGCCGTCATCGTCGGATTCCATGTGTGCATCTTCATCGTCCGCGACGATTTCTTCGGCCTCGTCGGGGTCCAGCATGTCGACCTCCTCTTGCTCCTCCGGCCGCTGGGGCGGTTGGTTCTGTTGAGAAGCCATTGCTGTGAAACTGATTTCTTTTTGGGGGTACTTGGGTGGGGGGTATCTTGGAAGGAAAAGAAAGACGTTTTGTAGGTGGTGGTGTTGCTGCTTAGAAATTCCCGCCGGGGTTTATTTTTCTTGGTTCCGCCGCGCAAAAATCCATGCCGCGGGGGCGGGGCTGCCGCTTACGTCATGCATCGTCGCCTTCTCGCGTTTTCCATGTGTAATTGAACAATGTTGGTGGAAAACAACGGGAGACCATCCGAACAATGTTCAGCCGCTCAGGTCCTACTGCAGACGCAACTCGGGTGCACAACAACTTTATCTGCTTGTAAAAGTGGACTCTTCAAGCCCACTGCAGTTCATGACAGTCTAAATCGAGGAATTGATTTCGTCTGGCGCTCAAGCAAGGAAGCAGCCGTTAGTCTAAGGATTGCGCAATCTCCAACGCTTCAATCCGCAACCATCTGGGACAACGATGACAAACCAAATCTCTACAACAAAAATTACCCAACTCTCCACCTTCTCCAATATCTACAACTTAGCGCCTGCAGCCCTTCTCTTCTCCTTCTCCTTGTCCCTCAACAATCTCCTGAGAATCTTTCCGCTGGGGCTCTTCGGAATAACGTCGATAAACTCGATACCACCCTTCAACCACTTGTGGCGAGACTTGTGCTCCTCAACGTGCTTCTCAATCGCCCTGGCCACCGCGCGGTCGCTCTCCTCCAGGCCGACCTTAGGCGACTTCACAATGAACGCCTTGGGGACTTCGCCAGCCCTCTCATCTGGAACCGGAATGACGGCGCAATCGTTGACATACGGATGGCTGAGCAAGTGTGCCTCTAGCTCAGCCGGCGCGACCTGGAGACCCTTGACCTTGATGAGCTCCTTGATGCGGTCGACGATGAAGATGTGCTCGTAGCCCTGCGGCGACTTCCTGACGACAGCCTCGTCACCCGTGCGCATCCACCCATCTTGAAACGTTTCCTTGGTGGCGTCCGGCTTGTTGTGGTAGCCGAGCGTCACAGCAGGAGACTTGACGAGGAGCTCGCCTGGCTGGTCGTACCCGGTGATCTCGTTGCCCTCGAGCGTGACGATCTTGCACTCGATGCCGGGGAGGATGGAGCCGGAGGAGCCGAACCAGACATCGTGGTCGATGGTGGAGCACACGACGGTGCTGGTCTCGGTAAGGCCGTAGCCCTGGCGGATGACCCACTTCGGCCACAGTTGGCTGAGCTCTTGCGCTGTCTCTTCGCCGAGTGGTGCTGCGCCTGTGAAGACGGCGTCGATGCTGCTAAGGTCGTACTGGTCGCAGATCTGCTTCTGCTTCGTCATCATGATGATGATCGGCGGGACGAGGTACAGGCAGTTGACCTTAAAGCGCTGAATGGCCTCCAGGTACGGCTTGAACTCGAATTTGGGGAGAACAACGACACGGTCACCGCGGTACACGCTGGCATGGCAGATGACAACGAGGCAGTAGATGTGGCTCATGGGAAGCAGGCCCAGCGCAGTCTCAGTGTAATCACTCTGGGTTCCCGGAGGGATCTTCTTGTCTCGGCAACTCTTATCAAAGGTCTTGATCTGAAGCGTGTTGGCAATAACGTTCCTGTGCGAGATCATGACACCCTTGGGCAATCCTGAAGTACCACTGGAGTAACAGAGAAACGCGGTGCGACGAGCGCCCTCGCCATCGGACCAGTCCAGATTCTCTAATCTTGGCAAGTTCTCGCCCTCCTTGATCAACTGGTCCACGGTCTTATATTCGCTGGGAGCAGACTTTCCGCCGGTGATTTCCTTAGGCACGTCCAGGATATAGATGCGGTTCTTCGGAATACCGGCTTTAGAGCAAGCCTCGAGGGCTGTAGGGAGCAGGGGCAGGCAGGTGAATAGGCATTTTGCGCCAGAATCCTTCAGCTGGTACTCGATCTCAGGTGCTGAGTAAGCGGCGTTTGCGGGCGTCTGAATGCCACCGAGACGGTGCGTGGCCCATGCGAGGGTAAGGGTGTCAATCTGCCAAGTGTCAGCTCAGCTCCGCTCTAATTCTGGCTCGAATCATTGTGGGGGGCGCATACCGTGTTAACACTGAAGACACCAATGACCTTGTCCCACTCAGTACCCTGGTTCGGCTTCCAGCCCAGCTCTTTTGAGAGACCTCGCGCAAGAGCTTCAACGCGGTCCTTCACGTCCAATGCTGAGTACTCCTTTCCGGTAATGCCGCAAGTGAATGGCGCATGCGAATAGCCCAGGGGATGGCGGCCGTAGTTCTCATCAAATAGAAAATCGTAAATGGACACTGAGTCAGGCGGGTCAAACGGCAGCTGCGGAACCCATGACGGAGGATGGAAAACCATTGTAGAAAATGAGAAATTCTAGAAGCCAGGCAGAAGTAACGATTCGAAGCAAACCAGGGACGTCTGAAATATGGGAAGAGAGGCAGGCGGGAGGCGGCGGAGCTAGTTGGAAAAAGAGAAGAGGAGCCAGCCGGAATTTCAATGGTTGGGGGTCCGGGGGTTGGACAAACCAGGGACGCGGGCAGGCTGTGACGCCGCCGAGAGTGTGGGGAAGCCGCGAGGGCCCACCGCTATACTTCTTTCGGACAGACCGAGGCTCGAGGACCTCGGTTAATAAGGCTTAGGCTGGCACACCGGCAAGGGTGCCTAACGATACGCGCACGAACCTCACCACCATCTGAGAATCTCCGAGCAACAGCGATTCTCCGCCGTGCCGCTAACCTCGCTAGCACATCGTGCCAACCATCTCATCAAGAGCCGCCGAACCTCCTTGCTCCTCTCCGCAGTGGCCCCATTCGGAAAGGTGGCTAGAAGCCACGGTGTTACTTTGCGTAAGACACATTATATTTTTTGTATTGATCAGCGCGGCAGTGACGCCACAAGTGAGGCCGGGAGCACGGTCGGGAGCACGGTTGGGAGCAAAAAAGCGGCCAATCACGTCTCCCCGAAGTTAACACCCGGCTTGCCTAGGTACGCAGTGTTACTTCACTTCTGTTGCGCCGCCAATTGAGCATGGACCTGCAGCGTTTTCATTCACAATGCCTCGCAATAGCTATTGTTCTCTCTTTCGTGGCTCCGTTCCTATGAACTGTACACTCCACTCTGGAGGACACCAACTCTTGCTCCCAATATTCCTGCGACGGACCACTGCAACTTATGCCTTAATACACCCAACAGCAGCAACTGCATTCAACTTCAATCTCCCATCCATTGCCTGCGGGCGCCGACACCGTACTAAAGCAAACTCAGAAGACACCAGCCAGCATGTCGAATCGGGAGCTAGCAAGCTTGGCTCCTGGGGCCTGGGCTTACTCCGGGCTTGCTGAAGATTACGACCAGCCACATGGCTCAGCGGGTCCGCGGAGGCGTCGCCGCTGCTCTCAGAAGGAAGCTCCCAGCCAGCTGCCACCCTCTCCACAGTCTTCCGCTCCGCCCCAAAGCCCAACTCCCACGCCAGCCTCCACCCCAGCCGATCACCAAAGTGAGAGTGAGCTGTCTTCTGTACCAGACGATCTCAGCGACGTGAGCTATGATGGGGTCAAGAAGAAAAGGAAGCTGCATGCAAGCGATAGTGAGGCAGCGGACGGCGGTCGGCCGAAGAGAAATCGCCGACTCTCGAAGAAGGCATTGGAAAACCGCGCTGCGGAGGTGGACAGGCAGAAAAGAGAGAAGTCTACGCCAAGTGCCCCCCAGCTTAAGCTCAAGCTTAAGCTCAGCCCCGAGAAGCTTCAGCAACTGGACCCAAAGTCTCCCAGCTCGGCCGAGGCCACGCCTGACTTACCAGCTGGCGCCACGCCCAACTCGCCAGCTGGTGCCACACCTGAGTTGTCAGCTGAGATCGCGCCTGAGGCCGTTCCTGAACCACCAGCCGAGGCGCTCGCTGTGGAATCACCAAGGACAGAAGAGCAGGGTCGGATCACCACCCCTCCCTCCAGCCAGCAGAATCTTGCAAAGGCACCAGCTGCTGCGGAATCCGAACAATGCGCCCCTGCAGATCCCGATCCCAACGCAACCCCCACAATTCAATTTCTTCTGCCTCAGGCTCCAACACCGCCCAAGTCAACCCATAAGCGTGGTCGGCCTAAGAAGGCAGATGCCTCGCTTCAACTTCTGAGCCCACAGTCAGTTGGGGAAGATGCCCCTCGTCGAGCACCTCGCACTGTCCGCATTCCGGATCCGATCGCTGATGGGCTGGAACATCTGGTCGACATTTCAAAGCAGCTGATGAATTACAGCGGCTGTCCACTTGATGAAAAGCCACCTCCAGTTGGCTCCCCGGAAGTTTGGGCTGATGGTCGCCAGGCTCTCTGCGAGTCGCTCCCATACTACCGCGCATATCAAAGTGCTGGATACTGCTCCAATGGATTTGCTCACGCCTTCATGTTCGACCAGGAAGGAAGCACAAGAGATTACATTGATTCCGAGGTGGTCATCGCGCGTGCAGGTGGCGGCCTTTCCAAGGACAAAACTACCGGCAAGATGGCGCGCGAGGCAGATCAGACCGAGAACTGCCAGGTCAAGAGTGTCAAGAACAGCATTGATCACTTCAACCCGGTAGCAATCCTCTGTGGCGATCGCAACCAGCAGTGTCCTTCGAAAATGCCACACGTCTACAACGTTCTCGATTGGTTCAAGCCAACCCACATCTGGTACGAGAAGGTTGGCCGCAAGGTTAATATCCGGTACAGGTTTGAGAAGTTGTGCAGGAACAAGCAGAGCTGGTGGGCTTCCTCAGCTGGCCCAGAGCCGACCATCATTGGCAAGCAAGCACCACCTGAGACTCGTACTTGCTCACATTGCCACCTTGAAAGCCAGCAAGTCTATTTGCAGGGTTGGATGTGCTTGCAGGCAAGTTGTCCGCAGTTCTGGAAGCTCGACTCTGGGTATGAGCCACAAGAAGCCGGCCTGTTGTACGATCCGCGTTTCCTCAAGCAGCATACCCCCTGGTCTCATAGCAGCATTCCACAACCATTGCGACCGAACTGCTTTGCTCTCGGCCCAACGCCAATGCTGGGAGATGACGTCTCATGGGCTGCTGCTAAGGGCTTGGTTTGTCCTCAGTGTGGCCGTTGCAACTCGAGAGAAGCCTGGGAAGGGTGGTACTGCGGTAATCCAGACTGTGACTTCGCCCTCAGTCTCCCCCATGCAGATGTCCCGGTGGCCGCTCTACACGAGCCGTACCATCCGCTCTCCTCCGGATACACGCTCTCCAGAGATACATCCACCATCCCTCCACGCGTGGAGTTTGTCCACAACTACCGAATCAACTACTTCACCATCCCAGGAGTGGACGGCTTCATCGCACACTTCATCGCGAACAAAACCATTAACGAAGAGCCTGACATCGGACCAGACGCCATGTGGACGGATCTCCAAACTACAGGCGGCGATCTCGGCCTCCTCCGCCGCCCACTCGCCACCAGCACGCTCCGAGGAACTGCTCTCACACAGCATTTCTGCGTTAACTACGGAATGCCATACAAGTTCATCGCTGCGACAGCCAGCCGCTCATTTGACACAGCGGCACACTCCATTACTGCCACCCGCTCTCGTCTCAACTGGGCTGCTCGCCACTGCGTTGGTCCGGAGACGCACAACAAGGAGGCTGAATTCAATGAGCTGCTCGCACTTGGCTACTTTGAGCAGCAAAGGATTAGTTACCACGATGATGGCGAATTTGGTCTTGGGCCTACTATTGCCACTCTCTCCATTGGCGCGCCTGCGACCATGAAAATTCGCTTAAAGGCAAAACACTATCACGGTATCTCGAAGAAGGGTTTATACGTCACGGCTCCGCCTGTGCCAGGCTGCGTCAAGTACGAAGAGCGCTGCGCAGTGTATAGGGAGTTGGAGGCGCTGAAGAAGGACAGAAAAGGACAGACGAAGGGGGCGGAACTTGAGGAGGAAGGCGGTGGCGACGACGTGGAGAAGATGGTGGATTTGGATCAAGATGCGGTGGATCAGGGTCAAGAGGAGGCGTCATCCGTCCCAGATGAGGTGGCACCCGTCCCAGACGCAGTGGATTCTGCTGATACGTACACGGCCCGGCTGAGGGAGTTGCCAGAAGAGCTGAAATTGAAGCTGAAGGGGAACGCGAAGGATGTGCTGACGATGCACTTGGGCCATGGCGATATCGTGGTCATGCACGGCGCAAAGATGCAACAGTACTATGAGGTGAGTTCCCCCCGCGTGCTCTTCCCCCACTCATCACATCACCTCTCTGGCTCGAGTCACTGACATGACATGATCGCAGCATGCGGTTGATCCGGTGGGCAAGCTTCGGTTTGCCTTGACGTGTCGTTACATCGATCCTGATTCACTTAAGCCTGAGGACAGGCCGGATTACGAGGTCAAACCAGATACGGGAGATTACGACGGTTCCCGGCTTCCTGCAGTTCCTACTTAGGGCGGCTTCCTGCAGTGCCCGCTTAGGACAGCTTCTTCATTAATAAAATGGTTGTGGGTATGCGGACATATTGGTACTTGGTATGATGTCTGGATGCATTTGTACGGTTTGAAACTCCATCCATAGCGAGGTGTTTTCTTCAGTCTCTTCTGAGAAGACATTAAATCTCGTGTATTCTAGCTACAGTAGTTAATGAACAATACAACAACGTCATGTGCGCTGCACAGTAAGTGGTGGAAAGACTGAGCGTTCCCAAGTCTGCTTTATAAAAGACGCTGTGCCCTAACGAGATGTTTGTCGCAACATTCAGCCGCTGTCATGAGGATGGTTGAGCATTTTGCTGGAATACAGAGGTTGATAAATTTACGGCCACTCTGCCTCAGGTATTCTGCGTTTCAGCCTCGCGCAGCCTCAACCCACGATTTCTACAAACTACTACGAAAGCTCTGCACAGAAGACGTCCGCACTTGCCTAAACAAGTTACACGCCGCGGTGGCGGCTAGCCTCGGCTCAAGGCCCCCGAGAGCCCTTGCGGGGGATCGGCCGGGGTAGCTAAGGTTGCGGGCGGCACAACGAACGACGAACCCTCCTCACACCTCTCCCGCAAAACAACTCCCTTTTCTTCCCTCCCTGCCTCTCTCGCTACCGAAATTGACACACAATGGCCTCTTCCCTCCACAAGCCCCGCGCCCTCCTCGCCCAAGGCGCCCGCCGCGTCACCCGCCCGCGGATACCGACGCGCCTCGTCTTCCCCGCGCAGCGAGCATGCCTCTCGACCGCCAAGCACCCCTCCGGCTTCATACCGCCCAAGGAAGAAGACCTGGAGGAGCTCCGGGAGCGGGTGCAAGAATTCACGCGTACGTTGTCTTCCCATCGCCCACCTCTTCCCCGCCAATTTGTCCCCCGCTAGAACAGCAGCTGACTGACACTGAATTCAGGACGAGAGATCCCCGAGGAGGTCGCGCAGCGGACGGACCACGAGAATGAGTTTCCCAAGGACATGTGGCGGAAGCTGGGCGAGGCAGGGTTCCTGGGCATAACGGCGGACGAGGCGTACGGCGGGCTGTCAATGGGGTATCAGGAGCATTGCGTGGTGATGGAGGAGATTAGCAGGGCGTCTGGTGAGTCGCTGATTCTTGGTGTTGTGGGCTCGAGATGGCTGTGGCTGCGTGGTTCGGGGGAGCGGCGAGGCCGGGGTTGCCATGGTGGAAGAACTCGGCGGTGCCTTGTGCGGACGAGACTTCTGTGAAAAGGCATGGGAGAACAGAGCAGGGCTAATGTGGTTGCAGGCAGCATCGCTCTCTCCTACGCAGCACATTCGCAGCTGTGTGTTAACCAGCTGATGCTTAACGGATCGAAGGCCCAGAAGGAAAAGTACCTACCAGGCCTGATCTCTGGCGAGAAGGTCGGCGCGCTGGCGATGAGCGAGCACTCGGCGGGCAGTGACGTCGTCAGCATGAAGAGCACGGCCAAGCGCGTCGACGGCGGCTACCTGCTGAACGGCACCAAGATGTGGATCACCAACGGGCCCGACGCCGACTACATCGTGGTCTACGCAAAGACGACGCCCGACGCCGCGTCCAAAGGCATCACCGCCTTCATCGTTGAGACCACCGCCAAGGGTTTCTCGTGTGCTCGCAAGCTGGACAAGCTGGGTATGCGCGGCTCGAATACGGGCGAGCTGGCGTTCGAGGACGTCTTCGTGCCGGATGAGAACGTGCTGGGGCAAGTCGACAAGGGCGTGCGCGTGCTGATGGAGGGTCTCGACCTGGAACGCTTGGTCCTGAGCGCCGGTCCTCTTGGGTAAGATACCACTCTTCCTCCTCCTCCTCCCCCCTCTTCCCAGCCAAGAACCGGAGAGGACTAACGTCACAACCAGCATCATGCAATCCGTCATGGACCTCGTCCTCCCCTACACCCACACCCGCACGCAGTTCAACCAGCCCATCGCCCACAACCAGCTCGTCCAGGGCAAGCTTGCCGACATGCACACCAAGCTGCAAGCCTCGCGCGCCTACACGTATCAGGTAGCCCGGCGCATCGACGAACGCCACGCGCAGATCGCGTCTGGCGAGTGGGTCATCCCGACGCAGGATTGTGCGGGGGCGATCCTGTATGCAGCCGAGCGCGCGAGCGAGTGTGCGTTGGATGGTATTCAGCTGATGGGCGGCATGGGGTACATGAATGAGGTGCCTGCAGGGAGATTCCTTCGTGATGCGAAGCTGTATGAGATCGGTGCGGGGACGAGCGAGGTGAGGAGGATGTTGATTGGGAGGGTGTTTAATAAGATGTATAAGCAGTAGATGCAGAAAGACAGAGATGGAATAGAAATTACTTCACAGCCGATGTCAGAACAAGATGTACGCCAATCTTCGTTTCATTCAACAGTGCTGGGATATCCAGCTGTACCGGTACAAAAAAGGAGGCTTACTATTACATCTACTAACACAGTTCCATTACTTCTCTGCGACAAACCCCCCTTAGAAATCTATGGATAGTTTTATCCCCTACTATGTGGGGAGAGTTTGAGCTTGATCATTTACGTGAGTCCTGAAATGGTGCCCGATGGTGCTTCTGGGCGCGTAGTCCTCCACCTGCTTGCCTGAACGCTGTGCGATATCAACTGCCGATTGGTGGAAATAAGCATGGCTCAGCCTCATGGTAAAACCCCACATCATCTCGCTCTGTGCACCCAGTTTGTCCAGGAGGGAACCCTCGGTGAGAGTCTCAGCTTTGAAATGATCCGCCACATCTCCGGATCAAGATCTAGACATGGATGTGTGAGCAGGATGATCACTTGCAGATGTGGGTATCAGATCCGATGATTAGCGCGAAGAAACACCAGGGTCTGGGAACAGGGGGGATTGTAACATCCCAGAAGAAATGCTCCTTCAAAGCCTTTACGAGAAGCTACAACTTGTCTCCTGTAGCCGGTCGAAGCTGTCGTCGGGACATGACGGTGTAATCGCTCATCCCGCTATTATGCCCAAACGATTGCTTCAGCTACCTATCCGAGCTCCAGCCGGTGTCTGATACATGCAAAAGCAAAGTAGCACTAGTCTCCGCCTCCAACGTCCCTTTTTGGTGTCTATATTGCGGTAGTCAGTGATCGGGATCAACGGTTGCACTCGTAGGATGTTTGCAAAACGTTCCAGTTACCACCCCTTGAGCGAGCGATTTTCTCTTCCCAAGGAATCTCACTCGGAATGAGCCGTGATCGAGACCTCGGCGCGGGAATTTGCATGGACCTTATGCTTGCCTCATTGCCTTCTCGATCTCGATTACGTGGCTTAACGCCAAGCTCACAAGAACATGCCCGAAATCCCCCTTTCCTCCTGCTTATTCCGTTGTAGCGGTTCGCTTGTGCAACACAGGGACGAAGTGCTAAAATGAGGTACCATAAGCTCGCCAAGTGCGGTTTCCGAGGATTTCCTACAAAAGCAATTCCGAACAGGCAGCCTGCAGAGAAGGGGAAGTGGGCGCAAATAGCGCTGCGGCTTCCCGAAGGTCGAGACCGAAATTAGATTACGCTCCCTCAGTAGTAGAGCCGATGTGACGTGTCGTCCTTTTCGTCCGCTTGCTTTCCGGAAAATAAAGCATAACTGCTAAGCTGTGAAGGTGTCGCAGCAAGCGATGAACGATTGGACATATCAGCATTGTTGGCGGCCTGAACAAGATTAGGCAACGGCGGGCCTTGCACAGCTATGTGGGTCTTTCAGCACGCAACCATTCGCTAAGTATGACGCGATACAGGTACACTGATCAAAGATCCTGTCAACCCTCCCAGGAGGAGGGAAAGCTTGTGGTTGCACAACATACGTGGATGTTCGGAACGGCCGCATGACACGTGCGTGCTTTTGTTCCCGTGTCCAATCAAACTGCTGCAACTACAGTGCTACGCTTCTCCACAAAACCCCGCACTCTCTGGAAAAAGCATTGCATCCGGCCGGTGACTTTCGCAGTTCGCTTCCGGCGAACCATTTGTAAATGTCCTGCAGAAACGAGCTGTGGCTTGAATCAGTAGCAACTCCTCGGAACCGGCCGCTGCAATCACGTTTAAGTGGTTAACAGCCTACCTTGACGCCCAACTCTAGAGTAACATTGCTCGATTGTGTTGGCAATTTCAAAATGAGAGAAGCGCAAACACTTTCATTCTGTGATCGGTTCATTAGTCTGAATTCATACACAAAATGAGGAGATGTTAGAGTAGTCATACGCGTACTCCATTTAGTGTCTCATTGACGCACGGTTAGCCTCACATACGCTGATGTAGCCAAAGAATTACCAGAATGTGGCTGCTTTTAGCATGGCCTTTCAGCTTTGGATGCGTGCTATCAGTGTCTCTTCAGCACATTTGCAATCAAGGAGCGGATTGGACTGCTCATCCTGCAGCCACATTTGCCTCCCACATACGTTTATCACATCAAACAAGATTGAAGGAAGAGAGGGGATGCGTATCAAACTAGCTGTGAAGATTCCATAATTCGCTAAGCCTGTCAGGAGCGAGGACTGTCTGCTAATCTCCACTGCAACTACAGGAGCATATTCATTTCAAGCAAGACGGCTTGCTCTGCCAACCTTGCCAATGCTTACGACAAGCATGAGGAGTTCTCCACCAAGGACTGCTGCGATGAGGCCGACAACAAGTGCCGCACCCCGCTCGATGCCAACACCTTGTCTCAGACAACAGCCAGGTCCTCAGAGGTGCCTAGAATCAACACCTCCGCAGCTCTTTTCCTCTAATGGAGATTTCGCTTTTGTGTGGCTGCTCATCGCTCACCCGCAGGTAAAGAAATAATTGCCAAGAAGGTCATTCACATCACCCAGGCCGCAGGTGGCCTCCTGTGACAAGAGGTGTGCTATCGCATGGGTTGCATCGGCTTGTGCCGTCGAAGTAAGCGTAGTCGCTTCGCACTGTTGGTCAGAGTACGATCTTGCAGAGCGCCAGATGTCTATATAAACCCCCTTCGTCTCCTTCAGAATCACCCAGCAGCCTCCACCTCCTTCATCAAAGCACAGTCAAAGCAACACAGCACCAAACAACCTCCAAAATGCAGTTCACCACCACCCTCATTGCCTCCATCCTCGCCGTCGCTGTCACCGCAGCCCCGGGCAGTGCTGCCGCTGGCGACCTCGAAAAGCGCCAGGTGGTGGACTGTGGAGCGGGGAATTGCCCGAACCTCGTTCAGGAAAGTCTATGCGTAATTAGGAACCTCGCTTTCTTGAACGTTAACGGCGCCATCAACTGTGTTACTGGCGGTCAATCTACTGTACGTCACGAACACTCCCTCATTTTGCGGTTTTACCAAGCTAATCCTTCACTTGCCAGATCTGCAATTGCGCGAGTTGCGTCCCAGCAGTTGAGGCGTTTCTCGCCGCCTTCCCCGGTATTATCAACTGCCCGGCTTGAAAGGGGATCCCATGAGGGTGAAGGGGGATTTCGGCTTTGACGACCTCTTTCTTTTCAACACCGTCTCTATCTCTCCGTCTCTGCTGTAACTCGGCTTTCGAGAATCCGCGCTCTTTAGTATATACCTCGAGGAATATGTACATCTATAACTAAAACTTTGCTGGCATCAACTCTGAGCTGCGGTGACTTGAGTGAATGTTCCGGGTGACATATGTAAACCTGCCGGCAATACGTCGCTACACGTGGCGCTGAAGGAAGGCAAAACAATAATCATCCGGGCTTGGTAAACGTGATACCCGACAAAACCTACCATTCTCTATTTAAGAGTCTTGGCTTGCTAGCTGCTCAGCCGTCGCTGCCTAAAGTTCGGTTGGAGACATAAAACATCTCACGAAATGCAGACATGGCTTATCTTTGCTGAATGACTGGGTATTACCGGGCCGCATTTGAAGACCAGTGGCTTCACAATGGTAAGGTTCATCAGTGGAAGGTTTATAGCTTGGAATCTCTAAGCTTTTGCAGTAATTGATATTCAACGGAGAAACAGATATATCTCAACACCAGACCGGTTTTACCAGTTGTTGCTTTCGTGTACTCAGGAACCATCACTTGGTTTGAAATTCGGATGAATTTTAGACCGGAGTTGGAGAGGCCGTGCGCAAAGAATTAGCCCGAGCCCGACACTTGCGGCGGGCAGCTGAGTCAGTCAAGTCTACTATGAAGTGGACAATAATAGAGCAAAGTGGACCAGAAATTACGTCATATGATGCCTTCACGAACAAAGTCACTTAGCATAATTGGTGGAAAGGGAGTGCTGAATCTACGTAGTATATCCTTTAAATCGTCTTGAATGGGTTCTGAATCATGAACATAAAGTTCTCGGAGAGACTATTCATCCGTTTAAAAGACGAGTCGTGGTCAAAGTTGGTGGACCGGCTCTGACGTGCTTCCGGTGCCGTGAATCCCGTGATTAGTGAGCAGCGCTCTCCTCCGTCCAAATTGGTTCGGTCTGTTCCAGGACGCGAAAATCCGAGTGATTTGTTATGATTCATTTGTCTTCTTCTACGGGCTTCTTGGGTCCAATTGGCCCAATCATCAATGGAATATCATAAAAGATGGTTGCATCCACCGTAGTTGTGAGACAGCCAACAGCTTCTATCCTCACCCATCACAGCTCCATCCATAATATTGCTATCATCACGTCAACATGACCTCCACCTCTCAGACTCAACCATTGACCTTGGCCGGCAAGGTCGCAATCGTGACCGGCGGAGCCCGAGGCATCGGCGCCGCGACGGCCATTGAGCTCGCAAAGCGCGGCGCAAACGTGAGAACAGGCTCCGCTACAAACTCAAACGCAGAGAGTCAGTCTAACAACTCCACCCAGGTCGCCATCACCTTCGTCTCCCCCAGCAGCGCCACCCTCGCCGACGCCGTCCTCTCCACCATCGCCGCCCTCAACACCGGCGCCACGGCCATCAAAATCCAAGCCGACGCCGGCGCCCTCGACTCGCCCGCCAAAATCATCACCGCCACCACCGCCGCCTTCGGGCCCAGCATCGACATCCTCGTCAACAACGCCGGCGTCGAATTCGCCAAGCCCCTCGGCGCCATCACCGCCGAGGAGTACTCCTCCGTCTTCGACGTCAACGTGCGCGGCGCATTGCTCACGACGCAGGCCGTGCTGCCGCACCTGCGCGCACCGGGCCGCATCATCAGCGTCGGCTCCGTGCTCGGCCGCATCGGCAACCCGGGTTCCAGCGTGTACAGCGCGACCAAGGCGGCGCTGGAGGCGCTGAGTCGCGGGTGGGCGAGCGAGCTGGGCGCGCAGGGGCATACGGTGAATGTGGTTGCGCCGGCGCTGACGGAGACGGATATGATGACGCGTGCGGGGGAGGGCGCGGGCGCGGGCTTCGATCAGGTGGTGCAGATGCAGAGGATGTTGACGCCGCTGGAGCATAGGTTGGGGAAGGCGGAGGATATTGCGCTGGCGGTGGCGATGTTGGCGGAGCCGGCGAGTCGGTGGGTTACGGGCCAGACTATTCATGCCTGTGGTGGCATCTACATGTCCTAGATGTTTGTCGAGCGAGGATGATAGCGCGAGGATCGCAGGCATGGGAAGTTAGAACAATGATTCTTTTTTTTTCTCTTGCGAGGAGTAAACACCGTCTGCGGGCAGTTGAAGCTATCACCTTCCCCGCGGGCAGCACCGGCAAGCCGGCAACCCTTCCTTCTCCACCGTTCTCTGCACGACCTCCTTCCACCGCTCAAACGACATCGCCTCCGCCACCACCTCATCCTCCAGAAACGGCACGGCAATCGGCCTGAGCCGGCAGTATTGCGACTGATTCCTCCCTCCACCCGTCTGCTCGTGCAGCACTCCCCAGCCTAACAGGCCCTCCGCAATGACCCTTCCGTCGCCCTCTCTTCCTTCTCCGCCGCCTCCTCCTACCGGCCGATGGCATGCCGCCGCAATCGCCGCGCTACTACTTCCTGCTACGGGAACCCCATTCTTGAACCGTTTGAGCGCCATCCAAAGCAAGAAAACCGGCGGCACCGCGGACGCAGCGAACAGAAACAACAGCGCAGTCGGCGAGTACCCGCACGTGAACACGGTACCGTGGCCGTCTAGCACCAGGCTGACCGTGAACAGGCTCTGCGACGCGAACCAGTGCAGCATTGCGGACCAGCACATCAGCGGCACAGCGAAGCGGAACGGCAGTTGCAGGAAGTACGTGCCGCGCTGCTTGCCGCGCGGGATACCAGAGACACGGAGGCTCTTGCTCGCAGGAGTGGAACTGCCATACGAGTCCCACTCGGTGGCGGCGAGGATGGCGGTTAGGCGGCTGTTGTGGATGAGGTAGAGGAACGAGAGAATGGGCTGCAGGCTGTTGGCGAGGAGGCTATTGGTCCAGATACAGGAGACGGTACCGGTCTGCGTGACGGTCCCGCGGGTGATGATGACGCGCGTGTTGAGGGCGCCGAAACCGAGTTGGGTGGCGGACTAGATGTTGCCGAGGACGTCGGTGTTGAGGGCCCGGCTGAGAGCGTAGCCGATGGTGGAGGCGATGATGAGGGTGCCAACTGCTTGTTGGTCTATATGCGTTGTTGTTCCACTTTTGAAAATAGAAGACGCTTACATCCCGATTAAGTCGTGCTATCCTTCGGCTGCAATACCCGTCGTGTATGGGACTGACTCTTCTTTTTATCTATCGCAGGTGTACATTTTCTCCAAGCCCGCCCGGGAATATTGACCATACATTTCCGGCTTAACATGGACTCATTGAGTAGTGGCTGGAAGATGTCCCCCGTTGGTGCGGCGGGCATACCATTTATCGGATGACCGACCAATGCCATTTGGGTCCCAAAAATCCCACTTAGGCTCACAGAACAAACCTCCGCTCTCTAGTCTTCTGCACCCGTGAAAATACCGATCACGAAGCCTCTCGATGGCGAGTTTGATGCTGTTCTTGTCGCCGCTACGCGACGGCGGGTACACAATGTCAAGGGCCTTCAGATCCCTCAAGATTTGGGTTGCCAGATTGTACCATTCACCCTTCCGGATCAGCCAGTTGACACCGTTCACCCTGCGCTTGTTCCTTTTAACATGTTCGTGTACCTCCTCGATGAGTTGTCTGGTGGTCAACTCCGTTCCAAGATCCATGACAGCGCGGGTAGCATCGCTCTTCCAAGGAGTTGCCGGCCACTTGTTCTCGTCGTTGGTGGCTGCCCAGGCAAGCCGGAATTCTTTCTCTTCCTTCGCGAAAGCAGAGGAGATGTAGCCCCAGCACATATTGAAAGGGTGGGACAACTCGTCCCAGATTTCCTTTTTCGTTTGGATAAGGCTATGGTTCTTGTCGAGGTAGCTGGCGTAGTCTTGGAGGATCCGGTACTCCATCAACTTGAGGGCTGATCTCTCGAGCTGTTCAACCAGCGCTCCCTCTCCGCAAATCTGCTCCCAGTGAGATCGCATTATATTCCAGTCCCGCCGATCTTCGACGGTGCCCATCTTCATCTTAATGTCGACGGTGGTTATCTCCGTCTCGTTCATGTTCATTGAACGCCTCTCGTCCATCTTTGAAAGCCTCGAAATCTCCTTGGCGATGTCGTGTTTGATTTTCGAGAAAAGCTTATCGCCCATGGAGGGAAGTTTCTGAAGAGGGGCTTTGCTAATGGGTAGCTTGGGATGGAGGTGTGTCTGTGGATAGTGTAGAAATCGTCGAGGTGATGCCGACTTCTCCAGCTAGTTCAAAGTCTGTATCCTGGGGATCGTAGAGTGTTTCGAAATTTACGTGGGAGGATGGCATCTTATAGTGTTGTGGCGAGTGGTCGAAACTTTGGTTCAGGGATGCTACGAGTCACAGTCAAAACTCGAAAGTAGAACGCAGAATTTTCGCGCTACTTTGCGACTGTGACCATGACGATCCTTTTCTGCTAAGCCTTACGCAGTGAGAGATGCACCACCTGGTTGTCGAATTGTTGCGATTCAGTGGACTAAGATGCGCTACATATCCGCAACGATCTTCGGATTACATGGGCTCGGCATAGCTTCGCTGATGCGCTGCAGTAGACCCCCTCCCTACTCCCTGCGTGGACATGGCCTTACCTTGATCTAGCAGTTTTCCAAATAAACATGCTTTCTCTTCCGTTTGCCAATACAAAGGCCCGGCCTGAATTACCCAGGAAGCGCACAACCATCACCACCTTCGCCTCCTCCGCCCACATCATCTGTTTTTGAGTTGGTCAACGAGTTGACCTTCACCATGGATCTGCTCCTATGTGGCTCCTGTGACCTTCATGCCAATTTTGATGTCTTTTGTCGCACGCTCCCGCTCGTTTTTATCCACCTTCTTGTTGTATTTTAGGAGTTTCTTCGCATTTCGCTTGATTTCTGAAAAGAGTTCGATTTTTGTTGGCGAGATTTTCCCAACACTCTGCTTTCCTTGGTGGTAAATGTTACCCCAATGCTGATTGGCTCGAGTATGCCTTGGTGTTCGCGGCGGTGGGCGGTGGAAGGATTGGCAACTGGTGGCGCTTCGGGCGATGACCAAGAATCATCAATGTGACATCGAGCTCGTTAAGCAGCTCGAAGCACCCACCAAGGCGGTGCGGTTCTGTCAATTCAGGCTTCTCTTCCTGCGACATCCTTTGTGATCGGGCGATGCAAACGCTCGAAAAGCCAGTCAAAAAACTTGGTTCAGGTGCGCGAAAGGTACCAGTCAGAATTCGCACTTCACAGATCAGCGCGGAGTTGTCGCGGTCCTTCACGGCGCGCGGATGCGGTAAGCGGCTGCCGCGACTTCCTCTTTGCTGAGATACTGCGGTAACTCAGTACACCGCACATCCACCTCCTCAGTCCTGTACCTCAGCTCCCTCACATATCCTCGCTGGTGCGCTGTTGTAGACCCTGCCACACTTTCCCTGCGTTGTTGACACCTTGCCCGCGAAAACCGGTTGCAGCGCCTCACCCACCCATCCAGCTTCATCGTTAAAGCCTTTCCCGGACGCGGCGCCTGCACACGCGCCTGCACCCATTTCCTCACCTGCCGATTCATAGCCCTTCCAGCCCGCCAGCCACCTGCCTCTCCGCCTGTGCGATCGCCGACGCAGATGGGCCGCTATAAGGTTTCGCACGCCAAATCAGACCATACGCTACTAGAATCGAGTAAGGAAACCCCCAGAAAGACTTTTTGGAGTGCTGTTGCCTTTGTGGAAAAATCTGCTCCCCGGTGACGTCGGTGTTGTTGATTGCCGAGCAACGCCTTACCACGCGCCAGCTCGCAGTGATCCCACCCGGGCCTGGATGTTGTTCCCTCACCAATCCGCAAAGTTCGTCACAGGGTTCGTAACAAGCGCGCCTGCAAGCGGCTCCCCAACGCTCTTGCAAACATTTTTTTTTGTGAGGCTACTATCACTTTTTAAGGCACAGTGAATATCTATGCGTAATTTAGCGTCCCTTCGGTTCGGCTGAAACACGCGCCCCGAAATCCAAGCGTAAGAAGTAAGCTTGCAAGCGCACTTGCTGCGAACCCTAGAAGTTGAGGAGAAGGGGGTAAATGTTGGGGATGGCAGTTGGGCTATGAATCAACGTAGTAGTATGCTGTCAGAATGTCCCCTGAGGAAATTGAATCCATATGCCACGATATAGAGACAGGGAACACCATGGCGATCAAAATCCCTCAGTTTCATAAGGACCCGATCTATGTTGACGTGGATAACATATAAGATACCTCGGAGGGTGGACAGACATGATGGATCCCGAAATAAGAGAAAGGTATGTCAGTTGTCAACATCATGTCGTGGTGGTATTTAATAGCTGTTTCTGCGAAGTCCGGCGGCCCCCTTTGGTCGTAGATAGGTAGGATTAGGCGGGATGCGGCTCTGCGACGAGGCCTGGCTGACGGTCCGGAAGGAAGAATGACCGTAGTACGATAAGTCGGTCTATTGTTTGTGGTAGAGGTTTCAATCCCGTCGTCGTCGGAGGGGTCAAAAAGCATAGAAAGACATCCGCCAGGATTTTAGCAGTTCAGCTGGTGAGTGGCCTTTGAAGTGGTAGCTCCAGGCAGCAAAGCGGGGCTGTGAAATATTCGGCCTACCATTGGAGTTTCAGAATCCGCCACCCTTGGCACGTAAGACGAGTCTGCTCACGCTCCTGCAGTAGAACGTATGTTTATGAGAATGGATCAAGCGCCTAGCTCAATGAAGACACACAAAAGCAAGACCTGCATAAGCGCTGACGTGGCATTCATATAAATGCGAGAGACGTGAAAATGTCTTCCACCCAGCCTTAGCCTTGCTGCACCTGTACATACAATGGCACTCTGACAACTCACCGACGACCAAGCAGAAAATCCATGCTCCGCCACCACTCCATCCATCATCTCAAACAAACAAACAATGTCGTCCGCCCTCTTCTCCACCGACATCAACCCCCGCCTCGGCACCCTCAACACCTTTCCCTTCCTCCCCCTGCTGCCCAACCTGCCCAACATCGTCTCCGAGTGGGCATCCATCGTCCCGCTGGTCTGCCACCTCGCCAGCTTCCGCGACGACTACCTGACGGCCGGCGACGTCGCGCTGCTCGGCCGCATTTCTCTGGGTTTGTTCCCCAAGCTCGGCGCCATCGCCGGCGTCGCAAGGCTGCTGGAGCGCACGCCTGAGTTCCTCGACCAGGCTAGCACGCGCGGCGGCTCGAGCTGCACGGTGTGGGATGTAAGGTGGGGCAGCGTTTTTCCGTGCGCGAACGGCGCGGCGAGCGCGGTGCTAGCGAGGTTCGTGAGGAGGAGGAGGAGGAGGGGGGAGAGGGGCGTGTCGACGGTCGTTGTGATGCCGGAGACGGTGGAGGAGATGGAGAGGGAGCTCGGGCAGCAGAAGCGGAAGCAGGTGCCGTGGGGGCACGGAAGGCGGAATGCCGATGATGGCGAGTGGAACCAGGATTCTGACGCCACCACCGCTGTCGCTGAGGAGAGGAAGAGTGAGGCTGACGAGAAACCGACTGCGCCAACGCACTTCCGCCGCTACCAGACACTGCATGTGTACAGCTTTGGCCGTAGTGTGCAGCGAGGGAGATCGGTTGGTAAACGAGTCGAGGAGTTGCGGCTGTCGGCGCTCGGTCGAATCATGTCGTTCCTTCTCCTTGTTGCAATTGCCGTTGTGCTTGGTCTCTGCGGCGTATATGGTAAGCCAAAAGAGGTTTTCCGCCATTGAAAACTCTACTGATACTACAGAGGCACGTCGGCGATCATCGTCTGCAGCGCCATTTCCCGTCTCGCAGCGCAGAGCATCGATATACAACGTCCGCCTGGATACCTGCAGAATAACGAGGCACATGATGCCTGCATGCTCGTCGCAACTCACCAAAATGCTCTAGAGTGGCATTTGTACATCGGAGACCGGGGCGTCGTCGACTCTTTACTTAACAAAGCCATGTTCATGGTTCCAAACCAGATGGGCACAAAGCTTGCATTAGTAACCTGGTGGCTGAAGGCCGCAAACGCATTACAGCTCCTGGGCATGACGTACGTAGCAGCGCAGAAGAGTTGGGATGGAGTGTGTCTGGTCGTGCTCCTGTCTGTGAACTGGCTCCTCCGCTGGGGTTCCCGGGATGCGGGTCTTGCTAGTCGTTGGCTTGCACAGGAAGGCGTCGAGGTTGATGTCAAGAGCTTCAAGTTTACTGGGAGGATGCCTATGCTGGGCGCGATTCAAATATTCACCGGGACAAAGATTACGTCGTGGATGGACGACATCATTCCTCCACATCCACGTCGGGAGGCTTGGTTGAAGAGAATACATGGCTTCGATATCGATGCGGATGGCTCTTGGACCAGCCACGATCTGAGTTCCATTGAAACAAGTTACAAGTTCTCAATGGCGGCCGCGAAAGTCTTGAAACGCGAATTGAACAAAAAGGGTGTTTAGTTTCTTGGTCCTTGTCGCGGCGAGCGAATATCAAGTAAAAGGTGCTTCCGGGCTGGAGAACTGGCTGGGTTAAGAGGAAAAACACAAGGATGGGTATATTTCGTGAGGGTTGGAACACCCGAAAGCCGTTGAAGTAGGCTTGATTGTCACATGACTTTGCGCTACTATGTTGTGATATATATCGCTCAGCAGTGCTCGAGGCTAATTTATGTTGTTCATGAAAGAAAGGAGATATCTCATGCTTATCATAGGTTCTGGGCAACCGAAAAAGAAAGCCCTTGCATAGCCCCGCGATTCGGCCCCCAAAATAATAGCAAAAGAGGCATAGGCGAGGTTTTTGTGTCACGAATCGGCATCCAATCGAGGTTATTGGCAGTCGGAATTTAATTTGGCCGACTATTATTATAAAGCTGGCTGCCAGCCGTACGGCACATTTTGGAAGCACGGACACATGGCGAGAGCATGCACTCAGCCTTGCATATTGGTTACTTTACCAATTTCGCAACACGCGTACAGTAGCCATGCCGCCATTGTTACAGCAGAGCGAGGTAACCTTCACGAGGCAAAGGGTCAAAGAAATTCTCGAAGCCGTCCCGTACAAGCTTCCAATCAGGATCAAGCAGTATGCAGGCACGTCTTGGGCACCAGACCCGCAACGCCATGACGAACCGATCCGGTATACCGTTTGGACGACTGAGCATGAATATAACGAAGAAAACACGCTTGTTGTCTACAGCATGGCCGAGCGGCGTGGCAGAGCATGGAAGCTGTGTGAGAGATACTGCGAGACCCTTGAAAATCCGTCTGATCACATAGAACGCCTGGATTCTCTGTTCAGTAAGGTTCTTGAATTCAACTTCAGGCCTCCAGAGGAGATGGACAGCATTATTGATGCGACATGCTGCCTGCTCGAACGGCTGCCTGCAGTACCACCGATGCTCGATATTGCGTCATCACCGTCAGCTTCCGACATTGACCCCGACTTCTTCCTGAAGGAACGGCCACACTCCTGGGAAAACCTCAGCGTGGTCAGATTCGTTGATTCCAATGTCATACGCGTCGCGATGCTTATCGTCATGGAAACGAGAAAGAGGAGTTATTCCTGGAGCCGCAAGATTGTGGAGTACATCAACTTGGCGGGAGAGCTCTTCACGGTAGCCTCGGAGCACACGTCGACTTCGGAGGCCGAAAGCCTGCAGCTGGCGATGCTACGCCAGTTTCTATGGGCGAGCTGGCAAAGATCGGTGCTCCTGAATCTTTATTTTGCTTTGGGCAGTGAAGTCCAGTCGGCGAACATGAGCGACCGGGACAGGAGCATGGTGCTCGGGGTCGAGATGAGCGCTGCGCTGAGGGATGCCTTGCAGTCAGACTCGGTCCAGAGCTCTTCAGGCACAAAAGCGGCCTACATGTGCAGCTGGGCCTTCGAGCTGCTGCGCACCGACCGCGCGGCACTGGCCCAGGACTTCCGGGCCTTCCACGAGCGCTACAACGGCCTTTTCGGCCACCTCCCCCCAAGATGCATGCCGGGCGCCCAGGGCCTAAGGATGAAGGAAGCGCCGAAACAGTGCAAAGGCACGTCCCCAGCTTCGTGCAAACGATTCAAAGGCATGAAGATCCAAGACCAATCCGCCCACGCCCTGCCGTGCCGCGGCGGCTGTCCCCGCCTGTACTGGGACAGATCGTCCTACGAGAGCGTGTCCGGCGGGCGCGCTGTGTCCATCGCGCACAGCACCGCGTCGCGGCTGCGGTACTGCGCTGCGTCGTACAGCACCATGGCCGTCTCGCACGTCTGGAGCCACGGCCAAGGCGGGCGGCCGGAGGACCCTCTCTCAGAAGACGGCGGAGGAGGCACGGGCTTCAACTCGTGCCTGCACCGGCGCTACAGCAGCATCGCCGCCTCGCGCGGCTGCGACTCGTACTGGATGGACACGCCGTGCATCCCGCAAGACCACCAGCTGCGTAGCGAGGCTATCAGGGAGATCAACACCGTCTTCGCGCAGAGCCGGCTCACGCTCGTCTGCGACCGCGACATCATGGCCATCGACGTCGGCGAAGGAGAAGTCGACGCGGACACTGCCGCTCTGCCGCTCCACCTTCAAGAATCTCTCCTGTGCGCGCTGCTCGTCTGCGACTGGAACGTGCGCGCGTGGACGTACCTCGAGTCGGTCAAGGGCCGCGAGGGCATCTATCTGCTATGCGCGGGCGACGCCGTGGTGCGGCTAGAGGCAGTGCTGCGCAGCGTGCAGGCGCGCGGCGCGCTGAGCGTCGCCGCGCTCTTCCTGACGGCCCAGCACCTGCTGCCGCCCTGGGTGCATCCAAACGACGTCGGTAAGCCGAAGCCGCGCATGCGCTTCCGCTCGGCGAGGTCGGAGGTTATGCACGTTGAGGACGCTGCTGCGCATCTGAGCCACCGCCACGCGTCCCGTCCCGGCGATGAGGTTGTTATTTGGAGTCTACTGACGACGACGAACGCGGCGCGCGAGGGCGAGGGCGAGGGCGCGGGCGCGGGCGCTGCCGGCGAGGAGGGTGGTGGTGGGCCGACGGATGACCCGCTCAGGTTCTGGAAGCGGCGTGTGGGTACGCTCGTGCCGACTGGCTTTCTCATCTCGAGTAGTCCGCGGCTGGGGTACGCGAGCGCGGAAAACGCGGGGTTCGGATGGGCGCCGAGGCGGCCGGACAGGCCGGAAGGAAGGCGGCGGCGGCGGTGGTCGTGGTCGTGGTGGTGGCGGGGGCAGCAGGAGCAGGAGCAGTTCCACTTCGCGTTCGATGGAGCAGGTAGCGAGTATGCGTACATCACGGAGAAGGGCCTGACAGGGAAGTGGCTGACGCATCTGTTTGACGCGCATCCGCCCTGCTACGAGGTGCTTCGGCAGTGGCGCAGGCACGGTCGCTCGCCGCAGTTCCGCATGCTGAGGAGTATTGCTTCGCGCATGATTCCGCGGAAGTATTACTGGGGCGCTGTGTTGGCGCCGCCGGATATCGAGAGGAGCACGTCGCTCGTGCCTGTGCCGTATCGCGGCCGTGCCGATGGTACCCTACTTGCCGTTGTGGCGTCGGATGGAAACAAAGACGGAAGAATGCTGAGGTATCCAGGTAGGTCTGATGACGCCTCGCCGTGGCACTGGATTGGAGTTGTAGAGTGGCCCAAGGAGATACCGCTGCCTGAGCTTTTGAGGCTGGAGGTCCTGATGGTGTAACAGAGCTGCGACTTATTTCGTAGTTCCTCTGTTTCTGCTGATAGTTTGAACATCATTAATCTGCCTTTGTATCTTACTGTAAAAGTACAAGACGATCAAACCGATACTTAATTGGTTCCTTCTGTACAAGCGAACAATGGTCTTGCGTATTTTCCCCATAGATGCCCTTAGGCGGGCCTAAGACATCTTCACATCAGATAGATTGGCCACCCGCAGTATGACCGCACGGCTGCAGGCTATGTGGTTTCCTACTACGTGACCCAAATCCAGGCATATCACCGCCTGTTTGGACGTTCTCTACATATCAGGTATCTTCTCTCCGCCTTTAATAGAAAGTGGGTCAAAAAAGTTAATGCATTTAAACCTACGCCAAACTGAATTTCGGGGTGTTCTTACAAATCTCACATACGAAAACTGGGGGAGAGATGCTTAGATTCAGAGTTCAGTCCTCTTGGGAATAGATGATTGCTTTAGCGGACCAGATGGCTGAAGAACGTTCAGCGCATTTTGGGACGCAGGACGCAGACTACGGCTCCGTGAACTTCTCGGAGGTATATTTGATGCAACCAACCCAAATGAACCGTTTTCACAACTCCACGACTGTCTTCCTTTCCCTAACATCCAACAAATAATACGGGTAGCCGCGTGTGAGCTTATTTCAACTAAAGCGCTTTGAAAAAGCAACAAAAAAAATAAAGAACGTAGCTGAACATCAGTCTAGTAGAGCTAAGAAAGGGAATGATCGATGTCTATGCACTTCCGGGATAGGAAACTAGGGTCAAGCGGTCTACACTTTATAAATAGCAAGATGACATGTTGGTAAAATTCGTACAGTCCACGCTTCAATCAGACGTCAAGACAGCTAAGTAAACTAAAGACAGAGATGCGCTACCCTAGAGTACTCTCCAGTTTACCTTTTTACTTATAGGAAATGGTACATCTCGGTGCCCATTAGGCTTTTCAATGATGACAGAAAACATCCTAATTTTGATGAATACTTGCTGACCTTTGCGAGCATACACTCGTTCTATTATAATACCCTCACATGGTACTCTGCAATTCCTGGATAGATAAACGGCATATTTCTCCGACCTTTTCCGGAAAGAGCCTAGCCATTGATGAATATTAAGCTCTGAGTTAACTTCCAGGACGCCGATCGCATGTCAGCGGAAAGGTCCCGTAGGCGATTTGGACTGTATAGTAGACCAGGATATGTCATTCGTCACTCGTCAGGTGGCGGATTCTGATGGGGGTTAGGTCACGAGACCTGCAGATGTGGGCTGAGCTGCACATGCCTGCGTCTAGATTCACGAAAAGATTAACGCCAAAGTGTAGGCCGTAACCAATCATTGGCAACTCCAAAATTTGGACCCCACATACCCCATGCCGTGTTACAGACCTCGATAATTCTGTGGGCAGGCTAAGCCGTATGCAACAAGCGAATAGAGGCAACACGTCAGTGGCGAAAGAACCGCACGAACAAGCCGCGAGATTCTCGGTAAGCCTACGCCACCATCAGGACAAAGGACTCAAATAGCTCACCCTGCCCCACACTCTGGTACATGACCTGGTATCTCGAAAATCCTTCGCCTTATTGCAGCCGTATCGGACCGCGATATCTGTCGAGCGATGAGCAACACTCTTGCGAAAGATCCAGAAGGCATCGGCCGATTTCCGAGACGTCTTCTGCATGTCCCTACATCAACCTCACTGGAATGGCAACCCGGACACTACTATGGCAAATGGCATGCACCAAGATACGTTGTCATCTCCTACACCTGGGGACGATTTCGCCTCGACACAAAGAACGCAAGTAATGATCAGAGTCGCACGGCAGTGAAGGGGATTTCTGTACACGGTATTCCGTGGAGCATCCCTCCTATTAGCCCAAGTCACTTCACCGAGGAAGAGTTCTAGGGCATCATAAGAGCTGCCGCTGGCCTACCTAACGAGAAAGATAAAAAGCCAATCGATTTTGTTTGGCTAGATGTGGCCTGCATTGACCAACGTCCAGGAAGTCCGGAAGGAAGACTTGAAATCGGCAGGCAGGCAGCCATCTTTACAGAGGCTGTTCACATGGTAGTATGGCTGAATAACCTATCATCTATGTCTTTGAGTGGGTCCCTCAACGTACTTTGGGAGTGCACAAAAAGTATGAATCCAAACCCCTATTTTTTGGAGTAATCCAGAAATACTAAAAGCTGTTCCAGACCTCGGAGAACTCAAGTCCAGCAAAGGGCATGAACATGGAAGAAGAACCGCATTGGCCCACACTATGAGCAAGCTCAAAACATCGTTACACACTCTTTTCGATTCGCCCTGGTTTTCATCATTATGGACGCTACAAGAGGCCTTCATTGGTGGTAACACCTCCCTGCTGGCTTCTCGTGAAGCTATAATTCAGGATGCCACTTATGGCCTGTTGAATATTGGCAGTGTTTTAGAAGATATTCTCACCTATTGCGCATCCCTGAAGTTCGAAGAAGAAGCATCAATAGACGAAAGAGACGCGGACGATCTGTTACACACTCTGACCACTGAATGCTGCTCTGCCATCCGGAAGAGCGGGATGGTTGAACTCTCAGCTCTCCACATTATCGCACTATACCTTGCTGCCAAGCATCGCACAGCATCAAAGGAAGAAGACTACATTTATGGAATCCAGCAATGCTTTGAAGTCAGACTTGGCAACACAGCAGAGGGTAGCGACCCATCAAGGACCTTCAGTCGAGACGATTTGGAGCTCCAACTTGCAGCACAAATGTTCAAGCTCTGTCCTGTTCAAAGTCAAATGCACATATACACGGCTCCAGTAGCTCCGGGATCCGGATTCTACCCAAGGATGTCATCAGAGCTTCCAGAATGGATTCCCGACGTTTTTACCAGCAGACGGATAATGTACAACTTTGAATCGGAATGCCACTTGTCTATCTTGAACGCCGAGAAGATGACTCTGGGGCACTTCCGCGGTCTTCAGATACCATTTCAGAGTCTGTATCAAGAGTGGGAACGTATCAACACTGCCCAGGGACTCACGCCAACGACCTCATCAGGATCGAGCGTAAGATCTATCTTCTACTTTGGAATCGACGGTGCTGGTTCTTCAGCTTCACCAGCCTTTCGTCTTCCCGACCATGTCGATCCCAACCAGGCGATAATACTTTTCCTTGGTCGAGCGTGGCTTGATCTTCCAAATACGAGGGAAGAGGCAGAAGAGTTCGGAGTCGGAATACTGTCGTTGCGCGGCAAGGAGAAATATGGCAGCCATACTTTCTTTCGTCGCCTCGGTTTCTGTCTATGGAAGGTGAGATCACAGCAGCTTGGCAGAGCCGTTCTTCCGAGAAACATGTTGAACCCTTCGGTCAACGAGGATGGTTGGTGCGCTTGTGAAACTTGTTTTGGGTAGGGATAGCTCCATGTCGCTCTTTATTTCTTAATTAGCAGGCTTATCCATCGGCAAATGTTTGTTTTTGAATTCTGAAAATCATAAAGCTTATCACGGATGCTAGGATGATGTTGCAAAAGATCCGCAGGAGTGTGCAAGCCCGGCAACGCTCTCATTCAGGCGCGGAAGCTGGGTCGTGCCACGCAGTTTATGACCATTCCGCACTTGCACATATTTCACAATTTAAGTGATCATATTGCCGTAGATTCCTAAGAAATGAGATTGATTGTCCAGAATATCTATCCTTCATACAGGGTTGTCTTTGCCGAGGGGCTATGCGAGGCTGAGGCTGTGTCAAAGCGAAAGAAACCCCGGATATGAATATAAAATCTGCCTTGGATCCCGCCACTGTTGATTCAGGATGCTGCTATGCGTTAGATTAAGGAGGCGATTCTATCGTGAATTTGTTTAGCTACTCGCATGCATATAAAATGCAGCTTCGCCCCGCACCTACAGCCCTACCAAATCGTCCCACTGCACGTGATCGTCGCACAATCACTCGCCACCTACCGTAAATCTCTCACCGGAGCCAGCGCAGCCCTCTCCCTCCACTTTAAAGCACTGCCTGGAAACAGCCACCCCGGCCTTACAGTCGTGATCCTTTGATCCGCCGACGCGGCCTGAATTCTTGGCGCATGTAAGCACAAATTGATTCAATCAGCAGACGAAGTTGACCTATATTGGAGAATATGTTCTGCTTCTTTCACACTTCTGATGTTCCCATCTCTCAATCGTTCCACCAGGCGACTGTTCGGCAGCAGAGATGCTCGAGCTGCAATTGATCCCGGATTCTGTGGCAAGATTGCATGACTCGGAAAGCGGAATGAAACCCAGGCGAAGCACAGGAACATGACCAAAAGTAGGCATTCGCTCGTGATAGTCGTGGCAAGGTCTTGCGTGATGCGAGCAGACGGATAGACAACCTTAACCTCAATGGATTGAGTGTAATTTTGCACATCTACTAATGCGCTGATAGCATGGGGACGCAGTTCTGTCAGTAGATTGACAGTGTAGGCCGTATACGTGGCAGTTGAAGCCTGGACCAAATTATCCAAATCAAGGATGGAAGAGACATCGCCGAGCTTGTATTCGCCGTAAGAGGCCAGTAGCTCAAAAAGGGATCCGCCAGTCCATGGTATAGGCCACAGAGAGTCGCCAAATTCAGCTTCGCGTCCTGATTCGCATAGGTTGTAAGCTATCTCTCAACCCATATTCGCCCCTAATGGTGTAAGCCAGTATCGAATTTGGGAGCCATTGTACTGAGATTTACTTTGAATAGACAAAGCATTATATCGTGCAGGGCTCCATGACGACAGTATTGTGTTACCCCACCCTGTACCTCTTGTGCGGGTGAATGTGGTATCGGCCATGACGCGGGTCCAGTCGCTGTAGCATTTGACCGCTGTCAACTTTGGAAGTGACAGGGTATGCATTACGGGATCAAGGGAAACATTTTTTACATTGACCCAGTCAGAGTAATTGTATTCGAAATCAATGGGCCCGAAGGAGAATGGCATCTGTATTTCGTTTGCCACGTAACCGACAGCGTCGCCCGAATCAACTAAAAGAACATGGTATCCTGAGTCCGAACCCATGCAGACCTTTTATGAAAACCTGCCCTCTGGAGATTTCGTGTAGAGCGTTGACAGCGGAGGCACATTCGTCACCAGTGAAACCACTGAGCGCTGTGATATTGCTGATCACCAGATTGTTGAGGACTCCTAAGCGTATTGGGATGTTGAAATCCGGGTTCAAGGCCGATTCTGCGTATTGAAAGGCACTTTGGACAATTTCGTTTGGAGGTACAGTCTCATCTCCGCTGTTGTTTACCTCGGCATCCAAGGCTGTCAATGTACCAACCAGGTTGTCCATCAAGCTAATATCAAGCTCTATCCAGATGGGATTCCCGGTCTGTACAAGGCTTACTCGATAGGGGCCTGCGGTGGTAATCTTCAGGGGTGGAATTAAGAGAACGGCGAATGATGAAGCCAGTACTGCAAATCTAAGGCGGTTTTTAAAAGCTCGAAAAGGCATCCAGATGCTTGGAACATCGCGAAGGTTGAATAATAATGGAGATCCAACTCCACTCTTGGTTGACAAAGTGTTTTACGGGGTCATGGTCTTGACTGAACTGTCGATCTCGGAACAAGCATATCCTAAAAGAAGAAATACAATAGTAGGTAGAAAGACTGAGATATTTGAAGCAATAGCTGTGTTTTTTTTTTAGAAACCATGATTGGTGTATGATCGGAAAGAAGAATGGATTCGGTGACCATGACTGCAAGGATGGTTCCGGAGACAGCAAGCTTAACCCAGAGACGCAGTGGTAGTGGTCGAAATCCGTCATGAACCTTTATTTCGGGAGTATCTTCTTTGCCCGAGTGCCTCTGGATGGCCATAGGGGCGGCGGTACGATGTATCGCTGGTTGAAATTACCACACCAATGACTTTTAGGGCATTTCCGCATGTTTGTCCATAGAATGAGTCTCCAAAGACAACATGTCGCTTACGTAGTCTTCACACGTAGCTAGAAGTACCGCCATAGATGCAATGGAGCCTGGGTCCTCGAAAAGAACAGGTCTTTGGTCTTAACACGGTCATTTGAAGAATGCAGGCAAGGGCGAGCAAACAAAGAAGAGCCTGAAATATTCGCAACGATTGGAGACGAAGGAATAATTTGGGGCCAGCTATTTTTAGTAACCCATCGATATCTTGGAAGTAGGTCTTGCGTGCGAATACGTTCGCGACTTAGCTCATGATACTATTGCTCAGTTGTTCCACGGCCATTTTGTATTGCTCGGGATCATTTTGGAACGTGTTGAGGACTGATTCAGATAAATGGTTCGTAATCATGTTGTTGAAAGGATCGGTACCGTAATAGTTGCGGAAAGTAGAGATAACTTCCTGAGAATATTTGACGAGAATTTCACCAGTGCGTGAGGATGAAGTATACACACACTGAGTGCGAGAGTCCAGAAGGTTGTTGAGATAAATGTAAATCGGCTCCATCGAAGTTTGGATATCCTGCTGAGGTGCAAGAGATGAACTGATGTTGTACTCCAAGACGTTTCCAGTGATTCAGTCCGCTCTCACTACAGCTTCTCTGGCAACGAATGACGGTTTACACAACGCTGCTAGCGACTTGGTCGGGATTGAGTCATGCTCATACCATGCAAGCATGGAGAGGACTCGGGTGTCGGTTTCATTGTCCGCACACGCTGTCATGTTGATCCAGGCTTGAACACTCGGTGCTATCCAGTATCGAACACCCGGAGCTATCCAGTACCCCTTATCACTCAGTCCGCGATCGACATCGACAAGCAAATCATTAGAGCAATTGAGATCAGGTCTTCTACTGACATCCGCTCGAAAGATGTTGTCATCGGGAGCCAGAGGAGTAAAATTGATTAAATGACAGGTGAACTTCGGGTAAAAAGCTTGTATAGTAGCTTATATTGTCGTATTTTCAGAAAGATGAGTAGTGCTGTTGAAAGACTCGAAAATGTAGCCGTCTTTGGACCATGGCGCGCTTTGGCCGCCAGGCAGCCTCTCAGCAGCAACAGCAGCAACAGCAGCGTATGGCTTCTGACCAGAATGAGTATATGGTATAGATAGCGTTCCATCTGGATTTGGTGATATGCTGCGGAACGAGAATGTCGTTGTTTTGAGAAAGCGCGTCTTCTCCGAATGTATGGCAAAGAGATCGACATACGTCAACGAGTTCGCCACGGCGACAAGAGCTCCACAAACAGAACCAAGAAGAAGTCCGATAAACACTGCCCAGTGCCTTCGACTGGCAGCCCTGAAGAGCGCAACTGGCTCAATAGTTGTGATGTAATCCAGGCCAACTGAGTCTGATGTCTTGGACCACTTCCCGCTCATTGTTGACCACGGCGTGACTCTCTTTGCATCTTGCACGAGGGCCTTCCACATGAACCCTAGACAGACAGCGCCAAAAGTTGGAAGATATCGGGTGGCATTCATCGACATCGCGTGCTCGGGGGCTGCACTGAGGCCGTTGTTTCGGTTGACGAAAATGTTTAATACTTCCAAGCATAGAGCGAAGATGATGCAGAATACAGCTACCGACAAGGCTCGAGATTTTCGAAGCCAACACGGAATCCATTCCGGTGTTTGTTGCTGCCGCTTGCGATTCACTGCCAGAGAAGTTAGAACAAGCACAAAATAATTAACTCATCTATACTCACAGTGCTCAGAGGTTGACGACATGGTTGGTGGACAGACGCGTTGGAATGGTGTCAATAGTGTGGAGAGAAGCGATGAAATTTTGTGAAGGAAATTGGCAAACCCCCTTGACAAGAACATGTTCTTCCCCGTGGTTATGCTTGCACAACTTACCAATGCAGCATGAACCTTCTGTGGACGAGGCTGCAGGGCTCGATGAAAGACGGCAGATTCCAGGAGTAACGGGGCGGCTTTTATCGTGGCACCAAGCAATCAGCTTCTTTTCCTGATTTTAGCTTGAACTTTCACCGAAGGCCCCATATTCGAATTAAAAGAATAAATAAAGTTGTGTACAAAAATGATAGTACACGCAGATAGTGGAAGCCATCGTCTGGACGAAAGTGTACAATTGTTAATACGACATTTACATCCAGATGATAGCTTCAGCTCCCCATGACACAAGCAAGAAACAAATTCGTATTCGCCTTCAGCTGCGCGATCCCACTGTACTTTGTGTGACTGTCAATGCACCTATGTGGAACACGAGGAGGTGTAAACGCCAAGTAGCGAGTCAGGCTACATATCTATCTGTAAGGGATACATGCCTGTCGTCATCCACCTGCTTTATTGTAGGAAAACCTGATTTACCACCATCACAGCTCAGCTTTCAGATGAGACAAGACAAGTGTGTCAGGGGCCATGTCTCCTGCTGTACAGGGCATACTATATATAGATAGGAGAGAGATAGAAATTCTGGACTCTCGCAATTCGACTCGGAGTTACGATACGCCATTTCCCTCCCCTTAATAATACTAACAATTGTTTCTTTTCTTCAGAATCTTGTGTAGCCTTCGGTGTTCAATGGAGCGCACTCAATCATTCGGCGTTATTGGAATCTCTCGTCTTCTGGTGTGTTCATGCTAAGATGGTTGTGTGTTGAGATATCCAGTATCTAGCAGCGTATTCCCTGACTACAATATCGAGATACTCCCGTCAAAGGGACAAAGAGCATTCCTCGTGACGTTCGTCGACCACTGTGCCTGCATTAAAGCCGGGTAATCCTCCCGGGTAGATTCCTGCTCGTAAAATCTCTGGGCGAGGTCGGAGGACGAAGGCGCCACCTGGGATATCCACGGAGTAAAATCGCCCGTCCGTCGTGCAAAATCGTGCTCATGTCGAGAAGCCGCGGTTGTCGCCGGAGAGGAGCGCCTCATCCGTCGTGGCGCGGGAGATCCGCGACGAGAAAACGCCAGCCGCGCCGAAAACGGTAACAATGCAGATGGCCAGTCCAATCAGCGACGCCATCCGGCTACAGGGGTCCTGGCTTGTTTGCGCCACGCCCAGGTGATCTAGATTAATCTCCAGAGGCCGGCGATCCAGAAGTCGTATCATTGCGAAACAGTTAAATCTATAGGCAACCATCAAATGGATCAGTTACAAGGAGCGGAAAAGGCTGGCATGATATGCGAATTGGAGATCGAGCGGTTATTTGGTCAATATCCTGTGGTTGATATGAGCAATGTTCTTGTCGGACTAGAAAAATTACGACGCCGCACTGTTTCCAGTGCTTGGCTAGTAGCCTTATATTGTCTGACACTTCTTTTCTCTTTTCACCGTCTTAAACACTACAACTTGCTCTTTTGGGTCGACCCTCAGCACTGCATACCCGGAACAAGAGCGAAACTTCGCAGGCACCTCGTGTGGCGAGAGCGAAGGAGGCAAATCATAAAACTTCTTTTCTACGACCACGATCTTACCAAACGCAACCCAGCAATCATCTCATCAAGCGTCTGCCTGACGCCCTTTTCCTCGACCATCTCCCGCGCATGTCGGCCCCGGTCGTACTCGCCATCCGCCCAGCGGAACCACACGTCGTCCCACGGACCTACGGTGTTTTCCTCGAACTCAACGTTCTCCAGACACGGCAGCTCGCGCTGCAGCACGGCAAGCAGATCCACAACACTTGGAATGCACGTTCTGCGGATTTCAATCGACCGAAGGACGTCCTTTTGCGTGCGCACCGTGTCGATGACCTCCTGAACCGTGTTGAAGCAGCTGCGTTGGATCCCTAGGTGGCGTAGGGTCGGCATGCGGGATTGAGGGGCGTATTGAGTAAGCGATAGTGTGTGCTGTAACGAGGACGTCGTGTCTAACTTTAGTAGGTGCAGCGTGGTGAGGTTCGGCAGGGCCGAGTAGAGCGCTAGAAGGAGGCGGTGCTGGGAACCGTCTGCAAAAGGATTCGAGAGTCGTCAGCCTGCCGCATGCGCTGCTGGAACCTTTCTTTTTGAGGGACAGAGACCAGCACGCCGTTGGATGCCGCCGCGTCTTGCTCACATACCTACTGGGTATCTGTTCTCGATGTAAAGGACAAGGGCATGCACATTCGGCATGGTTCCGAAGCGGGTTTCTGGTTGTGCGAGCGTTGGGTTTGGATGCGCGTTGCGTATATGCAGGCGGTAATGAGGAAGTTGGGGACTTTCGAATGTCCAGGGCGGAGGATAAGGAAGGTTGAAGCTCATGTATTTGAATGGCTCTATGACTCTCTCTGGGCAGCTCGACATGATGGCCAGGGTCTTGACGTGCTTGCTCCATCGACTACTCTCGGATAGATGTACAAGTCTCTGCATGCTCGACTGCACGAACCAGAATGAAACAGATGCTAGGAGAGTCTCGAAGATATAACTCGACGCCGTGTAAAGTCGTTTGGAGCAGAGCCTCAACTGTTTGAGACTCTTGATGTCGAGTTGCTCCGCGATCCGGCTGATTAGCTCTGTTGGTAGTCTCTCCAGCCCTCGAGACGCCTCGGCACCTTTGGAGCGCATGTTTACGGCTGGGCCGTTATGTGATTGAGGCATTTTGTGTGGCTGGTTACGGTATTTTGTGCGTGGGTTGGGATATGCTTTTATATATATCCATGGAGTGAGATGTTGGAGAAATTTGGCGATTTGCTGTGGTCGTTTGATTTCGTATTTCAGACCCTACGCCATAGAACCCTACTCATTATCCCGTCTTACACAATTGCTTCGTGGCAACTAATCCCCAAATGGAAATCCACGAAAACTCCCCTTTCACAAACTTACGACAACAGATGATATCACAGTAGGCTACGCGTACGATACTTTCGGAATATACATCACAAATTTGCAAAGTATCAACATATAGAAGCGAATTGGCACGCTGACCTTCAGTCAATAGCTTCAGAGAAAGCGGTGATGTCTGTTTTCTTGTCCACTTCAGCCAAATAACTGTGTACAAACGCGTTGATTTACTGTCTATGATAGCTCTTCCTCAATGATGGCCTACTATATATTGAGTACAAACATGGGTTACTACGGACGCTGGATGGGAGTTAACGTCGATGAAGCAGCCCAAGATCGCGAATATCAAACGTCCCAGCCTGCATCCTATCAAGCAGCATCTGCATAACCTCTCTCCGCTCCTCGCCCGGCGACACGACCCCTCCCCCCTTATCCCACCGCCAATAGTCCACCGACGTCAGCGGAATATAGTCGACCTTCTCAGGCAACACCTCCCGCAGCTGCCGCGGTACCTTGCGCCCCGTCACAAAGTGCTTCAATTCCATCAAGCTCCATATCGTGCTATGGCCGATCTCGACCATCTCAAGCGTGTCCGTGTGCGCCTGCATCACGGCGAGGAGCTCGTCCGACTTGATGTTGCTGTGCTTGATGCACAGGCGGCGCAGGCGGGACGCGCCGGGCGGGGGCGTGTAGAAGGCGAGCGGGTGGCCTGGGAACGCCGTTCTTGCGAGCGGGTGTTCCGGGCACGTCTTTGCGTGCGTCAGGTGCAGGGTGGTGAGGTTGGGGAGGGCGGCGTAGAGGGCGGGCAGGTGCTCGTGCTGGGTGGCGTCTGTTGTTGTGTGTGCAAAAACGGGTGTGTGTTGTCAGCTGGATGTTTCTTTCTTCTCTTGCGGGGGAGGGTTTCCTTTGGTTATACCTTGGTTGTAATTATCGCAGTTGAGGCACAGGGTAAGCGTGTGCACGTTCGGCATGGTTCCACCGCCACCGAAGCGCGGTGGCGCGGCGAGGGCTGCTGCTGCTGGATCCGAATGCGTGCTGGTCCTGTGCAATTCGCGGGAACGACGGTGGCGGTGGCTGTGGATTGTCCAGCATGGAGTGCCGTGCTCTGAGATCCGCATGCTGTCGGGGCTGCTTGATAGTATCTCCAAGGCTTCGAAGTGCTTGTTCCAGCGGTCATTCTCAGTCAGAAGCGCGAGCCTCTCTATGCTCGACTGCATGAAGAAGAATGGGAGGAGCGTCGGTACGCGGTCTCTGAAGGTGTAGCTTGACGCCATAGCAAGCTTTCTGCAGCAGAGTCTTAGCTGTTTGAGACTTTTTGTGTCGATATGGTCGGCGATGAGGTTGGTTAGTTCGCTTGGTAGTTTGTCGAGTCGTGCAGACACCGCCGTATTGGTCTTCTCAACAGAATTCTCCTCAGCAGGTGCAGCGTCGAGATTTGGGTGGCCATCGAAAGGGCTGCTGGCGGCCGACATGCCCTCAGAGGTGGTAGCCGCAGCAGCAGCGTGGTGTGATTGCGGCAGCATTCTGTGTTGTCAATGATGCGTATGATTCGTGCGGATGGGTGTTTGATTTTGTAAGTTGTAAGTGGGATGTTCCTGGGTAAAATGTTGATGTGGTTCCTGATGGACCCATGGTTCGTATGATTTAGCGATCACGTTCTTATTACGCATTGAATACACAAACGGATTCCAAGAACGACTCATCGGGGCCTTTTCTCTTGGGATTTAAACTTGATACGTATATAACTGTGTAGACTATGCCGCTATTTTACTTTTTGTTTTTGCCTTATTACTTTGTATATGCTTTGCCTTCTCTAGTTCAGTATGGAGTCTTCCCAGAGACCTCAGCCAGCCATCGTCATATGACTGACTGCCCTTTATCGTTCACTCACACCTTTCTGTGAAGATGAAGGAGCAGTGCCGTTGTTTCGCCCATCCCCGCGCGGTGCATATAGTCGAGAAAAGATAGGTACTGGGAAAGACATGTATTCGAACCAGAACCGATTTACCGTGGATAAAGTATCACCGCTGCATGGATCATGATGGTGGAGAATGGATCAAGGAGATGAAGACTGTTTGGGAGCTCAGCGTTAAGAAGGCTTCACTGTTGCCGGATGTTAGGAAGCCACTGGGTTGACCACGAGGAAAATAATTCTATTGCGAGACGATGATGTGTTTGAAAGGCAGTGAGAAAGTGAATGTTTTCGTTGAAAGAAACTGTATTAGGCGATTTCGAGACACCACTGATTCCTTATTGAAGTAATGCTTGGTGAAACGTGAACGACCAATCACCGCAAGCAAAGGCTGATTTGTAGAGAAAACGAACCAAGCTTCTTGGCCTACATGCCAATGTTTGTTGAAATGCGTTCTCCAAACACAATAGGCCGTGGAATTCGCATTCCGGACCAAGCTTAAATCGAAGCGGCCGCCCCGCGGGCTTTCCGATCACACCCCGCCGCAGCAGAACGAAACCAACACAATGGCAGCACCACCAGAGAAAACGATCAGCAACCTGACGGGAAAGTGGACGCTTGACCGCAAGCTCTCGTCGGGACTTGACGAAGTCATGGCCCTGCAAGGGGTGGGCTGGCTGAAGATCAAGGTATTTGATGTAGATACAGTGGACCAAGGGGGAGATCTAATGCAGTCCGTCCCGCCAGGCCCTCTCGGTTATCAACGTCACGGAAACGTACAAGCAGTACATCGACGACGCAGGCGTGACGCACATCGACGTCGTGCCGACGGTGACGGGCGGCTTCAAGGGCGAGGAGAGCAACTGCGTCGTCGACGGCATCAAGCGCGCGCGGACGCTGCAGGAGTTCGGCGAGGTCATGGAGTCTTGCCAGTGGAGCGACCTGACGGACGTCGACGAGGAGTTTCTGCGCGACGGCTGGGTGTACGCGGAGGGCGAGAAGACGGGGCCGAAGAACCTGTATATGAACGTTACGATGGACAAGGGAGCGTGCGTGTTGAAGGGCGTGTGGGGGTTCATTGACGTTGAGGGAAAGAGGTATCACGCCAGGAAGTCGACGTGCACGAAGGACGGGAAGACGGCCAAGTGCACCCATGTGTACGGGTGGAAGGAGAGCGCGTGAACGAAGACTATGACGAGATGACTTGGACTGTACGAAATCAGGACTCCACTCCCTTTTCGGAATTTGTTTTCACGAGGCCGGGGCATTGAAAGCCGAGATATGCACCATGTGTTTTAGTCGACACGGAATGCTACTCCTTCAATCACATTTACTTTCGCCGCGGGAGGCGCCTAGCTACGTGCCGTGGTGACCAAAATAGATAAATCCGACGACTTGCCGTGGGGGGAGATTTTTGGTGGGGAAGCTTGCTGGTTAGCGCAAACAGCCAGTGACCGGCGTACCTTCGTGTTTGTTCCTGGCTTACCAACCAACATTTGGTCCCAAATCTAGCAGGCAAGTGGGGCCGAGCATGTTCCCGTCTCCAAGCCCATCGCAATTCCAGAATTGCATCACTATTGCCGACGAAGTGGGAATGGGGGAGCGACCCGGGACAGGAACGCATCTCCCTTTCAGCTGTACCACCTCTGACGTCATGAATGCCGTTTGAGGGCGGGGGCCGGCCAGCTCACTCCCCGCACGTAATCATGATGGTGACATGCGGAATAAAAGTAAAAGCGAACGGTCACCTATCACCTGTCACCGCCCACTCTTACCTTCGCCACAATCTGACCACAAACGCTCATCACTATCCACTCTCACCCAACTCAACCCCGCATTCTCCCAATATTGCTCACACCCGCCATGCGCTCCTTCCACCACGCAGCCCGCTCAGCTAGCAGCCAAGCCGCTGCTGCCCGCTGCCGCCCGCTCCTCCTCACCCGCGGCGCTCCCCGCCGCCATGCACGCCTGCAGTCAACCTCAGCCTCACCCTCCGGCGGCGGCGGCAGCAGCGGTAGCAGCGGAGCCCTCACCGGAGCCGCGGCCGGCGCCGCCTCCGCGCTCGTCGTCGGCTACACGTGGTACCACCTCTCGGGCGCCAAAGCGGCCGTGCAGACCGCGAACCAGACGCAGAGCTACATGCAAGCCGGCGTCGACAAGGTCAAGTCCACCACGCCGGAGCCGGCCGAGGCGCTGCGGTACCTGCGCGCGACGGCGACGAGCTACGCGTCGCTCGTGCCGGGCGCGAAGGGCTACGTCGACGGCGCGTTCGAACAGCTGGACCGCGTGCGCGAGGAGCACGGGGAGGAGGTGGACCGGATCGTGCGCGAGGCGTGGGGCGAGCTGCAGGGCATCGCGAACGAGAAGGGCGCGGCGAGCTTGGAGAGCGCGGGGAGGGCGTGGGGCGTGCTGCAGAGGTGTTTGGCCCGTGTGGGCAGGCTGGCGGGCGAGGCGGCGAGGGAGGTGGTGGAGCGGGTGGATCCGCAGCTCAAGGAGAAGGTGGGCGGCAGCTTCGAGCAGCTGGATCAGCTCGTCGACAAGTACGGGCCGCGGGCGAGAAAGCAGGTCGACGAGGCGTGGGACCAGATCCGGGAGCTGGTCAAAGGCGGCGGCGTCAAGGGCGATACCCCGGATAAGATCAAGCAGCTGGTGCGGGAGACGAAGCAGCGGCTGAGCAAGGCCGGCGACGAGGCGTGGAAGAAGGGTCTGGAGGAGGCGAAGCCGTATCTCGACAAGAACCCCAAGGCGAAGGAACTGTTGGAGGAGAATGCGGAGGCATTGAAGCAGGGCGATCTGAGCGAGCTGTGGGAGACGGTGCGGGACAACGGCGACGTCGCCAAGGTCGAGGAGCAGGTTCAGCGGCAGGTCGACAAGGTGAAGACGAGGGGATTGGGCGGCCTGGAGCAATACGTTAACATGGTTCCGGGCGGAAGTCAGATTCTTCCAAAGTTGCAGCTACTGCAGGACGTCGGCCAGAAGCGCGGGAAGGAGGCCGAGCAGCTGCTGAGGGAGACGGGCGACGAGATCGTGCAGGTGTTGAGCAGGAAGTCGGACAAGGCAAAGCAGCTGCTCGACGAGGCAAAGACGCGGTGAAACCGGGCTCTCTTTCTGTAGATGACTCGTCGACGAAGGGTAACCCAGCTGCAATGCTCATGCGTTAGTGTGGTTGTACGACACACTGCAACCCTCTCCGAGAGCATCGCCGGCCTTCCCGTCCGATATGCAGCTAGCCAATCCTTCCAGTCAACCGTGCCGCCCTCCCGTACCACAGTGCAGCTCTTGCGCCACCGTTTCGACCTTCTACAGATAAAGCCATGCAACCCACGGCGCATAGGCGCGGACGCGCCCCGACCCTGAGTGCGTTCTTTTCTCCCTTTGAAACGAGTCGTTAAATACGAGGTCGTTTCAACGCGCAAATTTTCGCTGTCTCCCTACATGACTATTAACCTATTCTTGGTAATTGGGCAAAAAGCCGGGCGGAGTTAGGAGCGTCCCTAGAAGGCGCAGGGTTCAGGTGGCGTAGTGGCGCTTCGCGTGTGCGAATCATCCCCAGACTACCGCCACAGCGAGCCCGAAGGATGCCAAAAACGCCCGAGACGCCCCGAGAGGCCTCGACAGCAATCCTTCAGCAAAAGAAGATGGGAAAAAACGTGCCGGAAGTGGGTCCGTTTAGATTAAACGCCCTTGGTGTCTATCAGTTCTGGCCAGAGGAGCAGTGGAGTGTGCTCACGGCCGGAAGCCACACCACGAGGCCTCAACGCCTATTAACGGCAGAAAAAAGTGGCGAATCTTGAAACTGCCGGAGAATTCCTCTGATATGTTAGAGCTGACGGGCGGATCTGACAGGCGAGCTTAGCACCTGCAATACGACCATGGGGAAGTGCTGTCGGCCACTGCCTAATGTGGCATAGCTGCCCCATCGCCGTACGCGTCGACTAAAGGACGTCGAGTCGAGCAACGGGGTCCTAGTGCCGAGAATGCTTGGAACCGCCCAATGCTGCCCCGAGCAGGCAGAGGCTAGATGCGGACCAGATAGGAAGGCGAGCGATGCAACCAACGAGCATGCGCTAGAGAATAGCATGCGGAGATTGTGCATGAATCAGAGGTGCAAAGAGGTCCAGAAATGCCAAGGCCCGCCTGTACTACGATTAGCCTGCACCCTAGTCGGAACTGGCTCCATGCTGTCGGGAGGCAGATCCCCGCCAAGTATTCCTTCACCACGGGGAAAAAATGCCGTCGTCGTCAAAACCGTCTTCTCACCTCCATCGTCAGGCCATTTCTCCGGTCGAGCGGGACCGGAGCCGCACGTCCTGGTGGCGGCGTGCTCGTTGCTTTTGTTTGTTGACAGGGGGCCGAAGCCAGGTGCATGCTTCAGGGGCCCCAAGAAGTGGGATCGAGTGGCGGACAGCGGTGCTCTAGAGGCCTAGCGCGGGCACCCGCTGACATAGACGGCTTGCGAATAAGGCGTCCGGCGCTTGCGCGGGTTCTGGCCCTGCCTTCCCTTTCGCTGGGCCGATCCGTTAGGGACCGAGTAGTCCCACATCGGAAGTATGCACAACAGTGCCGCCATCCCTACACACTCCACCCGCGGAAATGGCTGCCACGCGCTCCTCGGTGTTTCATCCTTGCTCCCATACGGGTCAACCCGTGCCCACATCCCAGTCGCCTCGCACAGCATGGACCGCGCATTGATCCCCAGCGTCGCTTGTGCGATCAGGGTCCAAACTTCTACGACGCGCTCCCGTCCCAGGCAGATCACAGATCCCTGATCGGTCGTGCAGCGGGGGTGAGGTACATAAAGGAGCCCCCAGCGAAGGCGCGGAGCGTGAGCTGGTACTTACTTCCTCCGCACATCTTCTCCATCATCATCCCATCTCATCCCACACTCTTTCACAATGACCGAAGTCATCACCGAAAGCATAAGCCGCATATCGCTGTCGCCCTCGCGGCAGAATGTCTACTGCCTCATCAAGCACGAGGACCCGGAGCTGCAGCCGCTGGTCGTCTCGGCCTTCAAGGCGCGGCTCCCCCAAGACACATACAAGATCATCAGCTCCCTGGATGAATACCCAGGCGGCCCTCTCCTCCAATTCGCAGCCAAGGACTCGCTGGACCTCGAACAGGCGTTCCACCAGCCGCGCATGCTGATCAGCACGTACGTGACGCGCGACGCACTCACCCGCAAGCACCTGCTGGGCCAGACGTACGCCACGTGGGTGGCCAAGAACCCGGGTTGCCTGTTGCAGACCAACGTCAAGACCATCGCCAACCTCGAGCTCAACCCGTCCGAGAGCATCTACGACGTGCTCGAGGACACGCCGCTCGGCAAGATCCTCGAGAAGAACGAGAGCAAGACCAACCCGGCCGACCGCGTGTGGTGGATGCTGCGCCCCGACCTCAGCGACGGCTCCCAGGACCTGCGTCTCTTCTCCACCGTCGACGAGCTGCAGGCCGCCTTTGACGACTTCGACGCCGAGTACGAGCGCGAGCACGCAAAGAACGCCGCTCCGGCCGTCGAGGCCGCACCAGCACAAGAGGAAGCTACCACACCCGCCGCCGCCGCATCAGACGCAAAGGACACCGACGACCACCACGACGCCAGCCTCGCCCGCCAATCGGGCGGCGGCTGGTCCTCCTGGTTCCAAATCACCGTCACGACCGAAGAGCACACGGACGTCGTCGCGCCCAAACGCCACGTCGTCGCGCAGCGCTACGTCTCGCGGCCGCTCACCTTCGACGGCTGCAAGTTCCAAGTATCGGCGTACGTCGTCGCCGTCGGCGCTTTACGCGTCTTCGTCTACAAGCCGCTGCTCGCCCTCTTCGCGGCCAAGCCCTTCGCCGCGCCGTGGGAGCACGTCGGCGAGCACGACCTCGACGCGCACTCGACGTACGACGGGAATGTCCGCCTCTTCTGGGACCTGCCCGACAAGCCCGCCGGCTGGAAGCAGAGCGTCTTCGCGCAGGTGTGCGCCATCACGGGCGAGGTGTTCAGCGCGGCCAGCGCGAAGGAGATGGGCGCGCACTTCCAGCCGCTGCCGCAGAGCTTTGAGGTGTTTGCTGTCAACTTTGCCGTCGATTATAGCGGCAAGGCGATGCTGGCGGATATCAGGGCCAGCCCGGATATGCTGCATCAGACCGAGTGCGGGACCAAGTTGTCGGGCTTGGTCCAGGGCTTGTTCGAGGAGGTGGCGGATGTGGCGGTCAAGCCGTTCTTTGCGGCGGGCGGCTACCAGGAGGTGGAGGAGAGTGAGAGGTTGGTGAAGGTGGTGGATTTGGATTGCAAGAAGATATGATGATTTGATTTTGGTTTATTTCTTGTTTCTTGGCGAATGGTGTGTGTGGGTTTGGGGGGGGCTCTGGGTCTTTTCTTCTTCTTTTCTTTTCTTTCTTTCTCTCCCCTGTACACTTATGCGAAAAGTAGAGGCTCGGGGCATGCCTCTTTAAGATATCACCTTACGCAGAATCATTTTCTTCAACAAGCTATCTTCCAGTCATTACTTCATTCACTTTGTGCAGAAGTATTTCTTCAACGGGCATTCTCCAAACCGTTGGCTTCACGTCTGCCTGTCGTTGTGGTTGTCGTCCAGCCCACGGTCTCGGCGTCACTCCCCACCGCCTTTTTGCCATGTCGTCCAAAAAAGCAAAAACGGCATAAGCATAAGTTTTCTCCTTTCGGGAGGATGCAGGGTGGTTGTAGCAACCCATGTCTGGCGGCTCGAGCACTTCACACAAGCCTTGCGGGGAAAGGCCCCCCCTCCCCTCCCCCTGCTGATGCACAGGACACTGAACAGGGTAAGTCGTTCGGGCTGGGGGATCCACTATCGCACAAGTTGGGTGGATAAGTCATGCATGGCCCTTGTTCCTGGCCATCCTTCCCGGCCCCGTGGGTCAAATCCCTTGTTCGTGCTGCCGTTGAAGACTCACTTTGCTCCACCATCCGTACCTTCAGCGTATGGAGTTCATCACTATGAAATGCGGCTGGGAGGAATTGCTACGAATGAATCCAAGCGTGGATTGATGCGTACTGGAGTTTTCTGAGGATTACGTGTCCGCAGGCCTTCATTTGACATAAGGAGTACCTATCCTTCCTCCACGGGAGGAGTCGATTCAACCTCCGCCCGACAGAGAAATTACCAGGGCTCTCTTCCCACCAAAAAGGATCGAGTCTGAAACAAAATGTCCAAGTCAGGACCGTCAGCCACACCGCCATTAATTTGGCCCAACGGGTAGGATCTGACCGTGCTCCTTCATCGTGGGTCGACCGTGCCCTCCTCGCCAACGTCCGTCGCATTGTCCCCCCTCGCTCGTTCCGCCATCCGCGCGGGCTATCCTGACTCTTTACGCCCCACTCAGCCAGTTTCACCGTTGCTCCCCCCGCCTCAAGCCATGGCGTACATGGCCATGAATCTGCCCGCTATGGCTTTTTCTTGGAGCTATCGTCTTTGAAAGGCTTGTGCCCTCGGCTGCCCCGAAAACCGGTTGTCTGAGGTCCCCCGCCACGAGAATCGCCACGTAAGCCACTGCCATCATAGCTCCTTTCGCATTTTCCCTTTTGGACGTCTGGCATGGCAACTGCATCCCCAATTGTGTTCGTTGGAATTATCGTTGTGGAGATAATAGATGTTGTGGTCGTTTTTTTGTCTAGCGTGGTCTCGGCAAGTTACTGTATTTGGGGCTTTGCAGCCGCCACCGCTCTCAGAGGCTTCGGGACGGCATGCTAGAGGTGTTAGCAGTCGGCCGTCCACCATATGGTAGCCGGCAACGGTTTTTCTTTTCTTTTTCCTCGGTTGCGGAGTAGTCCGGTAAATGAACTGATTTTTATGCTTTCTTCGGGCGGAACATGCATCAACTATTCTAATACATGCCACGGGTTTCGGCAGCCGAGCCGACCGCTATTTCGTTTTTCTGCGCATCAGAGGCCTGTCGATTGCCAAAATCAGCCGATGTTGCAGTGGATTTGATCTATCGCATCGTCGGCATGAGCGTTGTTGTTCCATGTTCTGAGGCCAGGTATTCTTCGCGCTACTTAGCGGTCGGATTTGCCCTCTGTATTCCGAAGCCATGATCTGCGAGGGCGTTCTGCAGCCCACCTCTTTTATCAAAGCAGCGGGCGACAATCTTCCGCCACAACTTTTTCCGCTTAGGCGTTTTGGAGTTTCTTCAGCCTTGCGGCAACAGCGGCAGGCGTCTGCAGTGTGCTGTGCAGCGCGCAGCGTGCTGTGAGGCTTTCGGTTACAGGGCGCCATAGGTATGTATGTACCTAAGCACCGCCCAAGGACGGTTGGGGCAAAACAAACCTCTGGTACCGAAACTCACGAACCAACTTTCGAAAAAACAAAATCTTCCACGCCTCATTATTCTACCAAACGGTATCGCGCCCATCTCATTTACCATAAACCCCAGTCCCAGCGCGCATCGCAGCCTCGCTTTCTCCCTCCACTTCCACTTCGTTGCTTACATACCCGGTGGTTCAAGCGCGCTGATCATCACCCACAAACCACGCGGGATGGTCATTCTGATCAACCGCGGCACGCTAGATCGCCCGCGAAGGAAAACAAAGCCCGAAACGTTGTGCCTATCGGCCCCCACACTTTCGGACCGCGGCCGCTTGGTTCGGCTGCCGCGCGATAGCGCGATAGCGTCACTTTTAGTTGGTGCTTACATCCGTCGTCGCCAATGCACGGGGCAGCGTTGATCGCGGTGATCTGTTCAGAAGATCCCAATGCTCATCAGATTTTGCTGATCCGATCGGCAGCTATGGGTTTCGGTCCGCGAGGGCCGATGGGGAGGGGCCACGCGGGAATACTAAAGGTTATTTTTGTCGGATGTGCCTTTTGGCTTTTTTTTTTTTTTTGCGCTGTCGGTTTTTTCGCTGTTGTTTTTGTGAGAAGAGGAGAGAAAGTGGGGGCGGAAATGTTCTCCCCGGGCAGCCAGACTCACGTGCTACCGACGCTTTTGACCAATGAGGACCGTTCTCGCAATGCAACAAAGATTTCCAGGTTGCGCTTCGCCCTCTGCTTGGAGGTTTCGGAGGCCGCGACTGTGTCGGACCGGATTCGGCGATCTGCACCGGGATTCGGATTTGGTGTTGACGCGGTGCGTGGATGGTCGGATATAGATCTCGATCACTGAGTTAACGAAAGCGAAAGGGAAATGAGCGTGTACCCACTATAAATGCCCCTGGATCGGGATGCTCACGAAAAGCCTCATAGGTGGCCTTGGCCGGTGCTTCAACATTCACAGCCACACTCTTCTCCCTGGTTTGGTCTCTTGGCTGAATAAAGCGACGCATCGCTGTGCTGGCACGGTGGGTATCGAAAGATCTGAGCCATCGGAACCAATTTCCATATGCATCGAAGCTCGTTACGTAGGTAGTTAAAACTACCTTTCGGACGTATAAGTGGAATCATTAAATATACATCTACGTCCGGATGGCAACTTCAACTACCTACGTAAGTCGGGTACCGTTGTTCTCGAAGATAATTGCGGAGGATCATTTTTTTGGCATCTAGCTGCTGGCGACTATGTAGATGTGGATCTGTTTTCCTAAACTAATATCCGGGTTGTGGCATACACTTCAATATGACATCTTCCCATCCCTTTCTTCCAAAGAGAAAATCCTGCGGCTTCATTTACTTTCTTGAATTGGCTGTAGAGAAAAGAACATCTCTTCGACAAAACATTTATTCAGCGGTGTGGAATATGTCACGAGGTGGACATTTCTAGATAGTTTACCCGTGCATCGTGTGCGCTTGCTTTCTGTGGCCGATTACCGGCGGGAAGGACAGCAGAATCGTCGTGTCGATTTAGAACGCGATAGGTCAAACGAGCTATATTTTCTTTCTTTCCAATTGTTTTTTTTTTCACAATTCTGTCTTTGTTCCTATTGGCTTTTGAATTTGCACGCATAGACTACTTAGTAAAGCGCGTAGAATGTTGTACTTTAGCCTACAGTCGCTGACCGCCATCCACTGATTATCAATAAGGACCCTGATGTCCCAACGACCCACACAGGCAGTCAGAAGTGTAAGAATCATGGGCCCCGTTTCATAAAACACATATAGATAAATGGCAGAACCCCTCCTTTCCCCCCTACTCTTGCAACAAGAACAATATCTCGCAACATTCAGCGAACAACACCAAACTCCAAGCTCCACAGAGACCCACAACAACCGCCACCTATTCGCATCTTGCACCCCCTCATAACAGATCATGGGAATATCGCAGTCACACGACGAGCAATTAATGCCCACCTCCGGGAATGCCGCACCATCGACGTCACGGCTGGAGAGTTTACCAATCGAGCTGATTGAAAACATCACCGAGCATCTCGACACCAGAAGTCATAAACACCTAAGGCTCAGCTCCAGAGCTCTTTATATGATGTCGACGTACACTTTTGGCGCCCGTCTTGAGAGCACTACATTCTTCTTTACACGAACTAGCATGGAGAGGCTCGCACTTTTGTCTGAGAGTACCACATGGACCAAGTATGTCAAGTCGTTGGAAATCAAGGACAATGCCTTGACTCCGTCGGAGAGGACGCGATGGGTGGGTTATTGGCGCTCGCATCAGAACGAAACCTATCGTGACCGTTCGAGACGCGTACCGGGGCGGGAACTCCGCTTCGAACCGATGCCGGCTGTGCAGACTCTTGTCGTCGACCTTCACACTCAATACGACGATTGTATTCATCCCCAATACTATTAAAGAGAGAAGACCGGAAAGCTAACCATTCGAGTATGCAGGGACAAGCCTGCACTGCTTGCTTCCGGTGCTTTACGCCGCACTGCCAAACCTCACCTCGCTGGAGTTGAAATATCCAAACACACATGTTTGGATACCGATACGGGGCACCGAGCACTCTTGGGCTTCGCTGCCCCCCATGCCTAACCTACGCCACCTATGCATCACGAGAGGCGTCTTCAAATCAGCAAAAGTGATGACCGATATCATCCGCGCGCAGAAGGATGTCCTTCGCGCCGTCTCAATTTCCGAGACGACGTGTGGCGGTTCCTGGTTAAAAGTTCTCCGAGTACTACGACATGAGCTGCCTCTACTAGACAATGTTGTGTTTCTTGACAATGATGGTTTCAACTGGCGCTCGACTATAAAATTCAACTGGTCGGACGGAACGTTGGACTCTGGACAGCATGCGCAGCAAGTTATCAGGGAAAAAGGTGTCAGGCGAGCGCTTGATGAGATGATTGCTACTGTGCTCACGCTGAATTAGGAGGAGAAGGAGGAACACGAGATTTGGGGCTGGGGAGAAAATAGTAGGTGGTACTACGAAGAGCCAGAAAGGAGTGGTCAGGACTGCAAATTTCACAGTGTGCACTCGTTCGTGAAAGAAATATCGGCACGGGCGTTTCGACCTCGTATTCAGGTGTCTGAATAATAGTAGAATAGATGACGACATCTATTCAAGTTATACAACAAGACCAAAGAGGAATATCCAGATCAAACATCTAGCTGTATACATATCGAGTCTGAATCCAAAGAAAGAAGGTACCAGTGATTCAGGTTTAAATTTAAACTTGCGTCACACGTGAGTATTTCGATGCATATTCGTTACCTAAATAGCAGAGGGGCCAAGGACAGATAATCGTACCTTTCAAGGTACCGTGTTGGTTTTCGTCACGGCTCCTCGCTTGAACCAAAGACAGAAGTACCAGTTTTTCTAGGTGGCTACCCTAACTTTTCGGTTCCGTGGAGCGATGCTGGGAGAACCGTAGTTTTGGATGACCGGTTGCGACATGGATCGTGACGTGCGGGTCACATCCCACGTCTAGCTCTTGACCCGAATGCTGTAGAGAAAAAACCAGAAGCATTGCAGAGCTTCAACTCTACCCAAAAGGCCGTGGGGGCTTCGTGAGCCAAAATGTAATAAATCTTCAAATCAAAGACACAAATTTGCACCAATGAAAACACGGTGACAGAGCGGTAGTGGAACAAATAAGGGTCTACATTACAGGGTTCAGAAGAGAACCACGGGTCTATAGTGTTGAAATTTTGCTTACAAACATGGTACTTATGAAAATCCAACTCCCAACCGCGCACACGCCACCAAGCACACAAAAAAATAATGTCGTCTTCGCAATCACAAACAGCCCAGCCGTGAACACCGACTCCGAGTCCACACGACTCGAGGCCTTACCAGCCGAGCTGATCACCCTCATCGCCAATCACCTCGACATCAAGAGCCTCAGACAGCTCCGGCTCAGCAGCCGCCGGCTCGACGTGGCGTCAAGCCACGCCTTCAAGCTCCGCCTAGCATGCGTCTCGTTCTGGTTCATGGAGGCGAGCATGAAGAGGCTCGCGCTTCTATCCGAGAGCAGCAGATGGAGCCAGCACGTCAAGACGCTGGCCATCATGGCGAGCTGCCCCGAGAAAGGAGAACGCCGCAGCTCAGAACTCGCCTACCCCCCGGTGGCCTGGACGCTCAGAAGCCCTCAGATGCCCCATTTCGGCTTGCATCTGTATAGACTACCTGCGGATCCAGCAGCAGCGGGTGAAGAATCGGAAACGTTACGCTTCGGAACCATGCCGAACGTCCACACCCTCGTTCTTCACATCGGCTCGATATATCCCTATGGTATATGCTCCGGGAGCCTGCTAGATGTCGATCAGCACCGCTCGCTTCCAGCGCTCTACGCAGCCCTCCCAAACCTCACCACGCTACAACTACGACGGGTAGACGTAGGCGAAGCGCGTTCCTCAGACTCGGTCCGATCGCTTGGCCCCTTAGCTCTGCTGACCATCAAGCCCAGCCTGCGCTGCCTGGGCATCGGTGACAGCTACTTCGAATCATTGCAAGAGGCGATCGATCTGGTGCGCAGGCACAAGGATTACCTTCGGTCAGTCGAGATCCGCAGAACCTTCGGTAACGGCTGGGTGGGGTTGCTTCGTGTGCTGCAGCACGAGCTGCCGTTTCTGGAGAACGTTGTATTCGAAGATAACGAGATGGTTGAAGGTGTCAGGATGAGGATTGAATGGTCGGATGGCACTTGCGATAACGGACAACACGCAAGGGAGATGATCAGGGAAAAGGGTGTCAAGCGGACGCTTGGTGAGATGATTGCCGGCTTGAACAGATGAGGAGACGGTGTGCGGTGCAGAAAAGAGATGGTTGTCTTTGTGTGCGTTTTTCTTTTTTCTTTCCCCCAAGGTTGTATGCCCGGCGAGCAGCCGTTTTAGTCTTGCTGTAACCGCCTGCTGTTGTATGTTTTAATCCTTTCTTTTTTCCTAGTGCAACTGTGTCGATGTCGGTGTGAGTGATGTGCCCAGCTTCGCGCCCTCATCATTGACCCTCGTGCGCAAGATATTTCCACGCTCATCAAGCACTGTATTGACCAAACCCACGGAGTGCTGATGGCGAGATATCTGGAAGGACGCAGAGCTACCAGAAGCATGGCCACCGGCGTCGTCTTCGTCGTCGTCGATCATTGCGCCTAGCAACGGAAACAGCAGCAGCAGCAATTTTGATTCCGAGCAGCCGTCGGCTGCAGCGCTTGCGGACGTGACGGGCTCTTCGGTAACTCTTCAAATCAGGGTCTAAACTGAAGGGATCGGGAACGAGACGGTATCGGGTGCCCTTGCTGGTCGCAGCCAGCGGTGTGACGGCGACGTTTTCGCTCATCTGCATGCCGCGGAGGGTGACCTCCTGATCGATGTCGTCGAACTTTATGGCGTCGACGAAGCTGACGAACTTGGAGGAATTGATGGGCGGCTCGCTGCGTTGGTAGCGGAAGCAAGTGGGAGGGTTAGAGTGTCGGGGTGCTATGGTACTTCTGACCGTAATGGAGCGAGGACATCCGGATCTGGAAGGCGTGGCGCTGGGTGGATGACTCACCATTGACAGCGTAGTTAAATGTCAACTCAGCCCGTGCCGCTCCCTAACAAACCGACCGTGGATCACCTTCATCCTTTCCACGTTTCCAGAGTTCACGCAAGTACCCCAATTCACTCATGCACAACCACCATAATCTCCAATTAATTGTATTACGTATGTATTCTCACTCCCTCTACCAACCACGTCTCCAGCCGTGACTTCACCCTCACTCACGCCGCCCTCAGTCCCACAAAATATTCACCCACTTCTTCCACCCCTTCCTCGGCGGATCGGGCGTCTCCGGGAAGCGATCGACCTCGGCCAGCGCTTCCCGCAGCGGGATTTCCTCCAGGTTCACGACCTTGGTCTTCTTGATGAACTTCCAAAGCAGGAACGCGGTGAGGACGAGGCCGATGTCGCTGCAGTCAACAACGGTTAGATAAGAAAACGAATATGGGTGGGTATTGCAGAGGAAAGAACTTACAGGTACGAAGATATGAAGGAGCTCGACGACCAGTTGCCGCGGGTGAAGACGGCGAAACCGGCGGTGAAGAGGATGACGACGCAGAAGAAGAGGGCGACGGGGGTGGAGAAGGCTGTTGTTGTTCGTGGTCAGCATCATCAGACTCTTCAATCGCGCCGCCGGGACCGGCAAAGCAAAGCAAAGCACTCACTCGTCCAACTATTATGCCACGGCAGCGACGACAACGGCAACCCCTGCTTCTTCATCGCCAAAATCAAGCGCTGATGATTAACCAAAATCGTAATCCAACTAATCAACACACCACACGCGGTGAGGTTCAAAAACCAATAAAACACAGTCAACGCGCCATTCGACAAGCTCATGAACGCGAGAAACATGAACGCCGTCTGGATCAACACGCACACATACGGCACGCCCCACGACGTCGTCCGCAGCAGCGCCGCCGGCGCCTGCCCCTTCAGCGCGAGGCCGTACAGCACGCGCGTGCCGGCCAGCAGCGCCTGGTTCGACGACGACCACGCCGACGTGATGACGACGGCGTTGACGACCGACGGTATCGCCTTGATGCCCGCGCCGCTCGCCGCGATGACGAACGGGCTCTGCGCCGCGGTGCCGCTCTCGTCGGAGAGCCTGGGATCGTCGCTGGCTACCAGCATGCCGACGATGAGCACGGCGAGGATGTAGAACAGCGACACGCGCGCGAAGACGCGCTTGCAGGCGTTGGGGATGGCGGTGCGGGGGTTGCGCGTCTCGGCCGCGGCCATGGCGACGGACTCGACGCCGGCGAAGGAAAACACCGCGTTGCTCATGACCGCCCAGTAGCCCAGGAACTTGCCCCATGACCCCGTGCCGATGTACTCGACGAAGGGGCCCGGCTGCTTCCAGTAGTGGAAGCCGAGGCGCGGGACGCCGGGGATGCCGCCGAGGTTGATGACGAGGCCGAGGATGATGAGGAAGATGATGAGCATGATTTTGAGCACGGCGAAGAAGAACTCGACTTCGCCGTAGACGCGGATCAGCGAGATGCCGACGGCGAAGGTGAGGACGATGATGAGGATGATCCAGACGGCGCTGTTTATGTCGGTCCAGAATTGGAAGAGGACGCAGATGGCCGAGATTTCGGCCGGGATGGAGAGCCAGTTGCCGTAGACGATGTTGTAGCTGGTCGTGGTGGTCAGCCGGGATGCATGTCACGTGAGTGGGACGCGCATGTACTTACCCGATGGCGAAGCCCAGGGCCGGATCCACGAGGAACTCGGCATGCCGCACGAAGGAGCCAGTGACGGGCAGCAGGGCCGTGACCTCGCCCAGGGCGAACTGCACGGCGCACACGATCAGGCCGACGGTGGCATAGCCAAGCAACGCGCCGAGAGGGCCGCCGGTTTGGATCGAGCCTCCAAGACCGAGGAACAGACCTGTGCCCTGCACATTGATTGCTTCGTTAGCATTGCTGCCCCCAAGCGAACCGGCGGGAAAGTGAAACGCACGATAGCGCCGGCCAAGGCGATCAAGCTGATGTGCCGCTGGTGCAGGCCGCGCGCGAGGTTCTGCTGCTCATTGTCGGTGAGGAAGTCGCCCTGGTGGTCGTCCCGCGGTTCGGCAGCAGCAGCAGCGACGGGCTCCAGGTACGGGTCGTGCGACACGTCGACGGCGCCGCCGTTCTTCGCGGCTGCCATGTTGTGTGATCTGCGCGGCGGGAAGGGGATCGCTGGGTACCTGGGGACCTGGTTTGCGGCTTCGTCAAACGAATAAAAGGGACATGCAAGAGGGCGTGGCGACAGGGCTGCACTGGACAAGAGCCGGCGCAAATGGCGTGCTGCGCAGATTGCCGACCGGCGGCTGAAAACACCACGCGGCACTGTCTATCGGACGAGTCAGGCACGCCGGACGGATGCGGTCAGGACACCGGCAACTTGTACGACTGAGTCGCGTCAGGCCGGCGGTGGAGCTCGCCATCGCCTGCGACTGCCGCTTTTCGCTAAGACTACGTTAGTCGCCGCGCCATTATTCAAGACTTCTCTTATCTTCGAGTGGCCGCTTTTGACGCTGACTTCTGGATCCCGGTGCAGCGAAAAGTAAAAGGTTGACGTGCGTCTGGCATGCGTGAAATCTGTTACAGTTGTGCTGAAACTTTAGTCCGCGTGGGCAATCGCTTCCTTCGGCCACTTCTTTTCGCCGTGGGGGCCCCACACTCTACTCCACATGGCTCCCGTCTGCAAGCGAGGGTCCAACCGACACTCCAACCTCTAAAGCTAGCCTGTCTTGCTCGTCAGACCGAAGCTCGAGTGTATTTCAAACAGCTATTCATGCATCGAAATTAGCCACCGCGCAAAACCCCGACGACACTTCGCCGGTTGATGAAAACAATAAGTCGTGGCCTATACAAACCAACGCTAATCAAGCCAACGGACAAACATTCCAAGCGCGAATCAGAATCCAGGGGCCATGAAAGTGGCTGGCTGAAACTCGATAGAAACTAAATCGACTCCAGATAAGCTTATTTAGACGGCAGTCTTCTCTTTTCCCTCTGCCTGTACAGTCTCCATCACAACACCAACTTCCTCATCACTCTGCTGCGCTGCAGCCGCAAACTTGTCCGTTTCAACAGGCACATGGTCCTTGACGACCAGCCACGTAGGGAAGACAGCAAGACCTGTTCTCCGGTTAGCAAAGAAGCGCAAAATAGACAAAACCACTTACCCAGCAAAATCGTATTCACTGCCAACGGCACCCTCCCGCCCTTCCACTCCCTCGTGTTCAATCCAAAGCTGATGGCCTGCGACAAACTCTCCTGGCCCCTCAGAACGCCGGAGAAGCGACTGAGCTCGGAAATGTTGTCCGTCTTGGTAGCGAGGAGGTAGTACAGCCAGTTCTGCAGCGCCTGGCGGGAAAAATCCCAAAGCAGCAGCACGAAGAAGCCCTCAACAAAGCCCTTATCCGCCCAATCCAGCGACGGCGGGTTCGCCGTGTACTTCTCCTGCACGACCCAGCCATACACCCACGCCACGACGTGCAGGACGATGACGTAATAGAAGCCGACGGTGATGCGCTTCTTGACCGCCAACCCCTTGTAATCCAGCAGCGAGCTCATCAGCTGCGACGACAGCAGCGTGCCAAAGTTCGACACGAACCCGATCAGCGCGCGCGCCCGCACGCCGAAATAGTACGTCTGGAAGTTGCCCGAGTACTGGTTGAAATACGCGGCCCAGAAGACCGGCAGCAGCAGGAGGACATCCTTCCTCCTACTCACTTGCCACAACGCCCTCAACTCCGCTTTGAAGCTCTTCTCCGCCCTTATCACCACCTTGCTCCCATCCCCGCGCACCACCTTCTCCGGCGGACTCAGCAGCAGCGCCACCGGCACGCTCAAGCACTGCAGCGCCACGAAAACCAAATACGTCTGGCTCCCCACCCTCCCCTTCTTCTTCGCTCCCTCATCATGATTCATCGCCAGCACAATCGCCCCGCCCAACAACGGGCCCCCCGTCCTGAACCACAGCCAAATATTCATATACCGCCCCCGCTTCCCCGGCTCCGGATACCCCAGCGCAACCGCCCCCTCGCTCGCCCAGAACAGTCCCGCGGAGACGCCGCAGCACGCCGCGCCGAGCAGCACGAACCACTCGTTGCCGAAGCGGTTGTTGCAGTACAATCCGGCCGAGTAGAGCGGGTACCCGACCGCACCGAGCAGCAGCGTCCGCGCCAGGCCGATCCGGTTCGCGATCGGCCCGCCGAGCAGGCAGAGGATGGCCATGAGCGCGAAGACGAGCGCGTTCGCCGCGTTGACGAGCGTGGGCGTCTGCGCGCCACCCGCGCCTAGCTGGTTCATCGCGTTCCACAGGCCCGGCGCCATGAAGCCGACCAGGCCGATGACGAGGGCGTTGGTGAGGGTGCTGTGGCGCCATTGGGCGAGTTTGCTGGGGGGTGGTGGGAGCGCGGGGGAGGGGGAGGGGGAGGAGGAGGGGTGGACTGCGATGGCGGCGGTTGCGTCCTTTGGTGGTGAGGCCATGGTGGGCGGTTGTTGGTGGTTGCCAGCGGCCAGTGGTTTTGGGGCGAGTCAGTCAGGCGGTGCTGCTGGGGGGCTTGCCGTGAGGCTCAATGCTTCTATATACTTAGCGGCAGCATGGCGTTGCTGCCGATGTAGGGTGACATCGTGGGCCGCGGGAAGAGAAGAAAAAAAATTCTGATGCCGTGCTCATCTTTCGCTGTTATGGCGAGCTTGGCCTTGGCGGACGGACGATGGCACCGTGGTGTTCTAGTCGGCGCGGAAATGCTGGCCGTTTTGGCTTGATGTAGGTCCGATGCGATGGCGCAATCTTGAATTTGCGGGCCGGGGTCGCTCGGCTAATGTGCCTGACTCGGAAGGTGGTAAGGCGCCGACGATCTGTGTGGGATTGGCCGATGGGTTCCTGCAGGTGGCTGAGATCCTCCCGTATACTTGCATTAAGACCGTGAGTCTGCAGGATTGCAGGCCAGTGTTGCCACTAATTCTGATTACCAGGGCCGGCAGAAAGCCAATGGTAAAGCGTGCACCACTCTGTCTTCCCCCACTTTCCGCTTTGATTTTTCCTGCCGTGCGCGTATGCAAAGGTACTTATTGCTCCTACAGCTTAGACAAGCCTTGCACTGCCAGCCCTGCAAGCCATATAGTATTTGAACGCCCAACGGTCTACATCCTTGTGCAGATTGTTTCTAATCTGCGACGCTATCAAATACAAGCTAAGCATACCACACTTCCAAACTTTTTCTGCTGTGGCGCTTAGTGGTATAGATGTAGCCGCCTTGGCGATATCTGTCAGTTCCTGAAAACATACATACCGGAGAGGGTTTACAACAAATATTTCTTATCGTAGTCTTTGCCGAACCAATACAACCCACTGCATGCTGGTTCAGTTCAGATAAAATAGTAAATTAAATCTTCATAGCACGACTACAGATTATGAAAAAGAAAAAAAAAACAGGGTCACGTAGGTGTTTAAAGGAATGTGATGTAGGAAAGTACTGAAGAAGTATGGAACAACGTTAGGAAACCTGAAGGCTTTTCCGAGGGCAGTCTTCAGAAGGATTCCACGTCCCCTTTGACGTGAAGATTCCAGCTCTCATGTAAGATTCATCCGTTTGATTGGGGAATGGGATGACGATCAGACCAATAGTCTCGCGGCCGTCTTCCTCTTGAATTAGTGGTACCAGGTGCATGCCACTCAGAGGTCCCCGGGACTTCCACAGCGGATGGTTTTCATCCCAGCAACAGTCCGAGATCAGGAGGTTCTCATCTGAACCCAGCTGTAGTGCCCAATCAAGATCCACATCAGCCTCAAGTCCCGCATTGTCTTTCAGCCTAAGCTTCTCTTCTTGCATGCAGAGACGCATCGAGTCGGAGTGGTAAGCTTTCGAGGTGAGAACAATGTGACCAGACTTGACCCGGCCAAAAGGATTATCTTCGTTTTCGAGTTGGACTTTGGCATCGATATCGCAGTCAGCGTCGATGATAGTAGGGATGCCCCAGGCACGCCAAGAGTACGAAGATGAAGGCGTTGATACCCAGCTCCACGAAGGAGCAACGTAACAGTCTTTTGGCTCCTCTCCATCGCGAAAACGGGACTTGTAAAATTCCTTTCCGTGGCGGAAAAAGGATTTGTCAAGATGATCCTCGAATCCTTCACATTTGTCTTTCGTCTTTTTGTTCCACGTGAGGCCGCGATGGAGGTCGGAGCGGAATAGCCCTGCAATGTATTCATCCCCGGCCGCCTTGCTCACGAGTTCAGCGAGAGAGGAGATGGCAGGAAGACGGTCTGTCGGTGCAGTGAAATGCCTGTGGCTGATGTGGTACTGGCTGCCGGTCCAGTAACGCCCGATGATTTCGCGGGAGTCCCCAGGCTTGTCCATGGACTGCAACCACGGGTGATTCTGGAGGATATTCATAATTACCGAGGGACTCCTTAGTTCTCGCTCTGCAAAGTGTAGACCAGAGCATTCAAATACCACCGATTTCGTACCAAAATATAGCTTCCGACGAGACATTAAGGCTTCGTTGAATGTCCAGCCGCGAGTTTTCCATTTTGAATTATCTATCTCTTCTTTTGCAGAACCGTAAACAGACGTAGATTCTGACAGGTGGATTCGTCGTTGGAAGTCTTTTCCATCGTAACCTTGAGAATCAGTTGGTACCTCGTGCATCCAGAAGGCTCCTATGGCATCTTCGTTTAGGGAAGAGCGGAAACCTATCCTTGCGCTCCTGGAATTTGCGGGTAGGAATCCCTCATTGGTCGATTGGCTTGAGAGTGGAACGATGGTTAAGAACGCGTTGCCGTAAGTGGTGGACAACTTTCTAGATTCTTCCTGCCAATCTTTGTCATCGCCTTTTTCACCCGACTGGATGATGCAGAATGCGTCAATCCAAAGATAATGAAAGCCCAGAGTCCGCGTAGCGATGACTGCGTCACGACAAGCTGCAGGGAAGTCTTCTAGAGGAATTCGTTGACAGCGCTCGTGTAGGGTCTCGTTCGTCGTTGTATGTTTTTTCGACGGGTTGTCTCCCCAGCAGTAGCTGAGCGCCAGATATCGCGGTGGTTTCTGCCCCAAGGGATCAAAGATTTCTGGGTGCTCTTTCGTTATTATGAGCCGTGGATCCTTTTCACCGGATGCGGGTCCCACGTCGATCAGCCGCGTTGGATACTGGGTCGGGGTTGCGGTCTGGCATTCTTCGCATACTTTGATATGTTCGTCCAACCATAACTTGAATGTGAAACGGCCTTCACCGTCATCATGTGTAGGAAACTCTAGCGGAGGTCGTCTGCGAATCCCCAGCCATATTGCAGCAACGACTATGATCGAAATATCAGTCAATTATCTGAGTACCAGATTCTACACGGCCATAACAACTTACTTGGAGGAGCACTGATCCTGAACCATAATTTGAAAGGTAGATTACTATCCACTTGAACCCGTAGAGAGAATAGGTGCAGACGGGGACGAGGCGGAAAGCCTCTATGCTTCGCCTTCTCCGTTGTCTTATCGTCCTCCATAGTGTGCCACTCGTATTGTGCATTCGTGATGGACACAGTAGACCCAATGGAAGGGATCTTTGTCAGTCCGCGATTTTGCAGTGTAGATATGAGGAGAGAGCAAAATTGACAACCGTTTTCTGCGGATGCTGTAAGAGATGGAAGGCCGGGAAGACTGTCCTTTCTCTCAAACTGGATGGGCTGAGACGTGAACGCCGCGCTACCGTCTTGAGACACGTAAAGGGGAAGACCGTGGAAGAATAGGTGTTGACATCCGTCTTTACCCTCGCAAGAACGGATGGACCCTCCAAAGCTAGAGTCATCGAACTCCAAGGCCTCGCATATATCGCATAGTATTGAAGATACATCTTCGTCGATACCCCTGTAGAAAGCATCCACTTCATCAGTCATGGGGATAGGGTTGAGGGCTTTCTTGACATGAAACATTTCGTGGGCGAAGTCCAGGTGCCCCTGGATCGCCGACAGTGGCATGGGCTCAACCATCGCAGAATAACAGTAGGTACTCAAGACACGTGTTCCGAGGTTGCGAGAGCCCCCTTGTCTTCGTAGAGAATAGCCGTACAATGGAGAAAAGCGTAGCCGCTGTGCAGAGAGAGCGTAACATATGTAAATGGAAGGAATGAGCTTGTTGGATATCCAAAGTTAAATGGTTAAGATGGAGATTTATATTCGCGGGTTGTTTGAGGTGCAGGGATGGACAAGTAAGCCTTATCATTAATCGAATGCAATCGGTAGAAACGAAGTTGACATGAAACCCCTGCTAGCCAACTCACACTGCTCTCGCAACGATCTGCATTAGTCGCCTGACTTCCTACTAAACAGCGCACTATCTTCAGGGTAAGTTCGAAGCGTCATGGCTAGCTAAATTCGACTATTCTTCAGTGACACCATACCACATCGGTTTACTACTCCAGTTGAGCCTTTAGTTGTGCTTATTTATGCACAAAGTATGATTAGCCATAATGATGATGAGGTACTGTTGCGGCACCACTGGCCAAAGTGATGGTCAATGCTTTGTCGTATTCAGGGATCGCCAGCCTGTGACGTGGAATCAACGATCTAGCCGGTGACGTGTAATCGACGATCGTAGCTGCTCTTTTCACTGGAGTACCTAATCTATCTTCCTACTGACGCACGCAAATCTCAAAAGCCAAGCCAACCCCCTGCCAGCCTCAGCCTATAGTTACTAAATCGAGCGGTCACAGCGTGGCATCTTCACGGAAGATGCCGATTGGAAACACTCCAAGATCACCTGTCATGTGGGTTTTAGCGGGTATTACGTGCTGGCAAGAGAACCCAACACTTGAGTGTTGGGCGTGGAGTTTCGCAGGATCCTGGGAGCGGAGTGCGTCGGGTTACCACTAATGTGATTTTTTGCTTATGGTTGCCTCTCTGGATAATGGGAGGCATATTTTGGCCCCGCTTTAAGCTGGTCTTTTAACCAATCTATTGGAAGTTCCTCCTCTACACCACTTCACAATTAGAAGCGCCTTGTCTCAAAAGCTTAGGGTTGATACAATAAGTTAGAGAATTCGTCGTTGTTGGATCAGAGAGTATTAATCGCCGGACTAGGTACTAGCGGGCTGCATAACATTGAGGTAAGTAAACTGAATGCTCTATATAGTAGTGAAGCTTCTCTCGCAGTCTTTGCTGAACAGGCTAAATGCAGGTAAAATCTCTACATCCATTTCCTTGTCCCATTGTGGCTCTGAAACGAACCACTGTAACCGTCATCCAGCGTTGAGCGCTCAATGGCGGTCAAGCACCTTTCTGCCGCCGAGAGCGGATCCGCTGCTGTGAAACCTGGTGCATATTTCTCCATCTTGGCACCAATCATCCTTTGCCGTTCGAGATCCTCGCTCGGTACTATTTCCAAGGTCAGCAGACCCCAAAAACCACTGTCGTAGAGTACTTACAGGTGACGGTTCGGCCCTCGGTCGTATCAACCAAGCCGGGGCAGAGAGACATGAAGAGGATACCCTGCTCTTCGTATGCCGCGGCGAGTTTCGCAAACATGATGTTCGTAGCGGCTTTGCTGGCGGCGTACGGCGCGGCATTGTCGATCTTGGTCGTGTTCACGAAGTCTATCCCACAATTAGTCTTGGAAGCTGATGCGGATTGGGTGACGGACCAACATCGCTCATGCCGCTGGAGATGACGACGATCTTCTTCAGCGTGCTCTGCTGCACGAGCGGTAGGAAGGCGAAGACGGTCTTGAGGACACCGAAGAAGTTGATTTCGAAGCTCTTCTGCGTGTCTTGGATGACTGACTCCAGGTCATGCTCGCTGTATCATAGTTAGCAGGCACTGTAGCGAAATTGGAAACGGGAACACCTACAAGTCTTGGAAAGATTTGAGTGCCGTCGTCTCACTGACGTAGGCTGCGTTGTTGATGAGGACATCTAAGCCGTGATGGCTAAGGATGGCTTTGGCCTCCTCTGCGGCGCGTTTCAAGGCTGGCTCATCTGTGATGTCGGCCTCGATCAGATGGACGTTGGTGATGCCATCAGCTGCGAGTCGGTCTTGGGTTGCCGTCTTGTTCCGTACGAGCCCAAGAACTGTATTGTCTGGGTTGGAGGCCAGGCATTGGATGAATCCGTACTGTTTGATGGCGTTAATTAAAGGTGATTGCCGAGTGGTTGGAAGACGTACACCAAGACCTCTCCCTGCACCAGTAACGAGATAGCTCGGCATGTTGGGTGAGAATAGTTTTGTGTTGGCCGGTAAGCAATGTCTTTGTATATGTCTTCTGATGTTTTATACTGAACTGCGCCTGCAAAGAAAATCTTCTACGGGCGCTATCACACATACATATACTCATAGCCGGACAAACAACGCATGTTCTCGTGCGAACCTCTGCTGATGGTTTGGTCAGCATCTTCGACACTGATTTGCAATCCGCGTAGAGAAAACGGCGAGCCTCCGTGGTGGTCTTTCTTATTTCAGACCAAGATTCCTTGTCCTGCATATATCAGTAAGCCGGAAGGATCAGTAGATGACGAGCCCGCAACTCCGAGCTCCGGAGGATGCGCTAAGCCCGTTGTGATCAGCTGCACGACGAGACCCCTCACGGAAATCCGAACCACCACACAACCTCTCAATCTCACCTCCAATACTAGTGTAACATTCAATACAGCCTCACGCTAACGTCAAGGGTCACAGCAGTATTCGATGGACGCGCCCACACCTGTGCACGTCTGCTCCCGCTGTTCCCAACGGTTCACGCACAGTAAGTACCCGGAACACACGGCTATGGGGAGTAAGACGAGAGACTAATTCCACTCGATCCCCAGAGTCGTCGCAAGCAAGACACTCCAAGCGCTGCGTACAGGGACTGAAAGCTCCATCCCGCCAAAAAGCATGCCAGCACTGCTCCAAAGCCAAAATGCACTGCGACATGCGCCGTCCGACATGCGGACGCTGTCGAGCCCGCTCACTCAGCTGTGACTTCACACCAACCGCCGCCAATCATGCTGACACCGTCTACCACGCATCGGAGTTCCCGGTTCCATCGCCAGCCCCAGAACCGCGGCCCGCTCCGTCGATGCTGGCGACGCCGACTAGCAGCAGCAGCCACTCGCCGCTGCCGGACCCCACCCCCACCACTACGACAACCAATACTATCGCCGCCGGCCTCGTCATCTCCACCCAGCGCCGACAGGAGCTCCTCGGTACGGCCGCCTCTCCCAGCTCCTCTCGTGACGGCGGCGCGCGGCAGCACACGCTACACGTCGTCATCCGCATCCTCAAATCCTGGCCACGGCTGATGGCCATGCACGGCGCCTCCCCGCAGCACCTGCCTCCAATGATGCACCCGGTGCAGCTAGAGCCGCACGCCGACGCGCTGCCAGTGCCGCTGGCGAACTGCTTCGCGCTGGCCAAACTCTGGGCCACGCACACGCGCGACAACACCGCCCAACTCGTCCACGACGCCGCAACGCAAGAAGTCCAGCGCCTCCTGCACTCGCACCACCCCTCCTCCACCCCGACCGACCTCCTCGCCGCCGCCCAAGCCCTCCTCATCCTCACAACCATCCTCTTCTTCGGCCTCCCAGACCGCGCCCACGACATCGCCGACGAAGCCCAAACCCTCATCGCCGTCTGGGACGTGAAGCACGCGCTCGCGCTAACCGGCCTCTTCGACCCCGCCGAACTAGATCGCCCAGAACGCGTACCGGACGACTGGAAGCAGTGGGCCCTCGTCTCCGCCAAGCGCCGCACCATCCTCGCGCTGCACCACCTGGAGTGGGCGTGGTCGCTGGTGCACGGGCGCGCCGTCCTGACGTGCTTCGAGCTGGGTCCGCTGCCGGCGCCGGCGGCGGGGTGTGTGTGGCGCGCAAGAGACGAGCGGGAGTGGAGGGGGGAGTATGGGGGGTGGTTGGGGCGGTGGGGGGAGGAGAGTGGTGGAGGGTACAGGATGGTGGAGTTTTTTGGGATTAGGGCCGGGGAGGAGCTGGGGGTGAGGGGGGAGATGTGGTTGGCCGAGGCGGATGAGTTTGGGGTGTTGTTGATGGCGGAAGGTGAGTCAGTGTTCGGTAGCCCCATGTTGTTGGTGGTGGAAAAGGTTGGCTGACGCAGATTGGTGACGCGCGAAGTGAATTGCCAGGATGACGAGTTTAATTGAGGGATTCGTGGCTCCCGGCCGTTAGGTGGGTGAGGTAGGTTTGTAATGCACCCGGAGCGCCGGGCTCCGCGGACTCTTGGTGTGTCGCGGCTTCCCGATGTGGATGGATCACCTCGCTGACCGCTCGACCTCACTTCTCAGGATCCCACGAGGCAACTAAAATCAGCGATGAGCAGCTCGACGATATAACACACCCCAAAGCCTCATAACCACACAGTCCCACCACCCTCACCACCAACCGCATCCACCCATCCACCCATCCACCGACCACACCCACAACCACCATGGCCCTCCTCATCTACGGCGCCACCGGCTTCACCGGCACCCTCGCCAGCCAGCACGCCCTCCACCTCTCCCTCCCGCTCATCCTCGGCGGCCGCAACGCCTCCAAACTCTCCACCCTCGCCACCACGCTCTCTGCCACCGCGCCCTCCGCCCCCATCCCCGTCCGCGTCTTCGACGTCACCGCCAACACACAGCTCATCGACCAATCCCTCAAAGGCGTCGCCGTCCTCCTCAACTGCGCCGGCCCCTTCGCCCGCACCGCGGCGCCGCTCATCGCCGCCTGCATACGGAACGGCGTGCACTACCTGGACGTTGCTGCGGAGTTGGTTAGCTACCAGCTGGCGGAGGAAAAAAGCGAGGACGCGCGGCGGAAGGGCGTGATGCTGATGCCCGGCGCGGGCGGCAGCGTTGCGATGCTGGGTTGTCTGGCGGGGCGGGCTGTTGCGGGGTTTGTGGCGGCGGAGGCGGAGGCGGCAGCGAAGGGGGACAAGAAGGAGGAGGAAAGGGGGAAGCAGGTCGCCCGCATCGACATCGCGCTCCGCGTCGCGGGGCCGCTGTCGCGCGGCACGCTGGCTAGCGCTGCGGAGGCGAGCATCATGCAGGCCGGGTGCCTGCAGCGCGTGGATGGGGAGCTGGTCGCGCAGGATGCGGGTGCGGCGGCGCTGTTCGATTTCCATGACGGCAAGGGAGAGGTGCCGTGCGTGCCGGCGTCGCTGCCGGATTTGATGACGCTGCCGCGGTCGACCGGAGTGCTGAATGTGCGGACGTACGTGCATGCGGCGGATGGGGCGTTTGCGGAGGATGGGGAGCAGGGGGAGCAGGAGAAGGAGGGCCCGACGGCAGAGGAGAGGGACAAGTATCCGTGCCGGGCGGCGGTGATGGTTGTCGGGGCGGATGGGAGAGAGAGGAGGGAGGTGCTGCACACGTTGAATGGGTACGACTTCACGGCGATTGCGTCGGTGCGGGCGGCGCAGCGGGTGCTGCAGGGGGTGGCGGAGCCGGGCTGGCAGACGCCGGCGGGGGTGTTTGGGGATGGGTTCGCGTTTGGTGTGGGAAGGGATGAACGTATTGTTTGAGATTTGATATTGTTTAGAGTTAGAGGGGGAAAGCATGAGTAAATTGTCGGTTTACCTTGAAGTGACATCTGACCATCTCCCGCTACCTACCCGCTATATGCGCTCATTCCGAGTTTGTGTCAGATCTGTGGCTTGGCGCCTGTAGAAAGCACCTCGAGCTTAGCTTCAAGTGCTTCAGGCTGCTCCTGTTGAGATTGTTAGAGATTCTACCTCGGTATCCTTCGAACCGTGACGCAGATGCGTTACTTGCTGGACCGTTGTGGCATTTCGGATAGCCTTTTGGTACACTAGATGCGGATGGAGGTTCCTTCCGCAAATGGCCTTAACTATGCTATAGAGACGCCGCGGCACGTTTGGAAAGGGTGTTTACGGCTGGGCCGTCGTGTGGTCGGAGCATTTTGTGTGGCTGATTCCTAGACGTTGTACACGGTTTGAAGTGTGCTTTTGCAGATGTTCATGCAGTACCGCCCTCTCTCGCAGCCGATGGCTAGCCCATAGAGTAGCAAGGCTTTAGAACGTAGCGTAACTATGCCTCAGCTCTGCATTAGAAAAATAACGTATGTGGGCAGTTGAAGCTATCTTCCGGACGAGGACATGGAGTCAAAAGTTCTACAAAAACGCCCGGACGATAGTTTTAACTACCCATAACATAAGCGAAACAAATCCACGCTAGCCATCAACTACAAGAAAGAACTGTACGTGTTATAGCCAAGAGCCTACATCTCAATATTTATAGACAGGGCCTTTGTGTGCCAAGATTATCGCGTGCTTAGCGCTTGATGAACCTTTGTAAGTCTTGGTAATGAGCCTGAATTTTGAGGGCGCCCATTCAAGTAACAAATGCTGACACCCGTGGCTTGCTTGGCTGAACATGCTGTGTAACCTTTCGCTGACCGGTCGAGGCTGAACTTCCCGCAGAACTTGACCCCGCCCAAAATCACCTCACAGCTTGTCCTTGGTTCATCATCATCCGCCGCGCAATAACACTGTTCAAAACCGCTTACTGTGTCCGTAATAACGGATCGCGCAGTCTTCGTACCTCAGATAGCCAACCCGCAGCGAGCACCGAGAGCCGTGGCCACTCAGCTGGGATACGCTCAGCCCAACAACCAGTGACTGTGCGTTGCCCTTTTCCTTACGTCTTTTCACGAACATTTCCGCAATGAGATATTGCAGTGAGCGACCTACGTATCATAACGAAAATTCACGCATTAACAAGAAGTCGTAGGCTTCGAAACACCTCACATGCTATAGCCGTCATCCTCCCTCTCCAGCATGCCTCTCAAAAGGGTCCTCAGTCGCGACGACTACACTGTAGGATGGGTCACTGCGCTCCCACTGGAGCTGGCAGCAGCAACGGCTATGCTCGACGAAGAACATAAACGGCCTTCCAACTTCAACCAGCCGTCCACCGATCACAACACGTACACATGGGGATGCATCGAGGAACACAACATAGTTTTGGCATCACTACCAGCCGGAGTCTATGGAACAGTGTCTGCTGCTACCGTCGCGTCCAGCCTACTGTCTTCCTTTCCACAAGTCCGAGTCGGCCTTCTGGTGGGCATCGGAGCCGGAATCCCGAGGCCAGGCTACGATATTCGACTCGGAGATGTTGTCGTTAGTGAGCCCAGCGGCCAAAGCGGTGGAGTCATCCAATATGATCTTGGAAAGGCGATTGTTGGAGATCACTTCCAACGCAAACGGAGCCTCAACATGCCTCCGCAAGTGCTTTTGACAGCATTGGCTACGCTGAAGGCAAGGCACGAGCGCGAATCATCGAGAGTCCCTCAGATCCTGGGGCAGATGCTGAAGAACAAGCCTCTGATGGCTCGACCGAAGGATGGAAAGCATGGCTACGTGTACCAGGGAAAGAAAAATGACTGCCTGTTCGACTCCAACTATCAACACCTTGGGGGACCCAACTGCGAAGAGTGTGATCCTTGCAAAACAGAACCGCGTGAACCACGAACATCGCCAAGGCCACGGATCCACTACGGTATTATTGCCTCCGGAAACACGCTCATAAAAGACAGCTCCACGAGAAACTCGATCGTTCAGAGACTGGACGAAGACTGCATCTGTTTTGAGATGGAAGCATCCGGCCTGATGAACAACTTCCCGTGTATTGTCATACGTGGAATTTGTGACTACGCCGATTCTCATAAGAATGATCGGTGGCAACGGCGTGCCGCAGCAGCCGCAGCCGCTTATGCCAAAGAGCTCCTGTCAGTTGCCCCAAAAGTTTCCGTCCTCGTTACACGTCGAACACTTACAAAGGAGGAAAAAAAAGTTCTCATCTTGGAATCTCTTAAGATCGACGTCATGGATGAAAGATACAGTGGTGTGTCCAAGGAAGCAGAAAACACATTTCGATGGATATTCGAGGACACTTCCCAGAATGAAATATCGGGACCTCTACGGAAAATCGGATTTGAGCCGGATACGAATCGCGAAGTTTCGTTGAAGGCTTGGCTCACCTCTGGAGCGCGCATGTTCCACATATGCGGTAAACTTGGAACTGGGAAATCCACCTTGATGAAATATATTTGGGACAATAGTCAGACAGCCCAGAGCCTTCAGGTCTGGGCTCAAGGACGCCAACAGCAGCTGATCACTGCACAGTTCTTTTTTTGGAGACTAGGACACCCTCGGCAAAAAAGCTTTGCAGGACTAGCCCGATCCCTTCTAGCCCAAATCCTTCGACAATGTCCGGAGATGATCGATGTCTTATTCCCAACCAAATTAGACTCGGCTGCGCATTCATTGCCTAATGATAGGTTCGACATTACGATAAGTGATAATGAAGCATCAGACGCATTCAATAGGCTTATTCATGATGAAACTATCTGCAGTACCTACTGTTTCTGTTTCTTCATTGACGGCCTTGACGAGTTCGAGGAGAAGCATCGGACATACACAAATTTGGTTCAAACCCTCAATGATTGGGCTTCTGGAGGCTCAATTAAACTCTGCGTCTCGAGCAGAGAGCTTGACGTATTCGAGTCGTATCTAGCTGTTTCTCGGAGAATAAAACTTCAAGATTTCACGAGAAAGGATATCGAAGCTCTTGTTCACCAAACACTCAACAACCATGCTCACTTTCAAAGATTGAGAGACAGACATCCCTGGAGTTGCGAATTACTGCTTGAGAGGATAACGCAAATGGCTGAGGGCATTTTCCTCTGGGTGGTACTGGCTCTGAAGCTACTTTCCGAAGGTCTCGAGAACCGATACTCCGTTGATGACTTGTCCAAAACACTCCGCGACATCCCAAAAGACATGGAAGATCTTTTCCAGCTAATGCTGAACTCCATCCCCAAAAGCCAACAACCGAAGAGCTTTTGCATGCTCTCCATATTTGCCAAGCTATACGAGTTACGCATCCGCCCTTTGACTCTGTTGATGGCCTCATTTATTAGCAACTATTTCCAGGACTCGGCCTTTGCAGAGAAACTGGGGGTTCAAGAGATGAGTGATCAGGAAGTCAAAGAGCGTTTGGTAGAGTCAAAGGCGCAATGGATAGGTCGTTGCAAGGGCCTTATCGAAGTGCGACGTGATTTAGGGTCTTCAGATGCAAGAGATGGAGATCAACTGCAATTCACTCATCGATCCATCGCAGACTACTTACACGAGCATGGTGGCCATCTTGGAGATAAGGAATTCGGTGATCCATTCATGAAATCCTGTTTGGCGGTCATCAAGACAGCACCGTTCAGGGACCGCGGATCTTTTTGGGACCGTCGGTACAACGAAATCAAATCACTACTACTTCTCTTACGCAGTTACCCTAAAGCCAGCCAGCTGCGCTACTTTCCTGCATTACAGCATATCGATACAGCATTGCAAGAGAGAGAAGCTATATTATCCCCCAAATTTTCCAGATTGCAGCAGGTCTATTCTCCCAGTGTGGGTCTCTATGGGCACCGTGGATATCTTTCGCTTCTGCACATAGCTTGCAATGCGCTTTTCTACGAGTATGTTCAGTGGAAGTTTAAATATACTCCCGCTTCTCACCCGATGGGCGATATGGAGAGGGCCGAATATTTAGACGGCGCTTATGCTGGTATGATCTTGGAAGACAATCTTACACGGGCTAGGGAGACACTGAGAGTTCTATTGCAAGGGTGGGATCCCGACCGGACGGAAGCCATGCCCATAGTACGTCTCTGGTCGAGAGCTCTAACGCGCGGCGTCTTCCAGCCGGGCTCTTCAGAGGCGTGGGTTCATGTCGAAGCCTTTCTAGAGTCCGGCATATACCACCCCGAGTGGATTTTCAAGTATAGCGTAACTGCAGTACCAACACTGACAATTAAATACTACAGAAACCGTGAGATTCATATCTCCGTTAAGAGCAGGAAAAGAATCGAATCTCTACCACCTTGTCTTCGCCAGGAAGGAGGCAGGGCAGGTCTGCAGGACTGGGTCGAATTCGTGAAACCGGAAAATGCGGATGCAATCCTAGAACTACTCAAAAAGCCACGTTATCGCCCGGTTCAAAGACCATGTAACCCACACGAGGTAATCCCTCCATCAAGCGGAATACGAGTGACTGTACTGACACTCAAACCCCGACATGAAGCCGTCGACGAAGGAAGAGCACGATTCTCCGGATATTCCCTTGGCTGAGGAATAACGTCGCAAAACCCCTCAAAAACAATGTCTGCTGGCCATGCTATCGCTCTTTCTTACTGCACAAACTATTGCAGTCCTCGCTGTTCCCTCACAGGGTTGCGTCTGAACCTGTTTCTAGAGCAATTGAAAAATTCACCCTGCTTTTGTGAGGAACCAGCGGCGTAGCGGAGGCGAGGAAGGAAGATAATGGGAACATCCAATCACAATTGTGTGGGTTCTAGGAGGGACCGAGATGGCACGCCATTGGAAGGTTAGTAGGGGGATGAGAATGTGAGGTGGGTTTTTCAAAATTGATAGGTTGGATTTCGCAAACGATTCTGTATCTCTCTATAGGCGTCGGCGCAATAAGACTATCAGACACCACTAATTTCTTCGAGATATAACTCCAATATACACCTTCCTTCGCCCCTCCCCTCCTTCCCCCCTCCCCCATCATTCACATAACATCCTTCCCCAACCTCAACCCCCCCACCATCTCCCCCAACGCCTCCCTTACTCCCTTTTCCTTCACCACCCTCCCCACACTCTCCCCCCTATCCACAACCCCATCCGCCCACACGACCTCGACCTCCCTGAACCGACACACGTTCCCCTCGAAGACGACGTCTTCCAGCAACGGACACTCGTCGCGCAGCATCAGCAGGAAGACGGACCAGTCGGGCGTGGCGCACAGCTGGCTGACGTGGACGGCGGTCAGGACGGGGGCGTAGGCGCGGACGAAGTCGGCGAGGGCGGAGGCGTGCCAGAAGATGGAGCGGGTGAAGCGGAGGCGGCGGAGGGAGGAGGGCGAGGAGGAGGAGGAGGAGGAGGAGGAGGAGGAGGAGAAGAGAGGGGGTGGAGGAGGGACCCAGATGTAGGCGGACATGGGTTTGTGCTGGTCGATGTAGAGGGAGTCGTAGTGGATAGTGTCGAGGCCGGGGCAGTGGGCGAAGAGGTGGGGGAGGCAGCGGTGGTGTTGGGCGTCTTCTGTGGGGGCGGTAAAAAGAAGTGGTTAAGTGCGAGGTTCTTGTGGACATCACGGCGGATAGGTGGACGGGATGGGAATGAGGAAGGTTTTGGGTTGCTTGAGATTTTCTTCTTCTCTTCTCTTCTCTCTCTCCTCTCTCTCTCTCTCCCCTCCCCGCTTTCCTGCAAACCACAACCACAAAAAAAAAGAGAGAGAGAAAAAAACAAACCCACCTGCTCTCCCCGTCCTAATCTCCACCATCACGCACCTCACCCCCTCCATGACCCCAAACTCCACCACAACCGCATCCTCCCTCCCCTCCTCCCCGCCCGCCCCCAACCCACCCCTATGCATCCCCCTCTGCACCTGCACCTCCCTCTCCCGCCCCCACTCCCTGCCCGCGGGGGCCTGGTGGCTCTTGCGCCACGGCACGAAGCTTTTCGCGATGCGCACCTCGCGCACGAAGCGGCTCCACTTCTCGTCGCGGCTCAGCGCGGCCAGCCGCCGCAGGCTGCGGCGGAAGAAGAAGAACTGGACGGCCGAGAGGCCGCGCGTGCCGAAGGCATAACTCGTTGCGTCGGCGCAGCGGCGCGAGCAGAGGCGGAGCGATTTGAGGTCGCGGAGGGTGGGGAGGGTGAGGGCGATGCGGGTGAGGAGTTCGGTGGGGAGGGCTTCGAGGGGGGAGGGGGCTGAGGGAGAAAGTGGTGGTGGGGAGGATGGTACGGGTGGAGATGGAGCGGCGGCAGCGGCGGCGGCGGTGGTGGCGGCGGTGTGGTCGGCGGCGGTGGTGGCGGCGGTGTGGTCGGCGGCGGGGAAGGATGATGATGGCGAAGGGGGCCCGGGATGGGCGTGCGTTAGCGGCATTCTGGATAACTTCTCGCGCGCTTCTCGCGTCTCGCGGATGGCCGAGCGGATTGGGTGCGGAAAACGAAAGGCGGATGCGGAAGCGAAAGAGAGAGAGAGCTTGGGCCGGTAGAGAGAGCTTGGGTCGGTGGGGCCAGCTGAAAAGCGCTACTGCTGTAGCATCCGCTGCGCCGTCCAATGTCCCCCCAACGTCTCGCGAAAAGGTAGTGGCGCACTTTTTTGGTGGTGGTTGGTAAGCGGGCGAAATGTGTGGATTGTGTGGGTGGTGGCGCCGAAGGAGGGGTGGTTGTCGAGCGCACGGATCGCCAAGAAGAAAAGCTGACCCACTCCGGTGCTGCGCGGATGGTGCGCGAAGGATTGAGGCTGCATGTGCAGAGGGCAATTGATCTTCAGGGAGATTGTTCTGCCTTGCAGCTAACTACGCATCTTCGGCCTCGCCGTGGTTTTCTTTTGTTGAGGGCTGCTGTCGGATGCTGCATCTATGGCGGCTTGGCGGGATTGGCTGGATCCGCAATGCCTACTTGTCCAGCGTTATACATGCACTATACGCCAATCATAATGTTATTTCGGGAACTGTCGAAACCGAGCCGTGAAGTACTGTGTGCAACGAAGTCACTACCCCTAACATACTGACTGCACCCTCTCAATGGCACTGCACTTATTGCTGCTGGCAGGTACGTCACTCAGAAAAAGCAATTTCGCCTCGCCAATCACGCCGCGCAACCGCAGCTCCACCAATTTGCCTCCCGGACCGCCTCGGATCCACGGCGCCCGTGGCGGCGGTGACAGCGATGGCCGCCGCCACCAACCACGTCTGACGTGACCGAAGGCGTCTGCAGATTACCGAAAGGGGAAGCGAAAGATTTGTGGTTTGACAGGTTTCCTCCCGGGGACCCGGGTAAGAGTAGTGCGCGGCCGATCATTGGGTTTACACCCTGGTTCTTTTACGCGAGGTGTGTGGAGTTCTTCTGTGTTTCCTTTTGATTTTTTATATCCGTCCGTCCTATGGGGTCTCGTCCCGTGCGCGTGGTCGGTGGGAAAGATTGTCATTGTGCACAAATCTAGACCAAGAGATCAGTTTGCGCAGATCACACCACGACACGCCACGGCTCTGGGAATCCGACAGGAGAAGTTTTGTTATATGCAGGGCTCGGATCTGATAAGAAAGGCGGAATTTATTTCCATTGGACGGGCTGCCGATCGTCGATTGATGAGCCGAATGCTGGCCGGATCTCGGTGCTTGTACGGATGGCCTTATGTACCTGGAACACACGTGGATCTGTACAATGTATCTGCGTCTGCTGCAGTCCGTGAATGAGTGCGTGGCGACTGGGTTCTCGGCATCTCTTTCCTGCAGGCTTCATCATCAGTAATCACAGCCCCCCTTCTTCATCGGCATTCACACCCAAAAATATCAAGCATTGGCCAAGCATCCAGGGAAGGGGGTTGCGGAGAATTGCGGTGTTTCAACAGCAAGGAAAGGCGCGCGCGGGGCAGCGGGCGGCACGACGCCCCGGACCGACCGACTAGGCTGGAATTAGACGAGTTCACCAAGTTTAGGGGGCCCCACAGGTACTACGTAGTGTAGCGTAAACATGTCCAAATTCATTATTTCCCATGGGCTACTACTTGTGTGTGTGTCGGTAATTTGGTATCATCATCAAGGACGCGCGCTATTCGTAGTGTGTAAAAGAGAAATTCACCGCCTCTCCTGGCCGGCCTTGGCGGCGAACTCGAGCCCGTCGACGACCTCCTTGGGCTGGCTGAGGAAGGGCGAGTGCGAGCCGACGGAGCTGTAGGTGACGGCCTTGTCGCCCAGCGCCTTGGCCATGGCCTGCTGGATGGGCAGCGGCAGCGCGTTGTCGGCCTCGCAGAAGAAGTACATGCACTCAATCTCGTGCCACGGCTCGTACAGAACCTCGTCGGTGAAGATGCGCGCCGAGTTGTGCTGCAGGCGGCCCACCGCCTTCTTCTGGCCCTCGGCGTCGACGTCGTGGTAGAAGATGTGCTCGGGCGTGTCGGGACGGCAGTACTCGCCCTAGTCATAATCAGCAATTGATCGCCCATCGTCGGATGATGCACAGGGTCTAGTACTCACATCAAACTTCATCCACGGAAGGAAGTTGCCGCCCAGCATGGCCTTGATGGTGGCACCCTTGGGCGCAACGAAGGCCGTCAAGTAAACAAACATGATGACACCGCCCTTCTTGCCAGCGGCGGCGCGCTGCTTGTAGCCCAGGCCCTCGACGGCGTTCTGGCCCACGAGGCCGCCGTACGAGTGCACGACCAGCACAATCTCCCTGCCCGCGTCGGCCAGCGTCGTCATCGTGGCCCGCAGCACCGCCGCATCGTCGGCCAGGCCCTTGTTCGGCGGCTCCGCGCCGACCGAAGGGTAGGCCACGGCCTCGGTCTCCCAGCCATTCGAATGCAGCTGCTCACGCACGATCTCGTAGCAGTCGGGCGTGTGCCAGGCGCCGGGCGCGAAGACGAAGACGGGCTTGGTGGAAGGAGACATGGTTGGAAAAGTTTAAATAATCCTTGGCGGCGGAAGCGGGAAAAAAAGGGTTTGCGGGGAGTGTATAGGCGTGGGGGAGGAATTGAGGAGAACAGGAGTTGAGGCAGCAAGGCGATTGAGGCCGGCCGCCGCTCTTTATTAAATGGGGTCCATGGTGGAGAGGCTCATCGGATAGAGGTGCCTCTAGTTACCCCTCATCCGACGCGGAGGGCTTGAGGTCGTAAGACGCGGCCTTGGTGACGAGTCATGGCCACGGGGGGTCTATCGTTTCACTTGTACTCCTCAGGGAAGGCCGCCAGCATGGGACTACGGCGGTCTGCGAGCTGTGTGCCTGGCTGTGCTTAGCTGCGTAGACGACGCTTCTGACCGGCCACGATGGAGCAATGGCGGAGGGGGGAGCAGAGGCGGTGTTGAGGCTAGGGGTGGTCGTAATTTGGGGGCTGCGGCTCCCACGTGGCAAGATATTGCCGCCACGCGATCGTATCTGCATCCTGCGCTTCCAGCGCGCCGGGCAGGGACCACGGCTGCGAGCTTGTTTTGCTAAGGCCACTCGACCGGTTCCTGTTCAGCCAGGGTCTCGACGAGCGCCCGTGCTGCGTGTCGGCCGTTAAGTTAGCTACACCGTGCAACTGCAATACGGAAAACGGGCGCCAGTGGGTTGACAGCAGCGGCGGCGCCACTCACTGCTGCTTTCGGCCCCGTGGCGCCGGTTGCGGATGCGAGCCGAAGTCCCCGGCCAGAACGGTGGCCAGGGCAACCCGGATGCGACGGATCTTGGTCGAGTTGAGCAAGCGACCGGCACATCAAACGCGCCTTTTGCGCCACGGACGTTGTTCCGGCGAGTCGTGGCCGCACAAACAGCACACCCTTGCTCAGGATCGACCTCGGTGCCTGACGATAACAAGTCGAGATCCTACCTCGCAGACAAGGGCCACTCTGCTTGTCTGGAAAGGCGATGACCCCACCCCTAACGTTATTCCCAAATTTTGATGGATGGTTCCCCGGCATGCCCGGCCTTCCGTGCGCATTGCCAGCACTACTTGATCCGAGGGCCGCCCACCCACATATCCCCCCTCCTCCCATGCCAGCCAACTTTAATCCCAATATGCTGTCATGCCGGCCGTGATACTCCTGCCCCGGTCTTCCCAAGATGCTCCCGACAAGGGCCCAAGCCTAGAGGCCATCACCACCGCCCTACTCGTGCTCGCCACCGTTTTCGTCCTGCTGCGCTTCGCCGCCCGCTTCAAGCGCGGTCTCACCTATGGTCCTGATGACTGGCTAATAGTCGTCTCCCTGGTACTGCAGTCGTCGCCGGATCTTGGAACTCCAGAAGCTAATCTCTGTCCAGCTCTTCTGCTTCGGCGCAGGTGGCCTCAACTATGGCAGTACGTTTGTTCGCTGTGCTCAGACTCTGCTCTGACACTGACTGTTCTGCAGTGATTTACTGGGGTCTGGGTCGGCATGCCGCCATTCTCCCACCAGGCAATGTCGTCATGGTCCTGAAGGTAAGTCCCAGCAGTCCTCAGCCCTCTCCTCACCAGCCTTCACCAACCTCCACCAGCCCTCAACAAATTGGCTAACCATCCCACCAGCTCCTCGTCGCCTTCGAATGCGTCTACTGCACCGGCGTCGGCCTGGTCAAGCTGTCGCTGCTGCTGATGTACGCGCGCATCTTCCCGCTCAAGGGCTTCCGCATCGGCGCCTACATCCTCGGCTTCATCACCGTGGGCTGGGTCATCGCCATCAACTGCGTCAGCATCTTCCAGTGCCGCCCCATCAGGAAGGCCTGGTTTCCCACCATGCCGGGCGAGTGCATCGACCTCAAGGGCTCCTTCATCGGCAACGCCGTGCCCAACATCCTCACCGACATCGCCATCCTGTGCATGCCCGTCGCCCAGGTGTGGAAGCTGCAGGTCACCACCGCCCAGCGCGCCTCGCTGATCTTCATGTTTCTGCTCGGTGGATTGTTAGTTGAAACCCCTCCATCCACACTTACCCCCAACCACCCGTCCACCCGCCACACCATCCGTCATCACTTCCTCACATTTACTTCCTTTTTCGGACTAACACTTCCTCTCTAGCGTCCTATTCGCCAGTATATACCGCTTTACGACCATTATGCAATTCGAGCCGCTCGACACGACCTGTAAGCGCTAAAACCCGAAAAAATCCCCCGAACCATACATCACTCTACCGCTTCATGCACGACATCCTTCCGACCCAAATCCTTCCCGCTGCCCCCCGAACCCCGCGGGGAAACCCTCCACACCCACCACGGGAGAAATCTCACCCATCCTTACTCATCCTCACCCTCCTCCCCCACCGGAAAAACCTACCCACCCCACTAACCCCCGCGCCAACAGGGACCCTCGCCACCGCCTGCACCTGGTGCGTCGTCGAAGTCGCAACCGGCATCATCAGCGCCTGCCTGCCGACGCTCCGCCCACTCATGCGCATGGTGTCCTCGCAATTCGGCTCCTCGCGCGGCCGCTCCGGCAAGGACGGCAACACGTACAGCAACCACCCGTCGCGCGGCAACACCGAGCTCGTCACCATCGGCGGCACCGGCGGCAAGCGCAGCCAGACGGGCGAGCGCCACTTCAAGCGGCTGGAGGACGAGCTCATCGCCGAGGCCGAGGAGAGCGAGAGGAGGAGGTCGGGCGGGAGCGGTTCGAGCGGTGGAGGGAGAGGGGGAGGAGGGGGAGGGGGCAGGACGAAGTATGGGAATGAGACGACGATTAGTCGGAGCTCGCATTCGCAGAATAATAGCGATGATGGGGTGTTGGGGGCGGTGCGCGGGGATGGGTCGAGCGATCAGTTGCCGCTGACGAGTATCGTGGTCACGAAGGACGTGCAGTGGAGCGAGCGCAATAATTCGACGGCCAGCGAGTGGCCGCCTGGGTCGGGGAATGGGGGTGGTGGTTATCATGGGCATTATCCTGGGCGTTGATGATGGTGATACCCTTGGAAGAGACACAGGCGAAAGAGAAAAGGGCTCGGGGAAGGGGCGTTAATTTTTTTTTTCGGGGAGGGCCACGGCGAAACACCAAGAGAAAAAAAGCTATAAAGAACACTTTTGTATTACAGAGATTCCCCTTTCAGTTCGTCTAATCTTTTTTTTCCCTGGGGGTGTAGGTATCGTAATGAGGATGGAGGACACCAAACCGCCCAAGAGTTCTACAACAACTGCTGCGCATTCCTGACACCGGTGATTCGGGGATTTTGGTGAGTATAGCCTCCGAGAACGAGCTGACTGTCGGTGTCGAATGAGCAGTGCTTTCGCAGGTCCATCTGTCAATAATTCGAGTCTGGAATCTTCGCACATCCATGCAAGGGCCCGGGAACAACTGACTGGGGACAACAGACTGGAGACAACTGACTAGCACCACCGACACCTCAACCAACGCGCGTCTCAGACCTGAGATCAACGTCGATCGCTCGCAGAACGGGAAGAAAAAGTGAGACAGTTCCGTGCCACGCCATCGGTTCCTCGACACGAAGAGTCCAGCACAGGCAGTTCGATGATCCCTTTTTTAGCTTCTCCTCTCCTCGCCAGCCAAGCGGACCAAGAAAAACCGTTGCTGCTCGCAGAAACCGAGGTCACGGGCCAACGCCGCCAGCCGTTGCATTGCCGAGATTTCTGCCGAAAAAGGCGCGCGAGACGAGGTTAGGGTCAGTGTCACCGCCACTATTATATCAAGGCACGGAGGAGAAAAAAGAGCATGAAAGAATCGATAAAAAGCGGAAAAGGACAGGAGCAAGGAGGCTAAGGCAAGCGAGACGAACGCCTGTTTCGTCCCCACATGTCTGCGGTGAGGGCAGGGAAGAAAAATGTCCGAAATGCCCGCAACGCTAGTTAGTCATTTCGGCAGGGGCTTGAGACTGCGGCAGCCCTGCTGCACCAACTGCTTTTTCATCATCAGCTCTCATATTTCGGCGAAAATTGCTAGACTTTCATGACCAGGGCCTAAGGCGAAGAACAGCCGGGCACAGTTGCTCCCCCGGATCCAAACGGCTGGACGGCATTGTCATTCTTTGGACGCCCGACTTTGTGACGAGTCAGCATGCGCATGGGCCGCGAAGGTGGTGTGCGGAATCGGCCCGCAGGGGTGGCCCGAAAGGAAGACTCCAAGCTTCGAGAACGGGATTGCGTGGCCCACCGTTGACCTAGGGTGTGCTGGCTGAGTCGTGGGCGTTTTCCCTTTAGGTGATCTCTGTCCCTTTGCGGTGGCAATATCATCTGAGAATCGAGTCCGGTGAGGCGAAAAACGGCTGACCAGGCAGGCACTGTCCAGGACTTGCAGAGCAAAGTAGCTCCTATTCCCTGTCCGCGAATGAGGAAAAAGATGACAGAGGTGGTACCCGAGATCAAAGCGCGCCATCACATGAAATGCGCCACGACTCGGGCGCGGCGTCCCTTTGTGCAATGCTTGGTTGGTAGCACGAGGCCATGTGGGGCAACTGGATCTGCATGAACCGCGAATCGAGTCAGTAAAGCAGCACGATTGTTGCCGAAAGAAGAGGCCCGAGACGGTTTTGCAATCCTCTCTGGTATGCTCGAAGGTGACGCAGGTGCTGTGAAAGCGGGTCAGCTTCTCGTTGAGAGATAAGCTCACGATGCCGGTGGTACGTGCAGCGGGCAGCGCAACGGGCTTCAACACTGGGTTTCCCGGCCTTGTGGACGGCTTAACTAGCGTCTCGATAGCCTCATTCTTCCGACGGGGGTAGGTGTAGTAGCCGGTGCTAGTGGCGGCGGTATATAAGTACCCACCCATTGCCGTCGATCAACTCGCCGTCGTCTTATCTCATAAAGCTGGACGGCACGCCGGACGGGTCTCGATCCGAAGCCAGCATCCTTGTACTTCTCCAAGTAGCGGTCTCAGCTTCGCTGTCCTTGGCCCGGCGCGAGATGCACAGGCACTCAAAGCCATCCGTCCTGGCCTTCACCCCAAGCAACTTGTGGAATGTGATGGAGTGCTTGCGATGCAACTCGTTGAAGGCATGAGAGTCGATGTGGACGTGGGCTTGGCTCCTGTAGGAACCTCCTGCGGGGGGCAGGCGTACAGAACGTTGGCGGGCGATGAGACAGTCTTCAACTGGACGGGGTTTGCCGGTGCGACGATTTAGAGTTCAATTGCTGGGGGCGTCTGCATCAGGCTAATCTGGCTCTTCGGACGTGTCAATGCCGTGTTCGATGAGGCGGCGTTTGGAGAGCTGGTCTCTGAGCGCGTTGGCGGCAAGCGAAGTCTCGGGCTGCTCGACAGGCATGGCGGGTGAGATGCAGGTGAGGTGCAGTGAGATGCAAGGAAGATGCGGGTGAGACGCGGGTGGCAGGGTGGTGCAAGGGTTGGTGAGTGCGGGGAAGAAGCGAGCAGAGCCGCACTCGGCAAAGTTCGTGGAGAAGCCACGGATCGCTCCCGCCGTGGAGCAACACCAGAGAAGGCCCGAAGCCGCCCACAGCCATGATCTCATCCACGAAGCCGCTGCCCTCATCACTGCGCTCGCATCTCGCTCGCCCGAAGCCATTGCCTCCAGCACGCCGCTGCCTGACCGTCGACGCGACGCCCTCCGACGCCCCCTACATTGTCCCTCCACACCTGACCGCCGCCCAGCGCCTCCAAAACAGAATTACACACGAGTCAAAGCTCAATCAGCTCCGGAATGCCTTCCTCCCGCCAGGAAAACAATACCTGTCGGCCGTCGGAGTCAAAGTCCCCGACGATGCCCTCGCACCACATCCCGAAGACCGCCTCACGTCGAGCGTGCGCCGCCTCGTCGAGAAGCAGCTGGAGCAGTGCAGCTACCGCACCGACTACCTGAACCTCGTGTCGGCGCTGCTCATGGCGCAGAAGGACCTGGGCTACGGCGCGAAGCACGGCGCTGTCCGGCTCATCTGCGCAAACCTGCTGTACCAGGTCTTCGACCAGCCCGCCGCCGAGGCCGCCGGCGCCAGCATGCTCGCGCTGGTCCACCAGATCCGCTTCAAGCTGGAAGACCAGAACATCTCGCTGCCCGACACGCTCATCGGCCTGGGCCTGCTATGCGCCGCCAACAACCGCAACTACCCCGCGCTGAAGCTCTACCTGCGTGCGCACCGCCAACACTTCCCCACCTCCCCCATCGACCCCAAAATCTTCGCCCGCCTCATCGACATAGTCTCCTATGCCGACTGCACCGCCAAACCACGCTCTTCATCTTGGCTCGCTCCGTGGCGCCACAAACACGTCAAAGCCGTCCTCCTCGGCTTCGACGACCTCACCCCCGCCGAGCGCGCCTCCACCCCGCCCTTCCACCTCGGCGCGCTGCTCCCGCGCGACAGCTGGGGCTGCGTCTCGCGCTGGCTACGCGCGCTAGCGCGACACGACGCTCTACCACAACTGCGCCGCGAATGGGATCTTTGGCTCGCCGACCCGCTCCGCACCCACCCCCAGTTCTGCCACTGCCCGCAGCAGCCGCCGCCCGGCTCGCCACACGCCACGAAGCTCACCGACCTCCGCGTCCCCATGTGGCGCCTGAACGCCGTCCGCCGCTGGAACACGCGCACGCGCGGCGACCTCGCGCTGCTCGACGCGTTTTGCCGCGTCGGCGGCCGCGCTGGAATCGAGGATGCGTGGCGCGTGTTCGGGGCGTCCGAGGAGATCGAGTTCGGCATGCTCAACCGCGGTATGCGCACGGCGATGCTGGCGAAGCCGGAGAGCATTCCACCGGGCAAGTGGACGGAGGAGATGAGGGAGGCGGTGGTGCAGAAGTATAAGGAGGATTTGAGGAGTATTGAGGGCGTGTTGGGGGTTAATTGGGTCTGGGACCCGAGGACTGGCAGGGGCTACCATCGCATTCCGAAGGGGTCGCTGTTGGCGGATCTTAAGGACTTTACGGATGATCTGATGGATTATGCGGTGGTGGAGTTTGATGAGGCTGGTGTGGATGATGCCCAGCTCGGAGTGGATGGTGGTGAACCTGGTGTGAATGATCCTGGCTCTGAAGATCGGACGTCCTGAGATACGAACGGCACAAGGCTCTGGGCAAGGCTCGTGGACGTGTCTCGCCGCGTTCTTGATGATGGGAGGAGTAACACCAGGATTGAAGTGATTGACCCGCTTGCCGGGAGATGAGCGCCATGGTCCCTCCACGCGAAGGCCTTTTCCGAACCAATTCCTCGTAGTACAACAATGTAAGATGGTAAGAATATTCGCAACGGCGTGTACAGTACGACAGCCGAACAAACCTCATTTCATCAACTTGCGTCAAGACCTCGTAGATCTGGTCCTTTTATGGAGTCTGATAGCGCCATTCCTATGAGCGGTTTGTGTAAAGGAGGCTTCAGTTCCTCTGCCTTTTTCATTTGCATGTCACGGTTTTTGTTATTGTTCTTTTGGCGGGCGAAACTCGTTAGTGTTTGCTTTCTTTCACAGCCATAGTTCCCGTGGTATACTACATCAGCATTCAGTTTTCGAACCCTCGTGCTACACTACAGCAGCGGTCAATTTTTGAACCCCTCGTGCCACACAGCCGGCGGGCTAGGTTATCAGTGGTGCCATGTGAGCCAAAAGCAAGCTCACCATTCTCAGGCGGTTCGAGCAGGATGTTTGAGATATTTGGGGAAAGTGGAGAGCTCTCTTTCATGCAAGAGGGGCAGAATTCCTTTTTCGAAGCATAGTAGACTCTTGCTGAGATACCCAAGCCTGAAGAAAGACACAGCATTAAGTGAAGCTGGATGCTACTCTTAGTCCTATCTTTATAAGGGTTTGTTGTTTGTGGTGTCAGTACCCACAAGACGAACGTTTGTCCAACGCAACATTTTTCAGCATAAACATCGGCAAAAGCAACCTCCACCCGCATTCCGTGTTCCGTGTCCTCAGCAGCACACCCACAATGCCGCAATTGCACACTGGCTCCGCAGATAACGCATTTGTGTCATGACTCGGAAGCCACCAAATCGAGTTGATCGGCCGCATCGCTAACTATCTCGACAATAGGAGTCTAAAGCAGCTAAGGTTAAGCTTTAGTTTCGTTAATCTCTTTTCCCTTAACTCTGCGCTTGTCAGCCTTAAGTATTAACTTTGTCCCTTCACCGCACAAACACAAACAGCGCCGCCGGCATCTGTCACCCTCCCACCAACACACCACCTGCCACAACTCTTTGTGTAGCCCACACGGACGCAATAGTCGTAACCTCACGTCCATTCAACGTCTACAATCAGCCATCCATGTCCCAAATATATCGCGAATCATGACTGAGGAGATACAGGCTGGAAACAAACCACCATGATTTTGGTAAAGCGAATGTGCAAATAAAACCCCCAAATTCTCTCAAACAAGCAACTACTCAGACATGTTGATATTTGCTGAATACGTTGGGTCATCAAACGCCAAAAGAAATAGTTAATAAAAGGCCGGCGGCCGCCTCCAGAGGCGGATATCTGTGTTCTCTACCATTCAACAACACCACCTCTCAACATCAACACCACACCCGCCTCCCCGTCTTTCCCGATCTACTTCTCGATCACGACGAAATGAGTGATAACCTAAACGGCGGACAAAGCCGTAATTCTGCTAGGGAATCGGATGATGGCAAAGAGGATCCTCAGCCACAGGAGTGCCCGTGATTCTGGTTTGGATGACGACAAAGATGACCCCTCGGAGAACGACAAGCGTGCTCTGCGGTCCACGCCCAATCCGCGTGATACTTTCCTCGGGTTGCCCAAAAGCTTCTTTGAACTTCGCGACCAGCAGCGGCGGCAACAGCAGCAGCAGCAGAAGGAGCAGCAACAACGGAAATTCGAAGAATATGAAAAGTCGCTCGAGCTACTGGGCTACGATAATGCGGCCTTGACGTCGGCCACCATGGCCAAAGCTCGCTCATCGTTCAGTGCACTACTGACGGACGCCGGCCGCCAGTTCACCACCCCCAACGCGCCTTCTGTTCCCTCGTCCTCCTCACTTCCCCGCACGCGCCACATCCGTCAGCTTGAGCGCCCGAGGAGGGATGATCATGAATTTTTAGCCCGCGAACAAAAGCTCTTCGGCAGTGACATGCATTTTTGGCCCGCACGAAGCACTGATGCCACACCGGAAGGCAGAGCCAGTAGCGCGGCCAGCAGAGCAGGTGCGCTGCGGAACGAGGATGGAGAGGAAGTGGGCCATGCCCGAGCTCGGCGGCACGCGATCCACGCTGTCCAGCAGCACGTGGAAGGAGGAGGAGGAGGTCAAACCCGGCAGCAAGCGGGGGCCAGCCAAGCTCAACAACAAACGACAGCAGCTTATTCTCAGCAACGGGTGAACCAGGTTCAGCATTCACAAAATCACACCTCGTCTCCTGCAGAGGGTGGTCGCGATGGAGAGGTGAAAGACGTGGTCGGCCCACGTGTCTCGAGCGGCAAAGAAGAGGAGGAGGATCATTAGGAACAGCTACTTAGCAGCATTTTCCTTTGGCATTACGCACTGATTTCCATAAGCACAGCAAATGGAGCATCGGTCTTTCATTGCGATACAAGGATTGGAGAGTAATAGGCAGGACTCGGTAGGGCATTGAGATACTTAGTCGGAGAAACACGAGGCCAATAGCCTTCATCATCATCATTCAATCAAAACATTCCACAAAACTGTCCATCATCTGCCAAGTTGGATGCCAAGGTTTGAGTTACGTGTTGGCGAATCGTCCATATGTAACATGTCGGAAACGGGAGAGAAGAGTCATTTGATTGCGTCAATCATTCTAAACTTGTAGTCAACTCTGTTTGTGTAGGTCGGACCCAGCGCCGTAGAGTGATTTAAATCTGGGCCAATTAAATGGAGTTTGTGCTGCAGGTAAGCAGCCCTTTATGCGAGCAGCCCTATATTCTTGCCAAGAGCGCTGCCGTCTTAGCCGGAATAGTAAAGCTGAAATCTCAAAGCGAGCCAATGATATCCCTCCCTGATACTACCTCCTGATACCCTAGCACTCCTCCGAACATCCAGACAAACACCTACAAAACCACCACCAACAGCAACAAACTCGCACCAACACACCCCTCCAGCACCCACCACCCCTGCCCCCGCTCCCCCCTCACCATCGCCGCACCCGAACTCCCCCCACCACCACCACCCGTCCCCTCCGCCGCCCCTCCTCCTCCCCCTCCTCCTCCCGCTGTCCCGCTCCCGCTCCCCCCACCATCGCCCGTAGTACTGCGCCCACTCAGATCGCTTCCACCACCCCCACTCGTCTCCGCCGCCGCCACCCCCCGCGCCACCGTCTTCCCATCCACGACCACCTCTCCCCCCGTCCCAACACTCACCACCGCGCCGCCCACCGTCGCCGCTGCGTCTTGCCCCAGCGTCGTCCACAGCGGCAGCACGACGCCGCCGTTGGCGTCCGTGTAGATCGGGACGGCGTTGCTGGGGCCGAGCGTGGCCTGCGTGGCCGCGTCAGAGGCAGAAGGCGTCGCGAAGAAGTATGTGCGGCCAGAACTGTCGGTGGCGCCGGTGGGGCTGGAGAGAGCAGGGCAGCTGGCGCCGAGGCCGCAGAGGATGAGGGAGGCGAGGGAGGTGAGTTGGGCTGCGGCGCTGCTGAGGGCGGGGGCGTTGGTTGATGGGGATGGGGATTGCGTCGCGGGTGATGAGGTCAGGGGTGGGGATGAAGAAGGCGGTGGAGACACGGACGGAGACGAAGCGGAGGATGTCTCCTCCTCCCCCCCCTCCTCCATCATACGGACCTCAGTCGCCTGCGTCGGCGTAGCGACGACCTTTCCCGACGGCGCCCCCATGAAGGCCGAGAAGCTGCAGTAGTCGAGCGCCGGGTACAGGCTGTGAAACGCCTCGTCGAAGCCCGGGATCGGGAACGTCACTTCGGCCGGCAGCTCCTCGTACGGGGTGCCCGTCGTCGGCAGCGGGATGGGCGCCGGCTGGTTGAACCAGGCCGACGTGGTGAAGTTGGTGCCGTTGCTGCAGCGGCCCGTTTGGTGCACGTGGATGCGGTCGAAGATGAGGGCGTAGGGGGTGGGGTAGGTTCTGTGTTGCTGGTGAGCATCGAGGCTGGGTGGTGATGGGAGGGATGGGAGGGGGGGTTACAGGGTTGCCGTGCCGATTTTTTCGGTGGTCCCGTATACGGCGTCGACTTCGGAAATGCAGTATGGTCCTATTGGGGAGACTTGGGCGGACGGGATGAGGCTGGTGTGGCTCTGCATGTCTAAGCGGGTGGCAGTGTTTGTGATGGTTCGCGATGCTGTGGTTTTGGTTGTAGACTGGTCCTGGACAACGTCATACTGAACAGTCTCCTTGTAGAAAGGGAGTTGAGCGGTCAGCCAATAGATTACCCGCACTTCAATATTTCCGGCATGCTCGCGAGAATCAAAAGAACCGCATGACACCGTATCAGGTAACTCGTCGCCACAGATGTTGCGGAACGCGTCCGCAGCTTCGTACGAAGCTGCAAACGCGTCGAAGGCTGTAGAAGTCGCTGCGATAACGGCTGCGTCGCTTGTGTATAAGCACCCTGGGCAACGTTAATTATCCCGGTGAGCCACTCACTGTTCTGTGGTGAGGCACCAACGAGGCTCACTCCGCACGCCAAGAAGCAGACCCACTTCCACATGATGGAGAGCACGCCGGGTATGAATAAGATTATTGGGTGGTCAGCGGGATATAGAGAACTGATGGAAAGATTGAATACGAGAAAATATGAACGAACGATTTTTAGTTTGCTAAAGATTTATATAGACGAAAAAGGACGACGTCAGCCTTGATAGATGGCCTATACTTTGTGCGGTTAGCAGGTGGGCAGTGATCGGGTCGTTGATATGCTGCCAAGTGATGGGCGGTCGTACGGGTCTGACTGGCTTTGCTCTGACGTGAAGGCTGGACCGTTGACCCCGCACTTCTTCCTCTCTGCCGCACATGCCAACCACCAACACCATGATTCAAGGACTGTTATACGTGCTTGGAACTCAGCCTTGCATTGAGTGGCTTTACGCAAGCCGCGTACGTAGAGGGAAATGGGCTTACTTTCATTCGTTTTTCTGGTTCTATCTGCACGATCTCTGGGACATAACTAATCACTTAGTGCATGACTGGCCTAATGCATAGCCAAGAGGGCTGTGTCATCAGATGCATACTAAAATATGCCTGATCGTGTTCAAAGGTGCTCTCATGCTGGCGCAGGCTGGGGGCTGTGAGCAGAAAGCCTGCCTACATATCTCGTGCGTAAAGCCACGCAAGCTGAGCCGTGCTCATGACGATATACGACTTTGGAAAACGCAACAAATCAGGCCAATAGTGCTCAAGCGCGTCACAATGCCAGCACCGGTAGTCGTGCATCCAAGCGAAGAGTGGTATGTAATCTTGCAACTCAAACCAGCAGATCAACCGTTTTCTGATAAACATCTAGGGACAAAAGCGATGGTCCATGGGCGAACTTTGCGTTGCAAGTCGGTACGCCCCCGCAGAATGTGCAGGTTCACATTTCCATTGCCGAAAAGGAAACGTGGGTCGTGGGCGCAGGAGGCTGCAACACATCAATGATTGAACCCATACCCGACTGCGCCAATAGTAGAGGAGAATTATTCCAGCCCCTGAATTCCTCATCATGGCAGTATGCATCATCTGTCTGGCAGAATGAGGGCTTCTTTTACCTTTCGGAGCAACTCACCAGGGATCTAGGCACCAATGCGGTTCGTATCATGTCGATATATGACTTGTGATTTTCACTGACATGAGGTAGATGGGGGAGTATGGCTACGAGAGCGTTGGCCTTTCATTTCGTGGAGAGTCCGGTCCGGCATTGAACAAAACGGTCGTTGCCGCATTTAACGCGACCGACTTCGTCATCGGCCAGTTTGGAGTCAACCCCAATAGCATCAGCTTCACTAGTGAAAACGACAACAGTTCTCAGCTGAACGATCAAGTAAGTACCTCCACAATGGCAAGAGCACTTAACTGACTAGAGGTTCAAGACTCCGAGCTTTTTGTCCCGGCTGCACGACGAAGGCCATGTCCCGAGCCGTTCGTTTAGTTTCACAGCTGGATCCCACGCAAGAAAGACTAGCAACAAGAACGCTTTTGGGTCATTCATCTTTGGTGGCTATGATTCATCACTGAAAGGCGATAACGACATGTCTTTTGGTTTCCTCAATAACGAAAACAGAGAGCTTACAGTTGGCGTACAGTCCATCACCAAAGATGGATCCACTAATTTGTTGGCCACTCCGATTCTTGCAGCGCTAGACTCGTCGCAACCAAACATCTGGTTGCCCCTTGAAGCTTGCCAGGCATTTGAACAGGCCTTTAACCTCACTTGGAACTCGACTGCGAAGCAGTACTTGCTGGACTCAGCCTCACATGACCGTCTACTCAAAGAGAACTCCAATGTTACATTCCGTCTCGCAAACAATGGTGACTTCGGTGGAGAAAATATCGATATTGTCCTCCCCTTTTCAGCTTTCGATCTCAAGCGAAGAGACTCCACATCGACGTTCCAGCCTTACTTCCCGCTGAAGAGAGCGCACAATGACTCCCAGGCAAGCTTCACCTCAGAAAAATCTTTGAAATTGCTAAGCATATTGCAGATCGCACTTGGCCGAGCTTTCTTCCAGGAAGCCTATCTCATCGCCGACTACGACAAAAGAACCTTCTCGCTGTCACAACGCAGGTGGAGCGACGACGCCCAAGACATTGTACCAATTCCCTTACCTCCAAGGAAGCCTCTCCCGGATGGTGCCATTGCAGGTATTGTGGTGGGAGTTGTGATGGGTGTGGGTATTGTCGTCGCCGCATTGATCTGGTGGTTCCGTCGTCGGCGCGCCACCATCATCGAGTCTAGAAGATCTTCTACTATCAAAGTAGAGCCATCTACGCCGGCGACGATCGAGTCAAAGATCTTTGAGCTTGGTGAAGCTGGGAACGTATATATACCCTTGCAAGAGCAGCAAGTACGCGTCCACGAGATGCCCTCTACGCCGGGGGCGATGGAGCTTGATGGATCGGGGAATGTATACATACCCCCACGGGAGCAACAGCCACGCGTCCACGAGATGCCTGCTGAGGGTCCTATGTATGAGCTGGCAGCGGAGTCGCTACAGTGCGAGCTGGAAGGCACACCGCGTCCGAAAGAGAATCCTCTGGAAACGAAGTAGTGATGAAATTATCGAATTCTACCATCTTAGCGTAGACGGAAGGCTGATATAGCTCGGCTTACTTAAGTGCTTAACCTAAATTAAATTGTCCCATCCACCAGTTTTTTCGGCTATTAGCAATATACTTCCACCTTAATGTCCCCGTAGATGCACATGCACTACTGCCAGCGCTCAGATGGAAGCTCCTTGCGCAAATACTCGAAGTCGAGACTACCCCTTGTAACTATTGACTGTCAGCGTTTGGGCGACGTGTGGAAGAACCATCTAGTATTTAACAGGCTGGAGATAAAAGAGAAAAGTCAATTATTACGCTAATCCTTCCAAATTGATAGAGAAGTCTGCTAGTGTGCGCTACCCCTGCTGGCATTGGAGGGTCCAAATCTAAGCTGGTTGGATGGAATGGTGTTTCATCCTGCAGATAAGCAGCCTCACGCACAAGAAGCCTCATACGCGAACGGCCCCATGTTCTTGCCAAGGCTGCTGCTGCCTGAGCTGTAATGGCAAGGCTGATATCTGTAAGCGAGCTGAACAGACGTTATCATCAGCCTTGTGGCGAGAATAGCTCCTAAATCCACCCAAGCCACCTTGCACAACTATCGCATACATTAACTAGAGCTAGAAAACTTCGTCATGCATTCGATATGCTTCTTTATATTCTTGCTCGGCGCCCATGTCAGGCTCACCAGCGCTTCGACAAGTCAATTCCAGAAGTGGTATCCACAGTACGAGCGCCTATTCTCCGGAATCCTCCGCAACAACTGCTCCAGAGAGTATGAAGCCTATCTACACCGGGAATTGCTGGGTCCGCAATGGGAGGGTGTTTCGCGTTTCGCCGCACCAGTTGTTGATTGTTTGCTGGAAGCGACACCCGAAGCCTCCAAAGCGGACATGGCAGGAGCCACAGTACTGCTGGGTCTGACACCCACAGTGGTCGCACTCTCAGCCTCGACTCTGACCGAGTTGTCCTTGGTAGCCACGCGGCGACCGATATTCGGCTTTCTAAACGCCATGGGATCACCGTTCATATTGCCGATGCGCGCGTTCGATTACCCCAGCCCGGCTGCCGTTCTTGCACAGTCAGCGAAGCCGATCTGCATGAAGCCCATTACCACTCCCGCTCGCCAGGCGCTCATCAGCCTCACGGAATATCTGGTTTTAGCCGGCGCTATCGCCAATACCTTCCAAAACACGTATCAGCTCGCCACACAGACTGTTCCAAGCGGGGCGACCGAATCGACGTATCGACCGCTTATTTGGTATTTTGGGATGCCGGTCATGTTCCTCTTGAATGGTCTCGCTTTTCACCTACGTGTCAGTGTAGATGACCAATCACCACGGCCAAAATCCAGATGGGCATCCCTTGCGCGAATGTTTTGGTCCGAGACCACACCTTGTATCAACCAAAAGCCACTGGTCCTTCGATGGAAACAGGAATCCTATTTGTTCCTTTTGATTTCCTGGTTTACATCGCTGGTCGGCATCTCTTATCTTACATTCGCAACGGTAGTGTTTTCTGAAGCTTTGTTCATCACCATTCAGGATGCACTCTCCGTGCTTGCTCGATTCCTACTTTCTGCATTTTTTTGTCGGATTGTGTTGATGTACGAGATCGCTGGGCTTCGGAGGACGACGAGCATGCATCAACAGGCCGACGGAAATGATGAAAGTGAAGGTCTCATGGCCCTAACTTAGGGTTGGGGCAGGGTAGTCGAGCTATGCGCCATCGCGGTGCAGGTGGAAGATCAATGGCGGCGTACAACGCGGAAGGAGCTGGGGTGAGGGGGCCAGAGGTGGTGCGGGCAACGCGGACAGCGTGTATGCTGAAGTGGGGGGTGGGGCAGAGCACCACGACATCTTTATCCTCGTCCTCATCTTCAGAAGGAGTCGAGGAAGACGATCGCTGGTAGAAGGACCTGGTTCTTCCCGTCTCGACACCTGGGGTGTTGCTCCGGACACGACTGTCGCCCCACTCTCCTCTCTGCATCTTGAGAGGAAAGTGGGTCCGCGATACGGAATAAGCCGGTTTCTGCCGTGCGATCGTATCCAAAATCAGACAAGATACGCGTGCCCAGCGTGTCCTTCGGCCCTGATATTCGACTGTAATTGGCGGTAGGATATTGAGCGATGGATTCTTTTTCTAAACGGACCTACACGGAGAGCTACGTTCCAAGAGGGAAGGGACTATGGGCTCCAAATTAGTTGACTATCTTTTGGGCGCCGTTCAACGAAGTGTAGCTTACTTTTGAAATGGTTGGTAATTGTCTGATAGTCTTGTTGGATAGTGGAGACTGCCAGCTGGCCTTCCAGTTGTCATGCATGAAAATAGACGAGGACATACACGTAGTTTTGGAAAGCTGCACCGAGCTGCATACATATGATGGGACCATAATAGATATATTGAATCATTCCAAATTTTATCCCCCAAATCAGAGCGAAAGAATACCTCGTTCATCCCCCAGAGCCTTTTGTCGCCAAAACTCTTTCCACCTACACGACCACACTCATCTCCCTAAGTCGCTACATTCACACCTCTCTCAACCTGGGGTATATGTCACCCTCGTACATGAAATGCAATGCGAAATTTGCAATTTCGACTCCGATGGGAATTATGTCCCGATCGACATATCTGACCTGAAATACTTCTTGGAAAATGGACAGATGTGGCTCAGACTCGAATCTGGGAGCGACATCACTCAAGCAATCGCACGGGGTTGTTGGATCTGTCGTACGATTCGCGATGCTCTGCTTCCCTTTAATCGGTACCTGCCTCCAGAATGGCATTGTAAGCATGATGATCTGGAGAGTTTAGGAGGATGCAAAAAGTGTTTCCGTGTCGAACATGTCCGCCTCAATTTCAGAGCGTATCTAAGCCGTGGAGTGGAAATCTACACAAGCTATGACGATTCTAAAAGCTACCGTGAAACATTCTATATTATTGGTATTCATTTCAACGGTCTTCATTTCCGCAACTAAGACTGACAAGGAATAGGCAATGGGATACCATGGCCTGGTGGAAGGATGACGCCCCCGCCTACATCCCCAATCAGAGATCCATCGAATATTTCGCGGTACTCTGGACTTGATCAAGCTCGTGCTTGGCTTGACACATGTACTCTTGAGCATTTAGGTTGCCAACAGTCGTCGTGTTCCCCCAAGCGTCTTCTCAAAATACGAGACAAACGAAGCATGTTCGGTGGTGGACCCTCTATCAAATTGTGCAGTCCTGGAAACTCCGTGGAGAAGTATGCTTGCTTGAGCTATTGCTGGGGTCGGACGGGAAACTTGGAGACTCTGGCGGACAATCTTCAAAGACATTTTAACAGGATTCCCTTCAGCGACCTCCCAAAGACGATCCAAGACGCGGTGAAGATCTGTTTGGCACTACAGATCTATTATCTCTGGGTCGACGCACTTTGCATAGTGCAGGATGATGAGAACGATTGGGCGTCAGAATGTATGAGGATGGGTGACATCTATTCAGGAGCTCATATAACCCTTGCCGCAGTCCAAGGCCGCGACTCACAGGCCGGATTATTACATGCTAACCCTGCCGAGGTAGCTCAGATCAAAGTATGGCCGCTGATAGGCTCTCCCACCGAAGCCTCGGTACACCGTGCGTCACAACACAGCTGCCCAAACAGCCGCCTTCATAGACTACACCTGAAACAGCGGCCGCTGCTTACTCGAGGATGGGTGTACCAGGAATTGCTGCTTTCCCCAAGGATACTTCGCTTCGATGCAGACGAGCTATCCTTCGAATGCCGAGAAGGCATCATGTGCGAGTGTGGGCTACCTCCAGACGTAGGCAGCGACATTTTCATCAAAACCTTGCGCGACGTCATAGACTCGCACAAGGAGCGCTTCCAGGCCAGGAGAAGACACTTCTCACTTGTTGAGAATGGACTCCTTTCAGACTCGAATGCCTTTACCCTTTGGTATAGGATGGTCGAACAGTATTCCTCCATGGCACTTACGAAGCAAAGCGACCGCCTTCCAGCGTTTTCGGCAATAGCTTCAAAGTTCCCACAATACGGCGGAAGATACTACGCTGGGATCTGGGAGAAGGACTTCATTTATGGACTCAAATGGTACCGGGATGGGTCCGACGCCCAGTATAAAGCAAGACTTCCTTCTACTCGAACTGGACCATCCTGGTCATGGGCCTCACAGCTGGGCTCGATTTCCTACGGCGGAAGCTTTCTTGGGAGCCGAGCTTATTCTGCCAAATTTTCGATCAACAGTTTGACTCTTTCGAATAGAGCCAATACTTTTGGGGGTGTCTCAAACGGTTGCTTAGGTGCGTCCGGGCTCCGAATATCCGCCAATTTGAAGGTTCGTAAGGAGTCTAGTCATCTGTGGGATGAGCCATATGTATGTGAGTTGAACGGAAGGTCTGTGTTGCTCAATGATCTCAATTATGTCAGGTTTTTTTTCGATGGCAGACTTCCCTATGAGGACGAACGAAGAATGCTGAGCACTGAAAACAGTGTGTGCTGTTTTATTCTGGCACAATACGATCATCGTACATATGCTTTGCTTTTAAGGGTTGTAGATGAGATGCAAGGACTATATCAAAGAATAGGGCTCATGGAAGAAACCCACTACATCGGTAAAAGTTGGTTTAGGGATGCAGAAGAGGTTAGCATTCTCATTCAGTAAAAATACTGTGTGTATACTAAGATTGACAATCCATTTCCATTTACAAAATAATCCGAAGGCTTCAACGGCCAACCATCCCCCACTCACACCCACCCCGTCTCCGGCACCCCCAAATACGCCTCCCTTACCCCCGCCACCCCCTCCCTCGTCTCCACCACAACCTTCTCCAAATACACCTCCGGCGAATTCACCCTCCACCTCAGCCAATGCTTCCCTGCCCCCACCGGCCCCTCAAACCTCACAATCCTCTTCCACACCCCATCCCGCACCTCCCCCGTCCACCCGGGCGGCAGGTCCCCCGCCGTCGCCGGCGCCTCCAGCACGCGGGTCCAGTTCGCGGGCGCGTCGTCCAGCGTCAGCGAGTACCGCATGGGCAGGTCGTCCGGGTCGGTGTCGAGGGCAGCGTTGATGTACAGCGTTGCGGTGATATTGGAGGTGGCGTTGAACAGGTAGATGGCGTAGTCGACCCACGCATCCTGCGGCGCGGCGGGAGAAGCGCGGGCGGCGAGGTAGGGCCGCAGGGCGAGGGAGCCGGAGGAGGTGCGGGTGCCGAGGTGGGGGATGGGGCGGAAGGACACGACGGCGTCGTCGTCCGAGGTTTCCTCTGAGGAGGAGGACGACGAGGAGGAAGACGAACGCTGGAAGTGCGGCGCCTCGATGGCTACGACGCCTTCGCCCGTCTCGGGGAAGCCGTGGAAGTCGTCGGGCAGCGCGGGGCGGTTGACGACGGGGACGCGGATCAGGTCCATCCGCGGACTCGTATCGAAGTCAACGCGGACATCGACGACGTCGTCGAAGCCCTCCGGCACGGCATTCCAGTCGACCGAGACGTTCAACCGCTGCTCCGGGCCGTCGCCGTCGACAACACCACTACGGGGCGTCACCTCGACCCAGTCGTACTCCGGCTCCACTGACCAAGCGATGCTCTTCCGATAGTCCCCGCGGTGGAACAGCTCCACCGTCCGCACCGCAGCGCCGTACGGATCCATCACCGGCAGCACCGGCGCGAGTTTCTCCTCCTCGCTCGTCGGCGCGCTCTCGTCAATCGACGCGCACACCACGCCCTGCCTCCCCGCGCTCGCACTCCCCTCGGCGTATATCCCGAGGTTCCCGAACGCGTAGTCCATATCCTGCCGCAGCTGCACGAACGACAGGTTCGCCAGCACGTCGCGGCTCGGCGCCTTCCAGGTAGCCTGTGGTGTGAAGTCGAACCGCGGCTGCGCCATGATGCCGGCCCATTTGCCGTTGGAGAGCGAGTCGTACTCGTCCTGCAAGTCGTAGTCCTGGTCGAACGAGGCCAGCACGGAGGAGGCCAGGCGGTTGGCGCTGTTGCGCCGCTCGAGGGCGTGCTGCGCGTTCAGCGCCTGCCCGAGGACGATGGCGTGGTGGAGGAAGCCGGCCTGCACGGGGTGGCGGACGAGGTGGAAGAAGGGGGCTTGGAGAGTTTCGGGAAGGGCGGCCGCGATGGTGGATGTGCGGGTGGCGAGGGAGCGCCATTCCGCAAGCACGCGCGAGCTTTCGTGGTAGTTCAGGACGGAGTAGGTGGACGGGATGACGGATTCGAGCTTGCGGCGGCCGACGAGCCGGCTGTGCTCGAGGAGGATGGAGGCGATTTCGGAGGCGTGCGTGGGGCCGAATTCGCGGGTAGAGAAGGCGTGGAGGTAGGCGGGGATGGTGGCGAAGTCGATGGAGGACGTGTTCCAGGCTAGGTCCATGATGAAGCCGAAGGGGAGCTCCATGGGCTTGATGTCGGCGACGTTGATGACCCAGATGCGGTCCGCGCCTCGGGCGTACGAGTGGAAGAGATCTTTGTAGACTTTGGCCTGGAGGTAGGGTTAGGAGCGGAAAGCCATGTTCTGGGTGATCATGATGTCTTACCAGATTGTTGGAATTCGCCCATTTGTAGCTCTTTGGAGTCCCGACGTATTCGAGGTGGAAGTATATCTTCGACGGTCAGAGCCGAACACGGTCATCTTAGGACTCTAAACACTTACTCCAATACCTCCTGACCGCTCTGTCTCATTTCCAACAGGAAGCCGCTGTACGTTTCCCCAGTTATCGTCCGTGAACATCAACGTAACATCATCTGGCGGCACCAGGCCCGCCGCGTAGTACGTAGCCACTTCTTTGTAGATAGTCCAAACCTCTGCGGGACAGGTCAGTAAAACACATACCAGGTGCCGACAACACTGCAAACTCACGTCTCGCCGCCGTCTCATTCCCATAATACTTGCCCAACAACCGCCTCTCCGTCTCAAACACATCCTCTAGCACCTCAATCGGATCATCCGCCTCAATCGGCCCATCATTCGGGCCCCTCATCCCCAGCGTAAAATACGACTCATTCCTCCCCGCCCTCGCCACACCCTCCTCCATGAACCGCGTCACGTTCTCCTTATTCGCCGTCCAATCCCACGGCCCCGTCTCCGTCTCGTTCCACTCGTTCGTCGCGCGCTGCATCGGCTCGTGGTGGCTCGTCGACACGACGATGCCGTAGTCGTCGGCGAGCTGCTGGTTGGCTGGGTCGTCGGTGAAGAAGATGTTGCCGGGGCGGGGGACGAACGACGCCCACATGGCGGGCCACAGGTAGTTGGCTTTGAGGCGGAGGAGGAGGTCGAAGACGTGCCGGTAGAAAGAGGCGTCGAGGGGGTGGTGGGGGGAAGTGTCGTTGTGCTGGCGGGACCACCAGCCTGTCAAGGCGGGGGCTTCGTCGTTGATGAAGAGGCCGCGGTATTTGACGGACGGTTCGCCGTGGACGGTTGTTTTGGGCAGTGCGTAGAGCTCGGAGTGCTCGGTTGCGGGGACGTCGGCCCACCAGTGGAAGCTGAAGACTGTTAGTGGAAGATTTTTGGTTTGGATTTGGGTGGTGAATTGCTTACGGAGATTGTCCGCATTGCTCTGAGAGGGTGTACACGCCGAACATGGCCCCTCTCTTATCACTTCCCGCGATCACGAGACCGTTGCGCACTCCGGGCAGCGGGTCTGCAATGACGGTCGTCTTGAAGCTTTCCCATTTCCCTTCAATTTCGCTAACTTCCAATCCTTTTTCTGACTGCAATCTTTTGATCAAGTCTGAAGTTAGAGTGCCAACAAGAATGACAGACGTGAAAGTGATATTGCTGAGATGTTGTGCATCGCCACGGAGCAATGTCGGAGGACTTCCAGTTATCTGCCGCAGGTCCTCCGCCAAACTCTCAGCTGCAATGCGGATGCCAACAGGGTCGTCCGTTGGATAAACGATGGCGGTGTCAATGTGCAGCGGGATCGCACCATCAGACTGCTCGAACGCAACAAACCTCTCCTCCAGCAACCCAAAACATACTTGCGAAAACAGCAGGAGCGCAAACAGACCTTGCATGCTGACGATCGAGGCTTTGAGCTAGTGCCCCGATTCCGCTCCCCGCTTCAGCCTCTTTTGTTGTCGAAATAATGCGGGGGTGGCTCGGCAACATCTTACCCGAGCAGCAGAGATCCTCCGCGATGTGCGATGCGGGGATACGAAGACGTTAACGCAGAGTTGCACAAGAAGGCGGCGATCAACTCTAGGCCAGCCAATGGTCAATTCTTCGGACGAAACGGCCAAGGCGGGTATTTCACGTTCCCCCTTTCAGCCGCAGCGGCCGCGGCACAGCTATCCACGGCCCGTGCCAGCTGAAAATTGATCCTTCGCGCTATCAATTCTTTCCTATTTCGGGCAACTAGAAATTATGAGGCGCCGTCGCCGGCACCAACTAACAAACCGTTAACAAATTCCGGCCAACCTGAAATGGCGATTTTTCGCGGTGCTTGGTGGTGGATTTATTTTGAGGGAATGCCTCTTTGAAGCTTTGATCATTGGAGATGGGGGCCATTTTATAGATGTAGAGCCAGGGCAAGGGCAAGTCCGTTTTTCCGAAGACGCAGTACTCAGTAGTCTTATCAACGGTCATATCAAAAGCTCATCATCAACTTCGTTCATAGCCATAAAAATTTCCTACTTGAGCCACGTTGATCGTCCACAGCTGGCCTCTATATGTATTCCCTACTGATAACAAAAGAAAAAATTACGGGAGTGCCCTAACCAGCCAGCCACAACCAGCCGCAAAAAAGAAAAAGCTCCAACAATCCAGCCAACAAACGAAAAGAAGGGTATCATCACTTTTTGTGCTTCCTGTGTGTAAGTAAGTCATTACTGCCTGCTCGGCGGCTCCCTCGCCGCCTGCTCCTCACTGACGGTATAATCCACCGTCTTCGTAATCTGAAAATGGCCCCCTCCTCCTCCTACTGCTCCCGCACCACCGCCAAACTGCCCCCCCTGCCCAATCTCCCCGCCATTCTTCAGTATCTGCCGCTGATCCGACTCGACACTAATCCCGTCCTCGCTCCCATTCTTCTTGCGCACCACATCCAGCGCATACGCCTTGGCACCCATCGTCTTGGCTTCCACCTCCCCGCCGCCGCCGAAGCTGCCGTCGAAGACGTCGTCGTCGGGCAGCCGCGATTGCGCCCGCGAGCGGCGGGAGGCGTAGGTGTTGCCGTAGCGCTGGTTCGAGGTGCCGTAGCGGGAGGAGCCCGTGCCGCGCAGGGAGACGCCGAAGTAGCGCGTGAGGATGCCTTCGAAGGTCGCTTTGAGGGGGGGTAGGCTGGCGGCCCAGAGTCCGCAGTTCATTTCGACGCTGTAGGGAGGGAGGGAGCGTGTTAGTGGAGGCGGGGAGGGGGATGGGGGTGAGGTGGCTTACTTGACCCAGATGCTGAGCGAGATGCCGTCCCATGTCGGGTCGGTCGTTTTCATCAGGGCAGGGAGCTTGGTGATTTTGACGATGGCGCTGACGGTGGCACTGGGACGAGAGTGAGTGGATGGACGGAGGGAGGGAGGGGGAGGGAGGGTTGGCGCACACTAGGCCGATGAGGAAGACGCCTCGGAGCGCCCAGCGGTTGTAGATGGAGAGCTTCAGCTTTGTGAGGCAAACCAGAAGGCCGAAGGTGAGTAAGAGATCGGTAAGGATGTTGCCGACTGGACTGCAATTAGTATTGAATGTGCGCACCGAGAAACAATAAGAGCTCACCAGACTGAAGGTATGCCAGGGCCACGTTAACACTAATTGGCCAGCAGGTGCCGTCGATCATCGGGTTCCAGATCTTTTCCATGGGGGTGCAGCTCTTGAAGCAGCCAATGAGCACGTTCATGTTGACCAGCACGGAAAGCACCATCGTGAACCAGACGATGACGGTGAAGGTCCTGGCCAGTTGGATCCGGAGCATGGAAAAGCCGATGCTCAGCTTCATCGTGCCCATGGCGACGCCGTTGGTGAGGATCCCGAAGTTCGAGAATTTCATGGCTTCTGGTATGTGCGCCGGAGGGATCGTCAGGATGGGCTTTCCATAGCCGTTCGCCGCGCTTGCGATGCCCAGGGCGGTCGTCGATATTGTCGCGGCCTGAGAGAGTTCCGTGAGCATGTTGTGGAAGGGCGCGAATGTAGGGACAAACTTACCCAGGCGACGATGATGAAGCCATCGTCCAAACCAAACGCCTGAGTCTTGAAGATGCGAGTCCACAACCGGGCGGCGACGAAGATGGAGGCGAAAATGGTCAGCACGACGATGATGACAATGTACTCGGTCGACTGGTCACGGGTGTCGTCCATGGCTCACGGATCGCGGATCGTGAAGATCCAGAGTCAAAAACACAGCAAGATCTGCTGGGGACAGGCTGCTGGGGCGCATAAGTAAAGCGGGCTTCATGCGACCCAAGGACGGGGGGCAATCTTCCGGCGGGAGGCATTGCGCCTTCCCGAGGCATGCTGGTAACCTGAGAGCTTTTTTAGTGGCGACGGGCAGGTTGCCTATGTTTGAGGCTAAGGCGGACGCCCGCTACGCGATTCAGCTCTTGGGCTCAATGGTCATAGCACGCCAAGGCGGGAGAGGTCCTATTTCAATACGAACGGCTCTCTCCAGAAGATGGTACCTGAATGACGTAGAGGACAAGTCGTGTTAAGCATACGGTGCAGCTGCATGGCGTTGCGGAGAATATTGTGCGCCGCATCCTTTTTCTCCACACGATGCAGAGGAGTGTGGTGCAGCAGAAAAGCCGTTGGCCGGGGTCGGCAAATCCTTAGGCTTAATATGTGGTACAAGCCAGTGGCGGGCTGTCACGTCGGGAATAAATTGCGCTATAACGTTCTCTGCAATCCGTCGCGGGCTTTGCCGCAGCCACCACGGCTACCCGATGTCAGCAGCCTCTCCAGGTTAGATCCTTCAGCTGATTCTAGCCTTCTCGAAGATGACAACCCCGTTGAATTCTCACGCTATCCCCGCTGAAACTTAATTTAGCGAGTGGTCCCGGCTTTAGGGCCTCCGCTCGCGTATCGCCCCAGAGCCTTATACGAAGTCGGGACCGCCCGAATCCCTACCTCCTGCACTTCACGAGCATGTGGCCGACAAAGCTTAGTTGACGCCGCCGTTCCAGTTGGGAATTCCAGTCCTTTGGATCGCCATGAAAATGGTTCGACGGCCCAGTGTTGCAGTTCCTTGCGTCCGTATCGCCCGCCGGGGCGGCCTCGCCGTGTCTGCAGCTGCGCCGCTTTCGGCCCTATTTCCCAAAAGGACCGCCGTTGACTCGCTCCACCACCTTCAATAACAAGCGACCTCCGAGAAGAGCCCAGCGCTCTCTAGCAGTCTCCCATCGAGTAGCCTGCCCCTTCATCATTTGCGAATGGCTCGCATGGCTCTTGCCGGTGGCACAGCGGGCGGGTCGACTGACAATGTATATCGCTCGTCCACATCCATAGCATTCCGGCCTCTCGTATATAATTTGGGGGTCTTGCTCAGACATCCAAGTCATCCCCTGTCTCGCACATCTGTCGCTCGTTTCAAGTCTACTGGTGCTCACCATGGTTCACTCTTTTTCCACCTCCCTTTTGGGCAAGATCATCACCTTCGCTGGTGTTGCTTCTGCTGTCGCCGTCACTGGCTCGGTTGACGGCAAGTCCTATGACTACATTATCGTCGGCGGAGGCCTCAGTGGCCTCGTTGCTGCCAACCGTCTGAGTGAGAACTCTAAGGGTAAGTTTGTTGCACGCCTGCACATCAGTCCTCATATTAAGATGGGCCTGCAGTTTCTGTCCTTGTCATCGAGTATGGCCCTCTCGACAGGAGCAACAAGACTCTGGTGCCTTACTATGCCACCTCTACCAACACGGCCGGAATGTTCAACATCTCGTCGGCCCCGGAGCCGTTCCTCGCCAACGCCACGTTTCCCCTTATGGCTGGCTCAATTGTAGGAGGCGGCTCGGCCGTCAACGGCATGGTCTGCGGCAGAGCTTCCGCAGCCGATTACGACTCTTGGGAGCAGCTCGGCAACCAGGGCTGGGGCTGGAACGGGCTACTCCCCTACTTCAAGAAGGTCAGTGTGGCGCCAAGGCTCGCGTCGGTAACTTTGCTGATCCTTTCTAGGGCACCACCCTGGGTGTTCCTTCGGCTGAAGAAGCCGAGAAGCTTGGCTACACGTGGGACCCCTCCTACTACGGAAATGGTCCTCTCCAAGTCGGCTACCCGGACTTCCAATATCCGGATATGTACACCTTCTTCAACGGTTTCGAGGAGCTCGGCTTGACCTTCCAGAAGGACCAGGGCGCCGGTAACAACACCGGTCTCGTCTGGGCACCTTCCGCTCTTGACATCAAGACCATGACCAGATCGTCGTCGCTGACTGCCTACTACGACCCCGTCTCCACCCGCAAGAACCTCAACCTCCTTACCGAGCACAAGGTCAACCAGGTCATCCTCGCCTCGGACCTGACTGCTCAGGGTGTCAAGATCACCAGCCTGGCCGACGGCTCCGTCTCTTCCGTCTACGCGAAGAAGGAAGTCATCCTCGCTGCCGGTGCCATCCACACCCCTCAGATCCTCCAGCTTAGCGGCATCGGCCCTAAGGCCGTCCTCAAGGCCGCCGGCGTCAAGGTCAAGCTCGACCTCGCCGCCGTCGGCAGCAACTTCCAGGATCACCCCGTGGCCTACTCCATGTGGAACCGTGAGCCTCCCCCTCAACCCACCTAACCAAATCATCCACTAACGCCTCCCCAGTGAACCAAACCTTCCCCAACGCCGGCTCCCTGGCCGCCAACGCCACCTTCAACGCCGAATCCCTCGCCGCCTACGTCGCCAACAAGACAGGCCCCTACACCCGCGCCCAAGGCAACAGCGTCGCCTTCCTCTCCCTCTCCACCATCACCTCTTCCGTGACGTCCCTCCTCGCCGACCTCGCCGCCCAAATCCCGCGCACCTACCTGCCCGCCATCTACTCCGACTCCGCGCTGCTCAAGGGCTTCACCGCGCAGCGCGACATCCTGGTCAAGCAGCTCGCCCAGGCCGACGTCGCGGCCATCGAGTTCCCCTTCTCGGGCGCCGGCTTCGTGCCGAACGCGGTGCAGAAGCCGCTGTCGCGCGGCACCGTCTACCTCAACGCGTCGGACCCCACCGGCGCGCCCGTCGTCACCCACCAGGCCTTCTCGAACCCCTTCGACCGCGCCCAGATCTTCGCCGCCATGCAGTTCACCCGCAAGTTCTTCGCCAGCGCGGCGCTGGATGAGATGGCGCCGGCGGAGACGGCGCCCGGTGTGAGCGTCGATAGCCAGGAGGCCTTCTTCTCGGTGATGACGGCGGCGGGGCTGATGAGCCCGACGTTTGCGCATCCGAGTGGCTCGTGCCCGATGATGCCGCGGAAGAGCGGTGGGTGTGTGGGTGCGGATTTGTTGGTGTATGGGGCGAAGAAGTTGAGTGTGATTGATGCGTCGATTATGCCGATTATTCCGTCGAACCATCTGCAGGCGTCTGTGTACGCGGTTGCGGAGAAGGCGGCGGATTTGATCAAGGCTAGGGCGTAAGTGGAGACGCTTTGATGTGAAAAAAAATTTTCCCTTTATCTTTTTACTTCGATGATATCATAGATTAGTTCAGTTTATTTCTATACTATTCTTGACATACCAGTTCTGGTTGAAATACTCTATCTGCGTGCCTGTAAAGAGAACATGTGTTAATGGTCCACTTGAAAACTTGTTTGACGTATCAAAGGTAAGGATCAAGAGGCTTGCTTGGTAATGTCAACAAACATCTGCGGCGTCGCCGATGCATTATCACATTAGGGAACTGTGGTCCGTCTTATTTGAGGGTCGAGCTGGGCGTCGCATGGTCCACGATGGTTCTAAGAGCATTTACTGTTTAAAGAACTCGTATACTACTTCCTCTTCCTCCAGTTCTCTCATTGAAATTAAGTGACAAAATACTGCAAACGAATTCGTAAAGCGTTACAAGGCGCAGAGAGTGCGCGAAGCCTTCTTTCCTCTTTAAGTTGTTTGGAGGCAAATGGCGCAGGCTGACCACCGGAGCCGCCAAATGAGACACGACGGCCTATTCGTCGCTGCCTAGAGCAGACAAGGCGTATTTAAGACAGACGCGCGGTTCTGGGCATGGCTTGCCAGGTATCAATTGCCCGTTTGGGGGCTGTATGTAGCTAGAGAATCGTCATCCAATCAGCCAAGCATACATCCGCCCCCGGGCTTTCCATGTACAACGATAAGCCTCCTTGAGCAACGCATAGATGTTGGACATACCTGAGGGCTGCAAGGCTTACCACCTATTATCACTGCTTCCGACAGACAAAGGCGGACAGAGGCGTCACTAAGTGCCACACTTGAAAAGGTGAGATGACGTTCTTGTCGTCGATGAAGTTCTTGACGAGTTATAGCTTCCCCTCGTATCCGTAGCGGCTCATGCTATTGCACAGAGCTTTATTCTGTGCCTTTGGATGCGAGCAGCTAATGAACTCTGAAGCTTTATTTGCTTCCATCTCAGTCTTCAATCCTGCGCTATATGTGGTGGTGGAAGGATTGTGTGCAACCCTCATTTCTTTGGGACAAATATGCTGACATCCTCAGCCCTTGTGTACGAATCATTACCCGCATGCCAAACCCATTGCGCAATTTTAGTTTCACCATTAGTGCCTGCCACAAGACCATACACCCTTCCCGCCTGATTTGCCGCCAGCGGCGAACCGTTCAGAATGTCTTCGAATCCAGGAACGTTGCGCGTCGATTTCCATTTGTTGGACCGCGAATCGTAAGAGGTAACAGTCACATGCCCTTCTGGGTCAAAAGAGTCCGTGGTCAAGACGTGGATGGTGTAGGTTGGGGAATTGGTGTCGTTGTACCCGGCTGTAAAAGAAGCGATGGACGTGTTTTTCGAAAGAGATGTTGGGAGAGTTTCTGCCAATGTGTGTCAATAATGGCAAGAGTAGCGCATGATCTCGCGTGCTGTGAGCGTACCGTTATAAGCCCATGAACTTCCGTCATAGACTATCTGTGTCAAATTTCCCCCTTTTGCTGGATTCATATGGAGAACCAAGTATTTACTTCCATTATTCGCATATATCGGCTTTAGTGATATATCGCTACCATTTACGGGATGGGAAAACGACGGAGCAAATGACTTCTGCTGCCATTTTGAATTCGTTGTGGCAAATTCTAGAGTGTTGTCGATGCCGTAGTATATGACGACGTTGTTGTTGAAACAGGACGAGCACTCCTTCGCGTAAGAGGTGACTCCAAAGGCGATATACCTGCCATTGATGCCGTTATTTTCCCACTGGCCAGATGCACCGCGCGAAAGGCCTCGGATAACATTGTTCGGATCGAGCCAGTAGACATGAATATCTCGGTCCTGTAGTAGACTTGTCAGAAAAAGGATGAATTGAGAATTTAGTAGTCAACTTTGGGAGTCGTAGAAGTACCGATGGACTGTGCTTCCACAAATCTGCTGAGATAGGGGAGTTTGCCACTACGTTGTCTGTATCATTGGATACCATAGAGGCGGTCCAGCTTTGTTTGGAATTGTTCCACCGAGACTGACAAATCATCTTGGACGATAATTGGTAGTAGACCAGGAAGTATTCGATGCCAGATTCGTCGGTGTAGTTGATGCTTGCTAGTCTCGTGGTCGGGGACAACGTCCCGGGCGGCTGAGACGCTGAGGCGGTAGATGTTGGCTCCGCATCATCCGAAGTGTTGCTGGACAAAGATGCGCCCACGCCACCTCCGATAGCAGCCCCGATGACTACTAAAGCTATGACGGTAAGAACTAGGTAGAACGCTGTTCTTTGGAGGCCACAGATTCTGCGTGAACGCGGCTGCACACCGCCATCATTGCCGTGCGCATAGAATCTTTCTGGGGGATCGCCGTCCACCACCTGTGGTGCGCTCGCATCTTTCTGAGCTTCTGGAGTATACGCCTCCAGAGTGCTCTCATGCTGAAGTAGAATCTTGGCGTGGGACTCTGCCTCGCGGTCCACCTCAAGTGTGCTGTAATCGCGGTCGGCTTCCGAAGTCATGACAAGGATGCTGCAATTTTGAAGTCGGATACGAGAGATTAACGGAAACGAATGCTTCAAGACGCGTAAGGCTGATAGCGAAGGAAATGTAAGAGAGCGTGTGATTCTCTCTACCGACGACCCGGGACCTTTCATAAGTCCGAGCGATCCGATTCCAACCGCATTTGGGGAGCCAAAGTGTACAGCCCAGTGGCACGGTGATGACTTTACGCCCGATATGGTACTGTCTCGCAGCCCCCTGTTGGGTAAGCATCTTGATCTAGCAATTTTATAGGTAGGTGTCTTAGCCTTTGAGAAACAGTAAATCCACGCTAACGCTTTGCTGGCTCAGGCGACTCAGGCAGCGGTGTACAATCACTTTTGTGTAGCCACATGAAAGCATGGCGCTCTGTTCATCTGTGCGATTCCTTGCAGCACAATTTCTTGGCTCAACTCCGAGGTTTACGCAACCGATAGGCGTGTTAGCATTTTATACTAGGCGGCCTTTGTAGTTTGCTAATACTCCACCTCTTTCAGCTCAGCTTTTTATTTCAAATCACGATTTTCCTCTGCCTCGTTTCAATTCTCTAATCTGATCTTCGAAAATACCATTTGGCGAACAGTCGTGCCGTTTGTCTGGTCGCACAACCAGATGATATGATACTAAGCCATCGCTGACCGCAGCAGGTCTACGCCGTCATATGTGCAAGGCTGTGGTACGTGGGGCTAGACTCTGCTTACTAACGCTCATCTGGAGTGTTCGTGATCCGAAAGCTTCGGAGCACCACTTCGGACATTGTATGGACGACAATTTGATGCTCAGTGAGCAAATCTTACTGAAGGCTCCAGCTAGTGAGTTCTCGCAGATATTAATTGATGATCATGCCATCGTAACAATAGCCAAGAAGAAATCTCATCATGAGAAGTCAAATGATCGCAATCTGGGGAAAGATGTTATTGTAAGTAAATTCCATGAAGATACTGGCGATGTCGAGTATTAGTTTGCGGAGATTATGATGAAGCCAACCGGAAGACGTAAGTTATAGGCGCATGTTCAATTAATCTGCCGCTAATATCTAAATAAATACTATTATTAATGGAAGAGCACTAGTTTCACATCACGGTTTCCTGCCCTAGAGGAGCTGGTCTGGAGCAACAGACATTCTAAACCGCTATCATTGTTTGCTTACGAGAATATATGTCACTGATAAACAGTTTGATGAAGGATATTGTTTGTTGCATAGAATTAGTGCACTTGTTCCAGAATATTACTGCTGATAATGGATCACTGATGGTGTTTGTGAGTTGGACTATAATGAGAATGCTACCCGTGTTTTCGTTAATAATTAAACATGAATTAAGGGGTAGCCATTATGCACACAGTACGTTTCAAGGCAGAAGCTTCTGTTTCTCTACAACCTTTTAATTGCGAACAGCAGAAAGGAAAGCGTTGGGGTAGTTAAGATACTTCGCATGGTGCAGCTGAGCAATAAAGAGGTGCCAGAACGTATAAAACTGGCAAACATCACATGTGGGTAGTTGAAGCTATCATCCGGACGTGAGTGTATAATTGTTAATTCGACGTTTGCATCCGGACGATAGCTTCGACTACCCGCGACATGAGCGGAACCGAAAAAGTTTTACGCCAGCCTTGAACCGCAATAGGCCAGTGGCGGACTGTTTGCTTGCTTGCTTGGTTTGCTTTCTTTATTGCCACCATACTATCTTTTCTTCATTAAACTTAGCTTAGCCCGACTGGCAGTAATATATAACCTCCACCTGCCGCATTCACTAATTGGTATCCTTTCAGATTCTCTAAAATACGTAGCTGGTATGCGAAACTCAGCAAGAAGATTTGGGTGTCATGTAACTAACTAGTTGTTGCCAGGCCGACCGGATATACTTCGGCAAGAGCTCATTGGGTGTTGGCTTGCTAAAGCGGGGTCCGCCACTCTGCGCACTTAGCTGACTTTCAACATCTATTTCATTGTTTGCCAGAGCTGACAAAGTCTTAGAGATGCCAGCCATAAACGAGCAGTATGGACTTCGCTTTCTTGTTTTCCACATCTGATTTACGGTTTCCAGATCAATCTCTCTCCGAGACAATGGCTCTCAGGGTGACACCGACAGGCTCCTTCCACCTGGGCTCTGGTGAGGCATCTTCCAAAAAAGCTCTTTGATTCGGTTAATCTGACATTTCTTAAAGCTTGAAGACTACCATTCAGGTATTCGCAGGGGAGGAGCCGGAACCGTTCATCATCCACAAAGATATACTTTGTGCCTCCTCCGATTTCTTCAAGAACGCCTGCAAAGAGCCTTGGAAAGAGTCCGCCGGTGTGGTGGAGCTTTCCGGCACAGAGCCTCGCCTTTTCGAGGTGTACGCTCGATGGCTCTACTCGCCAGATGTCCTGAATTTGATGGAAAAGCCCGTCGTCACTACCGCTGCGAACGGAGCTATTTCCGTGCCCGCATATGAACCGCTGTTCCATCTATACGCCCTCGGAGACATGCTTCAAGACTCCAAGTTCAAGAACGCAATCTTGGATAAGATTGTCGAGGTTCGCCGTCTTGTCAACTATCATCCGATCTGCTTCTCGGCTTTCGTCTACAGCGAGCTTCCTCCTTCGTCTCCCCTTCGTCGACTTTATGTGGACTTCTGGGTTGGCTCGTCGGCCAGTGACTGGTTCAACACGAAAAATCCGGCTGATGACTGCAATTCACCGGATGCTCCCATGGAGTTTTTCCGTGATGTTTTGAGACAGTCCAAGACCGGCGGTGCCGGCAAAAGGCCGTGGGAGGAGAACATCTGCCAGTACCACGAGCATCCTGCCGGGATTAAATGCCAGAAGTGATGAATATGGTGGGATTTGCGCTTTCCTACTTAAAATCAATTAGCAACTGCGTTGAGCCGTTCTGTGATTGAAGTCCAGCTTGTGTTATGATCAAGACGTCTTTGAATGAATAAGTTAACAGGCGTATTTGACAGAGATTGGGCTCAATTTCCATCGATTCTTTATTTGATGATCAAAACTCCTGTCACCATGGCTGTGTCAATGACCTTATAGTCTACTTCTAGGTTTATGCCCCCAAGTCTCTCAACGACTTAACCGTATCTACGATACACTTGTCAAGGGACGTGAACTCGATGCCCAAGATATCCTTCGCCCTGCTGTTATCAATCGTGAAAACACCCTCAGCAGGGTAATCGCCTCCCGGCGCATCAGCAGGCGGAAGACGGTCCCGATATTCATCAAAATTCTTCCTGATAATGTCGACCATTTCGCGATTGCTGCAGTGGCCCGGCGAGACCAGGAATCTCTTGCCTCCCGCCTCGGGGACTTCCAGAGCTCTGACGTGGGCAAAGGCCAGGTCGCGCACGTCAACCCAGATGAACAGGCCAGTCTCTGGGATCTCCGTTTTGGACTTGCCGAGGACAAAGTCACGAATGCGCTGGTTGGAAGTGTTGAGGGCAGCGAGTGACTCGATGTGGTGCAACACGGGCCCGTACACGAGAGGTGGGTTCATGGTGGCGAGAGTGAAGTTCGGCTTCTCCTTCTCCATGAACTCCCATGCGGCTCGCTCGGCAAATGTTTTGCTGGCTGTACAAGATTGATGTAAGTGACTTTGAATGCAGACGTCAGGGCTTTGGCGTACCGGTATATCCCAGGCCCGCTCCCGTCAGGGCTTGCTCGTGTGTGACGGGATTCCAGTCCTTTTCCGAATACTCGTAGCCCGGCCGAGTACCCTTGAACATGTCCAAGACTGCGGCAAAGGAAGAGGTTACTACCACTCTTTTCACGCTTGGGGCTCCCTTTTGAATGGACTTCAAGATGCCGGTGGTCCCCATGACTGCAGGGTCGAGAAGCTGGGTCTGAACGTCGGTGACGTTGTAATGGAATGGGCTTGCAGAGTGAATGACTGCATCAAATGGCGGGGTCGACAGGACGGCATTATCGAAAGCATTTTCCTTCGATATGTCTTCGACGATGCAGGTATCCAGCCTATCTTTGCCGTAGGTCGGATAGGCCTGCTTTATCTTGATTGCTTTTTCAGGACTACGGACTGTTGTCACGACGGAGTATCTGGGCACAGAATAAGCATATCTCGCTGACTGAGCTCATATCGCAGGACATACCCTCGTTCAAGCAAGACCTTCAGAATGTGGGTTGCCAGGAACCCACTCCCACCTGTTAGCAAGACCCGCGCCATGATAACAATTCACAAAGGATTGATTGGAGTAAAGTTTGAAGTAAAAGTCAGATAGAGGAGTTGTTCAAGCCTACAGCAGGAAAATGGGTGAAGAGGGGACGTTTAAATATGAACAGCTTGAGTCTACAATTTAGCTATTCCGCTAGCAAGTAATGCGACGCTGCTTACAATTCGAAACTGCCCATGGCCTGATGCTCATGACTTGTTGGCGCGCTTGTGTCATTGAACTACTCGTATTCTCCGCGGAAGGGAGGCCTTTTCATAATGGACAGAGGCGATTCGTTGATTCATGCTATGCGGGGTCGGCCGAAGAGGTACTTCATGCTATATTGACCGGCCGAGGAAGAACTTCGGGACTTGATATAGTGGGCAAGGACCAAGCAAAAAAAGAAAAAAAACCGGACCTCTACGCATAACACCTCCAATGAGACTAACGCCTTCGATGTAGAGGTGCATTTACTGGGAAAGTGTGCCCACAAATAAGGACGCCGTCTCGGTTGTTCCGCACACTTCTTGTTGAAATCCGAAGAAAATCCACGAACCAAATTCTCTTGCCTAACGCACTTCCCCATAAAAACGCTCTCCCCCATGGAAGGCGATAAGTGCTCCCATACTCCTTCCTACTTAAGCGAGCGGAACAGGATGCAATTGGCCAAGAAGACCCTTTTGGGAGAATCAATTGGAATTTTTACATGAATTCAACGTCATGGCCAACGTAATGGAGTCTTCTTCAAACCAAACGGTGATATATATATGCGTTAATAAAGGCTAAAATTTAATTGTTTTTATAGTTTTATAAGATAAGAGTAGATATGCTAAAAAATATTAATTTAATAAAAAAGATTGGATTCTATGTAAGAAAGTTAACGTTTCAACGATAAATTTTGGTGATGTACTATTTGGGCCTGAAACGTGCTATTCAGTCCGCGCGGCGCGAAAGAGGTCCTGTTCGGGCCCAAAAGGTACTATTTAGTCCGCACGGTGCGAAAGAGGTGCTGTTTGGTAATTAACCCTATATATATGCATTGGTCTCGAGGTCTTGATCTGAGCTGTAATATCAACTTCTGTCCTTTTATTAGCATTTGCAGAACAAAAACCACTTCTTTATCAAAATGGCCTTCCTGAACCTCACTCGTGCCCCGCTCATCCTAACCGCCCTCATCCTCCGCGGTGCCTTCGCGGCCTTCGACGCAGTCGCGCAGCAGAAACCCGTCTCCATCACTGACGGCTGCCAGCAAGCGGTCAGTCCAGCCCACACCCGTCTCGCATCATCACTATTCTCACACGACCCCCCATCCGCAGTGCGCCGACCTCGACACCATCTTCGGCCCCGCTTCAGCCCTGCACTACCCCTCCAACGACCCCACCTTCACCATCTGGGACGCCAAGCAGGCCGCCGTCACGCCCGCATGCCGCGTCGAACCCAGCAACGTCGCAGACGTCACGCAGATCCTCGCCATCCTGACGCGGCATTGGTGCACCTTCGCCGTCAAGGGGGGCGGCCACTCGCGCGCCGTGGACGCGAGCAACAGCGTCGGCGGTGTCACGGTCGACATGGGCCGGCTGGATGTCATCGAGGTGGCTGCGGATCGCCAGAGCGCGAGGTTGGGCGCCGGGCTGGTTCTGCAGGAGGCATACCAAGGGGTTGAGGCTGAAGGTGTTAGTTTTGTTGGCGGGAGGGTGGCGAGCGTGGGGTTGGCTGGGTATACGATGGGTGGGGGGTTTTCGAATTTGACGCCGAAGATGGGGTTGGCGGTGGATAATGTGTTGGGGTATGAGGTTCGAGTCTCTATTCCCGATTCTTGTTGATTGTCGATTTGCTAACAGCATAGCTTGTGCTTCCTAACGCTACCGTCGTGAACGTTACCTATGAGAGCGAGCCCGATCTGTACTTTGCGTTGCGGGGCGGAGCGAACAACTTCGGCATCGTGACACACTTTACGGTGCGCGTAGTTCCTCAAGGAAAGCAGCTGTTCGCCGAAAAGATATTCAGCTCGAACTACACTGACCGCGTCCTGGCGGAAGCGCACCGGCTAACCACTAGTCTTGCTAACGATACTGACATGGCGTACTGGACGCGCTACGCCTATAACCAATCGAGCGGCACGTACGTTCACTCGTTAAGCATGGCCTACCTGCAGCCCGAACTCGAGCCCGCCGTCTTCGCCGGCGTTAACGCCATCCCTTTCGAAAGTAGCACACAGAAAGTTGACTGGATGAGCAATATTGCGACAGATGTGCCATTCGGACTGCGGTGCGTTAAGCCAATTCTTTCCTCGTTTCGTGATAACGATGTTTGAAGCCTGACAGTTAACGCATGAATTTCCATAGACACCTCTTCACCACACTTACGTACACTCCATCGGCAGAGCTCGACGCCCGCATCTATTCTATTTTCCGGGAGGAGGTAGCCGCAGTCGCAGCCGCCGAGGGTTTCGCTCCCTCGGTCGTCATACAGCCACTTCACGCCAACGCCATCAGAGCAGCACGCGCTCACGGCGGCAGTGCAATCGGCCTCGAGTCGCCAGACGGTGGACCTCTGACGATAGCACTGCTGACCTTCGGTTGGAGCAGCGCCGCCAATGACGCTGCTATGTATGCGTTTGCCGAGAGTTTTAGGGCGCGCAGCGAGACTGCGGCGAGGGAAATGGGGTTGCTGAACAGATTCCTGTACATCAACTACTGCAAAGAGGATCAAGACCCGTTCGGAGGTTACGGCGAGGAGAATAAGCAGAGGCTGCAGAGCATTCAAGCCAAGGTCGATCCGGAGGGCATTTTTACGAGCAGTGGGTTAAACCGCGGATACTTCAAGCTGCGCTAAATTTTGGGTCTGTTATATGCTTTTCTATGGTAGCTACTGCGGTGGTGAGCGAGAGTGAGGGTCGCCCGGAGGCAAGTTCTTATCCTCTGCCAATGACTAAGCTATATACACGTACTATCTACCATATCTCACGTGTGTTCATATACTTCGGGATGACGGCCGGCAGTTTACATCCTTTTCCAAAATATTCCGCCACTGTTCCATTTGCTACCTGTTGCGAGGGCCCATGTATACTGGGTTCCCGTGCGGACTTTTGCGCTATACGTTCTCTGCTACCTCAAGCTTACTTTGTCCCCACAGTACTTATTCCCGTACAGCCGCTCAGCCCGTGGGGTCACAAAGCCCTTGTGCCCTGCAGCTCGTAACAGCAAATTCTTGGTGTGGGGCTATAGGCTGTGGCATGATGTTATCTTCATGAGACCTTGTTTATGGATTTCTGGAAGTTTATTGGTCGCAGAGAATCACCGACACGTGTATATCATCTCGGAGACCGACGGGTGGGGTCCAAAAGACTGCGCGTTTTATTATAGGCATGTATCATGGCTGTGCTAACGAGAGCTGGGGTAAAGTTGCCTACTTTAGATGCTATTGGCTCAGATGAGATCCGGGTCTCGATGCGGCGGTGACGTTTTACCAAACTGCCTTACTATTTGGTTGACACTTGCATTGGAGGCCGCACCCAGCCCCAGGCAATGCTCTTGATTGAGCTCGCTTGCGTTTGTAAGCGGGACCCACAGGGGTGGCTTGCATGCATTACAAGGGTTTACCGAAGATCACTTCAGGCAACTATGCTCACGCTTAGCTTTGTTGAGCGCTGGACACCTCTTGATAAGCCGAATTAGAACCCACTTCTTCTAAAAACAAGCTTAACGAGTCGTGTGTAAGCCTTGAGCTGAATACCTATCCCTACACTCGCTGCGCCAAGAAGGGCAAGAATAGTAAATACCTATTCTAGTCGTTGCAGTATCTGATTTAGGCCATCAATTGCATTCCACAAGCCGTATACCCGCCAAACTCGTAATTTACGAGATAGCGATTCAGCTTGAACAAGGCTGTAGATGGGCTCTTTGGGGGCCTGGCAGAATCCGTGTTCGTATAAAGCCCTTCAAAATCTGTACGGCATTTCAATAATCATCACGGAATGCTCTTTTCAATTGTCCATCGTTGAGAATCTATATCAAATCTTGTAATCAATTCTCTACAAGCTCCCAAAATGGAATCCTCCTACCAAGACACGAACAGTTCGTACGAGATTTACACTGGATTTTGGACGGACTGGAGCCACGGCCCTACTTTTGGAGTAACAGTCACCTTGAATCGACGAGATGGCTCCCTGCTCATCGCTTTACTCGCGCTTTTCGTCTCTGTTGTCGGCACAAGCTTCTGGAGGATCTCTTGTTTCGTCCTTCACCAACTCTTCTCCACCGAGGTAGCTCAAGATGCTCTCCATCATCAGCGCCAAGCCATTTTTCGAAACGCTGCCAATGGTACAAGTGGGCTCTGGAGCTTCTTCAGCATTTTTCTGGCCTGGCGCCAAAAGCTCTCGCTCTCGCAGACGTGTCGACGGGTCTTACCCTTCATTGTTTTTGCCGTCTGTTGCATAACAGGCTTTGCAGCAGCTGGTACATTCTCGTCCAAGATATCTTCTGCTCTTGGGGATGAGGTTCTGGTCCGAAGCTCAAATTGCGGTATCCTCGACTCCAACAACTACCTCAATGGAACTGCGAGGCAAACGTACTTTTACCCGTATACGACACAGATGCTCAGTTCGTACGAGAACTACGCCGAAGATTGCTACGATAATGTATCGGGTTTGGGGTCTTGCAATGCATTCATCAAGGCAGATATTCCGACCATGATCGACACCAATGCCAGCTGCCCTTTCGGAGATGACATCTGCATGCAGGAGTACGGCAACATCGTCTTCGACACCGGGTACTTGGACAGTCATCTTGACTTCGGCATCAACGCTCCACCGAACGAACGCGTTCAATTTCGACGCGTATCGAGCTGCGCCCCGATCAAGACTGACGGCTACCGCAAAAGCTATCGCCTGCCTGACTCGAATAACAGCTATTCTCGCTACTACTACGGTGACTCGCATGTTGACTATAGTGATGATCTTCATACATATGAGTATCCGGAAATCAACTGGGATACACAAACGAGCGGGCAAGACGTGAATGCTGCTCGCACCGATTACACTATCCGGTAAGATTGTCTATGCACATACTTGCGTGGCACTGTGGCACTGACACTGGGTATCAGCCAATCCAACGCATTCGTTCTAAACGGATCATACGCAAGCTACACAGACTTTCTTCCGATCCCGGCCCTTCGAAAGATGGACGCAGACCTGCATCTGATGTATCTCTCTTCCAACATGATCGGATACAGCGAAGAAGTAGACGACCCGTGGTTCTCAGCGCACGTCGACAAGATGAAGTGGTATAACCCCGTCAACAGTCCGGACGCACCGCCCGACACTCTCTATACACAAGACGAGCCCGTATCCGTTCTCGCATGCTACGTGTCGGAGCAGTACTGCAATCCGAACTTGCCTGAGGAGACACGGTGCTCGCCAGTGGGCGGTATATCCGAATCCGCCTTCTTGGCCGACGGGCTCTGGCAAAACGCGAAGCACCAGCGGATGTTTCGGTGGTTTGCCAGCATCATCACCGCGTCCGGCGTGACCCTGGATGTCGTTCCCGGCCTGCTTGGAGACGCTGCGTTGACGGCTCGACACGGGCTGCAGCTTGGGCATTCCGGTCCGCTGCCGGACAACCAGTGGCAGCTGGAAGTTGAGCACTGGCACAGGACGTCACTGGTCGCCACACAAGCAATCATCGCCGATACTGCCAAGGGGATCTCCGATATGCATTTGGAACCGTGGCTGGTGCGCCCGAATAACACGGAAGAGAAGCATCTTTGCAATAGTCAGGTAGGGAAACGTCTCGCACCCCTCTCATTCGCGTTTAAATATTCATCCCTGACACAGAAAATCCGCAACGCCGAATACTTCAACTTTTCCGTATTCGGACTGGCATTCACACTCGCCTTGGGCAGCTTCATTATCATCCTGTCATACACACTGGAGCCAATTCTCGGCTGGGTGCAACGACGACGCAGCTGGGACACTTACGCACGGCTCGAATGGGTTACAAACGAAACTCTACAGCTCCAACGGCTGGCGCATGAGGAGCTTGGCTCGGTCAAGTGGGAGGGCTGTGCCGAGAATGTTCCTGTCACGCGGAAGGGCGAGAAGTTGGCTGTGCTTGATTTACATGATCTCGACCACCCACGGCTAAAGGCGCCGCCGCGGACTTTTGCTGGTGTTTGATTCACCCGAAGGTCGACCAGAGGGGCACTTTTACGAGCGGCGGGCTAAACGGTGGATCGTTTAAGCTATGTTATTAAGTTGTGGGTCTGATCTATGCAGCAGCAGCTTTTCTACATATGCTACGTTGTGTACATCAAGGCGATGATGACCTTTAAAGACCTCCCCCGTTCAGTATTCAATTTGTGAGAATGTGCAAAGTGACAATTCGTCAGTGTGACAGAGCCTAAAGCCCAGAAATATCTAAGTCTTTATCCCGAATGCTACTTTTAAGATGAGTCTACCAAGGGAACGATGTTTGAGATGATACACAAGTCGGCTATTACGGCTATGATGCAGTACCTGGGAAAGTGCATTCAGAATGTAAAGTCATTCACGGAAACCCCCCTTGTAGCTTTGCTTTGAAACTTGATCCATCTAGACCATCGCAATTTGTAGAGTATCTACCCATGCTTTAGGTTTTCCTCTGGCAGCTTTGTGTTTGGTATCCTTGGCGTAATTTTTCCGCGGGCCGGTGGCGGGGCCGGTCTTGGAAGCGCATATCGCCGGCACGAATGACCACATTACTAATTCGGGATGTGGTCTTCGTTGTAGTTTAATGCTTATTGCTCCTTTTGTATTTCTATTAAGCAATTTATTCTGACCTATATGGTGGATGGCTAGGCAAAAGGAACTGAAATATCGAGAACTTAATAATGATTATAACGTCACAGTAGACGTCTTTCTTCTTATATTAGGCGATATAATGTTCAGCAACTATGCATTTGAGGCAGCCACCCCTTCACTGAGTGATACACCGTCAACTAGAATGGAGAAAAAGTTCTTGGCTGCGGGCCCCGCGCCGACGTTCCCGCACGCCCGTTGTCGATCCTATGGGTTGCGGCCCCTTAGCATCGGCCCCGTACTAACCGCCCCACACTAGCCCTTTTGGGTATCCGCCACTTCCCGTAGCAAACAGGGAGCTGGACTTAAGTATATATATATATATATCTATATACACAAGAGGAAGCGATATCGATACAGCTCTATTCCAAGTTCACTCCAGCTCCATCACAATCCTCATCATTTTCAAAAAGCTCTCTCTTCTACACCCACAACCATGTCCTTCACCACCCTCGGCAAACACTCCTCCTCCACCTCCCCAACCTCAACCTGGGACATCATCGTCATCGGCTCCGGCTCCAACGGCCTCGTGACAGCCGCCTACCTCGCCGCGGCCGGCAAACGCGTGCTGGTGCTCGAACGCCAATCCTGGCCGGGCGGCGGCGTGGCGTCGCTCGAAATGGCCGACGCGGGGTACAAGAGCGAGCGGCACAGCGCCATCCACCAGATGATCCTGGCGAACCCGCTGATCTCGCGCGACGAGCTGGGCCTGCAGGCGAAGTGGGGCCTCGAGTACCTGCGGCCCGACGCGCTGTACGCCATCGTTTTCGAGGACGGCGTGCTGCCGATCTACCAGGACCGCGCCAGGACGAAGAAGGAGATAGCGAGGCTGAGTGCGGCGGACGCGGAGGCGTACGATCGGTTTATGGATGTGGCGGTGGGCGTCGTCGATGCGATCATGCCGGGCATGTTCGAGCCTCCGCAGGCTAACGTCGACATGTCTGCTGCGTTCGCGAGCGCCGGGCCCGACGTCGCGGCCGCCATGGCGGCCGCGAGCACTGAGAGCTCGTTGGACATCATCACCCGCTACTTCAAGCACGAAACAGTCCAAGTCGCTCTGCTCCGCTTCGTCACCGAAATCCAGCTCGCGCACCCGAGGAACCCCGACTCCGGCCTCATGACGTACCTGGGTCTCGGGCTGGCGGAGCGCTTCGGCCTCGCGCTGCCGCGCGGCGGCGGGACGGGCTTCACGGAGGCCGTGATCCGCTGCATCCGCGCGCACGGCGGCGACGTGTGGCTCAACACCGAAGCCATCAAGGTCGACGTCGAAAACGGCCGCGCCGTGGGAGTCCGCACGCGGTCGGGCATCATCCGCGCGCGCGACGGAGTCGTGGGGCAGATCCATCCGCACCTGCTGGGCCGCTTCGTCGACGGATTGGACCCCAGCATCGTGGCGGACGCGAAGCAGACGAAGCTGTCCGACTACACGCTGTTCGCCATCCACGCGGCGCTGGACCAGCCGCTGCGCTACACGGCCGGCCCGATCGCCGACGAGGCCATCATGAACACCGTGTGCCCCGGCAGCATGAAGGAGCTGATGGACGCCTACGACGGCATCGAGGCCGGGCGGCTGCCCGACGAAGGCGCCGTCATCGTCGGCGCGGGCTGCACGACGGCGCTGGACCCGACGCGCGCGCCGGCGGGCAAGTCGACGCTGCACGTCGTCGCCATGGTCAAGCACAATCTGGCGTCGGCCGAGTCGCACGGCGGCGCTGAGCAGGCTTGGGATGCTGTCAAGGATGACTTCGCGCACCGCGTTTTCCGCCACCTCGCGCGCTTCGCGCCGAACCTGACGCCGGACAACATCTTGAGTTACCATGTTGTTGCGCCGACGGACCACGTGCGCGACAGCCCGAGCTTCCAGCGCGGTGATATTTGCGGCTTGGCCATGTCGCCGGCGCAGATGGGCGCCGCGAGGCCGACGCCGGCGTTGGCGCGGTACCGTGTGCCGGGTGTGGAGAGATTGTATTTGGCGGGGCCGTTTATGCATCCTGGCGGAGGCGTGTGGGGTGGTGGCAGGCCGACCGCGAAGGTGATTTTTGAGGATCTGGGGTTGGACTTTAAGGCACTCTTTGAGAAGGGTGACGCGGGATCGAAGCTGTAGTTGAGGCCTGTGGATAAGTTTTTAGCGTTGGCTGCCAAGGAATTATCTCCCATGTAGTGTCCTGTATAAGTAGAGCGTTCAGCAATACAAAGATGTATCAGATAAGGCTTCGAAGCCGAGACCAAAAGAGCCATGCGATATTTCACACCACGGTTTTCTCACAGGACCAAAGATGGATTAACCATTGAGAAATGAGCAGTGGAGGCTACCGGTGCAGTCCACCGTCCCGGCACAGGTTAACCTGAAGCGTCAGCACCCCCGCCACCGCCTCACTCAAGTTCCAAGCCCGGCGCTCCAGCAGCATCCGCACCGCCTCGCGGATGAGGCGCCGGTCCGTCCCGCCGCCGCCCCGGATACACCCCACACCGCCAAGACGGACACTGATACCCGACTCCGCGGCGGTGCCTGCCGCTACCCAAGCATCCTCAGCCCCCTTGTCGTTCTGCTCGCGGCCGAGCAGCAGCGGACGGCGGCGGCAGTCGTCCTCGGCCTCGTCTTCGTCGGCAGCACCAGCACTACCGGGCGGGATGTTGTCGTCCAGCACGCTGTACAACCAGACAGTCAGGACGGCGACGAGGAGGGCGATGGGCTCGTGGTGGGCGCGGGTACTACTACCGCGCAATGACTCGAATAAGTGAGCGGCGGCCAGCACCGCACGACGCAGCTCCTGTGCAGCGTGCGGAGAAGAGCTATATCGCCGTCGTAGTCGCGCACAGGCCCTGCGGACGGCTTCCCCGCCGCTGTCGGCGCGCCAGCCGGAAAAGGCGAAGAGGTCGCGCAGCGAGACGCGTAGGAGGACGCCTAGGAGATGGACGTGGTGGAGGGTTGCCAGCTGCAGCCGTGTGCGTGCGGGCTGCGCTGTTGCTAGTAGTGGCTCGAAGTACTGCTCGGCCAGGTCGGCGGGGTTGTCGGCTTTTGGCAATTGGGGAAACCCGCTGACAGAAGGAACGTGGAGGTGGGGTTGCAGGTCGCGGAAGACGGCGAGCGCCAGCATCAACGCTGCGAAGTCGCCCAGGCCCTCTCGCCGCTGCCTGGTGCGGTAGAGCAGGGTCAGCTCGCCGCGCAGATGTCTGAGGGGCGAGTGGCTGTCTGCGGTCCCAAGTGTCAGCAGGAACAGCGAAGTGTGCAGCGCGAGATGGGGGACTTGCTTGCAGAGCTGCGGATCGGGCGCCAGGCGTCCTCGGAAGGCGCCTCCCACAAGTCCTCCAAGCAGGGCACCCGCACGCGCAAAATATCGATAGGGATAGCCGGCAGCAAGTCGAACAGCAGCACCTGCTGCGAATCGAGCAGCCAAGCGCAATACGCCAGCCGCCGTGCGCTCTCACGCGCCACCCACGCAGCCCAACTCTCCTCCTCCTCGTCGTCCTCCTGCGGGCTCTCGGCGAAGCAGCCCACCCTGCGGCACAGCGTGGCGACGAGCGCGTGGTTGGTCTGCGCGTGCTCGACCAACCTCATGTCGATCGTATGCAGCATGCCCGTCTGGTTGAGCAGCGCCGCCTGCGCGAGCCACACTTCGCCCGCCACAGCCGCGCGGTCGCGCTCCATCTGTCACATACGCCTTCATCAGCTGCCGCAACACGCATCACACGCACGCCAGCTCCTCCCGCTCCCTCCCCTTTACTCACCGTCGTCTGGATCGCGCGCCGCAGCAGTTCCTGCATCGCATTGACGCGGGCCGCCGGCACATTATTGCGCGAGAAGCGGCACCCGGTAACGGCCACAGCCAGTACGAGCAGCCAGGGCGCCGTGCCGGGGTCGAACGAGGCCCGGTGCAGGAGCGGAAACACCGGGTGGAAGTCTTCGAAGTAGAGCTGCACGAAGGCGTTCAGCGCGGCGCGGGAGGGCAGCGCGTCGAGACAGGTTGTCGGATACAGTAGGTGTCCGTCGCCGCCGTTGACCTGCGCGTAGCACTGCCGGATCTGCGAGTAGCAGGCTGGCGGTATCGCGGGGACGTGGCCGTAGTCTTCGGCTTGCCACACGTCGTCGTCGTCGTCGGGGGAGGAGGGCAACAACAACCCTTCTTCCTGGCGCAACGATGCACCACTGTGGCCGAATCCGAGCGCCTGCCCGTCGTTTGCGGGCTCGGTCAGGCTTATGACTGGCGGCTCGTCAGACGACGACGAAGGCGACCCGGGTTCCTCCGCCGCCTCGCTCTCAGCAGCAGCAGCATCATCCAGCCGCGTCGGCACCCCAGCTCCAGGCCACTCGGCGTCCAGCTCCTGGAGGATGGCCAGGGGATCGAAGATGCAGCTGGGAAAACTGGCGCTATCTAAGCTCGAAAAGTCGTCGAAGCCCAGGTCCATGCAATCGAGGTCAACAACGGCCGGTAGCTCGTCTACTACTAAGGGCTGCTGCTCCTGCAGCAGTGGTGCGGACGGCGGTTCGACGAGCAGCACAGGGCTTGTTGCTCGACGCCGGGCAGCAGCTGCAGCCCTGGGCTGCCGCTGTGGTGGATAGGAGCAGGGCTGCGCCTTGGACCCGCAACGGCCGCAAGGCATGTTTCCATCGCATCGCTGCCGTGCACTCGCGCAGCTGCGGCAGGCACGCGCGGCGCGGTGGTGCTTCTGCTTCGAGCGGGGCTTGATGTCCTCAGCGCCGGCGGCGCCGACACCACCATGGACAATGAGATGGCGCTGGAGCGTGTCTCTGTCGGTAATTGCGTCATCGACTTGTTGTGTGCATCATTATCGTTGCGGGGCCGCAGATGCAACCAAACTCACCTCCTGGCGAAACGGGAATCGCACAAGGAACATGCGAAGGGCCGGTCGCCGAGGTGCAGGCTGGCCATGTGTCGGCGGAGGTGCCCCACACGCTGGAATGTGGCGCCGCAGATGGCGCACGTGGTGGCGTCGTCGTCGGCAACGAGGCTGGATGTGGCCATCTTTGTGGTAAGGCTGGATTAAGTTGTTTGCGGGGTGGAGAGGGGCCGAGTCTATAGGGACCGCCCGTGCCGGCAATTGGCGGCAACTGGCGGATAGCCGCGTGGTCTGTGGGTTTCACGCTTCCTATTTTTCTAATTGATTTATAGAGGGATGTTTAAGTGTATCGGTTAGCAGTGTTTTATCTTTTCATGGATTGATGGTCTATTGACCATAGGGTTGGCCATCGTCGGGTTCTGCTCACGCGTGGGTACGCGGGACATTAACACTCGCCCTACGAGCCAAGTCTAGCTGTCAACTTAGCCTTCTTCTCTCCTCCAAGGCTATAGGACAGACTCTATCCGCGTCTACATGCGTTGCGCTTAAGTTTCTTGAAGAACGACGATCATTCGCGACTCCGTTCGGCAATGATCTCCACGCCCGCCTGGGTCGAGCAGGGTTCTGGTCGGCGAGATTGAGGCGCGGGTGGTTAACGTCGCGACGGGTGCGGTGCTGCTGCCTGGCGCAGCCTCACGCAGGGGAATCTGGATGCGAAACCGCGTGTAAGGGTTCGGCGGGTACAAGGACAACGAGGAGGCGTTCGATGAGGAGAATGTGTATTATTCTAGATCGGCTAAAGGGGTTGATAAGGGTGAGCGATGGGTATGGGGTGTATGTGAGCGTGACAGAGATCGAGGGGGTGGTGTTTTGGGCATCCGTCTATCGAGCAGGTTGTTGTGACGGGGCTTTGTTGACGATCGGACGACTCGCGAGCGTCCGAATGCCTTCGTTATGTTGAAGCCGGTGTTTGAGAAAGATCGGATTGCTGCGCATGCGAGGTTGCAGGCTTGGAGTGCGGATACCTTGCAAAAGTTGACTGGTGGGATCGTTTTTGTGTCGAAGCTGCCGACCGTTGGCCTCATGATTACCGCAGGGCGTTCAAGGGTCTGGTTAGCTTCGATGCCGCGGTGCAAATTAGCCCTCACTATACTGAGGTTGAGCATAGAGGGATTTCATAATAGATATTGCTTGTCTTCCTGTTTTCTTGCTTCTGAAGAGGAGGCAAGGTGGCCGTGATGCGGGGATGATGTTCGGGACGCTCGGGCGGCAGGCGGCGGTGCTGACAGTGTGCGGCTGGGCTAATGCGCGAAAGCTGAGGAGGCGAACGGGCGATATATTGAGCTACCCGAGAGAAAGCACTAAATGCCCCCTTGACGATCGCACCTGCCAACAACGGCAGCGGCAGGTCGTGCAGATGGCGCGCCTGGTCGTGGTGTACTACGGAAGGGGAGTCTGGGAAGAAAGGCAGAATATTCACTTAAGCTGTGTTTCAATAGAACGTAGAAGTGTATTCTATAAAACGTGATAAAAATCGATTTCATTAGGCACACTGGATAAGTGGCATGAGGGCTGAAACGGTAGCTAACCGAGCCGCCGCTGTATACCCTGCTCAGATGCCTAAGCTAGAAATGAAGCTGCTATTGTACGCAGTGTCACATCGATTTATTAGCTATGATTTCGAAATCATTCACAAAAAACCAAACCCCTCCTTTTGTAGCTCTCTATCGCAATTCTACGCATCGCCCTCGAGATACTGTTGCACGCCGGCTTCCTGTTTCACAGCATCCTAGCACGCATGCACGCTTACGACAAGAAGGGGATGGTGCAGCTGGTTTCGGATCTTGGCAACAACAGCCCGCTCAGCCCCGCTCAGGTTTTGGAAAGAGCAAATAACAATTGTAGATTGCCCCCCAGGATCTACGCTGGCAGACTTTGGGACGGGCCAATGGAAATCGAGATCAGAACGCTTCTGATAAGTTAAAATCCGACGAAGGAGCCTTACTCTACAGTCCACATCGCAAAAGCCTTTCTGCCAGGAAGAAAAATGTCCGAATCGTGGGATATTCACCGAAAAACTCTTCGGCATCTTTATCTCGAAGAAAACATGAAGGTCAAGGATATCATTCATCACATGAAGAACAATCATGGGTTTTCAGCGAGGTAAGACACCTCAACCAGCTTGGTAGTTGTGGCAGTCGATGAATTTTCCTGCTAGTGAAAACGAATACGAGCGTCAGTTCAAGGCTTGGAAGTTTCGGAAAAACTTGAAGAAAGAGCATTGGAAACACATCATACCCCGAGTCGAGAAAAGAAAGAGAGAGGGAAAGGAGACCGAAGTGAAATTTGATGGTGTTGTGGTCCCAATGGAGAAGATCCAAAAGAGAGCCAGCTCTGAATATGGACACACTACAGTTTGGGAGAAACAACAAGCTTATCTGCAACCAGGTAGGAAAAGTTAAACTCGACAAATTTCATCTCTAAAGCGCAGTAGAAAACAGTCCTATAACACCTGAGGGAATTACCATATGGACACCAAAACATCCGCTTGAACTGTGTTCGGACGCATTGCCTTACGTACGGTTCCAACAGCTGTTGCAAGCTAAAGGTAGTTTCTAGTCATCTGTAGCTGTATCCCTTAAACGGTGGTTAACCAATTTCTAGTGTCTGACGACCAGGCATTCCAGATTGGACTTGAAGTACAAGACATTCGCGTAATTTGTGCGTATTCGACTTCTGATCAACAGCTCGTCGGTGCAGTGGCGCCATCTGGGAAGGCTCAGAATGGATTTCTGAACACCTCCGGCTGGGACGCGCTTACACTTCTCACTCTTTTCCACACCAATCGTATCTTTCCTTCCTCAACCGACGGCACTCGTTGGATCAAAACCATCATTCGACAGTCCAAGACCCCCGAGGCGTCCATCCTATTCCAATTCTTGCTTTGCAGCAATAATTCCACCGCTGATGCCCTTTCTGAAATCATCTTCAAGGAAGCGCTTCTGACGGGAAATGTTGAAGTGGCACGCCTCTTGCTTGTTTGCTTCAAAATCGATCCTAACGCCTTGCTTCCTGGCCCATGGCCACGGAAGAAGCGTAGCATACCCAGACGCTGTTCTGTGGCTCCCCAGCACCCACTCAAGGTTGCCATCCGGAGACGGAACACCGAGATGGTGCAGCTACTACTCGATCATCACGCACGAGCGGATGAAGCCCTTGAGGTCGCCATCAGCAGTGGTTCTGTGCAGATCTTAGAGGCTGTGATTAGCTCTGGCCAGACAGACCTTTCAGCTGCCTTCATAGGGCTTGTATGGCTCGAAGATGTTTCCGCCGTAAAGAGGCTGCTCAACAATGGGATAAGTGCAGATACTTGTGATCCTAAGTCTGGCTATACTGCACTTATCTGTGCTATTACGGCCGGAAACTACCAGCTTACTGAAGTCCTCATCAGCAATGGAGCCGATGTCAATCTTCCTATGAGAGACGTCCTGACACAACTGCACGTGGCCGCATTTCACAACCATCTCAATATTGCAAAACTTCTGCTGGCCAACCTGGCGCAAATCGACGACCCTTACAGTCGCCTAAATCAAGATATCCGTATTCCGACGCCCTTTCAGACTGCTGTACTCCGCAAGCACTTCGATATGATATTTTTGCTCTTGGAATGTGGGGCAGATGTAAATGCACCGGCACCACAGTTTGGACCAGGAGTTTTCAACTTGAAGGTTCTGGATTATATGAAGGCTACAGACGGTTTCACCTCCCTCATGATGGCATTCTCCGGTCATGAAATGAGCATCATCAGAATGCTGTTGGACCACCACGTATCGGTAGATTACTCTCCGATCAAACCAAAATTTCACAATTGCTCCTTCGATCAACCCCACGGAGCTTCCGCTCTAGCTGACGCCTTGAGACTGGGGGCCTCCGATGTCACTCGACAAGTTCTTGATCTGGGGGCACCGTCTTTTCCTGACGCACTCCGCGCGGCGGCAGAAAATGGGGACACCGAAATGATGCGGAACATGCTTGATCAGGGAGTCGACGTCAACCATCTCCATTGGGATAAAAGAACGGCTCTTACAGCAGCAATCGAAAGACACCAATGGTGGAACGAGTTCCGTAATTCCAATATCGAGGATGTGTGCGCATTTCTGCTGGAGAATGGCGCACAGATCAATCGTGAGGGAGCATGCCCGACTGCACTTGGGGTAGCCACTCGAAGATACTGCCTGGACTTCTCCATGTTCCTTATCAAGAGAGGTGCCAATATCCATCACGAAGCCGATGGCCAGAGGGTCCTTGAGAAGGCCATCGGTGAGGGCAACTTGAGAGTCGTCCAATTTCTCATCAAGCAGAACGTGAATGTCAACTTCGTTGGATCTTCTGGGACACCACTCAATCAGGCAATCAGGGTTCATGAAGTTGGCATAGCCAAGTTTCTGATTGAGAGTGGAGCAAATCTCAACTACTCCGATAATGATCGAGCCTCTACTCCGATGGCAACGGCTATTCAACAAAGGCACAAGGACATCGTTCGACTCCTCATCAAGCATGGGGCAGCATTTGATCAAAGTACTTTTCTTCTTTCTGCCGCCCAGCATGGTGACTTTCAGGTTTTCGAGGAGATTATTGCTGCTGCGCGCTCCAACTCTCCAGACTTCGGCACACGTATCAAAGAATCCTGTCTTGGACATGGTGCTCTATTCACAGCTATCAAAGCAGAGAGAAACGACATACTCGAAAGTCTTCTTGAAATAGACGTCAATCTGCGTTCTCCTTGCGTGTCTGTGGCAATGAGATACGCGTGTTCTCAGGGGAATATATCGTTGATGCGCCGTCTTCATTCGGCCGGGGCTCCTGTTGACGCACCAAAGCAGGTCCCCCGGTGCATGCGATGGAAGCGCACTGGCAAATGCGATGAGCCCTCCCCACTTTTTACCGCCGTACTAAAGAGGTTCAATGCCGGGGTGCAATTCCTACTGGAAAAAGGAGCCGATCCGAATCCATCTCTCACGGACAGAGACTCAATACTCTGCGTTGTTCTGGAACAAATGAAAGGACTCCCCCATTATGCCCAAGACGATTACTTTGCAATATTTGAAGCCCTCGTTCAAGCTGGCACTGACGACAACCTGGCGGCTAGGAGTTCCTATGGTAGAACTGCCCTGCAGAAGGCGACTGAAGATGGCAAGTGGGAGATGGTTGATCGCCTCATCAATGCAGGTGCCGAAGTCAATGGACAACCTGCCAGATATGGGGGAGTGACAGCACTTCAAGCAGCAGCAATTGGTGGATATCTGGGGATAGCGGAGAAGCTTATTAAGCTTGGAGCATACGTCGATGCACAAGGAACTGAAAAGCAAGGCAGGACGGCATTAGAAGGCGCCGCTGAATATGGTGGGCTTGACATGGTTCAGCTTTTGCTCAACGCCGGGGCAGGTACCAATCCTTCAGCTGGGAGACAGCAGTTCGCGAATGCGGTCAAGATGGCGAGGCGAGAAGGTCATAATGCAGTGGCAAAACTTCTCGAAAGACACCAAGCAATTAACGGTTCCTAATTGCTCATCTGGTCGTAAGAGTAGGTTTCGGGTGGCAGTCTCAATCGGTACTTTTGCTCGTATTCGTAGAGATAGAAATATGCGTCATCTTTCATGCCATGTAATACTCAAAACGAATTCCCTTGTAGCACTAATATGCTTCTGAAAAAATCAAACGAGCTGAATACTTTAAAGTTTCTCTTACGCCAAACGACTTTGTCTCAAGTTGTAGAGCCTAGTCTTCTACTGAGTCTTGAGTTGTGCTCGATGAGTCTATTGTGCTCTGAGGCTCGAAACGCCTACTCAGCTTACTTAAACTCCAGTGCATATACCGATAACTGGAGCCGGTTGAACAGGTTCTAAGACAGTACCCTCGGCTGTCTCGGAGATAAGAGTTGATAAACAATAATCTGTACAAAGTCCGAACGGACCAGATGCTCCACAGACGATCTTAGTGTAAACCGGCTCGTATGCCGAGACCTTTACGTAGTAAGCACGGAACCTTGGGAACTGGGAATCAGACGTCATGGCCCGTGATTTTAACACCACACTGTCCTGATCAAGAACTTTCGGTTAACAATTTGGAGGTGGCCACAAAATTGTTCCGGAAATGCGGCCCGAAGGGGCGCCTATTTTTATGGATCCAGCCAGACACTGTAACCTACAAACAAGATTTGAGCCCGTCTTATCAGAAATTTCTTTGCAGTGTGGCTGAAATCTGTGAGAGTTCTTAAAGTAAGAATTCAAAGGTAGTAGCACTGTGAATGTATTCGAGAATACTCTATGTTGCTATTACATTAACACTTCTGGTATTTGTCTCTATAAAATGTAATCGGCCCGTCGTTAACACTTTCCGAATGCATACAGACGTCGGTGGAGTATTACCAGTTGGGAAGCATCTACCTGCTCCTCGGTACCTTTGCTGAGGGGTAGGATCAGACCACTGACCCAGAAACAAGCATTGACGTTAATTGCCATGACAAAGCTTGGCTGCCTTATTCTTCCCGCTATATATTGAGACTATTTAAACGCTTTTTCGACAGCGCATTTCCCTGAATTCCATCCGCAAACATGAGGCTCTGGCTCCTTTCCTTCCTTGGCCTCATAGGTCTGGCGTCCGCGGCGTGCTACAGGGATGTCGTCCCCGGCTCCAGCGCTGCGTATGAGAAATGCACAACAGCTAAGGTAAAAGGCCTCCAACTTCTGCCATAATGATGTCAGTGCAGCTAATTATGGAAGGGTGTCACGGGTTGGGTGACCAACTGCGATGAGGAATCTGCTGCTGCCGCCAATTGTGATGACGGCGGTGCTAGCATTTACCTTGCTCCTGTACGTACCCCCAGTGAAGCGGTGCTTGAAATTTCTAACTAATTTCTATCTTTACAGACTTATTGCGTGAGTGGCTCAGTTTTGTTCTCAGCTTCGACTAACCAAGTTCAGTGTCCTTCCTGAAATCACCCATTGAGATTCAGTAATTGGATGAAGTACTCCGCGACACTGGTCAAGTCTCTCGGCCCTGCGTTATTGTGCAATTTCGGAGGATATGCGATATACTCAGGGCTGTCAAAAATTGTACTTCTTAATTTTATGCAAGTAGTCAAAATGGTCATTGCCTTTTTAAGCGGTTGCGTTTAAATTTCACCTTTCCACTTTCCCACTCAAGAAGCATAAAATCTCAACTAGGATTAGTCTCACAGAACGCTATTCCACCATAATCCTCTGAACATATTGTACTATACGTTTTTTTCACGTAGCTGCGTACCCCGTTGTGACGAACCTCCGCCGATTTCCCCGGTTGTGATGTGGTATCTTTTATGCGTCAAGAGGGACTTCTGCAAATAAATTACACGTAGAAATGCACAGTCGTGTTAGAGAATTTCTTGTGCTACATCATTGTTTTCTCACATTTGTGAGCGACCAATGGCTGGGCATCACTAGAGGTATGACATAATCGGAGGTTGAAATCCCCGAAACCTGCATGGCAACGGAGCATGGACGTCGACGTCGGCCAAGTTCACACATAGACCGGGCTTCGGAGAGTCTCTCGTATATAACATCTGAACGGAGGTAGAAAAAAAATAAAATCAACTGTCAGTTTCAATCTTTCTTTGTTGAGGCATCGTTTTCCCTTCATTCTGTCTACAATTTCCAACAAGTCCACGGCATTCCTTTTCCTTCAAAACTGGATATCAAATAGAGCGGCGACCGCCTGTACCGGCCCTACATCAACCTTTACCATGAAGACGATTGGAATCATTGGAGGCATCGCATGGCCCAGCACCCTGGTCTACTATCGAACAATCCACGAATATTTCAAGAAGCGCACGGGAAGCAACGGCCTTCATACGCCCAACCTCCTCATCAGCCAGACGGATTTCGCCCTCATCGAGAAGGCACAAGCGGATGGGAACTGGGACGAGGTCGGGCGGCTGCTCGCCGAGCAAGCGAACCGCCTGAAAGCTGCAGGGGCTGACTTCTTCCTGCTGGCCTGCAACACAGTGCACACGGCCGACACCTACATCGCTGCTCACGTGGACCTCCCCATACTGCATATTGTCGACGCAGCCGCAACGAAGGTGCTTGAGCTCGGATGCACCACGGTCGGACTCCTTGGTAGCCGGTACACCATGACGGGCACGTATTTCGTGGGCCGCCTGCGAGAAAAGTACGGCCTCGAGGTTTTGGTGGCTGAGGGAGAGCACGAGAGCAACGTTCACAACGCGCTCTACCAAGAGCTTGCCAGGAATATCTTCCTTCCCGAGACGAAGGCTAAGTTCAAGGCTGCGATTGCCGATCTTGTTCTCCGGGGTGCGGAAGTTATCGTATTGGGTTGTACGGAATTTGGAATGCTGGTCAGTTCTGAGGATAGCACCGTGCCAATCATTGACACGAGTGTGACGCATTCCGAGGCGGCGGTCAATCTTGCTTTACAGTCCCCTCTCGCGGCCGATGGCTAGCGTGAATTTGCTTTTTGCTCATGTCATGGGTAGCTAAAGCTATCGTCCGGACGGGAATATCGAATTAAAAAGTCTATATACACGTCCGGACGATAGCTTCAACTACTTATATATGTTAATTTTTCTAAGGTAGAGCTAGGGCATAGTTATACTATATTCTAGAGTCCTACTATTCTTCGCGCTAGCTATCGGCTGTAGCACCCCTCTATAGATGGGCGTAAGGTTTAGACGGTTAGAGATTATTAGAATTATTTTAAATGCTTAATTCCCATAAATCGGTGTCTATTAAATTAATGCTTTTTTTCCTGACCCTGTAAATATGATAATAGAAGATGATGAAGCTGTTACTTGTGTCTGCGGCCTACTGAAGGATTTAAAAGGCTATATAAGGTCTTCAAAACTGTCTGTAGTAATCGACATAAGCGGGCATTTTCCTGCACGATAATCAGACTCTGTTCTTCCGATAATGAAGCCCCTGCGTAAACTCTATTAGATCTTTGCCAACAAACCCTTGCTTCATCCCACGAGACAACAATTGTTTTCATGCAGAAGCAGGACAGGACGGCAAGCTTAATTGCACGTATGTATAGATCAGCATCGGACATTCCTCATTAGGTAAGGGCAGAGCCGGACATTCAATGTCCGGCGGAACCTTGAACTACCGGCCATTCTGCGGCACGGAGTTACAGTTCTCTTCAACCAGCCCCACGTGCGCCTTTACCACTGCATCTTCAAGTCACCATACATTCAGTAGGGGTACATTGGAATCTGAAAAGTCCATGTCTCTATCGGGCCTGCCGTCTACGGCGTCGCGAGGGCGCCAATCTACCTCTCAACGAACCCGGTCAGAGGGCAAATGCCGAACATGCACAAGCTGCCGCAAAAGAAAGGTAGATCATTCCTCCAGCCTATGAGAACGAAAGTCCCCTTTGTTTTATCCGTACCTGACGTTTTTCCGCCCCGAAAAGGTGAAATGCGACGGCCAGCGACCAATCTGCACTACATGCGGCTTGAGAGGCTACGACTGCGAGTATCCACATGACGCGAGGAAAACAGCCGTACGAACCAGAAAGGATGATGTGAGACAGCTACAAAAGCAACTTGAGGAAGCAAAACAGCAACTGCGCGACAAAAGCACAGGAAATCAGCGGACCTCCGACTTGATCGAGCTTAGCGCTGAAGCCGCTTGCCTCGGTAGTCGACCCATCACGCACGAGCATGCATCAAATACAGGAAGTCATCAAGATTCCCCAGATTCTTCAACACTGCGCACTCTTCCAAGTCCACAGACGATCAGAAATGAGTCCTCTAACTATCGGGTCAATCATTCATCAAACCCTTTGGGCCGGTCCACAGCATCTACCCTCAATGAGGGGCTCCAAGTGCCGACATTTCCAGGACAAGAAAGGGAGAATGATTTGCGTTCTCAAGCGCACTCGCCGCAAGTCTACGGCGCAACGAGTCTGTTGCACGACCAGACTTCAAGATCGCCGATGGCAAATTCACAGTCTACGGGGACTGATGTGGGGGCACTGTCCGAAGATGCCATGCGAGATCGGCTTATATCATACGCGGCAATCCGAAGGCAGGAGGAGACTGTTCTACTCTTGTCACCGAGCATCACGGCAAATATTGACTTTGACGGCGTTCCGATGGATACCGCCATGCACCTCCTGAATTTGCACTGGAACCGCCAGCACTTATCTTACCTACTTACCTATCGCCCTGCCATTATGGACAGCCTCATCAAGCATGGGCCTTATGCCAACAAGCTTCTTTTGAACGCAATCTATTTCCAAAGCAGTCTTTATAGCAACCGGATCTGTGTACGTTCTGATCCCCTAAATCAGACAGTAGGCATGGCATTCTATGAACGCTTCAAGGCTTTGCTACCACAATATATTGATGACCCATCAATTCCAACCATTGTAGCACTCCTTACCTGCGGCGCCTGCTTGGTACCACACGGTAAGCAGAGTGCCGGCTGGATATTCTGTGGCATAGCATACAGGATGATTACTGATCTCGGCTGCCACCTGGATATTCCTCACAGTGCTTCCGATGCGGAGCTGACGGCCATCGACATGGAAATTAGAAGAAGAGTGTACTGGGGAGCCTACGTCGGGGACAAGTTCCAGTCTCTCTTTCTCGGCAGACCCCCCGCGATGCTCGAATCGGCCGGCAAGGTGTCGCGCGAGTATCTTGACTCGTATGAGGAGCTCGAAATGTGGACGCCGTATGTTGATCCCCTCGTTGAGTCTTCCGACGCCACAGTTCCCGCTTACCCCGGGCGGCCATCCTACGCGCTCAGCACCTTTCGTAGCTTGCTTCAGCTCTGCGACATTGCCGCCCGAATCATAGACGCCTTTTATTCGATAAACAGTGCCGAGATCTCCCAGGATGCTCTGTTGGAAACGAGGCACGATGTTAGGGAGCAGCTGAGCCAATGGAAGAATAACCTTTCTTTGTGGTTGAAATATGACCCCAGCACACAACCCACCCCGCCACCTCATCAGGTTACACCCCAGTAAGCCTTTTCCCCGATCGAGAGAGTCAAACGTTGAGAACGCTGACTTAGAACAAAAAGCACGACTTACTGGACTCTGATTATCTTGACCGAGCAAGCCTTTCTGAATCGCGGCCGTTTCAACTTTACTCTTGATGAAGGATGTCAAGAAGAAGCGAGGCAGAGGTGTCTGGAGGCAGCACTCCAGACCTGGAGACTTGTAGAAGCGTATAGAGATGCGTTCACGCTCAGACGTGCACAGTATGGCATATCGTACGCCACGTATTGCGCGGCCCTTGTCATACTGCAGCACACCGACAAGGAGTACATTGGGTGCTTGCGTTTCTTCTGGCATGCACTTGTAGAGTACCAGCGAGGATGCAACTATGGATTAAAGCGGCCATTGAGGCTGCTGAAGTCCCTCATGGACCGGTTGGAGACGGTAATGCAGGAACACAATACGGAGGAGGGTGAGGTTGCTGATTGGCAGAATTTGGATGGTAAGAAATACCCCGCATTGCTCAACCTGTCCACCGTGATCATGCTAATTCATTGCGCCCAGAATTTCAAATGGACCCGACTTCCGCTTTTGACCTCGAGTCTTTTGATATGGCTGCAGTAGACCCACTCGGTGGGCCGTCACTCGGCGCAACCTCTACTGACGGACCTTCTGCTCACAACAATCCCATTTTTGACATTACAGATGATATGATCTATGGCTTCTACATGTAATCACTTCTTTCGTACTTTTAAAGATTTCAGAAGTCTAAGGTGCTTCAAAAAAAAAACAACAAATATCTTTACTCTTTTCTGGTGAACTGGTAAGCTTTCTACATCGAAAAAAGTATAGTAGCGTCAACGTGCATGTTGCTTAGCTGCGTTCGATGAGGCTGACTGAAGTCGGGTCGAGACTGTTCAGCCGGGAGTATGTCAGCTTACTGCACGATGCAAGGCTTGTGCGAAGCGACATAGCCGCAGTTGATGTCGGGAGTTTTGCAGCTCACTGGAAACTGAATTTCCGCTGCGTTGAAAATCCTTCGCATGCAGTCCTCGAACGTTGTGCGTAACGTGGCAAGTGACCCTCAGCTCAGCCTAACAAGACCACGGCGAGGGCGCTCTGTTCCGTGGGGCATACAGGGGGGTCTCGCCGCCGAAGGCTAGCGTGAAGAATAGTAAAGCCCCAGGCACAACTATGCCCCGGCTCTTTTCTTAGAAAAATGACATATGTAGGTAGTTGAAGCTATCGTTCGGATGAGAACGTCGAATTTAAAATTCTACAGACACGTCCGGACGATAGCTTCAACTACCCACGACATGAGCAAAAATCCACGCTAGCTATCGGCTGCATGAGGGGACTGTACCATGCGGGGCATTTGTTATGCACAGCAGCCTTGGAAACACTGCGACGAATTCTTCCAAACAAAACCCGGCTAGCGAACTTTTCGGGAAAATGCTTGAAGCACTAATGTGAGGAACGCTGAATCATTTCAAGCGGTATGCAAGGGCTCCATAGCAGGGGCACTTGGTGACCGCGATGCAGATCCTTTAAATGCAAGGGTACGGGATGAAACACTTACGTTTGTCAGCGACCAAATTCCCGTAACTAGATAAACGCTTTCCCTTCCAGAAAACATGTCGCTCAACTCAAAGCTACGTTACTTTTTAGATACAGACTGAATGGGGTATAGAATGTAAACAGGTCTGAAGAATGCACTGACGGAGGTATGTTTTCATTTTTAGATACTCCAAAACCATCACTTGCAGGTTGGCTCAGAATGATTCATAATGAATTTGTTACACTCACGCGTGGCTGATGGCGTTTTAGGCTATTCCTAATTAGTAAAAATCGGTGAATCATTTCTTACCATCCTCTTAATCATTTTCCATCACCCTCTTGAGGAGATTATTATATAGATGGTTTTTGTCACCGATGTTCTTTCAATTGCTACAATACACTCAGCCCATCAAGCCAAGACATCATCCACTACCATGGACAGCGAAAGCTCCATGCCACCAAGCATCGACGCTGAAAAGGTGCAGGACAAGGAGCAAGATGAGCAATTCGAGCTCACCGGCGCAAAATTGTTCCTTGTCGTTTTTGGATTAGTCCTGGCCATTTTTCTCATGTCCCTGGATGCATCGATTCTCGCCACCGCTGTTCCCCACATCACGGCGCAGTTTGGGAGTGTTCAAGACATTGGGTGGTACGGAAGCGCGTACACGTTCGCAACATGCTCGGTTCAGCCCATCTCGGGAAAGCTGTTCACATATTTTTCTCTGAAGGTATGACTTATTCCTCATCCACAAGGTAGATTCTAACCATGTCAGACTATGTTTCTCTCCTCTCTCGCAGTATTCGAACTGGGCTCTATACTATGTGCAACGGCTGTCAACAGTCCGATGCTCATAATCGGCCGAGCAATTGCGGGAGTAGGTGGCGCAGGAATGTCAACTGGCGGTTGGTCAATCGTCGCCGCCTCCCTGCCGCTCCATAAGCGAGGAGGGGTAATTGGCATCCTGCATTCCACATTCGGCGTCGCGACCATCATCGGACCCCTGATTGGAGGCGCTCTCACGCAACATGCCTCGTGGCGTTGGTGCTTTTGGTCCGTACAAAAAATCGGCGAACATCAATGCAGACGCTAACGCAGTTCACAGGATTAATCTACCGATTGGTGCTGTTACAGTGATCTTCACGATACTATTCTTCCATCCTCCTCCTCGAAAGTCGGGTTCAACCACAGTTCTACAGAGACTTCGAAAGCTTGATGGAATCGGCGCCCTCCTGTTCATACCCTCCATTGTCATGATTCTTCTGCCTCTTCAATGGGGCGGCACGAAGTATCCGTGGAAAAGTGCAACAATCATCGGCCTCTTCATAGGAGGCGGCCTCCTCGGTATTGTCTTCATATGTTGGCAATCTTACAAACAAGATGACGCAATGATACCTCCGAGGCTCTTCACCCAGCGCACCATGTGTGCTGCAAGCCTCACCAACTTCTTCGCAATGGGGGCCGTGATGGTCTCCATATACTACCTTCCAGAATGGTTCCAGGTCATCAAGTCAGCATCACCAGTCAACTCTGGCGTCATGTACTTGCCATTGGCTATTTCAGACATCCTTTCGTCAAACCTCGCCGGAATGCTTGTTGCACGGCTCAACTACGCCAATCCTTTTGTTCTCTTTGGAACGACGCTGATGTCCATCGGCACCGGGCTCATCACCACATTCACGACAACTACCAGTCACCAATACTGGATCCCCTACCAAGTCCTACAAGGACTCGGTGCTGGCATGACTCTCTCAATGCCATACATGGCCACTCAGACCGTCCTCAAGGACGATGACATTCCTGTCGGAACGTCGATCGTGCAGCTTTTCCAGTTCTTTGGTGGTTCCGTGTTCCTCGGGACCGCCCAGGCGATCTTCAGCAACACACTCGTCAGCTCCCTATCAAAGCTGGAAGACATCGGGATTGGTTCGGCCGAGATTGAAAGGATCTTGCATGGTGGATCTTCTTCTGTCAGAAGCTTGGTCACACAGGCTCAGCTGCCCGGCGTGATTCAATCATACAACGACGGAATCGTCTCTACATTCTATGTAGCCACAGCAGCGGCCGCTTTTTCATTTGTTGTTTCTTTGGGTTTGGAATGGAGGAAGATAAGATCCCATTAATGATTGATGGTTAATGATTTTTAGCAATAGACTTATGCGCAATAGAATAATTCTGCTTTCGATCTGAAAACAGCACTTTGTTTGAATATAGCCCCGCTGATCTATTTACATGCTAATCTGATTGTGCGTACTGATACCAATCTGCGTATCCGACCTGTCATCGAGAACTTCTAAGCGGCTCCTGATAGCTTCTCATGTAGAATGCGCTTCAACACCGGGCAGAGACTTACTGAAGAGTTTGATAATGCATTGTGATCAAGGTAGCCATAGCTGATGGCATGTTTGTGTTTCTTCTTTAGCAACTTTGTATTTGACGGCACTGTCATTTAACGAAGATATTTTCATGATGAAAAAATTCTAGAAAAGACATTCGTGTACTCGAAAAGCAAAGGGATGATGTGGGCGACAGCCTCGTTTACCCAGTGGTGCCAGCGTTGCACTGAAACAAGATGTGCGCGCCGCTGTTGGTGATGCGCGATCACGAGAAAGACGACAGAAAGGCCGCCGGTGTGCAGGCAACTCTACATACAGTCCTCTCCTGCAGCCGATGGCTAGCGTGGATTTGTTTTTAATTCATGTCATGATTAAAAAAAATCTCCATACATATCCGGACGATCGCTTTAACTACCCACATATGTTATTTTCTAAGGCAGAGCTGGGGCATAGTTACGCTATGTTCCAGAGTCCTGCTATTCTACGCGGGAGCCATCGGCTGTAGCACTCCTCTGTATAATACACTACCTAGCCATGTTGTTTCCCTGCACAGGGACGCTGCTGCCTAACCGCACCGTGGCGCCCAGCCCCTACACCGCCCCACATCACCCTTGCTAGTCGCTTGGGGCAAATGTGCGACGTCAAGTTGGTTGTGTGGACGTGGCGCTCCTAGCGCCAGTGATACTCCACAGCTGACGTGCATTTGTAACTACTCGTGTGTGATACTTCATAACGCCACGTCGTATTACGTTTCATGCAGCCCATTCAGCTTGATGGAGCATAAATGGCCATTTCAACTGATAAACCGGTTTCCACCAACCCCATCCTCTCCTTTTACATTTCGCAACTCATCGCATCGTCTAACCTTGAAGCCGAAAACTTGCTCCGAGCCTTAAACCCACCTTTAAAATCTTCTCGTATTGCAGCATATCATCTTGGCAAAGGGGATAAAGTCCCCTCATGGAATCCCCGAATTTGCCTACATCCGACAAATCAATAAATGCCGATGTCGATTACCTGGCCGCCAAAGATACTTTTACAGACCAGAATTCCTCAGAACAATACATTGGCCGTTTCTGTGACAAATGCCAAGTCGTGGAGTTCAACGACCAAGAGCAAGGGGGTCAAGTTGTATCTAACGGCCCAAGTGATGAGTATGTCTCATTTCAGAAAAGAAGAGTGATTAGGCTTGTTTATGAGCAGAATGATACCCTCCCCGAGCTCCCTGCTCTGAGTGTATCAGCACAGAATGGATGCCGATTATGCGGGCTTTTCAAGGACTTCATTCTGAGGTGCGTGAGGATGGGATGGTCTAGAGAGGGGCTGGCAGAAGGCAGAGTATGTGTGAAAAACTTGGAGTTTGAGCTGGGTAAGCCTACAGGACGTTGGAGGTTCCCCCGAAACGGAAGCTCTCTGCAAGGACTTCGGTTCCGCTTGCAGATCTCGACGAATGGGGAGTCGGAGTGGATGCGCGCCTACTTTGCAGTTGATGCACAACCAGGTATGAAGAGCAGAATGATTACGATAATTTGGGCCGCTTTAACTTCCACAGGGCCATGCGCTACATGGCTAAACATTGGCCGGAGAACAATTTCGCCACATGCTCTCTCGAAGTTCGGTGTCCAAAGACTGACAGAACTTGTCAATACGCACGTTGAGCGCAATCCAAGAACATACGATAGGGAATTCCTTCCTACTAGGCTGATATATGTTGGTCAAACGGGCGATAGTCTACGCCTGATGGAAACACACAACAGCGAATTCGACGGATTTCGACACGGCTCCAAATCCAGATACGTGGCTCTCAGTAAGGCTCCTCATTAAATATTTCCACATATAGTTGTTTTACAACCATTTTGATTTTGAGTAGTGTATGATAATAATAACAGGTAATTGTACAGGTTATCGTTGGGGTGATCCTTCGGGAGTCTTGAAAACAACAGAGGAATCTTTTTCACAATATCAGACGGAGATACCATTCGACACACTCCCCAAAACATACCAAGATGCCATTCTAGTTGCACGCACACTGCAAATCCAATTTTTATGGATAGATGCACTTTGCATTATTCAAGGCAATAAGGAAGACTGGGAGAAAGAGTCTCTTCAAATGAAAGATATATTCGACTGCGCATACGTCACTGTTTGTGCAGTCCAAGGGAACTGTTCCGATAGCGGCTTCCTACAACGAGAATGCGAGCCATCTATCGAAATACCATTCAGATCTGTCCTAAAGCCGGCTGTATCAGGTTCATTCTTCTTACGAGTAATACGGCCGCAAGTTCTCGGCTACCCCCGAGAGAAGGCCTACGATCACGCCAGCCAGCTGTACCTGGAGGACGTGAAAAGGTCTTCATGGAGCAAACGTGGATGGACATTCCAGGAATCCTGGTCACAATCCTTTCAAATCCTGTTCGGTTCAAACATGACATACTGCATCTCAAACGATACCATGGAAGCTGAGAATGGCAGTTTGGAAGATGGTCGCGCCATGGACCTCGAGCACATATTTCCCCAACCCCATGCCACTCGACCGTCCTCAGTCCTTACCAACCAAGAAGAAGACTTGTATCGGTGGTCATGGGTATTGGGTGGATACACAGGACGACACTTTACTTATGAAAAGGACCGTCTCCCAGCAATCTCAGGAATAGCCAGGTCTTTCTTCCGCGATGCAAAGGAGGGCGAGTACCTCGCCGGGTTGTGGAGAGTGGATCTACACCGAGGCCTGCTCTGGGGTTGCTCAATTCAGTTCCTCCCTTGCACAGCTCACTCCCTCCCCACGCTGAAACACTGTCTTGAAACCCGGTGGCCTCCTCAAAAATACGTAGCCCCCTCATGGAGCTGGGCAAGCCACTCATACAACATTGGCTGGCCATGGATTTGGATTCGAGCCGGCTCTGCTCCCATATCATCGCCCGTTTGCAGGTTTCTGGAAGCAGAGACAACTCTCGAAGGCCGGAACCCATTCGGCTCTGTCACGGGCGGGCATCTGAAAATTCGCGGGAAGATGTGCCCTATAGGAGCCCCTGGAGGCGTGGATTCGCTACCGCTAGCGGATGATATCAGCTACCGTGTTGGCACGCCAGATTGGGCATTCACTGCGTATCTGACGCTCGATTTCGATGCACCAGGTGAAGGCCTCTACGGCCGTATTCCCCTTTGGCCGGAGGGTAGGTCAAGGGGATTCGAGATGCTGGTTATGACAGAGCTTGAGGATGGGGACGTCGCAGGGTTAGTGTTGTTACCAGTGGATGATGAGAATCCGGAAGGTTGGGAGTACTGGCGTGTTGGAGTATGGTTTTCGGAAACGGAGGGGGGTGCATTCGTTGCTGGGATGGAGGAGAAGACTATAAGAGTCATTTGAATATTACTTCACTTTTCTTGCTGCTCGAGCTGCTTATATCAGAAACGGCTTCCGCTCAATGACGTTCTATAGAAAATAATTCACCAGAAGATGAGAAGGCCGGATACTTCATTGCTCCTCACCCGACTACCCTTTCACCTAAATACAGACTGATTCATATCCGCTAGAGAGGCGGCGTATCCGCGAAAAGCTCACCCATAGCATCTTGCGGATATCGGTCTCCATGCACCTCCGCAGCCTCCGTCGTCCTCCTGATCGCCTCCACCTCCTCAGGCGAGAGTCGCACATCCAGCGCCCCCAAATTCTCCTCCAGTCTTTCCTCCTTCGTCGTACCCGGAATCGGAATAACATACTCCCCCTGCGCCATCAACCACGCCAACGTCAACTGCGACGGCGTCACCCCCTTCTCCCTCGCCAACTCCCCAATCTTCTCCACCAGCACCAAATTCTTCGAAAAGTTCTCCTCGCTGAACCGCGGCGTGCGGCGCCTGTAATCGCCCTCGTCGAAGTCGTCGCGCGAGCGGTACGCCCCGCTCAGCATGCCGCGGCCGAGCGGCGCGTACGCGACGACGGCGACGCCCAGCTCGCGGCACGCCTGCAACAGGCCGACCTTCTCGGCGTCGAGCGCGAAAGGCGAGTATTCGACCTGCACCGCGGTGATGGGGGCGATTGCGCTGGCGCGCCGCAGGCTGTCGGCGCTGCACTCGCTGAGGCCGATGTGCTTGATTTTGCCGGCGCGCTGCAGGTCGGCCATGGCGCGGACGGTTTTCTCGACGGGCGTCTTGCCGTCCAGGCGGTGGCAGTAGTAGAGGTCGATGAAGGGGATGCCGAGACGTTTGAGGGAAGTGTCGAGCGCTTGCTTGGCGTAGTCGGGGGACGAGTCGATTTCCAGGGTCCCGGCGGCGGTGAATTTCAGGCCGAACTTGGTCGATAGGAAGATGTCGGAGCGCTTGTCCGGGTTCGCGGCGAACCACTTGCCCAGCACGTCTTCGTTGTCGCCGTAAGCATCAGCTGGATGAGAGACCTATCAGCACGTGGACTGTAAAGCGTATATGATGCAATCCTTTACCAGAGTCCCAGTTTGTCTCTCCGATTTTGTAGGCATGATCCAGGAACGCCTGTCTCTCGGCGTCTGACCGAGGCTTCCCATACCCAACGCTCAAGCCCATTAGTCCGAGGCCAAGGGCTGTGACCTCGGGGCCGTTCTTTCCGAATTTGCGTGTTGGGAGGGGCATGGTTGCTGATTGAGTGCTGTGACGTGGAACTTGATTCTGTGGCTTGGAATGATAGAGGGGCTTGGCATATTATACTTATCTGCCGTTCAGCATTACATCATGCAGCCCCACAAAGGAAGGATTGGGGCGGAGAACAAGTCTTCCCAAGCTTTTCGCATTGCCGAGTCATCCATAATCCCCGGATTGCCAAATCAGGCAAACTTTGGCCCGGACGTTCCTAGCAAGGTTACAACATCTCACTCTAATAAGACACTCTGAAGGTATGGGCCAATAACGCGTCAATCTTTGTTGTTGGTTGTTGGCGCTTATGTTCCAGAAACCTGCTCTGATTTGGGGGCCAACACCGGCGCCTGAAACCTGCTCGCAACTACGCATATACTGCCTTTAGACCGTGAAAATTAATAATCATCTTTGATTCTTGCTACGTCAGATCAGCTTCAAGCACAATATACCATGATTCATGTCATAAGCTCCACTTTGAAAATCCTCCACTGTATGAAACCGTTTGCTTTTGCCCTTGACCCATCAAATTAAAGACAACGCCTCTTCACCCATACAGTTAATCGTCAATTGTGTAGTTAATTTTCGTGTACTGATTTGGTCTTACGAATTGAGCCGCAACAAAGAAAGACCAGCCGTAACGATAGCAAAGATGAACGAATCTGTCAAGGCCATGTTGTACGCGTGCAGTGCACGTTGGACCTGAGCCTTGTTCACATGTCGCGGACACCAACGCCTCTGGCGTGGATTATGGCCTCGACATCCGTCACACCACTGGCAAACTGCGGTAGGTTCTTCCTCGGGAGGTGCTGAAGATGTTCTGAGCCACGGCTATCGATACCGCACCGCCCAGGGAGTTCGTGAAGAAGGCGGCAGCCACTGTCTAAATAGAAGTCAGCAGAAGCGCCAACTATTTTACCAATTCCTGCAAGGGAATAGTTGGTCTGCCTTACTTGCTAGATGAATGTTCACCGTTTTGACCGCACGCTGCACCTCAGTGAAGGGGGTTTGTAAAGTGAAACAGACGCCTAATCTAGCCGCGACCTAGAAACCAATCTACTCCCCGGCGTTGGAATCAACTTCAAGTGTGTATATCAGTCCCGATCCTACCCTCATGACGGCGCAGCCGGTCCACATGAACTGGACGTATGATGGCACAAAGCTTATTGCAGGTCCTGAAGCAATATAGAAGACATGGCAGGTATAGCAGAAAGACATGTTTCACAAAAAATCGTGAATTTGATAGTACAATATCTAGTTGAATTTGCTCAGAGCAACTTCATGAATCCCGTCCAGAGTCCCTGCGAAGTAAAGACGCCTTGAGGGTCGACAGATTTTTGAATTTGCTTCAATCTCTGCAGATTATCGGCGCCGTATCCGGCGAACACCGCCTCGGCCTGGTCTGCCATCGCATAGTTGACATAGAGGTACGGATGGCTGACTCCAAGGGCCTCAGCTGCTTCCTGAATCCTATTGACGGTGTTTACCGTCATAGCAGTAACAGCGTCATCACCCTCAGCATTCGACCAGCCCGAGGATATCAGAATCACTGGGATGGCCATCAGTAAGCCTGCAGTAATGGCGATTGTGGTAGCACATACCGAAAAGCGGCCCGTCCTGGTCTATTCCCAACGCATTGCCTCCTCGCTGCTTCATCGCGTCGATGGCGTTCTTCTGGAGAGGATAGGTGATGAAGTTGGGAGCGAGGCCTTCGACCGTCTTGATTGCTTCGACCTCCTCCTTGAAGATACTGAGACACTGCGTCAGCAGTTCGCGAGAGGGCAGCACGCTGACTGTACGGAATAGGTGGCTGGGTGTCGAATTAGTCACACTGGTAGCGGAGCGATGGAGACCTGGGCGTGCTCGTACCGCGTTGTTCCCAAGATGGGATGGTTGTCCAGCATGTTCGCCATCGTGTCGATATTGGTAGATCTCGACGCCGGTGGAATTGAGTCGATGCCTTGAAAGACAGGCGGATTGGACAGCGGCCTCGCGTAGCGCTCTGTGCCTAGCAGAGTAAAACTGTCCTGTGCTTGGTTGTAACCGTAATAGAGGTCGTAGCCCATGTCGACATCGGTGGACAGTTCCGGGTTGGTAAAGAGCTCATAAGCTCCATCGAGCGCTGCTTCCGTCTGGTTGTCGGTGAAGGTTACCCGGCCGGTAAACACAGGGCCTTGGGCAAATGTACGGACGGTGAATGTAGTGACAATGCCGAAATTGTTGCTACCGCCACGGAGAGCCCAGTAGAGGTCGGGATTGGAGTCTTCAGATGCGGTGGTAATTGTGCCGTTTGCCAAAACCACCTTTAATCATAATGCATTAGTCACCCCGTTCCCTTGTTTTAACACTCAAAGATCGAGGCTAACAAGCTAGAATTCTTGTGATAAAAACTTACCTCGTACTCGTAGATGTTATCTAGGGACCAGCCGTACTTGTTCGAGAAGGGCGACGTACCTCCGCCGAGAGCAAAGCCGCCGATGCCGACGGTGTTGACCCTACCGCCGACAAAAGACAGGTTCCTGGCGTTCAAAGCGCTGTATACCTGGAGGGTATTCGCACCTCCACCTACGCTGGCGCGTGTACCGTCTGCAGCAATTGAAACGCTGCTGATCCGGCCGAGGTCAATGGTAACGCCTCCCACTGAGTTCGAATCATTGGGGCTTCTCGAATGGCCGCCACCCTTGACGGCGAAGTGGCACCACGTGTCGACGAGGATACCCAGGACCTGTGATACCTCGGCGGCAGAAGATGGCTCCACTCGGCATGCCGGCCGAACCTCCTGCTGCTTGGCGTCCCAGATGGTGAAGTTATCAGTGTCGGGGTAGTGAAAAGCAGAGCCGAACACCGAGGAAAGTTCAGTGCACTGGAGGGGAGTCAGAAATGTTGGAATGCAGCCAAAAAGCTGGGGGGAAGTTACAGCATGTACACAGTTCGCGGAGATTGTTTCGTTGGGCGAGGCTCGCGCGCTGAGCACAGCCCCCTTCGCCGAGCCGACGGCGGCAAGGAAGGAAGCGAGTACCAGAAGTGTTTCGCGCATGGCTGTGGCAATCATACGCTTGATCAATGTCTTCCTTAACGGGATGGAAACGTTTCTTATGAATGAACCAGCTTTGCTACTGCCAAGCGAGACGGCAAGGGCTGAGCCACATTCCTAGGAGGCCTAACTGGGCAGAAGACCCTCTGGCTTCGTATGCGTATGCGGCCCAAGGGTCTGCGCGTTGAAGCACTCGGATGGAGTCAAGTTCTGATTCTAGTAGGTGACATGCATCTGTGGTGTTTCTTGGAGGGCTTGGCAATGCAGGCTAGCAACTTGGTAGATGCTCCACAGAAACATTGGCTATCCTGAACCGAAGTTTATCCTCGGCCGACGACGACGTAGGAGGTACGTGGATACGAATGTTCGGAGGTACCGTCTCAGACCCATTAATGCAAATTACACTTTGTCAGCTGTATCCGGAATCTCTCATTTGCCGGCAAGCTTTACGTTCCCATTAGGAAAACCCTGGCCTGTGCATTTTTGACTTGTCCGGACAGTACGATTGGTCTGTTGCTCTAATGGGTCCGTTGAATTCATGGGTCTGAGACGGTAACGGGATATCGTTCACTCTGATTCAGTCAGAATACCTATCTTTGCCGCTGATTCCCCGAACATGACCTGCACGTAGCCTGCGCTGAGTGCGCATACCGTAGATTGGCCGAGCGTCAGGTACAACTCAGTCTGCCTGTTTAACTCCTTTTTCCGCCTAACTCCGCTCGGCATCTTCCAAAGGCACTTTCCCGATTGGACAAAATATATCGTACTGCCCGCTTGAAGGTGACGAGCATAGAAGAACCCCCGGCCATGGTAGCACAGCCACCGGGCTGTGGGTTTGCGCGCGAACGTACGATGTTTCAATGTCTATCATCTTCGGGGAAACTTGGTGTCGGACTTTAGGAGGCCCCTTGGCCTTGGACTAACTAGCCAGAACAGGACTGAGTTCCTATCTACCTTATACTCCAGGGGAGCCTCTTATCTATTACTTACTGCAACAACAATTAAAGTGGCAAATACCGATCCTTAACACCGACAGACTATTCCCGCAATTGATTTTGATTATGAGCTTATTGAGGAAAGAGCAAGTCTTGTGACGTATGCTGTATTGCCTTGTTTCCCGGCAGTTCTTTTCCCCCAGCGTTTGCTTCGGCGGTTAGAAATGATACGTATAAAAATTGGGAGTCGTTAGATGCAAGCGTTACACTTCACCGTTAGTTCCATAGTTGCTGGAGCTTTGCTAAACTTCTTTGGTCCTTCAGATCCGTCTTTCGCTCTCTGCCGCCATCATGTCGCTTGATGGCACCATGCGTGGTGTCATATACTTCGTATCAGGTGAGCGTCACGGATCTGCCAGTCCCGGTCATCCGGATCATGTCTTCGTTGTCAATTGGTAACCATGTCGTCATTCCCGACAACATCACTAGCGGTCATATGAATTTGTAATCTCGGACCTGGGAGTAATTTGGCATTGGTGACAAATTAAGTAGTCTGCAGGGTACGTAGTGACCTGGTGGCGCCGACATATATCTAACACAATGCTGGAGCTAACTATGCAAGGGTTCATTTCGCAGACTACAGCCTCATCCCGGCCCCATTAACTCATAAAACGACCAATGCAACCATGGAAGAGAACTAAAAATGAAAATATGGGCACTACGAGCGGAACAGGTACAATAAATGCTGGAGGGGTTTGGTCGTCGAGCTTCCTCAGCTTAAAGGTTGGTGGTGAAAAACTCAACGAGCTTGGGAGTGCTCTGGTTGGTGTGATCGTACAGATCAATGTGAGTCATTCCCGGGATGATGAATAGCTCCTTGGGATCGCCGGCTCGCTCTATGGCACGCTGGCTGAAATAGAGAGTGTCGGCATCGCTCCCCGCAATCATGAGCAAAGGGCGGGGCGAGATGAGTTGCATCCACTGGTAGGATCGGTACGTGGCAATTTCATCCAAACTACGCCAAAGATGCCAGTTCGGCGCCGTGGGCCAGTGGCCGCGGGGAGTTTGGTAGTAGTCGTGGCTCTCCTGATAGAAGACGGGCAAGTCGGGTGTCACGTCGGCCTCGGTCAGAGGGAAGATACGGGTGAGGTTCGGCGGTGCGCCACGGGCCTCGTTGTCGCGCTGTCTTCCGGCTTCCAGGAGCTGATCGGCTAGATTGGGGAGCAACGAGCCTTCGGTGGCGTTGAAGCCCTCCGAGTACAGGGTGCCGAGATCGATGCCGCTGACGGTCGCGACGGCCTTCATGCGCTTGTCCGTCTGCGCTGCAAATGGGACGTAGCCGCCCGAAGCGCATACCCCCAGCACGCCAATGCGCTCGGGGTTGACGAGATCTCCGAGCGTGGAAAGATACGTGACAGCATTGCGGACATCGTTGGCGCGCTGGTACGGATCTTCGAGGTAGCGGGGCATGCCACCACTCTCGCCCTGGTAGGCGGCGTCGAAGGCAAGAGTGATGATTCCACTGCGCTCCGCGATCTCCCGCGCGTACTGGCCCGCGGTTTGTTCTTTGACACCGCCATGTGGGTGTCCAACCACAATAGCTGGGCGTGGCTGAGACGTGTTGTAGATGGAAACATTTGCCGGGGCAACGTAGAGGTGAGCGGCCAAAGAAATGCCGTCGCTGTCAAAATGAACCCATTCTGGCTGGAGCCAGCCTTTGGGCAACCCAGCAGTGACCCCTGCAAGGCTGAAAAAGACTAGTTTGTGTACGGAGTGGTACATTTTTCAAGGGCAAAAGAGACTTTTGCGTCGACAACGAAGGTAAGAAGGCGTACTCCGAGACGTATGTGCGTGGAGCAGATGTACATATCTAAGAGTTTGCACATGTAGATATGCCTTTCTATTGATCCGAGGAACAGATCAGATGTAAGATTATCAGGCGATCCTTACGGCGATAAGTCGGATGTTCTCCCTGGAAATGGAGCGTTATGCATCCGTTGCGGTCCAGTTGCGTGATGCGAGTTCTATCGTGGCGAAGCACCTGTCCGATCCACAAGGATAAGGACAAGAAAGGTGGCTGTGCCATCACCTCTGTGGCCTTGGCATACGTCATCCAAAAGACTCCCTAGGTATAGGAGACACAGGAATTGGGGAATACATGCCCATTCAAGCGGCGAAATAGCGGTCAAAAAAATGGGCAGTTTAAATCCTATCTCCATGGATTATCTCCGTTTGATACCTGTCTCAACGAGCGGCAGCTTAGAATTTACGTACTCGGTAACCTACGGACTAGACTGTGTAAAGCCTAGCTACAGGGGAACGTGGCGCTTATGGGCGGCAGCTAAGAATTCAGCTGGGTTATCATCGTGTTAATGCCGGCACGACGTGACGGATCAACCTTCTGATCCACTCCAACATCATGATCATAGCTCTGACGCCGTCAAAGCACGTTCCGGTCTTTTGGACCAGCGTGGAGCGATGGAATGGGTGAGGGATAACGTTGCCGCCTTTGGAGGAGACCCCGAGCAGATGATCATCTGGGGTCAGAGTGCCGGCAGATGAGATTGAGGGGCTCTTGGACGAACATCCGACCGCGGGAGCAGCGCCGATGCTGGCATTCCAACCTGTCAAGGATGAACAAGTCGTTTTCTTGACTTACACGCAGCGGACGATTGATGGGGCTATCGCCGATATCGTAAGTGTTCCCATCACCAAAACGGGGAAAGTAGACTTGCAGCTCGCGTTAAAGCCAGCGGGGCAAGTGATGTTATCGCATTTGGCGGGCATTCACTCGTCACTGTAATTATATCTCCTATCACTTCCACTACAGACTCGAAATAAAAATCAGCGTTCGGTTGTCAGATGATTTCCATGTAGGCGTCTCCAGCCAGCGGACATGGGCAGCAGACGAGGAAGGAAGGGGTGATTTCTTGGCTGATGGTAGAGACGGTAGCGTACCGGAGAAGCACTGCGGTGGGACGTACCCTCGCTTCCTTCTGCTCATCCGCGCCAACTAGAGTTCTTACCATGAACACAGCCAGTGTCAAGTTCCTGGTTGACAAAATCAGACGCACCCCGCTCATCTCGTGGCTCTCAGTGCTGGAATTGGTACTACCCAGCTATTGAGATTATTGCTCCTACTTACTACTACCAATGTCCGGCCTTTCTTCGTCAGCAGTCCGATGTTCTTGCTATTAGGCGGCGATGGTCATTTTCTGTTTCGTTGATTGGATACAGTTAGTAGGCACCTCAAGCTAAGCCGTTGCCGTTGTTCAAACTTGAGTGTTTTCATTTTCGTGCTATATATGGAAAGAAGGACACTTGCTGTGTGGCAATGCCAAGGTGTGGGGTGCTGGCTCGGAAATTACCCAATCCGGCTAGCCTGGTCGCATTCTCCGACTCAACTTTGATTTAAGAGAAGGAGGGATGCGTAGTTTGGTGTGTCACACGAGATTGCTCAAGGACGTGTACCAATATGCAATGACCTAGAATGCAAACTTCTCCTGCACAAGCTCCTCGCTCAACTCCCAAAGGCGCTGCGCCTGCTTGGCGTCCTTCGCGAAAGGAAGCACATCCGTTTCCTCACAGTTCTCCACATAGGCACCATCTACGCAGGATAACCATCAACCAAAGTCCTTGACCAACCGGGAAAGTACCAGAGAACATACCTGAAAGCCCGGGATACAACGCCGCGACGAGATAGTCCGCCACGCCCTGCTCCTTCGACCGCATCGGCAGGTTGGCAAACACCTGCTGACGCACCTCCTCGGGCATCTCACGCCACAGCTCCGTCGCGATCGCTGCACTATGTCAATCCTCTCCACAAAGCAACACGGGGGATCAGCAGAACTCACGACCTGGATTCACACACGTAACAGACACGCCCCTCACCTTCAACCGCCTCGCCAACTCCCCCGTATACAGCACGACCGCCGTCTTCGACGCCCCATACGCCACAGGCGGCACGTAGCCCAGGCCGTACGGCAGCCCGAATCCGTCGAGCGCGGCCTTGATCGGCCGCTGCTCCTCTGGCAACTGCTCGCCCTTGCCGTCGTCGAAGTTGTAGTCATCGAAGCGGAAGGGCGAGATGGTGTGCGCGCTGCTGGCGACGTTCATGACGCGCGCGCCCAGCGCCAGGCGGGGAACAAGCAAGTTGGTCAGGAGGAAGAGCCCGAGGTAGTTCACGGCCAGGTGCATCTCGTAGCCGTCGGCGGAGAGCGTGCGCGTGGGCACGTTCATCACGCCGGCGTTGTTGATGAGTAGGTGCAGCGGGGCGGTTACTTGCGCGGCTGCGGCGCGGATGGAGGCGAAGGACGCGAGGTCGACCTGGATGGTGCGCGTTTGGATGGCGGGGTGCGTGGCTTGCAGGCTGGAGGCGATGGCGTTGACTTTGGCGGGCGAGCGGCCGGCCAGGTAGAGGGTGGCGGGGGCGTGGTCGGCAAGCGTTTGGACCAGCGTCTGTGAAAGACCGCCTGGGCCCACGCCTGTGATGAGGACTGATGGTGGCGTCAGCGATGATGCGCTTTTTCGGGGTGACAATGCTTTGGTTGGCTGCACGTACTGTTGCGGCCCTTGATGGAATCAGAGAAAGCAGCGGCGACCTCGGAGGCCGTGGATTGGCTGTTGAACTTGGGTACGGATGCCATGATTACTTTCGATTTCGTCTGCTTGTCGTTGATGTGGCAGCCCGGCGGCGAAGCACTAAATACATGGAGGTGCGGCACAGCAGAACAGCCCGACCCACCGTCGTCCCAGAAAGGGAAGGTGGATGTCGAACTCCGACCCAGGAACGCGGACACGGTTTCGGAAAGGCAAATCGCTCTATTTTCGGTATTTGTTCTAAACTTTTGCAACGCTACGTTCCCTCTTCCTCAGCAAAATCTCCAGGTTCGGATCTGGCGCGTTCTGCAGCTCCAAGGACATGTCCTTCGGCCGCTCAGTGCGCCCTGCTGCAAACTTGAAATCATAATTCAGCAGCAGATAGGACATGACCATTTTGATCACGAAGGTCCCGAAGATTCAGTTATTTAACTCTTACATGTTTCGGGGTTGTCAAAGATGAGCAGTCTCCGAGATGGATCGCAGCTTCGGCGTTGGAGATTTTCCTGGAAAGGAAAAAGATGTGCATGCCGCACAATGCATACGCAGCAGCCCCGGTTTTCCTCCGCGAACGAGCGTTTACCGTGGCGCAAATTTGGCCTCTAGAGGATGACGTTTAATGTCGCGTAGTATGAGGGCGGTATGGCGTAGCGTGTTCAACATATGTTCAATTGTAAATCTTGCGCCGAGCTTGAATCAATGACATCGTTCGCGGCCCACTCCGCGATTAACGGGATACCAAATCGCGCAAGCAAGTCTTTGCTGAGGATGCTATTCAACATGTTTTCATGGAAAGATTGAGGTCAGCCTGTTCTTGCAAATGGTTGTAAAGCGATTTGGGGATAAACGAGATGGGTTATTCCTCAGTAATGCCTCATATAGCTACAATTTACCCTCTACCAAGACCATGTGAAATAAGAAACAAGAAAAGCTGAACAGTTCTTCCAAGTAAGTCAACAGTAAGCCCATGAAAAAAAAAACCGCTCCGGCCGTTGATATAATCATAATCAACAGTACACTCCATACGTGACGGTACTGTTCATTCAGCATATTCTCCCAAGCCTTTCTGCCTTAGTGCACTATAACTCCATAGTCAGGCGGTACATTAGTAGCCAATCCTAGACTTCTCTCGAGCGACTCCGAATCCAGTAGTGCAGGACACCCGGATATGATTGCGTCTTCTGGAGTAATCTCCGCCTCATGCTGCGCAACTTCGCTCCCAGCGCGCTGGATATTTCCCCCTGCTGTGACCTGGATGGGGACTTTGACGGTGAGAGAAGCCGTTGTTGAGAGGGAGAGCGAAATGCAGAGGCGGTAGGTGCGAGAGATGAAGCAGGAGTGAAAGGTCGGAACAAAAGCCTTGTCGGGGGGTAGTTGAATGGGGACAACGAGATCGGTGGTGTAATAAGGCCTGCCGGTGGAGGTGGATGTTGATGTTGATGGTTTGTGCACACCACCATCGTGCTTGTTTGGCTGCTCGATGCAGAATTGCCCGCTATCACCCGACGCGCCCTGGGAGATGGACGGATGATAGGGCGGTGGGGCGCTTGCGTTGATCCCAGGCGTGTGCTTGGTCCACTGCACGCCCGCCATGTTTCGCGAAGATAGCAAAAGGAATTCGGAGAAAGCCTCTTGTGTGGTATCGAGTGGGAATCTGTCGTACGATGCGAGCTGGTGGCAGTGTGCTATAGAATAGAAGTTGATCACCTGGAGTTTGCAGTCTAGACGGCCGAGCTTTGGCGGAAGGTCGTTTCCTGCCGGATCGAAACGCAATGCAAGCGTTGCAGATGCTGTCGGAGGGCTGGAGCCCAGCAAACCGCCGCCAGGAAGTCGGAGGCTATTTGGCTGCCACGTCTCCATGACGAGCCTCCCCAGTCTCTTCATAGCCAAGCCTTTCCGGATTATCTTCGCTGTGGTGAATTTCAAGGTCGGAGGAGGGTGTTCGTCCACGGCTGGTGCTACGCGCACTGCTTTGCTCGCTTGTGCAAGGGTTACTGGAGTACTGCTGGTTTCATGCTTGCGCATGATGGTCACTACGATAGAATAAGAGATTCGTGCCATTTTGGAGGCAAGGTCATCCAGTAATCTACCGTCACAACCCAGGGAAGAGTCGTCGCCCAGACTGGGAGGTACCTGCAGGTGAGCGGCTCGTACTTGGTCATCTTCGCAATCCTGATGACATGTGTTTGGCAAAAGCTGTGCAGGAACGACAAATTCGAATGGGACTGTATAGGATTGGCCGGCGTTCATGATCCGTGACGCAGGGAGAGTGGATTTGTCAAGAGGCTGGTTAAGTTGAAGAAATTTGTGGGCCACGCCACATCCCGGAGACAGGAAAGGCGAAGACACGAATATGTCGGTAGACGTGTTTGACACACCTACAATAAATTGTGCATACATTAGAGTGGAGTCCTACGCTTCGGAGGGGCATAGGAAAACACAAACCAACAAACGAAATCTTGACGTCGCTAAACCTAGTCTCGTGCAGGGCAGTGATGGCTACCTCACCCTCAATCTTCTCCATAGTGGAGAATGTCGGAACAGTATTGTGGGGCTGGCGATATCCATCATGTATGGCGATGTCGATTGAGACTTGGCTGTGTGTAAGAATATTCCGGGCCTTGGCGGGAACGGATCTCTTGATGGAGGTGACCGAAGGCATGTTATGAGAGGGGTTGCAGGGAAGGCAGACAACTCAAAGAGGCAGAGGGGATAAACGGGGAAATACTACAATCTCTTAGCTGATGTTCTGTTTGCAATTTGAAGAGATACCGCGACAGACAGGTCTCGTCCGACCGGCCGATCGGCCGACCGGCCCGGTCACCGGTCCGGTCAGTGGAAAGTTTTCCAATGGCTGCACGTTGTCAAGATGATTTGATGTTGATCAATATCTCAACTAGGATTATGGATGGACGGAATGAGCAGTGGATCACTTGCTGACGAATTTTGAAAGTAAATCGAGCCATGACACTACAGATCCTTGACATCGTAGCGCAGAGTCGACCAGCTCCACATCTCGTTCCCACTCATCCGGTACTCCGAGCCCTCACAGTAAGTACAGAGGGATATTGCAGCCGACGGCTAGCGTGAATTTATTTTGCTCATGTTGTGGGTAGTTGAAGCTATCGTCCGGACGTGAATGTATAATTATTAATTCCACATTTACATCCGGATGATAGCTTTAACTATCTGTACATGTTCTTTTTATTAGAAAAAAAAAGAAGGAACCGAGGCATACTTACGCCATGTTCTAGAACCCTGCTATTCTTCGCGCTAGCCATCGGCTGCAGCACCCCTCTGTAACAATATCGTCCTTGCAGCCCCGCAGCTTCTCTACTTCAGCGAAGTGGACGAGTTCCCATTCGCGGCACATGGACCACAGAATGCGCTTGGCGGCCTCGAGACTGACGTTCGCCTCATCTTCCATGACCTTTACGGATGAACACAAGACCACTCCTCGTTAGAGCGCAGTGACTGGATGTACTCTTTTTCCCAGCTGTAGAGATCGCTGACGACGGAGATGTGCTTAGACCAGTTGAGGTCGATAGGGTTCACTGGGTCGAGATCGTCCTACGTGAGCTCGAGCTTTGTAACGAAGCGCATTAGGGCTAAGAGAAGCTTTTACGTCTAATTATAATTAGCTACTTTACGCGTTCTTAAGTATTATATATTAAGTAATACTTACGCTTTTCTAACGTCGCGATTATGGTATTCGAGGTAGTCGCCGAGACGAAAGCTATTCTTCCGCTTAGAGTCTATCTACGCCCGTATAAAGGTAAAAGTGGGCTCTAGGATCTTATTAGCGAGCTTGTAGTCGTGTGCCCTTATGCTATCCTATAGGTTATAGGTGATCTATTCGACGGGTATATTGCGGTTGGGCTAGATATAGCTGCGGGCGATGGGTATTAGCTTCTCGTTATACGCTTTGCCGTCCGCAAAGAACATGTCCTCTAGCAAATCTGCAATTCATTTAGTGCCGGATTCTCCTCATTACTCTGGAATCTTGGGGATGTAAGAATGCTTTGTCTACGTATCATCAATGAGAAATAAGAGTCTGAGCAGCTTGCAGGCGAAGTAGATTCTGTTATCCAAAGCTTCGGGGTAGTAGCAACATGTGACTCTACTGATTCCGGCATCACGGGACTTCTGGACGGCCTTGCCGCTTGGAAACGGCCAGTTTTTGATGAAGTAGCTATCAAGATCTTCAGTGACCTGGGGCTCCCGAGGATGGCACTTGGGAACGAGGTGAGCCGGTGGTGGAGGCATGGGCTTCTCAACTTGGGCAATCATCGCTTGTATGGGAGCCGTGGGCGTATTGATGGGCTACATGGCTTCAGCAGACATCATAGTTACCGTGTGTCGTGAAAGAAGATGGGCTAGAGAGAATCGACACAAAAGATTTGTGTTAGCGGGACAATGCGAGTAGTCTGGGTGTAACTGGTATTTGATGCATTTCAGGTAGTATGACATGTTTTTAAAGGAAACAGTGAGCCGAATGGATTCACGTTCTGTTAGAACTGTCGGTATCAGCGGTGACGTAGACAGCCATCCGCTCAACCGGGTCGTGCCGGTGGGGTTACGACGCTTTTCATGGACGAGAATAGATCGCTGAATTTGGTTCCGAACGCAGGTATCCCGAGATCGTTGATTCGCAACCAATAACGAGCAGAAAACCCGTAGATTCTGCTGTTGAACTGGATGCACGTTCGGTAGCGGTGTCAAAACATGGATTCATGGTGAGGCAGGCCAGGCCTTTACCACCTAACAATTAAATCAGCAAGACATACGATTCCATACGCGGATAGAAATCCATATCTTTCGCACGTGTGTGGTACACTTGCATAGATGCCGACTGCAAGGCTTCGTTAGCTTCCGTACGTGTCGATGGACTTCCCCGCGCTCTCTCTCTCTGCGGAAATGTACTACCTAGACACTCGGGCCATTTGCGATATGAAAAGATAATAAATATTGTTAAAATTCATCGGCTATAGGAAATTCCCTTTGTATCCGTGAAATCCATTTAGACATCCAGCCTCTTCAGCTCTTGAACAACTCGCTCTATGTACATCCTTTGCAGCTTGATCGCCACAGAAGGGTCAACCTCGCTATCACCATCAACCAATCCAAAGGCTTCAGGGCCTTTGAGGCAAGCTTTGGTGGCATTGTGATATCTTCTGCCAGCCATTTCCAGTATCTGAGCCAAGATATTGGGTTCGTCCTCCAGAATCCTGGAACGAATCTTGAGAGACTGGCTAGCCGAGATTCCGTCCACGTTGGGAAACCCCATGATAGTCTCTATAGGCCTCCAATGTGCTATCTCGAGTAGCACGATCCCAAGGCTGTAGATATCAAATGTCTTGCGTGATCGATTCTCGTCAGCGAAGGTTGTCTGGCTCGATGGCCAGCGATAGATATCTCGCTTTGGATTTGCATCTGTCTTCTCCAGTGTCTTTGCGGAGTCTGTATCGGGCCGAGAAAGGTCAAATCCCGACAGAATTGGTTCGGTCAGGTCGGGAATGTCTCCGTCGTACAAAAACAATATGTTGTCGCTGCGAATTGCTTTGTGGAGCCAGTTTACCGCATGCAAATATAGAAGACACACTGAAATCCGAGATGCCAACGCAAAACGGTCCGTGAGAGATGGACGCGGGGTGTTCGCGAAAAGGGAGCGTAGACTTTCCGGGGGGCGCACAGTCTCGGTCGGCATGGCGAATATCTAGCCAAAACGGTAGTTCTCGCGTTCATCGATGTACCCCAGACAATTTGGGGTACGAAACTCAGCAGGCTTCGGATGTGCAAGGAGCCCCGAAAGACTTGCTGTTCTTGATGCGATGGCGCTGCGAATGTCCTCGCCCTGTTCTTCTTTCAAACCAGTACCGCCTTTCAAGTCTCTTACATCGTAGCTTTTCCATTCGATCCAGACTCTCCGGGATTCTGGACCGGCCACAGTAGCCATGGTCTCTGAAACACCTTCAGGGATTTGATAGATTGCCATAGTGACGGCACGGGATCCTTCTTCGGGACGGTATTGAATGCGGTCAGATGGTATTGGATTGGCTAAACCGCCCACAGTGTTTAGCTGCTTTAATTTGGCGAGGTCATGCAAAGTTTGCAATTCGTTTCGTAGGCCAACTGTTCCCTCAGTTCGGCTAGCTTGGGACTCTGCAAGAACCAGAACTGCTGCTTGTACCAAAACTATCAGTTCATTTTGTGTCTCTGTTAACTGTACCATTTCCATAAAGGTGGTTTCAACTGTATCCTGAATTGCCTTGAGGCGTGACCCTCCCAAGAGTCCACTCAGTTGGCTGGTCAAGTCGTGCAAGCGGTTCAGAGCGTTATCGAAAGCTGTCTCGTCGACCAAGACCCAAAGGATCCGTTTCGGGTGTTTGAATATCGCGCCAAGTCCACTCAAGGTCTTGCGAACCGGATCCCGGAGCGACCTTCTCGTTTTTCCCTTTTCGTTATACGCCAAGACCAAGGTGGAGATCTCAGCAACGATTTCTCTTGTAGCATCCTTCTGCTCAGCCTGCACCTCTTGCTCAGTTTTGTCAGGTTTGAGTTCCTCATATCTCCCATAAAGCTCCGCGATGCTCTCAAGGATTGTGCGGATGGACGATAGGACTGTAGGAACTTCGAGATGGGACACACTGAGAACCTTGGGATATGTCTCGTGGCGGTTGTCTTCCATCAATCCAACATTCTCTGCCCAGGAACGGAGCCTGTTGTATTCGATTATCAATTTGATTCGTCGTTCCGCGCAAGAATTTGGCATCTGGACAACATCCACCAGAAAATTGTAACCTGAAGGTCCATTTCATATGTTAGAGAAAGATATCCTAAGCAGCCAAAAGGGTAAATAATAGAACCCCACTTACCTCTGATGCAGCCATCGAACAGTTGAAGAGCGAGAGAGACTCCACCTACAACTTCACCCATAATAGCGATCTGATCCGCCCTGTCCTCGAAATGTATATTAAGAATGCCACGGTAGGTTTCGCGACTTGACAAAGGTCGTAATGCAGAGCGTAGAATCCGTCATTCTTTTAGCTGCAAGGCCTCATTGAGGTGTTGATATAGCAGTCGCTGAGTCTCATTACCAGTGGGACACCATAATCGGACATGCGGGAGCGCAGCCCGCAGTTATTACCGTCGCGTTGCACATGATGCATGTCACGGAACATCCACATCCCTAACTGAGACCTGAGGGTAATATGAAGTGGCGGCCAGGTGCTCCAATCTGGTGGGGCAAAATGCAGCATGTCGGCCGCTGGCGCACTTTGTAAGGAATTTTCAATTCTCGTGGGTCCACCTTCAATTAGTTGTGGCGTCATGGCAAGCCATCCTTCCCGATTCAGCGCCGTGCTTCGGGTAGAAAGTCATCTTGTGTTGCCAGCTAGCCGCACTTCAGCCGCACTTCAGCCTCACTTTATCGGAACCACTGTTTGTCTGCATTTTCCCTGTAATTGATTTTTTCAATTTAATCAGGTGTCACAGCTTTGTTACACCACACATCGAGAAGGAAGCCCGCTCCCGAGAAGATTGTGGAACTGAAAGTGATGATCCAAATCTAGTCTTAGGCCATCTCATACTCCTTTTTAGATCTGTTAGTAACATATATGCGCCTCAACCGTGCATTCTCCATGTCTCTTCCTCAGTATTTAGTCTTTTTTTCTCTTGCTATGTACCAAAAATAAGTCTATTTAGTCTTACATAGTATATTTGCAATTTAATCATACATTAACTCTGTGTGAGACAATTTTATAAGTCTTCAGCACAGAATCAGGCCCATAATCCATGTTGCTACGCTTCGGAATCTTCGGTCCCCCGCTTTCCGGCTTTGGTGGCTGCGTGCATTGTTTCGGCTTCACAGCGGGGACGAAAATCGGACCCGCTCAGATATGAAAGCGACACGGATAATCGGTGGTACAAAATACGAATGCATGTAGGAGGCTCAGACAATCAATATTGAGCTACCGTGGACTGGATAATAACCCCACTAGCTAGGATTATTCGATGCCTGCTTCTGCAACAATGATCCAATAAGCAACTATTTTGTGCATTAGGCACTTTCAAAGGAGAACGAGTACTTTTTCTGGTCCTTCTTCGCATACTCTTCGGCCAACCTTAGTGAGGCATTTTTGAGAAGCCACCTGCATCTGAACGCATAGCCATACCACGGTTGGTCACATCCTGTAACCTAGTGAGCTGAATGGCATAGCAATCGCTTGGCCTAGCCAACTTTCTATGGGTGCGTGGACCGCAAGTGCTCTGCGCGGGTAAATATAAATATATAGGTCACTAAACGTTGCCTCTCTCTACCTCAATTGACTCTATCTTGAATACGCACATCACACCTCCCAAGGCAAACCTTGCATTCGGTCTCATACTCTCGTTACTCTCCCATCATAAATCCTCTAATTTGACTTTCTGCTACGATCGAACATACATGAAACCTCTCAACCCAAGATGTCAGATGGATGTGAGGTCCCAAACAACAACACAACAGTACTAAAACAAGGACGATCGTGCCCACTGTTTGGCGAAGTTCCGGCTAAGCTCACCTCGGAGTACTGGCGAGATTGCTGCAAGAAGATTGAGGAACATATTTATCCAGACGACATCGAGGATCAAGATGCACTTCACGGCCGATACAAGATATTGGTCATGATGGGTCATCTGACGCCGGGAGACCCTGAATGGTTGAATCGGCTGTTGAAGCATCCCGGTATGGAGGACAAATTACCGTTGGACGATGACCTCCCATTGTCGGAAGACCAAGTGAAGAATCTTCACGTCGACGTGAAAGATGTGTCTCGTTTCATGGAGCTGCAGAAGAAGTTTTGCGGATTCTATGAGATGAATCACCATTCTGAAATTGAAGATCACATGCTTCCCCCGTTCACGGTTCATAAATCGCTTGGCAATGGTGCTTTTTCCATTGTAGAGGCGGTTGAACTCGTCCACGAAGTTGACGCGCAAAAGAAAACTCGATATGCGCGCAAGAGGCCCAGAGCAGACGATTGCAATTCAGGCTTGAAGGACGAGCTGGATACATTGAAGAGCATGGGACACCATCATCATGTCGTTCGATATGTGGGGTCTTACCAGCATGCTAGGCGCATAAACATTTTGCTTTATCCTGAAGCAAGTCATGGAAACCTCACCAACTACTTGAAGTGGAACACCTTCCTCGAAAGGGCAAAGAAGATGGTCTTAAACAAGTCCTTCGGGTGTCTCCTCACCGGGCTTGGATTCCTTAGCACCACAATGCGACACAAAGACATCAAGCCAGACAATATCCTCATCCATGGGAGGAACGTTTTGTACACGGACTTTGGCAGCGCTTACACCTTCACGAAAGGAGTAAATGGATCCATAACGTCTCGCACGGCTCCCGGAAAGGTCAACTGGATGTACGCCGCTCCGGAGGTTCACATGTTAAATGGAACCAGAGATGTGAAAACTGATTTGTTTTCCCTGGGTTGCGTCTTTGCGGAGATCATAACGGTTCTCTCCGAGAAACAGGTTGCTGATCTCCACGAAATCGTGGGTGGTTCCTATGGAACAAGTGTGAGTAAACTACACGCCTGGCTGGATGGCCTTCCTCAAAACAATGATCTCTCCATACCAGTCACCTGGTGCAAGAGAATGACCCAGCAGGAGCGGTCGGAACGTCCAAAGATCCCAATGTTTGTTCAAGAAGTCAAGGAGCAATGCCGAGAAAAAGACATTCTGGGGAAGTTTTTTTGCCAGGATTGTCTAGACAAGCCAGACAATGAGTTACCGATGGTGGTTGAGGAGGTGGATGAGTCAGAAAGGCAGGATGTTTCGATGGGAAAGAAAACTACCCTTGTCAAAGACATTAACTCCTACGGTTTGCCAGCTCTGAGCAGGGCCGCTCTGCGGAGGCAAATCAACGAAGTGAAAAAGCTTCTGGAGGAGAAGCAAGAGTTAGAAAAGACGGACCCGAACGAGAGGGCGACAGCACTACATTGGGCCGTCGAGGGTGGCGATGCAGAGATCGTAGAGTGCCTCTTGGACAAAGGTGCCAACGTCAACGCTCAGAATCCATTTGTGGGTTCACCTCTCAGCTGGGCAGTACAGAAGGGGTCCACGAATGTGGTTGACCTTCTGTTGAAACGCAACGCCGACGTCAAAGTTAAGAACACTATGGGATCGACCGCATTGCATCTGGCTGCTCAAAAAGGATACATGCAGCTGGTCCATCGACTACTGAAAGAAGGGGCTGAGATCGGGGCGAAAGATAATATGGGACGGACAGCCCTTGCACTGGCAGAAAATAGCGGAAAGGAGGAAGTCGCCAATGAACTGCGTCAGAAAACTCCCCATGAAGCAAAACCGGCTAGTCCTAGACCGCTGCCGCTAAGGTCCTTGTCTAAGAGCAGTTATGGATCTTCGGCAGGTGATTTGGGCCTACTTTCCCCACGAAAAGTGAGATTTGGAAGTCCAGTGCAGCGGCATGCGGAGGAATGATTTTTCGACCATCATTTATAATGCCGTCTTTCATTACTCTATCTTCATTTTCCTTTCATAACATCAAGCATATGTTGTAGTACAGTCACTCATTTTCAAACACTAAATTACAATCTACCCTTTGCTATTTGCTCACACCAATCCTTTAAGTTTATATAGAAACTATTTATTTTGCTGCTTATTCGGGGTAGTGGCGCAATCCAGTCCAGTGACATTAACGGCTTTGAAACTAGAGGATACTCTTTCCTTATAAAACTATATTCGCTTAGTTTAATTAGATCTCTTACGAGTATGAGTACCAAGTAAAATACCATCTGCCATAACCATCGCAAAATAACTCCATATTCCATCTAATTGCTGCCATTTTCGTCTTCCAGCACCACTCCGATCTGCCTTAACCTTTTCCTATCTTCTGGAGATGCCTCTTCCTCTCCATTAATGAGTCCCCGGGCTCGAACGACCACGCGATCTCGAAGAAAATCAGCCAGCAACATATTCGATTCCTCATACTCGGCAGTCAATTCCTCCGTCAGTATGAGGAGTCTGGATCTCATGTATTGTTCTTCCTCTTGTCTCTCCTTCACTTCATCGTCACCAATCCATCGGTTTCTCTTGCAGCAGTAAGAAGAATGCGTAAGCCGGCATGCCTCAAAAAGAACAGCGTGTGTTAATCTCGGTATCGCCCACACCCAGAAGTGAGAACTAAAGTCGGCCTTGCATGACTATAACAAACTAACAAGGTCCGCAAAAACCATCACTTCTCGCTCTGTGTATTTGATATTGTGGTCAGACGTCTCCCTTTCAGTTCTCAGAGAGGCCAGGGCTGGAAAGCACACGTCGATGCAACAGGGGCATTCATGTGAAATTCCGGAGCGAGACGACAGGAGCTGCGACAAAAGATCGATCTTTTCCCCATATGAGGAAATCTGATCTTTACTTTCAGTATTTAGCGAAAGTTCATTGTATGATGGACTGAACAGACGGTGTACATCAGAGTCCGAAAATTTGGATCCTCTCTCCAGGAGCCACAGCATCTTGTCCAAACGTTGTGCTAAAGTTGATTTCCAGGGCCAAAATTCTCGGTATAGATGTACACATTGTCCGCGAATGTGAAACTCTCGAACTTTGGGAACATCCAGTTCGAGTAAAAATTCAGCATTGTGCACGATCTCAGCTCCTTTGACGGTGTTTCCGAACGAGGATCCGAAGACGTTGACACAATGATATTTGGAGATCTCGGTCTTTCCGTAATAGTCCGATGCTTCAGGAATCTGAATGAAATTCTCTTCCATCTCAACAATGACAAGAACTGTTTGAATGTCGTTCATCGGATGTTCAACATAAACTCCCAAAGTTGGGTATTTCTCCGCAGAGAGCTTGGTTTCGGCTCGTTTTCTGAGGACGCCCCTCCTCTGTGAAAGTTCTTTGACGAATATTTGAAATAGCTCCCATTTCGACTGTTCTTCCAGCTGGCGCAAGAGCTCCAGATCAATGCTACTATCTGCTTGAAGCAAAAGCTTTACAACAGAGACGCAGTTGTAGTAGCAAGCATATTCCAATGGAGACTTTTCGGCCCAGTCGCACATGTGAACCAAGAACCGTCCTCCTCTTAAGATAAGGGTCGCCATTCCAATCGGCCAATCTGCTGCTAGATGAAGCACTGTATGCTTGAAAGGGGTGCTGGAGGGCATTTCAGAAGGCGACTGGCTCAGAATCCTCTCTACGTCTCCTAGAGATTTGCGTAATACGGCCAGACAGAGTTTATTAAGCCCCAGCTCTAGGAATACTTAGCTTGATGAGAAAATATTGTTTTATTGGACCTACCTTTTGCTAGGTGCTCATCATTCTTCAATGCTTCAACCACGGAATGGCTTTCTTCCGGGAGAAGGTAATGATTGGCGAAATACATAGAAAGGCCGGCTGGATCATAATCGCAATCTCGATGTAGGGCGATTGTCTTGCGCAGACCATTGAGAAAAGAATATTCACCACTAAAGGGCGAGGACAGGAACAACGCCAACAAGCAGAGATCGAGTGTATGGCTGATAATATGTCAAATATTGTTCAAGACCACAGGGTGCTGGGGAAGAAGCTCTACCATCCTTTTACCCTTTCATTTACCTTGGTACCGAGAGCCAGAAACGCCATAATGAGTTGTCGGACGCGTTCTTGAAAGGCCCCGTCGATGGCAATATTGTGCTCGATCATTCCCGCGACATGCCGAAGAGCCACCTTATTTTGTGACCAATCGTAATACCACAATGTAGTAAGAGTACTGGAGACTTACTTGTAGTACATTTAAACCATGCTCACCGACATCGGTGGGCGCCGCCTCGTCATTCTGAAATAACAGTCTAATTGACTGCAGACCAGCTTCAAATTCCATCCTTCCACGTATTATATCTTTCGTAACTTTGAACAATGGATGGTCGTCCGGTACTGTAACTTTGAACAATAGCGTGGGGTTGATTGAGAGTGTTCCAACAGCATGATTGTAGTTCAAAGCAGCCGTGATATTCCATTTCCTGGACCTGGTCCCAACCTGAAATCTGAGTCCAGCTGCTTCCTCGTGGACTCCGGGAACAAAGTACTGACAGCTTTCGTTATGTTCAACCCTTGACTTACTGGTGCGGATGAGAGTTACGGGACCCAATCTTAGTCGGCGCTCTGTGAGCTTGGTCTGTGCGCGACATCTGCATAGTGAAAGATACGATTCAGGTCCCATGATAGTTCTCTCTCCGGACGCCCGAGGCTTTGAACTGGTCGTACACATGTCGAGGGCCGTCGCCGTGGTATTTTCCGTATTCTTTTGTGACTGTGGTCTCATTGAAGACAACACAAGAGCAGGGACCGCGACTTCCATCAACCGCTGGATTCCTTCTCGCATGGCCCTGACCTCATGCGAGTTGACTTCGATAATATCACGGGTGGTTGATGTGTTCTTCAGAATAACGGCGTTCGAGGACTCGACGGCGGAAAGTTGATAGCTGACAAATGTCAGTGCTTCATGCAGCACCAAGTAATCACAGAGCACTAACATTTGAAGAATCTGCATGGCGGTTGCTAAGTCGCTCTGACACTGGGAGACCGCAGCGCTGAGATCCTGCAGAGTCTTCTGCTTGAAAGGGTATAGCATTCGTCTCGATGTCGTTCTGAGTTTATGCCGGAGATCGTCGGCCGTAGACTCCTGAGTGCACTTCGAAAGAGTGTCTTTCAGTTTCGTCAAAGATGTAGCGCATGCGACAATGTTCTGTTCAACCTTCTCGACCGAGACAGAATGCCTGTACCGTGGGCTCGATAGGCGATGCTGAAGTGCTTCCAGCAGACATGTGAGCCTTTCAACCTTCCCAACCATTTTACCTACCTCATCGTCTTGCCCTTTGAATAAAGAGTAATACTTGACAAGGCCTTGACAGACGGAAATCCCGAGGGAGATGACGCCGACCGCGCTGCCGGCCACGGAGAAAGGGTCCGCCATAATGAAACAAGCGCTAACCGGTGCGCCTAAGGAGAGCTTTGCGAGCACACAGCACTGAGGAGCTGTAGGAGATGTTGGGAAGAAGAGGGGTGAGGGGAAGAGAAAATCAAGGCTGAGAATCTTTGCCACGCATGCAGAGAGCTGACGTGAGAAGTTTCGCACACCTGATCAAATGGCCTGATGTGGCCGCTTCGTGCCATGCATGTAGCTTTCATGTTCCACAGCAGGCTCAGCCATACGGCTCAGCTTCCCAAGTGGATGCACGTTTTCAATCACCTCCGGAACTTCTGAACACGTGATGAAATAGAACATTATTTCGAGCATCGGTTAATATTCACATGGCGAAAGTCGGACCCTACCTGTGAACATGAGACTGCAGCATAGTGATAGATATGAGCCAATGAAGACGGCAGGGCTTGAGGGACGTAGAGGCTATGCTGTCATGCATGCGCTACCCGCAAGGCTGAGCCTCACTCGCTGCGCCACACATTACAATGTTCCAGCAAGATTGTCCGTTGAGAATTTACAGGATAATACGACACTATTGTCTAGTGACCCAAATAGCTTCTGGCGTTGACTGAGGCAGTGTTGATTCGGGCGGGGTTTGGCATAGGAGGAATAGGCTGATGCATTGGCTCCGACCTAAACGATGTGAACCCCGCTCTAGGCAGCCTCGCCGGATGCAGCTGTACATATGCACGTTGACGCAATTTTGACGCCCTTCCTCGGCAGTTTGTGCAGTTTGGGTTTCACCTTTACAGATCGCCATGTGAAGTTTGATTACCCTGCAAGTTGGAGTATTCGAAGCTTTGTATTTGTATGCGTAGCCCCCTCAGCAAAGTTTGCACAGTATCACATCTAAATCGTCATAGCACTCTCACATAACGTGAGAAAGATCTACTAGGCGTAACCAATGGCTGCCGCTAGTTCGACACCATCGTATTACCAGGGTCTAGCACAAGTTTATGGAATGTCGATGTGTGATTTTAGGTAGGACGCTCCAACCTGGAAAGTTGAAGCGACTCCAGCATTGCTTGAATTACTCACACAGTAAGTCTGTTTACCAGGAGATTGGCTAATTCCTTTTAGTAATGTTCTACTAGAAGGTACAGAAGCACCGTAAAGACTAGCATTGCTGTCATTGCAATCGGTAGCTGCAGCAGAGTCCGATCGGGAAGTTCTTTCTGAATGACCATAGTCACCTTCACTACCAATGGTGGGTTGGCACTTTCGATCTCCTTGTGCGGAGATCGTGACTCATCGTTGTGCGATGAATGGGGTAGCAGAGCACGGGTAAAAAGTGTGAGGCGGTGCACTGCGTGCATGCGCTGCTTTGAGAAAAACCGTGGGGCACTTCATGATGCGACAACACAGCCCCAACACTCGGCATGAAAACATTCCAAGCGGAGGCCAGAAACAGAATAGTTTGATGGCACTTAGTGTGTGCTCGTCCGCTCGCTTAAGCTCGCCGACTTTTCCAGATTTGGAGATGCTCCATGTAGCGCTTATGCTTGTTTACGTGCTTTGTGAGTCACGACTACTTGTTGCCTACCTGTCTCACATACTCTCTTTTGCCACCAGCTCCCTCGCTCTCTGCATCGCTTCCCAGGAATATATTATATCCTCCGCTTTCTCCCTTGTAGCTTGTATCGCGGCTTCGTTCACTTGCACGTTAGAGTTTCATCATGGCTAACAACAACGGCGCATCTTCTGCTCAGAGGCACGGCTCAACTGAACATCACTCGTCTTCAAATATTGGTCTAGGTGCCAGCACCTCCTCCAACGTCGATGGCACCCAATCTGCTTCTGTTCAAGAAAAGCCCATAACGATCAAACAGCGTAGGACACTCCTCAGCTGTTAGTCCTGTCACTTTCATGCCACTAATTTGCTCATTTCGTATAGGGAAGAAAGCTGAGGGGATGAAGAGATATACCTCCACAACATATCACTCTACTCATACGCACCAGTCCAGCCCTGAAGCAGAACAGCCAGAAGCCGTGGAGGAGACACCGCCTGGAGACAAGAAGAGTGAGGACAGAACATACCACTTTCCAGAGTTAAAAAGCTGACTCCAACCCAAATTAGTCCTCAGGCCGATCGATGCAGCCTACATACCACAACCCGTGGAGTCGGCATGGTATGCATGGTGGAAGAAGGCCGGGTTCTTCGAGCCGCGGCCGGGCGACGATGCCGAAGTCTTTTCCATGCCCATGCCCCCGCCCAACATCACCGGAGCTCTGCACATGGGCCATGCCTTGGCCATTTCCATCCAGGACACACTGGTGCGCTGGAATCGCATGCTGGGGAAGAAGACGCTCTGGACCCCGGGCTGCGACCACGCCGGTATCGCGACCCAGAATGTTGTGGAGAACATGCTGTTGAGACGTGAGGGAAGAACACGGCATGACATAGGCCGGGAGAGGTTCATTGAACTGGCTCACGAGTGGAAAGAAGAGCACCATGTACGCATTAATGATGCGCTCCAACGCATGGGTGCCTCCGTGGACTGGACCCGCGAGGCCTTTACCATGGATGACAATTTCACCGCTGCTGTCCAAGAGACGTTTGTTAGACTCCATGAGGAGGGTCTCATATACCGCTCCGATCGGCTGGTCAACTGGTGTCCGAAGCTCAACACGGCCATCTCCAACCTCGAGGTTGTTAACATGGAGATTGGGGGGCGCACGTTCCTCGATGTTCCCGGCTACGAAAAGAAAATCGAATTCGGTGTGTTGCATCACATCAACTACCCTATCGTGGAGCCGGGTGGCGCAGAGACCATCGAGATAGCCACGACGCGCCCTGAATCCATTTTCGGAGATACCGGCATCGCTGTCCATCCCCAGGATAGCAGGTATCAGGAGCTGATCGGGAAGCACGCCAAGCATCCGTTTCTGGATCGCCTCCTTCCCATCGTGGCGGACGAGAGCGTCTCGATGGACTTTGGCACTGGGGCCGTCAAAGTCACCCCGGCTCATGACTTCAACGACTTTGCCGTGGGCCAGAGACACGGCCTGGACATCGTCAGCATCTTCAATGATGATGGAACTTTGAATGATAACGCGGGCAGCTTTTCCGGCATGAAGCGCTTCGATGCTCGGCCCGCAGTCATTGAGCAGCTCAAAGCCGAAGGGCTGTACGTCAAATGGGTAAGCAACCCGATGAGTGTGCCACTCTGTGATAGATCCAAGGACTTCATCGAGCGTCGATTGAAACCACAGTGGTGGATGAAGACGAAAGAAATGGCGAACGCAGCAGCCCAAGCCGTCAAGGACGAGCAAATCAAAATTCTGCCAGAGACTGCAGAGAAGAGCTTTAGCCGTTGGATGGATGAGTGTCAAGACTGGTGCCTTTCCAGACAGCTATGGTGGGGCCATCGGGTTCCAGCTTACTTCGTCGACATCGATGGACAGCCTGCCAATGACGACAACGCTCGATGGGTCACTGGCCGGACGCAATCTGAAGCACGAGCCAAAGCGGCCGCCAAGTTTCCAGGCCAGACCTTTTCTCTCCGTCAGGATCCCGATGTGTTGGACACTTGGCTTTCTGCAGCACTCTGGCCGTTTGCTTCGCTCGGCTGGCCTAAGGAGACGACGGATTTGAAGACTTTCTATCCACAGTCCGTTTTGGAAACCGGATGGGACATTCTCTTCTTCTGGGTTGCTCGCATGGTCATGTTGGGTCTCAAACTGACTGGCCAGGTTCCCTTCAAGGAGGTGTACTGTCACTCTTTGGTTCGAGATTCGGAAGGCAGGAAAATGTCGAAGTCTTTGGGCAATGTGATCGACCCAGTCGACGTCATGGATGGTATTGAGCTCGAGCAGCTCCATGCTAAGCTGCTCACGGGGAACCTGGATCCCAAAGAGCTTGCCACTGCCACCAAATACCAAAAGACGTCATTTCCTCAAGGCATTCCTGACTGCGGCGCCGATGCGCTTCGCTTTAATTTGCTGTCATACATGACGGGAGGTTCGTATAAACAACACTCCATGCACGAGACGAAGCTAACAAAACCTAGGCGGAGACATCAACTTCGACGTCAAACTCATCCACGCCAACCGCCGCTTCTGCAACAAAATCTTCCAAGCCACCAAATACGTCCTCGGCAAACTCGGCCCCGACTTCACCCCCAGCCCTAGCCCCACCGCCGCCGCCGCAAACCTCTCCCTCGCCGACCGCTGGATCCTCCACAAACTCACCACCGCCTCCCGCGCCGCCAACGCCGCCCTCGCCGCCCGCGACTTCGCCAGCCTCACCGCCACCCTCTACCAGTTCTGGGACACGGACCTCTGCCGCGTCTACATCGAGAAGACCAAACGCGTCTTCCTCCGCGGCACGGACGAAGAGGCGCTGGCGGCGAAAAACACACTGTACGACGTGCTCGACGCCGGCCTGCGGCTCGTGCACCCGGTCCTGCCGTTCCTGTCCGAGGAGATGTGGCAGCGGCTGCCGCGGCGCCCAGGCGACGTGACGCCGTCGGTGATGGTGGCGAGGTATCCGGTGTATGATTCGGGTCTGGATGACCCGGCAGCGGCGGAGGCGTACGAGCTGTTGCTGTCTGTGGCGAAGGTGGTGCGGTCGTTGCTGGATCAGTATGCGGTGAAGCAGGATGGCGTGGTGTATCTGCAGCTGTTTGATGGGGCGGCGGCGGATGTGTGTAGGGAGCAGTTTTACACCATCCGCTCGCTGGTGGGGAGGAAGGTGACGTCGTTGACGCTGCTTGGGGCGGATGATGATGGTCCTGCGGGGTGCATTCCGAACCCGGTTTCGCGGACGGCTACGGCGTTCTTGCAGCTCAGGGGCCAGGTGGATGTTGATGCTGAGGTTGAGAAGGCGACCAAGAAGCTTGGAAAGGCCAAGGAGGCGTTGAGGAAGCAGCAGACTGTTATGCAAAGTGAGAAATATAAGACGAAGGCTAGCGATAGGGTAAGGGAGATAGAGGAGCAGAAGCTGGAAAATGCGCAATCGGAGGTGGAAGAGTTCTCGAGGACTTTGAGTTTGTTTCAGGGGTTAAATTTAGAGTTGTAATGCATTCATCAGCAAACCGTCTACACTCTTGAATATCCAATTGCCAAAATAGCGTGGTTTCTAGAGTACACAATACGCTACCAAGGGATCCTCTCAGCCTTATTGATGAAGTATCCGGCGTCCGCGTCCCGCTCCCCATTGATGATGCTCAGTATCCCAAGCGCAGACTCTCTTGGATCTTGGGCACCATTGTCCCTCATCTGCTGCCTGCTCTCCTCGCTGTCACCCCACCCGTTTGTTACTACAAACCCAGGGCAGTAGCTCCACACCTTCGCGCCCCACAAGCCGAACTGCGCCGTTTGACAGACGGTCAACATGTTCAGAGCAGCTTTGGACATTCGATACGTCACAGCTTGCTTGAATGCCCAATCGAGGCCTTCCTCCCTCAACAGCGTCGTCGAACCAAGGGAGCTGCTGACATTGATGATGCGAGGATCCTTGGACTTCTTGAGCAAATGGACGAAGGCATCAGTGACCAGAAGAGGGGCGAAAGTGTTGACCGGGAACTCCTCTTGTAGCTGGTTGGCGTAGTCCGTATCGTACGACATCAGTCCCGCATTGTTGACCAGCACGTCGAGCTTTCCGAAGTCTTCTTCGATAACTTTCGCTGCGGCCGCGATGGATGCACCGTCCTGAACTTCCAGCTTCACGGTCGAAACCGTGCCGGGGAAGCCCTTCGCTTTCAGATCATCTACAGCTTTCTGGCCCTTGATCGCTGACCGGGCTCCGATGATGACATGGAAAGATGAAGAGTGCTCGGCAATGATAGTGGCGCTTGCAAATCCAACTCCAGCATTCGCCCCTGCGGGAATTCTCAGTCACTAAATCTCTGAAGACTTTGCAAAATGGAGCCAAAAAATACCTGTAATCAGAACGATCTTTTTCTCTGGAACCATGTTGCTCTTGAAGGGTTTGAAAAGGCAAGTATTGTATGATTTCTGTCTCTCTGGAGCATCCTAGAGAGATTATATACCCACCATGTTGGTGCATATCATTACTAATCTCCTATTCCCTAAACGCCGACACAGCGACACCGGCCAAAATCTCTTCTTAAGCTTGGTCATCTATTGTTGATGACGACTACAATGTGGGTCTTCTCTCCGAGTTCCTGTGCTCTCTGGGCCTTTCCAAACGTCCGAGAATCCGAGTCAGAATCGTAGAATAGTTTCACAGCTGACATTATGTGGTGCACGCTATGCTGCTGCAATTATCTCCGGCTTTCGACTATGATTTCAAACATTCGACAGAGTCTTATGCAGTAATGCAGTTCATTGCCTTGTCAAAGGTGACGCCATGATTGATGAAAGTTGTGTCAAGGCGGGCGGGATGCGACGACTTGTCACCGTGGTGATAGGTTACTCGTAGGGTGATTATAGAACGTAAGCATTCAACCCCGCTGTTCAGGAACTGGTATGTGTTACGCTATTAAGATGTTAGCGATCGGCCTGTCTTGCCGTCTTGGCTCGGAGCTTCGGCTCTAGATAAGCACGAGTAACACGTCACACTCTGCCCGGAGGCCGGACCGGAGGCCAACTCAAATCCGAATCGGCATCCGTGCACTCTCCACTACTTCGGCTCTCGCTGCCATGCGAATCATATATAATATTCCTGAGGCCCGAAGTCTGCCGCAGTGGTGATTCTTCAGAACTTAGAAATAAATAGTCACTTTATCGTTGCATGATAACGTTTACCCGTACATTCTTTCCATCAAATTTGCATCCCAATCCACTTCAAAGGAAGATAGGAGGATGTCAAGTCTTATCACGCGATCGGTCTTCCACATGCTTAACTCGTTCCCGAATGCGTTTAAAGTACGGCTGTTATGTCAAGCGCTACACTCGGTCTTAAAGCCCAGTCCTCTCCCCCCTTAAGACAGTTTCTTCTCCGTCTTCTTGGTATTCCAAATGTTCGACTCTAGCCGTTTTCATGACTACTCTAGCAACACATATACTGCACAATTTCGCCAATCCTGTCTCTTCCATGACCACTGAAAATAAGAAAAGCCGAACCCAGTATGACTTCATTTCCATTAGTGAGGGGGAAATTGAGATCGGAATCCTAGGTAAGAAATAAGGGGAGAACTTTTCTATTGAATAAGTGAAACCACAGCTGCGGTTAGCGGATGGTGTTTATAGGTATCAAAACGTGCTACTGTTGGCTCGGGAGTGGAGATAACATATCAGGCGGAACTTGGCCGCATACACAAACGGTTTTGGAAAGCGTCCTCCCCTTTGATAAAGGTAGTGCGTTGGGCCTTGCGACGCACAAATCGAGATCTTATATTCTTTTCTTGTTGTGTCCTGTAAAGTCACTGTCCAGCGTCTTAGTTAAATACCTCGCTTAAATAGGTTATTCGCTTATCGATTACCTCATATACTTAGATCCGTCTTTGGCCAGATCAAATTATTTGTAAGCTATAAGGTTTATCGATTGCGCCTGGAATTCCAGTTCTTCACTTGGAAGGCTTACTGCACTTGCTAACGTCGGTACAACGATTGCCTAGCCATCTGGGGTCCCCACATTTTGCTTTAGCTTACAAAGCGCCCGTATACGTGGCTATGTCGTGACTTCTACGGCAATTCCAGGTGAAGAGAGTCATGTCACGATTGTCAGATGCTCGATTGGTAATCACTCATTGCTTGTGGAACCGCCGTCCAAGCACTTGGTGCCTGCACACCACTTCACATAATTGCAATCTATTGTAGATCCCGGATATTGGGATTCTCAGACGGAGTTAGCGACCAGTCGACGAATAAAATGTTGATGTTAGTCATCTCAACGGGCGCGATCAGGCTGTCTTGGCTCGGAGCTTCGGCTCTAAATAAGGACGAGCTGTTGCTCGTGATCAGCGGCTCCCGAATCCGAGTTAGTATCCGAGTTTGCGAACTCCGACCAATGAGAAGCTTGCAAACGTGATCATTTACAAGGCTAGAATTTCCTAACCGGGAGAAATGATGGGCTACCCGCCCGATCGGCCGCGTCATGGACAAACGGCGGTGGCACCCCTGATAGCAGGCCACCAAGACCCCACTGCTTGGCACGCTAGTTGCGGGATAGGTCTGCCTGTATGCATGAGCATTGCGGAGTTAGGGCGGATAGTATTGCAAGTGCTCGAGCAAACACCAAGAAGCTTCCGGACGCCGGAAGCCGACTCAATTCGGATCGTAGTCTGTCCTTTGACGTCTATGGTTGTTGCGAACACTACGCAGCTAGATATATATATATTGGAAGATGAATCTGTAATGGAAAGCCGCTCAATCACTGAACACACCTGTCTGAGAATCACCTGGAGACCACTGCAAAAACAAGTTGCTCGATCTAAATTTTGGTATTGAACTGCACATTCCTTGCAACTGTCGTACTCTTGCCACTGACCAATTGTAGGAAAACATGGCCACCGCCTCCAACATTTGTCTCACTGGCAACGAGAAGTTGTCCTTTGCCATCACACCGCTGAGGCTCGACTCGGCCAGCAAGGCATCGGAACTTCTGAACGTGAACCATGTCAAGTGGGACACTTACCTGAACGACCAAGGTCACCACGTGCGTTCAAGTCATCCTGTTCCCATCCGTGCTCATTACTAAGCTTCGGCTCCGCAGAATCACCTAGTCCACCACATCCTCACTCTCTACGCCCTCGGCGCCACCCCCGACGAGATCCAAGCCGCCTACGACGAAGATGTCAACCACCAGCGAATCGCCTTCCCGCCCTACCAGAAGATCATCGACGAGATCCACACCCCGGCCGGCTTCAACAAATACCTCGGCGACTACACGCAGTACACCAACTACCTGGTCTACTTCACGGCCGAGGTCGAGGCCAAGGGCGTGCCCAGGGTGCTGGACGAGTATTTCTTCGCGGGCGATGAGCGCGCCAACGACATGCTCTCCCGCCTCTTCGTCGGCTTCGGCCACGCCTTGATCCACCTCGGCTACGCCATCGAGTTCCGCCAGCCCGCCCTCGTGGCGGAGGCGCTGGCGCAGACGGCGGTGCATGAGCCCTGGGGCAAGGATTTCTTCGAGGCGGCCGAGCGTGCGGGAGAGGTTCACAAGAAGGCCGCTTCGGGTACTGACGCGACCATGCTGGAGTTGCTGGAGGAGACGCGCCAGCAGATCTTGCAGCAGCCGGAGGCGGCGGACTACGGGTACAGGGACAACTGCATCAAGTACGGCATCGTGCATCTCGGATCGGAGCGCCTGCTGCCCGTCCTCGCGAAGTGGGTCGTTCGGAGTGAGGATGATCTCGCGCAGAAGACGGCAGAAAACATCGACGCTTCTGGTACGTTCGATCCTTCCAACCCCCTTTCCCTCAACCATCCCATTCCCCCCGAGCAGCGCCTCAACCCCAGCTGCCACGCGGAATCAACGTCCTAACTAACATCCCCTCCCCCACAGTATTCTACAACGTCGCCGCCCAGCACCCCCCGCACATCCCCAAGATCGACTTCTTCTACCTCCACTCCACCACCGTCTCCGTCCACTTCATCGACTTCCTGACCAACCCCTGGCTCTCCCCCGCCGCGCGCGTCCGCCTGCTCGAATGGAAGGGCCGCTGGGACCTGGCCAACTACGCCTCGCGCGGCGCCGCGCAGCTGCTGCGCGACGAAGTCGCTGCCTACCCCGCCGACCGCGGCGGCTGGGACAGCGTCATCGCCCGCGCGAACCGCTACATCCACGAGGAGGATAGCGGACATACGGCGAAGATGATACGTGCGGTTGTGGCGGGCTGGAGGTTTTTGGAGGGGAGGGAGCGGAAGGGCTTCGCGCTGGAGTCGGAGGAGATGTGGCTCAAGGCCGCGTCGCTCGGGATGGATTCGGTCGAGGCGGGGTCGCCGGTGTGGGTGAGGGGCGCGGGGTTTGAGGAGGGGTGGGCGGATATTCCGTTGAGGGAGGGGAAGAAGGCGAACTTGTGATGATGAGGTAGTCTACGGGTCTTTAGTTGCTGGTGTCACGCTCATTTATGTTAGAAGTGGCATGTTTGGCGCGCCACATGCCCACTGTTTTGCAGGTGTGCCGTATTCTATTTCGCAATATGGAAGACTGGAGGTGACCATTGTTTGCAATCCTCTTCGAAATCCGCATGTCTCACTGTTGTGTCTGAGATTCCTTCTTCAGCACTCAAGGGCTTTTACTCGATTGTGACTTGTTGAGTCTCAGCCGACTCGAACGGATGACCAGCGGATTTCGCCAAGACAAAAAGGCCAACCCGTACGAATTTCTCTTTCTCCGTTTTCTTGTCCACATCGAGGCCGATTCCCTCTCTGCGCAACAGGAGCCCTGCTCTTCTTGTCAACTGCAGCATGAAGATTGGTTTGACGTAGCTTCCGGGCCTATTTGGAGTCCAGGCCTCTGTGTCAAACCAGCAGCTGACTCGCAGGGGTGAAGAACGGTCATTGAACTGATCGCAGCTAATGTCGTACGTGTATTCAGAGGATGCTTTGGTACAAAAGCTCCAGTTGATCCGTAGGATTGGCGCCTCTATGATCAAAGAGAAACAGCCAACATATCCTCCAAACCTTTCACTGGGATGGCCAAAGCCCAATTCATGAGGATGCTCACTAGCTCCAACAACCCTGGCGGTGCTGACCACATCCTGAGGCCAGTAGTGGACACAGCGTCCTTCACCGGAGGCCCATGACCATGTAGGAGCATGTTTCCACTCATTCCAAGCGTCGACATGGCTTGGCTGTAGCCGATACCAAAGAAGGCCGCGTATAGAGTCAGTAACCCATAAACCCGCAGCATAATTTCCACCGCCGAAGGTTTTGGCACTGATACGGGCAAGAGCGTCTAGAGCTATGAGTCTGTCGCTTGGGACGGTCAGACGAAAGCTGGAGAATAACTCGACCGTGCGATACCAGTTCAAGTGCCCATCCGTATCCGACAGAGTCGCGCGGCGTTCTAGACCCGATTCCCAAACTACTCTTTCTTCGCATCGCATGTACACTTGTTCAGTGCGTAGGAAGTCCTCTCGGGCTTGGAAAACCAGGTTCCGTGAGACCAATCTGGTTTCCTGGAGGATCCATGCCGGAAGTTGGGGCGGAGAAATGAAATGGAACGAGTTTGGATAGTACTCGGGATTCAGACCACACATGTTGTAGAATGCCTCGCTGGCAGGCCACTTGATTGTGCAGTCTGCCAATCCGTCCTTGAAGCGATAATTCGGAAATCTAGAGGCATCCATGTGCGCTGGTTGGAGTGAGACAGATGCAGCACGAGCTCCAGCAACAATGTTCAGATATGAGTTGGTGTATATGGAAGGTATCTCGTTCAGCATAATCAATTTGTCTTCCTGGTCATCTTGAACAATGCAGACCCTGTCAACCCACAGGAAACGGATTCCTAGACTCCTGGTAATTGTGATCACATCCATGATGACCGGAGGGATTTCCTCAAGTGGAATGCTTGAGCGATACTGCTCCATTCTCTCCCTAGTAGTAAAGCATCCTGGCGAATGCGATTCCGGTCCCGATTCCCAGCAATAGGATAGCGTTGCATAACGCGGGGGAGCGTCGAGAGAAGGATCGATAGTGAGAAGGCGCGGGTTTTTTGAATCATCCCCAACCTCTACAAGGCGGTATGGTTTCCGGATACGGGGTGTTCGTATGCAAGAAATATGTTCAATTTCACACGTTCGAAGCCATTGAGATATTTTTGAGATGAGAGCTCCGTTCGGGGCAAAATATTCCGGAGGCCTAATCGGACCTTTGAGAGTGCTTATACCAGCTATATTATCCTATTAGTACCATGATCGCGCAGTCTCCCATAATAACCTACCTGAATACTCGAGGCTCAGCCTCCCAATCAAATGGGCGCATTGAACTACTAGGAATGGATCTCGAGTAGGATCGCAGTAAAGGATAATGCTAGAAGATTCTGCTTTTAATGCAATAGCTTTGCTTGCAGTAATCTCTGCCTTGGTCGTCTCCGAGTCTGTTCGAGTGGGCCACTGATGAGACCGTCTTGAAATCCATTGATACACAAGTGAATTCAAAATCAAAATACACAAGGAACAGCCAGAACCGGCCGAGACTCGAAGCTGTTGGAAGTTCCAGTGGTGACGCTGTGGGTTCTTGAGATCCCCAAGCTTCAGTTGCTTACAAGCACTGCAAGGGCCTACTTGTCGATGACGCTTGTTTCGAGTGCCAGGTTTCTGGTGGAGCGACTCTGGCGGTAACAATGGATTGAACGGCGTGGGAGGCTGAGGATATGTCATGGAGCGGTAAGCGTGGGGAGCCGAATGCGTGATCTCAAGTAACAGAGATTCGATCCTGGACTGGTGAAACTCCTTGGCCTCGTCTGCGTGGAAATACCAATTATCAACCGCGTACTGAAAAAGTGGCCATTCCGTGTTAAGAACTGAGTCCTTTGTGACCGAAGATGCGCGCGTACCAACATGCACTCCGTACGCGAGCAAATTTTCAGCCATCGTCAAGGTCGCATCGTTCTCAACGATGCTGAAGAAGTTCGCTGAGCTTTCCTTGATGGTTTCGCTAAGAAGATACTCTTTGACACTTGAATGAGCAAGACGTATCTTGGATGATGTGGAAGGAAGAACCTTTCCAGACAACTCCTGAGCAACTCGATCAGTGTCGAGGGCTATATCTTCCCATGAATTTTCAAGTTCAGAAAAGTCCTCAAACACAATCAAAGGGCCACAGATATCGAGGATATCCGTGGGATCACACAGTCGGACCGACTCATCAAAGTACGGCTCTGTGCGTGAGTTGACCGGGATCGTGTGGGCCAATTCGGCCAATGTGAGGGACCTTCTGGAGAGCGTAACCGATTCAAGGATTCGTTTGGCTCTCTCTTGATCATCCAATCGAATCGTGCGTAAGAAGCTTTCGTATGTCCCGTTCAACGTTTTCGGAAGGGTGTCCAGGACATGGTAGAGTTCCTTCGAATTTCGACAGCGTCTGATATCGGAGATAGGAACGGAAATGTAGCGGAAGCTGTAGAGATGGTTAGTGTGATTACAGACAGACGGGGGGAAGTAGATCCATACATTCCCTCTGAGCTTTTCACAAGGTCATGTATAATCCGCTGCTTATCTTTTTCAGACCACATCCTCCTGCTTCTCTCAAGCTCTTTCCTTAGATAACGTTCTATGTCTAGCTTGACTTGGGCGTTTCCTACTTCCATGAAGAAGAGCTCCGCTAAAGGTCTGAGAGTGGGGAGGATGTGCTGAATAGATGGAAGCTCCCGGCTGCTTAGAAGCAGATGTACCCCGGTAATGTTCCAATGAACCAGCGTCTCGATGAATTCCAGTGTGATGTCCAGCTCTTTACTTTCATCCAATGCATCAATAATGATGAAGACAGACCGCTGTAGTGTCAGAAGGTCTTTGAGGAGGTCATATAGTTCGTCGAGGTACGGTTCTCGATTGCCTCGACCCGCATTGTTGTAGTACTTCTCGGCCATCTTTCGCGTGATTTCAGTCGACGCTCCAATCTGATAGATAAGACTTCTCAACAAAGTGTCGAAGCCTTGGGTCCGAGGATCGGTAATAGTCACGTAGTAATGAGCCACAGTGACACTAGCACGGTTGGAGCGCTCATATATCAACTGTCTAGCGACTGAGGAGCTGAATTGCTGTCAGCACTTCCCCAAGTTGGGAACTTGGAAATGTTACCAAAGCATTGTCTTGCCACATCCCACTATACGTTTTAGTAATTTGCCTGATATCAAGTCTAGTCGAGCTTACTCTTTCCGCGCAGCCACATCACAGAGTTAGGAGTTTCCTTCCATCGAGTGAGATCAGCGCTTTGCAACAGCCACTGTCCCGTGAATTTTTCTTTCCTCTCGTTTTGGGTCCGGTTGTATAGACTGGTTTGGTCCAGCGCAAAGTTGGGCATGAAAATCCAAGATTTGATCTTGGACCACAGCTCATCTCCGGCTGCATGAACATCTGAGAACATTAAGCACAACATACCTTTTGTCTACGAAGATACTTACGAACTAAGTCACCCATGTGCACGTTCTGTGTACCACTCTGGTTCACGATATCAATTCCAGTGAAATTCCTTGAGCCTCCCTGGAGAGCCATAGCGATACACGGTGTGTTGAGGGCAAGATTAAACGGTCAGAACATGCGAATGAAGCAAAATTGGGACCAGAAATTCGTGCAGTGACAGACCTCAGCCTTGAGCTCACTGAGATTGTTCCCCGATTGTGCGGTGTGAAAATACCCCACTAATTACCTACATTGATGGGTATCAGTCAGCATTTCTCATGTATGCATTGTTGTCCAAATTTGGCAGTTGGCAGCGTGAACAGGGTAAAATAGCCAATCAAGACGCATATCATCGAGTGTGCAGGATACGCCTTGCGTGACAGCCCACAGGAATAATGTCAGCGCTAATACAGATCGGTGGTTGAGTGGCAGCCTCACTACGAGGATCTGGAAATAAATGGTGGGGGTTCCGGCCTGCCGGAATAAGGCTGGCTTACGGGATGAGGCCCCCAATCATCGGAGGTGTGATATCGCGGAATCCCGTTTACTGCAATACTGGTAAGAGAAAAGTCTTATTGACATATTTCAAGGGGGAAATTACCAAACAGGACATCTGGCGTCCTAAATAGAACCTATTGCACCGTGCGCATTTTTTGTTTGCCTTATCTGGCTGGAGCTACGCGTGGGCTGCCTGGGCTAACCGCGCTACCTACGCGACTAGAAAATTACGTGGGTCGCTTATCGGGTTACTTACTAGAGCGAGGATTACGGTATTATCAGCCTTACTAAGGCTTACGCCGCCTCAACACCATAGTATTAGGGCTTCCGCCGCCTCGCTGGGGCTACACCGCCTTATACTAGCAATTTAATATCGCTAAATAATCCAGCTGGCGACCCAAACGATGCAAGAGGTCCTGTTTAGACACTAGAGGTCCTGTTTGGACGGGGAATCGCGGAAGAGATCCTATTTGGTAATTTCCCCTAGTTTAAGGTCTTTAGTGGAGTCTTCCCCTCTCCGTCAATGATGATGATCACAGAATTTGGACTTTGTCTTTACCCGTGTTCAAAAGACTTCTGACCTTCACCCTCCCCGCTCCCCAAAACAAAATGGCAGAGGCTGCAGAACTCGGTATCGGCGTCGTCTGCCTTGCCGGCTTGTTTAGCACTGCTGTCCAATGGTTTGAGCACGTTCAGACCGGGAAGGATTTTGGGATCGATTTCCAGTCGGCCCAACTGGAGCTTGAAATTTGCCGACTGAGAGTTCTCCGATGGGGCGACGCCGTGGGGCTCACGGAGACCTTCACTGAGGCGCGTGCTCTACCAGCCGGTGTTTGGGAATCGGCTGAGGATGTCCGCTTCGCTGAAAGGACGCTGGGGCAGATCAACAATCTTTTCGAAAAGATCGACGATGCATCGAAGAAGTACATCACTACGCTCACTGCCACCGCCGTCTACGATCCCGATCGTGATCTGGACCAAAAGTACATGAATCTTCGCCAGTTCATGCAGAACGCGGCAGTGAACCGACAAAAGACCATGTCCTTCAGGAAGAAGTTCCAGTGGGCAGTTCACGGAAAGTCGAATCTGGACAAACTCCTTGCGGATGTCAAGAGTTTGACTGATGCCCTGACGACAACATTCAAGGCGACCAAGCCCCAGCAGCAACAATTCGCTAAGATGGAGCTTGAGGAGGTTAAAGACGATAATCTACCACAGCTCGAAGCGGCCTCGAGAGACCATGACCCAATTTTGAACGAGGCGGTCGGAAACGCAATCGAAACGCTTGCGAGCTATCAGAACCGGAAGTTTGAAGTCTTGGACGGCGCAAAGGCTTTGGTTGGCCATTCTGTGGCCAACGGCTATGAGGGCCCCAGCTTGGCGGTCGACTATACCTTTGAGGACTGGAAGGCTTCGGGGCAAGGTACTACAGTCCAGTGTGGAACAAGGCACGGTGGGAAGGACATTTTCGAATGAAAATTCCGACCATCCGCCCCGCCTGACGTGTCTTGCCTTGAGGCCAATGGCTTGCTCATTGTTTATTCTGTTTTCTCGGTTTGCTCCTTCGTGGCTACCGCAGCATTGTCCTTTCTTGATCAGGTTTACCTTCGCTCGTTTGAAACTGGCATGTTACTACTACTGGCTAGTAGTTAACATCAGTTTGCGTTCTTTAAATTTATTTGCTCAATACCGTTTCCATTCTTTATTGCTGTTTACCTTATTCAAAGGGACTGCAATGTCGACGTACTCAAGTCCACACCATACAAGCAGGTTATTTTCCTACTGCTATCGAGTTAGCAGCAGAACTTAAGCGCTGTTAGCCTCATGCTCTACTGGCACAAGATGACAACGTAGGCATGTACTACTACCGTAAGCCGAAAAGTCTATACTAACATGTACAGACAATAGCGATCGGCAGAATATCAGATGTTAGGCTCAGGGATTGCGTAAACACAGACTCGCTTTCTTTCGACTACGGATTAGGGCTACGTGCAATCGCTTTTCAAGAACTAAGTCGTACGACTTGGCGCTGGCGATGTTCCCTACATTTTATGTATTTTTCCCCAGTACATAAACGAGATGCCGTGAGCCTAATGGGAGTTCTGTAGACCGGCTGAGGAGAAACATTGGAAACACACTGTTGGGAAACTGGGAACCTTATCGTCCCCAGACAGATTTGGGACACATCGACGCGTGCTACCAACCACGGTATCGCGCGATACTCTTCGGAATGAATTAAAGCCGTCTCACCATTTTCTGAGGCCGGTAAGATACAAGGGGGCCCTGGGGGCATTGCAGGCTGAGTGCAAGCTTGAGGTGCGTGATCGGAGCAGAGCCAAGAAGAGGCGTTAGCAGCGTACCGAGGCTGGGGTCAATGACGGGACGTGCCGCAAGGCTATGGCGCGGGATAAAAACGCAGCCAACACAGCACCATTCCTGAACATGACCCAGCATCAGCTGCATGTGCCAGTCCTCAGTGGTTGCGACTCCATTTGCAGTCACTCGCACGGGCGGCTCGAAGCGGTGCAGGCAGCAGCAAGCAAGCTTTCGACCCTTTAGCTCACCAACAAGGCTGCCGCGGTGGGGTCTCCGCGCCATCCAAACCGAAATGAGTAAATCTACCGATGCAATAGCGGAAGTCTTGCCGTTGTTATCAGCGATCAGACTGATCAGGGTTTAGACAAGTGGGGGCCAAATACGCATATAGTTAGTGCTTGTCGCAAGGGAAGAAGAGCTAAGCTGACGTGTTCGAACGGCGGGATATGTTAAGAAGCATAGGATTTTCCATTCGTTCAACTGTCTGTCGTTCGTATCAGTCTTTTTTTTTTAGCATTCCGATATTTTCTTTCTACCACAATGACAAACTATAAAACTCGTAAACGTGACGACCCAGTTCTCTGCGACTCCTGCAAGAATATTTCCCTGCCCTTACTAGCAGCCTCAAGCCGATTTCAGTGCGCATCAAATGGAAAACAGCTCAGGAAAAAGGCTTTCTACTGCGGACTGTGTGGGTTGATATACAGGTACCTCAGCAGGAATCCACCCATGAATGATATCCACAATCTGGGGGCGATATTCCTGTCACTACGTCAGAAGCCTTTGCCTGGCCGTCTAAATGCAATGACGTCTATTGCACGGTCTCTGAAGATAGAAACTGCAACTGGAGATTCCATCGGAAGTTCCCTTGATGGAATTGGAGTCTTTGTCAAAGAAGGTACGGCATTTACATGTATCATCCTTTAGAATCTCCGCGGGAACGTGAAGACATAATTTTAACGACAGGAATGCCTTTTGCTGATTTTTTACTCTTTGATACAGGCGATGCAACACGCAATGAGTTTCAAATATCGGCCTGGAAAGAGTTATCGACAACATCATCCGACGAAAGTTTCCGACAAGCACTTCAATGGCTGGAAAGCTGTGTTGGGAATCACAAAGAATGCTGCCCGCATCCCATCTTCAAGGAACGCTCATTGAACACAGTTCCGTCGCGACTCATCGACACCAAACCATACGGAACAGAATCAACTGAAGTGAGGCTCGTGGCGAATATTGACTTCATGCAACCGTATGCCACTCTCAGTTACAGATGGCCCCCTCGCGGAGGTCAGTACGTGACAACAGAGGGGAATTTGAAAGAACGCACAGAACGGTCAATACCTCAGGACAATCTGCCACAGACCATCCGGGATGCCATACGCATAGTGCAGAGGCTGGAAATTCGCTACCTTTGGGTTGATGCTCTATGCATCTCGCAAGACAACGACGAGGATAAGCGTAGGGAGCTCCCAAAAATGGGGGCGATATACGCGAACTCCTATCTAACGATCGCTGCCGATGCTTGCGAGGATGCACGTGGTGGATGCTTCAATCAACGAAGTGAGGATGTTTTGCGTCAGCGCAAAAAGAACCACAGATTTGTTGCAGTTCCAGACACGAATTCCGAGCGCGGAGGAAGCTATTTATACTTCATGGACATCTCTGATTCATATTCCATGGACCCGCTCCGCAAAAGTCCATTAAGAAATCGCGGATGGACTTACCAAGAAGCACTTCTATCGCCCCGAGTGCTACACTACTCCCATGATCAAATGTTGTGGAATTGCCGGAAGTGCTTCTTGACCGAAGACGGGCTCAACGAATGGGATCACCCTCAAGCGTCTTCTAGCATCTCACGGATGATAAATGCCGTATCCGACTCTTCGGCTGCAAATCAGAAATTGAATGAATTCGAGGCGATCAGCCAATGGTACCGGTCAATTGTTCCACGATATTCGTCGCGCCTGTTGTCAAACTCGGAAGACAGACTCCCAGCTTTGTCGGGCATCGCCGAGGTTTGCCATGACCACGTCAAAAGCGAATACTTTGCTGGCATATGGTCGTTTCAACTCGAAGTAGGCTTACTCTGGAGGAGGAACAGTGGAATCCGCGATCCCACACCAAAGAAATATCAGGCTCCTTCTTTCTCTTGGGCATCGATTAACGCGGGGGTGGCTTTCCCTCTGCACAATGCATTCATCAAATCACACATTCGCCTCATCGGTCATCATATGAAGCTCGGAATTGATGGAAGCCAATTCGGGAGCGTGCTCGATGGTTCAAATCTTACCATTGAGGGTCACATTCGTCCCGCACGCCTAAAAAAACATGGTTCATTTTCACCGGTCAAGTGCAATCTCTTTCTCGATGACCAGACTGGAAAGGAGCGTTTTGTTTGCACAGTCACACTTGACCAAAACAATTGGTGGCCGTTTTCTCGGAGAGAAGTCGTGTGTCTCCTGCTGTTCTCGACCAAGGAGGCTATGGACCAACTCATGGATCGCGACGAGTTTCAGAGCTCTTTCCAGCAGGCCGCCAGCAGAGGAGGACCTCTGGCTATTTTAGCTTCCATGCAGGAGAGAGACATGAGGAGCCAAAGGTCACCCAGCAATGTCGCGTTTCTGATTCTGGAGAGGTGTGAAGGACGGCCTGGCGGATATGTGCGTCGAGGGATTGGACTAACACGGGAAAACGCTGCAGCCCGTTCGGAGATTGAAGATGACGATCTGTGCCAACTGTTTCTGCAAGGTCCACGGGAGAGGATCCAGCTTTTCTAATTCCCAGAGATTGAATCCATTTTTGGTTTGGTTATTTATCAATATCGCTCTTCAACCTCCAACATATTCATTCACTCATTTCAGTTGGTTGCCACAAACATGACAACTGCTCCATCGACATCAACCTCGGCATTATTCCTTCAACCAACACGAGCTCCGTTGCCCGTCCCTCTACGAGCGCATCCCAAACCCCTTTCAAGAGCAAACACATTTCCAGTTGCTATGGCACTCAATATCAGCAGGGAATTTTCAATGACGGAGGGATGAGAAAGGCTTACCCATTGACTACGCAGTTGGCTGCTTTCCCCCGCTTCCTGCACTCAGATGCACAAGTGCTGCTTGCTGCACACGACACAGCGCACATCTCGGCGTACCTACTCGCGATTATTAGCAATGATCGTAGAACGGTGTGTGGCGATGACGTACCCAGTGTCTGTAGCGACAACGCAGTATTGGCCCTTGTTCTGGCAGGCAATGGCACCACCAGGAGCGCAATTCCTGTTGCCTTGCGACAGGGAGTACTGAGCTGCGGCACCATGGCCCAGTGCCAGGAGGCAAAGTGAGATGACGGATGAGAAATGCATGGCGACTGGTGTTGGAGTAGCACAAGGGTTCTGATGGAAGAAGACGTCTTGGTACAAAGGGGTACGGCTGGCGTTATATATACATGAGTAGTATCGTGAGACACATGAGTTGTAGAGGATAGAAGTAACCAATCCTGGTTGGTAGATCTACGCGACGGAAGGATGCGGCTCAGGCTTTCTAACGCCCGGTTCATCATTTGGTATCGATACGAGATCCGGCGAGTAATGTAAGCGTATGTTCAACGGCATTTCTGTACAATAGGGAGTCTGTGCGCTCCGGCGTAATTTAGGCATAAATTTGACTCGTCTTCCAGAGACACTTTAACTGAATAAGGATGCTTGACTTGCTTGATCTCGGATAGAGTTATGCTTCATTGGCTCTCCCTTCGTTTATGGCAAGAAGTTCGCATCAGGGCCTCGTTCATGTCGAACGGATAGAATATTTTCCCGCTTTTCACTGGTAGTACAATTCATTATTTCTCTGAATGGTCCAGAACTAATACGCGATGGCAATGGACGGCCTATGGTACTGTGGCAAATCGAAATTGGTGAAAGCCTCTCTCCGCGCGGCTAGTCCAATCGATCCAACATGAAGTCGAAGACAACCCTCAATATCCCGTCCCCTCCCCCCTCACCACATTCTGCTCCTCCGTCTTCTCAAACCTGATGCCAGGCCGCCACTCGCCCTCGACAACCGGCAACGGCGTATCCTTCCAGATCTTCTGAATGCGCTTCGCAGACTCCAAAAACTTCTCCTCGACCTCCCTCCTATCCTGCTTCGTCACCAACACCCCATCCCTCTTCCGCCACTCGCCCCCCACCATAACGTCCTTGATATCCCCCACATTCGCATGCAACACCACCGCCGCCACCGCGTCCGCCCACCCCAGCATATTCGGGCTCCCGCCATCAAACAGCACCAGATCCGCCACCGCGCCCGTCTTCACCACCCCCACATCGTCGCGCCTGAGCGCCAACCCGCCATTCCGCGTCGCCAGCAGAAACGCCTGCCGCACGCTCATCGGATTCGTCGTCGGAATCGCCCACCCCTCCAGCGTGCGGCGGTACGCGCCGCGGCGCGTCGTCTGCAGCCACAGCCGCGTCTGCGTCAGGATGTCGGACGAGAAGGTGAAGTGCGTGTCCACGCCCAGCGCCGCCTGGTCCATGACGTGCGCGGTGGCCGGGTGGTCGTGGCCGTAGTGCATCTCGCTCTCGGGCGTGATGGAGACGTGGCGGTCGTGTTGCCTCAACAACGCGGCATCCGCGGGCGTGAGGAACGAGCCGTGCGAGAAGACGATGGGGAAGGGCGCGGACGCGACGAAGTCCGCCGCCGCGGGGGTTTTGGAGGTGAGGGCGACGGGCCCGTTGTCGAAGTGCCAGGGGCCGCCGATCGTGTGCGTCGTGAAGGCTGCGACGTTGCAGGTCGGGTCGCGGGCCAGCGCGACGACGGAGTCGATTTCGGTGGCGGACGCGGAGGCCCAGCCGTCGTATGCCATGCCGTACTGCACCAGGCTGTCCGGGTTGAGGGCGAGCGACGGGTGCGAGGCGGCTTGCGTGCGGAAGTCGGCGATGGCGGCGTCGTCGAAGGCGCTGAAGCCGTAGCACCACCACATGCGCACGCCGCTGTCGAGCGAGGCCTGCAGCGAGGCGGCGGATGCTTCGGGGCTGAAGGTGCCGTGCGCGTGCTCGAGGATGGATGTCACGCCGGCGTTGAGGGCTTCGTAGATGCCGGCCAGCTGGCCGTAGTAGATGTCCGACGGCGTGAAGACGGTTTTGGCCTGCGTGTATTGCCCGTAGCGGTAGAAGTACTCGGCCAGCGTCGTGTTGGGCGCTAGAGTACGGAATTGCGTTTGCCAGCCATGGCGGTGCGTGTCGACGAAGCCGGGGGAGATGATCTTGTTCGTCGCGTCTACTCTTTCTACATCCTTCGGGATGTCGGGTGGGTTTGAGGTGTTGCTGTCGAATATAGCGGCGATGCGGGTCCCGGTCACGAGCATCGATGTGTTGTGGAGCACTTTCAGGGATTGGCTGGCGTCATCGAAAGAGATGACTGTGCCATTCTCGAGCAGCGTGGAGCGGGCCATGGTGAAGGTTCCTTTTCTGTAGAGTCAAGATTGCACAATTGGGGCGGCGTGTGGATGGGCAGTCATGTTGCGTTGTCAACATTTTATGTGTGGAGCTGCCCCTCATCGGTGGAGTTTAGCATTACTAACCCTTGCTAAGTCCGCCAATTGCCGAATGTTTCTTCGCGAGGAAGGAGTAATTGGCGTTTTTGTGCGGGGCAGCTAACGTCAGCCCAACTTTCCAATCTGGAAGGGAGGTAAGCGCTAGCTTCAACAGGATGTACGAAACTCAAGCCAGAGATAAAATGGAGCGAATCTCGCTGGAGAATTTAGAGTGTGATTATTTGACATGGGGGGCGAGGGAGATTTAGTCTTGAACAGCTGTATTTTCCCGGGGTGCCTTCAATTGTGGCTATCGTCTATCAGTGGGAAATCTCACGCCCACGCCGAACGAACGATAAAATATGAAAACGCCCAGTAACTCAGATCCATTGTAACAATGCTCTCTACATGACGTTGCAGGCTGCCCCTGCCGGAATCAAAGTCGAAACAGCTCCAACAGCAGCAACAGCACCCGCCGCTTCTGCTACAACCGTTGGCACCCCGGCTGTCATAGACATTCTATCCTCCTTGTCGATTGGTGTAGACCGTTGCTTTCCCGAGGCATGCACGATTGCCGCACCAAGGCCAGACTTCCCCCGGGGCTGGCTGTCGTTGTGTGCCAAACAGATTCCTCCATCTTGTTTATCCATCAGTTTGTGCTGATCTTCGACCCTTTCGACTTCTCCAAGTGCATCTCTTTGGACAGTTTGACCGTTGATGAGACTCATATCCTCCAGCTCGGCGCGCACATTCGAGCACCACTCTGAAACCCAAGAATTCCCGGGCGCGTTCAACTTCTCAATGGCCCGTTGCGTATCCAGAGATGCTTTTTCCAGGTCTGCCAACTCGTCATCCATCTCCAAGACACACTCACCATCGTGCTTCTTGGGTGAAGCGTCAAGCTGTCTCTCGACTTCTTCCATCCTGCGCTGCAGCCTTTGGAGCTCCTCGGAAAGCTGCGCATTCAGGACTTTACCTGCATCAGTCTGCCGCAGCTCAAGCTGCAAGTCGAGCAGCTGATGTTGGATGCTAAGTTTCATCACGAGGTCCTGGTCGATGAAGTGCTGGACAATGTTCCGAGCTTGCTGCGCGTTGCTGCCCAGCTTCATCACCCGGGCCCCGCCGGCAATCAGGTCGCCCCAGCACCCAGTCATGCCGGTGAGTTGTCCCTGTCTTGCTTCGGCTTCGGAGGGCTTCGCTCGGTTCCACATGGAGCTGGCCATGACGACGCCGGGATACGCCTCTTCGCCGATCAGAGCCTTGAACATGTCCAGGCCGCGGCGATGGCTTCCGCACACCCTGCTGCCCTCGATGGAATGAAGGTAGACCACACCATTCAACCGGATACCCAGCTCATGGGCGGATAGTAGCCAAAACACCAGCTCATGAAGAACAGCTTCATCTGTCCTTGACGAGTCGTTAAAGCCGGGCGTATCCAGGAGATGGACGGTGCGATCTCCGATTTGCGTCGTGTGGACCGTCACCGATGACGTAGCTTCTCTGAGTTAGTAACAGTGTGGGAGCGATTGGATCAGGCGGCAAACATGAGTGGAGGCCGTCGCTGTGCTTCTCACGCGTAGGAATGCCGCTACACATGGACGCAAATGTGCTTTTCCCGGAGCCCGTAACTCCGATAACGGCTATCACGACATCTTCGGGCCTTATCGGTGTACTGTTAGCATTGCGCCAATTACCTAGTCGGATACCTTACTTGAAAGAGGTTTCGATGAGGCTTGTAGAGGTATGAGGCGCTATTCTTGAAGGCATGATGATTTTCTACTCCAGTCAATTCAGAATGATTTGAACAATTGGAAGGCGATATATCGAATGGTGAGCTCTCCTGAAATACTGAAAGTCCAAGGGAGATGACAAGGTGGCTGGACGCTGTCTGGGTTGATCGGTTTCCTGTTGGAGGTGCGGCCCCACACTCAGCTGATGGTTCGGACTATCAGATTCACTGGGCCAAAAACAGCCAACGAACCATCCCGACTGGACTCTTGGCTACGGATCACCTGGCTTTCAGGATTTCTTTCAGCCGCACTCCCTTTGGCGTGCATTTGCGCCCTCTCATTCTCAGCTCAAAAGCACCTTACTTTCGGAAGCCAACGCAGGGTACCAAAATTGCTCCTGCATCAACGGCTATTTACGAGGATTGTTACATCATATGCTTATCGCCGATCAGCCACGTATCTCATAGTCCCTCTGTAAATGTGGATATCGATGTCATTGGACCTTATAGTGCTCGTATCTGTACTACCTCATTGTTGTAATTGCGCAAAGATCTCCCTCATTTGCCCCGTAGAAAAGAGCCTAATAGAAGTTGTACATTTGCTCAAGCCTCGCGGTTCGCGTCGATGATTAGCTGACCACCTTACCGAGAGAAAAGATTTGCGACTCCAGCGTTACTGATCGATAACTTTCTCATTGCCGCTTTAACGGCAAGTATGGTAGGGAAAAGCCTTTATCCACGTTTCTGGATTCAGAATAATAAGGTTTCATGCCTCCACCCCCTCATCTACCATCCTGCTCGTAATCGTAACGTTTTGACGCAGGTCAGACGTAGATGGATTGCACATTCCAAATATTAAGTACCGCATATCTCACGCATCAGCGGCACGCTCCTGCTTCGATTCGAGTACCTTATCTGAGAATCTTCAGATGTTGTGTCACATGGGTCCTTCCCCGACGCAGGGTCTGACGGGCGCCGGGAATCCTAACTGCACTTATGTTAGCCTTGCGGTTGTATCTTGTACTCCGAGATAAGAATCGTATGTACCATGGCCTCGTTACGCTAAAGTCTAGCTCGGCGCCGGACAACTTCCTGTTGCGGCTTGGCACCATCGGATGCTGAAGGTTTAGCCAATCACCTGTGCGCGGAATATGCTCTATTTCTACACGAGTGTATATTCTTCATGGTGCACACAAAAACGTCCGGACGTAGTCCTCATCGCTGTTTTGTGAGCATGGTGTCATATCTCAGAGCTTCGGAAATGTCAAAGATACTGCGGGGGAACTCCGAGTGGCACTAGGGCTGACGAGGCCGAACCTTGGTTCGCACAGGTCGGTTAGGCCACGGGAATTCCTCTGCCGGACGTTCGGGGGACGGCGAGTGGGATAGGAGGGATAAAGTCAGCCATGCAGGTCATTTCGCCCACGCCGGTGCCCTCACATTCTCGTCTCTCACTTCACTGTTTACGTTAGTTTGCACCTTCACAATGGTGCTCGGTTACGGGGGCTTCCTCGGCCTCAGCGGCGGCAACGAATACCGACACAAATTCCGACAAGCGACCAAAGATTTCCTGAAGAAACACGTTTTCGCGAAGAACCGGGGCCAGGTGACGTGTGCGTTGTCCGTTACGTCCGGTTTCGTTTTCGCGGTTGCCACTAGCCATGGAAGCCTCATCATGTCCGGCATCGCCAGACGAAAACGGCGCGTCGACGACCGCAAGACCGAGATGATCCAGGAGCTGAAGAGGCGCAGCATAGTGCTTCACAAAATGGATTGGATGGACGTGTGCATGCCCAATGGTACCTTTGCGTTGGGAGTTGGTATCGTCGAAGAAGGGGCGGAGGATCATGCTGGACTCACAACTCCCTCTTCCAGTGATGACGTCCAAGAGATAGTTTCACGACCCAGTACCGCCACTGAGTTCATTGATGCCATGTCAGTGCCGACTGATGAGTGGGTCTCGCGTGGCGCATTGAGTGTGGCTCAGCTACTCGGCATTCAAGGACCAGTCCCGGAGATCGACGCATTCGGCACCAAAATCGCTGATAATGATTCAGCAGTGGACCTCCCTGAGACCTTCGGCAATATCGCAGCTCAGCAGCTTTCCTGGTGGATCACAGAGCCTTTCGAAAACCCAGACTGGAACCGCAGAGCCTCGCAATCGCTGGGCTGCAGTCGATACCTCGGATCAACATCTCGGACATGTGACTGCTGTCGGAAGTCAATCAACTCAGGCTCCTACATGCGTGAGTGCAACCTTACCTCCTCCTATTAATTTTCTCGGACTGACGTGTGAGGAAAGACTGCTGTAAATGTAGTGATGACGATTTCGACTTATGCATGGATTGCTATGCTGAGGGCGAGCGTTGCCGCTGCTCAAAAGGAGGTCTGAAGCCTATTCAGTTTGCCTGGCCCGGAAGTCTGTTCCACCCAAACAGGCACGAGTATTGCGACCGGTTTGAAAAGAACTTGAATTTGATATGCGATATCTGTCTGGGTAGCATCACTCAAGGACGATATTTCCGTAAGTTCATGATGAATCTTCCTCTCCACAGCACACAGCTGACCAAAAAGAATGTCTCGAATGTGGGCCTCCATCTCCCGGAGGCTTCGACATTTGTCTCAACTGCTACATGGACGGAAACGGCTGCCGACGTCCTGAAAGCCATACTCTTTATTCATTCATGTGGGCCTTTGCTCCGTGCAAAGAAGCACTCAACCCATATGAGGCGGAGGGAGTCGGGGACGCTCATTGTCGGAGCTGTAGCGTTGTCATTCTCCAGGGCACTTTCTACCGTAAGTTTCTCATATCTTCCATACTGCAGAAGAAGCTGATCCATTAAAGATTGCAACAAATGCGACAACGGGTCATTCGATCTCTGTCACAGCTGTTACGAGGCTGGTTCTGGCTGCCACAACCAGACACATGTATTGTCACGGTTTAACTCGTTCAGCCAAGTTGTCAAGTCCCGAAATCAGAAGTGGTCGGTGTGCAATTTACCAGATTGCCAGAGAATACTGGATGTTGGTGAAGCGCTCTACGTTTGCGAAACCTGTCATCCACGAGAGGGTACACCGTTTGTCCTGTGCCACTCATGCTATGGCAGTGGTGCTGGTTGCTACAGCCGCAATCATCAATTTAAGAAGATTAAGGGATGAGGGACAATTTGTGGATGATGTTTTAGCGGATTTCAAGCGCGTAAAATGACTGTGAAACTTTTGGATTCAAGCTTGTCAACTGGCAGCTCTATTTAAGAAGAGGGTTCAATCATTATTCTTGCTCGTCTCTGCTGGGTTAAATGATGCTTTACCGCGCTTGATCGAGACGACTATTGGTGGTCTTGAGAAATTCCCTCACGATGCGAAAGTGTAGGGCTGTTAAACACCGATAACGCTAGCGAATTAGTCGTTCTCGGGATACCAAAAACGGTATATGATCCCGGTGGAGATATAATGCTATTCCCGGCCTCGAAAATCTTATTATTGTAACAAATGAAGTTCCAACGTGTTGATTCACCATAGGTCCACGAGGCAGGCCGAACTCGAATATTTGGCCTACATGTTGATAGGCCTGCCTATTTTGCTGATGTGTTTTTAGTTAAAAATGCGGTCCACATCTGCCTTGGGGATCAGAAACGCCGCGCCCTTTGTGCAACTGTTCCGGTGGTGTCGAAAAGTGCTTTTCCCGGTAGTCATGCCGGGAACAGGAAGTGATATCCGATCGCGCCCTGAATAGAGAAAATATTGCCTGATCTTTAAACATCAGTTCACAGACGCTAGATTCCTCGTTACGATATCAAAACTAGGCTTTTTATGCCATGAGCAGGACGTTACAAATGACAAACCCGGCTGTGCAATCTCCGACATTCATTTCCTTTCGCATCAAAAGGTATGAAGACACACAGCGTCGGAAGCTCAAACAGAAATTGGTGGCCGGGTTGGAGTTTTGCCATTGCGGCAAAGCTTCTCTTTTGCCGTCGGTTGTGTCCCTCGTAAAAGATAACCCACCCAGTCACTACCCCACCTCCACCTCTACAACTTGAAACAGCCTAACTATCTCCTCCTACTAACGCAACGAGAGTTTGCAGGTCTTCACACCCGTCAAGCTACGTCCAATAAGTTACTCGCACAACATCACAAATCTCCTCGTATTGTTGGAAGAAGAATATGTCTCAAGAAGCCAGCAACCCTCACGGTCAACGAATGCCGATGTCGAGTCATAACGAGGCCGAAATCTACACCCCCACCGACACCATAGATCAGTCGATCGACGAATACGATACCGAATACCCTGATGGAGGATCGAAGGCATGGCTGCAAGTTTTGTCCGGCAACTTGTGTAACGCACTGTCTTGGGGACTGCCAGCCAGCTTTGGGGTGTTTCAGCTGTATTACACCGAGACTATGCATCTTCCGTCCTCGCAAGTATCATGGATTGGCTCGATACAGGTCTTCCTGACATTTGCTACCTGCACCATTGTTGGCAGGCTAGCGGACTCCGGATACTCACGACACTGCATCTTCGTAGGATGTGCGATCATTGTTTCAGGCACATTCATTACCAGCATCTGCACCGCATACTGGCAAATCTTACTGGCGCAAGGGATATACACGGGATTGGGATTGGGGATGGTCTTCATGCCTACCGTGGCCGTCATTGGCTGTTACTTCAAACGAAGGCGGTCGCTGGCGCTGTCGCTTTCCGCAACCGGAGGCGGATTCGGCAGTTTGGTGTTCCCCTCCACTGTCCAGTATCTCATTCCCCAAGTCGGATTCCCGTGGGCCGTACGATGCGCCGCTTTCTTGGCCCTGATCATGGCAATCATCGCCAACGTTTGCCTATGCCCACGCTCCATGCCGACGAAGCCCGGCCCCTTGGTCCAACTGCAGGCTTTCAGAGAAGCGCCTTACTTTCTCTTTGCGCTGAGCGTCTTTCTCTACTTCTTAGCACTCTACTTCGGATTCTTCTACGTAAGTTATGGCAGACCCGGATCAGGCTCTATGTATGCTGACTTGCAAGATCAACGCGTATGCCCGCAACGTCGTTGGCTTCTCGTCCACCGAGGCCGTCTCACTGTTGCTCATTACCAACGCTACGGGCATCCCTCTGCGGCCGATAGTAGGATACATCGCCGACCGCTTTCTTGGCCCCATCAACACGTTCATCATTGCCATGTCTTTTCTGGGTTGCATGGAATTCGTCTGGATCAGCGTCAGAACAAGACTTGGCATGTACATCTTCAGCGCCTTCTTTGGAATGGCCAACGGTGCGGCGCAGGGCATGTTCGTCGGTGCTCTTGCCAGTTTGACAACGGACCCGCGGGAAATGGGCGCCAGATTCGGAATGATAGCTACCCTCTCGGGATTCGCAACCCTAGCGGGGCCCCCGATAGCGGGCGCAATTATTGACGCGACGGGCGGACGTTACATCTGGGCACAGGTTTGGGCGGGGTGTATGGTGTTGACCGGCTCTGGTTTTCTTGTGGCAGCGAGCTTGAATAGTTCAAAAAGGATTTAGCGATCTGTGCTTTAAGTTACAGCTCCGGAAAGTGGGTCAATGTAGTGCTCCGACGGAAGACGAGACTGAATTCCATAGTAATTGTTAGGTTCAGCGAATGACCACGACATCGTTCTTGGTAATAGCTGCAATCCTTCCCAAATTGGAGAAACCTTTCATTGAGACCTTTTTCAGACGACTATCGCTAAAGTAGTTCTGTTAGGAGTGGTCTCCTAACCCACTATACCACGCACGTGTGGGCCATCTCGAGGGTAAAAGATGTACTGGAATGAACGCATTAAGCGATTATTTAGGCGTGGTTAGTTAATAAACCTATATCGGGGCATGTTTGTGATATTATTCCCTTTCTTTTTTAAGCCCTCGGCTTACTAACTACGCTAGAGATTCGTCTTATTTTCTGAGACCGAGTTCTCGCTACTATAGGGACCAGCTACGGATTATTTATTAACGATCAGGCTTTTGTCTTGGTTCGAACTTGCGGACTTCTAGTTTCTTAGTTTTTAACTAGTCTCCCTTTAAATGCGTTTATAATGTTAGGAGTAGTCCTCTAACCCACCACACCACGCACGTATAGGCTATCTCGAGGGTAAAAGATATACTAGAATAAACGCATTAAGCGATCATTCAGGCGTGGTCAGTTAATAAACCTATGTCGGGGCATGTTCGTGACAAGTTCACTGCACATAATTAAGGCCAACCATAAGTTCCTCCTTCTTCCACAGAACCCAGACTTTCTGCTCCATCCACGAGTGGCTTTGTTCACCAAGCTTTACATCGAAGTGCCACAAGATCTTTGCTAAAACGAGACGAATTTCGTGGTATGCAAGACTTCGAGGAGTTAGCAGAGTGGTCGGGAAATTGGAAAGGAGACGAGGCCTTACTTCTTTCCAAGACAGTTGCGGGGTCCAATAGAAAAAGGCTGAACAATGTCTTTGTTGTCGCTCTCAAAGCCATTGCCCGGGAGCCAACGTTCAGGAATGAACTCATTCGGGCGCTGGAAATTAAATCTTGAGTGATACGCAGCCCATTGGGGAACGGAAACACGGGCCTGGGCTCCCAATTAGCAAAATTACTCCATGAAGGTGTACAGAAAAGCAGAGGGACCGTTACATTTTCCGGTACCCATTTACCACAAATAGAATTGCCTCCTGGTGGAGTGACACGAGGTAGTCCGACTGCAACGGGTGGGTAGCAGCGGAAGCCTTCCTGCAAACAAGCCGCCAGGTACTGCATTCTGGCCAGATTTTCGAACGTCAGGTCTTCCTCGGACTGTATCTGACGCACCTCCTCGATCAGTTTCTCCATCTTGTCGGGGTTCTTGAGCAGGAGATAAACGAGGCCGCTCAGGAGGGTTGCAGTCGTCTCCGTCCCAGCGAGCATGAACACAGCTCCATGCGCATGCATCTGCGGGACCGTCATCTTCCCCTTGTTGCTGCCGAGAATGAGGTTCCAGAAGTCGGGCTTCTCGCTGCCGTTCGCCAGCCTGCGATCCACGCGCTCAGCCGTGTGGTCGAAATGAGCCTTGCGTTTCTCTCGTAGCGCTGGAATGAGCCCAAGCGCGAAGCGGCCGATAGCATACTCCTGTATGTTGTTGATGAAAGCCCCTGCTTTGATACCGTCAAAAATAGCAGTGACCCAAGGGGTGTAGTCGGATCGTTGGAGTAGACCAAGAGGCTCGCCGAAAGTGAGGTCCCCGATGATGTCAAATGTGGCGAAGTTGAGCAACCTGACGATGTCGATCTCAGAATTCTGACTGGTCTCAGATGCATTCCGCATGGCCTGGATGAGCTGGTCGATATAGGTCCGAACCAGCGGCTCCTGTTGCTTCAATGCCTTGTCGGAGAAGGCGGCCGAAAAGATGCGTCGGACCACGCTGTGCTCGTCGTCGGCGGTGATGGCAAAAATGCTTGGCTCGCCGTTGGGCTCTGGAGTGTAGAACTTGACGTCTTTGGGGTTTGATTTTTTGCCTCCCGTCCGGTGTCCGTATATGTCCTTCCATGCCTGAGGCGAGATGAAGCTGAGGCGATTGGGGCCAAGGCGCACGGCTTCGCCGTATTTTTCATGAATACGATGTGTCCAAGGCACAACGTCTCCTCGCAGCGAAGCAAACTTGAACACAAGGTCCGTTGCAGCGGCATATTTCGGCCCCGGGTCTGTATGCGTCAGTGGACGAACGTAGTGGTAAAGAGGGAATGGACTTACAGTTGCGCAAGGGATGGAAAAAGATGTTGTAGACACATACTGAAATAAATCCGAGAACAAACTGCATGAACACAAAATTAACAATCAAAACCACGTTGCAGTTGATGATGATCATACCAGAACCACAGATCCTTTCAGAAAGGACGTGATGTCGAAACTGATACCCGGTATCGTCCCAGGAGAATCGTCTGCAAGGTATGACATTCTGAGCGCTAAGGCAATGGAGGAGAACGAAAAAGCGGAGATGAAGATGTGTACTGATTTCTGAACGAGCTTCCAGCAGGTTTATTTATGTTTGTAGATGGAAGAGCGGATGTAAGGAGTTCCGTAGTCTGATCCAGAGAGAGCTTCACTACAACATGAATTTTGGACGGAATAGGTCAGTCCGAGCTTCTCCAGAGCTATGATTCATATCGTATCACTCTTTGAGCTTGAAAAAGGCCGAATAGTATTACCGAGTGGCTGTGTGCTGTTAGCGGTAGAATTGTTTCCATTCAGATCCGTTTGATAATCCCTTCCCTCCTTCCGTTTTGGGACTGGAAGCGCTAACACTCTATGCCTGCGCAGGATGTTACTCAACAGGAGGTGTGCTTCGGCTATCGGCTATAATCAAGCAAGTAACGGCGGAGAGTGCCAAGAAGCCTGAATCGTTCATCTCGATTATTTTTGCACACCGCTTGCAGCCTTCTATTGCAAGTGTCAAGGTCAAATTTACTTTTTTCCGGAATACTTATGTTTTCTGAACGTCTTCGGGAATCACTTTGCAATAATCTTCGTGAAAATGTATTTAATATTGATCTGAATTCTGCAAAAGCGTTCGTTTCGTTCCATACAAAATGGGTGTAATTGTCCCAGGCAGCCTCGAGGCGAAGAATGATCGAGTACGTAGTGATAGTTGGATCTCTTTGATGGTTGCGGGGAGCCAATCAGAAATCCGTGCGTCGTTACGGTGTCCTGCATTCGGTTTACCGGGCGTTGACAACGTTTGGCCCTAGCCTGAATCGCGGGCATCCATGCACGCTTCAGGCATGATTCATGCACAGTACAGCGCTGTCGGATAAACAGTCCATTGCCCACATGGGATGAATGTAGGGCTCCAAGGCCCTTCTACTTCCTTCACCTACATGTACTTGTCCCATAAGCGCGAGCAACTCTTCGGATCGCACACAAACTTCCCCTCTTTCACATGCACGACTTCATTCGAAATATACTTTTCATATCCGCTATTTCCGTTCATATCTCCATGGCAAGCAAATCGATGACCTGGAGCATCATACTCTTCGCGATGGGTGTCTGACGACTGCCAATAAAATCACAGCCTCGTGGCCCGGATATCGGAATCACACCCAACGCGGCCAAGTAGAAATTGTTGCACTACGGTCGGCCGAGGATCTCATCATCCGTTGCAGTCGTTCTGCATAAAATGCCAGGGTCGGGTTCCCACGGATCCGCTCTCCGTCCGCTCTCCGCACGAATGCCTTGAAGGTTTGAGAAAAGGACGGACGAAATAGTGGGGTAAGCGCCTATCTACGTACAAAAAGGGTAATTAGTAATCTCCATAGTCCCCGCCGTGTGCCGAATCCGCCTCTCGTCTATAAGAGAAAGGTTGTAGACGCTCGTACTATGATCCACGGCCCTCTCTCCACAAAACTCGCAATCCCCAACGAAAACAACACCACCACCACATCAACGATGACGTCCCCCTTCGCAACCCCTCCCCACCCCGTCACGGGCGGAAAACTCTCCCCCTTCACCGTCTCGGTGCCCGACGCGGAAATCCAAAAGCTCAAAACCCTCCTCGAGCTGCTCCCCATCGCGGCCCCCAACCACGCCAACGCCGCGCAGCACGCGGGCCGGTTCGGCGTGACGCGCGACTGGCTCGCGTCGGCCGTCGCGCACTGGGCCGACCCCACGGCGTTCGACTGGCGCGCGCACGAAGCCACCATCAACAGCGTCCCGCACTTCAAGCTCGACGTCGCCGACGACTACGACGCGTCCGGCTCCGGCAAGCCTTACACCATCCACTTCGCCGCCCTCTTCTCGGCGAACCCAGATGCGCTGCCCATCCTCCTCATGCACGGCTGGCCCGGGTCCTTCGCCGAGTTTTTGCCTATCCTCCTGGCGCTGCAAGAGCGCTATAAGGACGACCCCGCCGCCCTGCCGTACCACCTCGTCGTGCCGTCGCTGACCGGCTTCGGCTTCTCGTCGCCGCCGCCGGTCGATGTGGATATGACGACTGAGGACCAGGCGCGGATCATGGCGAAGCTGATGGCGACGCTGGGTTTTGGGAAGAAGGGAGGGGCGGGCGGTACCGGCGCTGGCGGGTACCTGGTGCAGGGTGGGGACGTGGGGTCCATTGTCGGCACGGCCATGGCCGCGCTGTACGATGACGTCAGGGGAGCGCACCTGAACATGATCATGTTGCGGGAGCCCCCTCCAGGCGTGGATGCTGCGGCGATTAAGTATTCTGAGCGCGAGCTGGAGAAGATGGAAGATGGCAAGCGGTTCCTCGAGACCGGGTCGGATTATGCGCGCATTCACGGGAATAAGCCGAGCACCGTCGGGCTTGCCGTTGGGAGTAGCCCGGTCGCGCTTCTCGCGTGGTAAGGTTTCAGTTCTGATTGGGCCAATGGTGTGTTGGCTGATAAAAATTACCAGGATCGGAGAGAAAATGCTGGCTTGGTCGGACCCGGCTACGCAGCCTTCCCTGGACGACATCTTGAGAAACATCAGCATTTATTGGTTCTCCGGATGCTACCCGACCAGTATCTGGTTCTACCGTAACGTACGTTTTCGTACTACCTGAACGTTGGAATGGCTTACTAAACAAAATGCAGTTCGTCGACCGAAGCAGGATCTCAGAGAAAATTACCTGGAAGGGTATCAAAGGAAAGCCTGTTGGCTTCTCTTCTTTCAGAAGGGAAATCAGTCTGCCTCCAAAAGCATGGCTGGACGCAACTGGCGTTGTATCATGGTACAGAGAACACGAACAGGTAAGCCGATCCCTTCCAGCTGTCATAGTCCCACTGACATGGACTCGTTTAGGGTGGCCACTTTGCCGCGCTCGAGCGACCTCAAGTGCTGTGGAAGGATGTTGAGGACTTTATCAGGGAATCTTTTTAGTCATTGATGTGGCCATGTAGTTCGAATAAGAAACTATAGACTCGCCGCGTCGTGGCGTGACCTCTGCATCTTGTCGATACGGTGATTATGCGATATTCGATTAGGCAACCAGCTTATGCAGGGCTTTCCCTTTGGTTCAACGGTACATTCTCGTTGCACGTTTGTCCGTAGCACACGTGCGTCCATCTGACTGACTTTTCGGCTTCACCGAAGACTCATGCAACACCTTCCTTCCCAAGTGTCGTCATTTGAATCCGCATTTGGACTGCAGATACAACAGTCCTGGGATTCACCTCAAGGCAAAGCCGACATCGGACGTAGACCATCTATATAACCTCCTTCTTGCTTCGTAGAATACCAGACCAACAATCACTCATCACTCTGACTGTCAATTGACCTTCAACCCCATACACCAATCCAAAATGTCTTCTGCTCATGTCACTGCCCCTGGCGTCCCAATGCCTAGCAAGAAACTTCTTTCAGTCCGACCTGATGAACACTCGACAGATGTTCTCAACCCATTCAATCCTATCATCATTCTGCTCGCGACTTGGCTCGCACAGGCTGCGCCAGGCGGCCTCAAAGAGGCCATCGATTCAGCCAAAAAGAAGCTCCCCGGCGTCATGGACAAGGTGCCAATCCGCAACGAGGGCGACTTCCTCAAGTTCGCCAACGACCTCCTCACCTGGGTTCCGCACGAGAACTTCGAAGCCAGAAACGTCTACGACGTCCTCGGCCTCTTCTACCTCATCCTCGACCAGCCGCCGCTCATCGACCTGCAGACGGCGGTCCGCCCGGACCAGCTGGGGCAGGACCTGACCTGGCTCTCGTCCTGGCTCGTCGTCTACGCCCAGCTGGTCGGCCTGCACATGGACACGCCCGCGTCCCTCACTCCGCAATCCCTCAAAACCTTCGCGGACTCCCCGCCCTACAACTTCGGCGAGGCGCTGGTGCCCGACCGCGGCTTCCGCACCTTCAACGAGTTCTTCTCGCGCCGCCTGAAGCCCGGCATGCGGCCCATCGCCGCGCCGCTCGACGACACCGTCATCGTCTACCCGGCCGACTGCACGTACACCAACGAGGTCGGCAACCCCAACGCCTTCCCCGTGCAGGCCGGCGGCGTCGTCGACGTCAAGGGCGTCAAGTGGAGCATCGGTGGGCTGCTGCGCGGGACCAGGTACGCGGGAGCTTTCGACGGCGGCGTCTGGATGCACGCCTTCATCAACACGTTCAACTACCACCGCCAGCACGCGCCCGTCGGCGGCACGGTCCTCGAGGCGACCAACATCCAGGGCGCCGTGTACACCGAGGTCGACGCCAAGGGCGGTGGTGACCCAACATCCCCCATTAACTCGAAGGGTCAGGGTCAGGAGCTCGAGATCATCGACCCGCCCGGCTTCCAGTTCCTGCAGACGCGCGGCCTCGTCGTCATCGACAATCCGGTCGTGGGCCTGGTCGCCGTGCTGCCCATCGGCATGGCCCAGGTTTCGGCCGTGCGGCTGTCCGTCCGCAAGGGCGACGTGCTGTGCAAGGGCGACGAGATCTCGTCCTTTGCCTTCGGCGGGTCCGACATCGTGTGCGTCTTTCAGCGCCGCGCTGGCTTGAGCGTCGATGACCTCTTTCCGTCTCCGGAGGGGACGTACTCGAGGTACGGCACCATGCTGGCGCGGGCGAGGCCGCGTGGAGGGAATAAGGGTGGGGCGGAGAATGGGGGGGACTAGGAATGGCGGAGGAACGGGGGAGCTTGAGGGTTGATGGAGATGGCTCTTCCGGGTAGATTGAGGTTGGCCTGAGGTGTTGTGAGTAGACGGCATAGATAGAAATCGAAAATGTGAGTTGGAGGAACTCCGAGCCTGTGTTGGTTGAAATTGTGAAAATCACAGGATGATAAGTTGACTTTGAGCCTCGTGCAACCGCTCAACTTCCATTAATCCGTATATTCGAAGCATTCGTCAATCTAAAACGTTCCAAGAGTAGTACAACCTTTCAGACTCTCGACAATAATGTCGCTTCTACTTTTGCGTAGATTGGCTCAGAATTGCTCATATTGGAGTCAGTTCTCTCAGGCGCGGCTAACAATTATTGTTCAGAGTCCACGCTACCATGTCAAAAGCAGTACCCTGAGCAATACTCCAGGAAGCTTCTCTGGCTGTCAACCTCCACATAGGCGTCATTGAACGTTGTTCTGAGGCCAGGGAGATTGCGGCCCTCCAGCATGAGCAAACCAATGACGATAGTGCTGGCTATGTTGTTCTTTTTAAGCTCCGTGTAAGTGTTGTCCAGCTGGCTGCGCGCCGGCGCCATGAAGTTCTGAATACGGTGGTCAAGGGAAGCAACACCACTTTCCTTCATGTTCCGGACAGCGCCATCGAGCAACTTTCCGCCGTTGACGCTGATGACGGCCCCGATACCTCGGAAGAGGATATGCTGCACAGCGCCGTCGTCCGGGTCCTGGAACACCCCACGCCTCCGTAGTGGCGATTCATTGACCGGTCTCGGAGGTGCGAGACGCACTTTGATATCAGTTGGGCCTGAATAAGGCGAAACCGGACGCAGGTGGTCACCAGGAAGACGGGTTTAGCGTCTCGGCTGACTGATGGAATTCTCAGCTTTCCCTGGACGCCTGAGATGGACTTTACGCTATCCCCGGGACCGAGTTTCTCATCAGTCAGGGGTATCATGCAGTAAATTCCATAGACAGAGACGACCCGGGATGCTTGGTTGAAAGAACCCCTGCAGAAAAAAGAAATTTGAAACTGAAGCGCTTTCCGGCGCAGCAGCGATCCACTTTGGTGGCAAGGTGAGGCGGCACGGCCATCAGCGGTTCTACGAGACGGAGCTGTATCAGCTCGAATGGGTCTATGTTGCATTATATCCACTCCCAGCCGTCATCGGCCACCGTCCGGGGCTCCAGGGTGGGGGGTGTGCATACATCCCCCCCTTTAGCCACGCGGACAATAAGGCGGACGTTCGTCGTTTTTTGTCTCGTGCAACAGGCTACCACGGGAACGGCTCGCCCGAGACCCCGCAAAAGCATTGCGGAAATAAACCACCTTCACGCCTGCATCTGTGAGCACGTTGCGGTGTCGTACAGCGAACCGGTCAGCTGGTGATCGTCGTGACTGCATTCAAAGCCTCAAAGTCATCTCATCAGTCCATGCTTGTTTTCTCTTCGCCCATGTCAGATTCTCCCCACATTGTACGACCAATCGTTGAAGACGGCGAGCCGCAAGGGGGGCTCAGCCCGAGCAATACATTGAACCCTGAATTACGGAGCGTTTTTGAGCATCTCCGAGGACGGAGAAAGAGAACATTCTGGATATGTGGAGCCAGTGTTCTTCTGCATTCTACAACCTGTCGTCGTTCGGGAGTGCAACGTTGACTAACTGCTCAGGGCCACATGCTGCGAGGGGGGCTGCGGCTTGGCTTCCTAGACGGTTACCGTGCAACGTACTTTGCTTTTGTTTTGGCGTCACCGATCGCCACCGCGACTGCATGTTGGCCGCTAAACGGAGCGGATACGCGCTTGATCAGCCTATTGCATTATCGACGTAAAAGCACAGTCAGCCCCAGCCTAGTCTCTCTTGTGTTAGTGGTTGGGTGCACAACCATGCCATTGGTATTGTTCCTCACGGCTCGGGCCGCAAGGGAACCCGGGTGGAAGAAAGAGGATGTGGGGACCCCTGTACGCACATGGCCATTTGGAAGCCAGTGAAACCAAGCGCGTGTAATTGCCCTTTTTGGCCATGACTCGGGGTTATTTCCGTGCCTTCCTTTAGCGCAGCTGAACTTCGTACGATTTCGTCCCAAGAAACAAGAATGAAATACTCAAGGGGCATCCCGTTAAAAAGCCGTTCTCGACATTGAAAATCCTGTGTGCTTGTTGTATTCATTGGCATTGGCATGCTATTTTGTTCCCTGGACTATCTTAGACATGATACTGAGTTGTAATGCAATTTTTCTGTGTGTGACTGAAAAGAATACCTGCAACCTCGGCCTACAGAAGTTTCAGTTCCGCTATACGCCTCGCGGGAGTATACTCCGGTGTTGGGTGAGTGGCCGCGCAAACCTATGCACGACACGTAAGATTCTGCTGGTGCATGATGCGGTACAGTTCAGAGCGGATGTGATGACGAGCCCCACAATGCGCGCACGTTGGCGTTGTAATCAGGAATTGCGGGGAATAATTCGCTCAACGTCGAATTACCTACAGGCTGTACAAATTCCCTCCATCAACCAGGAGCAACCCTGAAAAGCGCAATCAGTTTTGTGGTGTATTCGTGATCCCTGCGCATGGCCAAGATCCCCCAGTTAGTCTCATGCAGCGAGCGAAAAACACTCGAGGTGACACCTACTGCAACCATCTCCACCCTATGAATGACACACACCGCTTCATGCCTGAAGTCACTTTGGAACGCATCCTGACCGGCGCCTCGTCCAGAATCGTCACCCCGCTTATCAACCCTCGAGGGATCTACGCTGAAACTGGGGCCAGGTTACGCGGCTCCGCTGCAACAGTACCATTGCCTCTCACAACTACTTCCGTGACTTAACGGGAATAAAATACGATTGGCAGCGCCCGCAGATGCCTGGTTGCTCGTCGTGGGTCTCCATGATCATGTCGTGAGGCTGAATCCCACGTCGCTAGAGGACCGATAGCGAAGCGGCACCCTGCCCCATCCAGACAGCGAGATTGTGTCTGTACTCTGCGCTGCGGATGGCACTTAGGCATCCTGAAAGGCTACGCTACATTCACTATGTCATTCATTCAATTGCGCTCGGAAATTGCTTTTGTAACGGGATTTACTTCACCAAGGCACATTTTCAACCGTTTATTTGGGGTGACAAATTGACATGGACACTGCCTAATAAGGCCACGGCCCCGCACATGACGGGACTGGTGCGAGAACGCTCTGCAGCTTTCCACCCCGAGAGCGGAACTGAGGCTAGTTTTTAGAGAGAGGCAGCGGGGCCTTTACCTATAGGGGTTCTGTTCACGACTATGCCTTCTACGGAAATGGAACAAGCCCAGAATCGGCAGAGGAGTGGCTAGCCAGGGGAACAGATTGTGTGTCGTTTGTAAGCATGATTGGGGCTCTTGAGGTCAACGCAAAAACCGTCCATGACAACGAAGAAACTCTGGATCGTCTTCCAATGCACTTGGCACTCTTTCTCTGTGCAATGATTTCTCAAAGGCCGCACACTTTTGACTGGCATCATTGCCATCATGGTTTTGTCCCACGGTCGCTGAGGAGTCTTTGGTGGGTGGAGGCGTGGTGGTGCGACCACTTCTTGCGGAGGCACGTTAAGGTGTACCACTTTCCAAACACACAAGGCGAGCACGAGGACACATCTGTACAGTATTGAGACAGTTCCTCGTGTGTTGGGATGGGCATGCCATGATAAGATCGGGTCGTCGCTTGGAACTTCTCCCGAGGTAGTCCACATGAGAGCCGTTGCTTCAATACGAGCGATGGAATCGAGCAGAGCTGAACGATGCTGTGTATTATGTACTGTATATTTACTGGGGTAGGGCCCTAGTAGTTCTAGTAATAGGGCTACCAATCTAGCTACTACAATGCCGCTCCTACAGCCTCCAACTGCCATCGATGTCGGTATTCCCATCTGCATCGCCTTCATCCACACCCTAGTTAGGGACGCACTATACCCCATCAGTAAGGAGCACACTTCACAGGGGAACAAGACACTCACGTTCAAAATGGTCGTCACCTCCGGGCATGCGGGCATGAACTCCTGGCTAGTGGCGCACGATCCCTTCTTGCCGGACTTGAGCTCGTACGTGACGTGCTGGTACTTCGTATCCGACGAGTCGCACCGGAACTTAATGTCGATTCTGCCACCTTCGGCATTTGCGTACGGGACCGAGGACCACCGGCCGCTGTCGCACCAGCTGGTCATGCCTCCGCCGATGTTGTCGCGCTGGTTGCAGGCGCTTACACCCCCAACCCAGGAGACAACATAGTTCTCGTTCGAGGGAGACCTGGACGAGCGGAGATTAGCAGCTGCCTCCTTGGAAGTGTTAAAAGGAACAGAAAACGTACTTGGCGAGTCCGACACGGAAGTTGTAGCCATCGAAGTTGGTCTCCTTCTTGTCCGCCTTCTTGGCCTCCTGGCCCTGTGGGAGAGCGAAGACGGCGCTGATGAGCGAGAGGGCAATGAAGCACTTCATGTTTGTTGTTTGTAAAGTTGGAAGTGTATCGTCAAAGAGGGTGTCTGAAGAGAATGTTTGATCTGAATTTGGCTCAAAGCAGTTGGTAGCTGTGGAGTGAAGATGAAAAGCCATCTCCAGGCGTGGATTGAAAGGCTTATATATGTCTCCTTGGAGTCTGTTCTGCTTGGGGTGCTCTCGACCTGAGTAATCTTGGCGGCTTGCGGTGAGGGCTGCGCATGACTCGGCTCCGCAGCAGAAGCTTCGAGCAAATTAGCCAGAGATGCATCGTGTGTAAGGAACGTAGCCTGCCAAGCGACAAAGAAGGACAGAAACGACTGTGCAGCTACGATGTTGGTAGTTGCGGAGTTCGCCGGCATCGGCGCCAGATGATGAAGGGGAAAGCTGCCACCATAGGCTTCGGCTATAAAAGTTTACCGACTAGGAGACCGCGGTCGTCCCTATCCGCAAGGCTGACTCGCCAATTCTAACTTTCGCCACAGTCGTCATGTGTTTCTATTTTCAGTCCGTGTACGTACATCTATACCAGAATTTCTGTCCGCTGACCGCTATGAAGGTCGGTGCTCGGGGGGACAGTATTTCCGGGACAAACCTCTGTCTTACCAGCGTCTCTATCGTTTCCCTTACCCGCCCTCTATTGCGCGTATCGATTGTTGGCCGTAGGTCTAGCATTGCTGTCTCCTGGACAGCTCGATATACTGCCTCGTTGCCTGCGACTCCTGTAGACTGTTATGGTATATAATCCATTGCACTCAACCCTCATATTGACTTAACAGGGGTTCTTAACCTTATTCGTTCTAGCCCTTCCGCCCCTTTCTCCCGCTCTACCGCCCAGCCTTGCCTTACCTGCATACTGCTGCGCCTCTCTTAACCTGAACCTGCCTGTCCGTAGCTTCCGTATAGTTAATTATGTCGTTCCCTACTGGAAAGGAATTAATGCGGGGACTCGTAGGATGGGCTGCAATGAATAATCCGTGCGCGGTTTCTCTTAGGAGAAAGAAATAAGGACAGCGTCGGGCGCTGGAGCGGCAAGTACCATTCCGCACCTGGCAGACACTGGCAAGCAATTTGTCAGTTAAGTTCGCCGGACACAGCCGTAATATCGCTCGGGTACTCCCGTGGTTAAAGCCTGTTCTCCCTCGCTATTATTAGGCTATAACCTCTCCGCCGCCACGTATGGCCGCAGAATGTCTAAGCCACTTGAATGGCTTTAAAGTGCGAAACGACCGTTTTCAACAAGTCATACCGCTATAAAAAGCATTCTCTTAGTATAGCCGGTTGTTAGGACCACGGGCGCCGGGCCCTTGCCTGAGGCAGCCGCCGGACGCCCCGGCCCTGCGAGGAGCATGCGACTCGCCTGCTGGACCTATGCTAGTCACATGCCTTTGGCACACGAGTCTCTTCTTACGCCTCTCCAGAGGCCTACCGAATCCTTAAAGGATTCGTCTCGGTAAAAGTCCAGTCCTCTTGCTCCCATCAGCAGTAAACTCCCTGTTCCACTTCGGTGCACCTATGCCTTACAGAGTATTAGACTTATATTTAAGGAAGAACTCTAAAAAAAAGATCATCAACGCATGAGCAAGAAAGACGCAATAAATTCTATCTAAAAATCAAAAACGAGAGCCGCTAATCTAATCAAACACATCTGCTACGTAGCGGACGTTTCTCAGGGATTCAAACCAGCTTTGGATGCTTCCAACATCCGTGTCCCCGCCTTCCTCCCGCACCATCTCAGTCTTGATTTTGATAATCGACTGCTTCGCCGATTCTGCGATCGCTTGTGACCCGCAGACAAAGACCCTCGCGCCTTTTCGCCACAGCGAAATAAAATCTTCCCGGTCCTTCCAGATCCGCTCCTGCACATACCTGCATCCCTCGCTACTGTCTGGTGCGCGACTAAAAGCTCTCCGCACATCCACGGCACCACTGCGCTGCCATTTATCCATCTGCTCGTGATACAGACTCTCTTCGGGCGATCGACAGCCAAAGAAGAAGATTGCAGGTGCGAGGGTGCGGCCTGCAGCGAGCATCATCGCACGCTCTTGGAAAAAGCCTCTGAATGGAGCAATGCCTGTACCGGCCGCGATGCAGATGATTGGAGTTTGTTCCTGATCAAGTGGTAAGCGGAACGCAGCTGGGGATGGCTTGACGGCGACGTGGATAGCATCACCCTCGCTCAGAGAGGCGAGGTAAGAGGAGGCAACGCCATTGAAACGGCCATGACCCGAGTATGAAGGCTCAGTGAGCACTGAAAAGGTGAGTGTGGCATGGTTAGGGTTCCACATTGAGGATGAGGATATGGAGCTTAGACCTTGTCAGCTTCATTCCAAGAGAGGGAGCGGGCGAAGGCTTACTACTGTCGAGTGCGCATCGGAGGCAGCATTGAGAGGAAGAGTTCGATAGGAAGGTCAACTGACGGGTACCGCTCCAGAAGATCAAGTACGGAAACGCGCTTTGAGATGATTTCGTCTGCATAAGAGCTGTTTGCAAGGTGATGGAGAGACGTCTTGGTCTCGGCATCTTTTGCCGAATCCGCGAGACGAAGCAGATCCTGTTGGAGACTGGTTAGACTGCTTGAGATAAAACGATCATGTATTGCAGGTCATCTTACCTTCTTTGTTGCAGGCTGTGATAACTCGACATACGAGCTCAAGATATCAACAGCTGGAAGAGATTTGTTGATCGGCAGCGTCGTAGAACCGTCCCCGGAAATCTCAATGTAGGCGTCCCAGGGAAGATGGAAGCACCGCATTGCACGCTCGATGCTCTCTTTTGGATTGATCGGCAGCACAGCGAGGTAGTCTCCGGTGGTATAAGTTGTGTCTGCTGGTAAGCGAATTTCGAGATGTTTCTTCACCCGGTCGCCCGCAGTCGATGTCAGGGCGCAGGCATCAACCACAACAGCTTCCACGACGTCTTGTTGCAAGGTCGACACTCTAGGAGTCGAGAGCTTTACACTCAGACCACCCTTCAATTGCCTCTTCTCATCCTTTTCGACCTTGTAGGTAGATGTAAGCGCAGGCCATAGAATGCTCTCTTCCCACGCCTCGAAATCAGTGAAGACGGTTCCTTTGGAAACGTCACTTAAACCGAGCTGTGCAACACGTCTTGCACCGGCATTCTCGAGAATCTCGTCCACACGCCTGGGGATGCGATGGAAAGTTTGCGTCCAGTCCTTGTGTCCACAGCCGAAAACAGCATACGAGACGCCCTTGAGCGGTTGCTCCTCTTTCTTCAGGCTTTCGATCCAAGCTTGGAAGTGACCCGCGTTGTCCGGTGGCTGACCCTCATACGATGTTGTCACGATAACGACGGGATGATCCGTTGGTAGAGCGCCGTTTGCTCTGTCCAGGCAATCGATGTTGACGACACGAAATCCATGGTCCCTGGCGTCGCCAGCGGCACGCTGCGCCAGAGTCTGGCATGTTCCGCTGCTTGAGCCGTACAAGATAGTCAGCGGGACACCTTCCTTATCGTTGGAGTCATGAGCTTTTGAATCCGTGCTGTCCGTTTTCGACGCGGCCTGTCCGGACAATTGCCGCTCGAGGGTCGTTGGAGAGAGCCCGTGGCGCAGAACAGCGCGCATGTACATATCCTTTGGCTTGATTGTCAACGTCTGCTTGATACCGAGGCTGTAGCTCGGCTCCAGGATGAAATTGAAGTTTTGCAAGAGCATGGCCATGACGAGGAGCGATTCCTGCCACGCAAAGGGGCGTCCAATGCAAGCCCGCATTCCATTCCCAAAGGGCTTCCATGCATTGGGAAATTTTTTCATGAGCTTCTCAAATGGCTGGTCGAGCATACGCTCCGGGTTAAATTCATTTGCATCGTCACCAAAGACTTCGGGGTCTATATGGGACTTGGCGAGCAGCTCGACGATGGTCTCCCCGGCTTTGATGGGATATTTGCCGGCAAGCAAAGTATCCTCGATCGCTTCCACTGTGAATAGCGGGATTGGGGCGTTTAGGCGCAAAGTTTCGCGTAGAACAGCGTTGATGTACGGGAGTTTTGAAAGATGTTCGACCGTGATGACGCCGCGTCCAACAACGTCGTCAACCTCTTGTTGCGCTTTTCGGTATGTCTCGGGATGTTTGAGCAGCTGGTAGAACGTGAATGAGAGGAGTCCGGATGTCGTCTCGTGGCCAGCAATCAAGAACGTGATTAGGTTGTCCATTATGCTTTCGTCGGTCATCTTCTTCCCGGTCTTCGAGTCAACACCTCTTAGCATCGCGGCCAGCAGGTCATTGCGGTCGCTTTCACCCGCCTTACGCGAGTCGAGGACCCCCTGAGCCGTTTTCCTCAGTACTTCAATATCGGCCTCGAACTTTTGATCCTCTGCTCGGAAGAATATTGATGGCAGTGGCAGGCGACGCGACCGCTGACCTGACTCGGTCAGAAAGTCACCCATTGCCTGAATGAAGGGATGCAATGTGGGCGAGTAGTAGCTGTTGAACCGGTATCCCATGGAGCAGAGTGCAAGCGTGTCCAGTGCGAGTCGCGTAAAGTCGTCCGTCACCGAGATGGGTGAGTCTGGACCATACCTTGCCCATTTGAGAGCGAGTTGAGCTGCGACGTCGTGCATCTCATCGAACATTCTCTGGATTGACAAGGGCCCAAATGCTGGCATAAGGATACGATGGGCGATTCCCCAATTCTCTTCCCCTGGGTGCGCCTGTTTGGAAGGTTAGAGGATGCTAAAGAGGACCCCAAGATGCTGACTTACAGTGAACAAACCATCGTGAACACCGTTTCTGACTTCCTGATGAAATTTAATAACAGTCATTAGGATTTGGAGACGTGGCGTACCATCAAGGTTGAGTTTATCGATTTTCGAAAGCGCTTTTCATCACATGTTTCGTGAACTAGAGCATGAGAAGAAACCACTACTATCGGTTTTCCGGGAAGTTGCAGTCGATAGATTTCACCTTGTCTTGTTAGCCTCGTAAATTCGTAGGAGGAAGCTACTCATCGTCGTAGCACTAACCGAATTGATCAGCCATTTTTGTCCAGGATCCAAGAGGGAATTCTTGGTCTATGGAGGTGATGTTCCCGAGAAAGGGCAACCCGGGAGGTTGAGGGATTTCCACCACTTGATGCGCCTGTTCACTCATTGTGGCCATTCGCTATTCGTTGCAGATGTGGTAGGTAGTGGGAATTGATGGTTTGCTCAGATAGATTCTGTCATAGAAATATTATAAATGCCTCCTGCGTGCTTAAATACTTCTTAGCGGGTGGAAATAATTCTACGAGACCCCTTAGCAAAGCATGAGCATACTCTAGTCAAAGACAGCGCAAGGTGCCTATCGCCGAATAGGATAGCTTATTAGCCTCGGTAACGCAAGCCAGCCGCCAAATAGATTACTACAAACTTTTATCAGTCGGGACGATGTCTATCCGCTACCCATTATCGGGCGTATGAATTCGTCCGTCTAGTAATAAAAGCGGGTACCTAATCTATAAAATGGATGAGTAAACACTCTTGGTATTCGGCATCCGTAAATCGGGTTATATTTAGGCCGGCATGTCAGATGTATAGCTTAAATTCACTAAAAGTTTAAAAACATACGCCTTTTAGAAACGGTAAAGACGTTTTTCATGTGTAATCCGAGGTTCTCGAAAAACCTTCAAAAGCACGCCATTTCTCCATGGTCCAAGTCTACGGGATGCAATGACTCCGCTACAGCTCACAGTCCCAGCGGCTTTACGGGATCCGCTACGCCCGTAAAACTGTAAAGATTTGGTGTGTAGCCCCACACCGGTGCAACGTAGCTGGCTCTTCCAATGACCTGCTGGCTCCACGCTTCCTCCGCCTCGGCGGTGGCCTCAACAGTGAAGGCCGTGGAGCTAGCAACGTGATAGGAGGTTAAAATCCAGCGCTTATATGCTGGTGCGGGGACGATCAAGGACTTTTGCTGTCGTGCCTGGTGGATGCTGGCGATTCCCCGGCGGGGCCCACCCACAACGATGCTGTATTTCAGAGCGTTGATCCCCCACGGCCAGGCACGGCACCTGCTACCCACCCGTTAGATGCGCCGGCTCAAGAGCGTTGAGGGACGCATGCTCTCTCCACAGATGGTCCTCGAGGTGCGTCAATTGCTCTGCTTCAGACGCATCGATTACATGGGTAGCGCCTCCGAACAGCACTTGTCGCGCTCTTTCTTGGTCTCGATGTTGTTAGGGATGTGGTCTCCTAACTCCAGAGGCTGCATCAGCAGATCGAGCGATGGCATGTGATTGAACGAGGTTCAATCGGCACTGAAGCCGACCGAAGTATGTCGATCACCTTGCTGGGCAGCGGACACACGCCGGCATGCCAACGAAGCTGAACCGGACGATCGTTTCGAGTTTTTGAGTATCCGTAGCTGGGCCTTTTAAAGCCGATGCTGGCTGGGTTTGGTGAATACATAGGTCGTAATAAACCTTTGTGGGTGGTTAGTTTAGGAGGATACCATGGGTCGTTAGGATTTGCCGAGGTGATAGCATCCGGGCCGAAAATGATTATTAAACTAACCACGAGTACTGTGCTACTGCCCGAGGCACTTGGACTGGCGCTTGGCTCTAGCAAGGAGTATGCGACTCGCTTGCTTAGCCCGTGCGACTCACATCCCCTCTGGACACGAGTCTCTCTTACTCCTCGCCAAACCCCTCGCAGGCAAGGAACCCGAGCCCTGCTAGACCCAGTAACTCTTGAGAGCCTTACACAGCAGGCTTTTTCGGATTTCCCCCAGCAATTCGTCAGCAGCAACATGTCTACCGCTACGTGCGGGTGGGAGTCTCAAACCATCAATTCCAGCCTGCCGGCAGATTAAGTGATCAGCGTGGATAAGGTTTTGGATCACCAGTAAGATCGTCAGCAACTCATTAATTCGACAATCAACAGCCTCTCTATTCGCTTGAACATGTTAATGTTCCTACTGCCGCATAGAGTGTGGGGCGGATTCGTTACCCATGAGCACAGCCCGCTACTCCAGAAGAAGGTGACCGAAGCCTTCTCCAAATTCCCAGTAGAGCGCATAGCTGAAGATCCTGGTGTTGAGGGCACTGCTGGCTGGGGCAAAGCAGGAAGCCAGAAGTTTATTGAAACTGCTCTTGCTTAAATTCCATGTAGAAGTAATAGAGCTTCAGGCGTGCATCCTAAAAACGTGATCCCCAGCCAGACCATCATCCAGTTTCTTCATCACGAACTCCTCACTCTCCACCTTGTGCCCCTTGCCTTGTCCAATCTCCCTCAAAGCCGGCAGTTGACCATCTCCCCACCCCAGCACCTCATCATCCGTCGTTGCACTCTCGGACCCAACACTCAAACTCGGAACCCTTGCCTTATCCGCATGGATAACAAACGGCGTCCTCACCCTCCCATCCAACCCACTCGTCTTCCTCAAATTATTCCGATGCACCGTCTCCTCCCCCTTCTCCAAGAACTCCCACGACTCGGGCATCCACGCTTCTTCCCGGCCACCGTGCCGCCCCCTCCCCCACGCACTCGCATCCCGCTCCTCCTCCTCCTCCCTCACCCTCCTCCCCTCCGCCGTCGCGAACCCACACACAGGGTGGCCCCCTGCCGGCGGCTTCCCCCTCTCCCACGCACCCCCAAGTCCGAGTCCCCCCAACCTCACCCCCAACTCCGCCTCCAACCTCCCCCTCAACCCCACCCACCTCTGCTGCTGCTGCTGCTGCCTCCCGTCGCCTAGCTCACATTCCCTCCCCACAGCGCCGTTGCCCCCCCACACCTCACCAACCCACCTCCCCGCCTCCGCACGCGTACACTCCCCCACCGCCACGGCGTCCATCAGCCCCTCGAGCGCCTCGGCCAGGACGTCAGCGGCGCGCGCGCGCTCGCCGGCAGCGACGAGCAGCGCGGCAAGCACGGCGAAAGCGCGGCGAGTGGAGCGGTCGCCGGCGCCCCAGATTTGGAGCAGGTTGTAGGCGATGTCGCCGGCGAGGCGGAGGGCGGGGTCGGGGGAGGAGTGGGTGGAGGAGGAGTGGTGGTGGGAATGGAGGAGGAAGCGGATTTGGGCGAGGCGGAGGCCGATTGTGAGGGGGTAGGAGGAGGAGGGGGTGCGGGTGGACCACGCGGCGGAGAGGATGGTCTGTGAGTGGTGGGTTAGTGGATTGTTTGGGAGGTGGGGGGAAGAGGAGGGGGGATACGTACCTCGAGGGCCTCCCATTCGCGCAGCTCGCCCAGCAGGCCGACCAGGTCGTTCAGTTCGCGCAGCGGCATATGGGAAGCGGCGGCGCGGAGGTCAGTGGAGGAGAGCACATCGCGGAGCAGTTCGGCTGAGAGCTCGCGCATCTTTCCCGACAGCTTCTTGTCCATGTGCTTGCGTGCGCCGCCGCGGCCGGCCAGCCAGAGTGCGAGCTGCAACACTGTCTGCATGTTCGCCGCCACGCCCCCGTGGATGAGCCGCAGGAATTGGTGGACCAGACCGGCCAGCTCGAACCCCTTGCGGGAGCCCGTGTCGTCGAGGTGACGGCGGACAGCGGCTGCGGCGGCGGCGATGACGGCGTCCAGGGGGTCGGTACCGCTGGCGGCGACACTGCCCATCTCGCGCACGCAGATGTCGAAGAAGTCCTGCAGGACGGCCGAGGAGTCGGTCGAGTCCAGGGCGCCGGCGAAGTGGGACCGAAGTTGGATCTCGAAGCTCTCCGACTCCTCGGTGCGGCCGTGGTGCTGGAGGAAGGCGACGAGGCGGCAGCCGTGGGTGATGGTGTCGGAGAAGGCGTTGGCGTTGGCGGCGCGCGTGTAGTCTTGGTGCAGGCGGCACTCGGTCTTCAGCGTCTCTTCGAGTTCGTCGAAGGAAACGACCTGCATGCTGCTCTGGCTGGTGGTGAGTAGCGCTTTCTCGAGTGCGACGATGAAGGTGAAGGAATGCTGCCCTAAGCTAGAGAAGCTATTTGTTCCGCACTGCTCAGTGATGAGCTGCTGACGGAGGCTTCGTGTGAGTGTCTGGATGGTGTCCAAGCTGCCGAGCTCTTTGAACATGGTCAGTATCGAGTGTGCTGAGTCGATATGCCTCTCCTTCCTCTTCTCGCTGATAGCGATCTGTCGGACCACCTTCTCAAGCAGCTGGAGCGTAGCGGTGCGGATTTCCGTCACCTCTGATCTGGAAGAGAAGGCGACTAACTGGCGTAGCTGCTCTATTGTCTGAACAGACGCGTATCCGTGACGTACGGCCGTCTTGCGGACTTCCTCTTCAAAAATAGAGAAGCCCTGAGATGAAGTGGCCGTATGCTTCGAGTACAAATAGGCGAGGCGCTGGCGGGATTTGCTAAGCTTCGTGACGGTGCTCTCGTCAAACGACGAACTGCACATCGAGATGACCGTCTCGTACATGGAAATAGCCAGTTCGTGGTGCTCCTCGCTGCGTTCGTACACCTCGGCCAACCTCAACGAAGCGTCGATGCTGGCCTCGTGCCTCTCGCCAAACATCTCGGCGCTCTTCCGCCGGAACTCGACCGTCACCTGCACGAGCGTCCCGTACTCGACCCTGGCTTCCGTCTCGAGCACGCCGACGTACCCGTGGTAAAGCCTCTCCACCATCTGGTGCGTCCACCCGTGCCCCTCGCCGCGCGCCTCCACCAACGTCCTCCACAGCCGCTCGTACAGCTGCAGCGCCTTGTCCCAGCACCGGAATCCACCGTGCAACTCGCACAGCGCGATAGCCGCCTCGACCGCCCCCCACCGCAGCACTTCCCCCTCGCCTCTCGCCCCACCACCACACAGCGCGACGACAATCTCCTCAAAGACATCCCGCGCCCTCTCCAGCATCTGCAGCTCATGGCACAGCCTCCCCAGCCTGTACGCAATCTTGATAACAACATCATGGCCAACCTCGAACGCATCCTTCAGCGCCGCGTATGCCTCTTCCAGCGTCTGTACCGCGTCCTCGAACCGGAACACGGTCTCGTAGAACGCGACCAGCTCCTCGGCCGCGGCGAGGAAATGCTCGTGGCGTACGCCGAGCTGCCGCATGACAGCTTCAAAGATGCGCACGTGGATGGCTTCGGCCTGGCGGACGCGGCGCTGGGCGAAGTGGCAGTGTGCTAGGCGGCGCGCTGTGCTGAGCGTGACGGAGATGTCTTTGGTGGATGAGAGGGTGGAGGAGAGTGTGGCAGAGTTGCTGCTGGAGTGCGTGGTGTTTGTCTCGAGGATGGATGGCCAGACGATCTCCAGAGCGCGGACGGTCGTGGTGGTGGCGCGGGTCCAGTCTGAGCGCTGCTCGTAGAGTGCGCTGAGGGTGTCGGCGGTGGTGATGATGCTGCTGTGCGCGGAGGTGGAGGTGGTGCTGCTGGAGGAGGAGGAGCAGAATGATGATGCAGTGGTGGTTGTGAGGGATGAGAAGATGTCTTCGAGTTCTTCTGTTGGAGTTTCTTCCACGGTTGTTGTGCGGCTCGTCCTGACTTCCATAATTTCCTTTGACGTGATCGACAGAGACTGAGCGGTCTCGATGGCCAGCGAGGAGCTGCGCTGGTCCACGCGTTTGAAGTAGCTCCACAGGCTCTGGAATATGGTCTGCGCCGTCTCCAACGACCGATGCTTCTTCATGGTGCGCCCAACCGTTAGTATGATGGACAGTTCGGTCTCTGAGATGTCCGTGACGTGAAGCGCCTCGTGGTACTGAGTCCAGACGCCGATGAGGACGTTCTGCGCCTCCTCGGTTCGATCGTGCCTGTTTAGAAATGCGTGATACTTCATCGTGATCTCGAGCTTGCGCTCCCGCAGGATGACAGACGTGCTGCGATCGTGCATCTCCCGAGACATAGACTCCAACATGTAGGTGAAAACGGCCTTAGCCTCTGTGAACTCGTTGCGCTCTTCGTGGTGCGCCACCATATCCAGTGCAGCCGCAATGAGGGCGGCGTCATCCGGCGCCAACGTGTCTCGGATGGTCATCCACCGGCGCCTTTCGTGGCTGCTCAGCTGCTCGGTCCGGCCTTCTTCCCGAAGCAGAGCAACCAAATCTCTGTGAATCGACATGGTCTCCGCGTGCTGGATGCCATATTCCTTGACACAAACGTGGTACAGCTCCTCCTGCACCTCGATAGCGCGGTCGACATGCCCCTTGTGCTTGTGCAGCAGCTCCACCATCAGGCGGGTGTACCGGATAGTTGGCGCGCCCGATGGACCGTGGGTGTGGCGGTGGTAACCAACCAGGAAATGCAGGAGCTCTTCGCGGACGGTCATGTTCTCGATCGAGTCAATGTAGCCGGCGGCGAGTGTCGCCAAGTTGCTGCTGCTGCGGCTGCTGAACCAGGAGAGACGTCGGTAGACGCGGGCTAGTGCGAGGAGCGTCTGGATGATAGCGGCATCCCCGTGGTGCGGAATGAGGCTCTGCCGGATCTGAAGCGCGATTTCGAAGAAGGAGGCGGCATCCTGCGGTAATGTGCAGCCCTCCCACCGCGTAAACTCGAGGACGGCGAGGCCGGTGGATGCTGGGAAAGCGTTCCGGAACTCAGCGGTCAGGCTGTGCTCCCCGTCCGCCGAGTACATGGACGAGTGCTTGAAGTGGATCGCCCAGTACTTGGATGTGTACCGCAGCAAGCTGTGGCGCTGGAAGAGGCGTGCTACGATGTCGGATGAAAGAGGCTCAACGGAGAGGCCAATCCGGTCAGTCAATGATATGTTGGCGCTTGCTATGCACCTGCTGACGAGCATGCTGTGGGCTTCCTGCATGTTGAACGGGAGGCCGGATCTGGTGTCAGACGCAAGCTGGACAAGAATACGCCTGATCAATGGGTGCTTGAAGCGGAGCACCTCCCCATCCGTCCGGATGAGCGGGCCGATAGCGCGGTAGAGGTCGTTCTTGATATCAGTGATCATCATCGACGTCTTCAAGTTCCCCACATCCACTTCCAAGAGCACCCTCACCTCGGAGATGGACAGCGGCCGTTCCGCCGCCAGCATCCACGCCAGGATCAAGCGCATCTCGTTTCTCTCCTCGTGTCTCAGTCTGCCAAGGATCTTCTGCACAATTCCTGTCATGCTGTCTGTGGCATCGTCCAGAGTCCTCGTGACGCCACCCAGTGTGTTCTCACGCTTTGCCAATTCAAGCGCAAGCGTCGCGTGGGTGAAGGAGCCGCTTGATAGAGTGACGAGGCGCTGATTAACTGTAGAGTGGTCACCTGCAGACAGAACCGGAAAGGCTGACGCAATGGCCTTCTCGAAGACGCGCTCGAGGTCGCGCCTGGTGTGCTCTTCCCCGATGCTGAGTAACCGCCAGCGGCTAGACGCGTGTCTCTCTAGCGGCGCCGATAACACAAAAGCTTTGGCGGCAGGGCTCTTGGACGTAACACGGTGCAGATGATCCAACACACGCGCGCCATCATCTTCCCCCGCCAAGTGGTCCAGACCGTCAACGAGGAGAACCGCCCGCCTGTTCCTAAGGCCGAGCTCGATAGCCGCCCACAACGCCTGTTCCAGCGCCCGCACATCGTGCACAGCATCATGGCGCACGAGCCGAGACAGCTCCTCATACAGCTCCAGATTCCCGATACTGCTCTCGAACAACTGGAGCAGCAATCCCCGCGCGATGTGGATTCCCGACGCCTCGGTCCTGACGTCCTCCTCGACGAAGAACGCAAACACCTCGCACTGGTCCGTCTCCAGGCAGCACCGCATGCGCTCCGCAATCCACTGCGCCAGCTCGCTCTTGCCGCAACCGGACGGACCGGTGATGTGGTACACCGTGTCGTCGCTGGCTGCGAAGAAGTCCTGCAGCAACGGCTCGAACCACTCGCACGTGTACTCGACGTGGTCGTGGCTGCCGCGGGACCGCCACCGCCGCGAAGCCAGCGCCTGCACCACGCCCTCGGCCGGCGCGAGGAACCGGCGGATCTGGTCCATCTCGACGAAGACGCCGCCCGAGTCCTTGTTGTGCCGGCTCGTGCAGTGTTTCCACAACACGTCCACCATGGCGCCCCTGCGGGCAAACAGTGTGTCGGCGCGCGCGGCGAAGTGCGCGTCGAACTCGCCAGCGGTGCCGCCGCCACGCTCGCAGTACAGGGCGACATCGACGGCGAGGCGGACGAGCTCGGTGTGCGCCGAGGCGAGCGTCTGGCGTTCGAATTCGCCCGGTCCCCCCAGCCACTCGCTGCCACCACCACCTACCGACAGTGTGAGGGCGCGGCCGATGTCATTGAAGAGCGCGAAGGCTGTGTGTACGAGGTCGATTTGCCGCTCACAGAGCTCGAGGAGCGTGTGGCAGGCGCCCAGGACGAGGCGCGCGGCGTCCTCGTGCGTCTTGACGAAGATCTCGCGCTGGACGACGCCCGTGAAGTAGACAGCCCACGTGCACACGCGGTCCAGCTTGCTGCCCTTGTGCGGGAGGTGCTGGAGCCGGAGCTGTTCGACGTGCGCGAGGAGGTGGTCGGCTGTGGCGGTTTCGATGGTGCGCTGGCTGGGCCCGCTGAAGTCGTGCTTGATGCGGATTGATAGCTCCATTGTTGTTTCGCGGAGCTTAGGGATGTACTGCGTTTCCCCGACTGTTCCGTCTGTTGGTGTGGCGGATTCCTCGGGCTTTTTTCTGGAGAGGATGTCGCCGCCCCAGGTGGTGGACGGATTGCGCCCACTGGTCATTGTGTCAGTCTGCCCGTTGTGGTCATTTCAAACTCGCTTACCCATTTGGATGCAACGACGACATGGTCTCAGGTAGAACTGATACTTGTGTCTAAGCTTCGGGTTTGAATAGCTGTTGATGCAAAATGCAGCCAGGAAGGCTGCACGGGTTGGGATTCCACAAAAATGGTCTGAGGGCTATGACACACTTTAATAATACTGCATCACATGATTTTAGGTGAAAGGCACCTGTGATGCGCATCAGCCCTTAAAATTCCCTTGCTACGAGCTCAAGAATGTGGCCGCTTGCGATGTAGATGCGGCCTCGAATTCCGCCCAATAAGGCCGAGAAACAGGGTCATCATGGCCCGTACCAAAGTACATTTACAAACACAAATCTGGTTGCTGTTTGCAGACTACTCGATCGCCTACTCTCTGCCCCTTTTCAACAGCGTATTCGGTCCGTTGCTTGAAACACTTCTCTATATTTAAAACTTTTTGAAAGGGTCGTTAGTGAAGTACGACCCCATGGGAAGCAATAGTTTGGCTTATGTCCTGGATATAAACTCATGGTACTATGGACGCACTTGGCTAGCGCGGTGCGTCATGGATCACATTCCAGCCGAAGGAAGAAATTGGTTAGCGCCCTAACCACTACCCTCGTAGCCGAAAACTTCAACGCCGCTTGCAGTAAACCTACGAAAAGAAATATGTAGTGTGTCTAGAAGATAACGATAAAATCAGAACCAAACTTTCTTATTAAGAATTTGCAGTCGTTGTTCTTAACGAACAGCGCTACTCGGAATCCTGCATTGAATGCACCAGCTTTCCTTTTTTTTTTTTTTTTAGCCTCGCAACCTCAAAATAGATGCTCATTGTGGCGGATCCAAAGCTGCCGTTGTACAGGTAGCGTAGGTCGCTCGATTTGGCAAAGTTCTCGGCCATCACGTCGCCGTCGTCGGGGCGGCTAGAGCAGAAGACGTTGGTGGCGCTATCCATGCGAACAGACCCATCTAGGTGCTCAAACATAAGTCTCTCAACCTAGCTAGCGAGTGCAAAGCATCTCAAATTCATGAATCTACGCTGATGCAGTACTAGTAGGTTGCCTAGAACATAGTATCACACCCACTACTATCGCTACCTAACACCGCATTCTACGAAAATAATTGATCTAGGGTAATGTCGTTCCTTTCCGCGAACAACGAGCAATAGTCTCCATCCTGCGCCTCGGCCCACCCGTTGCAGTTCGACGGAGCATTGTTCTCCTGTGCTTTGGTAGGCGCTGGAGCGCTCGACGTGCGTGTAGTGCTGGTCGTCGACGAGTTGCTGCGAGTAGGATTGTCGTCGGTGGTGCCCACGCAGTAAGCATACCCTGGTTGCCGCGCATTCGGGAACAGCAACTCCGCAAGCTCTGAAAAGTGCGGCGCAGACCAGCCCGGCCTGGACGCCGCCGACGGTTTGACGAAATAAATATGACATGAATAGATGGATTGAATGAGTACCATGGTGAGCAGAGGCTGCCGTATTAGGGTACTGTTTCCACACTGAATAGCAATACAACGCAATGAATGGATATGAATAGCACTATATCGTGGTGAGGAACGGTTTAACGTAGAAGTATATGGCGACTACCGCGCCCTCTACTCCTTATACTGCTCGTTTGATTCACTCGATCGTGGACGCATTGCAATACATCGTGTAGTCATACAATAATACTAGACAGTTACACTGCAGCGACACAGCCACAATGCTTGGCGCGGCCGCCTCCTACCCCGCTTCGTGTCCTCAGCCAGTTCGCAAAAGACAACAACCAGAGCCATCATGGCTACCATAAGCAGTCTATCGCAGGAGCTCATCTGCCGCATTGCAGAGTTCCTGCCGCAAAGACATGACTACTCTAATTTACCCGTCCTGAAACGTCCTACTGGGCCCAATCCCTCGCAGCTGCCGCCCTACGCCTGCGTCTCGCGCCCGTGGCAACATGCCATAGAACGTCGCACTTTCGAGGCTGTCACCATCGACAGCAACCATGTCGCCGACCTTGCTCGCGTTCTGGTCGCCCATCGACGCCATCTACTGCGGGTCCTCACATACAACCTCGTGATTCCCCCGTACGTCCAGAAGAATATCGCCGCTACTCGTGCCATACATGACTTGTTTGCCCTTCTGAGCTCCTGGGGCGTCGACGCAGCCGGTCAAACGATGCGACTGAACATCGGCATCGCATACCCGGATCGCCCTCAGACGTTTCAACCAGTGGTAGTATTCGACGACGTGGAAGAGCTGCCGTCGATAACTCACATCACGGAACTGGAGTTCGTCCGCCATCAGCGCTGCAATTTCGACAGCCCATCGGCCGCCCGGCTCGCTGCAAAGCTTCCCTGCCTGGTGAAAGCATGGCTATCCATCCACGACGATCCCCAGCTGATGTCGACGGCCGAGAGGCGTGCGATGCGGCTTTCGCTCGCGCAAGCCCTGCCGGCCCTGACCTCGTCATCCCTGACGAGCCTCCACATCGACGCCCCCGACTGCGCTCCCCAGGACGAGGCCTTCGAGCCGCCGCGCCTCAGCGATGCCGGCGGCGCCGCCGACCCTCTCAGCCTCGCCCTGCATCGCCTTTCGCTGTCGCCGCACCTCGCGACCCTCCGCATCTCTGGCGCCCTCACCATCGACCCCTCCCTGTTCTGGCCACCACCACCACCACCCGACGCCGGCGGCTCCACAACCCCGCCGCCATCCTGGCCCAGCCTTACCACCCTCGTCGTCAAGTTCTCCATGGTCGCTCCGGATGGCGGCTGGTACTTCACTGGCGCGCCCGGCCAGGTCCCTCCCGATGACAACGACTCCGACGACGACTCCTTGGACTCAGACCCCTCGTGGGACTTCGGCGCCACGCAGCGAACCTCGACCCGGGCCATCGCCGCCGGCATGTATCCGACCAGGTGGTTCCGGCGCACGCCCGACGCCGCGCGCATCAACCCGCTCTTCCTGGCCGTCGCGCGCGCCGCTTCGCGCATGCCGCGGCTAGAATGGCTGGAGGTCAGCGTGCGGGCGCGGTGCGGCGGCGGCAAAGAAGGAGAAGCAGCCAATATGGTGTGTGAGACGGCCGTCGTCGGGCCGGGCAGGCGGCATCGGCTGGACAAGCGGTTCGGCCGCGAGGCATGCAGGGACCGCGAGAGGGTTTACGTTTCGGTGCCGGGGATGGTGGGGCTGCTTGATGGGCGTATTGTGGATGTCTGGAGCGATGGGGGACGACGGCTTGTTAGAGTGGTGGACACGTGAGTGTTCGGGTTTTTCGTCGATGCGTTTGGGAGTGATTTCGTGCTCTGCCTCTCTCCATCTCGGATATTCCACCTACAGCTTACTCTCGTCTCATTACTAGTGCAGCAGTGATTGGAAGTGCTTGCTGAAGACGGTGTGCTTATCTTAAGGGAACGAGCGAGACTTATCATATCAATCAAGTTTACAGAGCTAAATGCTTCTCAAAACGTCAGCCTCTCCCTCGCTCAGCTGCTACCTTCTTACTTTACTCCATCCTCGCCACTTCTCCAAACCATTACTCGTCTTGTCAAATTTTGCGCAGCCCTTCTGTCAGTGTTCCCGGTCCGGCTTGGTACCAAATGGGCAAGGAAAAGATAAGCGTTTATGGTGAAAGAGGTTCGCAAGTTGTGCCGTAGAGTTTACATTTTGCAGAGCAAGCAACGGTTGTGATTGACCCATGGTTAGAATTGACTTAGGCAGCGATGTTATATGCGAAGAGCCAAGAAAGTAGACCTTGCCTCGTTCTCTTCGATAGCCACAGCAGCCCAGACATTTCTGGCCGAAAGTGACCGTCTTGATATCCTGATCAACAACGCGGGCATCTTCGCACCACCACCAGGGCTAACGGAGGAAGGCTATGAGATTCAATTCGGCACAGAATACATGGGGCCAGTGCTCTTGAGTAATCTGCTCTTGCCCGCATTGGAGAAGGCGAACTCATCGGGCAGTGACGCCCATATCGTTATGGTTAGCTCAGCCCTTCATACCAGTGCGCCCAGAGATCGTTTGCTTCTCTCCGAGCTCGACACGAAGCTCGAGCGTCTCAGCACTATGGCTCGCTACGGTCAATCGAAGCTCGCGGAGCTTTATTTCACCCGAGGCCTTGCGAAACGCTATCCGGCCATCACATCCGTTGCTGTACATCCTGGAATTGTTCGAACAGGGATAGCAGATGGACCAGGTATGTTGGCTAAGTTCGTGAGATTCATTGGACGATTCACGATGGTGGATGTTGCGACGGGAGCGCTCAACCAACTGTGGGCTGCAACTGTGCCTGCTGGGACAATTACCAATGGTGCCATGTTCTACCCTGTGGGCAAGGAGTTTAAAGGGAGAAACAGTAGTGCAGACAATGGGATGGCGGAGGAGCTGTGGAGATGGACTGAGTCGGAGATGAAGGGAAGGGGCTTTTAAAAGATTAATGTATTCTACTCCTCACCGATCGAGTTCTTAGCATTCTGTCTGAATGGAATATACCCCCTGGCATCCCTATTATTAATTAAAGGCTTAACCGGTTTATCCAGTTCAATGAGAGGCCTCCATGGCCATATTGACACAGTATTTATGTATTGCCAGACCTGCAGTCTTGAGTTCTATCCGAAAACCGCACTTTCGCATCATACAGTGTCCATTGAGAAGAGCTGGCTTATATTTGGTAGCGCGGCGCCCCGCGGCGATCTCCTACCCCCATTAACTAACGTATTTCAACACCGAACCAGGTGGGAAGCATTGAAAGGCTCAAACACGCTGTAGTTTTCTACAGGCTTTAAGCTCACTTTATCTTGATTGGTCGGATGTTCTGGTCCCCAACTTATTGAAATACCCAGCGAATCCGTGATTGGTGGCAGATTGGATAATGATCCCTGCAACGGGATGTGGGTGCTGAATCGCTTAGAGCGATCAGGCAACAGCGCGAGGTTCACCCGTATTGCAAGATCCACATGTGGGGACCTCCTTCCTTTCCAGGGTCGACTACGGGCCTGTTTTGTGTTCCCCGTCGATAGTGACGACTGGTGCCAAGAAATTACCTACCGTCTCTCACCCACATTTGCAACGCACCTACATTTGCAAGCACCAATCCCGGGCCAGCCGAGTAGGCACAGACAATATTTTTCTTAATATGGGCGTAAAGTCGACGGGCAAATGAGAATACAGCTGACAAGCTCGTAATTTGCAAAGGCGGGTGCGTTGCAAATGTGGGTGGGAGACGGTAATACCTGATATAAGGGGGGGTGTTTTCCGACTCGACCAGAAGTAGCTGTGCGGTTAATAAAAAAGGCGAGGGTGTTTAGAAAATCGACCAGGGAAAACGGTCGATTGCGTATCAATACTTTAAGAGGCAACCTCAGAACCAATCGACGTAAAGTCCCCACTTCCGCCAGTTGTCCTGGTCGATACTCGTCGTTTAACACAAAACAGGGCCTTAGTTGGCGCAGTGGGATGTCAGCAGCTTATTATTAGCCCTAATTCGGCCCCCACTCGGATGTCACGCTTTCCGCCGGCGACAGCGATATAAATCTCTCCAAGCCTCAGTGCTCGTTTCTTTTTGGACGCACAAAATGCCCGCTTCAGGGTCCATGATTACCTTTGACCATGTGCAGTTCACACGGGCCGCACGACCGTCGTTTGCATCCCGGGCAGAGCCACCATCAACACTGCTCTTTGTAGATGCAACTTCCAAGAAGAGCGAGTCAGAGAGGCGCATGATCCGCCGGCACATCATGTATGCTGTGCATGAGGCGAGACGGCGGCACAAGATAGAGGACTGCGACGAGGCGAATGCAATAATCCGAGTGCAGAGCCCGTTGCAGGAGGCGAGCTTTGCAGGGGCAGATCCATTTGACTCTCTGCGCGTGAAGAATTTCTCGGGCATGCATGACCTTCTGGGATATTGTAAGTACGAGATGTCTTAGGGTGATGGATCGAGTTAAACTCATTAGTAGACTTTGAGAACTATCCTGGTGCTGCCCCACTCACCGACGGTACGCCCTCCAAGCCATCAGAGACTGTAGTCATGCTTACAGATCAACAAAGACAACCTAATACGGAACGTCCAGAAGAGGGGACTCGCAAGACGAGTCAACACGCAATGGGACATAATCAGCTCCGACGAAACGGCCATGGTGGCTTTCGTTTCCAGTCTCGCACGCATACGAGCCGGAAGCCGCTTCGATAAACAGGCGCAGAACGACTACTTCCGACTGCAGCATGCAACACTAAAATCTATCAGAGAGCGGATGCCATCACCAACAGCAATCACGAAGCCAAACCAAATATCCGAAGGCTACATCTGCGCCGTAATGGGCCAAGCAAGCATAGCGGTGCGCAACTACCACCAAGACCATCAAAAGCAGTAGCCAAAAAGAACCTTCACTGACGCATTCCCTCGCCAAAGTCCATGTACCTCGACGAAGCCACGGCCATATCGCACCTCCGCGGCGGCCACGAGCTAATCCGGCTGCGCGGCGGCACCGACACGCTCGAGCGGCTGGTCCGCCGCGTCATCAGCTGGTGTGAGTATCACAGCTGCGCCGCCCACCAATTGCGCCCTATGCTGGCCCCAATCCCACCGCCTGCGCCCTGGGGTTCCTCATGCTCCTCCTCATGCCCCTCCTCGTCCTCTCCCTCGTCGTCGTCGTCCTCCACGCCCACCACCTCAGCCTCATCATCTCGCCCCTCGCCCTTCCCCCAGGCCTTCGTCTCCCTCGTCTCCGCCGCCCACGCCCGCACGGCAGCACACTTGCCTCCTCCTCCTCCTCCTTCTCCTGCCCCCGTTGGATCAAACGGCCACCTCATCTCCCGCATCTTCGCCGCCCTCACCCTCGTCGGCACCGCCATCTCTGCCGCCTGGCAGCCCGCCTTCCAAGCCTACAGTCCCGCCAAAGAAGCCGCCGCCGCGGTGCTGGACGACGCGCTGTATGCTGTGCTGGTCGAGGTGGCGCGGCTGCACCAGGAGGAGCAGAAGCAGCAGCAGGGGGAGGAGGAACAGCAGCAGCAGAAGAAGAAGAAGGACGACGATGACGACGACGGCGATGGTGCCGGTGGGGATGAGGATGATGAGGAGGAGGAGGATGACGGAGGGCCAGCGCAGTGGGCCCACGCCGTCCTCCTGCACGCCGCGCACGCCTACCTCTGGGCCGCGCTGAGCGACTTGCCGGCCAGCCCGCACATGCACGACGCGTTCCTGGCGCGGCTGCGGGGCGCGCTCCAAGGGAGAAAGCGCGCTCGTGGGGTACAGCTTGGCGGGGGTGCGGAGTGGATGAAGCTACGGCCGGGCGGCAGCGGTACCAGGGCGATCGTTGCACCGGGGCCGATGGAAGCGGAGACGTTGATGTGGGTGTTGGCGGTGGGGTGGTTTCTGGCGGACAAGCGGCGGGCGATGTACGGGGGTGGGGAGGAGATGGTGGGGTGGTTTGCGGATCGGGTTGGGGAGCTGTTGGGGGTGGTGGGGGTGTGCGAGAGGGAGTGCGCGGTGGGGATGGTGAGGGATTTTCCGGGGACGGATGCGCTTAGGGTGAAGTGGGAGGGGTTGTTGCGGGGGGAGAAATTTTGTTGGTTATCGTAGGTGGTTGATGGAGGTTTGATGCCGGTTGCGGCAGAATCACGACTTCGGAATTTTTAGAATAAAAAACTAATAGAAAGAATGCCCAAAGTGCTCATTGCTATATCAGCTACGTTGCGGAGCACAACAAGGAAGCCTACGTAACCCATTGCTACAGACCTACAACAAACTTCTCACCCGCAACCGTATCCAGCGGCTCGCTGTACTCCCCCCCATTAACCTTGAACCCCTCCTCATCCGCCACCCTCAACGCCAACCGATTCCCCAACCTCGACTCCACCGTCGCTTCCTTCAGCCTCCCACCTTCCCACGCCACATCCACCACAAACCCGCCTCTGGCCACCAACCCCTTCACCTCCCCATCCTGCACCTCCCCCCTCGGCAGCGCCGGCAACAAATGCACCACTCCGCCCGCCGAATGGCTCTGCAACACCATCTCCACCACACCCGCGACGAACCCAAAATTCCCATCAGCCTGGAACGTCGGATACGGATTATTCGAGAACAAATTATCATTCACCGACGTGTTCAGAAACTGCGCCACATTCTCCCACGCCGCGTCGCCGTCCCCCAGCCGCGCGAACCACGATATCGTCCACGCACGCGACCAGCCGGTGCCAGCACCACCATGCTCCAGACGCCGATGCAGCGTCTTGTTCGCTGCAGCAGCCAGGGACGGCGAGACGGCGGGGTCGATGCTGCGCCCCGGGAAGAGGCCGAAGAGGTGCGAGACGTGCCGGTGGCCGGGCTCCGCTTCGGCGTAGTCGCGGCGCCACTCCATGATCGTGCCGAGCGAGGGGGAGATCTGGGGCGGTTGGAGGTTGGCGAGGTAGTGCTGGGCTTTGGCCAGCGCTGGGTCGTCGGAAGAGGAACGGCCGAGCGCGGCGCCGGCCTCGACGATGGCGGAGAAGAGTTCCCAGAGGATCTCGTTGTCCATGGTCGGCGCGACGTCGATGGCTTCGGTGGCGTTGGGGGCGGTTTGGTCGGGGAAGAGGCGGAAGCTGTTTTCGGGGGAGATGGAGGGGCCCGTGGCGTAGTAGCCGGAGGAGGGGTGTTCGAAGAGGTAGCAGTAGTAGAAGTCGGCGACTTCTTGGAGGACGGGGAGGGCGGAGTGTTCGAGCCAGGTCTTGTTGCCGTTGAAGCGGTAGTGTTCGATCAGGTGCAGGGAGAGCCAGGCTGCTCCCATGGGCCACATGGTCCATTGTGTGCCGTTGTCGACAGGTGCTGAATCTCCCCACAAGTCGGTGTTGTGATGGGTCATGAAGCCGGGGCAGTTGTACATCCTTTTTGCAACGTCTCTACCTTTGGGCCGTACGACCTCGATTAAGTCGAATAAGGGAAGATGAGTCTCCGCAAGGTTAGTGACTTCAGCTGGCCAGTAGTTCATCTCCGTGTTAATATTTATTGTGTCTGATGGAATCGTCAGTTCTAATCTTCGCTTGGAACAAGTCTCTTACATTTGCCTCCCCATGGAGGATCGTAACGCTGGCTCCAGACACCTTGGAGATTTGCTGGCAATGAAACAATGCCATGCTCCTTTCGCGAAGATGTGATGAGCATATATCGTCCAAGGTTGAATTGCAGGGTTGCCAGCTCTGGATCACCTCCCATGGTGACATTTTGCCATCTTCGGAGCCGATCTATTGTTGGTAGCAAGCCGATGTCCCCAGAGAACCCCAAGTCCAGAGATGTTCTGTGCGCCAAGCTTGTGTAGTCATCAAGTGCATCACGCTCTATTTCAGCATATGGAGTGGCAACAACATTGTCGAGCTTGCGGTTGAGCTCTCCTTCCCACTCTTGTTGGTCTGCATAGCGGTATGACGTCTCTGCATCAACGAAAATAGTTAAGGCGTCGGCATTACGGATATCAACAGATGTGCCGTTTGTGGATACGTTTGCTGGATGACGGGTTAGTTGATAGTCTCTACATCTTGAGATATCTCACCTGAGGCCCCTTCTATGTTAAGGCGCGCTTGAGCAGTAAAATTGATGCCATCGGCTTGGCCGCTTCCAGCACGGATAGTAATGGAACTGTAAGGCAAGCCCAAGTCCGCTGCGTGGTATGTGACATTGCGTTCGCGGAACAATGTGACGGTTGCATTTATCGCTGCTGAGGCGTTCGCCTCGAAACGCAAAACAAGGGCGCTCGCAGGAAATGAGCCAAACGAAACCCGCCTTATCTGCTTTAGCGCTGGTCTGCAACCTGAAGGTGTCGTACTCCTAGAAAGAGACTTACTTGTATGCCACATCTTTGTAAGTATACTCGCTCCCCACATAGCCATCGTATGTGTCCAGCCATCGAGAGTAATTTTTCACATCTCCCTCAGGGTGGTCGAACTCGCAAAAGAGCTCGACCATTGGGTGATAAGCCCTTGGGTTGGTTGGATCACCGCTCATGGTCGCCAGGACCGTCTGCCCAGCTTCTGTCAAGCTCTCATTCAGTAAAAGGTTCCTTGCCAGTCGGAATCCTTCTACTGCACGAGGGTTGACTCTGTCCAGGAACCCACCGTCCCATATTGAGTCCTCGTTCATCTGCACTCGTTCCTGACTGATGCCACCGTACACCATGCCACCAAGACGGCCGCTGCCGATCGGCAACGCCAGATTCCATTCTGGTGCAGGAGAAGTGTACCAGATGCGGCGAGAGCCAATTGGAGGTGTGGATGCACTCGCTCCGAGCGAAATTGATGCCGTTACGAAAAGGCAAACGAGAATGCGATAGAAACAGCGGCTTGACTCCATGATTGGGTTTCTGTCACTAACGACGTAAGTACCATGTACTTGTCTTTATTTAAACAGATATACGTCCATATTAGCCTATATAACGAACAATCCACTGGTGGGCTTTTCTGGCTGTGAATACGAAGCGGGGTTGGCTGAGCGGGGTGCAGGGATCGACAACCGCCACCCCTGCTGTAATAGATTAAAGCGATAAAATGCAAGGAAAGTAATTAATGACGTAGTTGATATGTAGCATGATCTATGTTCGACTTAACTGTGAAACCTCTACGACAAATAAACACATCAAGGAAAATTGCGTCTTGTAGTCATAAGTCACAGCTTTGTTGCCTTGAGGCCAGCAGATGTACACGAAATGAGCCGTGATGGGGTGGCCAAAAATTTATTAATAAAGCAGCTACTAAATATATTTATTTTATCTACCTCCGTGGTTGAATAATTTCATACCGTTCATGGGTCTGTGAAGCTATCGTATAGATTGAAATGGAGAATTTTTTAAATCGACAAATGCATCCGGATGAGAGCTTTAGCTACCTACGCCGGACCTTAATTCCTTCACGTCATACTAGCCTCGATTGACTCCCACATCTTGCGATTCCATTATGGGTTGGTGGTGTTGCTCACATGGTACGCCGTCGCCATCGACTAGATGAGAGAATATGCCTCGCTATGGACATGGTTGAACATGGTCTAGACATGCGTGGTCGAGGTGCCTATAATGACATTGATTCTATGCTACCTATTTAATGTGCCATTCAAGGCGAGAATTATCTCTCACCCGCCGCGCATACGTTGAATATTGCGTGGTCAATCCCGTGAAGGTATATTTGGTCGACAGAGTGCCGACTATGGAATTGAGAATTTGGAGTCTCGTACGCTTCTATTTGAGCTACTAATCACCACCACCCACTAAGCAGTGAGTATCACCAGACTCTGAGATTCGCTTCAGGATTGAGGCTCATCCGAGCGATGGGGGCGAGAGACATTGGCCAATCAGAACCCACGCCCACTGCAGGCACACGTGAGCCATGCCATCGCCGCTTGTCCACGGCGTGATTAGTAATATCAAACGGATAGATTATCTTCCCGCAGGGTGAATATCTGCCCGGCTACACGTGACTTTTACTGCTGCATTGCACAACAAACCCTCCGCCGGCTGGATCTACTAACCGTATCCTGGACATTTATTAACGCGCTAGGTGCATCTGAATATCTGTATACAATCAACCGAAACATTTGTGATTCTCTCTGCATTCGAACCAAACTGCCACAACAATGGAAAAGAAAGTCATTGTCGTCTTAGGAGTGACTGGAATTCAGGTAGGCAAACAATTCTTCCCAAGACGCTAGACATCATTGTAACTGCAGCTCATCGTCTACATGCAGGGTGGCTCAGTTGCCGAGTTGTTCCGCACCCTCCCCGATTGGACTGTCCGTGGCGTGACCCGAGACACCTCCACTCCCAAAGCTGCCGCTCTCCGCGACCAGGGCATTGAAGTCGTGGCCGGCGATTTCGACGACTTCGCCTCGCTCTCCAATGCCTTCCGGGGTGCAACCGCCATTTTTGCGGTCACCGACTTCTGGACCCCGTTCTACAACCCGGCCACAAAGGCGCTACTCGCCCCAGGACAGACGATCAACGAGTACTGCTACGAATTGGAGCTGCAGCGTGCGATGAACATTGCCAAAGCAGCGGCTGAGAATCTCGGCACTGTTGAGCGGTTCATCTTTTCGTCGCTGTCCCACGCGAAGGAATTGAGTAACGGCAAGTACACTTGGGTCTATCATTTCGACTCGAAGGCCGAGGCCGCGAGGAGGATCAAGCAAGAGTTCCCTGAGCTCGCTGCCCGGATGTCTCTTCTGCAGGTGGGGCTTTACGCAACCAACTGGAAGGCCGGGATGGGCGCCTTCCGCAAGGTCTGTTTGCCCTTTGTCCCCTCTTATGGAACACATCATTAATAGTGACAATTTATTAGCAAGCGGACGGTACCTTCGGGCTTTTCGCGAACAGCAGTGGCAACACACCCATTCCCATGGTAGTGCCACACAAGGACACGGGCAGCTTCGTGCACGCCCTTGTCCGCAGCCCACCCGGGTTGACTCTTCTCGGATTTGGCCAGATGCTGAGCTGGAGGGAGTATGCGGCGCTCTGGTCTCGCATTCTTGGGGTGGAAGCGACCTACCACGAAGTCCCCACGGCCGACCTGGCAAAGGAACTTCCTGAAGGCTTGGAGAGGGAGCTTCCTGAAATGGCCTTGTACATGGAAGAGTTTGGCTATGATGGCGGTGATCCGAGCATCATCCATCCAACGGATCTGCCAGTGGAATGTCCGACGACCAGCATTGAAGACTACATCAAGCACGAGGACTGGTCGCCCATTCTCAAGTCATAGGACTGCGCTGGGTTGACTGCAGAAAGCGTGATGACTCACGTAGGAAGAAGATTCGGGTTTAGATCGATGCCTTTTCAGCTGCCGGGACCAATGGGTCTCATAAATTCTAATCTCCGTTACATTTCGAATCAATGGGTTGTGTGTTTCATAGTTCGCATTGTCTTTTCCATCGTAATTAGGGCAATAATTATTTTTAACATTATTTATACAGCGTTCGGCTGTTGTCCTTACAGCCGCCTTAGGGATCGGTTTATTGGTGGGTCTAAAATGCCTCCGCGAATAAGCATCGTTTTCCTAAGAAAATTCGCCGGGCATCTCTTTTGTATCTACACGGAGGTACTTGACAAGGGAATAAAAGAGAAAGCCCGGCTCTATAATGCATACGAAACTGTCTACATAGATCCATCGAGGAAACGTAAGGTTACCTCTTGCGAACATTCTTACACGTTGGACCCCACCCATAAACCGATCCTTGCCGCGGCTGTAAGCGAGAGCCTGAAGTGACTGGAATGTTCCATGTGATGCAGGGCTACAAGCGATAATCCTGCTTCTCAACTCCACACCCTAACATCTGTCGCATCGCAAACCATGAATGTGGGTTCATCCCACTCGGCAGGGTAAGTAATATTTTTGCCTTCGTCCCCGTAGGGTTACTCACATATACGAAGGTCTTCCGAGCTTTCTTCGGCCCCGCACAATGGTGCAGGAATTTATTCTCACCTTGACAAATCGAAATCCGAAATTCGCCTTCTCACATTCAGCAACCCACAGACCCAACCAAATGATACTCCACGGCTTTACGCATCGATAAACACGTTCAGCTTTGACTCCGACAACCTACCATTATATCACGCCCTCTCTTACGAGTGGAATCCCCCCAATTCGCCGAGTACAACGACTGCATTGATAATAGACGGGAAAGAAAAGCAAGTGTCGTTGAATCTCTATTTTGCTCTGTTGTATCTTAGGAGGAGCACTTATTGGAACGGCCCATTTTGGGTGGACGCATTGTGCATCAACCAAGAGGATACTGCGGAGCGCAATCATCAAGTACAACTTATGCGCCGGATCTATGGCGAGGCACTTGGGGTATGTGTTTGGCTAGGTATCGACTGGACTTTGACGGCCGGGAAATGGTCAGCAAGCTTGCTTCGAGAAATCGAACCGCGAGCATCAGAAGCGATGCGTGCGTACGGGAGCTCGAGCCACCTCCGAGACGACGAGAACTACAAGACTCACTGGGAAGCTATCGATTTTCTGTTCTGTCAGTCCTATTGGAACAGGAGTTGGATAATCCAAGAGCTGGTTGCAGCCAAGGTGATATTGCTTTTGACGAATGAAGATCTTTACACATTTAACCCCTTATTCCTGGACGGATTTATGCTGTCCCTAAGAACTCCCCTGGCGGACAGATCATTATACGACCGGTCTACCAATTGGGCAGCCATACGTTCATCTACAGAGAACGTTGACGAGAAAGCTCTGAGGCATCGCATGAACGCTCATCTTGCAGTAGAGGCCATCTCACGGACCAAAGAAACAGTTTCTAGAAAGATTCCTGATTACCATAACGATCTTCTTTCGCTGTTGGCAAGGTTCTGCGGACAGCTGGCGACGGACCCTCGAGACAAGGTCTACAGCCTTCTGGGAATAGAGGAGCCAAACAGCGACAACTCAATCAGAGTCGACTATACCCTCAAATGGACCGAGGTACTTCGAGATGCGGCAATCTACGTCATTCGGGATCGAAATGATTTGGAAGTCTTGGTTTATGGAGGCTCAGGTGTGACGGGGCTTCCTTCCTGGGTCCCTGACTGGTTGGGTCAAGAACACCAGGGAACTATGCGCTTCCCGCATGACAAATACTGTCTAAAGAAGAGGTGCTGCTCTCCTCACACGGCTCACACACCACTTCGTGAAGACCGTGCCGGACGTTGGTTGCCTACTATTTCTGCCGATGGCTCATTGTTGACCATCTCAGCTGGCCTCTTCAACATTCAGGCCTGTTCCAAAGTTGACTCACCTGGCGTCGATATGGAAGCATGGAGAACTTGGGCCCCGCTGGGAGAGCTTGGTGACATTATGTTTTCAACTTGGAGGGCAAATTTGGTCATTCTCGATGACAGCGATCCGGAATTTCCTGCCAAAGTTGTCTTCGAAATATTCCAGCGTCTTTGGTGGCACGCTGTTTTCTATTTCTATCCGGGCGCATCCGAGATACTGAGCCAAAATGATTTCATTCGATACATAGCATCATGCGGGCGACATAGCTTGACTGAACAGCAGCGAGAACTACTCCAGCGCGCTTTGGACGCACAATCTCCATTCCTTACCAAAGCACCACCCTCCGTTGGAAGCGCCATATTCAGAAGCAACATCTTTAAGCATCATGACGCTGGTACGTATTCATCATGTTTATTAGTAGACTGCAGAGCGTTAACAGAATTAGAATTTTTCGCAAAGAGAATACTCGATCGTCAAGCCTCTGTATACATCCCAGGGATGTGCTTCTGGTCTCCAGAGCGCGGAACCTTAGGTCCAAATCACGTCCTCGCCTCGATTCCACTTTGCCGATTCCCAATAATCCTATCAAAGCCCGATGGGAGTGGAAAAGGTTACAAAGTCAGTACCAGTGCACGTGTTGCAAATTTGGAAAATTGCCAGATTGAACAGGATGATGGCACGACCTTTGAACTTCCTGTACAAGAGATAGACCTAGTGTGATAGTTCTATCGGATGTTGTATCTGCTTCTGAGCATGGTGGTGACCTCTGCGCAGACGTCATGATTGCTACGTCACTGCGGCATCTACTCAAGAGCGCTGCTCCGCCATCGCCGCCTATAGCTCGAAACTTGTTTGAAATAAGGCCAGACCTCCGGTGAGCCAAGGGTCCTACACTTCAATAGTCATTAGGCGCTGTGAGGCGAGCGGCTGAGAGTGTCTAAACCACAAGAAAAGAGCAGTCGGGAGCCGGGCTTGGCAAGGCTGGCTTGTTCCAAGGCCGTAACGAATGAAGCGGGGATCCGAAGCTCTCTGTTGTACAAAACCTCCCGGGCTCGCAGGGTTGCTGACTGCAGCTCCGCTGCGGAGAGTAAGCCATGGCGTTATGCCAAGAACCCCACCAGGTGGCAACCCGATAATAGGCATGGAAGGAGTGCATATCTTCGCGGAAGACACGATAACAGTACGGAATTCTGGATTTGCACACGCACATGCATGGGGAATGTGAGGAATTCCGGGCGGCTCCAGAATGAGTTCTGGGAAGCGCGAAGGAGCGTCATGCAAGGCTGAAGAGCAAATCATCCGTTGGTGTGTGGAAGTTTCGGTAGCGGCCGCTCCAAGACGGTCAGTCTCTCCTCTCCTGGTCCTTTTTCGGAGGAGCCATTTCCTCAGTTTCCTCCCCGCTTGGCAACATGGAAGTCTTCCCTGCGACAGGTGCAAATCCAACGTCGGCCTCCATCTCCACCGGTGAACGCCGCTCCAATAGCTCAACTGGTTGACGCTTGGACGCCAACTCGTACAAATCCTGACGCAGCTGCGCATTGTGTGCTTGGATTTCCCTTTGGAGTTTCCGTGATCGTCGCGAGTAGAGGAATGCCCCAATCACGGATGCCAGAGCCACGACGCCACCGATCACACCCCCCACTATGGCACCTGTGGACGAGCCTTGATTATTACTGGTCGCAGCAGACGGCGTTTCTCCTGGGGTGATGCAACCGTCGATGCTGTAATAGACCCAGGATGCATTGTAGCAGCGGCCGACTTCAGCAATCTCAACGACCTTGGACGAGCAGATGAAGGTGTTGATGTCGTTACCGTAGATGGCCACTTCACCATGTCTTGTTAGCGTTTTTCTAGTAGTGGATGTGAATACTACTTACCATTGCATCCCGGGTCGAAATCGTGCACTTGGAAACTCAAGTGGGTGCTGGGTGCCCATTGGCTGAAAGAGGTACAGCTGCCGTCCGGATAGCCATTTGGCCCAGTGAAGTTTTTTAGTGACTGGGTACACGCTGCGTCTGAGAACATTTGAATCCCTGTTGAGACACTCTGAGCCACGAAGTGAGAAAGTATGACTAAAGATACAAGTCTGAGGTAGACTTGTGGTTGTTGAGACATCCTGAGGCTCGGGAAAAGTTGAGATGATGAAAAATAAAATCTTTGGAAAGTGCAGCTATAAGCGGATACAGCTTGAGATTGTCGCGAAAGGGCCTCGGAGCCGTACTCCCGGTATGAATGTCGAGCAGATTAAAAGAATCAGGCTGGATGGGAATACATAATGACAGAAGAAATGCGAAAGGATTGTCAGCGCTGCAAGGCGTCCATTGTGAAATGGTAAGCTCTACTTACGTATAGGAAGGCGCAGCCTTTGCAGCCTCACTTCATGCGTAGACCATGGGTGGTTATCTTGGCGCCTCATTCTATTCATATCTCAAAGCGTTTTGAGCACATGTTCAAGCTAGAGAAAAGTGTCGTCGTTTGTAAATAGCTATCTATTAGACTCGATTTGTCTTACAACTTCTGTGCACACAACTAGCTATTAGACCGAGTGCCAAATTAGATAGGCCGTGCAGATATTTTCAGCCGCTCGTTACTACATTCCTATTTACGGCGAACTTATACGAGCTAAAGATAGTCGCACTGCATGCTTATCATGCTGCGGACCAGAATCTGCGCCCTTGTGTTACGAATTTGTTTGTTTTTTTACTACACGACGGGAATCCGAATTTCGGCCCCGTATCCACGCCGAAACCTGCAACGCGCTGGATACTGATAACCTGATCCCACCTTTGCTCAAACCCTCTCTGCCAAGCGCAAGGGATCAGTATACTTAGCAGAAGCAGCCGCACTTATCCCTGCACAGCTGACGACTTTCAGTCCTGCAAAGCCTATCTCTCAGTTACACTGCATTCCAGCAGAGTTCCTTCCTCATCGAACACAAACTCAGCCTCCTTCCTCCCCCGTTTCCGTCGCCAATAGTTTGTTGCTTGCAAAACTTCCGGACAGCCCTTCAACAAAAAGCCCCATTTCCTCATGAATTCCGGACTGATTTCCCAATTCCACGCATCTCCAGGATCTCCCCAGACAACAAGTGGGGCCGGGATATCGTCAACGTCGGACTCGATCGTAAGGAGCGCACCACACAGCTCGTCTTCGTCGATCTCTGCCGCACCGAGCCCGCGAAGTATGTTGTCTCTGATGCCTGGTGCTGGGAAAACATCAATCCAAGGATGGTGAACTACGGTTTTCTGAAGAGCGGTTGGGTGAAGACTATTATTAGGCGGCGGAAGGGAAAGCAGACTACGGTTCAATAGGAGATCTGGAGGTGTGTTGGGGCCGACGAGGTTGAAAGGGGAGATGGACTCGTCGAGCTCTAGATCAACGAACGATATGGACAGAGCTTTTGCGTTGGCCGCGAGTGCGTAGATTACGTTAAGACGCGCAAGAGTCGGGAGATCGCTCGGCGCCCGTAGCTTCAGGCTGTGGTCTTGGTAAAGCATCTGCTTGAACTCGATTGCCTTGGGTTTTGAGGCGGAATTCAATGTCGCGATCCATCCAAAGTCAGCATATTCGCGCGGTTCGGCCCGGCGTTCCGGAAAGGCCAAGGTGTTGCCGTCCGTCCCAGATGGCGCATCGCTCCGCACCTTTGTGCTGGGTGACTGACTCAAAACCACTGTGGCAAACCGCTCAAGATGTTTTCTCTTGCCTATAGCACGCGCTTCAGCAATTGCTTATGGTCACAAGAGGAAGCTACATACGATAAGCCCTCTGGTTAAGGCGATTCTGCCGCTTCCTCCTTTCCTTGGACCCTTCTACTCCCGTCCAGTCGTCTTGTAGGTCCCATGTTTCAAAGGGTTGACGAGGCGGCATGACTGGCGTTATATCGGTGTTCGATGTACGTTTTGAGATGTGAGAGGTTGGAAAAAGGGTGACGCGGATCGAACTGGCGCGAGGGCGGTCAAACGCAGGATCGCGTGACGGAAGAATTGGTTGGGGCTGTGCGGGGCTTTCGGCTTTCCCGATTTCGGGATTTCTACCGTCATTCTAGCCGAACCATGTACTGGGCTCCTTCACATGCCGTGCAGGGGTCACTTGAAGCGACAAACCGTCAGTTCAACTACATAGACGTAATGGCAAGAAAATTACACACGAGAAATTGGAAGCCGCCCGCCCACAGAAACTACATCAGTTACCATGTACCTGCAAAACCTCCCGAAGCTCGCCTTGAATCCAATCCCACAACTGCTCCCCCAGCACGCGATCTTGGCTCAGCTTCGAGCCTTTCCCAGCCACGCCAACGGGGCCATAAAATTCTCCGCTCTGAGCATCAGGGCTGACCGCTGCCCAGAGCTGACTGTAAGCGCCTTTTTCAACAGGTGTAGCGAATAGTACGACAGCAGTGTTGAGGAAAGGCTTGAGAAAGGTGCCTGTAGAGTCGTGGTGAAGATTTGTAGCTACCATTCCCGGGTGAACGCTGATGAACTTCACGTCCTTGTACTTCTCAGCCATGGCGGTCGTGTAGTGGATGTCGGCGATCTTGGAAAGGGCGTAGCGTGCCGTGGTATGACGGTTAGGCATGGTTGTCTTCAGCTCGTCGAATTTGTATATATCGCCTGGTGCGACACTCTCGGAAGCCGAAGAGAGGTTGACGACTCGAGTCTGCGGGTTAATTTTGGCAGTTCTCTGGAGGACGGGCTGGAGAAGCTGCGTGAAGAGAGCCGGTCCCATGACGTTCGTTCCGAACTGTATCTCGTAGCCGTCCTTCGTAAGGCCTTCGGCGGTCATCATGATGCCAGCATTGTTGACAAGGATATCAAGTCGAGATTCGGATGCTTTGAAGGTTTGAGCGGCCGCAATGATGCTCTGGAAAGATGACAGGTCGAGATGTAGAAAGGCAATGGGTGCGCAGTCCGGGTCGGCATCTTTGAGTTGCTTGATGGCTGCTTCGGCCTTCTCCTTAGACCGTGCAGCAAGGTAGACGCGGGAAGGGTTGTTCTTTGCAAGCTGTCTGACTGTCTCGAGTCCCAGGCCGGCATTTCCTCCTGTAACAATGACGACCTGTTCGCTGAGATCGGGAATGTCCTGATCGGGATTGAAAGTGGGGCTGCACAGGCCCATGGTTTCTCGTCGTCGGGTTTGAAATTGAAAGATTTCCGTTAACTTTGAATGAAGCTTTCAAGTGAAAGGTACCAATTCTGCTGAAGAGTATGTGTTATTGTCCACACAAATGATGGGTTTTTATATCATGAGCTTCACGTTGCTTACACCCCTGTCACTTCGGTCGGCATGCGGGCTACTAAGTGGATCCTCCGCTACAGGACTAGTTTGCTTACACCCCTGTCGCTTTAGCCTCGGCCCTATACCGCAAAGGGAGCCGGGGATCGCCAGACGGCGCCACGGTCAGGTTGCTGACACCCATGTCGCTTTACAGCCCCCTCTCGCAGCCGATGGCTAGCGCGAAGAATAGCAGCCCCAGCTCTATCTTAGAAAAATTAACATATGTGGGTATTTGAAGCTATCGTCCGTACGTGTGTGTAGAATTTTTAATTCGACATTCTCGTCCGGACGATAGCTTCACGTACCCATGACATGAGGGAAAAAAAACAAATCCACGCTAGCCATCGGCTGCGAGAAGGGACTGTATATTTACTTCCACCCGTCCAATTCAACCACGAATGAGGCAATCCTTCCGCAGATGACCTTAAGATACAGCAGACCCATCAACAGAGCACGCACAAGCCAGCCAACCGGCACCAGGCACCCTCTCAAATATTTGCTAAACTGTTCCTGTTTCAAAGAACAGTTCCATAGTCGCACGCGGAACCAGTGAAAGGTCTAACCCCCCCGTAAAAACTTAGTTTCCTTCCCTTCACCTGCACCTATCCTCACGTCCATTCCCTTCGCCATCCCACTCACCCTGTCCAACAACCCTTCCATCCGCTCCCTTCTCTCCCCCTCATCCCACCCATGAAACAACAACGGCAACGACGACTTCCAAAGCGGCAGCCCAGCTTGGCCCCTGCTCGCTACCAACACCGCCGCCAAGAAATCGGCACCAAAAAGGACCAACGCGAGCGGCAGCGCCAACCACGCCCAGCGAATCTCAACTACAGTATCAGGACGCCAGACGACGCCTTGCGCATTCGTAGCGTTGCGGCTGGTCCGCACGTTGTTGGTGACACCGGCGGCCGCGTCGACGCCGTACGCGAGCGCGTGGCCGATGGTGAATGCCGTAGTTTTGCTGCCGAGGGATAAGGTGAGCATTGTGCTGAGGAAAGCGACCAGGGAAATGTGGTCGTAGTTGGTGACGATGAACTCGGTGGTGGTGGCGAGCGGCTGAGGTAGTTGATGGCCGATGGCTGTTTGGTTTGGCGTTATTTTGCGTATGCTGCAAACTCGGTACAGGAAGCTTCGTAAGGCGGACCATCGTGGTCCCGAGTGCACCACCCTGCATAGGCAGTCGGTCTTAGTGAAAGATTAGGAATCTAGTATCTTATTCTCCTTGATCGTGAGAGGTGATAGTGAAGCGAACGTGGTCGACTGTCTACGCATTGGACGGTATTTCGAGCTGAATATAAAGGCACTTAGGGCGGGCTGATGAGACATATACTAAGTCTTCCCATTTGACGCTGCACTGCATCATTTCATGTCCTCAGCGGAACCACTGGCCATTTGAATAGAGCTCTAATGGATACATTTGCTAAAGCCATGAGCGGTACAGCCAACTAAAGTATCTACAACGTGGCCATAGTACAATGTACAGTATATACAGTGCAACATCTCCCCTTGAATATAGCTGCCTGTGCAGTGTCGAGAATGCCGCGAGAAGAGACTGATACAGCGAAGAAATTATTTCGCGTACGCGCTGGCGCTGTCTTGCATCCAGGCGACACCTCCGCCAATACCCTCAAAGATCCTGCCTCCCGGGCCCAACTGGATGTGCGAGACGCCACCGCTGTACACTCCACCGGCACCCATCCTCGCACGCCAGACCTCCTCGCCAGTGCTGAAGTCGTAGGCCACAACATACCAGACATACTCACCTTGCTGGGCCAGCTCATAGTCCTGGGTATAGCCGTAGAGGAGTCCCGTAGCGGTCGACAGCGTCGTCATAGTCACGCGATCGTTGATATCCCACACGAGGCTGCACTCGCCGGCCTCAGTGATGTCGACGCGGGCGATGCCAGGTGCGGTACTGCCGAGGTCGTTCTGCGGGCCGTTGATATCGCCATCACTGCTAATCTGACCAAAGGACCAGGACGAGTTGTACGAGTTGAGGATCGAGGCGCTGTACGTCGTGCCGTCGAAGTAGGTGGTCAGGGCCGCCTCGTTGCCACTGGCGTTGGGCTGAAACAGGGGAACCGAGCAGACAAGGGCATTCGCGCCGTCAGTCATTGCGTCAGCCTGGAGGTAGACATTCAAATTGACCTGGACATCCGCGTTGTCGGTGATGGCGACATATTTCTCGCCAATCAGGCCGACGGACGCGCCGGAACCGCGCGACAAGCCGCCCGGCTTCATCCCGCTACCAGCATCATATTTCTCGTCGTAGACGATGGCGACGCTGCCGTTCGTCCCGGCCTGAACGGCGTAGAAGTGGCCAACGGCGTTGGCGTGATCCTCGGAGCCAGCGGGACCGGTCACGACGTACATGGTTTTCCCGTTGATTGCTGCGCCATTCTCGATCAGAGCGTTCTCGAGCTCGATCGCATGTACGGTGCCATCCGCGGGCTGAACATAGCCAATGGTCGAGACGTTGGCGCCCTCCATCCCTACAAGAGGGGCTGACGTGCCGGTGAACCAGAGGTTGCCGTCGCCCGCATAGCCGACAGTCGCAATGATGGAGCCGGAAGCCATATAGCCCGAGACGTCCCATTCGCCGACTTCAGTGAAGGACAAAGTTCCATCTTCGGCCTGGGCAAGCTTGACGTCAACGATAAAACCCTCGAGGGTGGGGACGGCGGCGCGGCCGTTGAGAATCTGCCAGTAGTTGGAGATGGTCGTCCGGTTCTGAGGCGTCCACTGCGCAACCGGCTCGAGCGTGGTTGCGTCCAGTGCCGCCAGACACCAGGCGACTGGGTCTTCGCCGCAGACCAGCGAAGCCAGAACGGCGCCGGTGGACGAGACAGTGTCCATGTCCCAGAAGAGGTAGCCGACACGCGTGGTGCTGCTGTAGGCCTGGGGACTGTTTCCCAATGGTCCGGCAAAATCGTCGGTGCGCGTGTTGCCGCCGTCGATATGGGCTTGCAGCGCATCCGGCACAAAACGTGGCTTGGGCGCCAATTGCTGGCCGGCAAAGGGACTGCCAATGAAGGACGGGGCCGAGACGTTTTGCGAATCGGGCACGGCAGCCGTTTGGCGCATACGAAGTTCATTGGCAAATGCCACGGGCTTCGAGAGCTAAAGATGCTGGTTAGGGGAAGCGTACTTGAGCATCTACACGGATAGACTTACTGCCAGGGCTGGCAAAGAAGACGCCACTGAAAGTTTAGCGAGTGAATTGAACATTTTCATATTGAAGGTTGGAAAAGAAGGGCAAGTTTCAGAAATGAAACGGGACGTTGATGATCAGGTATGAGGTTGAGAATTCGCTGTGTTGGTGATGTCGCTCCATTGTGAGGTTGCAGCTCTCTTTATATCTACTTCTTATGTTGTCAAGGCGTACTCGGATACCTCCCAAGCCCAGGGACAAGGCTTTCTCTCGTAAACTGAATGCACGGTGTTCTTTCATTATTGGATTAGCTGCTTGTAAACAGTTACTCCGCTCATGGATGATGGTGGTACAGAACGAGAACTGTGTCGATAGTTACGAGATGGGAGAATAGTCGGAAGCTTGGAGAAATTGCGAAGGTCGTTAAGTGGTCGAAGCGCTTAATATTATGTAGAAGATAGGGTTTTTAAGGCGATCAAGTGTACTTGAAGGAGCCTTGGAGTTGTGCGTTGGGGCTTGGCATTCTCGTCGTCGGATTCGTCGTCGTATCCGCCGCTGACCACTACACGCTAAGAACACTAGATTTCTAAACGCCAGTTCTACGCTTGCTAGGTCTAACTTAAAATGACGTAGTATTTTTGTGGATCGCATTCTACTGCCGAAGCTTCCAGATGCAAAAAATCTTCACCTTGCATTAAACTACCTCGGGAGCGGATTCACTCTTGCAGCGCAAATGGATCTACACCACCCTTACCCATTTCCCTTACATCGACACCCTCTCGAATACACCTAATCGGCCACTGTATCCACCGTCTCCACTCCTCCCCTGTTACAGCCAGCGCCAGCTCAACCACCTCACTCACCGCTTCACTCCATCCCTTCAGATACCAAGTATCCTTCTCATAACACCGCACCATCGCTGCATAATGCACAAGCACTACCAATGCCACGGGCTCCTCCTTTCGCAAACGCTCTACAAACTCCTTCCCCAAGCTAATCGGCCACGACCAGATTCTCGCTTTTCTTGTCTCCTCCTCAGCGCACATTATCACGTACATATTCTGTAGTGCCTCCACGGCAGCGGTGGATGACGAAGCAACAGCCATTCCATTGCCTGGTGACATAGGTGGCGGACGGACAATGTCGCCTAGCGCCTTCAGGCGAGCCGCGAAGGCACCAACCGGGGGCGCGGCTGCTGGCGGCATGGAAACGAGCGGAGCGATCGGACCGGAGGCAATAGCGGACCAGATTTTCGGCGAGCTGAGAATACTACTGACGCCTTGGACGAGAATAAAACACTGGGCGATATCGTCCAGGCTTGCGGCGCCGTCGCGGTGGCGGCTGGCGAAGGAGAACATGGCCGTGATAAAGGTGAAGGATGCGAAGAGGACTGCGGCGTGGCAATTGTCCGAGTTGATGTTGGACAGATGCGATGCGAACTGCGCAACCGCCAGGTTCTGGTGGCGGATTGATGCCAGTGTGAAAGGTCCTTTTTGTGACGGGTTCATGTGACCTAAATGAAGGGCAGAGAGAGCAAGCACGGCGTGCATTAGATATTCCTGCATCCCATGGCTCATTAATACGGGTGGCATAAAACCGTATGTGCATGGGGTTCGCTCACGTGAGACAAGCCAAGTTGTATGACGGTATCTTTCCAGATGTGATGAGTAGATGGCTCCCAGGAAAGGGTTTCGTATAACGATGTCAAGTAGTGGTCCAGAAGCTGAAAATCCCGCAGCCAGTTCTGCTTCTCTTGAGCCATCAGGCTAGATGTTTTGTTTGGATCACTTTTCGAGTCTTGTGTGGTTGTTTCACCCTCTGACATTTGCTCAATTTTGCCAGCAAGTTCCTCAAAGAGCTTCGTTACGTCTGCCGCCTTCGCTGTAATAGATCTCGCCTGTATCCTGGGTATAATTCTGTCTGTCTGGCCCCTAGCAACTGGAGTAGTACTAGGGCGTTCATTTTCGGAGGGGATAGCGGGGGGATTACACCCGGAACTCTCCGCTGGAGCTAATCGCTGTGAGGACACTTCGCTTCTTGGAAACCCCCCTAAGCTACAAGTTACTCTGTGCAGTGCGCAGTTGGTGCACGGTCGCTGCTCATCGCACTGTGCAGTGTGTTAGAATACATGCCGTGTGAGTGTGTGCCTTGGGCAAGCACAAGAAAGCAATTTTGGGCTTTGGCCCGAACTAAGCTTCGAGGGTGCCGTACCTTGACTCGACGGGCTTTACAGCGGACACAGCCATTTCTAGATTTCTTGAACCCGGTGCGTCTTGGAGGCATCTTGGACAGGTCCTCAGCTGTTGGATTTGGAAGAGTGACGTGTTAATATACCCGACGACGAACGCGAATGCGAAACGAGGAGGCCTAACCTCGGCTGCGCCACACGGACGTATTTTATACGTAGTCAAATAATCCCGCCGAGACGTTCACCGGCATCACAATGATCGTTCAAAGCAGATGACCATTCAATCCATGCATGACTGAGCTGCTGCTGCCGCACGAGGAGGCGATCCGGATTCATTTGCTTCCGAAATCTTCATTACATCGACCACAGGTTTATAGAAGATGCAACTGGATTATCTGATTCTCTTAAGGGGCAATGACCAAACTAAACTCTTTTTTCTTACGGAAAATCTCAAACCTAACCATCGCCGGCAAAACCCAACAATTGTCGGCCAAACCCAACTTCTTCAGCAAGATCTACCATATTTTTACCCGCAGCAGAACTTCAACGAAATTAAAATCTAAGTACTTTCTTACTACTACAGTAATAGCTAAGCCTATTTCTAGATCCATCTTTCCAGAATCTCCTATTCCGGTTAGCATTTCAACAGAGAAGAGTTGATTTATGAAAGACAGGAGTTCGATTCACAGCTACGTACCGTGATATATAGCAAATATCCTTTTACAGTTTACTACAAAACAATCCGCCCGCCTCGGCAGAAACAAGATGCCTCCACCTTGATATCCGCACCAGCGCTCACCTCCTCCAGCTGCTTCCCAATAGCCCTCGTTTCCTCTTCACGGCCAAGCCTCACCAAGCACTCACGGTACCCATGCAACGCCCAGATATTCCTCGGGTGCTGTCTCGCCCGCGGCAGCGCGTCGCTCAGCCCCAAGTCCGCCTTGTACGCTGCCTCCGCCCGCTCCACGTTCCCCTGCTCGAGCGACAGCGCACCCAGCGCGTGCCGGATCGGCTGCATCCACGCCGGCGGCTCGCTATACACCAGCGCGTCCTCGCGCGCGATGCCGTCCTCTAACTTCTTGAATGCCGTTTCAAAGTTGCCCCTCCGATACTCGAGCTCTCCGTCCAGCATCTCCGCTGCCACCGCCAGCACGTCCACGCATTTGTTTGGGAAGTCCATACGAGAGGGAGGGACGCGCTTCGCCGCGGCGAAGAATAGCTCGCGCTGCGCCTCGGCCTCGGCGACGCGCGCGGTCGCGGCGAACGCGATGCCCTTCCCATAGTGCAGCATGGCGGTCGTCATGCAGTAGAGGGCCTGGTCGGCAGGCAGGGGGAGCGCGATGATGTCGTCCCACCGCCCGAAGCGGATGAGGACGTGCACGCGCACCGTGAGAAACGTCTCGAGCCAGTCGGCCATGGGCGGCGATTCGATCCGGAGCAGCGATTCCGGGATGGACTGCTCCATGCGCTCGACGGCGTCGAGGGCCACGAACCGGCGGCCAGCGAACATGGCGGCGTAGATGAGGCTGTGGTAGTCGTGCAGCCGGTAGAAGATGTAGAAGTCGGTCGTGTTGGAGGGGTCGGCCAGGCGGTATTTCTCGTCCGCGCGCGTGGCGGCCGTGTTGGCGGCTATCGAGGACTGCCAGTCGCCGACGAGGACGTCGAGGTGCGAGGGCATGTGGTGCAGGTGGCCGGAGTCGGGGACGAGGTTGTCGCGGAGGCAGTTCGCCGCGGGTATCGCCGCTTCGGGCGTGGGTGACATTTCCATGAGGTGGATGTACATGTGGAGGATGCCTGGATGGCGCTGACCACCGGAGTCGAGGGCTCGCTCGAGGACTTCCTTTACCTCGAGTGTGCTTGCGTGCGGAGTAGGCTGCCCTGTGTGCAGATCCCACAGATTCCACGCGCACCGATTCATCAGTGCATCTGCATACAAGGCCGCCACATCCAAATCTTCGGGAAACCCGTGGTAGACCGGCTTCATCGCCTCCGCGTATGCGTCGTTGCAGGCTGCGTAGTTCTTTTCTGAAGCATTGCGAGGGGATCGAACTTTGATGGCCTTAATGAGAGCTTGCTCAAACGGTGTGGCGGAACATGCTTCCGCTTTCTCAACGGCGGTGTGGATTTTGTCGAGGGACCTCTTCAAGTCATCCGAGTCAAAGAGTTCCCACGGCTTGTTGTAGTTGGGGCCGCAGGCAAAGGCGATGCCCCAGTAAGCCATGACACAACGGGGGTCGTTGGTGACAGCTGCCTCGAAGCATCTTGCCGCCTCCCGGTGATTGAATCCGTAGCTCCAAATGAGGCCTTGATCGAACCATTTCTGCGCGGTGGGAGATTCTGTGTTGATTGACCTGTGGTACGATCCGAGATCGTAGTAGCTTTGCTGCTGCGCCAAAGTCATTGTCAAAGGAAGGGTGCAGAAAAGTACCCTTACTCAGACAGACCGAGCTGATATATAGTTCCTCTCGCTGTCAATTGGCTAACGCAATCATGACGCACATTGTGGTTGAGGGTCCAGGCACTAGATGAGTAACATGTGCAGCGGCTTCCCGGCCGCTTTCCGGTGGCCTCCCGAGCGGCCTTTTGGTGGGCTTCTGTTATCTGTGTGGTTTGCCGATGACAAACACGGCCGGTTAATCAGGGAAGGTGCTGTGAGGACTCAGTGCAGGAGCGGCGTATGCGAGGATCATGCTCCTCGCCTAGCGTAGAACAAAACCCACGCAGCCCTCAGGCTGCTGACGAATCGCTTAAGGATTGGTTTGTTAAACAATTCAGTCACCACTTTATCGTCATTCTAAGCTTTCTATTCGAGATAGTACGTAAAATCTACTATTATATAACGTGGTCAGTACTAGTTATAATAATATCATAGCTAAAAATAAATAAAATTAGAGTCACCGGGAAGCGAGTACGGGTAAGTGTAGATAATTACTAATTCATACGTAAAATACTAAGAAAACAACAATGCGACGCTACGCCGAGTACTGAGGGGGCGTGGGCCGGGGGCCCGGGCGTGGTGGTAGTTGTGTCGCACCCGTAAGCGCGCTCTTCCCGGTGTAGCGCAAGGATCCCCTATATATCGCGTCCGCAAGGAGTGGCCGTTTAGGCGTGGCGCCTTCAACCAACCTGTTCGTGATGCCGCTGTCAATCCCGACAAGTGATGCACTTTCTGCAGCTTGCCGAAAATGGAGATGCTCATGACGCTGAGGTCGACAAAGCGCGTATCGGGGTCCAACTTATGCCACACAGCGCCCGTTTCAGCTGCGATCTCGGCCGATATCGGCGTAATGCATCTCGTTAGCTTTCCCGACCGTGTAGCCGAGGTGCTGCTCTCGCCGGGGAGGATGGCTGTAGCATTTTTAGGTAACATGCGCTCTCGAGCTGCTGGAGCTGCGGTTTTATCGTCTGCTTTGCGGCCTCCGGTAAGCCTACAGTGCACCACGGCGCATGGCAGTTTTTATGATTTGATGCCCGAGTAGATGCCAATAAGCTCTCCCGCGCGGAATACGTAGATGTCGCCCAGGACGAGCCATTTCGCATCTCCTGGTTGTATGTGCACGTACGATGTGCATGGTTCACCCCCGGGAAGGGTTTCGTTGAAGCGGGGCGTCTAGAATCTCACGGTGAGATACGCGCTGTCTTCCGGGCTGTCGTCGACCTTGGCGTTGAGCACGAAGTAGACGACGTGCACGACCTAGTCCAGCCAATAGGGATCTATCGATGTTTGCCGGCGACTACAGGACTGAGCTTGGCAGTAGCCACAGTGTCGCACATCATTCACCCGACTACTCTCAACACAACCTTCCAGGCCGTACTTGCTGCAGTTAGTCGCACAGCTGTTATCTCTTATTGATATGGAAACCGTAACACTTGGGGTGGAGCAATCCTTACCGTCGGTACAGACACCCCGACAGAGGCCGGGAACGCAGCGATATTTCCTGTGGAAATTGCAATGCCGATGGAAATAAGAACCTCACCAGTACTTGGAATGGCATATTCCGAGGAAGCAAACGCGTCCTGCCTTACGGAGATGGGGTCCTCCGGCGCAGCCATGACCATCATAGGCAAGGTGAAGGCGATGAGGCTGGTGCACGGTGAGGGTCTGAATGAAGCTTGGAGTGTGGACTGCTTTGGTCATCTGAGCTAGAGGAAGCGTCTACTGAATGATGGACAGATCGAGTGGAGTAGATTATATGCATTGAGATCAGTAAGTAGAGATGGTGCGATAGATAGACTGTCTCCGCTCCATCCGTTTACAACCGAAACTCTGGCGAAGATTAAGAAGTGGTCCCGTTAATGACTCTTTATCTAAGTCCTCCGATACTCTTCTCAGATGGCCCTCTAGTCTCACACTGAGAGCGGCAACCCACTGTTGCTCCTAGTGGCTCTGCCGCCGTCCTCTCCCTCCATCTCTACATACCCCGGAGTCGAGAACCCTGTCTCCATCTCCTCCTCCATTTCTTTCGGGCTCTCCATGACCAGCTCTAGCCAGTGCGCGAACCCGTATCCCACAGAACCGCTCACCTTCGCCCTGCCGATGCCCCGCACATCCTGGAAAAGCCGTAGCACGCTGTAGTCGCAAGCCTCAAACTGCGCCTGCCAGCACTCGACCTCAAGGCTATCAGCATTCGAGAATGCGGCCGTGACCTCCGCCGCATTAAAGTACGGATCGGCATCCAGTCGAACGGATATATGCCAGTTCCGAATTTGAGCCACGACGCCGGCATGTAGGATGGGGCGAATGGACCCGAGCAGGGACGGCATTTTGGTGAGGAACATACTGTGTGCGCGGAAGATATTGCATGCATATAGGATAGGCGTTGCTTCTTCGTGGGCTCGTCTGCAGGAACCGAGGATAGCTGGAAAGATGTTCGTTTCCACCAGAGAGGTACTGCTAGCAGGTGCATGGAAGCTGGTGGCCCGGTGTTTCGAGGCGGCTAACTCCGGTGTGATGAAGAGAACCTTATAAATTTCGTTTCGGAGTTCGCCAGGAAGGCGGAAGAAGGGAGAGTCTTGTTGTTCATACCGCGGCATCAGCGAGCGCTTTGACTGTTGTGGTGCAGATTGGAGGACCATAATAACTGGCTGCTAAAGAGTAGCTGCAATGGCCGTGATTAATCTTTGGTCTGGTTTTTGATTGATGTGTACTCAAATGGCGAGCTATGGAGCGCTACTACGTACTAGCCCGTAACATATGAGCGACACACGGCACGCATGCTGACGATGTAATGCCGCTAGGTAACTGAAAATGAGGCGAGATTTGTGATGACTGTATGGACACCGGATGTGGCTAGCTATGGTCTTATTAGAGTGACGTCAGGGTCGAATGTTTCTGTCTTGGCTACCTCGGAATGCTTTGCGCTAAACATAAACATGCAGCCTTCGGGACTCATACTAGAACTGTGCGTCGGCTGACTCGATACTGTGCAGCCATCACTTTCTTGCAGGCGGCCATAGAATCCGATGCGAAAATCAATTATGCCGAAAAAGGAAATTAAAAAGAGAAACTTGTGCGCGCCGAAGTTTTGCCACACATCAGAGACGCGCAGTTTCAGGGTTAATCGCGATCCTCTCACCATTCTTTGTCTTCCTCTGACCCCAGAAACCAGTTATTTCCTCCTAGTCCCGCATGGCTAGACCCAGGACATTTCCGATAACAACCGAAACATCGCGTACTGCTTCTTCCGTTCGAGGTGCTAAAACAGTAGCGCAGCACCGGTGTAGGAACATGTGTACAACCTAACGCAAGTCAGGTCACCCGGCATCGTGTTATCGTGGCGGACGCTGTTCTGCTGCCTCGGTTTGAATCGTGCGGTACCTTAAATAATGGAGCCCGCGACCAATTCGCCCACGAAATCTCAACGATGAGCAGTGTCAACTCACCTCTATCCTCTGACATAGACAGTCCATCCATGCTGATTCAAGACCTCAAGCAGCCTATGGACGTAGCTGAGGTACGTTCTCTCGCCGCCATGAGGTCCTCGTCACGAAACTCACAAGCTATAGTACCTTTTTCGCCGGCTGCGCCAGGCCGGAGTGCTCTCCGTCCATGGCCTTCCTGGAGACTACAACCTAACAGCCCTGGACTACCTCCCAAAGTGTGGTCTCGAATGGGTTGGAAATGTAAACGAGCTCAATGCTGGTATGTCGAGCGTATCCTTCGTTTTCAGCGCTCCTAGCAGCCCCAACTCTGACAACGCAATCCATCCAGGCTATGCTGCCGATGGCTACGCTAGGATCAAGGGCATCTCGGCCCTCGTCACCACCTTTGGCGTTGGTGAGCTATCAGCCATCAACGCTATCGCTGGAGCCTACGCAGAATGCGTCCCAATCGTCCATGTCGTCGGCTATCCCTCAACGGTCGCCCAAAAGAACGGACTACTTCTTCACCACAGCCTCGGTAATGGCGACTTTGGCGTATTTGCAAAGATGAGCCGCCATATTTCCTGTTCTGTATCGATTCTGGAGGACGCTCGCGAGGCTGCTAGCCTAATTGATGATGCTATTAGGAAGTGCTACACCCTGTCGCGTCCTGTCTATATTGCTCTACCCACCAATGTTGTCCAGAAGAAGGTTGACGGCGAGAGGTTGAAGGTCCCGCTAGACCTCGCTCCTCCCGCGAATCACACGGAAGCGGAAGAGTACGTCGTCAACGTCATCTTGGAGAACCTCCGCTCTGCCAAGAATCCTGTCGTTCTCATCGATTTACTCAGACATAGAGCTGTGGCTGAGGCCTATAGGTTTGTCGAAAAGTCGGGAATACCAACTTTCGTTACACCCATGGGTAAGGGCGCTATCAATGAGAGCTTGTCGAACTACGGAGGTGTATACGCTGGAGATGGCTCAAGCGCTGGTGCTCGTGAGCGCGTCGAGCGTTCAGACCTTATCCTCAACATTGGTGCTTTCCAGTCCGACTTCAATACCGCCGGTTTTACACATCGGACCCCTCGGCACAACAGTATCGACTTCCACAGCCACGGAGTGACTGTTAGATATTCAGAGCACCCCGGCGTCAACATGAACGGCGTTCTTTGTAAACTCACCGCTAGATTGTGCGAGCTGGATATCGAGACCGGGTCCGTTCCAAGCAACATCACTCCGGCAGAGGCGGTCGAGAGCTCCGATCCGGTCGAGCGCCTTGACCCGGTCATCACTCACGCCTGGCTCTGGCCAAGGCTTGGCCAGTGGCTCCGACAAGGCGACGTCGTCGTCACGGAAACCGGCACTGCCAACTTCGGCATTTGGGGGACCCGCTTTCCAAATGACGTCGTCGCCATCTCGCAGGTGCTGTGGGGCAGCATCGGCTACGCCACCGGCTGCGCGCAGGGCGCTGCTCTTGCTGCTCGGGAGCTCGGCCGCGGGCGCGAGCGCGTCATCCTCTTCACCGGCGACGGTTCCTTCCAGCTGACGGCCGTGGAAGTGAGCACGATGATCCGCCACAACCTCAACCCCATCATCTTCGTCATCTGCAACCACGGCTACACGATCGAGCGCTTGATACACGGCCGCGAAGCATTCTACAACGACATTGAAGAATGGGATTACAAAATCCTGCCTGCCGCCTTTGGCAAGTCTGAACGCTTCGAGACCTACCAAGTGAAGACCAGAGATGAGCTTGAGATGCTGTTCGCTGACGAGAGTTTCGCCACGAGTAAGAAACTCCGCCTTGTTGAGCTGTACATGCCGAGTGATGATGCCCCTCGAGCATTGATTACGACAGCCGAGGCTGCTGCCAGGCGCAACGCTCAGTCTGATTGACTTTGTATTCAGCTCCCACTCTCCTTTTCAAGGGCGATGAACTGTTATCTCGGGGAGATGTGAGTGGAAGAGGAAAGTGGTTCCTTTACTTTCTTATCAAAATTTCGGTATTCTAAATTGTATCTTTGATCTACTTGGTGTTGAACTCAGTATCTTCCCGGAATGAATGACTAAACCAACAAACTTACCCAATAACAAATAACGGAGTGATTGAGCTCATTTTCTGCCACGAAGCATGTCCAGACTGGACGATTCTTGGCTATAGAGGAGAATATCGTGACTGCGGCTGTAAGCCTGGACCCCCACTGCGGGACTCATCGCTGCAGAAAACTACAGACAAGGCCCTCTACGAAAGAGACGATAGATCGAGTTGCCTAATTCCCCTTCGCGCCGACAATGCCTACGCCACATTGACCTCCTCTTGTCCTCTTGCCCACCCACTGCATATCCCACGCATACCACGTCGCACTACTCCACTTGCACCTGCTGCGCTCTCTAGAGTAGTCCCTACTGGGCGTACACATCTAGCAGCTTGTTGCCGCGGGCTTCGCGCAGCTCGAGGCCCTCGAGGTACCCCTCCTACTTGGCTCCGGATGATCGGTTGGGGGCGCGGATGCGCACGGGGAGGTGGGCTTGCTTGATCTGGTGGGAGAGCTGGGGTTTAGGGCGCTAAGGCTTTAGGGCTGGGCTGGAGGAAAGGATCGGCGAGTGCAAGCATTATATTTGTTTTTTTTTTCGATTTGAACATAAGACTGTAGATGTTCAGAGAGTAGGTTTAGCATATAGATGTACCTATATACGGAGCTGAAGGATAGAAATGATTTGCTTATGAGGGTATTAGAGATGGTGCGGTGGGAACGGTGATATGAGCGATGGTTGTAAGAGGTCTTTGTGGGATTGATTTCAAGAAATGGCAATGCTATGAGTTTTACACTGTGGTATGTCAATTCTAATATCTGCATCTTTCACGCTTATATGTGTAGGGCTGGTGCTGGAACGGATATGGGAAACATGGGTCGCCGTGAAATTGAGGCAAATATATCTCCATTCTTCAGGACTAGTTGTAAATATATTTCGCTATAAAGATAAGTGGTAACTAAAGAAGGAGGGTGTGTCAAAGAGAATAAAGAAACAAAAATAGTAAAAGCAATCCGATATAGGAGGTAACGAGCGGCAGCCCCTCAATACGCTTTTCATTCAAGCGCTTTGTTGTGTTTTCCAATGTCCTAGAAGAAGCACATGAATGCATTTTTCTCACCGGCAACAAATCGCCGATATCAACATCCGTCAAAACTACTGAAGGTGCGCCATCCTGGACAGTAAAGCTCTCACGCTTTGTGGTTGGTAGGTGATCATCTGAAATAGAGGTCAAACTAGACTCCGTAGTTTCCCCTTCACTTTTTACAGAGCGTTGAAACGATGAGTCGCTCCCCGATGTCGAACCCTCAGGCAGACTTGGAGCAGTTGGCATACTCGGTCCATCAATGCGGCCGTTTGGCTGTATGTAGGAGTTTTCTTTGCGCCTGTTTATTTTTGCCCTAAACCTGTCAAGAATCGAGCCAGAACTGCCAATTATGACGGCCCCTTCTTCATGAGCATGGAGGTCGACCGGTTCGGTTCCCATGTTTCTTTTGCTGACAACCTGGCAGAGACGGTTGCAACTGCATGGCGTTTCTACCAGCGATTTGCATGGAGCAAACAAAACTGAACTGCGTCTCTCTAGCTGAAGGCGAGAACTGCTTGTCAAGTACTGGCAGTTCAATGGGCAGCCGGCAACGTAGTACAGATCTTTCAGCAACTTAACGGTGACAGCCAGATAGTCTTCTCCTTTTGGCAAGCTACACCAACGATGGCAGAGATTGGGGCAGTCCCTTGACGGCTTGATCAAATCTTCGAGGCCGGTTGCCAGGATTGTCAGAGCTCCGATATCCTGAACGAGGTCCGTCCACCCGCCGCTAGTTCTCTCTATGGAACAACTCTTGAGAGAGATTGGAAACCGCTTGTGAGCTACGTCGTTGAACTCAAAGCCATAGAGCATGTCATGTATCGATCTCACGTCGATTCCAGAATCGGAGCTTTTGGTGGTTTTCTGGGCCATAAGGCAATCCAGCACATCCCAGATGTCCAGGACCAGGTCCTTGAACCTATAATTGTCGTTTCCCAAGAGGACTCTCTCAGGATTTGCCAACAGAACATGTCGGCCGGTACATTGGGAGGTTTCCATATGAAAGAGTTCGTTCTCTTTGCCGCTCGGATTGGAGGATTGATTGGCGGTCTTATTGTCAGTCTTCCCGAGGAATCCTGTCTGGAACCGCGCCTGGGCAATATGGAGGATTGCATAGGATGCAGGTACAAGCCAGGCCCTTTTTTCTGGTTTATCGTAAAAAAGTACCCGTGCATCATCGGCTCTAGAGACCGTTTCGTTGTAAGGCCCATTGTTTCCCTGCCAATGAAACTTTCCATCTTTTACCCCAAAAGCGATATTGGCCTGTGCTGTGGCGAAATGGGAGAATCCGAGCGTGGCACCAGTGATTCTAACACGGGACCGGGCTTCTCGGGCGTCAGTGTATCCAATGCGCCGATAGTCGATACTTTCGCTACCCAAGAAAAGTCGTACAGAGCTACACCAGCCAACAATTGCTCTCATTTTTCGTACTGAGTCCAGGTCGGTTTCTCGCAACAGCGGCTCGCGTTCGCATAGAGTCAGGGCTTGCTCGTAACTTAGAGGTTCCTCGTAACTCAGGCCTTTGCTCTCATCGATACCCCGGATAAGGTGCCACTGGATAATATCCTGGACTTTTCCAGTAGGAACAAGGATGAAAGAAAATCCTTTGAGAAACACAACATCTCCATGCTGAACTACGTGCTTGACACCAGCCAGCGCAGCCAGGATATCGATAGGGATTTCCAACCCCACTTCGGCTTGTCTTTCCGGTATAGGAAAGCCATAGGCGATCAACGCATTCTCGAAAAACGGGAACCAGCAGGCATCTTCCGTAGGGTGTAGATCCTGATGCCGGTACGAGAGTCGGAATCCGACAGTCCCTGGCTGCTGACGAGGCTCCGAGGTCAACAACGCGCACGAATATGAAACAGAGCTCGCCCCTGGAGCACTTTCTCTAAGAACAGCAGCCATCCATGAAGCTTGCTGGCAAAGTTCAACAATAAGCTGCTCTTCTCCATAGACTTCGACGTCCACAGACCTTTCTGATGGGTCCTCTGAATCTGAAGTTTGAATTTCGATGTTCAGATAACCACCGTTATCGAGGCTTGCGGTCCTCTTAGAATCTAGAATTGCTCCTTGAAGCACGGGGAGGAACATGTTGCAGGTGTTTGGCCAAAACATCTGGAGGTAATCAGAACAGGTCGTTGCGTGTGCGTATAGTGCAGATCCGCTGAGAACAAGCATGTTCGCAATGGGTGTTTCGACACTGCTATATTGAGACTTAATAAATCCAATTGGATCCCATTAGATTGAGAAAGACGCCTTATGTAGAGGTGCGACCGTAGGTTTGGGCAAGTCGGGGTTGATTTCCGTGGCATCCATCAGCTCACCGCGAACACATCTCTCGATTTCGCTGAGCTTCGAATTTTCGTCGCAGTAGAAAGCCCTTCGCATGGAAACTGCTAGCTGCCTGAAGGGCTGTCCGGAGATGAGGATTTCTCGGGCCGCGTCGAGATCCAGGAAGTCCTCGTCATCGTCAGAGTCGCTCTTTTCATCGCTCTCGAAGTTCCCGTCCATTTTGTTAAGGAGATCAATTCTCTCCTGAAGCGAGAATTGAGAATACTCCTGAAGGTGGGAAAACTTCGAACTATCGGAATCAGGCGCTGCATGGGCTCTCTGACTGAAAAGCCGGGCTATCTTTGGTCGATACTTTCGGATGAGGCGGGATGCCGGTCGAGCAATCTCTTGAACTGTTCTTAGTCTACAGGAAATATTGTACTTAGCGTAGTGCCCGGTATGAACGGCAAGGCTTTGATTATAACTTACTCAAGTCCATCGCCTGCTGCAACAGCGTCCGTCGCCAGATGCGAAAGCCCAATTGCATAGGATTTCAGAAGGTCGCCGAGATGTTTCTCTATGACATCTGCAGAGTGTACTGATACGGCATACTTTGCCCAAGCAAATGCTCCAGCTTTCTCGATGAGCATTCTGCTAAAGAATTCCACGAACTCTTGCAAGAAACTCGGCGAAACGTCTGCAAGACTCCCGATCGAGTCGATTGAACAAATGGAGGCCGTATCTGTTCCAATACCACTGTGGTATCCCGAATCCGACTGGGCCGGGTTGCGGTCATTTGTCTTCTTGCAGCTCTGGAAGTCGTCGTTCATGTGTGTGTGTAATCGGCCGGATTGGTCCATTTCGACCGTTTGAGCCCGGCTTGTACTGACCGGTGCGACAGAGTCCCTGGCAGACGCAGAATATCCGTTCGCGTCGCCATGGTCCACCTGTGCCGTGCCTTCATTCTCTGGGCCCACAGAGCTACCTACTTGGGCACCTTCTTCATCAACCGCGCTCCCCCGAGGCTTATGGTTCTCCATTGCAGATCTTTCTCCCTGTTCTTCCGGCGCAGCCCAACCGCTCTCTAAACGGGCATAGCTGATCAGAAGAGGAATATGGCTCGGCTGGACCACTCCCAGATCTTTGACCTTGACGTTGTGTTGGACTGGCTGCATAAGCGCAAAGTTGATGCGAGATGCAGATGAAATGCTAGGCGCACCGGAGGCTGGTACAATCGCAATTGGGTGTTTGTCGAGAGTTTGTTCGCCGGCAACGTACGCTGGATCGAGGCCAACGGTGTGGATGATGGAGTGGGTTGATGGATCCAAGCCCGATCTTCTAGTGGCACGACCTCCATATGTTGAGATCGGGCTTGCACGCATTAGTCTGAAGAAATACGTGAGCAAAGTTTACTTCGAAACATACCAGGCATAGCAGAAGCCTCGAGCTTCTTTTACCACGACAAAGCGGCGGATCTGGGAAAACACCCGCTCGCCATAGAGTATAGTTGAAATGTTATCCCTCGCCGGGAGTCTCGCATTACCGCCCAACGGCTCGGTCCAGAGTATTGAGAACACCTTTTTCTGGTCAGAATGGGCCATCTGGCCAGGGGTATAAAACTTACTCGACCCACTCTGAAAAATGCCCGAGGGCGATCCTGTAGTGTGTAGCCTTCACACTTGTCAGCGTTTCGAGAATTACGTTCTGCAAGTGCAAGAGACAAACTTGGATCCAAGGGATCGAAGGAGCCCATCTCGGGGCTACTGAAGGTTTTGCCATCAGCTGGACCTTTATTGGCAAGTTAGCACAGGGACTACCAGACATCTAAAGACTCTCACCGTTTCCCAGTGTAGTCGTTTGACTGATTACACTGCTACCCTCTCTTAACTCTATTTCTCTAGAGGCCTGTACCTCTTTTCCTCTATATTAAACGTAAGTATAAAGGACTGCGCGCTAATCACTATACCTACTTTGACCATATAGTGACAAATTGCTCTGTATAAGTCAGCAATATTGCTCATAGTAGTGAATTTCGTGATTAGAGTCCTTTACCTCCATCCCAAGTGTACATGTAGTAGTCTTGGCCTTCTGGGCTCCACAACCATTCCTTGAGAGGGTCCGACATGACTGCTGTGGCATACGAGGTTTAGGCTGCAGGACTTACAGAATTTATACTCATCTTTTGCCCGGACGATATTGGGTGCGACTCAAAGGAAAGGCCTCCTTTAGGCTGCAGAGGAGGCAAGGCGCCGTTTCTTGCCGATGAGCCGGGATATACATACCGGTGGCTGCAGTCAGCGCTGTGGTGGCACGTAAGCATTGGTCAGATGCAACGCAGGGCACACCTGAATGGTTTATATGATATCATGGAGGCTGTGTCGCTTCCGTAGCGAACGAATCATATGTAGAATTTAGTCACTGCAATGGACTTGGCGGTGTCTGCCTTGCCAGCCTTGCCATCAATTTTGCATACCATCACGCCAGAAATCATTGCTGCTTATCGCCAATAAATTTAGTCGGAGAGCTGAGCTGCAAATCACGGTTGCTCTACAGGCCTTCAAGTACCTGGCAGTGCTGGCACAGTCGGTGAAGCTGAATACAACCATGTTGACCACCATTTACGCCTCCTTATAGTAGTAAAGACCAGTGAAGCGTAAATATGGCGCCATAAAAGAGTCATGTGGAGAACAATCAATTCTCCGGCTATACAGTGCTATAAATCTAGCATTTAAGCCCTGCACGGCTCTTCGCAGCTTCTGGTAGATTTGCACCGCTTTCAGACAGTGTCGAGGCGGTGCACCCGGGGTCGTAGCAGAGGGTGGATTGGTCCTGATGTTTTTCTGCTTTCTTGAGCGGGTGGGTTGGCGGCTCACTGGGTCGGCGGATTCGGGTACGGAAATGTAGTAATACGTGATGATGACTAATAGTATTGGGGGTACTGGTTGAGTGGTAGAAGGGCCTAGACGGTGGCTCTATACCTTGTGCAGATAGCTAAGCTGACTAAGAAGGTTCTATAGCACATACTGCAAGCTTTCGCCCTGGTTTATTACTTTGCCCCCAACTATGTTGAAGCTTGACGCTACGACGCTGACTCCGTAAATGGAATAGAACACTATTAAAACACATACATGCTATTCGAAGAACTAGGAGAAGAACGACCACGTCTCTGTGGGAGTAAATGAAGTAGTGGGTAGTTTTGCCGTACCCGCGTTGCGGGGTCTCCACATTCTCCTACTACTTCCCTAATACTGGGGTCGTAGAACCGAGCCCTCGGTAATTCGGATTTTTTTCCGCTGCTACGTATGGTACCCCGCTCGCCTCGTGCCGACTGCACTCTTCATATTTCTCTCGTCAATTTCAAGCTTTCTCTGTCGCAACGTTGGCGCACTTTTGATTCTTCGAAACGATGGGGACGGATGGAAACACAGCAAAGCGGCGCAGGTTATCATTCGAAGCTGCACGCACTTCAACAGCGTATTTGCATTGGCGCACTGATTCTCGATAAGACCTAATGAAAACAGATGCAATACTTGTCGCGATCGGAAGGTAAAGTGCTCCGGCTCGCACCCATGTCGATTTTGTTGCGACCGTGGTTTGTCCTGCGTCTTCCCAAACGTGGGAAGGAAAAGACTGTATCCTGTTGAGTAGGTAAAGCAACCCTTTTGTAGCTCTCATGTCTCACTATTACAGATACGTGGAGTACTTGGAAAAGAAGGTTTCACTTCGAAATTCGGACTCTGAAGGTAGATCAGACAACCAGCAAAGTCCATCAGGCAATGGAATCGAGGGAGCCGATGAACACGGACGGTCTGAGCACACTTCGAGTAAGTGTCATTACCGGCCCTCAAGTAGGCTGAATTTGACAAGACTCAGGCCTCACTCCCGACTCTCGGCTAACCTCGAGTCTCTATTTTGGATCTCACGTCAAATGCCTTTCAGCAGGGCATGGTAATGATCTATCTGAGTCTATAGAAAACGTGTATGGGCTAGTGACGGGCGGCACGGGAAGGGTACCGCTGCAATTGCCTACCGAAACTGAGGCGCAATCCATGTTGGACCTGGTCTTGAGTCATATTTGCAGCGTCCAACATTTATTCGACCCTCGAGCATTTTCCGACGAGCTAAACCAGATGTACGATACGGAGAAGCCCAGATATTGCAGCGATGATCTGTGGTATTTGAAAGCTTTGATGGTATTTGCCATCGGTGAGCTGCTACGAGGACGAGTGAGGGACGACGCTGATTTGCCCGGCTCTCCCTACTTTCATGAGACCATCAGGAACTTGCCCAACTTCTTTGCGTTACGGGCTGCGGGAACACTGGCTGTAGAGATCCTGGGGCTGATTGCATTTTACCTGCAATGCTCCGATTGCAAGGAGGATGCCTACGTATACGTATGACTCAGTATATGTGATCATTCTCTGTTATGTGCTAACGGGACCGTAGGCTGGTATGGCCCTCAGGCTCGCTATCTCCAATGGCATGGCACGAGAAAGCAGCAACGCCGGTATGAAAAGGTCAGACAAAACGCATCGAAATAGACTATGGTGGACAATATACATGCAAGAAAGGTACTATGAAGCGTATCTCGATATAAATAACATGACTTACATCACACAGGAGACTGGCCGCGGCAACTGGTAATACTTGGGGAATCCACGATGACGCCATTAGTACATCGCAACCGAGAGACTCTCCCGGTTTCCCTCCAGCCTCTACACTACTCGTCAATGTTAACATCGCAAAAGCCACTAGCCAGATCACTCAAGGGATATACGGAAAGAAGAGTCGATCTGAAAGCGAGTTTACATCAGCCGTGCAAGAGGTGCTCTCCTTGCTTACACAAGCCATCGAGAAGATTCCTTCGGAGCATACGGTAGATTTTTCCAGGCCTTTGCAGCTCACGAGAACTAATGCGACTCTCTATTTGATGTTTTACCAGGTAATTATGCCCCACTCTCCAAGCAGGTGTTTACTAAGCTTTGGACAGGCCAGAATGCTGGCGACACGGCCAGCATTACTGTACACGGCAAAGTCAAATCTGCATAGAGATGGACCCATGCGAGATTGCAAGCTGGAAAGTCTATGCAACGAATGCATCGAAGCTGCGACAAGAACCCTCGAGATCCTCCAAGCTTTGAAGAGACAAGGCCTGCTAAGTAAGTACATGTCAAATCTGGAAGTGCTGTTGGTTGCCTAACGAAACAGCGAAATTTGGCTTCTTTGACCTGGACGCGACATTTTCGGCCGCCTTCGTTTTCGTGCTGGTTGAAGCCATGGGGCCAGGGGATCGGAGAGACTTGAACTTGGCTCGCATTACTACAGCACTTGGACTACTTGAGTACCTCAGTGGCCATGGGAATAAAGCAGCGGGAAAGCGACAGGCCGATATCGAACAGATGTGCCGACATCTCAGGGTTTCTCTCAGTCAATCTTCAAACGGACTAGCGACATCCTCGGCAGACGGCCAAAGGACAATTCCCGCCGCGGAGGGAAGCATAAACGCAGAAGAAGTGTCCACAACTCCAAACGAAACCCTTGAACCGTTGACCTTTTACACCGACACCGACTTCAACCTAACTGGTGCCGTCGAGACAGACTGGGAAGAATTCGAACGCATGATCTTCCGCCTCCAGAATTAAATCCCATCTGTATGCTCTTCTTGGCTGCAGGCGTGCGGGACGCGGACGAAGGACGTGATATGGCTGGCAATTGCCGTGATGCAGGCCGTCGCGGATCCTCAGTGCTGTGTGCTCGAGGTCGATGAAGAGGGAGTCGTAGCTGGCGGTTTTGGTGATCTAAATAAGTTCGCCATTGGCGATCAATTTGATAACGAAGGCGATACAGACCTGGTCTTTGGATGCTTGGGTTGTCAGGTTGTTTTAGGAAATTGAGGTGGAGGCGTAGGGCGCTCATTGTGGCATGTGAGTTTGAGATTCCGTAATCGATTTAGTCAATGGCATGGTATCAGACCTTCACCAGTGCTGATTTGAATCGGGCTGTTGTGTGTGGGCAGTAGTAGCCCACGGATATCGAAGCCGAACTATCCTCGGTTAGAATCGCCGTCGTAGTTGCTCACCTCCCGAATCAAGGTCAAGCCGCGCGTCATGCTGCCGAGGTCTTTTGCGTTCAAGATCGTCAATAGTTAGAGTTACGGAATGATAGTACCTGTTCCTGCGGACTGATTCTGGCATTTCCCACTTATCAACCGTGACAGAATCGATACTGATGCCATTTGCTATCGCATGTATGATTGACTAGACACTACCACTGCTCAAGTACCGGTGGATGTTATCGATGGCCGTCATGGCCGTCCGGACCTGAGTTTCGGCGGTAGTAGCGCCAATGTGCGGCGTACTGATGACTTTCCCCGTGGCCCACAGGGCCTCATACTTGGCCAGCGTCGGCGGCTCCTCCTCATGGCAGTCCAGGCCAGCGCCCCAGATGAGCCCCTCCTCCAAAGCCCGCAGCAACGCCTCCTCATCCACAATCCCCCCACGCGAAACATTGACCAAAATGGCCCCCCTCCGCATCAACCGCAACTCCCTCATTCCCACCATCCCCCTCGTCTCGGCCGTCAGCGGCACATGTAACGTCAAGACATCCACATGCGGCAGCATCTCCTCCAGCGTCCCGACCCGCACATGCTCGACATCATCTGCCCACGCGTCCGCCGGCGCCACCGGATCGCACGCCCACACCCTCGCCCCAAACGCGCCGACAAACATCCTCGCCACCGCCGTCCCCACCGCGCCCATCCCCACCACCCCCACCGCCTTGCCCGCCAACGTCACGCCGGCGCAGTGCTCCTTCCGCACCTCGCGGCCCGCCGCCTGCCCGACAACGACTCTGCGCAGCTGCCTCGCCGCCGCCAGCGCCAGCGCGAGCGCCAGCTCCGCGACGGCGCCCGCGTTGACGCCCGGCGTGTTGAGGATGGCGATGCCGCGCGCCGCGCACGCGCCCGCGTCGATGATGTCGATGCCCGTGCCTTGCTTGCCGATGGCGCGGAGACGCGGAGGCGACGCGGCGGCGGCGGCGGCGATGTCGGCGGCGGTGATGGGCTGCTCGCGCACGAGGATGGCCGTGGCGGATGCGCGCCAGTTGGCGATTTCCGGGTCGGACGGGAGGACGACGGTGGGGAAGAGGGTTTGGGCGTGAGCGATGGCGGCGGGTGGGAAGGACTCGAGGAGGTAGAGGGTTGGTTTGGGGGTGGCGTCGGGTGGTGGGGTGCGGGTGGTGGTGGTCATTGTGGTTCTTGTGGTGGAGTGATGGGGGTGGTTTGATTTGGGTTTGTTGGTGGTTTGGTTCCTGGTGATGCGTGATGAATGTTGCGAATAATTTATTCTGGCACCATTCTCATGTGCACATTGAATTACGGACAGAGAATCCGGCATTCCGAAGACAGAGTTGCGGTGCTGAGTCCCGATTGGGCGTGTTTCCAAGGTTGTGCGAGTCGATCGGCCTCGGAAGTGGTTCCCAGCCAACGGCTTCGACATCCAGCCAACCCAAGGGAACCGAACTTCCCCACACCCCGGATTTTGAACCCGATCCCTTCGATCTGAGTAGCACAGCGCGGGTGTTCGATGTATAAAACATGTCTCTACGAACCTGGACCGAAAGCGGAGTGGTTCCTATTTACATTGCACAACATGATGGAATCCAAAGACTCCAAAGTTGAGAAGGTCGCCGAAATGACAGAGCAAGTTGGACCAGAGTCACACAAAGAACCGGGACCTCAGTACTTGATCGATCCAGAGGACGAAAAAAGGGTTCTCAGGAAGCTGGACCGGGTCATTCTTCCCCTTATGGCTCTCGTCTACTTCTTTCAATGTACGTGTACAAATTCCAAGATCGGAGTCTCTCAGCTAAACCACAATCCAAGATCTCGACAAGCAAAGCATCAACTATGCCGCCATCTTCGGCCTCCAAGACGATCTGAGTCTGACCGGCACCGAGTTCTCGTGGGCCATCTCGCTGTTCTACTTCGGCCAGTTCTGCTCAGAGTATCCAGCTGCTTATTTGATGAGCCGCCTGCCCATCACCAGATTCGTCGGCGCGACCATGTAAGTTTGATAGCGACCCGCTCAACCTGTCGACTAATTTTCCGCAGCGTTCTCTGGGGTGTCACCGAGATGTGTCTCGGCGCGACCGCAGATTTTCCGAGTCTGGGAGCAGTACGATTCTTACTCGGCTTCACCGAAGGTGCAGTCTCGCCTTCATTCATGATCATCACGAGCAACTGGTACAAACGGAGCGAGAACCCCGTCAGGATAGCGTACGTCTCAGCCGTCCGAGCCTTCCTTTCCATCCTGACACCTGTTTAGCACGTGGGTTTCGATGTTCGGTGTATCCCAAATAGTCGGGGCTCTCATGATGTACGGAATCGGCACGGCGGGCGACAACATGGAAATTGAGTCATGGAGAGTCATGTTCTTGGTATGCGGTGGCCTGACCGTGGGCTCTGGGATACTATTCCTTGTCGTCATGCCACGCGATGCTACAACAGCATGGTTTTTGAACGAGCAAGAGAGACGAATTGCCGCCGAGCGGCTTGCACTTGAGAGGGCAACAAGAGACAGGGCCGAGTTCAACAAGAAACAGGCTCAAGAAGCCTTGACGGACCCGCGTACGTTTCTGTACGCTATGATGGCCTTGTGTATAACAATACCCACGCCAATCGTAAAGGTTTCTATCTCCATGTACCGAGTGGAACACGTTTCAAGAGCTGACCGCTTCAAGTTCTCATCCAAAGTCATTCACGGCTTTGGCTACAGTTCACTACGAACCATGCTCGTCGGCCTACCGGGAGGCGCTATTGCGTTCGTCCTTGTCTGGGTCGGTGCCATGGGCCCGCGGTACTTGGACAACGCACGCTGCTTTTTCGGCATGTTTCTCGCCCTGATGCCCCTGCTTGGAAGCCTCTTGCTCCTACTGCTCACACAACCCTGGGGCATCGTGGTCAGCACGTGGTTCGCTGGTTGCACCGCTCCTCCTCTCGGCCAGGTTGTCGGCCTGATGGCGTCGAATGTCAAGGGAAACACAAAGAAGTCTGTCAACGGCGCTGTCTTCTTCGTCTTCTACTGCGTTGGCTGTATTGTCGGCCCGCAGCTGTGGCAAGCCGAAGATGCCCCGCACTATCGGAAGGGATGCATTGCGAGCATAGCTAGTTATGCCTGTTTGATTTTGAGCTTACTGGCTTACTACCTGTCGGGCGTGAGGAGCAATCGTAAGCGCGATGGGGAGGATGAGTCCACAGTCATGTCAGCCGATGAGGACCTAACGGAGCGAGAAGATCGGGCTTTTCGGTTTACCTTGTAGACATGTAATCCAAGTTCTAGTGAAAGCCATCACTGTTTTCATGTTTCTGTCAATAAACCATAACTGGGAGGGTTGTTTAAAAATCCTATGTAACGCAATGAAGTTTCCAATTCCCATCACATAAGCAATGCGATGAAGATCAGTGTATTGGATGCACTGGATGGCAGGAGGCGGCTATATACCCGCTCAGCTAAATAAGCTTACTACGAAGTTGCTTCAGTACTTAAAGCAATGAACTGGGGGAGACTTTAGTAGTATTATTGCTACCAAGCATACTGAAGCCTGACCCTACGAAGCCCACTCCGTACGATGGAATAGGACACTACCGAAGCACCGACACGCTATTCGAAGAACTGAGAGAAGAACGCCCACGTCTCTGTAGGAGCAAATGAGTCACCGCTGTCGGTGTCACGGGGCGGACCATCGTGCGGCGCTGAGATGTGACCACCATCATACGCAATCCACCACACCGGATACTCAGCCCTGCAGCCCTCGTAGACAGTCTTGACGTGCGTCAGCGTCCCATTCGCCGGCTCGGGTGGATCCTGCGGGGTGCAGCCGTTGTTAGCGACGAACGCATCGCGCAGGCCGCGGCCGCGCGCGATGGGGAGCAGCGGGTCGTTGATGCCGTGGATGCCGAGGTACGGGATGGGGTCGGTGCTGGCATCGCAGCCGCTGAGCAGGGCGCCGGACAGGACGGCGACGGCGCGGAAGACGTTCGCGCGGGCGCAGGCCAGGGTGCGCGTCATGGAGCCGCCGTAGCTGAAGCCGGTGGCGTAGCGCTGGGCCTGGTCGACGCACAGGTCCGTCTCGATGGCGTCGATCATGGCGTCGACGAAGGCCACGTCCTCGCCGTCGGTGTTGGCCCAGCCCTTGTTGAGTCCGTTCGGCGCGACGAGGATGGCCGTGTTGTTGGCGCGCTGCTCCAGGCCGTAGTACGACCATCCGGGCACCACACCGCCCGTCGTTGCGCCGATCGTGATGTTCTCCATGGTGCCATTTGCCCAGTGGAATCCGAAGATGAGCTTGTAGGAGTTGGCCGCGTCGTAGTTGTCGGGAATCTTTAATGTGTACTCGCGATCCTTTCCGTTGACGGTGAGCGAATGCACTCCGCTGGCGAGCGTCGGCTCCTTGCCACATCCGACTGAGTTTGTAGCACCAACTACATTCGCCGCCACCATAAATGTGAGTATGGATACCAGAGAGATCATGTTGATGGTGGCCCCCAGAATCGAGGAAGTACTGGGACGTCAGGCTGTAGGGATGAGTATCAAAACTAAAGCAAGATTACAGAGTGGAGCAAATATGCCTATATATACTAGTGAATTAGCGCATGCAACTGCCATTTTAGTTTCTAAATGTTGGCAGATGAAAATCTGACCAGTCGTTCGGTCCTATTAGTACACTTCTAGGATTCTCCGCCCCCCACATTCGGAGCAATGCGCTTTATTAACAAACCACCTGCAACTACAAGCGCCGTAAACTGGCCAGCTCAATGCAGATCCGGGTCTTGGCTGGTCATGCGTGGTAGGTGCTGAACAGCCGAGAAGTTCGGCAATTGCACCTTCCCCACACAGCGGCAGAGAGAACGGTAAAACACGAGATCCCCGCTATTTTTTCCGGTCAATGAGGAAACTAGTGGCTTCAATTACCATTCGTGGGAGTCATGTATGCTGCCCCTGAATCTACCCGTTGCTACCTCTCTTGGCATTCTCCGAAACAAACTCCGGGCTACAGGGATGCTGAAGTATTGCTTCAGATGCGTGGGTCTGCGTTGCTTCTGCCCCCAATGTTTGACCGTTTGTGCGCCCCGAGCACCTCATCTCAGCCACAGAGGCCTCCTCAGCTAGATTACCGTATCCGTCATAGTAATTTCATTAGATGCACTAGATGAGAGGGTGGTTAACTGGTAGGCGGCTCTATAACAGGCTCCAATAAATGAGCTACCAACGAAATTGCTACAGTACACAGTACAACATAGATAGTGCCAGATTCGAAAAAAAGGCCAAGGGGAGACGTCAAGTTAAAGCAAGCAGTTCCGTAATAACTCGGGGATGTTCATTCCGATTAAGCATGTTTTCTAAGGCTCTTGGTCCAGAATCAGAGTCCGCTTGGTAAGCTTGTAGGTTTTGGCCGTAAGTTGAATCGCAACACTTCTTATCATTCCAGCCTTCATAGCAGAACAACCTTCACTGGTCTTCAGAACAAGCAGCTAGTATATTCACACCCTGTTGGAGGATTTGTTTCCGAGGCCATCAGACCAAATGTGCGAAGTGGCTGCGGACTCTTAATTGTGGGCAAATAGCTTCCAGGAATCTAGAAAGAGGTGCATTTGGTAATAGCCCCAATCTAGAATGCAGCAAAGAAAATTTGGAGGGGGAGGTATATCCAATACGAGGACTGAAATATATCTGGCACCAAAAATGTCATGCGTCAACTCAGCTGGAAGCTCGAGTACTGCGCACGATTCTTGTTTGGGACAAATTCAATGTGCGCGCTCATACGAGCCTTTGGTAATGTTGTCCTAAATTCAGCGCTACGCCGAGCAGCCGTCGTGGTTCTGTCGGCGCTAGTATTGATCAATGCTACTGGTGTAATACTGGGCATGGAGCCTGACAAACCGTGGGATTTGGTTCCCACACCATCCGGGGGCGACAGCGCGTTCGAAGACGAGCTTGATACCCTAGAACAAAGTGTCCACCGCTGGCCTTCCAGGTGGTGAACCGAACTTATCTTGGGCAAATTTATCACAGACATGGGCGAGTGTCTGACCCAGTAGCTCGATCGACGAAGCGACTGCAGGACCCAACGAAGCAGGAGCGAGGTAGTAGGAGATCTCATTGAAATTATCGGCTGTGCGAGATACAATTTTGATTATGTCTTCTATCCTCTTGATGCGCCACTGGAGATATTCCGGCCCCTCCGCTTGCATCTTCCTCAGCCACCTTCGAATGTAGTTGCGAAGGCTTTTGGTCGTAACGCATTCTTTCACATCCTCAACTTGGTACAAAAAATTGAGATTCTTGAACTTTAGATCAAACATCGCCTCTATCATCCCGAAAGATAGTCATACCTGTAGAATGGCCGTCGTCTGCTGAAGGTCTTTGTATTTATAGAAGCCAACAACGTGGAGCTTGTGCTGTTTCTAGCCAACTCGGTAGGGATATGTTGTGAATACACCACCATCGTACGGCTTGGTACAATGGTCGGGAACAGCGATGTGTTCACTTGCTGGACTAAGAGGCATCTCGAGATAATCTATAACTACAAACTCATTTGAAGCTTTCTAGATGAAGCAGAAATTGAGAAAGACGGTTAAATTATGCAGTGCTGTTATACGTATGACATATTGCCACGCACATCTTCCTCTACTACCTATATATTACATAGCATGACAAGGCTGGTTGAGGTTACTACTCAGCTCCTATTGTGTAACCGTACAATTGTATAACGCATAACGTTCCCCAAGATTGTAAAGAATGGCCGGGTTTTCTTAGTAATACAGCAAGTTGATTGGGCAGTATGGGAGAACTGCTGGGTATGTAAGTCGTGGTCAAACCTACTTTGGTGGGGCTCAGCTACGGTGCAAAGCTGTGGCCGGCGGATTCATGGAAAGCACACAGGATTAAAGTACAAGATAAGCGCGAAGTTCCTTAAATGGCGGGGAATATGTTTGAGAGGCTCAAGACATGGCCTGGAGCAAGATATCGTCCCAACAGTGCCTCCCTGTTACAGGTCCGCAATTTGCAATGTTGTGGAATCAACAGTTGACACACCCGCCGTTCGCCGCAGCGTTTCCCCGCATTCAAAGGTTCCGGCAGCGTTCGGGCGGCGAATCCGGACCCGAGCCGAACCTGACGATAACGCCCCGCCTAAACTTAACCTTAGCAGAACGTGCAACGAGTACGGAGACTCGTCCTCGCCGGAACCTCCCTTTGGAGGAATAAGTGCAAGAATGTAAACAATGGATCGCCGAAACCTCCTCTTAGCGGAAAATGTCATATCTGTGCGCAAAAACCTCCCCTTCCCGGAATGTGTGACAAATATTAAGAGGAGTCCTGCGCAAACAATTACCTATCAGATGCAGCCCTTTTTTAGCGTCTCACGCCTGCAGGTTGCACATCGCTTATTGGCTGCATCGCGATCTTCTCTTTTTCCGGCATCTCGGCATGATACATATCTCCTTCGTGGCGCCAATGGCGGGAAGATCCTCAAAGATATATTTAAGCTGGTTTGACCTCACACAAGCGACTACGCATCGTTTTGCAACCCACATGTTTACCGCCAGATCGTCTTTGCATCTATCACCATGAGCGCCTCTCCGTTTCCCCACCCGTTCGACCCCTTGTCGCCCGAGGAAATCCGACTTGTCAGTATACCAACGCTTGCTGTAGTATGCACCACAATCTAATAATGTAAAGGCAGGACAAATTGTCCGCAATGATTTGGCTGGTGTGGATATTAATTTTCGGGTCATCACATTGCTTGAACCTACAAAAGACGAGATGATTCCTTTTCTCGAGCATGAGCATTCAGGAATCGGCTCTGTTTCGACCCCGTCTCGAGTAGCCAAGGTTCAAGCCTATGTCGGGCAAGCTGGAGAAAAGAAGAAGTTCACTGAGTTCATGGTCAATCTCAACACAAGATGCATCCAGTCCGAGCAAGAGCTTCCAGGAAAGCATTCGTACATCGATGCCGATTACATGCGCCAAGTCGAAAAGGCCTGTCTTGCGGACTCCAGGGTGCAAGACGAAATCCGATCACTCAATCTTCCTGAAGGTGCTACTGTTGTAGTTGAACCATGGGCGTACGCAACGGATGGAATGAACGACATGAATGAGCGCGTCACTATGGTAAGGATTCAGATATTGAGCCCTAAAGGAAACTGTCGCTAAGCAGCAGACAGTGCTGGTTCTACATGCGACTCTCTCCACACGCCGATGCTAACTACTACGCGTATCCACTCGATCTCTGCGCCGAGGTCTCAGAATCACTTGAGGTTACCAGGATGTATCGTTTGCCATCGGGCGCAGACGAACGCATCAACGATGTCAAAAAGCACTTTGACTCCAGCAAGATTCATAGCACAAGCGAATATCATCCCGACCTTGCCAAAGAGCGCCGGCAAACCACACGTCCATACCATGTATCGCAGCCCGAAGGTCCTTCTTTCAAATTTGTTGGAAACTCTCTGAGCTGGGAGAAATGGACTTTCCGGGTGGGCTTCAACTACCGCGAAGGCATGACTCTGCACGACGTTCGCTATGACGGCCGAAACTTGTTTTACCGGCTCTCCCTCTCTGAGATGTTTGTCCCTTACGGCGACAGCCGTTGCCCCTACCCCCGTAAGGGCGCATTTGACCTTGGAAATGATGGAGCCGGCGTCAACGCGAACAATCTCAAGCTCGGCTGTGACTGTCTCGGGCATATCAGGTACATGGACGCATGGCACAACACGAGCTCTGGTGATCCTGTCAAGCTACCACACGTCATTTGCTGCCACGAGGTTGACGATGGTATCTTGTGGAAGCACACTAATCCGCGAACCGGAAACGCAGTCGTGACAAGATCCCGCGTGCTGGTCCTTCAAACAATCATCACGGTCAGCAACTACGAGTACATTTTCCTCTTCTATTTCGGCCAGGATGCATCTATCCACTATGAAGTCCGTGCAACAGGGATACTTTCTACAGCTCCAATCGACGTCGGAGACAAGGTGCCGTACGGGACCACAGTAGCTCCTGGTGTGCTTGCACCCTACCATCAGCACCTTTTCTGCCTCCGTATCGACCCTGCGCTTGATGGCCGCTTCAATTCCCTGGCTGTGGAAGAGTCACACCCCATGCCGGTTGATGATGCGCAAAACCCGTTCGGAGTCGGCTATGTGACCAAATCAAACATCGTGCCGGAGGAGTCTGGCTTGGATCTGGATTTTGCAAGCAACCGCGTCTTCAAAATCATCAACGAAAACAAGGTCAATCCTATCACCCACACGCCTGTCGGTTTCAAGCTTCTTCCCTGCTACAGCCAGATGCTGCTCGCACATCCCAGCTCATACCATGCGCGTCGGTCTGAGTACGCCGCCCACGCAGTGTGGGTCACACGCTATAGCGACGACGAGCTGTATGCGGCTGGCAAACATACGATGCAATCCCAAGGAGGTGAGGGGATTGCGTCGTGGATTCGTGACCGGAAGCAAGACGCCGAGCAGTCATCCTCCGTCAGAAACGAGGACATTGTCGTATGGCATACATTCGGATCTACGCACAACCCACGCATCGAGGACTGGCCCGTTATGCCGTGTGAGAAGATGGTTGTGGGGTTGAAGCCTCTCAATTTTTTCCTTGGGAATCCCGGACTGGATGTTGCCATATCGACGCAGGATGCCAACCAGAGCACTCTTGTCACCGACGAAGGCAGTGGGTGTTGCGTGAAGACGAAGCTGTAGTCACAGATCAGAACCTTCGCTATTTTTAGATCTCGGAACAATTTACGATGTCATGATTTGGGAGAAGTTTTAATTGATCGTTCTGTCCTCAATAGCTCCAGTGACCTAGCATTGTCGACCAACTTATTCTTTGGTTAACGTTGCCGCCATGATCAAACCCGTTCGTTGATTGAACTTTGGACCACCTCCATCTTCCGGCACCATCTCCCCGTCCCCATTCGCCTTCAATGCCTCAGCCAACGTGCACCTCCCAGCATCCACAAATCCGAGCCCTGCGTACATTTTGACCGTTGCCGTGTTCTCCGGCTTGACCATGATCCGTACACGTATTTGCTTTTGCTGCTGCTTTCCAGATCCCATCTCCATCTGTTGCAGCCAGCTGAAGGTCTCGCGGCACAGCATCTTTCCAACTCCCTTGCCACGGTGCGCGGGCAGCGTGTACAGGCTCAGCATTTGCCACTTCTCTTCATCTGCGTCTGAGCATACAGGCGGCTGCTGTGCTGCTTCAGGCAGGGCATATGATTTTGCCGGCACGGGCCCGAGGAGCGTGACTTGCGCGATCCATTCCCCTTCGTCGGCGGAGGTGCTGGCATCATGCACGGAGCAGATGAAAGTCTCCCGCCCTGGCAGCTGGAGGCGGCTTTCCCACCATTCGTCCGTGTATTGCGATTCCTTGTCGTAGGTTGATGAAAACGAGTGAGGGGATTCGGCGAGTGCAGAAAGGCGGAGTGATTTGTACTTTTGCGCCAGATGGGACAGTGAAGGTGACTGTGGATCGATCCGTATGCATGTGTAGGTCATTTTGGTGTTGTGGGCTGTGGGGCCGGATGCAAAGTTCGAAAGCAGGGCAGTGGTCTGGATTGGATTTGGGTCTGGAAGGCCAGAATCAGCAGATATATATAACAATTAGCCCATGCATAAAACGAACATAATCTCCAAAAGGTGCACTTTATTAGGAATGGCTGTTATCTCTGCTAGGTAAGTTCTGCGCCTAGCGCGCTCATTCGTCCGAGAGTCATACTAATTCGTCCGAGCCTAAGCGATACGTCCGAACTCAGCAACAGTTCGTCCGAATCCTGCACCAACGAGATGTAGGATAAATCTCTACTGGCGACGTGTTTAGATTAAGCAGAGACCTAATTACATATTAAAATTATAATTACTGGAAAGGTTTTTCATCCACGCCCATTCAAATCAGCTTATACGGCCCGGAGTGTAAGAGACAGCTGATTTCCAAGTCGCACAACATTATAACTACCATCTCTAATAAACTACAAAGTAAAAGAACATGGCGCGGTAACTAATCCTTAGGTTCCCACCACACACTACTGTGAGTTATGGTCTCCACTCTCAATTATAATTGCGAGAGAGACATGTTTGCATAACTGCTGAAAGAGAAGTGTATAAGTAATCCCAGGACGCAAAAACGCCACCCGTAGCATTTGATCCTGTTCATTAAAAGTTTTGGATCAGGCGTGTCAACATACCGTCTCTCCGTATGCTGCGAGGAACCCTCGGGCGGTTCGGTTCATCAACCAATCGGGACGAGTTCCGGGTTTTCACCGTTGTTTTGCACCCGCCATCGTGCTGGTCTATCGCAGCAACATCAACGCTCATACTGGCCAACATCGCGCATAAATCACTGTCAGCTGCATCTATACTCACCATTTAACGCTCCCTAGAAGAAACACTGGAGTTCTCCATCGTCCTCAGGGACGCCACCTCCCTGCGGCGCCGTTCCCTTTCCTACACGCGGGGTTCGCTCCGAACACATTCATTCGTCTGAAGTTTGTAGTGATATGTTCTATCACGCCTCAAAACCTGTGCTCCTATCCGCCTGATATCTAACCTAGACCTCATCTGTTCATCTGAATATCTAATCACATCTTTTTCGGCACTGCACCTCTATCACATCTCCCTATTTATCCTGCTAACTATGAGATCAAATGCACATAGTAACAGGGTGAAAGAGATGAGGAAAGGGACCCACTCCTGTAAATCTTGTGAGTTTTGCGAAGTGAACACTTCTGCTAAATGTCGATTGTGGGCGTTTACAGTGTATCAGGTCGAAGCCGAAAGGTCCGGTGCATTTTCCCGCCCGGCCAGTCTCAGGTATGCGTCCAGTGCGCACGGCGCGGCGACACCTGCATTCCTCAACGCACTGGGGTATCTGGCAATTTACGGCCCACTCATGCAGCATCCGCTGGACTTGGAGGATTTGAGACACAAAGAATGCCATCCACTACTGGTGAAGAGATGTCTGGGACGCCGCAGGTCCAGGGCGGCATATTTACTGATGGCCCTACACGAACGTGGAGATCAGATCGATTTCATCCATTTGGGCGCATCTCGTCGCCTCCGCTGCGAGAAGTGCATGCTCAAGATCCATCGAGCTTCCCCTGCACTGAGGGAATGCGGAATGAAACCGCGCCACTTTTAAGGCTCTTCAACAATTCAACTGTAGGCAGTACTGCATTGATGGGAACAACGGAATACCCCGCTGATTTCTGTGCAGCTTTCACCATCGGACGACCGGAGAGAAAGGGCCAGCGTGGAAGGAACCAATATCGCAACCTTTGCAAGTCCACCAAATACTATGCAATATTCTACCATAGTGGAAGACCTACGTTCCGTCATCCCATCTGGCTCGGAATTGAAAGAAATTTTCCACAAGCAAAGTAATTGGTGGACTGCGTGGAGAACATCGCTTGATTTATTCTTGGGTGATGAAGCAGATCTCACACTGGAGATGTTTGCTGAAAAGGCATTGTCGTCTGAACATCCATCCTTACTCGGAAACCTGCTAGTGTGCCTTGCCATCAGCACAGACGAATACCAAAGATACCTGGACCCTGTCGAGCGCTGGATTCTGAATGACGATGAGCTGGCTGGCTGCTTGCACGGGTTGAGGTGCTCACTGGGATTTGGATTGGTTCTAGTGGCTACCATGCAGCCCCGCCGCGCTGTTTCGGTCTTCCGTAGAGCCAACACGCTTATGCAAATGAACGGGATTCATCGAACTCACCGCGCGTCGAGGGAGCTGGATTCAATCTTCTGGCAGCTTTTCCATGCCGATCGCTGGGTCCATTTGATGCTCGGCCTGCCGTATTCTGTTCCAGACATTCTATGCGATCTCCATATTCCGCCGATCGGCCCTGCGATGCCGCCATCAATGTTCCATCATCGCCATTTTGCAATTCTTACAGGACGTACAATTGATTGTTTGCAAGATCTCAACGGATGCTTATTATCCAGAACCTTGCAAATCGAAGAGCAGATGGACAAGGTGGTCTCGCATCTCCCTTTCGATTACCTGGATCTTGCCGAAATATATACGTGCTCCGAGCCTACGGAAAAATACACGCGTCTTTTACGAGTACGCTACGGAAATCAGCTCAAAGCGTTTCTCCATCTGCCGCTGTTTCTGCAGACAAGAGACCGACAAGGATACAGCAGAAAGACCTGTATTGACAGCTCTCGAAGCCTGCTGGAGGCCTTTCTGGTGATGGCCGAGAACAGTCTTTTTTTTAACGGAGTTGTTGCCAACCTGGAGGCATTTTCTGCATTCACCTCTGCCGTGGTATTGTTCCTACACTCCACGGGTTATGGGAGAACCCCAGAGCAGGATGAGGCAATTCGCTGCACAAAAGCCAATGATGAACGCCTGATCCTTGAGACGTTAGAGGCAATCAAGCAATGTGCTAGCATGCGAGGCAGCTCCTTATCTAAGCAGTGCCTTGTTTCGTTACAAGATCTGGTAGATGAGAGTCGAGCGTTGGAGCATGGGCAAACTCAAACGATTGTATTGCCATTCTTTGGTAAGGTGTCTTTGAAGCGGAAGAGGGTTGACGTCACCCCGCATGATGGAAAGAGTCAGGGAGGTGTCTCATCCAACATGGTATCTTCGCACGGGGATGTTCTGTCACTGGGTCCGGAAGGAGGCTTTGACGATTTCAGTATGTTTGAAGACATCGACTTGACTTACGAGGGTCAATGGTTGCTCGATGACACAAACTTGTTTTTGCCTGCCACATGAGCCCAAGCCATCTTACTGGAACCCGACAATCCTCTTTATCAATTTAAAATAACTGAAAGTTTCACCGGGGATTTTGCAGCAAGACCAAAGGGTTTTGTGGCTTTCACTATATGAAATGTAGAGCTCCGATTCTCACCGTGCTTAAAGAAATTGCTGCAAAACTTATGACCCAAAATAAAATTTTTACCACGTTCTTTCGTGGCCTTTGGCTATAGTTAAAGCGTTGTGAAAGTAGTTCGGAATATCGACAAAGTGATGAAGATTTCATTGCTCTATTCTCAAATTCATCTGGCACAGGAACAACAAGAAATACTCGAAGGTCTATTACGCCTTCTCCGCCCGCCAACAACAATCCAACATTTCTTTGACTGTCATAGGTTGGATGTTCGGAAACCTGGAGTTTACCTCAGGGGGAATAGCCATCATCTTCCGGTCAAGAGTCATCAGCTCAAAAAGAGCGCTGCCGGCTTGGAAAACTTCCTTGGGCTGGGAGATGTAAGCGATCTTCTGGAACGGCAGCTCCGTAATTTCAGATCTCTTTAGCTTCTCCTCATCGTCAAAGGTAACCTCGAACTTGCTTCCTACGACGCTAGTTAGCAGGTATTATGGGGGGGTTTGGCAAGAGCTTGATGGAAAAGCGCACCCGTCGCCTCTTCGGCCAAGCGAACAAATTCATTCCAAGTTATGATGTCACCCGCTATACGGCTCTCCTCCGGCCAATCCTCCAGGTCAAGCTCCGCGACTAGGAATTTGGCCATGTCAAACGAATAAGTAATTGTGACAGGAATGTCACCTGATCCAGGTAGTGCGGCCATGCGGTGCTCGATATCAATGACCAGCGGATGTGGCTTGAGGTAGGACTTGATCCGCCCAATCGCGAAATAATCGAGAAATATGCCGTTATGTACGACCGTCCATTTCAGGCTCTTGGACTTCTTCAATTCGTCGATGGCGAGGATGTAGCTGTCAAACATTGGGTTTCCGTTACTAACCATGAAGCGTTAGTGGTAGTTTTTCTTATCTCTATATTGCTTGCAACGAGGACCTTACTCTCTAGGATACGAGATGGCAAAGCAGCTCGGGACGAAGCGCTTTGTCTTCGAGGATGCATCGGAAGCCTTAATCAAGTTGATCTGAGCTTCATTGACTCCGTCGCCGGAGGTGCCTAGTGCGCAAATGACGGTGTCGATGTCATTATCTTCGAGAGTGCGGGTTAGGGACGATACATCCGTATAGTCAACGACGACAACAGGGGCACCGAGTTGCTCTTGCGAGGGCTATAGGTAAATCTTAAGCAATGGATCTTTGTCTTTTCTTTTCAAGGTTGACTTGCCTTTCGCGTAAGGACAATGGCTTCGTGCTTGCTGTCATTTTGTATGACTTCGACAATGGTTCGACCGACATCCCCGGTACCTCCTGCAATCGCAACTTTGACCATGATATCGTAACTGAGGGAAGAAATCAGTGATTTGATCGCCAGAAAGTAGAGACACGATGAACCTATATATTCTATGCGGGCTCCGCGGGCGCCGTGGGTGCCGTGGGCGCTGTGAAGGTAATTATCATCGGTCCGTAATTCGTCCGTCTTCACTTTAATAGACGATTAAGTTCTACGAAATCTACTTTGTACGTGCTTCTTTTTCCCCGTTTTGACTAGCTGCATCTAATCGGTCCGCGATTCGTCCGTTTAAAGTTCCGCTCAGCTCGGTTCCCTCCGTATTGCTCGAGAACCCTCCTTCATCCGTCAAGAGATTGGTCCACTTCATCTAAAGAGAGTATGGCAAGGCCGACGTCCCACACTGCAACAGACGAAAGGCCTTAGTAGTATCAGCACGCTAAGTTACATTTGCCTGCTATCTCTTATATACGCGAACGTTGATGTCAACTTGTTTCACGAACCAATAGTTGATCTCCCTCCATTCAGCCTTAGGATTGGCAAGCTCGATATGAAAAGATCGAAGAAATTGCGGGAGAAACTTCCATATTTCCGCAGCAGCAATCTATTTTAGATGAAAAGGTCAGCACCCGTGTAAGGATAGCATTATGTGGAAACGTACATTCTTTCCAATGCATTGACGGCTGCCCTGTCCAAATTGGAACATATGCCTCTCCATTTCCTTCGCATCAGAGCGAAACCAGCGGTCGGGGTTGAAATCGTCGGCATCTTCGCCAAAGATGGACTTCACAAAGTGGAAGGCAGCGGGATTCACGCCAACCCGGTACTGTATTTGTTAACATCATTTTACTTGAGATGCTGCGATCAGGGAACATACTCCAGCTGGGATGTAATAACCACATAAATTGCGACCCCCCTTGGGTACGTGACGCGGGAAGCTGAGAGCAATCGAAGGGAATACACGCATGGCCTCCTTACAAACTGCAGTCACGTAAGGCATGTTCGATGCTTCGGCATACGTGATGATAGAGCTGAGCTTGCCCTCAGCCTGATATTGGTCGATTTCTCTCTGCAGCTTTGCGTACGCATCGGGATTTTTGCAGAGATTGTACAACGCGGAGCGGATTGCGACAGCAGTAGTGTCACTGCCGGCGAAGATGGCTGTGTATGATTCTGTGTAGACGTCTGTTATATCGAAATCCGGGGACTTTTCGCGGCTCACTTCAAGCAGCCTTTCGAGCATATCCGGTCGGCCCTTGCCCGATTCGACACGCTCATCCACCAGCTTCTTCGATACTGCAGTCAAAGACTTGAAGACTGATAGGCTACGCCTAAGCTTTGCGGAAAATGGCAAAACGAGGATTTGCAGAGGCCACAATAGTTTCGGAAGTACTGCCACGCGGATGGCGTGCGGTAGGATAATGTCCACGGCAGCGATGTAACCTCCGATGTCCTTGCGTTCGCGAAGGAACCCGAACATGCGGCCGAAGAACAGCTCACCAATGACATCAAACGTGTACCTTTGCTGAGTGTCATTGTTTGTATTCAAGTCATTTGGTAGAGAACTCACCAGTGCACCCACTCGGAGATGTCGAATACAGTACCCTTATCGGCGAGCTCTGCCATGCGCTGCATGAATAACTCGGTGACAACGTCTAGGTACTTTTCATTGTCCAAAACCGTCTTGAAAGTAAATATGTGCTGGATCATGCGGCGGCGAAATGTGTGTTTCTTCTCATCCAGCTGGGTAAAGCTGTCGGCATGCGGAGAGAGATTCGGTGCCTGGGTCAGGTAGAAATCTGTCTTGGTGAAGCCAGCGTTGACGGCGTAGATTTCTTTCCAAGCTTGTGGATCACACACTGAGCACTCATTCGGTGCAATTCTCACAATGGGTCCTTTACCAAAAGTCAGCGAAAACAAAGGTCGGCTCGGACTGGCAATTAAGAACCATATTTTTCATGCAACTTTTTAGTGTAGCGGTGCATGTCCTCGGCGTTGATCCGTTGTAGGTACCACAGTCGCGAGATGGATGCCCAAAAAGGACCAGGGATCTTGGCGAGTGGAGAAAAGAGTCGTTGGTAGACAACCCATCCCACACAGAAGGCAACAAGCAAGCCAGCACAAAATGTGAGATTGAGAATCGAGAGCGCCATTTTGCTTCCCGGACGTGTGAAGTTTGGATTGGCAAGGCAATGCATCATTCGGCGCTTGGAGAGAATCAGTATTGCTTATATCCATGCGTAGCTACTGACCGGGGCCGAACCGCCCCCAGCAAGGCGGGATCGGAGAATACCTATATCAGGGCATAGGTCGACAAAAGCAGTTTGTGCACGGAGCCAGCCCTACCCGAGATGTTCCGTCGGCCCGCAGCTTGGCATGGAACACCTGCCTGGTCTGGAATGGTGCATAGGCGACCGTCATGTCATCCGAAAATGCTCTCTACTATTTGTGCATCGATATATCCCTTGGCTTGGGCAGAGGATCGGCGATAGCCCCATGATAGTGGAGATTGCTGAGTACAGCGAATCGGAAATTTTGCATGTACCTAAAGAACGCAACCGGAAGGGTCTCTTGGTTTTGCAACACGACAGCTGCGCCCCACAACTGATTTTCTACGTCGCCGGATCCTTGTTCCCGACGCCCTCGACTTTCTTTTCCCCACGAATGTTTGAAAAAATGTTACGACCACCACTTTCATCATTCCAAGCCCAATTGAAAACTTCCAAGATAAATGGCTCATCCAATCACACCCTCGCCTCTCGCCATACACAAAGCGTTGTCGAAGTGGCTTGGAATATCAACAAGATCAGCGCCAATGGAAACCTGTTACTCGATGAGAAAACTCTCTTGATTTAGAGAAAACAGGTCGAGTGAAGTACTCACCATATGAAAGCCCTTCTGTGCGTACTCGTGGCCCTCAGTGCCATTGTTGCAATAGATGCCGGCCCACTTCCCGTTGTCGGTGGCGGCCTTGTAAATACGATCAAAGGCAGCCTTCAGCTCATCGTGCATGATGCCACCAATGATGGGGTGGCCGATATCGTTGGCAAGGTCAAAAGGGCCAATAAAGAGAACGTCAATTCCCGGTACAGCGGCGATCTCATCGACCTGGGAAGCCGTCAGATGGGGTTGGATGACTTCAGAGTTGAACGCGTACGTTGTCCAGTGCCTCCTTAGTCTCAATCTGAGCAATTGTGACGAGAGCATCATTGGCTTGCAGAAGGTAATCGCCAGTTCTCTTACTAGCGAACTTCCCTATCGCGAGTTCCGGGCTGAATCCACGTTTTCCTTGCGGGGGAAATTTGGCTGACGAGACGAGCTTGCGGGCGTCATCTGCAGTGTTGAGAAGCGGTACGCATATACCATGGGCACCGGCATCAAGCGCTCCTTTGAGGATTCAGGGCTTGTCTGAAGGTGGGCTGGAAAATACACTCACGCTTGACCATCCAAGTCTCATTTGCGGCAATGCGGACCACAGGGCTGACACCACAACCTGCAACTGCTGCTACACATTCATGCATCTGTCCATCTGTGAAATAGTTAATCCTTTCCGATGGGATGGGATAAGATTGTATGATTCGAACCGTCAATGTTCCCGTGTTCCATATCCAAGCAAATCCAGTCCATGTCGGCACTGGCAATGGCACGAGAGAGATTGGATCCAGGCAGCATCTATCTAGAACTTTAGCTACCAAGCTTCTGCTTTACGAGACAAAGCATTACCTGCCATGCACCGAAGGTAGTTCCCCCCTTTTTAAGGGCTTTCTGGAAGCGATTCGCGGCCTGCATCCTGGCGTGGTTCCCGCTTCGATGATAAATGTGCGTACGTTGCCAGTAGAGTTGGAAATTGGTTTGAGAAGCAACAATGAAGTGGTATTTATACGCCTTGTGCAGTGCATGGCTGGAACATATTATGAGCGCATAGTTTTGCCTAATTGGGCAGTGTTGGCGTCTTGCATATAAAACACTCCCGGCCCTAAAAGCTCAAACAGGAAACATTTCCCATGCCCAACGCTGACTTTCGAACTTTGAGCTCTAATAAATATCATCAGTTTGGAAATATATCAATGCTTGGGGTGTTCCAGCGTTGCCCCGCATGAGATCAACGCGAAGCCCCGCTCGAGTCTCAAGAAATCATACTGAGTCCCACATCTCCTGGAGCTGGTCTACTCCGCAGTCTACCTGGCGGGGGCCGAGCCCACTCACACAGTTGAAGATTCTTTCCGCCACTTCCGGCGATCTGCATACAGGTGTACTAGGGGCTACATTATTTTTGGGTAGTGTTTTCGCGCGGGCATTGGAGCCACACGCACTATAGGCCTTTACGAGCATGTCCAGCGAAGAACACCTCAAGTTCCTACAAAAGTCTTATCTGTAAGTATCCTCCAGGGCTTTTGAAACAGTAAGACACATGTCAGTCTAGAGCCGGCCGGGTGGTTTCTTTGAACCACAGCTCCAGTCTCATCACCCGTCCCGCAACAGCACGCAGTCCGCACAAAAGCCGGTATGCACCAAGAAACATCTTGGTGTCACCAAACGATTGAATACCATCTATAGCTATCTCGCCCGCATTTCTCATGCTCGGGAAGTAGAAATTGCGGGCCACGTTTAGCGCCACGTTCCCGAGTGACGACCACATCCTGCAAGCAAACCTCTATTACAGAGGGGAACGAGATGGCAATGTGTTGCTGTGGTCTACGTTTGCGGGGACGAGACCCGACCATGCGATGCGACGCGTCGTTGATTCGAAGCATCTAACGCGGCCAAATAACTCTCCGGCTTGCACGGTGATTCTGACTCGCACTAACGAGTACGGCATCGCCTCGAGAGCTACATCCCGTACTACAACGCTCGTCCCCGCATCGTTCCCCACATGGATTGCCGCCATCTACCGCCGGGGAGATTGGGGTATCATAGGTAGGTTTCCGCAGAGATCCGGCACCCTGATTAATAGGTTAGCTTTTAAAGTACGTATATACAATAATGGGCGAATCACGAGACTAACCCCACATCTATACATTGCACATACCCTTCGCGTGTCAACACTCAATGTTTGTAATTGAACAACTCCTGACATCCCATCGGCATCGGCATTAGAATTGCCACCGACTGCCGCCTAGCTGAAATGGTATAAAAAGCACAAAAGAAACATTCCCCGTTATCATCACCACCACCACCATGTCCGCCACAACAACCGAAACAAGCACCCTCAGCTCTAAATGGCCGCAAGCCCTCGACCTGGCGGGCAGCAACCAGCCCTGCCGGCTCGAAGGCGCCATCGCTGACCTGCCCGTGCTGGGCACGATTCCGCCCGAAATCAACGGCACCTTCTACCGCGTCATGTGCGACCCGTTCGTGCCGCCGCACCCGGACAACGTGCCCATCGACGGCGACGGCAGCGTTAGCGCCTTCCGGGTGCGGGCGGGCCGCGTCGACATGCGCATGGCGTACGTGGAGACGGAGCGGTACCTGCTCGAACGCCGGCGCGGCGAGGCGCTGTTCGGACTGTACCGCAACCCGTTCACGCACCACCCTTGCGTGCGCGCCGCCGTCGACAGCACCGCCAACACGAACTTGGTGCTGTGGGCGGGCGAGCTGCTGGCGCTGAAGGAGGTGGCGCTGCCGTACAGCTTGGATCCGGATACGCTGGGAACGCGCGGGTACGATCCGTTTGGCGCCAGGGAGGAGGCTGTCAAGGCGAAGACGTTTACCGCGCATCCCAGGGTCGATCCGGAGAAGAAGGAGCTGGTAGTGTTTGGGTACGAGGCGAAGGGGTTGGCGACGAAGGATGTGGTGGTGTATGCATTGGATCAGGCGGGTGATGTGGTCAAGGATAGCATCGTCTGGCTCGAGAGTCCGTGGTGCGCGCCCATTCACGACTGTGCCATTACCGACAACTGGGTCATTCTGGTGCTGTGGCCGTTCGAGACTGACGTGGAAAGGATGAAGAGGGGGAAGCAGCACTGGGCGTGGAGCTACGACAGGCCGGCTACGTTTATTGTAGTGCCGCGGAGAGTGGGAGGGAAGATGCCCCCGGGCTGGGCCAAAGGAGAGACGAGGACATACCACTGGAGGAACTGCATGCCTATCCACACTGGCGGCGCCTGGGAGGAGGTCGAGCAGGACGGTAGCACCAGGCTGTTCTTTGAATCCAGCCGTGTCCACGACAATGCTTTCCCATTCTTCCCACCCACCGATGGACGCATGCCTGCTGCCGACGCAAAGGCCGACTTTGTTCGCTGGGAGCTCGACCTTAGCAAGCCCACAAACACACAAGTACCAGATCCGCAAATCATTCTGGACATGCCCTCCGAGTTCCCGCGTATCGACGAGAGATTTATGGCGAAGAAGTTGAAGATTTTCTGGGCGGATGTATTCCTGCCGGAGCGAAGCGACGGTGGGAAGAATATCTTCCACGGACTAAACGCCCTCGCAATGCACAACCACGAGACAGGAAAGACCCGTTTCTTCTATGCGGGTGACGAGTCATTGATTCAAGAACCCATTTTCATTCCGAGAAGTGACGATGCCGCCGAGGGAGATGGGTGGATAATGGCCATGGTTGAAAGGCGAAAAGAGAACAGAAATGACTTGGTTATCATTGATACACGCGAGTTCGAGAAGGCCGTTGCCATCGTGCAGCTACCTCTCCATGTCAAGGCACAGATTCATGGTAACTGGGTTGACGCAAAGGAGCTGGGGGAATGGAAAAGCCTAGTCCAGCAGATTCCTGAGGTGAAAATTAGCGGTAGAGGTGCGCTGGAACCGCTAATTTAACTAAGGTTCTTGAAGCAGCGAGCATGAACGAATCCCCACTCTACAATTTCTTGAATCTTGTATCCATGTAGTATAACACATTTCTTTCTAAATCGATTGCAATTTCCTTCACTCTACCTTTGCCATCTACTATAAATACCGTCGCGAAACGCCTCAAATAATATCAGAACAATTATACTACGTAAGCACCCGCGAAACTTCGCCTGCGTCGCCTCTCCCCGCATTGCTCCTGCCACAAAACGCCAGCGCTCTCACCAAACTATTGCTAATGAAAGTCAGGTCGCCAATCCGTTCAGCAAAGAAGTGCTTCGTCTCCGGGCCGAGTATGAGCGCCGTCACGTTGCTACAAACCTCTACCCTCCCGGCGGTCGGTCGCTTCTCGAACTAGACCTCCAGCGTGGTAAAGAATCTTAACATGACGTACTAAGTTGATGACGGCACCAAGCATGGCTAGTTACTACGCATCTTCGACGTCCCCGCCACCCTCTCGGGCAACATCCTACGGCTCTACTAGAATTTCAAGATAAATGGATTTGACACCCTGCTAGTTAGGAAGTGATTCAATTGATTTTTATAGCATATCTTCGTCTATTTAAGTATCATAGCTTCGAGCTCAGGCATCTCATCGGAGTATTCGCTACAGATTTGTGCTGCCGGTGGTCTCTTCAACTTCTCAATGATCTTCCCTACCATTGCCCTCGTCCTTGGCGCTGGAGGGGCGCGACTTTCTCCTAGAGCGATCCGATCGGGGAGGACGAAACGTTTGTTCGACCACGAAGGTCGAGAATAGTGTGTAGTGGAGTGGGAAGCTGGCGGGGGGGGGGCTTAGCTGTGCAATTGGGTCGATACAACCTATCTACTCGACGTGTGAGGCTCCTTCCCAGGACGACATGGGAAGGACCGCAACAGTAAGCCTTCTCCGCGGCGTCTTTTTTACGAGAAGGTTGATCGGCGGAGCCGGTAGATTACCAGTCTGCCGCTCGACCATCTGAAACCATTTTAGAGCTTCGCTCCTGGAGCCCTACCGCTCGCTTAATCGAATACACTACATATCTGAAACATCTCTCGGCTAGTAACATGTCTGCCGGCTGCAGTTACCCGGGGACTCCCGACTGTCATGGCTAATGCCCGCATCCAGCAGCGCATGCCACGTCCTTAAAGTCTTAAATCTCTAGTCTCTTACATGTTTCTACACGTTCTCATTTGCACCGTGTCTCATAGAGCGGGCTTTGCAAATCTCGACGCTTTGGGCCGCGCGAGTCCATCTAGCGTTCGTTTAGCACGTGCGTATTTATAGTCGAAAGTTTAATTGTATCACCAATGAAGCTTTTCGAATGACTAGAGTGTCCCAGCCCTCAGGGATCCTGCATCGTAAGATGCTCATGGCTGCTCCCGCAAATGTTTCTCCTTGATGTCCTATATATACAGCGTCCTATAATATAGGCAGCGTCCTAGTCAGGGCCATTTAAGGTATTTCTCATCTGAGTCCGTCTTTCATTCCTTTATGACTTCAATTCCTCCACACAGTTTCTCCTTGGACAGCAGAACCCACGATGCCGCCCGTACATGCAAATAATGAGGTAAGCAAACGTTCTCAGTCTCGTGTAAAAGTCCTCAACTCACTACTACCGCAGGCGGCTCTCCTAGAACTCTGGGGCGAATACGGCTTCGGCGTCCTCATTTTCGCGCTACGATACTTTGTCCGCATAAGAATGGTCGGATTTGGAGGCTTCCTCGGCGATGACTACTTTGGATTCATCGCTGTCATTTGCCTTACGATTGATGGCATCGTCGTGGACCACGCCAGTATGTACCCGCTGCGATGGAGATTTTGGTGTTCTCGATGCTGACAAACACAGCTCGGCATGGGACCGCTGTAGAGTTTACCGAAGATCAACTCAATGAAATGACGATCGCCGAGGTACGAAGCATCGGAATAGGCTCAAAATTCGAATTCATCGGCTGGTTCTCTTACCCCGGCCTAATTTGGAGCATGAAGGCCATGATGCTGTTTTTCTAGTACGTGCTTCTCTTCCTTTCACATTGTGAAACTAACCCGCTCTACAGCAGTCGGCTTACTTTCAGGCTTTGGCAGCGGAAGCTTTTGATAATACTCTGTCTCTTGGTCGCGGCTAGCTGGATCGCAGTCCTTTTCACCGTGTGTTTTAGCTGTCCGAGCTTCCCGGACAACTGGAAGGTTAGACCCCGGCCGAGTCTAAACTGTACCTTCCACCCCCAGAACGTGGCCATTGTCTCCTTCGGCAACATTTTCACCGACTTGGCCGTCCTCTCAATCCCAATCCCTCTCTTCTGGACGTTGAAGCGGCCCTTAAAGCAAAAGATATTCATGGGCTGCTTCCTGCTCGGTGGCATCCTGGCCATCACCGTCGCCGTCATCCGCGTCGTCATCACGCTGGGCTCTCATCCCTCGACGCTGAACATCAACTTATGGGGCACCCGCGAGACGACAGTCGCCCTTCTCTGCGTTAACGCCCCGGTCCTTCGGGCCCTCTTTACGCGCTCTTTCTGGACCGCACAGCCTTTACCGACGGAGCTCAGTACCGGCGGATCCGGCCGTTACGGTTCTACGACCGGGTCGCGTCACCATCATATCACCATCGACAGTGAGTACACGGACCCGATCAACCGTCCGAATCGTTTCCCGCTTCCTGCTGTCGTGGAGGGATCCTCGAAAGAGGGGCGAAACCGTTCCGACAGCACGCAAACCATTCCTGTCGATATGGACAGCGAGCACCACATGATGATGAGGGATTCACGCCAACACGTCATTGTGGCACAAGTCGAGGTGCAGGTCGAAAGAGAAGAGAGGAGTGGACGTGAGAGCCGGAGGGGGGATATCGAGATGGGAGGTGCTGATTGGGCGAAGGGTTGGTAATTCTAGCGAGCAGTACGAGCTGTAATGAGTTATGACCCCAGCGCTGTGCATCTGATTGATCGCGAAGTCACTGGCTGTCGCCATTTCATGTCCGAAGAAGCCGCTTCGAGCCCCGCGTACGAAACACTACGAAACCATCGCGTACGAAGCCCCGCAATTTTGGGCGTCATGTCGAAACGAAGCACTCGTGGGGGTAATTTGGTGTAACTTTGACAGCCGAGCTGCGCATACAACTGAGCTTTTTTAATTGTCTAGCAGCCTCGTTCGCCTTTCGGAGGATCTCGCAAGATGCTAGCCGAATACACCATCATTTGGACTCCCATTCGCAAGCCGGTTCATCAATTAGTGTCACAAAATAATTCTGGTGTCTTGCCACTTCGCCTAGGTTGGAAAATGTTTGGTGATCCCAAGTTTATTTCATTGTTTCAGAATAGCACCTAATTTGATCGAGTAGGCCCGGCTTCTCTAATTAATCGATGAGATTTTTCTGACCGCATTCCTTGTCCATGCAGGTAATAGCAGCGAGTAGGACTGGGCGGCGCCTCCGTACGCGATAGGGACAATGAAAGCTTATCTTCGTTAAGCTACGCTAAGGTTTCGGTTTATTAAGGCTGATACAAAGCTGATAAACGCTACATACAATTATATAACAATACGTAAGATAACTATGTCGTAGCTTCTTTTTAAAGGTTTTCTTTGACTTTGCTCTACTCAGCCACCTGCGTTGCAGCCGTGTCCTCCGCTCTGTTGGACATCTCGATTTTTTTCTCCCTCTGAGCGGTTTGCTCACGGTCTCCCTAAGTCTTACCAGCGCTATTGTCTCCACTACCCACTCGTACTTCCTCGGCCGTAATAATATCTAGAGTCTTATCCATCATCAGGCTGACTAAACTTCTCAATGATCTTCCCCACCATTGCCCAAGTGCCACAAGCTAAGCCGCCCAGAAGAAGGAGAAAGCCAAATTCATCAAATACCTGCCTGATGTAAAGGCCACTGATCTAAGTTAGTCCCTGACCAATACTTCTGCGGAACATCGACACTTACAGCGCCGCATTGGAAAAGCCGGAAAGAAGCACAACATAGCCCAGAATCCTGTGCCATCGCGACCAATGCGATTTCTCCCGGGTCAATACGAACGTTCTGTGGTGTAGGTATCCAATCCCGCCTTGATAGAGGATTAAGATTAGAACTGCGAAACCAAGTACCTGATGCGACAAAATAAGCGGGCCCTACCAGGGATATCAGCAATGCGGAAATGCACGGATAACTGAAGACTTACATGAGAATGGGAGTGCCCGTGAGACCCAAGGATGGCAAAAGCGCATGCGAGGAGGACGCATGAAGTTCCGCTCAATTGCGCTCCTGCATGCATCCAAAAAGCCCGCTTGCCTCCATGAAGAATTGCCAGCACGCCGGCTGGATAGACTGCCAGGAAAGCGAGGAGCATGAAGAAGCCGTGGGCCTTGAGTAGGTCGAATGGAGCTGCGTCCTTCGACCCTGGGCCCCTGATGCCTGTGCTTATCCTGTCTCCAACCAGGGTGAGAGTGCTTCCTGATGACATTTCGACAGTCGTTTCAAATCTGTCTGCTGGAACTCAGCATACTACATGGATTCCGTGACATTAAAACTTACCGTAGAGCACGTGCATTTGTAGCTGTTCGTCCACCTCGCTTGTCTGGAATTTCTGATAGTCGTTGGCAGACCATATCCAGCTTTCGTACCCGTCATGCTCATTTTCCAATGCTCTGCAAGACTCGCATTTGATCTCGGCGTTGTAGTATCCTTCACTGTCTACGAATGTCTCCAACACTGAGAGATTTCTGTGTTGGGAGGACACGTGCGGAGGGTAGTGACCGCTGTGAAGGAGAAATGTCAACGCTTAGCCTACAAGTAGTTACGGGCTGGGGCGCCAAACTGACGTGGTTGATCTGACGCTCACAGTCAGCCCTACTCCCATTAGCTAAAGTATTGAAAGAGGATAATGTAAGGGCGACATACCGTTTTCTCGCTTGTTGGGATAGAACACAAACATGAGTGCTTCGTCCATGGCGGATCCATGGCCGAAGGCTGCCCAGCCCCGACTCTGAGGAAACCTTCCGGAAAAGACGAGATGATAGGTGGAAGGGTCATGCTGAGGCGTCGCGAAGAGCATGCAAATATCGACGTCGTGGATCTGATCAGCTTTGCAGAGTTGGCTGAACGCAGCGCAACTTGCCTCAAGTGCTGAAAGAAGAAGCGTAAAGACAGAAACGCTAAGGAGGCGCATTGTGCGGTTTGTGAAAGTGGACCTTGTCCTGAGAGGAGCGGTTCGGGGAGAGGACTGAAATGCCCGACTTCCACGACCAGTGCCGGAAGGCAACCGTTGGCCCGAAAGCGTCGGCCTGCTTTGATGCTGACCGGAACATCCACTTGTCCAGATCATACGACGTTTCGCGAAGAACCCCCATGATTATTCCGTGGCATGCATGTACAGTATTATAACCCTCGTCGTCAGGCAGTCCACATCGTGCGTCGTCGGTGGGGTCTCGACTTAGGCGCGCTGACGGGTAAATTCGAGGTTGCACCGTAGGATTCTAAGCCTGCTCATTCCTGGCGGTTCATCAAACGAAGGATTCAGCACGACGCGAGTGTTTTGGCGAACTTCCCATTTGGGAAAAATCCCCAAGAAGGCCCCCACAATCAACCCCGCACAGCTCTTATCGTAGGTTTGGCTGCGGCTGAGGCGCTCTCTAGCTCAGTTGGATAGTGCTTATCTAGATCTACATTGCGCCACGGCGGCGAGAAGGGGAAACACGGGAGCGGAACGGGGCGAAGGAGCCGAGGCCTGCAGATAGCTGCGCCATCCATGTACTATACGACGACCCCCAACGCTGCACACTGGCCCGTGCATCCAGAGGTGCTTGCATCCGAGCGGCGCCCATATCCGACTCGGCAGAAAACAGAGGCCCATTGCATCCACTGCAACACATTCTTCTCATACTATTCACCACTCTGGCAGAATACCACTATGGCCTCTTTCGAAAGAGCTGCTGAACGCATGAAGGCTGCTTTCAAGCCGGCCTATCACCTGCTCTACCAAGATGAGGTGGATGTGGAGCAGAAAGGAGAGCCCCAGGCCGAGGGATTGCAGCATCAAGGCAAGAAACAGAGGCCGAGTCCCTACAAGATGGTAATCTCATTTCTGGCGTTTGTGGCCTGGAGCGTTGTCGTCTTCGATGCCGGCACCTGGTACCCTGACGAAGAGAGCTGCGCCGTGCAGTCATCAACGTGGTGTAAGTTTCATGGCAGCCCTCGTCTGGTCTTGATTTAATACATTCTCTCCAGCTCCTGCCCAGACCCTCATTCGATACTCGCCACAAACAATCACGGGCAGCTTCTACCGGAAGTCACCGTTCAGAGGCGCAGGTGACGACGTGGACCAAGCATGGGATGATTTGTGGATGCGTGAGTCTGCTGGCTGCAATTTTGCACACGAGTGACTGACAAGTTTCAAGTTGGCGGAGTCCCCGTGCGCGTCGAGGAATCGAAGCTTGGGGAACTGCATAAGGACCCGGCCCGCAACTGGACCAGAATCCCCGAATCCATGGGAGGGGGAATCGCAGGATATCCAGAAGTGTTCCATCAATTGCACTGTTTGGTGAGTGTGTCCAGCCTCTGAATGCAACGGTTCGCAGCTGACAGAAAAAAAGAACGTATTGCGCATGGCAACGTATCCGGACCACTACGCCAACAACACCTTTTTCGTGGACCACCCGCCGCACGTTGTCCGTGGGCACCTCGACCACTGCGTCGAGATCCTGCGGATGCAGCTGCAGTGCTCGGCCGAGATGACGCCCATCCTCACCGAGGAGGGCCTCCCCGGCCACGAGTTCCCGACGCCGGATTTCAATGTCGTGCATGTGTGCAAGAACTTTGACGACCTCAAGGAGTGGACAAGGTCGCATATTCTGCATGGTGCTGGCAACTGGGACATTCCGGGACACGGGCATTGATGCAGAGTAGACAGGTAGCAATAGCTTCAATATTACATCGCTTGCTCAAGAATAAAACTCTGGACCGTTTGACCACCCCAGCACCAATCCGTGCAGCAAAAGAAGGCATCACCTAGCGGGAGACTGAGTCAGTCTGGAATTACTGAGTAGAATCGCATGTTCTAATAATAATATGTGCACTCAGAAGCTGCCGAAAAGCATGTGCAATGCAGAAACCTCCAGCATCACCAATCAGCCATCAAGGACTGGCAAACACGCATCTTAGAAGGGTGGAAAACGAGCTATGTCAATTTTCTATGTACACTCAGTCAAAGCAGACCTTGGTGCGCCAAACCAGCCTCGTATCATCCGACTCGTCGACAGTCACACCAGATTCCTCAGCAGTAGCACCGTGAGCGCCACCGCCCATGGTCGGAGGCAAAGACCGTCGCGGCCCCTCGGGAAAGGCCCACATGTCCAAGGCATCGATGCAGTGCTTCATATGCTTGTAGTCGATATCGCGGGGGCAAACATGGCGGCCGCTCTCTCTCGCCAGCCAGTACCTCCTGACTGCCAGCACGCAGTGAGCCATGTGGAAGGCGCGGTCGGCGGGCACCTGGATGGCGCTCGGGTCGCTGAGGAAGCCCTCCTGGAGGTAGTCGCCGCGGAGGCGCACCGCGTCGGCCTCCGGGTAGCGGGCGCGGAACCAGCGCTGGTAGCGCAGCTCGTCGGCGTCGACCAGCTCGGGCGGCACCATGGCCTGGTCGTCGATGCGCAGAAACCACGCGTCGTTGGGTGAAGGGTAGCGCTCTGCCCACGCCGACACGTTGTGGTGGTCGAACTGGAGCTGGTACCGGGGCCCGACGCTGCCGTGCGTGTCGTAGCGCTGCCAGTATGCCGGCGAGGACCGGTGCAACGCTGCTATCGTGGCTACGGCTACGATGAGAAGCAGCGCCAGGACGAGCCAGAACAGCTTTTTGCGGTACTGCTGTAGCTTGCTAGTCCAGGTTTGCTGCTTCTTGGTCGAAAGGCCCGCCGGCCAGCTACCCACGGATGTGGCTGCTCGGTCGGAGATGCTGAGCAAGGAAATGAAGGATGAGGAGGAGGAGGAGGACTTTAGCGCGCTGCTGTCGTCTTCAAACTGGCAGACGGCTGAGGACAAAGATTGCTGGATGGCATCAGTGCAGAACTGGAGTGCGTCGTCGGTCGACCAAGGCGAGTGCCCCGCGGCATCCGTTCTGGTGAGGACTAAGAGGTAGGAGCCAGACGCGGCTTCGATGATGAAGTGCTCGCCCTGTCCGGCTTCCTGGATGATGTCGGCGAGGTAGCATGGACCGCAGGGGATCCGTGAGGCGGATGACGAGACTACGCGCACTTGGAGCATCTTGAGAAATGGTGATAGAGGGAGGAAGGGGGTACGGATCACAGCGGCAATAGCAGTGGCAGAGAGAGAGACCATGGTAGACTCTTTACGGTGCACTCATGCGCTGAACTTGGCTGCATGACGAAGGATTCTGCCCGTGCGCTATACCAAGATACGCTAACCAAGAAAGGAAGTTATACCTCAAGGTCAAGGATCAACGCCAGCCACTGGAATCCGGACGATTATGAATCCTGCTGGCGCTCCTGCTATTACTCCGTAGCCGGCGTCAAGTCTCCGACTGAATCAGGGTAAGACTGGGCCCACACAACAGGAGTATACTGCACATAGCAAACATGATTGGTAATTTGGTACATCTGAATGCTTGCCTGCTACGCTGCAATGCTACGTGGATAATTGCTCCGCTCAGACTACACCTCGCTTCGCTGCCAGCACGCTGATCTCTTCGGACGCGGGAGCAGAGTGCAGAATCCTTCAGCTCCGCTTTCCAAGGCCCCCCACCACGCTTACTCCCCACCGTTATCAATCGGCTGAACCAAGGACGAGTTAGTTGAGATGCGGCCAGTCGAGAACCGATTGGGCAGCCCATGTCGGCGTCAACCTCATGCTGCCGGCAGCACCATCATGTCCCGTATCCAATCCGTCCTGAAGCTTCAGTATCGGCAGGGTCGGCAACACTGAGTGAGTGAGGAGTCGTCCTCTCATCGTTCGGTTCAGCATCGAGAGTGTATATTTAAGTGAGCTCGCCAGTGGTATCCTATCCCGCATCGCCTCAACATCCCTCATCCATCTCCTCAAAGACTTCGTTACTCACAGCCCCCTCCGTTCATCATGAAGACCACCCAGATCGCCTCCGTGCTGGCCATCCTCCTGGCCACCGCCGCTGCGGCCCCGACGCCCAAGCTCGAGGGCGCCGCTCTCGAGCGCGCTCTCGCCAAGCTCAACGCCCCCGAGCCGTGGGAGAAGCGTGACGCCCTCTGCTCTTCTGCCTCCTCCTTCGCCGCCCTGAACGCCCGCGCCAAGGACAGGCTCGCCAAGCGCCAGTTCATGATCGATGCCTACGAAGAGCTCGACACCACCGACGCTGCCTCCAAGCAGAAGCGCCAATTCATGATTGACGCTTACGAGGAGCTCGACGCCGACACCAAAGAGAAGCGCCAATTCATGATCGATGCCTACGAGGAGCTCGACGCTGACGCCAAGGAGAACCTCGCAAAGCGCCAGTTTATGATCGATGCCTACGAGGAGCTCGACGCCGACACCAAGGAGAGGCTCGCGAAGCGTCAGTTCATGATCGATGCTTATGAGGAGCTCGATTCGGGCGACGCCAAGGAGAAGCGCCAATTCATGATTGATGCTTACGAGGAGCTCGACGCCGACACCAAGGAGAACCTCGCGAAGCGCCAGTTCATGATTGATGCTTACGAGGAGCTCGATTCGAGCGACGCCAAAGAAAAGCGCCAATTCATGATCGATGCGTACGAGGAGCTTGACACCGACACCAAGGAGAAGCTTGCGAAGCGTCAGTTCATGATTGATGCCTATGAGGAGCTCGACACCGACTCGAGCGAGAAGACGAAGCGCCAGTTCATGATCGATGCGTACGAGGAGCTCGATGCCGATGCCACTTCCAAGGAGAAGCGCCAATTCATGATCGATGCCTACGAGGAGCTGGATGCCGACACCAAGGAGAAGCTTTCAAGACGCTCCTTCATGGCCTGTTAGGCGACCACCAGTGACGGCAAAGTTGTCGGGCGAGGGGTTGTGTCGTGAGGCTTTGTGGCGTGGAAATTGCAGGGGGCGGCAGGCGGCGGGCGCCAAAGCTTGCGCTCGGGAGGATTGGGGCTGGACTCCGAATGCACGGCGGGGCGGCGGGCGGGAAAGCGGCACGTAGCACATGGATCGTAGATAAGCAAAATCCATCCCGTCGGTTCTACACAACGTGGGGGCCAGGGCGGATAAAAGCAAGTGCCCCATCTTCTTCCCAACCGTGTGTCTCTCGTTCGTGTCGTCAACGGCCTATTTTTTATGCTTGCATCTCTTCTCCTCTTCTTACTCGTCTGCCTCCCTTCCTCCCGCTTGCCCGCCATGTCCTCGCTGCCGCAGACCCAGACGTACCACGGCAACTGCCACTGCGGCAGAGTCAGGTTCACCGCGACCCTCGCCGATATCCGCTCCTCTAAGATCGTTCGTTGTAACTGCTCCATCTGCACCAAGAACGGCTACCTCCTGGTATATCCTAAGCGCAAAGACGTCGTTTTCAGCTCTGGCGAAGACGACCTCTCGGCGTACCGCTTCGGGAACCAGAAGAAACCGCATAAGTTTTGCCGCGTCTGCGGGACGAGCATCCTTATTGATTTCTCGGAAGCGGATCGGGAGATTGAGAGGGAAGTCACTGCCGTCAACGTAAGTTCAGAGTATAATTGCGTGCGCTGTCTTTTCGTCGTTGACATGACTAGATCCGGACATTCGTGGGAATTGAAGATCTCATGGGGGAATTAGAGTTCCGAGACGTGGACGGCAAGAACAAGCTGGGACCGCCTTACAAGATAGGAGAATAACAATACGGATGCACTACTATTTTTTCAACACTTAGCAGTTCGTGTAGAATAATTTAACGGCTTCGCTCTTTAGTTCACCTTACATATACTTACACTATTTGCATAAACTTTATATTCTACGACATTGCTTTATCGATAACGTTCGTGAAGTACAAGATTCAAAAATCAACATATTGCCCAGACCAGTTCGGGGGTGTATACCTGCGCTTTGGTTTCGGCCTTTTTGGTGGTGGTGTCTTAGAGAATGATGAGATGATGGAAAAGTTCCCCTCCCGCTGCAATAATGTTGTAAGCTCCGGGTCAATATGCAAAGGAGAGCATCCATTTATATCCTCAGTCGAAGGATTCACCCTTCCAGTAGCCAGTAGCAGGCGTACTATCTCAATCCGTGAAAACGTCACAGCCGCCCATAATGGTGTTCTGCCAGCCATTGTCTTCGCATCTGGGCTTATGTTCTTACTGCAAAGTAAGCTCGCAACCACCGCAGGATAGCCTTTCCAACAGGCGAGGAATAGAGGAGTGACACCATTCGCATCTCCAAGGTCCGGATCTGATCGATCAAGGATGACCTTGATAGCTTCAACATTCTGATCATGTGCAATCCACCAAAGTAGAGTGCGTCCCAAATCGTCTTGAGCATTCCAGTCAATTTCTTTCATGGATAAGAAGATTCTTAGGGATTCTGGGTGGTGGCGTGCGAAGAAGATTGGCGTCTGACCTTGCCCGTCTTTTGCATTCATTAAGAGCCTGTCTGAGGCTAGTAACGTGGTCAAAATGTTGCTACACTGTGCAGCAACGTGGAGAGGAGATTCGCCCCTTTTATCTGCCAAATTTGGGTTGACACGCTTGTCTTGAACTAGAGCAGCAACTCTCCGTTCGTCCCGTGAGGAGACTGCGCACCATAGTGGGGTTTGGCCTTCAGAGTCTGTACAGTTCATGTCGTTGTCCGATGTTCTCATGAGCGCAAAAAACAAGTACGGCAGGTTAAAGCTTGCGGCAATGTGTAGTAGCGTCGATTCTGGAAAGTGACCCCTTTCGATGCCCTGTTCTTTGTGGAGTTCGCGGTGAACCCATAACCAGTTCTCCCAATTATGAGCATTGAAGGTCCTGTAGAGGTATTGTAAGAGCTCCTCATTTGCCAGACCGGCAGACTCAACGTGTGAAGCGTGGGGGATCCAGTATGTGGTTGAATAACCCAAAAGCGGATACTTGACTGCAACAGGGAAAGATGCAAGGTTTTCTCCAGCAGAGTCTTCTTTCAAGTTCGTAATCTCTCTGAGAGATAGGTACTGCAGACAGGTTCGAAGAATCATGAGGTGGCCCAGTCCAGAAGCATTAGCTGCAGGTCTTCCAACTCTCTGAAGGATCATGTGCAGCGCTTCGTCAACAAGGAAGTCACGGACTGACTGGTGAATCACCTGAACATGATTGCCCCTTACTTCAACCAGTCCTTTTGAGAGGTAGTTGATCATCCTCGCCATCTTGTTTTCGTCTTCTGCCATGTCAGGCCCCTCGACATACTCATCAACCGATTTGTACTGGGTGTCCGGATCCAAGGCCATGGCGTGCTGCATCTCCGGGACTGACAATCTTCTTTTAGTGAAGCAGACCCACTGGAAAAGCTTCAAAGAGCAGAGGAAGTCATCTTCCTCCATTGTTGAGCTCAGCAGTATCCTCTTGTAGAGCTCGTGCAACTCCCGTGGAATTTTCTTGATGCCGATCTTGATAGCTGCAATGGGTTTCCCCCTGCGATTCATATCAACAACCTGTGGAGCCACTAGGACAGCCCATAAGAATACTCCGCTCGAGTTTTCTACAATCGCTTCGCCTAGTTCTTGCGCTCTTGACTCTAAGAATTGACCTTTCTGGAGAATGCGGAAAACGACTTTCTTGATGTCGTCCTGATTGCTTTCTTCTGGTACAATCTCGGTGCCGTTCTCCAAGTGGAGAATGGGGTATTTTCGACACGAAAAGATGATTTTGAGCCTGCCCTGATTCTGATGAATACGTTTCAACAGGCGCTCGAATAAATCAACCAGACTGAGGGCATTTTTTTCTCCACACTCGTCAAGCGCATCAACAAACAGTTGGATAGAATCGGATTGTGTGGCCTCTTCAAGCAATTCAAACAGCTGTTGTTCGAGCTCTTTTTCATGCCAATACCAGTCTTTGCCCGGGGTTCCTTGGCTGGCACAGCGGGCTTCGAATGTGTCAGAAAGCTCTAACAATTTTTGGCGATATCGCGGGAGAGCTTGGTGCAGAATTGCACGCAGAAAGCCCATTGGTGACTTCTGAAGCGAAGTGCCTTGTCCGAAGAAGAAGAAGCAAAGTACAACGTCTTCTCCAATAGAGCGGTTTCCTGAACCATCCTCATCTACACAGGACGAAGGCTCATCCCGATCATACCGAGACGAAGCAGCTTCAGCATGTGACACGGCAAACTTCATCAACGTCGACTTTCCGGCACCTGGTTTTCCGGTGATCCAAAGAAGGCCTTGATCTTGTTCTGACCAAGCCTGGTATCTTTTGTCATGAAGAAGCCAACTGCATGTATTTTCGGCCGTTTCGATCTCCATCCTGCGGGACTCCATTTCCGAGAAGGCTAAGGATCTCAAGCAGGCTGGAAACAATCAACATCAGACTCACATCCCCGATGGCACAATACAAGTCTCTTACCGTTCAGCTTTTTTTGCATCTTTTCTTGCATCTCCAACTCCAAATCATCTGAAAGCTGGTAAGTGTCTTGCAAAATACTAACTTGTTGTCTATCAGACCTAACGCACCTTCAGGAATTGACGCCAGCAGCGTGCGAATGAGATGACAAATTGTCCTATAGTCCCCATCATGCTGTCGGTATTTCACGAGTTCAGAGTGCGTCCGGTCCATCGGTTGATAATGGCTGACGAGTCCTCTTAAGTCATGAGGGTGTCTGTTGCTCTTATATCCATTAGTTGCTGAGGCCTTGTCTACAAGAATGGCGGGAGGGCCGCTCATGCACCATTCCTTGCTGGGAGACTGTTGTACGTTATTAGTAAATTGACAGATACAGGGCGAGACATTTCAATACCCGTTGAGCGGTGGGTGACATTCTTGTTTCATAGAAATAGGCGATGGTAAGGTTGTAGCCATTAAGCTCTTTGTGAAAACGTTCGTTCTGTTCCTGGAGAAACATGGAGTCTTTTTCTAGAGACTGAAGAAGGCTCCGATTGGGTTGGTCGCCTACAATTGGTATAAGAGACTGGATGTTCATGCCATATGTTGGTACGCCAAAGAAAATCAGGCCACATGTCGCGCGGAGGTTGAACAGGGACGATAGGTCGTTTGACTGCAGTTTCAGCTCCAGGAGAGCCTGATGAGAGTCAGCCCAACATTCTCCTTGTTTTACTAATTTCATCGTTCTCCATGTGCTCAGACCTGCTTAATAACGATGCCACCTAGACTATGTCCGATGAGGATCATTGGCCGTTTTGGATTGAACGCTTGATCCCATTTAGCTTCCTTTTTCTTATTAGCTCTTTGTACTAACCGTTTGCTCGTAGTACTTACGCTGGAAAGTTGGTAGTGCCGTATGTTGTTGATTTCTCTTTGAAGAGTAATCCCCAATTCCCGCAGATTTTGAAATGAGTTAGGGTCGGTAAGAGCCGAGCCGTAGCCAAATATCAAAACCCTTGCGCGGGGTACATCATTTGGCAAGCTGTCGCGAAGCCACATGTGACTTCCTCCGCTTTGCTTGAAAGAACCAAACGCGTGTCCCCCCAAGCCCGTTACTGCAATAATACTTTTTAAATGATGGAAAATATTAATTAACAGTACAGTTATAGAGAAGAGCATTCGAACTTACTCCGTTTCACACTCAGTGTCACCCCCTGAGTTTAGTGGAGTGAAACCTCGAAAGTGGGTATCCACAGAAATCCTCAGTGGCTCATTATGTTCGCTGCGGGGAACCTCAAAGGTCCATTCGTTTTTGGGATCTTCTCGGGTTGAACTCAAACACTCTGGTGTCTGGGAGAACGATACAGTTGCCACCTTATGACGTCGTGTGTATGGATCAAGTGCCACAGAGCCGACTTTCACGGCGGTGTCCGGTGGAAGACTCAACGCTCGTGAAACTACTCCAGACACTCTTTCCTTATCATACGCCTTTGGTATGCCCTGTACTCGGTACTCCAGACCAGATTTATCACTTTTGTGGGACGGTGGCTGTCTTAGTGTTGCAGCTTGTATTGAGATGTTGTCAGGAACCAGATTCATTTTAAAGGTATCAAGACCTACAGCGATGTATGACTGGTTTCCTACGATTTAGTTCCTTGTCATTCGCATTTTCCTTTGCTCTACGACTTGAAGATATCGGTCTGGTCCTGCTTTCTGAACAGGCGCTATGTGGACGCAATGGAATTTTTTTCGTTGGTGTCGCGCCAGAACATGATGCGTGCGGTTTTTGATTGGCAAGGCGTCTTTGGCGAGACTGCGCTGTTTCCTGGTCGTAGGGCATTCCGCATGCTTGACGGGGAAGTAGCTTGTGCGCTAGTCCCAGTGGTTGGTGCTGTACATGTCGTTGATGGCGGTAACCGCAGCGGAATGTGGGTGGAATTGGGCAAAATTGACATTGCGCAACATTCGCTTAAATGATTACGCCCATCAGCCGCGACATGGGGGCTTCAACGTGGGGTCAAATGATTGGGCCAGATTGAGAGGCGGTGTTAATTAACCCATGCACTGTCGCCTTGGCATTTAGCAACTGTTGGAAGCATCCCTAGAGCATATACGGTCCTTGTTCTACACCCTACACACAAACAGCTGTTACATTTACCTCGGTACTTGCCGTTGGGCCTCCGTGCGCCATCAGCGCAAAAGTGTAGTCTCCTCTCTCCAACTCCCAGTTGTACTTCCGATTCAGAATCCTTAGGTACCGATCCACATCCACTGCCAGCACAATCTCCCTACTCTCTCCAACCGCCACGCCATCCGCCCGTGCAAATGCCACGAGCTGGCGCTCCGGCTGCGTGATGCTCGACACGCGCCTAAGCAAGTATACCTGCGCCACATAGCTCCCCATCGACGTCCCGTTATTCGTCACATCAGCCCTAAAAGTCAAGGTCCCGCCGTCGGAAAAAGTGTCGCCGTCGACGGCAAACGAGGAGACGCTGAAAGTCGAGTAACCCAAGCCCCAACCAAATGGGTAGACGGCCGGGTACTGCTCGGCGTCGAGGTACGTCACGGCGTGCGCCGTCTGCTTGTAGTTGTAGTAGGCCGGGAGCACCCCGACGTCTCGTGGCACGCTCAGCGGCACGCGCCCCCCGGGACCGCTTGCCCCGCTACCCACGGCGAACAGCGTCTCGACGATGGCCTGCCCGCCGCCCTGCCCAGGGAAAAAAGCGGCCAGCACCGCGTCGGAGCGGGCGTATATCGAGGGTATGGCGAATGGGCGCCCCCCTTGGAGGATCAGGACGACGGGCTTGCGCGGCACCGAGGAGGCGGCGTGCTCCAGGACGGCCGAGGCAAGACGTGTCTGATTGGGCGCCAGCGCCAGCGATGCGCGGTCGCCGCCCTCGCCGTCCGAGTTCCAGTTCGCGCCCAGGGCGAGAAGGATGGTGTCGGCGGCGCTGGCGGCGGCGAGGGCGTGGGAGATGGCCGCGGCATCGGAAGTAGTGTCAGAGGTGGTGTCAGTCGTGGCATTGGCGCCGCTGTTGACGAGGTTCCAGAAGAGCATGATCTGCGCGTTGACCGAGGATAGGTTCTCGATTTTCTGGTACAGGTTGTAGGCGATGTACTCGATGCGCACCCGGTGCTTGGCGCCGGGAACGAAGTCGAAGGGCGCGGATCCGGGCGGGGGCGCGGTGCTGTTGGCCTGGGAGTACGTACGCGGCGGGATGTTGGAGAGAAAATTGCCCGCGGTGGTGAGTGGCGACTGGGATACCAGCACGCCATCGACGTACAGTGTGGCCGTTGTGTTGGGCGAAACGGCTACTCCGAGCCAGCCGTCGACTGCGGCTGCGAGCGAGCGTGGCACTGTGAGGTAGCCCTCCCAGGTTGCGCTGAAGTTGTTTGATTGTAGGCTAGGGGGTGGGTAGAGGCCCCAGTCCATGACCGGAACCTCCACGCGCTGCGCGAGCGGGGACGTGAAGTCCACACCCGCAAAGTATGTTGCAAGAAGACCTTCACTTGCTTGGTCTGTCTCGTTGGACGGCAGAGGAGACAAATGATAGCCGGGGATTGGATACTGCGCATTGTATAACCAGGTGTTGGCGCCCCAGCTGGTGACCAGTTCCACTCGTGATGTGTTGTTGAGGGATGCAAGATAGTCTTGCATAGCTTGCTGAATTGTCGACGAGTTGGCAACTGGAGACGAACCGTAAGTCCCGGAGTAATCACCGTAGTTGAGCATGTCACCGAAAGGCCCAATGAGTGCCATCTTCTTGATATTTTGCTCAGCTGGCCTGAGCGGGAGCGTGGAATTGCGGTTCTCGAGTAGAACAAGGCTCTTCTGCGCAGCTTCGACCGTCAAAGGTACGTGCGAATCTACTATTGCTTGTGGGTCAATATCAGAGGAAATGTACGCGTCGGAGAAGAGTCCAAGGTCGTACTTCACGCCGAGTATCTTGCGGACGTGAGCTTGGAGCGTTGATAGAGGCACCGTCCCGTTTTGGACAAGGTCAATAGTAGTCTGGAAGAGTGAGTTCAAAGCCACACATTGACACGTGCGAGCTGATACTGACATTGAGATACGTCTCCAGCGAGTAGTCGTAGAACTGAATCATGCCGCCGGCATTAAACCACTGCTGAATGGCATCGGCAGCGGAGCTGGCAACCTTATGACGTCCTTGTAGCATTATCATTCCTGTTGGTCGTTAGACAGATCTCACTGAAAGTGCACGTAGTTTCCCACCTGTGTCATCTGCCATTACGAAACCGTCGTAGCCCCACTCTTCCAATGCTCCATAGAGCATGGGGTGCACGTGCGCGGGCACATCGTCGAGCTCATTGTAAGACATCATGACACCACGGACACCGCCGAGTTCGACGGCAGCTTTGAACGGCATGAGCAGTTCCTCCCTGATCTCTCGGTTGCCGTGGCCCATCCATGGCGCAGCATTGAGCCCACCTTGCGGTGCTCCATAAGCTGCAAAATGCTGGTAGATTTTTAATTAGTCAAAGAATACTCGTTGCTGGTCTCAGATCGACAAACTTTCATCACGGGAGCAACGGCATCAGGATCTGACCAGGATCCATTCTTGGACAAGCCCGAGGCATATGCAACTCCCATGTGGGACGTCAGCACTTTGTCTTCACCCCAAGCCTCTGTGCGTCTGTTAGCAGTCTGATCAGGCAGATGAGAATCTGCAAGGCGCACCTTGGGCTCTTCCAAACCGAGGATCCTTTCCCAGGTCGAGGACAGGAGAAAGGCAAGCATGAATGCCAATGGACCTGGCCTCGGTGCCGATGGCGCGTCCTACACGGTAGACAAGGTCGGTGTCAAAGCTGGCGGCCATGCCCAACGACTGCGGGAACATGGATTGCTTATACGAGCCAACACCGTGCAGGCATTCGCCGAAGTGCAGAAAGGGGATTTTGAGTCGAGACTTGTCTGCATTGAGTCTCTGTACTTCATTGTAGCGCGATGTATTCAGAGGATACCTGATATGAGTTAGCGCCGCAGTGAAACAAAGGGCTCGAGATGCGCGCTATCACCAATCATGCATGTTCCCGATAGACGAATCGGGGGAAAACCGCATGGCAAAGTCTTGTGCAACCGTCAGATCATATGCCCGGTAATCGGGAGGCAGTTTTACCGTAGAGCTCATTTTCTGATTTGGGTCCGACGACGTTGTCTCCGAACATGAGATGTAATTGAAGCACTGCCCGGGACATTAGTGCTTCCCTTCTTGCATTTTCTGTTATGTGCACACAGCGCGCCAATCGGCGACAGTGGCGCTCATTTAACCATGCATCGCTCGAGTAATGATGAGTTGCTTTTTGACATCAAGTCGAACGCCATTGACTACTCATTATTCTGTTTGAGACTACGGCATAAGCACAGAAAGTAGCAGAAAGCTTTGCAGGGGCGTGGCTCGTAAGATGAGCTTAAAATGACGACGAAGGAGATGGAGACGCGCCTCGGTTCTACATCATTGCTTGCTTACCAAGGTCTGGAACGGTCATTTGGGCGAGCAGGCCGTCGATGAAGTCATCTTTGCCGGCAGTCTGGTTCTGCGCCGCGACGCCCGGGGCGAGGTGGAATGCAGCGGTGACAAGGACGGAGAGGGCGACTGGCCGCATGATGGTTTCACACAGGTGCGCAGCGGACTGAGATTGGACGACGTAGTGTGTCTAATTGAATTTGCAGCAGGCGGGCGGAGTGTATTAGCCAGAGAAAAGCGTAAATATGGCGGTCGTCGACTGGGCAGCGTGCGCTCGAAGCCTGAAAGAATTTGGGGGGAGAGCGGGGGACCGGGGCGATTGGGCGGCCATGGTACCCGTGGGCCGTGGCGACGCGGCTCTCGTAGGTGCGCAGGCAGGAGGTTTGACTCAAAATGTGCTGGAAAGCCGGTGGGATAAGTGGGCGGCTCCCCGAGGCGGGAAGGTGGACGGAGCCGTCTCCCAACCTTCCCCACTTTCGCTTTCACCCGCCCGGTCACGCAGGCGCTCGGCGTAGCACCGGAAGCTATAATCGCCGCCGCTGCTTGCCCGGTTCGCGGTGAAGACGAGGCGGTATCATAGTGTTGCAGGTAGAGCGGCTTTGTACTAAGTGTTGGATCTTGGCGGTAGTGATTCGACGTCGGGTCTGGCCTGGACAGAGAGACAAGGATGGAACGGGCTCTCCAGAATTCTGCAGCGGCAATTCCCTGTCACAGCCGAACCCCGCGCTTTCCTTACAAGATACCTTGCGTCGGCAAGCTTTAGCTATTGGCGTCATGGTTAGCTCGATTCCCTATGTCAGAGTGTGGGCTGATGAGAGGGGAGAGTCAAAGCATGCATACAAAACAATGGCTAAAGTCTTAGCTGATCTATAATGAAAAATTATTCGGTACCAGTACGGGTAGAGAAGATCTTCCTGGGACTTGTATCCAAGCAATACACGGTTCTTACATGGTCTCTCCGATCCATTACCGTCTACCTGTCCCAACGACGGCCATGGCCATAATCCTCGCCTTTACCGCGCCATACGTCCCCCCCAAGGCGTCCTCTAACAAGACGCCAGCCTGTGTCGCTTCGCGCATAGCACGGCCGAGTTCGCAAAAGCTGGGCCAGGCGTGAGGAACGCCGCAGCGGTCGCGCTTTCGCACCCACATGACGAGGTCGAAGAGGTCATAGAAAAAGGGTCGCCTGGTGGGCCAGTTCGCCTTGACTCTTTGAAGAAGGGCAGCGTCGTCATCGTTGTCGTCCACTGTGTCGTTTTCTGTTGCACTGTCGGCGTGCGTGTTGTCATCGTCTTCAACGTCGGTCTGCTCCACTGCCTGCTCTGTCAAGGCTGGGGAAGGCGAGGATGGACGGGACGGTGCTGGGTCATTCTGGTGGATGGAGTGGTAGAGGAGCAGGACAGTGAAGCGGCCGTATGCGCGGTCGAAAGCCCAGGCGTCTACATTAGCCACGGCAGTGCGAAAGTCGTCGAAGTAGGATTGCATTTGTGGGTCGAGGTACTCGCGTGGTGAGATGGTGGGGATGACTGCCTGGAAGAGGGAAGCGAGATCATGGGTGAAGTCATCTTTGGACAGGGGAGTGTTGTTGTCCGGAGGACGTGGGGAAGATGTTCGGCGGCGTTTCCTCGTGCTGGGCGGCGGCGGGGAAGCAACCACGTCGTCTTCACACTGCGTTTCTTGAATCATGGAACGGTCGGAGGGACTGGCTAGTGCAAGGGCTTTGTCATGTGTTGGGGGAGTGGTTGGCACAGTTTCGTATTGCGGTGGCAGTTCCGGCGAAGGCGGCGGTTGAACTGAATACAACTTGTCGACTCCGATCTTGCTCCAGTCGACCGGTTGCATCTGGTGGAGTGGCACGTCATACTGCTTGAGAATGTCGGAGCGAAGCCCGCAGCAAAGGTCCTCAAGTTGCTTTTGCAAAGGAGCACTATGTTTGAGGTAGAACGAGAAGCTGAGAAGATTGGAGACGGAATTGAATTGTTCGAGTAAGTCATGGGCAGTCTTGGTGCGTGGCCGGATGATTCCAGCGCCGAAAGGCCTGCATAGCACGTGGCCAGTCTGTTGTAACCGCAGGTTGACGCGGATGACGTGTCCGGAAGCGAGAAAGCCAGTGTCTCGGATTGCTGAGCAAACAGGGGAATGGCCCATGTCGCCGTCACTGAGGACGGAGCAGTCCATTGGATCCGACTTTGCAAGGTGCGCCAACGGAATAACGTATAGGAACGGTCGCTTGGCAGACTTTCCACCAATGTTGAGATCCACCATCAGCAGGAACCGTATCGCTGCGCATCCTTCCGATCTACTGTAATGGGCCTGGAACTTGAAGTCGACGGAATTGTGCTTCACGGATTCGAGGCGGGAGAAGGTATGCTCTTCGATCAGAATGGGGTCGAGCCAGACGGGAAACGCGCGCTGGCTGATGCACGGAGCCGAGTCGGTAGAGGTAGCCATGCAGGAACTGCGAAGATTGTTAGCTGCACAAGACAGGTGATGGAGACCAGGCTTGAATGGTGAATGATGCTATCGGCTCATGAGCGGAGCACGATAGTGCGAATTGACGGCAGATTCAACAAACACCGAACCCTAGCCGCTCAAGGCGGACCACGACAGACAGCCTGAAGGATGGTCGGGCGCATGAAACGCCAAACCCCAGCCGCTCGAGGGCGGATCACATCAAGGACAGCCTGAAGGGTGGTGACGGCGTCGTGAAGGTAGTGGCGTATCGCTAAGGGGCCGATGGGCACCAAGAAGGATGACGTAGATGCAGGACGTGATGGGAAGGCGGAGATGTGCGGTGGAAATCGCGTCGCGGTGGAAGTCCCGTCGAGTCGCGGAGGCCGGACGTTGTTTCACCGAATCCCGAGTCACGTGCGCGTTCCTGAGCATCACACACCAACGACTGGCAAACACAATTGAGATTGAATTTCTCGGCAGAAAATTAAGGAAAGGCATTAAAGTATTAGTATGCAAGATCGGTACAGCAGCTTTAAACCAGGCTTTAAATTAGAGTAGATATATACGTTGTCAGGCTTTACTCTTTTGGTAAGAATTTACAAGTTACATTCTTAATCAAAGGTACGATTACAGCTCACCAATTGAATACACCATCGCCTTCAGTTTCGTTTGACTTGTACTCGCCAGCTTCGCCTCGACGACCTCTCTCAGCTCTTCCGTCACCATAAACGTCCTCCCCCAGCTTTTGACCAGCTGTACCCATTTCGCTGCAAGCTTCGTCTCGCGCAGAAGGGCGGCAGTGATGTCGAGGTAAGGCTGATACTCCAGCAGGATATCCCAAAACTCCAACTCGGACTCACGAAAACATCTGGCCAGGCCCTTGACGGCGGCAGCCTCGCTCATCTGCCAGGCTGGGCGGTGTGAGAAGATGGCGCGCAACACGTTGGCGCGGTCGGACCGTAGAACCGCGTTCTGGAAGACTTCGTCCGACACGGTCAGATCTGGCGGCGCGCGACCCATCAGGAATGCCATATCATCGGCTGTGGTGGCGTGGAGCAGCATCTCCTCGGTCACGACGAGATCCGGGCTGCGGTGCCAGATGACTTCCAGCAGCGGCTGAGTGTGCTTGAGAGGCTCGTATCCTCGTAGCAGCGGCGAGGGCTTGTAGGCCTTGAGAAAGTTGATCACGACCGGCCCGGTGGGAACCACGGTCGGGGCAATCCAGAGGAGGTAGTCGATGTTGTGCAGGACCGTCGCGGCTTCGAGCACTGCGGGCGTGATGGCGGATATGGCGCTATCGCCCTCCTCGAGGAGTATCTTTAGCGCGCTGGTATCTGATACCGTGCACAGCATACGCTCAGTAACGCCGATATGGCGGGTGCGGGAGAGTACTAGGCGGATGAGGTCTTGGTCGCGCGATGCGCGCCAGTTGGCCAGCATAGCGCAGACGACGTCTTCGGATGGCGTGATGGCTGTGTCGGTGTTGAGGAGCGCCTTCAGCTTGGCTACCGGCTCGGATTCCGTGGCGGCGGCGGCAAGCAGGTCTTCGGGCGTGATTCGCACATCTCGCGCCTCTTCCAAGAAGACATCGAAGCATTGGCGGTCGTTGCGGCCCCTGGTGCTCAGAGCAGTCGTCAGCGGTGTCGCGCCGTGGGTGTCAACAGTGTTGGCATCAGCACCGTGGCGCAGTAGAAGTCGCACTATAGGCTTTGACTGCTGGTGGCAGGCGAAATGGAGAGGAGTGCCCCGCTTCTCTGACATGTACTGGTAAGCGGCGCCTCGTTCCAGCAGACACTTCACGACGACAGCTTGACTGCTTTGGATGGCGGCGAAAAGAGGGGTTTCGAAATGTCCGCTGCGCATATCAATGGCCGCGCCATGATCCAGCAGCGCCGAGACAATGGCCTCACTCCCAAGGAAGGCGGCGAGGTGCAGTGCAGAGCCGAGGGTGAAGCCGTTCTCCAGAACCGGGCTCTCGTCACCAGCTTCCGCGCCATGCTGAAGCAAGAGGTTTACAATCTCTTCGCCGACTGGCAAATCTGCAGCACCTTCCCAGTCATAGGGGCTGTACTCTTGCAGCGTGTAAAAGTGGCCCCCGCGGTTGTTGTACCCGTTGAACATGAGCCTCAACAGCGTGTTCGGACGTCCCAGGCACTTATCCAACGCAGACATGATTGGCCCGCCGCGATGCCTGTTTTTGATCTTGATATCCGCACCGTGCTCCAGAAGTGTAGCCACAACATCAGGGTGCAAGTTGTACGCAGCCTCCAGGAGTGCTGTGTCACCAGCCAGATTCACAGAGTTGACGTTGACGCCGCTCTCCAGCAACATCCACACGACCGAGCTCAGCCCAGCCGCTGCCGCCGCAACGAGCGCGTCACCATCTGCAGGCGCGTACTCGAACAGCAGCTTGAACACCTCATCCTGGTGACACCACGCTTCAGATGCCGCGTACATGGCGCACAGCAGCGCCGGCTCTTCAACCTCGGAGAAACTTACGGCCTCCAAAAGAAGCTCCGCCACTTTCAGCTGGCCGCGTTGACATGCACGGTTGAGTGGATTCGGCCGCCACTCTTTGTTGTGTGGCGCCGCGCCGCCAGCCAGAAGAGCCTTGGCCGCTTCCAACGCGCCATTCTCAGCGGCCTCGCATAGCGCCGTCCTGCCTGTGTTGTGGTGGCAGTAGGATAGCCGATCTGCATGCGCTCCGGCACCAAGCAGCTGCCGGACGACGGCCGCTCGGTTCTTGCTCGCCGCCGTGGTGAGCGGCGAACGCCACTTGGGCTCAACAGCACTCATCTCGACGTCTGCCCCAGCATCGAGGAGGAGCTGGACGGTATCCGGGTTGCCCTGCATGCATGCCATGTGAAGCGCGCTGCACCAACCGTCTTCGTCGCCGTACAAGATGCCCGAAGGCGGCGTGGCAACGTAGTTCACGGGCGCACCAGCCGAGAGTAGGAGTGATACCATGGCCGTGTTGCTCTCGAAGCAGGCGATTATGAGTGTGCTGGGCCCTTTGGCCTCATCCTGGTGCGGTGGTGCTCCATTGCGGAGCAGCAACTTGGCAATTTCGAGGTGCCCATGCTCGACCGCGAGCTGCATAATTGTGGGTGCCATGTTCTTCTCGGAACTACTAAGTCGGGATGTCGTGAACGAGAGGCTTATGTCGGCGCTGGATTCGAGCAGGAGGTGCACAATATCGATGCTGCCGCCAACTACAGCGGCGCGGAGTGCTGTGTGGTGCCGGCCTTGTAGGATGTTGACCGTGGCGCCAGCGGAGAGAAGGAGCTTTACCGTTGAGAGATGGCTGAAGCGGGATGCTGCTTGTAGTGCGGTTCCGTAGTAAAAGCCTGCCGTGTTCACATCGGCGCCGCGTTCAACGAGGAGCTGGACGAAGGCGTCGTCGCCGATGGCGGCAGCCATTTGAAGTACGAGACCATATCTAGGGTCGGTAGCCTTCTCTTCAGGCAGTATCTGAAGTGCTGTCCTGATGATGGCTCCGGGCCCTTCCGTCAACGCGGCAGTGATGGACTTGGTGCGTTCGAATCGACCATCCGGATTAATACCTTCGGAGTGGTAATTTTCGGAGTCAATGTCGCCGTCAAAGTATTTGAGGGCTTCTTTGACAAGTGACGGGATTCGTTGTAGCTCTGCACCGGTATTGAGCAAAATTTGAAATCTGATCCCGCAGTCCAATTCGTAATCGCGGCTGCTGAGCCCTTCAAGTAGGTCGCTGGTAGAAGCGGCGGCAGCTGGAACGTCCACCCCAGCCTCAAGGATTAGTGTTACGACGTCAATGGGGCAATACCGTATGGCATTCTGGATGGGGAGGTGGTCCGCGCCGCCCTTCGCGTTTCCGTCGGCACCGCGATCAAGTAAAAGGCAGAGCGTTAGTTTCATTGCATACTCATCTCCATTCTCCCACTCCCTCAAACCTCGGTGGTAGGGGAACCGGAAACGATCGAAACCTTGGATACAGGCTTGTAATGCAGTCATCTCGGCTGACTTCTCTGCGTTCCTTTTTTCCCAACACCAGGTTAGTGGAGCACTGATGTCTGGTACAGCATCGTTGATGCGTGCTCCCCTATCCAGGAGGTAGCGGACCATTTCACAGTGACCGTTACGAGCCGCCATCCTGAGTCCTCTCGTGGCGGCATAGATGCGACGTTCCCCGTCCTGGATGATGTTAAACAGAAACTCCGTAAGGTCCTGCATCCCGTTGCCAGCTGCCAGCACCAGGCAGTTATGAAGGGTTTCATCCCGACTTTCCAGCTTCTGCTGATCAAGAAGCGTTTGGAAAGTGTGCTTGACCCCTCGAAAGGCAGCGATTCGAGCGCCCTGATCAAGATGTAGTGGCTGAATCATACCTCTCGAATCTCTGCCGATGAGTTCATTTACCATATCCACCCGGCCAGCTGTGCAAGCAGTCCTGAACGCGGCGAGAAAGGAGTCGGTATCAATCTCTGTCTCGGAGTCGAGAATCGCAGCCACCACTTCCTGGTGCCCATAACGTGCGGCATGCGGCAATGAATCCATCCGAACCTGGTCAAGTTCCTTCCTGGAGAAGCGCTCTTCAGCCAGCCGGAGCACTCGCAGCGCCATTGAATCTCCATGCTGGCAAGCCCCTCTTATGATCTCCTCCATTGTCTTCTGCGGTATTTCTTCCGATCTTTTCTGCCGAACCAAGAAGTCGACGACGTCAATATGCCCATTTCTCACAGATCCTGTCAGAGCAGACGAGTAGCATTGGTCTCCCAAATCCAAACCGCTCTCGCAGAAGAGCTGTACAAACCTCAACTGCCCGGCCATGGCGGCTTCTTCCAAAGCCTGGCCAACATGATGTTCACTGATATCCAGCAGCTCCCGCTGCTCCATTATCGTCCTGACCACATCAAGCTGTCCAGCTGCCGCCAACGCCGCCAGCATATTGCCACTGCTTTCCCTATTATTCCTCTGCACCTTCGCCTTCATTGCCTTCTCCACGCCTGCTAAATCGCTCCCGTCAGCCATGCGCACAAGCCGCTGCACCGCATCATCTTCCGCCGCCAACGATGGCGCCACGCTTGCTCTCACGATGCTCCCGTAGTGCCGACGGCCTCTCTCCCGCACCGGCCAGCCAGGTGACGCCTCACGGAGCAGCGACTTGTACCTGGAGTAGGCAATGCGGCGGCGAAAGCCCGACCCAGACCCCGATCCCCCAACGGTTGGCTGTTTCTTACGCCCCGAGCGCCTCATCTCGGCCACGTAGTCCACCAGAAACTTTGCAACGGCTTCATGACCGGCATCGGCAGCAGCAACAGCGGCCTCCTCAGCACGTGTGCCGTTTCCATCCGCGCCTGCCGCGAGGAGTGCCTTCACGGCGTCGAGAGCGCCGGCGCTCGCGGCAACGAAGAGTGGCGTGAGGAGTCTGTCCGAAGCCGCGAATTGGTTGACGTCGGCGCCGTGGGCTACCAGCAGGTAGATGAGACGGGCGTGGTTGCGACTAGCAGCGGCAAGGAGCGGGGTAGACATGGAGGGTATGGCGTCTGAGAATAGGGAGTTCGGGTCGGGGGCGGCGGGCTGGTGGGACAAGAGGAGGGCGGTGCAGCGGATAAGGTTGGTCAAGACGGCCACGCGGAAGGCCGAGGCAAGTGCAGACGGGTCTGTAGCACATTGGGGGATAGTCAGTAGGTATGTTAGGAAGCGGGTGTCGTTGTTAAGGACAGCAGTGGTTAGTACGCTGTTAGGTAGGTGTGTTAAGATGCCGGGCGTGTTCCGGACCAGCGAGAGCAGAGTAGTTAGCCCGCGACCTTTGACGGCCGCAATGAGAGCATCGCTCTGCTCAGAGAGCGAGGCAGACGACAGACAGCTACCAGGTTCAAGGGTTGTGTGCCATGACTCCGCACCAGTTGCGTATCGTGGCGGCTGGGCATTCCGTAAGAGGACCAAGACTCCGTTTGTGTGCTCCGTGAAGCGATGGCCCAGTACGATACGGAAAGCTGCATTCTCGGGTGTACTATTCTTGACTGTAATCAAGATCTTAACAACGTTGACCGAGTTGTCGATGACGTGGGTCATGTAGCTCTGTACGTGGGTTGCGGCCTGTTCTCCTATTTGATCCAACAGTAGAGTGACTGGCCCTGGGGCTATGATGTCAAGGATTGCGGCGAGGCAGCCGCGAACACTCATCGGGGGTACGGTGGTTCCTTCCATCTCCGCTTGTGTCTGCTCGACGTGGTATTCTGCAATGACACTGTCCCATGTTTTCGAAGGGTCCTCTGCTTTAAAGGCCAGCTCGGCCACGATCTGCTTCAAAATATCATGGCCTGAAGACTTGCCAGCGCAATCAATGTAAAAGACTGGAGCCGGACGTTCAAGTTGGGCATTTGTTTGGAATATCATCTCTCTGACAATGTTACAAATTCCGTCGGTTCCATCGTGTTGGCCGTGCATAAGGAGAAAGCATGGCGAGCTAGATCCCCACCAAGAGCCGAACGATTTCAATCCGGACAAATGGTCAACCGAAAGGATGCCTGTGGGAGGAGCATTATCGTGGGCGTTGTGAGACGAGCTATCCTCAATTTCTCCAGTTATCCAAGTTTGAATTTGGTGTCGTAAGTCATCGGAGACGGTGACCTTCTGCACCGTAGCACTGTGGCATTCTCGCGCGTACATTTTCCGATTTGGCGTAAGAGGCTTGTTGGTATCCAACCCAAGGCTCAGATTTAGTTTGGTCTCTCTGGCAGTTGTTTCCTCTCTCGCTCGTGAAACTGCTTCTTCTGAACCAGGATGATCCGTACACTCGTGGACGGCGGTGCGAATATGGCTGGCCAATAAGCGTAGAATGCCATCGTAAAGGAGAGCCAAAGCATTCGTCGGTGAGTTATCTGTGGAGATGAGAAGCCCAGGCCGTTGCAGATCCATGATTTCAAACTCCACGATCAGGCGAGCGGCGTACTCGAGGTCGTAGATCAGACCTCCGAACGCCTCGACATCCTCAACCGGTCGCCGGAGGAGAAACCAGAACGGAGACCAGAGAAGACGCCACGCAGTCTGGCGTTCCTCAGGAACTTGCGCATCGCTGTCATGTAGAACATCAATCCAGCGAACAATCTTTTCCAGAAGATCGCGCACAATGACGATTTCCCGCACAATGACAGTCCCCTGGCGGGGCGGCTCAAATCGCCAGAACCTCCAAACCGCTTGCTCTCTTTTCTCGTCAGCGGCTTTACGCACGGCCTGCAGGACATCGCGCTTGCCAGTCTTTGCAAGGTCCAGAGCGGCTTTCACATCGTCATCGGCGCTGTCAATGGCGTGCTGCCAGAGGTATTTCGGCGGGAATAAAGGGTTACTGAAACGTGACATGTCTGTCTGCTCCATTGTTGCACTTGGAAAGTTGATGAGGGTGAGGAGATAGGAAGCTGCCCGCAGAGATATCATGCCACTAGCGTCGACGCTAGAGATGCTCGTTTGCGGCACGGGCTGCTGCCTGGACTTGGCCCCCACGCATCCCGTGCTATATCTTCGAGAGCAGCCTTGGCATAGAAAACCTCTACGACTCCTGAAAGCACGAAGCCTGTTTCTTGCGAGGTGCTACAAGAAACACGCCAATATCCTAACGCAATACATTAAGCAGATAATGGCATAGTGCTCTTGTGCCCTCATCAAGAATGGCGTGGACTTGACCGTAAATGCAGCACACATGGAGTTGAAGCTAAGTCTATACGCAGGCGTAACAAAAATGTAGAAGTTATTTAAAAGTACACTTAAATTGTTTCGCGCCATTACTAATCTATCTAGAGATATATCTTTAAAAGATTATGCGCGATACTTCCATTCAACTTCACTCCATTCTGGACGCTTGGAAAATCTAACGCAGACATCGTGAGAGGGTCTAAGAACTCCCACCGGCATTACTTCATCCTTCACAGGCGGCGTCTCTATCGCACCGCCGTGGGCACCGGTGAAGTCGAATGACAGTAGAAGAGGCACAGCCATCCCCAAAATCTCATTCAAAGCCAGATTCCTGCCTGGGCACAGCACATCTCCACCGCCAAATGCGCGCCAGGCTGCTGAGTGAATTTCCTTTCCATCAGCCCTCGTACCAGCCCGCGAGCCACAGAAGCGGCGTGCGTTGAACTCGCCAGAATCGGGTCCCCAGATGGAATCCTTGTAGTGTAGGACGCTCCCCTCAACGGAAATGTACGCGCCTTTCTTGAGGAGGTAGCGGTCGCTGATCATCGTGTCAGCAAGGACTTGACGGGAGCCAGTGGTTGTGCTAGTCAACCGCAAGGTCTCGCGGAAGATCGAATTGAGCAGCGGGCAACTGGCAGTAGAGCGGAGGACAGCGACGTCTACAGTACACTGGTCCCCGTCACGGGTAATGGCGGCAGCAATTTCAGCGCGGAGCTCGGAGACGATTGAGGCGTCGGACAGGATGTGCGAGAGGAACCAGAAGGCGGTGATGGTGCTGTTGGAGAGGGCGCCAACGATGAAGCTGAGCTCGGTGCGGGCGAGGCCGTCGATAGAGTAGCCGTGTTTACGGTATATGGCGAAGCGTGAGCGCATCATCTCTGAGGCCTGGCTGTCTTGATTGCTTTCGAAATACTTCAGCAACAGGTGTACCATATGTTCACGAGCCGAGTAGGGGTGCTTGTGAGTAATGCTGGGAAACGGGGATAGAAGGATTTCAAGCAAGCCGTCGTCGAAGTCCCAGTAAGCAGGGATGAATGAGGCATGGTCGAGGGACGTTCCTTTGCCGTAGAGCGCGCTGATGGTTGAACGTCCCATGATGGTTTTACAAAGATCGTACAAGCCGAACTCCTTCTTCTCGTGGGGAACGTGTCGGAGGTTTTCGGCAATACGGTCGAGCACAGCCTGTGAGAGTTTCTCCAGAGAAGGTCCGGAGGGAAGCATTGAATACATAACGTCATGGATGGCACCCATGAGTCCATGGCCCTCCTCATCCATCATGTTTGCCCTGTTGATTTTGTCGGTCTGTTGGGGTAGGCTTCCAAGGCGTTGCACGAGGCTGACTTGAATCGGGCGGAAGGACACATTCTTGGAAACGCGGTTCAGAGCGGAAGCCATCGATGGAGATGTAATAATGTACATCTTCCAGCACATAATGGGAAGAGTGTAGATGCCGTAGCCATATCGCTCACTGACTGCGTCAGCAAGATTCCCATCGTTGTATTAATAGTACAGAGCATACTCAAGTGTGCGGATGTATCTTTTACCATAAAGGAGCATGCCAATCGCATGGCCAACGTAAGGAATTCGTGGATATATGACCGGGGGCTCTCTTAGATCTGGTTTGTATTGTAAGAGCTGATGAATGATTACCAAAGACATCGCAACGAGCCCTAAGTAGATAGACAAGCCATGATGAGACTCGAATAGCTCCATGGTAGTAGGCCGGGTCTGTTGATCGCTCTGATGTATCAGAAGCAGTGCAGACGAGAATGCTTATATGGGCAAGGAAAGAAGTGTAGGAAGCAGCCAGTGGTAGAGAAAAAACGGAATTCCAACGACGTATTTCTTGGCGGTAGATTGGAATGGACCAATATCCGGCGATAAGGCTGAGCATTCCTTAGTCTTCCAATGCTAACATTCTTGTGCAGCCGGTTACTTGTCCTCCTCTTTTCAAGAAAACATGTTGGAAGCATATCGCACGCTCGGAATCGCGGTAGCCGAAAGACCAGTCTGGAATGGCCGACGTCGAGCTGAGGAAAGCGACTGACTTTCCAAAGCCTCTGCCCAGGAGCACGCCGATCGTCATGGTCTTGGAATTCTTGGCGGTCGAGCTGACTTGTCTGGACGATTGAGAGGTCCAGTAATCAAGCATTTTCACCAGCCAGAATCACGCCACGGCTTGAGCGGATCGCAGCTGGCAGCGTTGGTAGTACGGTGCGACGAACAGTGGATTCCAGACAGAGCCAAGCGGCGGAGAGGGCCTCAGACCAGACTCTTTTCTTCGTGCGCTCGTTGAAGGATGACGAGGTACGCTTGCGGTGGCGCTGCCAGTCCAGGCCATCGATAGTGGAGATGTTGGGGCCGAGGATATCTAGCATGGCCTGCGCCATCTTGTCTTTATCCTACAATTACCTAGTCTTTCGCGAGCCCCATCTACCTCGCCCAACTCACCTACCCTTAAACAATGCTGTTGCCTCTGTTCCTCTCTCTCTGCTGGTGCTGCCCGCCGGCTGGCTGCTGGCTTCGCTCCTCGGGCTTGGCGCCAACTACATGCGCGCAAGATTAACATTCCTATCATTGTTATGCCCTTCAGCCCGACCATTCCCGCGTAGATGTTCGCCGCCCGCATTGCCATGCCCGTCTTCCAGAGGTAGACGCGTACCATGCCCACGCCGAGCCAGCCGACCTTGCGCTAGGGCACACCCGTACCTTCCTACCACTGCTTAGCCTCGCGCTCCTACGCAGCCTGACGACGCTGTGGGCCCTTCCTCTACCCCTCACGCACCGTATCTATAACCACGCCCTGCTACCCCCTCTCGAAAATCCTATACTCGTCGTTAAAGAAATAGTAGCGAGCGTACGTATTCGTCTTACTTAAGTTCTTTAAACCGGGGTAAAAAGCCCTATAGCCTACGCCGTTCTCTTAATAGTTCTAGTACGGTAGTTTATAATTAATACTAGTATTTATCTCTATTATTAGACTAGTATATATTACGCTAAAACTTAAAAAGAGAAATAAAATAGAAACGTTAGAGAGATATATATATTATATATAACGGTAGGCTCCTTCTACTAAGCTTCGAAGTTACTTAGTAGGTAGTTAAACCGTAAGAATTTACCTTAAAGAGATAAAAGGGAAAGATAATAATTAGATAAGAAAGTATTATATAATTATACGATATATAGTAAGCCGATTACCTCTAAATAAAGAGTCTTAATTAGAACTTTAAGTTAACTACGAAGGGTTAAGTGTCTAGCTAAGAAGTATATCTATATACTATAGAAAAGCTAGTTATAATCTAGTATATTCTTAAGTAAGAGTATTACTTAGTGTTACGAAATCAGAATGCGGGTCAAGCGGCGCAGTAGAACTCATAGGCGGACCGGATCATCTCATACCGAAACCCCGGACGCACCTAACCCATTTGAGTAGCCTACAGCCTAACCCCACAAAGCAGATCTCCCTTAGCCACTGGCCACCCTACTGTCTACACCAACACCACAGTCTGGCCAATCAGCGGCCAATCATAGTATATAGAACACACTTACTTACAGTAGATAGGACCTTCGTAGTTAATTTTAATCATTACCTTGCACCCCTCTTATTACCTTCCCTACCTAACTACGGCTACTATCCTCTACACCCAGTATCTAGTAACATCCTAGATAGCGGTAGTAAACCCTTAACGCTAGAAACCTCCCCGACGTTCTTATCTTACCTCCCTCCCCGAGTCCCAGCGTAACACTTTAACTACCACCCTATAGGCACCGAAGGTAAGTAAAAAACTCATCGAACTAATCATAACGACCTAAGCCAAAATCCGCGCCTCGCTCCCTAACGCGGAAGAGCAACTATACAACATTTACCTAGTAATTCCCGGAGAACCCAACACGAAGACCCGTATAATTATATTAGAAGCCTACGCCGCCGGAATTACTTCCTTAACCCGCGACGTTAGCAGGCCCCGTCTACCCCCCGACGCTTTCGAAGATTACTCCTTAGTCCTGCTAGAATACTTTATTAGAGGGCAGGCCTTCTCGGTCAATCGCACCACAAGACCGCGGGGACAACCTCCCGCCGCGGAAGCTACTCCTATACTACCCGTTTTAATACAAGCTTAGAACCCAAAGTTTAAGGTTAAAGAACCGGACACATTTAACGGAACTAGGGGAAAGTTAGACGAATTCCTACGACAACTATAAACCTACTTCTACCTGTTCGGAACGGCCTTCTAAGATAAATCTCAAAAAATCTTCTTTACCGAGTTATACCTCCGTGGCAATGCTATCCGTTGGTTCGAACCCTACTAAGAAGACTTTAGTAAACTAGACCAGTACGAGGAAACTACAGAGCTATTCTACAACTTCGATAACTTTACTAAGACACTTCGAGAAAACTTCGAAGATAAGAACTAATATTAAGATACAGCCCACCGAATCTAGACCCTTAAACAAACTAGCTCCGCCGTAACCTATACCACCTAGTTCCGACTCTTTACCTCCCGACTCCAATAGCCCGATAACGTCCTCAAAATATTATATTACGAGGGACTAAAGGACTACATTAAGGACGAATTCGCCAGAACCAAGCTATCTAATTTATACTAAGAGGTGGTCCGCATCGCCATCTAACTCGACACTCGGCTATACGACCGTTATAGAAAAGCGACCCAGTCGAACCGCCCCGCAGCCAACTCCAGCCAACCTAGAAACACAACGAGTCATAGCGAACCTATAGACCTCGATAGCGTTAGACGCAACGGGCCTCTATTCTAAAAAGAAAAAGACCGACGCTATAAGGAAGATCTATACCTCCGCTACGGTAAAAAGGGATACTACGCCCGCTAATATAAGGGCGGCAATAAGACAACACGCTAAACCTTAGCCATACAAGTAACGGAAGTCGAGGACTCCCACGATAAGCAGCATTAGGCTAATTATACTAACGACGAATACGAAAGCCACCGTAAATTAAAAAAGACCTATAGATACTAGCCGGAAGTAAAAAACTAAAAAAGCCTCCAACCTAGGGGCGGGTGGAGGCGTAGCCCCCGGCGCCCCTTTAGGTAACCGCAATAACGACCGGCAATACTAAAGAAAAACTCTCTTACACGCACACTACGGACGACGAAGAACCCTTAGCCGAGTATATTAAGTACCTTATTATTAATATACTCGCTAATAGACGCCGAGCCCGCGTTTTAATCGACTCCGCTAACGGGAGTAATTACATTAATCCCCGCTTCGTAAAAAAACATAACATCAGGTTTTAAGAAAAGAAACACCCCTACGAACTTATTACCGTAGATAGTTTACCCAGCACATATAGAGGAGGGTTAATACTTATAGAAACCTAAAGACTCGTACTAGCTAGAGAAAAACACCGAGAAAGAATATACTTAGACATTATAAAAACCCCCGGGTATAACATTATTCTAGAACGTCCCTAGCTCCGGAAATAAAAACTATATATCGACTAGAAATTCGGAGAAGTAAAGTTTAGATCCAGAGAAAAGAACGAGGCGCGGCGGCTATTTAGCATTACAGCGGCGTTAGCACAACCCCAAGTAACCCGGAGCGAGCTAATATAGATTAGCAAGATCTCTAAAAAAGCTCTTAGAAAAGAAGTTAAAAACGATACCCCTACTAAAATCTTCTAGGTGCGCGCCACCCCCTAGGGAATTAAGATTAAGACCTAATAACCTCTAGAGGTCCGGTAAGCCTACAAAATCGCTTACCTCCCTAGAAAACGAACTATTAGTCCCTAGAAACCCCGAGACTCTCGAGGACGTATAAAATACGACCTTCGGTAAATTAGCGCCACCAACATCGAGAACCCCCTAGATTAAGTACCCCTACAATACCGCGAGTTCGACCTCTTTAGAGAAAAAACAAGCGAAGACGCCCTACCCGAATACCAACTATAAAATTACGAGATACCCCTAATACCAGAAACCACGCCTAAGTTCGGGCCCTTATACTCTATATCTAAAAAAGAACTTTAAATACTTAAGAAATATATCGAAACCTATCTAAGAAAAGGCTATATACGACCATCCCAGTCCTCGGCGGCCTCCTCTATTCTATTCGTACCAAAACCAGGCGGAAAATTACGGCTATATGTAGACTATCGAGCCCTAAACGACATAACTATTAAGGACCGGTACCCCCTACCCCGTATCGACGAACTACGCGACCGACTACAAAAAGCCAAATACTTTACCAAGCTAGACCTTAGAGATAGCTATCACCTAATTCGAATTAAAAAGAGAGAAGAATAGAAAACGGCGTGGCGAAGCCGATTCGGACTATTTAAGTACTTAGTCATGCCCTTCGGACTTACCAACGCCCCTGCCACCTTCCAAGCCATAATCAACGACACCCTCCGAGAATACCTAGACATCTTCTACACGGCCTACCTCGACGACATCCTTATCTACTCTAAAACCCTGGAAGAATATTAGAAACACGTAGAGAAAGTACTTAGAAAGCTATAGAAAAGAAAGTTATAAGTTAAGCCCGAAAAATACGCGTTCCACGTCTAGAAAGTAAAGTTTCTAGGGTTTATCATCCGACCCAGCGAAGTCATAATAGACCCTAAGAAAGTGGAATCTATCCTTAGTTAGCCCATACCCAGGAACCTTCGAGAAGTACAATCCTTCTTAGGTTTCGCTAACTTCTATCGCTAATTTATTAAGAACTACGCCAAGCTAGCTAAACCCCTAACCCGCCTTACCCGAAAAGACATCCGCTTTAATTAGTAAAAAACACAATAGAAAGCCTTCGAACTACTTAAAAGAGCGTTTACGAAAGTACCAGTCCTCGCCCTCTTCGACCTAAACAAGCCTATCTACCTAGAAACCGATACATCAGACTACGCCATCGGGACCTGTCTTAGTCAGCCAGACGACTAAGGACGGCTATACCCCGTAGCCTTCTACTCTAGAAAAATGTCCCCGGCAGAACTTAACTACGACATCTATAACAAGGAGCTCCTCGCTATTATTATCGCTTTTAAAGAATAAAGACACTACCTCGAAGGAACGAATTTCGAAATAACGGTATACTCGGACCACTAAAACCTAG